CTATGTCGACATTATTAATCTGGCCTATTGGTTCTACCCGGCCGAAGTTGATTATGTCGACATCACTAGTGTTTCGTATTGGTTCAAGGACAGTATTAAAATCCATGTGTTGCCTATTGAAATCCATATGTTGACTGGTGAACTCTATACATCTAATATTAGTCTTTATAGTATTGATTCCAATTATAATAAGTAAATATTGGATTCTGGATGCACTGTATACATAATACCTTTCAGATGCGGATTTATTAATTTTACTAAATCTGTGTCTTCTATCATTATGACTAACAACAACCGGATCTATTCTAAAGGCTATAGGGAAATTCGACTCGATCTAGTAGATCTTAATAGTTGTTGAATAGGTATAATCTTACTAAAAAAAGTCTAGCTAATCCCAGAACTCACTTTGTCAATAATTTCGATTCATACTCTCGCGAAAGATAAGATAAGCACTACTTTTGATAAAGATACAGTTTCTCTATATAAAATAAGGATATTTAACGAAGTGATCAGATATACCAAGTTTGGTGATAAGGCCAATTAGTACTGGCTCTATGTGTATGAAAGTGTAGTTTTAATAATCTAAGTCTTGCAAGCTACCGGTTATCTCATCTATTCAATTTACGACCCTAGGGAGATAGATTTAGTTAATGATCTTACTTTATTTAAAGCCTCTGAAGATGACAATCCAGCAATTCTAATGGATTTGGCTTACAGAAGGGTCTGTTATGCTGGTAAAACAAAGGTTCGAAAGATAATGGCTAATATGGAAGGTCTTCGAATTATTAAAGGCACTGCCTTTATTTGTCCCTACATGCTTTATATTATAGGAAAGGGCTATACACTTCTATTTGCTAAAGATAAACCAATTCGATCAGCTTTGAGCGAGTTTCTTTATACGGATGTCTAAGGGCTAATCTCGATCGCTGCTATAGAAGAACACATCTATTTTGTTATATTTATCTGTGATTTGTTGTGTTTCTACTGGATATTTCTTCTCAAAAGTAGATTGGAGGTTATAGAGAAGTTTAAGATGGTTAGATCTTATCTGAAAACCTAGTTTAATATTATTGTTAAGTAAGTTAGTAGTGATAATGCTAGGGAATATATCTATATTTTTATGGAATTTATAATTAATGAAGAAATGGTCTGGATCTCGATTCTGCTATATTCCCTGAAATTAAATAGAATTGTAGAGATTAAGAATAAGTATCTGGTTGAATTAATAGTTTCTATTATGACAGAATGGTAATTACTTTGCTTCCTATAGGGAAACATTATCATTGGAGTTAATTAGATGATAAACTATCTATGGTATTCAAAAATTGACTGTATTCTATTTGAGAAGCTGTATGGCTATCAGCCTAATTTGAAGCATCTGCGTGTTCTAAGCAGTCAATATTAGTATTTAGTTCTAAAAAATAAGTGTATAACTAAATTATATCTCTATGCAGCAAAAGGCTATCTGGTTGGATATAGTATTTGGGGAGATTAGTAAGTTTATGATATTAAGACTAAAACCATTGTGATATCTAGGGATGTGACTTTTAATGAGCGGACCCTAATGGGAATTATTGGAATGAAAGATTATGATTTCCTTGATGGGAATCTTGATTCTTTATTAATCGATTTGACTAAAGAATTATTAGATAACAAAGCTTAATGATATGTCTTAATTGAGTTCCTCGAAGGACCACCCTTATCACGAACATAATCGTATACCATTGACCCAAACGAAAACACTACTGAAGCTCCTGAGGCTATTATACCAAAGAGACAGGGGAAGGTATAAATAGAAGATAGGATAGCGAACTTATTAGGGGAGGATAGCCCTGAGGACTCCGTGGATTCCGACGGATTACTGGATCAAGATCCTACAATGGATGTGCTATTGTCTATGCTAAATCTTGTATATAAAGATAAGCCGATTCTAGAGCTGCAGAGATTTGTTAGAATCTGTGAGAAAGCTTAAAACCAGGGAGAAACTGAATCAACACCTATTTTACCAGCTCTGGCTTTATTTTGTAAATCTCGTAAGAAGGCCCTGGCTCTGGAATAACCACTGTGATGATCTGAGTGAATCAGGAAGCCTACTTGTGTGATGATTGAGTATCTGGAATATCATCTGACCACTGTTAATCTATACATTACAGAGATTATGGTTGAAACCCTTTCTGGTGAATTTCTGGATGAAATCTATACTTTTTCTACATCAATCCTGACCAATTTGATCCCTAACAACGACGGATACATTCCTGAATCATAGGAAGACGCAATAAAATACAAAGAATGCACTAAATAGTTTAATGCTGTGCATTAAAAGCTATGAGCTTAGTTAAAGAATGGAACCTAGTGTGTAATTAACTGCATAAGTGGCCCTAAGAAGCGAAAGCCTCTCACCCTGAGATAGATCTTTAATATCAAAGATAATAGGCACTATAAAGTAAGATTGGTAGTTAGAGGATTCTGTTAAATCAAAGATATCGATTTCTATAAGATCTATACTATCGTGGCTAAATCTATGAGTTTTAAGATTTTCATAGTAATTTCAGTAACTAAAAGATGGTCTATGTATTATGTCGATATGAAAACTGCCTTTCTGAATGCGGATTTGAAAGAAAACATTTTTATTAAACTCCCTAATGGTTATCAGGAAAGCCCCGATAAGATTGGGATTCTAGAAAAGACCCTTTATAGCCTAAAATAAAGCCTTTATAAATAGTATATTATACTGTAAGATACCCTAATCACTATAGGTTTCAAAAGAATTAATGCAGACTATTTAGTCTTTGTACATAGATTGGATAAGGGACCATCTGTCTATATCTTGATCTACATTGATAATATTGTGATACTATCCCTATCTTCTGAAGTAATTTCTAAGGTAAAGAATAATCTAGCAAAGTACTTTGAGATTACAGATAATAGCCCTATCAAACGATATTTAGGAATAGATATTATTCAGGCCCTAATTAGAGAAATCTATCTCTCGTAAGCTAAATATACCGAGGAAATTCTATTATTCGGGATATCTAATAGTAAGCTTATTTCGATACCTTTTAACGAAAAAGAGAGACTAAGTAACTATAATGGTTAAGCATTAAACGAAGATATTAAACACTACCAACGGATAAATAGCTCTCTCATCTAGCTCATGGTTATAACCAGACCGGATATTATCTACGTAGTCACTAAAATCTCCAAGTATATAAGGAATCTATCGCCGGTGTATTTCTGAGCAATTAAGCAAATTCTGCGCTATCTGGCTGGATCAATTAACCTTTACCTATGATTTCTACCTAGGAACACTAACCTAGTCGGCTACTACGATACGGATTAGTTCAGTCCGCATAATGTTGACGGAATCTCTACATCAGGATTCGTCTTTAAACTAGCTGGGGCGCCAATTTCTTAGTCCTCAAAGAGGCAGAGATGCATCGCATTATCGTCAACCGAATCAGAATACATTATATAAACCTTAACAACGTAGGAAGCTATTTAGTTATCCCTTTTGCTTAAAGAGCTTAGTATAACGGATCAAGATCAAAATCAGATGCTCAAGAAACCAATCACTATTTACGGCAACAACAAGGGAGCTATTGCTCTGTTAAAAAACCCTGAGTTTCACACTAATACAAAACACATCGATATCCGTTATTATTTCCTGAGGAAATAAGTGATACTGGGTAAGGTCGAATTCAGATTCATCGTTTCTGCTGAGCAGATCGCGGATGGATTTACTAAGCCTCTGGCAGCTACGAAATTCCGTTAATTCGTTGAGAACCTGGGATTACACGAGATAGAATAAATTGATAAAAGGTAATCGGTCAAAAGATTGTGTTCAAATGCATCTTTGAGAAACTGGGTCTGTTTCCTATTCGGGAAGAGTTTTTTCCTAAATCCGAGCGAGACACTGCTCGTGGGGGGTATTCGGAGTTTTCTCTCCCAGTAGTCTAGCTTAGCTTTAGTTTTCTCTTCCTCCTTTCTTTCTTCTCTTCTCCAACCAATGAACCTCAGTTGAAGAGAACCCCCTTCCATCCGATCCCTAGTCCGAAGACTGAATATACTCGATCCGTCGAGTGTGAAGAGGGTCAAGGGTCCAGTTTGGAACACCAATAGATAACAAGGGCCCTCAGTCGGTTGAACGGGACCGTGCCCACAAATTCTTGTTTTGTGCTCGATGTTGTGATACACAACAAATGATTTCAATTGATCTCAGAAATCACAGAAATAACAAGTTTTAGATTTCACGCCCTTGGCCTTAGCGTAGGTACCAGGGCATAAAGGGTACAAAGCTTCTCCCGAGGTCTTCCCTGGTGGTGACCGCACAGTTCATGGTCAAAACCTCCAGGTTTTTTTTTTCCCCGTCTTGAAAATCTTAGTGGACCTCAACCATGGCCCTGGAACAGTTTGCAAACTCAGTTTGAAGTGCCGCTCAGAATAGGCAAACGGATAGACTTTCATTTCCGGTAAAAGAATCTATCAACGTCTCGGAAAAGAGTTGAAGGCTACCATTCCATAGCATAAAGCTTATTGTCCTAACAGTGGCCCGAGGTCAGACCTACATTGCAACACCTTGTATAGGCTAGGGCGCCAGTAAGAGACCACAGAAAACAGGGTAGTGGCAGAATAAACATGGTCACAACTGCAATCTGTGCATCAACTATTGTGCCATCAGCAGGCGATAAAATGTATAATTCTGTTGAGTAGAAGCCCTGGAGATCGATTCAAGGGGATCCGCGCTCAGGCGGCAAATGATGCAATTGGAGCAACAATGTCGGGTTGTTTCCATTTTTGGAACTCTACCCGACCTTCGTGATGGTAGGGCATAGGAAACGGACGAGATTAGGGGGTGACCAAAGGTTCGGCAATGGGATATAAAAAAGCTGATAATCTTTTTTAAAGAGGTAGAAAATTACTGAAGAAAACCTACTGTCACAGTGCGAGACGCCATAATCCTTTCATAGACCCATCGGGCAACATCAACTCTTAGTTCCTCCATGTTTGGTGTTGAAGCCAGGGGTGGTCTTCCCACCCAACTCTCTCGGTCATTCGTTTCCAAGCATTCTTTTTCTGGTCCGACTTACTTTTCCACATCCACTTGCAGGCCCAGGAAGGAAGGTGATATATCATCAGTTTTTGTGTCTTTGTCCAGCAAAGAGGAAGCAGCGCCTCTTGATGAGCGCTTCGCAGCGCAAAAGAAGAGGCTACTCTTAGAGCGAGGCGGCGAGATAAAAAAAAGTTGGGACCGCTTACTCAACAAGCTAAAAGAGGAAGTTGGTACTATCGAGAGACATGGTCCGAATATTGTCCCCAGTATCGACTTCAAAGACATCCATGTCGCCCCTGAAGAATTCCAGCGAGAGCTTCGGAAGCGCGGTGTTGCTGTGGTACGTGGTGTGATCCCGGAGAATGAAGCGAGAGGTTACAAGGAAGCCATCGAAGCCTATTCTCGGGCGAATCCGGGAACAAAAGGTGTGTTGGATATCATCGTCTGCCAAATTTCCGACTCAAAATTGACGTGATGAAGCTTTCCCACCCAATGACCCCCAGGTTTTTGAGCTTTACTGGTCAAAGCCACAGATGCAAGCGCGATTCCATTCCAATATGCTCGAGACTCAGCGGTTTCTCATGAGCTTCTGGCATTCCCCGGACCCGGGTGCTTTGATATCACCACAACATCCGTTGAGCTATGCCGATCGCCTACGCATTCGTCAACCTGGCGATAGTGGGTTTGCATTAGGGCCCCATATTGATGGTGGAAGCTGCGAGCGCTGGGAGGAGAATGGATATGGGCTGGGAGACGTCTACAAACCGATCTTTGAGGGCCGATGGGAAGAGTACGATCCCTGGGAGGCTAGCAGCCGGGTGCCTGCCGTTGCCGATCTCTATAATGGGGCTGGAGCTTGCTCTATGTTCCGAATGTTCCAAGGATGGTTGGGCTTGTCTCATACCGGGCCCAATGAGGGAACCCTACTTGTGAACCCTCTTTTGTCTATGGCCACTGCCTACACTCTCCTGCGCCCCTTCTTCCGCCCTGTCACGGCCCATCCCGGAGAGCACTCTTCCCGAATCGCCACCGAGACGTTTTTGGAGTCTTCTAACTGGCAATTGGAGGCCGAGCCTACCAGTAAGCTTGAGGGTGCGACTCCGGGGTATTCTCAGGAGCTGAACTCGGTACTTCATCCACATTTGCAGCTTAAAAAAACCATGGTTCATGTGCCCAAGATTGCCCCTGGCGACTACGTGGCTTGGCATTGTGACGGTGAGACTTTTCCTTTGTTTACCTTATATAAATGCACATGCCAGATCCATGATCACTGACAAGGACTAAAGCAATTCATGCCGTCGATAAGGTACACCAAGGTACGGGAGACTCCAGTGTGATGTACATTCCTGCTTGCCCCGTTACAGCCGCGAATGTCGAATACGTCAAGCGTCAGAAATTAGATTTCCTGGACGGTGTTCCTCCGCCTGACTTCCCTGGGGGTGTTGGTGAAAGTGAACATACAGGCCGTGCCACGCTGGAGGATCTCCAATCCAGTACAACCAATGAAGGAATGCGTGCGTTTGGCCTGGGCAAGTGGAATTTGGAAGAGGACAATCTCCTACCTGGACAACGACGTGTTCTCAAGATAGCAAATGAGATCCTAGGATGCTGATCTTGATATGTCGTCAGACTCTAGCCTGAAGCTATCTTCTTGAAATCGAAAAATTGCACAACAGAAAAAGGAAATCAAGATTCTTCGCTGCCAACTCGATAGCCTTAAGCCACGCCTAAATTACGTAGTAGCATTTGTAAAATTATTGATAATGAAGAATAGATAAATACATAGACTTCCATTTCGGCAGTGCTTTGGGGCATCTGTTCCGCTTGCTTGTTTCTCCCCTTTGCCTCTGCATCTGCTTGCTTCCATGAGCCCTCGTAGTGATGTGGAATCAAAGCATCCCCTTGGTCAGTTAGATATCCATATTGTGCTACAGCGAACGAAGCCCCAGGCCTGATCAAAATAACGCCAACGAGCTTCAGGTGTTTGATGCCCGAAAAGTCGCGGTCACCGACTGTTCGTCCTAGAAGCTGATCAAGACTCTCCAAGATTGCAATGGTCATTATCTCTGGGCCTGTAACGTTGACGACATCGGAAAGCATCTCAAAATTATTCCAGAGACGGAGACCCCATTCTTTTCCGCGATTTCCTTCAATTTGTTGACAACTGTGTCGACAATAACTCCCAAATTCCGAGAGGACGGTTGCGCAGCGAAGGCCCAATTACAGAATTGGGATGCAACTTCGGTTCCAGGACCGCGGTATCAGAAGTCGAATTCCAGGCCCACTATCATATCAATGTTGATATCGGGCTTTTTATATTCTGACGGAACCCAATCGATGGATGGCGTTTCGGCGGTGACATCCAGATCGCTCCAATACCCGCCTTCGGCAAAGACAATCAGATAGCGAAGAAGATTAGCACGCGATATTGGGATTAATAAAGCATCATAAACGACGATGATAGCCGGTCTGTATTGGAAATGGGTATGGACAAATTGCTCCGGACCGATCCATCAGCCATTCCGCGCGGAATGAAGGATTCGTATATGTCCAACTGTTGATCCATTCCAGTTGTTTTTCGGATACGTTCATAGTCTTGACCGAATGCCAAACTTTATCTAGGATGTTGTAAATTGAGGTGTTAGGGCCCACGATGGGGACATTTTGGGCTTTTGTGGGGGGTCGTTGAGCTTGGGCCTGCCGTCTCTTTCCCGACTGGAGACCCGACTTGAGTTGGCGCAGGGTTTCCACTGAGAGTAGGTAGGACTAAGCGCAGCGGGTTCCATACAGAGAAGGGATAGAAAACATCGAGTGGAACGACAAGGGCGAAGATTCGTACCGACCGAGAGGTTTCGAGGTTGGAGGGCGAGAACATTGTCCGGACAAGGACATTTTGTCCCCGATATGATCGCCCAAAAACGTGGGATGGCACGAGGAGAAAAAAAAAAGTGTGTCAAGGGACAAAAGGGCAATTGTCAAGTGAAAAGACAAAAGAACAACACAATCAAAGTGCCACCATCACCTCAAGGAGGAACAAAGCGCTAAGGAGACGCCTGTGGGGTTTGCGGGCGGCTAAGCTGTTTGGTCTACACACATATGAGCGAAAGTGATGCTGGTCCACAGCAAGTCAGTACTCACTGGAAGGAACAGATGGAATACTTCCGCTCCTAAAATGTACGCAGAGCAATATGTTTTTCCGATTGTAAATGACCGGAGAATTCATCGAAAGGAGGAACCAAGTACGGACAAGAGGACGATACAAGAGCCATGGGAGCAACAAGTAATGTTTAGCAAGCGAGCACTTATGGCCACAGGGAAGTCAAATCAAACAAAACTAAATTCGCAGGCAGATCAGACCAAAAAGAAATGAGAATGAGCATCTTGACACGAATCCTTCAAATTGAAAAAATTCCACTTTGACCAGGTTGGAACATAGCTACTTCCTAAGATTCATCGATGATTTGCTTTAAAAACTCCCATTCTGTTAAGATGCTACTAAATGGATACTCGGTTCCGAGGTTTTCCAGAGTGCATCTCATCTTGCAACCATCCCGAAATTGAACTGCAGCCTTGCGTAGCTCCATGATTTTGTTTTTGAGAGACTGTAGCTGTTGGTCGTGGTCTGCCTGTAGCCGTCTCTTGAAGTCACGATGCCAAACTTCAAATGGGCCGACATAGGGTTTAAACAAACATTCAAATATCTGCAGTAGCAGTTCTTCATTCTTTTCCATCTTCTCGGTCTGCCCGTCTGCGCGGAGGAAGCTGGCCGGATGGAAATCTTGTACTACCATTGTCACATTCCCATTAATCCTGAAATCTGATGCTTCTCGCCGTCTGGCTCCTGTCATCGAGGATTGCAGTGAGCTGGCTGGCCAGTCTTCTTTGAACGAAGACCATCGCGGGCCCCATTGACGGCATTGGCATGCAATGATGAATTGGGGGTTGAATGTTCCAATGAAGTCAACGGTTAATTGGGACATCTCGTCGATAGCTTGGGTGCATTTTTCCTGATCCTGATGATCAAGCCACTCGTCGGTCAACATCGGAAAGAGATCCATGATGATAACATCGTTCATTTGAAAGCCGATTGTTTCCAATGTTTCTTCAATCCATTTCAGAGTTTTGGTTTCTTGAATCATTCGATCATATTCAAGGTGGTCGTTCTTTGGATTGAGGAGAAGTATACAGGGCAGACAGGAAAGCCCGCATAAAAGTCGCTTGAAGTTCTCAAAGGCTCTTTCAAATCTTTTCCCGTCTTTGACATTCAAGATCCCATACCTTGCGCAAGCGTTTCTTACACTGGCAAAATAGGGGTTACTAGGGAGGATTCGCACAAAGTCCTTTTCAGTTGTCGCCTCAATATCGCGTTGGATCAGTTTTGCCAGATTTTCTTGATTGGTTTTCTGTCTCGGTGTTCTCTGTGCATGATGCGTTATGTAGGCAGTGAAAGGGTTGACTCCGGTATCAGCTGTGCTGAAAAGTTTATCTCGTCTCTCGTTGCTTTCTGTGATGTGATATGGGATGGATTTTGAGCTTGTTCCGATATTCAACGTCCGGATGCAACGTTCAAGGTCATCGGTGTCGCTATCCATAGCTATGCTCTGCCCAACCTTTTTCCTAGGTGAGTCTTTTGAGTCAAGATCAGTTGTGAGGGTTTTTGAAAACAATCAGGGTGAGAGAAGAGGGGTCTCTCCAGGGTTTAAATCCAGGCGTTAACGTGGATATCATCCCGGAGAATATGCGCCCAGCATAATACAGACCAATGTCATAATCTCAATCTTATCATAGCGCGAACGTCGCTCCAGGCAGCCATCGCCTTCAGTTGTATCTGAACATATAATATGTGTGTGTGTGACGCAATAGTTACTGCTTCATCCCCGAGCATAGCCCCATAAACAAGGTGGCTCAGTCAACTTACATCCATAGATACCTATTGGAGGTACCGAAGGTCCTAGAATTGCCAATCAGAGCTTATTCCCACTGGTTGAACCCTCCTCTTGAGCTAATAAGCGCCCTTTGAGGGCCCAAATGTTCGCACAATTTTAGCGCCACGCAAGGTTGACCAGCAAAACAGCGACCCATTATGAGCATAAGCTACCCAATTATGATTCTCGATTTACATTTTCTTTCTATTCTCAACGCGCTCAAATTTTTAGTTGGAACCACGAGTCCCCAAAATCACATTTATCTCAATTGGTTAGAGTTTCGCGACTATCCATCAACTGAAAAAATACCACTTTATCTCACGACTTTTCTCTGTTGATGTTGGGATTGCTGCAAATGATATCTAGGGAATGAGGCTCCCAATATGCAGTTTGATGGTTGTCTTCTCCCCTCTCTTTCTTTCGTTCCTCACCTCTGACTACAGCCTTTTGTTTTTATCAATGAATCCTTGCTTATTATCGTACAATAAAAGTAAAAAGTGCATCAATTTGACCATATGATCAAACTCATGAGTCATGACATCTGAATTTAATTCCCGGGCGCTTTTGCATAGGTCAATACTCGTTGTTGGAAAAAGGTACATTTACTCGCCCCAAGACTGAGAATGCTTGACTGACCACTGGGGATGATGAATGAGCTGGAATTCTCTTTCATAATTACCAAGCTGACTTAGGTTCACGAACTCCAAGACTTATCTCATGAAATAGTTGCTATTCACATAGAACATGGTAGCTTTGGCATGGTTTCAGCGGTCAAATCGCTCCAGAATCGCCCAAAGACGTTGATGACGCCAGGAGGCTATGGAACTGTTGGTCATACCGAGATTCAGCCACACGCAATGATCCGATGATTTTTGGTGTTTGTTGTCTTAACTAGACTTTCGTAGCGGCCCACAAAGCCCAGAGCCCAGCCCAGCCCAGCCCATTAATGGGTTGGGTTTTGGGCCGGACCTCGGGCCCATTAGTGGGCTCTGGGCTCAGGGGCAAAGCCCACTGCGATTTTATGGGGGCCCACTGGGCCCCAAACATCACAATGTATGTCAAGAATTAGTCTTTTCACGAATAATGCAGATGTTCATCACCACCATGGACGACTTTGGGATGGTGAACGAGGCATATGATGAGTTCTTCGAAACAATTGAACCAGAACCAGTAAGATAAAGACTCCATATCCTCCTTACCCCCTGCACTCCTGCTGAGTCTCCCCGGTTTAGGACTTGTGTCTAGACTCCCGCAATGTGCCGGATTGGGCCCGAAGTCCCGGCCCAGAGCCCAGTAATGGGCCCCCAATGGGTCACCAGAAAAGCCCAGAAAAGCCCATAAAGACGGTGTTGGCATGCATAATTCTGCTGATTAATAGGTTTTATGTACGATAGTTCTCCCTTGTAATCTTACAATCGACCGTGGTGCAAATATATATGTTCGCACCATAATCAGAAGAGCCTCGCGGACTTATCTACTTAAACATTACTGTGGTCTAAATCTTTTGAATTTATATCTATCTCTTTCTCCCCTTCTTTACTACTATAATTACTTCTATAAACACGTTTTATTCTTGATTCATTGAGGTTATCAGTCCAAAAGGGTAGTACTTTCATACCTGAGGATATTGCTAAGATCTGCACTGATTCTTGGCATGTTTGTAATGTTTGGGGCCCAATGGGCCCCCATAAAACCGGAGTGGGCTTTGCCCCTGAGCCCAGAGCCCACTAATGGGCCCGAGGTCCGGCCCAAGGTTGGGCTCTGGGCTTTGTGGGCCGCTGCGGAAGTCTACTTGTGTCGCTGTTCACCAGCTCCCGTTCGATGCTCAGGTGGAGATTGAATGCACCGCTTTCCTATGACTTTATACGGTAACCAAGTCAATTTCAGGGGGAAGCAGAACATACTCGAATTCAATCAATCTTGATGTTGGAGATCACATGATTCTTGATCTCCTCTTCCAAGGTTCTTCCCCTTTGCTCTCAGTTCTCTTGCTCTCTCTCTAGCTCCGTCTCAATCAAATGATCTCTCTCTCTCTTCTGCCTTCTATCAGATTGGCTAGTGATTGGCGTGGAAGTTTCGTGCAACTAACGTGAGCCTCCCGGGCCGATGTTACTCCGATCAGCTGGCGTATCCTAAGTCGGTGGTTCTTGTTCTCATCGACCAACGCAACATGAAGGAAAGACGACTCCTCGGCTTCCCAGCAGTATTTCCTACTCCATCATTTCCATATAGTACGACCACACACTCTGCATTTCGACGCATATTACCAATCAAGCGTGACATGGCTCATCTTCGCTCTCCCTCCAAACCACGCGTCTTCCCTAGTTCAGGGTGGGACATCATCGACCCTTGCATCCCGATCGAGGAAGAGTCAATTCCTACCTACAGACCCGAAAAATCCTGTCCCGTGTAAATTGGTGAGGTATTCAACCATCGATATCAAGTCCTGGGCAAGTTGGGCTATGGGTCCACTGCGACAGTTTGGCTAGGCCGTGATTTATTGTAAGACCAACAGATCTCTACCGGGCGGTTTAAAGCTACCAGAGCAGTGATGACTGCTATATAGCATTAAAGATTTACACAGCGTCAACAACAGTGGTCCAAGAGATCAAAATTTACAACCATCTTAGAGCTATCCAATCCGACCATGCCGGCCAGACTTGCCTACGACCCTTGATTGACATCTTTCACATCCATAGTCCAGATGGAAATAGTGATTATACTTGTCTGGTGCATCCACCCCTTGGGATCAGCCTTGACCAGCTCACTCAGCTCCTCCCCGGTGGAGTGATGAGCAGCGCCATGGTTAGAACTACCATCCGCAATGTCCTTGCCGCTCTGGACTTCCTCCACACAGAGGCACATGTTATACGTACCGGTCAGTACCAGTTCGTTCAAAGAAGCCCTTACCCCTCAAGGGATGAAGCTAGAAGGTACTGATTGACAGCGTAGATCTACAACCAAATAATATTCTCCTCGGCATTAAAGATAACTCAGTATTATCCAAATTTGAACAGGCTGAAGTCGACATGCCTGTGCCGCGAAAGACTCTCGAAAATCGCACTACCTACTTCTCACGACCCCTCTCTGTCTCTTATGGAACTCCCATTCTCTGTGATTTAGGCGAGGCTCGATTAGGCACCAATAACCAGAAGGGCGACAGCATGCCAGATATCTATCGGGCACCGGAGGTTATTTTAAATATGAATTGGGACCACAAAGTTGACATCTGGAGTGTTGGCATGTTGGTTAGATACAAAACTATACAGTCACTTGTGGCCATTTTGAAACTGACATTGGTTTAGATTTGGGATCTTTTCGAGCATCGCCACCTTTTCAGGGCTCAAAATCCCGCACGCGAACTTCATGATGGCTATCATCTTGCTGAAATGCAAGCAGTCCTAGGAAGCCCTCCTCTCAAACTCCTCGGTCAGAGCGAAAGGAGCCACCACTTTTGGGATGAATAAGGTTTGTGCAACTATCCCTCAACAATTAATTCAATCATATTTAGCAATGTTAATGGTTGTATCAGGTAATTGGAAAGGTGCAGCTCCTGTGCCAGACTGTAACCTCGAGGTACTAGAAGAGAGACTCAAAGGTGATGAAAAAGAGGACTTTTTACGTTTCCTTCGGCGAATGCTATGTTGGCTCCCAGAAGAACGAGCGTCTGCTAAAGAGCTGCTTTTTGATCCTTGGCTAATGCGTGGCCTCTTCAAATGAGACCATGGATAGGTCACATCTCATCACACGCATTCATTTATCCATTCACCGATGCGCAGGTACTCCGTACTACAAAGGGATTAAGTAATTTCTGATTTGACTCTAAAACTGACACCTACCAGTTCCAAGGTTCGATAAATACAGTATAGTAGAATACATGATAAAAAGCATGTGATGAGGTCGTGTTGTGAGCGCCCGGCCACTGACCATGTTCTCCCCAGATCCATAGCTTGCTCTCTCCCTCTCTTCGATTTTGCCTCCGTGCCCGTCCCTCGCTCTTAGTTAATAGAACAAAAGCCTCTCTTGCCCCCCACCCGCTAGCCAGCAGCTACCTCGTCAGACAAGAGCGGCGAAGAGCAGATTCATGGCAGAAATTGGACGGCGAGATGAACAGATTTTCACAGAGAGGAAGATCTATACTCGAAGAACAGAGTCGTAGGGCGCGATTTCAGGGGGCATAATTTTCCAATTCATCTGTTGGTGATATGTTCCAAGGGATTTGTTATTGGTCAAAGGGGGGTTTACTGCATAGCCATGATCGTGCCCAGGTGCATCATCCCGGTGGGTCCATATTGGTCCCCGGGGCTCCAGGGATTATCGATCTAACACATTGCGCAGGTCCACCACTACACTAGGTAAATTTCCTAATTCCAGATTATGCACTGGGTTCACAGAAATCATAAACGTCATCGATAGAAGAATCGGCCGTGAACCCCAGATTGAGGAGGCTTTCCTCCCATTGATCTGACCTGATAGAGCCTCGGTAGTCAGCATCTGTGAAGCGCACGGGTCTCACCAAATCTCGCCGGAAGCTTACCATTGGCAAGCATCAATGGCCAACAGCTCATTGAAGACTGAATCGCTGTCCATGGTAGGCCCATGATGGTGTTCATTTATGGAACAATGACCAGTATCCATATGAAGGGGGGGCTTTTCTATGCGACTAGATCGGAGAATGCGGCCTTGTTTAGGAGAGCTTTCCCTCGGGGGTTGCGAACAGGAAATATCTTGTGTCATTTCACGTAGATCCCTGGTTGGGAAATATTGATAAGTTAGCGACTGGGGGAGATGGTTGGACAAATTCGTTGTGGCAATTGTCTGTTGCTTCGATAATATATCCACGATGAGAGATGAGGTCTGAGGGACAGCGTGAGGACCAAATTGATTCTTGAATTCATGTATGAGTGCCACAGCCTCGGCCACACTTGGGGCACCTTTAGTCACCGGATAAGAAACCTTCTTGGTTGCTGGGTCCAATGGGGAACCAATACCGGAGACGGCAATGAGATGGATGAGTCGTAGATGGAAATGATGCGGTAGCAGCCTCGTTTCCGCCGGATCTTCCATAGTTGGGTCATTGAATATGGTGGTCCATGGCTCCTTCGATTGATCCTTTTCAGGTTCTACCACCGTGTCCACGGGAAGTCTCTGCCCATAAAGTGAGGCGAGTAACTTCCGTTGAATGATCGTACAAACTCTCACCAGGTGATTGAAGGTACTTGGTGTAAACATTGGAAAACAGTGACTCGGTAACAGAGGGCCTGTGCTGAAAGGATTTGACCAGAGATCCCATTCATCGAGTCCTTCCTCTTCCATGTTACCGACTCCACAAGCATTGGGTTCTTGCAGGGAAGGAGGCTGGCCCAGATGAAAGGATACCAAAGTATCTAGCACAAAGCATCCAAGATATGTTCGCTTGTGTCGCGCCATTGCGTGTGGATGAGACTCACTGGTCCCCCAGGCCGGCTTTAAATCGATGATCACATGGGCAGCTTTCGCGATCAAGAACCGAGCTACTGAATACAAAGACTGCTGAATTTTGATCAGGCTTAGAAGAAGCAGAGCCTGGGCATGGTGAAGGTCAAATGGGCCTTCTTCGCATGGAATGAGGTCACGCGCCCTTGAGTAATAAGACGAGACACGGCTTTCTGATACGTTTGCAGCGTCAAAGCCCTCGATTGTATGACCCGAATGCAATAGCCCGTGGCTCGCAGATGCAACCATGGCCCACAGAAGAGCAAACGAGCCACACCTTGGTTCATCGCTTGCATTCTCGTTGACAAATCGATACGATAAACGCATCACCTCTGGCTTGTCCACAATAGGATACCAGCAGTGAGTCTGGAAGAAATAGAGCTTCAGGAGGTTGTTCAAATGAGCCGGTAGCTGAGTCTCTGCTGGAGAGGGACCAGATAGCGGACCAGGACGGGTAGAAAGGGTGCCTTCGCACAGAAGCTGATCCGGCAAAAGAGGTTCTTGCGATACCGCGCTGGATTGGGCGGTCCCCGAACACCCTTGAGATATTCGACCCTGGCCGGGGGTTGTGCTCTGGGGAGTTGATCTTGCTATAGAGGCGGAAGGTTGCCTCGAGCCATCCCCATGCTCATCTGAATTTTCATCAAACTTTCGCTTGAGCGCAAGTGACTTTAGCGATGGCAAAGAGGGTAGTAGTCTCTCCAACTTAGTCGATAGTTGACTTCTTTTCCACGCATCGACGAGGTTGTCGAAATCAGAAAGCCACGTGAATTGTTGCCTTTCATTCTTTTCCAACAACCGGGACAGAAGACGGTCTTCGAAATTGTCGACGTGTCGAATGGCGAGGCCTGCCAAGAGCTCTAGGCCACGAACGTATCCCTCCTGCAGTCCCCTTCGCCGAAGATGCGCCTCGTAACAGCAGGGCTCATTTGCCTGTGTACATGTTGCACATTCTGGCCTCTGCCCGTCGCATTTGAACTTGCGCTGACGGCATCGCTGACAGGCCTGGGCGACACGTTTTCGCGTCCTTTCAACCATCCCAGCCCATGAAGGTCGTGGACCTAACGGGGGCCTGAAACAAATGTGCGTCTGAAGTAATATCCGAGTCGGGTTAGGTGTCTCTAACAGATGGAAGTAAAGGAAAGAAGAGGCTTCATCAAGTGAAGACGGCAATTGTCATACCCGTCATGACGTCATCAGGGCAACCTTAGACATCTCTGCACTCTATATTCATCCACACTCATCAACACTCAAGGCCATCTCGAGTCTGCCCAAGTGAGGCCACAGCGGAGAGATTGTTAATTTACTTCGGAATCTTCTATCGCCCACTTCGAGTCTCAATGGAGGATGACCATGCGAGCCCTGCAAGTACCTCGATCCCGTCAATCGTCCTGATCGGTTTACCAGGATGTGGCAAGAGGATATTGGCATTCATTGGAGCTCTTCACCTGGGAAAGAGACTTGTCACGGCAGAGCGATTCTTTGAGATCGCCACCGGCTTGTCGCGAAATGAATTCCTCCGGAGGAATGGCAAAGCCGTGCTCAAAAAACAAACCATCTCCCTCGTTTTGAGGATGCTGCGCGAAAATGAAAATGATTGCATTATTGAATGTGGACTCAGCACATTCAATCCGGAAGTGCAAGACTTTCTCGTGAACTACAAAGAAACCCACCCGGTGATTCACATTATGCGCGATCACCATGAAAACAAGACTCTTTTGCAGATGGGAGATGCGGATACAGAAAGACTCCAGGAATTCGATAGTCTACACATCCCTTGCGCAAGCTTCCAATATTTCAACCTGACTGATTCTGGTTCTACAGCTGAGGTGACCGCAACCGGGACTGCTTTTGCGGCTCATCACCTGAAGGAGACAAAAACGGACTTTTGTCATTTCTTGGACCTTCTCGCAGGAACAAAGGTCAACCAGCAGCTGGAAGACCCAAATGAGTTCCAAATTACGTCTAGCGCTATTGAGAAACGCCAGTTCACCTATGCTCTTGTTGTGAACTTCTCGGAACTCGTCGCTGGGCATTTCAACCCTGCCTGGTTCGAATCTGGTGCCGATGCTATTCAATTGGTAATCGACGCTAATGATGACATCTCAACGGAGGCTATCAGCAAGCAGATCGCCATTATACGGCGATCGACCAAGATACCAATCGTCTATGAGGTTGAATGTGCAGTATTCGAGCGCAATGCTACCACCGGGATGGAACCCCAACTTTTGAGACTCCTGTCTGATGGGTTGAATAATTGTGTTGAATATCTGGCTTTGGACATCAGCCAAATCCCATCTGAACTCTGTCTTGGTATCCTCTCTCGGAAAAGGCGCACAAAGGTCATTGGGTGTTCGCATAACACAGCCCACCAGGACTTATGTGACATGTATCGGAAGGCCAAGGCGATGGGGTGTGACCTTGTAAGATTGACCGAGGATTCGATGGGGCAGGATGACGAGCGGCTACAGTTGGTTACGGGCACATTCCCCCGGGATGCGGTGGCTAAGTGTCCCCTGATCTCCTACTCTACGGGATCAATGGGGCGCCGATCACAGATTTTTAACCGAATTCTGACTCCCGTTTGGCCTGTGGAATCGGTTCGAGATACAGAGGAGCATTTTATCACCGCAAAGAAAGCAATGGAAGGGCTTTTTGCAACTTGTGTCTTTGACTCACTCAAATTTTATCATTTCGGTGCCTCGGTATCATGGAGTCCATATCCACCCGCCATGCACAGAGCGGCTTATCAAGAACTTGGTTTGGGGCACTCATATCAAGCTTTTGAAACGACATCTGTTTCTGAAATTGACTGTGTAGCCTCCTCTTCCAACTTCGGCGGTGCCAGCATCAGTCTGCCCTTCAAGTCTGCAATCGGCTTCTCGAAAAGGGATGTGAGAAGCCCCCATGCCACTGCAATTGGCGCCATCAATACCCTACTTCCATTGAGAAAATCATCCCAATTTGGCACGTCGCTTGGATGGCAGGCATCTCAACGAAATCGAGCCGGGGATGTGACGGGCTGGTACGGCGACAACACAGACTGGCTGGGGATCTCAGATTGTGTCAGCAAATGCTTGTCTCCCAGAAATACCATCAGATCTTCCACAACAACAGCGCTAGTCATTGGAGCTGGGGGAGCCGCCAGAGCCGCCATTTATGCATTGATCCAAATGGGATGTCGGAACATATTGATATTCAATCGCACTGTTCGGCACGCGGAGACGGTGGCCGCCCACTTTAACTCTTGGATGAAACAAACGGCCCACAACATTCCTGGCAATATCAGCGTGATCCGATCCACTTCCGACCCCTGGCCGGTCAATCTCCACCCGGCTACAATAATTATATCATGCGTCCCGGCGCACAGCATAGACGGCCAACGTCCAGCGAACCTAACACTGCCAATCGAATGGCTTTCTAGCAAGTCTGGAGGAGTGGTAGCTGAAGTGAGTACACTCCGATCACCCAAACTTCTAGGACAGGAGCTCCATCTTTCTAACGAATCTAAGCTTGCATATCGCCCCCGAGAAACACCTCTTTTGAAACAGGTCCGAGTTATGCGATCGAAGTACAATGTTCCCTGGGTCACAGTGGATGGGCTGGAAATGCTTCTGACACAAGCAATATACCAATTTGAGTTGATGACGGGGAGAAAGGCACCTCGAGGTGTGATGAAGAGTCAAATACATGATCACTATGACACCCTTTTGTGATTCTAAATGGCTGGACGGAAGCACTGATGCATAATACTATGTTCCTTTTCCTCCTCTTTTTTTCGTTTTCCTGGTTTCGGTAGGCCCTGGATCGCTATGTACAGGTTCCGCTTGGACGCACGGTAATCTTCGTGGGCTTCATTCATATCAATGTCTCCCCATGCCAAATCTGGCAGTGCTAGCGAAGGGCTAGGCGCATTTCGGCATTTGCGACGCTTGATGGTAGATCCTGAATATGCTTTCCTGTCCATAGTGCAGCCTGCTCAATAGCCTGGTGCTCCATGACATCTAAGCCATCGATGATACGCCAGCCCGAGCTCTTCGCTGCGGTGGCCAGCCAGGTCATAGGCGTTGGGTCATAACACATTTCCAAAAAGAGCGGAGGAGAGGGGCTCTCTTGGCTCCTCTGTATCAAGGCCGTGGTCATATCGCGGGCGGCTTGCTCGGGGGCAGTTTTAGGGGCAAGGTCCGGCACCGCGCTGACAGCAACAGTGGGAGGACTCGGGATGGATAGCGCCATTTCTATCGTCTCAACGAAGTAGATGTCTTGGCTCAGCCCTTCCTGCTTCATGGCTCTGATAGCTGCCTTGGCCTCCGCGGGATCGCGATTGACCAAATACACGACTTTGAACCCTAGACCTTCCGTGAGGGCATAGATGGCCGATCTGCAGGTAGCGCCACCGCCAATAACCAGTGCTGCTTCATTGGAGAAACGACTTCGAAAGTCGGGGTCTGCGTTGAGCAGCGCCCGTTGAATTCCGATCCAATCTGTGTTTGTGCCGATGTACGTCCGTGTCTGTTCGCTCTCCGGGCCGGATGGACGCACGTAGATTGTGTTGATGCATCCAATCTTGCGCGCATCCGGCGTCAGAATGTCGACTTGTTCCATTGCTCGTATTTTATTGGGCATTGTGACTGCAGCTCCAATGAAATCTTCACGATGCATAAGCCAGGCCAAATCATCCGGGTCCTTTGAGTCAAGTCGTATATAGCGCCATGGTAGGCCTAGGTTGCGAAAGATGGCATTGTGAAAGACAGGAGAGACCGAGTGCGCAATAGGCTGTCCAAAGAGATAAACAGTTCGTTGGTGGGAAACCTGGTATATTGTTGGTCTTTCGTAACCAGGACGGCGCAAGGCAGTCATCATCAGTGTTGCGTGTCTGGGCTTGTTCTTCGGTATGTGACTTGGAAGTTCTCAGGGGGGTGCTAATAGAGACATCCGAAGCCTTCCCGTGAAGTTGCGGAGGGCTTTCACATTGACCGAGACGGAAATGAATATTCCCAGCCAACCGTCGTTGAGTGCCCCACATCTATGGCCTTTCAAGCGGCATATACTCCATTCACATCTCCCCCGAACAAATCTATGTACTAGTACACGGCGCTTATGGTTCATTGTACATTGATAGTATTCATTTGGCTGGATTTATCACATTGTCACCAAATTACGGACTTACTCTTTGTTCCCTGGTAAGAGACGCTTGAATTCGCACGAAAGTACTCAGATCGTTCAACATATGAGACGTGTGTCCGAGCCTTGTATAGGGCCCATCAGCAGGGCCTCCACAATTTCTCCTTTGATTCCCACCCCCCGCCCTGCACGGAGAATGATTAGAGCATTGGCTTTATGCGCACTGTTTGCGAGGAATCCCCGTGCACCCGAAGGCGCATGAGTAACGCTGGTTGCGTACAGTCTGGCATCGGAACGAGAACCAGTCACCATTCCAAAATGGTAGTCAGTGTAAGTACCATCGAGGGGGAAGTAGTGTGTCAAAACGACGGCCACTCGAGGTAAACCCAGCTGTGGTGCAATCCAGGGGACCTTTGCGACGGCGTGAGGTTCCTTGCCCTCCCCACTAAGTTTGTGCAGCGCCGGGAGAACGAACAGATTAAGAGAGACGAGCGCCGATCTTGAGTCACTCGGAACAGAAAATATCAGCGTGGGATTTCGTATCTGCGAGTGAGCTTCCGCAGAAAACGAAGATACTGTCGCGAAACCTGTGCTGTCCCCGGACTTGATGGAAACTCCTTGGAAATGAAAAGCACCTCCAGATAGGCTCCCGATGGTCGATCGTAAAGTTGGACCACTGGAAGATGGGTTATCGATGACAACTATCACATCTGTGCTGGTGCGCATATCAAGTTCAACCTCCCCATCAACCAGGGTGTGAGTGATCCCGAGATCCACGGCTTCAAAGCCCCAGGAAGACAGAAAAGATGAACACGCGATGATGTTCGCTTCCTGATGTTGTCCGTGGGGATTCACATCTCCATCACCCAAGGTAATTATTCCAACACGCGGCTTATCAAATACCTTGACAGTTTGAATCCGTGCCATGGCAAGCGAGCCCAGCGCTCCGCTTGCAGCTGAGATTCGGTCTCCTCGGGCAAGTAGCCGAGAGCCAAATTCGATGTCGCTTCCAGGCTCGCGCACGTTTTTGCCCACAGTGAGATGATCCATCAAGATCCCAACATGTTCTTTCCCATTTTCGTCAGGCCTCGTGTCTTCCGTTGTTGCTACCGCATTGGCGTTGATTGGAAGGGGGTCTCCTGCAGCTACCCTCATCACTGTACCTGGATGCAGGGGCATGGGGGTCCCATGAAAGCCGCTTGCAATAGATGCTATCGAGCAAACACAATCTCGTGGCTGGTCTTCTCTGAGCACGATTGCATAGCCATCCACATCGCTCGAGCGACATGCTGGGACCATGCCGGTCGCATACACATCCTCAGCAATGACCGAGTCAATTATGGACGTAGCTACTTTTGCGTGAGACGCAATGGGCTCAGGGGTGTGGCTCAGTATGATCCGGAGTGCTTCTTGGACGGAAAGCTTGGGGTCCGACGAAGATCGATATTTTGTATCGGCAATCCGATTTCCATGGGGACGATTTCGTACATGGTCAGGAGAATGAGGATTTCTTAGAGGTTGAGGTCGAGTTCGAAAGTACCGAGGGGCCGCGACACGGGCCGTTTCTACCGGTTTCTTGGTTTGATCAAAGTCCAAAGAAATCAACATGATGTTGATACTGTTGATCTTTCACGCGGCGTGGCTATCTGGAAGACAAAGGAATAGTGCGTGTATTTGTCTCGATGGGCGAGATATCGACTCGTGCGTGGTGCAGGACGGGTGATGAGCTCACTATAAACCTCCCATCCCGGCATTGCCTTGGTAAATTGATTCCAAATTCCACCCTCTGTTGTGGATCCTCCATTGTTGAAAGATGGTGTAGATTTCAGGAATCACCGATCTGACGGACACCTAAGCGAGGTACGTGGCCACGAAGCGAGTCAGGGGCAACGCGGCAATTTTCCCAGGGCGGAACCTGGCAGACACAACACAGATCATCTCATTCCAATATTGTGCAAGGAACGCTGGGGATCGTTGGACATGGTTTCCGACCGCAGCTTCTCACGATTCCTGGTGACTCCCAGGGGCCTCAGATAATGACTCAACACTGCTTTCATTGGAATGATGAGACGCAGGAGAGTCAACTCCATCGAAGGGGACTGCCTCAGATCCCCAATGCCGGGCGGAGTGCTCGGCAGAAGGCGGGGAAGTGGAGATGGAGTGCTGAGGCGAGCTTGTCAACCTTCCGGCCCTCGAGACGAACCCCATCCCACCATGGACGGTCCCAATTCAAAGCGCCCTCGGCGACGCATCAGACCCTCCCGCGCGCGGGGATTGAGAACCAAGACAGGGTGGTATGTGATACTCTGAGACCCATGCGAGGCTCCCTGACACTAACGGACGAATGACAGCTTGACTTGTAGGGGGCGGCGGGTGAAGTGCGATGACCGCACGCCGATTTGTCTGCGCTGCTCCAAATCAGACCGAATATGTCGTTATGCTCCGAGTTCTGGACAGAATGCTGCTCAAGGCATTGACCAAGAACCACCAGGCAGACACGGGGCCAATTGTGTAGTACAACCTGACTCCGACGAGAGGCGCGAGGATACCGGCGCCAACCCACAGGGCCTCAGTGATCTCATACTTTCCCAAGCTTCAACCTCGAGTTTGCAGGTCTCACAGTCAAGCGTTTGTACGCCACCTTGCTTGCACGTCACTTGTGTGGCTTCCTCAACAGATGCGCCGGCACAGTCAAATTTCCCTATCGAGACTTCATCGGGTGAAGGTCCAAACAGTGCGAATCAGCAAAATACCTCCAGTCTGGAGGCGGCCTTCTCCACATCTCCCCTTTCCCACTCTCAGGCATCGCTTCTCGATATATCCCCCTTGGAATGGTATGATCTGCTCGCTCGTGATGCCATTAGCCATATCCAGGAACTGGGAGAGACTTCTGGTCGTGATCCCAGGTGGAAGTTTTCGGAAAGCACCCTGTCCCGGCGACAGTCACCGGTTCCTGTGCGATCGGACGCTGGGCTCGCAGAGATCCGAAGACATGGCGGGCAGCGGCAACGCTCTCCTGGAGCCCAAGATCAAGCTCAATCACCCTTACTGGATCATCATCGGCTATCTCAAATCTGGAACACAGCAACCCAAATAGAATTATCCCCGGTCGACCTCACATTTTTCCGATATTACATTGAGGTGGTTGGGCCTATTCTGGACTTGTTTGATCCCCGCCGCCATTTCAGCAACGTTGTGCCCCACCTCGCACTCTGGAATATCGGGCTGTTGAAGTCTATTCTCGCAGTTGGGGCGAAGCATATGTCCCTTGATTCATCGCAAACGGACGATGGCAACACTCCACATTGTCACACTGAACCAAATGAGTCAAGTTCTGTTTCATCATTCCCGGAGACTGCACCAAAGTCCATGGCGACGCAGTATTACTACGAGACTCTTCAATATCTTTCTCAAACCCTCCTCTATCCCGCTTATTCTGAATCTCATGAGATACTAGCGACAGCAACCATGATCAGCACATATGAGATGTTTGACGCTGACAGTGCCCTGAATAGTAGCGTTTGGGAACAGCATCTTCGAGGGTCATTTTGGATTCAACGGTCCCAGGATAATGACGGTGAGTCAGCCGATGGACTAAGACAAGCTGTTTGGTGGGCTTGGCTTAGACAGGATATATGGGCGGCATTCCAAGCTGGACGCCCCACAATCACGTTCTGGCGGGCTCGCAAACCCCTGGAGGCGCTTACTTCAGATGAGCTAGCCACCAGAATCGTATATATATGCGGCCAGTGCGTGAAATATGCATCCGGCGGGACACCACAAGGACAAGACCCAATGGAACGGATTGAACAGGGTGATCGGCTTCTTCGCACACTCGATGATTGGCATGGGGTGCTTCCTGCTTCATACCAGCCAGTTACGGTCACGCGCGGCCCAGGGTCAGACACGAAAGTCTCGTCGATCTGGATTCATCCTCCAAGCCATGCAGCCGCAATGCAGATGTACCATTTTGCCAGGGCAATCGTTTTACTCAATCAACCCACAGTGGGTGGCTTGAATGCCTACATGCACCGCGAGAAAGAGCTGACAAAAAGCGTGGAAACGGTTTGCGGCATCGCCAGTTCCTGTCACGAGTCCGAGCCCGCAAAGGCCTTTGTTAATGTGCAAGCTTTGTTTGGAGGTAATTTTCAGCACATCTACCCTCCGAGTTTTACTGATCCAGCCCAAGTTGGTCAATTTGTCAGGTCGTCCGAAATGCGTGAAGACCTTCTCCGGCTTTTACGCAAGATGCTAAAAATCAGCAAATTCCCATCCAAAGCGGTTCTTTCTCGGCTAGAAAGGGTCTGGCAGGAATGAAAGTACCTGGTGCTATACAACGCCGCATCACCTAAGGATCAAGCTAGCCAACGGAAATAGTTGGAATGCAGCCCTAGAACAGATAACACCACCCCTGGGGTGATGGGGAAGAGGAGTTTCTCATATGTGTCCATGATTCCAACGTTTCTATTCACCTAGCCGAATGTTGATTGTTCACAACGTGCCCGGGAGGAAGCATTTTTACATCCATGATCATTCTAGCGGTCGAGGGCTCCGGGAGTGCATCTACTAGCCCTTACAGCAGATTTTGACAACATTCAAGGCATGGTCTGAGAACCAGCTAGGTCATTTTAAGCTTGCGTTGCAGGATTGGAAATATTCATAAGTTTCTAATACCGAGGTCATCCCGAGGTCGACGATATATACTGGGAACCTTGGAAGTACCAACGCCAGCGTATTTATCTGTCCACAGTATCTAGATCCACCTGGCATCAGACAGGAATCTATCTTGCGTCAAATTCACTCCAAACCCCCCTGCAGTATACCGATTGAATGCGCGGCCGTGCAGCTCCACCTAGATACTAGGTAAGCCCCTCTACCACGCACCGACGATACCGGCGACCGGGATATCAATTCCACTTGTGTATGAAGCGCCGTCGGAAAGCAAGTAAACATATGCGCCTCCAAGTTCCTTGGGATCGGCCAGTCGCGGCATCCCACCGTAATACTGCATTTTGAGATCCCAGTCTGGCGCTTGATCAACAAAGTAGGTCATGGCCGTTTTGATAAACCCCGGGGAGATGGAATTCACACGAATACCATGCTTTGCCCACTCCATGGCCATCGTATGAGTCATATTTCGAACTGCAGCCTTGGTAGCTCCATATGGAGCGGAGGGTGCGGCGCGGTTGGGGCGATAGGATGTCATGGAAGCCGTGAAGACGATGGATCCTTTGATTCCGAGATCAATGAATCGGCGCGCAACTGTAGTGGCGCAGAAATACGCGCCAAACACGTTGAGATTGAACAACTGATCCAGTTGGGCACGCGTAAAGTCCAGGGCTGGTTGGTGCTTGGTCATTCCAGCATTGGCAATGAAGCCGTGTATCACGCCGGACGCCGCGATCACCGCATCGATTGCAGAGTTGACGCTGTCCTCGGAAGTCACATCGCAATGGATATAGTGCAACTTCTTAGGGTGAACCTTTTGCAGTGCAGCGAATTCGGGCCCCGGTTCGAAGACGTCTAGACTGAATATGTTGGTTGCATCGTTTGCTAAACAGACCTCTGCAAGAGCGAGTCCTATTCCCCTGTTGGCACCGGTTATTGCGATGACCTTGCCTTCGAGTGTGATTTTCCAATTGTGATTGGACTCCGGCTGTGTGTTCAGAAAGGGTGTCTCTGTGCTTGAGTGGTCCGCTTCATTCGTGGCGCTGTTGTCTCGGCCATTCTGGCCGACTGTATCGAGCATGACTGGAGGCATGGTACAGTGAATGTTTGAAAGTTGAGATGGATTGTCGGGGTCGAGCGCGGGAAGACTTTAATAGTCGCCTTTGTCTGGTACATTGAATATGATGACCGTCAATCGAGTGATGGGGCATCAAGCGAAGCCTCCAAGCCCCGCCGTTTTATCCGAGGGTGATACATACCCCGCTAGGTGAAGGGCTTTCAATGGTGCTGACTCCCTGCATCTGGCTCCTGGTTCCCAGCGTGGTCGATCGGTCCTCGCATCGAGTCCTGGTCCGTCTTGGCGAAACGCCAAGCGAGTCAGCCCCGGAGATCAGACCCTCTCAAAAGCTGTTATTGTTTCTTCTCTCTGTCTGATTTTGTTGTTAAATAAAATGAATCAATGTGCGAGGATCTGTTTCCCCATCTTCGCACCAGAGCTCGCAAGTTTTGATACCAAGGTACGAAATTGTGTGGACGAAAACTATATCTCAGCACCCATGCTGATAAATATCTACTAGGTACCTAGTATTCAGTACTAAAAGCCCATCTATGAGGGAATGTGTAATTACTACTCTAAACTAGCGAGGGCACGGTGCTCGAAATACTGCCAGGACTCGTGCCTGACACCAGCCCTGGGGAGCACTTGGAACGTCCAGCATCCAGATTTCCCGGGTGGTAATATTCTCATTGCGCGATGTATACGAGGAATTCGAAGATGATGCTGCCTTGACTCCTATAATACTACAACCATGCTCTCGTGCCTAGGTATGACGAAACCTTGCAATATAGGGTAGGGGACAGTTGTGATTTCAAATGGGCAAATCGGAGCAGCATTACTGCACAACACCACCCTTGGAACGTCTATAGAGACGAAATTGTAAGAAAAGAAACACCGTCACGCCGACTGCAAGCATTGCAGATATAACAGAAAATCCCATAATATACTTCGGGCCATCCTTCTCGGGGAATAGGTACTGAAGTCCGTCAGATAAGTGGCGCAGGTGCCAAACAAACGGGGAATACATACTGATCCGTAAATCTGCGCGAGGTTACCCAAAGCATTGACCATAGCCAAGGAGACACCACGGGCCTGTGGATGCATACCAGCAAACGCAGAGGACGCGTAGGCCAATGTACCTCCGTTGGTGGACCAAAGGCCCGCCGCTATGAGCACAAGAAGCGCATATCGAGCTGCGAAGTTATAAATCGTGCAAACCAGAATTGCACAGATGAGCGAAAACAACAGCCAGCCAGCGATGATTATACCACGCCATGAAGGTACTTTGTCTCCGTAGTAAGATGTGACTCCGGTGGCAACGAAAGCGACTGCGTAGATTGGAACAGTCAATAGATTTATCCTTTTGGTAGAAGCGTCTCCAAAAAGTCCTCCTACGAGAGTAGGATAAAAATATGTCAACGTGCTTGAGCCAACAATGACCTAGGTACGTTAGTGCGTATCCCAAAACAAATCGAGGCAGAAATAAAATGATGAAGAGTGAAGCATCAAGGGACAAGCTCCACGTTCAGCAAAAGAACAGGAATTATCATTGAGAGGTGGGTATGCAAGGGGCAGTATTGACATACCATGTAGCCTATCACGAAAGCCCAGGTCCGGTAGTCTTGGCAGGCTACCTTGCAAGCACCCAAGTTGCTCAACCTTTCTGTGGCTTCGGAAGATGCGATGACATTCTCTTTAGCCAAGCGTGCAACTGCTATCTTCCTCTCGCGATCAGACAGTCTTTTCGTTGTTGCTGGAAAGTCTGGAAGAATGAAGATCGAAATGATTGCGAAGCCGACAGTGATAGCACCCTCGATGATGAACAACCACCGCCAACCGCGGATGCCACAGGCCCCTTCAAGGCCATCGACGATCCCAGCGGCAATAAGACCCCCGAATGCACCGGATAAAACAGCTGCTGAGATGAATACGCCAAACCTCTTGGATTGTTCAGTTTGTTTGTACCACGATGAAATGAGAAGCAAAACACCCGGGGCGAAGCCGGCCTCAATGCATCCAAGGATTGTTCTCAGAATCACCAGGTGGGCGAATGATTTGACAACAGCCATAACACACGTCAGGGCGCCCCAAAGGATCATGATTGAAGGGAGGAAAATCGAGGGCCGTGATCGACCCAGCACGAGGCTGAGGAGAGAAAATATATTAACGCAAGTCCAATGTGGTTGACAACGGGGTGAATTTACTCACTTGCTTGGGACCTCCAATACCACGTATCCAACAAAGAATACCACCAACGCAATGGAATATTGGTTGGATGTCAGGTTGAGATCGACTTCCATCCCAGAGATCTTTGCATTGCCGATACTGTTCACAAAGGGTCAGCTATCGACCGAAGACTATCCACCATAGCGTTGGTAGGAGCACACTCACTTGGTCCGATCTAGATACGATAACAAGTACATGATCCAGATGGTAGGTAACAGGGTGAGATCGACCTTTTTCACCAATGCTTTCTCCTCCTCCGGAGTGAATAAAAACTCATCAGTCGCGTTCACATTCTCAATTTGATTCGAAGATATCTCTTTCGCTTGACTTTCCGTGTCGACTGGGTCCATGATGGCTTGTGTAGCTGAACAGTGGAATGTGGTGATAAAACATTGGCGGCACAAGGGGGTTTATGTCTCACCAGGCTATCCCCGACTTTGTATGGCTCATCGGCTCTCTCGGGTTGAATGTTTCGACAGTCATTCGGGCTTTGACCTGTTTCCCTGACATCTCAACCAACAGAAGCGCTCTGAACAACATCTCAACCCCGACGATCCCGCACGCCACATGCCGCTCTCCCCGCATTCTCGGCAGCTTGACGCTTGGAGCTTACTGTCTTCGCATCGAGCCCTCCCTACTAGCCGCGGGTCAGCACAGATCATGGCGAAGGAGTTTTGGGCCAGGAACTGGAAGCAACGGCGATAGTCCGCGTGGGGTGCAGGATATGACAGAGGCAAACGCGGGGTTAGCGATGGTGGATACGGGCATGAAGCAGTTCAATGCCGAAGCTACACTATATCAATGGATAACGACGGGGGTGTGACGAACATCCAAGTGTTGTGGAGAGATCGTTGCACTGATGGAATCATTGAAGTTACGGGTGGGGGTTACTTGGGGGTTTCACCTGACCTTCTGCCTCCCTCCCTCTCTCTCACGCTGTTTGCGTACTCAGTATTCTGGTGATGGTTGGCTTGCGCTCACACATCCTTAGGTTACGAGTGAAATGCTTCACCCCGACAAAACGCTTCAATTGCTATGACTTATTTCTGCAAATGACTGATGCTTCGGAGCTAATATTCCTGTATGGTCTTGAGTCGCCACCAGGCCGTTCTGAGCTCGCCTTTGGCATATGTCTAGCCCAGCGCATCGCGTTTAAATTGCAGCACCAAGCCTATGAGAAGGACAAGTTGATCGGTGGGTCCCTTGTCTCAATCCATCTTCTTTGTACCCAGAGGATGCTGTCGCCAGGAATGGTGGCTCGCATCGAGGGTCACAGCGGATGAGAATGGCCTGACTTGCGGATCTCCCGGGCCCACATCTGTCGACTGCTGTGCCCAGTCTCATCGTCAGACAGTCGAAGCCGGGGCCCTCCAAGGACTGCGTTATCGAACATCATGCTACAGTGGTTTGTAACGCAGACTTCTGGGCATGTTTGGCGAGCCAATGGGTCTCGTTTGAAGTGCCAAGTGAGACACAGCTTACCACCAGGAATTCTTGGCAAACTATTATGGACGGACTCGGAAATCGGGTAAAGCACCAGGTCACCTTTTTGGATTGTTCATGAAAAGGTCGACTCAAGCCAAGATGTATTGATGATGTTTTTTCGTCTCGGGGTGATTGTGGCTTGAACTTCAGAGAGGCAAGCAGGCTGATATTCGTTCTCAGCACCCGGCCTCCATGGAGCCTGTGAGACCAATCAAGTGTCTGACCGGTCATTTCCAATATGGATATCATCAGTGAACCGTCGATGCGAGCACCATGGATCCCGAATCGAGGACATATCCCAATTATCACGTCACAAAGCTTCTTTCCAACGCCGTATACCCGAGTTCCAACCCTCAAACCGTGAAGGGATCGTTTGGTCAGTCATACTCAGGTCCAGACGGCTTCGTCTCGACCCCAAGCGGACCTTAACAAGCTAAACTTCAAACTACAGCCATATAGTGATTTTGCAGGATGGACGGATGATGAATGTCTTCAGTATAAGAACAGTCCGAGACCTCGGAACTGTCTGCTTGAAACCTCAATCCTGTCACCATCCAACCTGAAGCTAGCATTATCATGGCACCTGCTTTAGAACTCCTTGAGAAGCCCGTTCAGAGTCTACGGACGAAAGCGCTCCCATCAGCCCGCAATGAGCCGGCTCTTGGGCTCGATTTGAAGTCAGAGAGCACAGAGAGACACCAACGAGTGATGAGTGTCTTCCGAGCTTTCATCGCTGATCTGTGTCAACAGTTCGGTGAGGGCCATGCTGGGTAAGTGGCCAATTGAACACTTTTATGTCCCACTGGACTGGGCTAATAGCATCTAAAAGATCCCCATTGGGAATGGCTGCCATCGGTGTTGCTTTGTATAAGTATGTCATGCGGTATTCTCCCGGTAACTGCAACTATTTCAACCGCGACCGCTTTGTTCTTTCGAACGGTACGTCAGCCGGAATCCCTCCTGTGAGGCAGCTTTGCTAAACTCGAAACCTCAAAGGCCATGCCTGTCTTTGGCAGTATACTTTTATGCACCTTGTGGGTGTTGAGAGTATGACACTCGACCAGCTTAAATCCTATCATTCCGCAAAGCTTGACTCACTCTGCCCTGGTCATCCCGAGATCGAAAATGAGGGCGTTGAGGTCACAACTGGGCCCCTTGGTCAGGGACTTGCTAATGCTGTTGGCCTTGCGATGGCCAGCAAGAACCTAGCAGCCACATACAACAGACCGGGCCATGAAGTCGTGGACAACATGACGTGGTGTATGGTCGGTGACGCCTGTCTCCAAGAAGGCGTTGGCCTCGAGTCTCTTTCACTGGCTGGCCATTGGAGGCTGAACAACCTTTGTGTGATTTTTGATAACAACTCCGTGACCTGTGACGGAACGGCAGATGTTGCCAATACCGAGGATATCAACATGAAGATGCGAGCGACCGGGTTCAATGTGGTAGATGTTTACAATGGAGATACTGATGTTGCCGGCAAGTTGAAAATAACTTCCCCTTCAGCTGAGCATTTCGCTGACGCTTGATAGCTGTTACCGCTGCTTTGATTGCGGCGCGATCAAGTGACAAGCCCACGTTCCTCAACATTCGCACTGTCATTGGGTTTGGGGCCTACAACGCGGGTACCGCAGACGTCCATGGAGCCGCCCTCGGAGTCGGCGAAGTAGCCAACCTTAAGAGGTCGTTTGGCCTCGACCCCAACGACCATTTCCACATTCCGCAGGATGTCTATGATTTCTTCAGTGAAATACCTAGTCGAGGTCGATCTGAAGAAATAGATTGGCAGAAAGCCGTGGCACGATACAGGAAGGAATACCCAGACCTAGGGGCTGAGTTCGCGCTCCGCGTTGCAGGAAAAATGGTCCAAGACTGGAGCAAGTATATTCCTGGCAAGGAACAGCAGCCCAGCGCAGTGACCGCATCCAGAAAGTCCGCGGGAGTAATAACGAATGCCCTTGCCGAGAACATCAATTCATTCTTGGTCGGCACCGCTGATCTTACTCCCTCGTGCAATGTTGCCTTCAACAACAAGGTCGACTTCCAATCCGTGAGTATACCCCCACTCCTTCTTTGCTCATGGGTTATGCTCTTACACTTTCGTTCTATGCATATAGCCCGATCTTCAAACTGCATGCGGTCTTGACGGGAACTATAGTGGTCGATATATTCACTATGGTATTCGTGAGCATGCAATGTGCGCAATCACCAACGGGCTTTCGGCCTTCAACAAAGGAACGTTCATTCCCATGACCAGCACATATTTCGTATTTCACCTTTATGCCGCGGCTGCTGTGCGTATGGCCGCCCTGCAAGGTCTCCAGCAAATTCATATCGCCACCCACGACAGCATTGGTGTTGGTGAGAATGGGCCTACGCACCAGCCAATTGCTGTTGCAGCCCTGTACCGCGCCATGCCCAACATCCTTTATATACGTCCATGCGACGCCGAAGAAGTGGCCGGGGCATATATCTCCGCTATCGAAGCGACCGAGACGCCTACCGTCATCTCACTCTCCCGCCAGGGACTGGTTCAATATCCCGAATATTCTTCTCGCGAGGGTGCGATGAAAGGTGGATATGTATTTGCAGAGAATGAGGGGGGTGGGTTCGATGTTACATTGATTGGGGTCGGCTCTGAGATGGTCTTCGCGATGAAAACCCGAGAGTTCCTCCAGGCAGAATATGGCATTCGGGCGCGCGTTCTCTCCTTCCCTTGCACTCGACTGTTTGAACAACAGTCTCGGGAGTACAAGTTGGAGGTTTTGAAGCCGCGCGCTGAAAAGCCTACTGTCGTGATTGAGGCATACCCCTCAAACGGATGGGAGCGCTATGCGCATGCATCGGTCGCTGTTAACAGCTTTGGAAAGAGTCTGCCTTCCAAGGATACTTATGATTACTTTGGCTTTGCTCCAGAGAGAATCGCCCCCAAAGTGAAAGATTTGGTGGAGGAAGTTAGGCGAGATGGCATTGGAATTCTCAGGGGCGATTTCAGGGAATTCAATGGGCCCCTACGGATCGGTCTCAGTCATTAACTGTATACATGAATTGATGCCTCAGTCGCCAAGTATGACCCCCAAACTTACATGTAGCCTCAGAAGAGGAGCCTGGAGGTGCTTGCAAGGTTTTCTTTTTTTTTTTTTTTTTTTTTTTTTTTTTTTTTTTCATCGGTAGGCTGTAAGCCCGGTACTGGGTTGGGCTTTGGGCCCGGCCCTCGGGCCCACTGGGCTCTTCTGGGGGGCCATTGGGCCCCAAATATTATAAACATGCCCAGATTCGGCCTTTGCATAGATAATGCAGATCCCGAGTCTTGTATCTTTGAGTATTGATATACTATGCTTTGAAGCGAACAATCTTAAAGTATTGCAAGGTTGGCTCTAGTAATAGCTGACATTGTCAATTCCTTCGCTCGATATCGTGGAACCACAACCCTGCGTCACTCGAGAGGTCTGTATGATCCACCTCACAGGTGGGATCGCTTTTGAGCCCATTCATCGAGGTTTCCATACACATGGAGCCAAAGAGAAGTGTGGTCAAGGTCCTATTCATGAGACTTGTCAACCTGTTGAAAATGCAACGAAAATCGATAAATACTTACATGAGTGCGAGGATCAGCATCAACCTCTCGAAAGGCCGCGATGGCAGCTTCGCCCGCACTGGGATTAATGCCAACTTTTTTCGCGGCGTTGATGCCAATCGTGAGGTCCTTCACACTCAACGCAGGGGCAAAGGCTCGCTTGTAATTGTTGCTCGAAGGAGCCTCGGGCACTAGGCCAGGAACTGGTTGCTCCAGACCCATCACCCAGGAATTCGCAGTACCTTCTCTGATGCACTTGAACAGGGCTTTCTTGTCAATTCCGTACTTCAGTCCAATCGCCATTCCTTCTGTAGCAACCAGATTGTTTGCCAGAGTGATATAGTTGTGTGCAATCTTAGCCACTTGTCCCATGCCGAGACCACCGCAGAATGCAATCGTGCTCGGAACCCCGACAAGGGACAACGTTTGGAAAATGCGCTTGCCGACTGAATCACCCTCCGTGGGCTCTGGATGACCGACCATAAATGACAATGTCCCTGCATTTGCACCCCACATTCCACCCGATACAGTGGCATCCACGAAGGTGCCTACCCCAGCCTCCATAACGATTTTCCCAATCTCTTGGGTAGATTCGATCTCGATAGTACTGCAGTCAATCAACAGTCGATCCGATCCCTTTAAGGCCGCAATGATCCCTTTCTCGGAATCTAGATAAACCTTGCGTACGTGGGGACCGGCAGGCAAACTCGATAAAACCGTGCCCACTTTAGACGCAAGCTCTTTGGCGGATGAGGTGGGTTGAATCTTGCCATATGAGCCAAATTCCCGGATTAGTTGCTCGATGAGATCTTGTTTGATGTCAAAAACGTAGAGTGTCGTGGTTTGCGGCAACTTTTTGCGTAAATTGCCGGCCATGCCATAACCGATAATTCCAAGGCCTGTCAGTGTCAGCGAAATTGAATCGAAAGAGTTATTTGCAGACGAACCAATCACTCCATAGTCGGTCGACATTTTCAATTCTTTGATATTGGATATTGTGTTTCAGGGGGTTTGAAAGAGACTGTCTCCAAGGTATATACCAATCGGATTCTGCTTTTAACCCAAGATTTTACTTGCCTTGAGGCTTTATGTAGCCTCGATCCAGTCTTCAAATATTGACAAGAGGCGGTACCGGATCCAAAGATGCTGGAATCCGCTCATGTGGACGGGCTCAATTGGAAATATGTTGAAAGACCCAATGTTCGGAGCATCAGAAGTCTGACATCGGGAGCGCAAACGGGTGAGCCACAACAAACATCTTGGCTCGTCAATATCGACTTCTGCTATCTTTCTTCGTCCAATCAATCCACCGTCTTTTCAATCAAATGCCTCATTCTTTGTCCCCGCGCCCTTTGATTTCTCTTCGGCATCCGGCCCGGTTCCAACACCACGGCCCGAAAGCCGTCTCTGTGACTGTGTGTTGATATTTCTCAACTTTCCGCAATGGCCATCCCCCTCGTAAGACTATTCAGTCTTTTCGGATCTTGATCACACTTACCCCGCACGCCATGGGCTTCCAGGCTCGCTTATATGGAGCTCTTCCTACCGTGGATATATTCCAGATGCGTTGATCACTCGGTTCTCATCCATATTTCCAGGCTCAATATCACCTCATCTGGTATAACTAAATCTACTTCCAAGCTTTGAAGGTTCTTTCACGACATCTCAGGCCGAAGCTCGCGCTTGTCTCAAGTGGGCCTCATCTTGAATATCTCTAGATCTCCTTACCAAAATGACTATTGAGTCAGGTAAAAAGAGCACCATACCTCAGCCGGAGGATCCTCCATCGTTCGATCCAGAAGTCGAGAGTGGCACGGTCTCGACAAGCACAGTGGATGGTGGACTTCGGCGTACACTGGGGAATCGACAAATTCAGCTTATAGCTGTCGGAGGATCTATTGGGACTGCTATCTTCATAACTATTGGCACAGCACTAGCCCATTCCGGGCCGGGGAGCTTGATCCTCGCTTTCGTCTGCCAAAATATTATACTGGCATTTGTCAATAACTGCATGGCTGAAATGACCGTCTACATGCCAGTGGATGGAGGTTTCATTCGCCTCGCATCGAAGTGGGTCGACCCGGCTTGGGGGTTCATGGCAGGTTGGAATTTCTTCCTCTACGAAGCCCTGAACATCCCATTTGAAATAACAGCAATTTATTCTATTCTATCGTGGTGGCGTGACGACATTCCGCCAGCGGTCGTGTGTGCGGTTTGCATCTTTGTTTACGGGTATGTGTCGCCATGTCCCCTTCTCACCCTCTCAAGACAAAAAACGCTTTCTTCATTCAAGTCTTGGAGCTAGATGATCAACGGCTAAAACACCATCTCACGCAGTGTTTTGAATTGTCTCGTGGTTCGAATATACGGGGAGTCGGAATTTTGGCTATCGAGCGGAAAGGTCCTTCTGATATTCATCCTTTTTTGCTTCACGTTTGTGACAATGGTAGGGGGGAATCCAGAGGGTGATCGATACGGGTTCCGCCATTGGCGAAATTCTGGTGCTTTTGCCGAATATCTACACCCCGGAAGTCTTGGAAGATTTGAGGGATTCCTTTCCGCCATTTGGTATGCAGCTTTCACCTGCGTCGGACCGGAATATATCTCCATGATCGCAGCGGAGGCTAAACATCCTCGGGTCTACTTGAAGTCCGCTTTCAAGACTGCATACTGGAGATTTGGCGCCTTCTTCATCGGTAGCTCCTTGTGCGTGGGAGTCATCATTGCTCACAATGACCCCGTCTTGGTAGATATTGCGAATGGCGAGTCTACTCGATCTGGAGCAGCGTCATCTCCCTACGTTATTGCCATGGAAAACCTCGGAGTTAACGTCCTACCGCATATTGTCAATGCTCTTTTGATCACCACGGTTTTTTCGGCGGGTAACACTTACGTTTACGCGTCTTCGAGGAGCCTGTACGGACTGAGCCTTGATGGAAAGGCACCCAAATTCCTGCGAAAATGTACCAAACGAGGTGTTCCAATATACTGCATTGCAGTATCAATTTCGTTCTCTCTGTTGTCCTTTCTACAACTCTCTGACAGCTCGTCTAGCGTCCTGACAATGCTCATCAATGTGCTGAGCGGGGCAGCTGTTATCAATTTCATCGTGATGTCGGCCACGTATATCCGATTCTATAAAGCATGCAAATATCAGGGCCTTGATAGGTCCAGCCTCCCTTATAAAGGCTACTTACAGCCCTGGTCGAGTTACATAGCCTTCACCTGGATGGCAGGCATTGCAATTTTCTATGGATATGCCAGTTTCACTCCTTGGAACGTCACTGAATTTTTTACTCATTACACAATGATTCTGTTTGCCTGTCTGACCTTTTCCGGGTGGAAACTTGTTCACAGAACGAGGTTTCTGTCCCCACGAGACATTGACTTACGGTGGGAGGCCCCTGAGATCGCGGCTTACGAGGATGCCGCCGCTATTGATGATCCGCCTATCGGATTTTGGAAAGAGGTACTTGGCTTTCTCGGTCATTTGATTACCCAAGGGCCTCTTCCAGGCTCTCTAGCATGATTTGTGTACTGAATTTAGCAAGAGATTCATACAATGTTTGAGAGATCTCTACCATATACCACACTAGCGTGTAGCCTTGGTGTAATCTTGAACTACGTCTGAATGGAGAGGAAACGTTCAAAATAGCTTTGCTGTAAACCTAGAAATTTCCAAAGTCCCACCAGGTAGAGAACCCATCCGATCCACCAATCATTGGCTCAGAAGGAAGCCCTCTTTGACCATCAGAGCTGACAAGCTCAGAAGAATCCGTCCAAAGCCACGGGGCGTCCAAAAAGAAGCTTTCCATTGGAGGAACGCCACTTGAATGTACAGCTTCCGCTTGAGGCCGCTCCTGTGATATTGAACTTGCTTTATAAGGTGGTAATGTAGCATCGTACCCCACAGAAAGATCGATGGTGATTGCAGGGGGTGTTTCTGTGTCACTTATCTCAATAGTTGGACTCTGTTCCAGGTCTTCAATCGTGCGCGAGACGACCGACCCAGGGGCCTCCGTTCCGATTGGGGAGGGTGCACCCCTTGCGCTAGAAATATCATATGACATAATTGCCCACATTAAGGGCACACTGATTCGTAGCCTGGATGAAGAACGGTCGAGGCCCTCTTCTTCAAAGGCTACTCGACTCAGTCTTTGTAAAAGCCAACCCTTGATTCATCAGTACCATTCAAACACACAAAATGCCAAAAAAAAAGTGATATCATGACCGTTGGATCGTGAACAAGGGACTTACAAGACGTTCAGAAGCATGTGAGACGGTGGAGAATGTTGCCATGAACTTTCGACACTTCTCATAATCTAGCCGGGACTTCTGTTTCAATCGTGGATCTGGAGCACAAGAAAAGTAGATGTGTACTGTCGCTGCGATGGCTGCAGCGTGGGCGAAGAAAGGATCTAGTACTTCGATTCCTTTCTCTTGGATCATATCGATCAAGCGCACAGTCCAGGTGGCGTGTAGTAGTACAAGCTCTGAAGACCTTCTCCAAAAGGTATTCGGAATAGCAAGACTGGGATGGTTCTGCGATGCTGTGATGTACAAGAAAGGATGGTTGATCGTTGTGAGTATTGCGTGCCACGTGAATTGGAGCTTTAGCCAGGGCAACCAATAGTTTTGATGTAGTTGTACTTCCTCCGGCTGGCGTTGGTAGAACTTCAACTTGTCATATCGGTGGCATAAGGGTACCTTATTCTCAATTTGTGTCATATCCGCGAGCACCTTGGCGTAAGTCGAGTCGAGGTGCCAAGGCTCTTTGAGTTGATTCCGGGAACATTCGGAGACGTATTCGCGCACTCTACTCCACGCCCAGCCAAAATGCACAGAAAACATCCAGATGCCGATGTCGGAAGCTGTTGATATTTCTGTAGAATTGCCGGGGAACAGCAATTTGCCGACGTTGGATGTGTAATAAGGGCGCCAAATGTCAGGAAGTCTGCTCAAGATGCCATCCTGGTCGCCGTAAAACTGCTCCAGCGACTGAAGGCTCCAGAAAGACCTCTTCTGACGATCTGATGTGGAGTTTTCGATACTCGACCTTGGGAGTTGGTCTATTTCAAACTCCTGGCAAAGCTGAAAGCCCATGCCAAGGTAGGATTTGCCTAGGCGATCATTGCCATCTTGTGGATATTAGAGCGCTGCGAAAGAGGGGAGCAGGTTCTTCTCACCCATGAAGGCAGAGTATGAAAGCAAACAGAGGCTTTCAATGATTTCGATATCAGCAGTTCCCTCTGAGACACGGATGAAGATTGAGGACTTGGCAAGAGTACCATATCTCGGAAATTGTTGATCGTTCGATAATCGAGAAGTCAATTCCAAGATACTGTAAAGGAGCTCGGTTGGTATGTCAGATGGATTGGCCACGTCTTGAGGGTCAAAGCACCAGATAGGTTGGCGATGAAATCGCTCAAAGTAAAGTTGAATGCCGTGGGCGACAAGAGCTTTGGATATGGCCGATTCGCGGTTACGGGAGATATCCCATTCTTTGCCCTGTGGTGAGTTGCCATGGGCTACGTGATATTCCGGTCCATCAATAGGGGTCACAGATGCCATGCGCTCACTCTCACTGGGCCTGAAGTTTGAGAAGCCCTCGCGTGGTTCTTTGGGGCGTTTTGAATGTAGATCTCCACCTGCGCTGCCCGTAGAGTACTCATCTTTACGGTTGAGGATGAGCTCGACCTTTCTCTCCAGATCGGCCAAACGGTCCTGCTTCTTGATCAGAACGGTATTCAGAGACTGGTCTGGTAAGGGGTTTTGTTCATACTGGTGGATGGGGCTTATCGTAGTGACATGATTGTTTGAGGCGAATGCAAGTTGAACAGGCTGGCTTTTCGGAAGGACACCGCGCCTTTTTCTTCCTGGATACGAGACGCTTAGCATGTCCTGTGTCCGTGATCCAAGACCAGCAACGAACCTGCAATTTCGACAAGCTTGACGCGCGCGCATCCGCTCGCGATTGGGATCCCGGGGCATGAGCCGCAGGTTTCTTGTCAATCAGGTGGAAGACTGACAAGGCTCGATCACCCAGCTTCGCCAAAGCAAAATATCGAACTCAGGCTTTGATTTTGAAACAAGTCTGCTCAGAAAGCCGTTGGATTGAGATATATCGCGAGGGGGGGAGATGCCATGCGGGGTACCTAGGTAGTGGATCCACTCGACGGCCAGGTCTTTCGACCGAGTCTCGAAGGAACATTAAAGGCATTGCTTTCGTTGATGTGAGAAGGAATCCATATGACTCCTGTCAGGCCAAACAATGACCTCGGGATGTATACCTAGGTACCCAGCTTGAAATACTCACCCAATTTCTCTTGAAATTTGATATTTACCACGGCCTTACATGATCACCTTCAAGGTTAGAAGATCTCTCTGTTGTCGCCGAACAGTTCTAGTCCCCCTTTAATTGTTCCAAGTTTAGATAAAGACTCATGGAATCTTTTTCCTTCAAGGTTGGACTTGATTGTGTTGAAATATATCCCTTCGAGCAGCGGGTCCTGTGGACCAATTTGCCTTCCAAGTTGGCGTTGACCTGGTATACATCCATGGATTCTCGATAGGCAAAACTGGAACGACGAGATAATGCAATATTTTTCAAAGATTCATATACCCCGCTCTTACGGCCCTTGATGTTGAAATGCCATCCTGGGTTTACTTAGGGTACGGATGATGGCAACAAGGCCCACTACGTTGTCTCAGCAATCCACAAGCGTGGGAAATCGATAATTCTTGTCAGATTTGGTTCTCCGTGTGGCGACTGTTGCTCAGTCCGTACTTTTCACATTCTGCATCCGGACTTCGGCTGCTAAACGACTTCAGGGCCTAAAATGCCGTCGGGCACGTAGCCGGTCAGGTGACCGGGTATGTGCCTGGCAGTGGACATCCTTGCCCTACCTAAGCTCCGTGACTGACTTCGGGAGCTCAGAGTTGATTGCTTTTGTGGGCGCGAGCTCCGTGCTCGAGGAATAATATTTGAAGAAGTTTCGTTCCACTACCTTTACAGTATCGCCTTTCCTTTTGTTATTCTGATATTGCTCATTTCCTGATAGCCTGGCACCATTCGGACTAGATGGCTACACTTGACTGGCATGCCGAGAGAGGCGATCTCTCAAATTTAGCTCTGCTCGACCGGGCTCCAGAGAGTGAAGGTATCGACCTCCAAGCATTGCGCCTATATCGACTGGGACGCGTTCGTGGGCAGATGGCACAATACGGCATTGACGCCCTCATCCTTTCAGATCCTGTCAACATTCGCTACGCTACCGGCAGTCGGAACATGCAGGTATTCAGCATGCGCAATGCACCATCTCGCTACTTGCTGTTAACTGCCAACCGCTCGATAATGTTCGAGTTTACAGGCTGTGCGCATTTGAGCCAAGGGTATGAGACTATCGACGAAGTACGTGTGGCCAAGACAGCTAGCTTTGTTGCTGCGGGTCCCAACATTGAGGAACGAGAGATCTCTTGGGCCCAGGAAGTAGGGGATCTCACTCGATCCTTGATCGGACATGCCGGAAAACTGGGACTGGAACGACTCAATGCCAACGTGGCTCTCGCCTTGAAGGGCCTTGGGTTCGATATCGTGGACGCTCAGCGGCCCATTGAGATGGCGAGAGCCATCAAATCTGCCGATGAAGTCAAGTGTATTGTTGCATCATTGCGGGCTACAGAACGTGGTGTCAGTGTCTTGCGCGACACCATTCGACCGGGCATCACAGAGAACCAGCTGTGGTCCGTTCTACATCAGTCAGTTATCGCGCAAAATGGGGACTATTGTGAAACACGACTCCTGAGTGCCGGCAATCGCACCAATCCTTGGTTTCAAGAAGCGGCGAGTTATGTCATTGGGGAGAATGAGCTGATCGGCCTCGACACCGATGTCGTCGGGTGTCATGGATATTACTCGGACTTCTCACGCACCTTTCACTCTGGGCCGGACACTCCTACCGAGTCCCAACGAGAGCTCTACAGAATTGCCCACGAACAAGTCGCTCACAATATGAGCATTTTGCGTCCTGGTCTCAGTTTCCGCGAATACGCCGAGCTCGCATGGGATATCCCGGACAAGTACTATGCCAACCGTTATTACCTCTCGGCACACGGGTGCGGGATGACAGGAGAATATCCATACCTGTACCATCGTGGAGACTTCCCCGATGCCGGCTATGATGGTGTCATCGAAAGCGGAATGGTCCTCTGCGTGGAGAGTTATATCGGCGAGGAAGGAGGAGCAGAGGGAGTCAAGCTCGAGCAGCAGGTTTTGGTCACCGAGACAGGTATTGAAATCTTGTCCCAGTTTCCATTCGAGGCCAGTCTACTCCAGTCGTGAGGATTCGAGTGACTAGCTTGGAAGTATGTGCGTCATCCACGGACGCTAGATTCCATTCACAGATCAGGTGTCACCTTTTTCCCAATACTTGGGGAATGTTGGATAAAGCTTAGGGTAACACCTAGGTAGCGTCGCCGAATGGCGAAAATATGTAATGTCGTCGTAATGAGCGTTCGATGGTCTCCGAGGTTGTCCTCCGTTCCAACCTTGGCGAATATGTCATATCCTCACTTCTCACCTCTGCTGCATCTTCACCATTTGAGAACTATCACTTTTCTCTCAGATCACCTTCTTTTCCCGATCTCAGGGTTTTTGAGATTCTCTTTTGTACCTTCCTTTCTCTTCCACTATAAGCTAGCTCGCCATCTTAGCTTCACCAAACTACCATCTTTTCATCCCTACTATCTTACGTTCTTCATCAAACTCACTTCTACTATCTCCCTCATCATTCCATCCTCGAAAGGTTTGATCCGAGCTTCTACCTCTTACCTCATCCCTCTAACAACTCATCATATTGGGATAGGCCACTGTGCCAGGGAAAGAACGAGAGAAGACTCACTTGATTGAACTACTCTGGGGAGAGAAAGAAAGAAACTAGCTGAGGGAGAACTGGAAGCTACACACCGGGGGTCCTGTGTCCTAAGGCATGACTGACGAGACATCACAATCAGCGTACGCCTCCGTGTCGCAAAAATGGCGACCGAAAGGCCGATTGAATCGAAGCAAGTCCCCTTTGAATCATCTTTCTCCCAAGTCAGCTCCCATGCTTTGTAATTTTACTCTGCCTCCAAATCGGCGATTTCCTCACCCTGGCACGGAGCCACTACCATCGACGAGGATGGATTTATGAATTCCGCACATCGTGTCGGTGGACCTCGACTTGTCTCTCTTCCCGCTGTCAACTCACCTTGTCCCGACTCCTGTTTCCCCTGGTCATCCTCGCGCGAAGCCCAGACTGTACTTACTAATCGTGTCCTAGCCGCGATGAAAGAGATGGAACTCAAGTTTAGCAATATGCATATAGTACTGCGAAAACACAAGTCACAGAGTGATTGGGCGACCGCGATTCCAACTGTCCTCCTGGTGATGCCGGTGGGCTCAACTTCGGCCCCAACCCCGGAGGCATGGTACCATGCCGCGTGGAGAATATATAATGACCTCGTTCGGCATGCACTAGAAATGTCCGTCGAGATTATTGAGGAAAGTCTCTCGAAAGGGATCTACTTCTCTGTCGTGTCACCGAAGGAATCCATCGTGCCCAAGTGGACGTTGATTGCTTACTCCATTGGGAAATTGGCCAAGCCAGACTGGAGCGGCGTCGAATGCTGGCGATACGGAACCAACCCAGATCGGGAAGAGAACCCCCTCACAGTCATTGTCAAGGTCGACAAGGCTTCAAAAGACTCGTTCGTGAAGGAGGCAAAGCAGGTTCACCGAGTGTTGGAGACCTTTAAGGAACCGGATGTTGATGTTTTTTTTCAGAAGAGTTACGAGACGACTTTCGTTCGAAACCCACAGCTCCATCCCGATTCGTTGCTTGGAGGGGTTTATCCTGGCGTCAGCATCGGCATTCAAGATAGCTCTGCTGGGTCTTCGACCCTTGGGGGCCTTGTCGAACTCGAAATGAGGCAACCTGACGGAACACTTTCCTCGGAGATATTCGCAATGACATCCTTTCATTGTGTTTGGCCACCTGGGAATCACCGCAATCACCCCAAATTTAACTCCAAAGAGGCACAAACAGGTAACATCAAGCTCTGCGTATGTGACCATAGCCATTCTAACTTTATCAATTGATATTTAGCACTCGCCGCAATGATCCATCATCCTCTGCGGCCCGATGGGGCTCTTACAGCCCAGAATCTCCTCAAAAGGATCCTCCGAATTGAGCATCCCTCCACTCGTGATCTGGAAAATACCATAGAATATGACAAGGACTACATTCAAGACCTTAGAAGGGCTATTACAACATACGAGCAATTGCCTGGAGTCGGAATGACTTCCAACTTGCAAATTCTTCGTGAGAACATCCAACACTATCGAAAAATAATAGATGCTTGTACCAATGCGCTACGGTCAAATCATCTCGGCTACGTTTGGGCCAGCAGCGGCATGTACCGCACGATTACCACGTCAAATGGTCAGCGTTACGCCGTGGATTGGGCGTTGATACGAATAGACTCGCCTAGAATACGTCCCCAGATGACAGGAGGCGAGTTCCATGGAAACAAGGTATGAAGAGGCCCCAGGGACTCCGTTTCCTCGCTAATAATCATCAACGTTCTTGCAGCCGTTCAGCTACTCCGAGCCCTTCCCTTTCCGCTCTCGCTTCGTCCACTTTCCCGGACTAGTAGATCCCTTTTCCGTGCGGAGATACATCAAGAGCGGGCGGTCCACTGGGCTGAGCAGGTTGCTCTTCAACTCGATGCAAGCCGTTACATTTACGGGGGAGTTTAAAGCCCGCCAAGGACGTCAGGTTTGGGAGACACAATTGGAGTTTGCAGGGACCGGGGTGGCAGACCCAGCCTGCGATCCTGGAGACTCCGGGGCGTGGGTTCATAACGCGGGTGGAGTCGTCTTAGGGATGGTTGTCTCAGGCGATCTGACGACTGAGACGATGAGGATTCACCTCCTGGACCACATAGTCGACGACATCTTGGCCGTGACAGGAGCCCATTCGCTGAAACTTGCTTAGTTGTCGGCCAGTAAGGCCTATTTTATTCTGATAAAATCACAGCTTTGACTTTGGCTCGTATATCTTACAAGCAGCTTCCAACTGTGATGTCCATTCCACCGAAACGGTTGACTTATCCTTCGTCGGCAAGTCTGCCCAATTCTCCGCAATACGGACCTCATCCTCGAGCCATTTCCGAAAGACTGGCTGAATCCACTGTAAGATAGCCGAAGCGGTCTTGGAGACCTCTTCGAGTGGTACTTGATGTCCAAAGCCCGGGATGCGAACCGACAGCACCTGTCCCGTCGACGCTCCACCGCTGCCCCCAATGCCCGCGCCAGTTCGCTGCAACAATTCCGCACAAGTCTCTGCTCTCGATATCGGGCTGGTCCCACCAAATACATAAAGCACCGATGGACGCACATGATCAAGAAGCTTCCAGCAAAGGACAGGCTCGCTGCGGTAGAAGGGGGTAGTTCGCGAGGGAGGGCCAATCACATCAGGCTGGAACAGGGGTTCATAAACAGGGTCTGTGGGGGAGATTTGACCAACGGCTTTGTGACCCTCAAAGTTTGGCCGGATGTATTGCACTACTTCCTGGTGCTTGGTGCTGGCTAATGTGACTGACCCGTCATCAAGACTTTGTGTGCTGCTTTGGGGCTGCGGATAGAGGGCTGTGGGAAGACTGCGGTACCCGTAGGAGCACCAACGTTCAAAAACGCGTTTGTCCCATTTCTTATGCGACTTGCGAGCTGCTTGGATGGCTATGGACCTCGAAGGCCAAACATCACGCCGTTTGAGCGACAGCTTGGATAGCAGAGGCCCATACCCGGTGAATGTATCGGGCACGATGACCGGCTCGACCAGCACAAGAGATGTGAATAGACGAGGATGCATCACAGAAAGAAGCACGCTGGACACTGATCAGCAGGAGATATCACCGTCTCATCAGTTGGACTTACAGTTGCCCGGCACCCATGCTATGGCCGACACCAATTATCGGTCGCGGCATTTCAGCGCGAAACTGGTTGGTCATATATAGAAGGTCGCGACTATGGTCGAGCCAGGATGCTTCACACCGTCAGCGTTGAAGCGCAAGAGGGGAATGCAGCATGCATACGATCGTTTCCCAATTGTGCTTCATTCAAAACACCACTTTCACCGAGATTCGCTGCATCTGCAGTCCAGATGGATCCGATTCGAATCCCTGCTTGTTTGCACTTCGCAAGCAGGTCTTCCCATAATGGCTCATACAATTCCTTTTTGTCGGTCAGTTCTCCATCCTGTTCCGGTCGGCACCAAGGACCCTACCTTCGGAAATCCGCCTCCAGGGGCTCCAATGATAGTCAGATCGCCAGGTTGAGGATGGGGGTTGTCGACGGGAACATACTTCTTCACCGCCAGCCTCAAACGCGCATCTTGCGAGGCAGTCGCCCGTGGGTATTCGCGGATATATTGGCCATCAACAATGCGTTCTGACACGGTAAAAGGGAACTGCGCCATAATGCAGTGATTTCTACTTCGTTATGTGGCAACCGAGTTGCTGACCATGAGCTTTTGTTTGCCAGATTCCCCTAATTAATTCGACTTTTTCTATCCTTTTCGTCCTCCGAAACAACCAGAGACGGGATAATTTTCCCAGGGCAGATCGGACAGATTCGGACATCCAATGAATGTCCAATGAAATATCCACAGACACGACGCCCGAAAAACAGCCGGACCCATAACGACGTAGCTGTTCGCTGCGACCCATCTGCTTCCAATAGATCTGGGCTTGGCGTCTGGATTCGATCTCAGTTGATGCAGATCATCTCAATGGACCCAATAAATCCCCGATCTCATGGGCAATCCTTGCAGGATCCGGCAGTCGTCCACATTTATTGACTCCACAAGGAAACTCGGCTATGTGAAGTATCCAATTTTTCCCAAACCATCCCGAAAACTCTTTCACAGCTCCATTTTCCAGTAACAGTAAGCGTACAAGTGGAAATTCTCCATTGCAACAGACTTGGAGCCCTGGGGACCCTGGTTGTCTCTGGTCCTAACTGCCCAGGTGGGTATGAGCGATTGAGAAGATACGGAAGCCCTGGGTGAAGACAGCAAACATCGGTGCCAAGGTGCCCGTGTTGCGCTACCTCTCCACTGTGTTTGAAGGGGCAACTTCACCAGTCAATAGAATCCCATCCCAATCCCTCGGGGCGGGTTGGCTATTTACTTTTCGGCAACCCACAGTCAGGGGCTCGTCCAACGAGAGGCTTTGTGCCCTATACTGTGCAGCACTCACGCTTGGCCTGGTATTCTCAGTAACGGGAAAATTCAACTGAGCTTCACTTCCGTACATCAATAGACATCTACTAGTACAGCTTGTCATTTCAAATTCAATCTGTGCGGAAATGAACATCCGGCACTACTAGGTAATGAGACAGTGGGGCGACGAACCTCAGATCTCAGGATGCAGATCCCCGTGAACCGACCTTCCCAGGTTCCGAGAATATCCTAGGGCAAGATGAAGATCTCATTTTGTTCTCTTGAGTTTATCTGCTACCTAGGTAGGAGCCCTGGATTGTATACCTCAATCCTTTTATCCCCAGTAAATGCACTTGCGATCTCGCCATGTCTTTCCTCGATGTCGACTGTTCTTATGATCAACACTCACAATGGCAACGAGCCCCGTGCATCATCGACCAAGACGTCCATGGGTACTGCCAAGAGCAAGGTTGGGGGCCATCCTCCTTCTTCAGTGCAGTCTGGGCAATTGTTCTTCAAAAATATACTGCATCTCAAGAGGTGACCTTTGCAATTCAAAGTAATGAGATTCACGCGGGAGTGCCAACGATATGCGATATTTCTATTGATCCGCTGATCCCAATCCGCGATTTGATGGGGGCTCCTTTGGCTCTGTCCCCAGTGGCGGGGAGTGCGAGTGTATGCAACACCGGGGTGGCCCTCGACATGCAACAGATTGACAGCACAACCCCCCTCCCACTGCAAATTGTTTTGTGCGCAAGCACTACAGCCTCTGAATCATGGCTCGCTTTCTCGTCAGGTATTGCATTGTCTGTTGCGGAAAACCTCGTTTCAACGGTGGAACAGACAATCAAGGAAATCATGCGGAGCCCCAATCAAACAGTCGGGCATCTGAATCTATTCAGTGAACACAACACTCGTCAGGTTTCTTCATGGAATGGACAGCCCACGCCGAGTAACATGCTCTCATTCGTGGACCTCCTTCGCCAACACGCGTCACAGCGAGCAGATCATGAAGCCATTTGTGCCTGGGACGGCTCACTCACGTACGCCGAGCTAGATATGTTGACCACGCGATTGGCGCACCAACTACGAACGATGGACATTGGTGAGAACGATAAAGTGCTGCTCGCCTTCGAGAAGTCGATGTATGCCGTTGTCGCGTTCCTGTCCATCCTCAAGGCAGGCGCTGCTTTCGTTCCTGTCAGCCCGGCCTATCCAACAGAGCGTATGCAAGCCATCATCGACGCAACTAGCCCTCGTCTTGCCCTTTGCTTGCCGGAAGCCACTCCAGTCTTTGACCAGTTTCAAGTTCCATCTCTGGGCCTCAGCCCATCCACTATCGCACCTCTGTCGGCCGATCAGGGGCCGCTTCCTTCATCTGACCCAGAACGTGTGGCTTACATTCTCTTCACTTCTGGCAGTACAGGTCGTCCGAAGGGTTGTGTCATTCAACACCAGGCACTGGCGACCATGACAGTCCAAGGTCCGGCGTTCCGCATCTACCCCTTCAGTCGAGTCCTCCAGGTTGCTCCAATCGTCTTTGCCGCCTCGTCGGTTGATATGTTTTTACCTCTGCTGACGGGAGGGACTGTCTGCATCGCCTCGAAACATGATCTGATGAATAACCTCACAGCCGTGATGAAACAGTTCCGAGTGACGTGGGCCTGTATGACTCCCTCGGCCATCACCTCGGTAGAACCATCGGAGATATCAGGACTACAAACACTGGGTTTAGTCGGCGAGCCTGTCAGTGACGAGTTGCTCAACAAGTGGGCCTCCTCCGTGGACCTTCTCTCCGGCTATGGACTCTCCGAAATTGTCGGTGCCGGATGTGTTTCTTCTCTCGGGGTAGACATGCACCCTCGAAATATCGGCCATTCGCCCACTGCACACATCTGGCTGGCAGACCCTACCGATATAACTCAACTAGCCCCGGTCGGTGCGATTGGCGAAATATTGATCGAGGGCCCAAACCTCGCTCACGGATATCTTGATGACACACAAAAGACCACCGCTACTTTCATCGAGGCGCCCGCGTGGCTTCAGACTTTCCACCCTGGGCCGGGTCGGCGTGTTCTAAGGACAGGCGATCTTGCTCGATACCACCCTGACGGCTCCATCGTATTTATGGGTCGCAAGGATACGCAAGTCAAGATTCGTGGAAAGCGAGTCGAGCTTGGAGAGGTTGAGAGCGTGATCCGTCTGCACCAAAAGGCCGACAGCACTGTGTTCGTGGAGTCCGCAGCTCCATCAGACGGCGATGACACGCCTCTGTTGGTTGCTTTTATCCACGAGTTTGAATGGCAGCTTGCAGATTCTTCTTCGTTGCTAGGATCTCCCAGTCAAGAATTCATGGGGATGGTGTCTCGTCTTGATCTCCTCATCGGCACTACATTGCCAGACTACATGAAACCGAGCATATACCTGCCACTTAATCATATCCCCAAGACTGCCTCCGGAAAGACAGACCGTCGTGCATTGCGGGTTGAGGTCGCTGGGATGACGAGGGAACAGATCGAAGCCTACTACAGTCTCGGTGGTGAACCAAGCACTCCCCCAGGGACAGATGCTGAGAGATCTATGCATGATTTGTTCTCCCAGATCTTGAAGAGGAGTCAGAATTCTTTCGGAATCCATGATGAATTCCTCCGATTGGGTGGAGATTCCATCAAAGCAATTAGCCTGGTTCAACTTTGTCGAAAGACTGGACTTGGTATCGATGTTGCTCAGATTATGGAGTCTGGAACAGTGGCCCAGCTCTCACAGATTGCCCGTCCTATCCCACGGGATTCACCCACGAACGAGAACCAAGAGTTCGAACTCCCTGTCGCTGCCGTCTCGCAACAATTAAACAACCTCGGCCTCACTACGCAAGAAGTCGAATCTGTGAGCCCGTGTACCTCGATGCAGGAAGGAATCCTGATGAGCCAACTGAAAAGGCCTGACCAGTACGCACTGCGTGTCTTTTACGAAGCCGATATGCCTAAAGGGTCGCCTTCGACAGTGGACGTCCCTCGACTTCAACGTGCATGGCAAGCGCTGGTTCGGAGCCACTGCATGCTGCGGACAATCTTTGTGACAAATGCCACACCCAGTCGATTTGCGGTGCAGGTTCGGCTGAAGAATGGTTCCATTCCACAAATTGAGAAGCTCGACGATGACTTCAGACCGGACGATCTTGTAAACCAGCGCCAGGGCTGTCAGCCCCCAAGCACGCCACCTCAGTTCCGTTTACATGTCACCCCCAGGGGACGGGTAATCATCGAACTGGAGCTGTCCCACGCGGTTGTCGACGGCATGTCGATGTCCATCATAGTTCGGGATTTGTCCACGCTCTATGACAATGCAGAGACTTCTTTGTCTATCTTCGACTTTGACAAGTATGTTCGGCACGAACGGACGACGGGTTCGAGTGCATCGTCGTTGGCCTACTGGAAGCAATATCTAGATTGTGTGGAGCCGAGTGAGTTCCCCACGGCCAGAGATGGCACCTCAGATGTGTCGAAGGGGTCAATCGAGGCTTCGGCGTTCAGGGCTTTGTCAGTTGACGTTGGCCCGGTCGGAAAATATCGCGAGTTCGCCCAGTCAACTGGAACAACCGTGGCAAACGTCGTCAAGCTCGCATGGTCTCTTGTCTTACATATCATGTGTCGCGCAGACGATGTGTGCTTCGGATATTTGAGTACGAGTCGCGACGCACCTGTTGAGGGTATCTTGGGGGGTATTGGTCCTCTCATCAACCTGCTGGTGTTTCGTCACAGGATTGACCAGGAGTCTACAGTGGCGGAAGCGTTGGGTGAGATACAGAAAGACTTCGTGTCAAGCCTACCCCACAAGGGCACCTCTTTGAGCGACATTCGTCGAGCTTCGGGTTTTGGCAGTGGAGAGGCCATGTTCAACACCTGCATCAGTCATTTCCCAGCAGCTGCTTTTGATGTGGCTGCCCAGTTGCCAATTCAACTTCACGAAATTGAGCGACAGGACCCTACCGAGTTCGATATCTCTCTCGAAATCATGGAATCTGAGTCTCAGATCGAATCCACCATCAAAGCATATACCGGTGTAATTCCAGTGGAGCACATCGATCGAGTGGCGGCCCTCTTTGCACACTTGATGAAAACCATTGTCCGCGGCTCAGGCCGCCGAATAGGAGAACTGGAATTTGTTCCTGAGAAAGATCTTGTCACAATTGGAAAATTGAACAGGAGTATCAGCAATCCGCCCGTTGAGAGTTGCGTTCACGATGTCATCTTGCAGCAGTGCCAGAACCAACCCCAGGCACCGGCTGTCTGTGCTTGGGATGGGGACTGGTCCTATGGCGCACTGGATCGTGTCTCGTCTTCGTTGGCAAACCAGCTCAGGTCGCATGGCGTCCAGTTTGAGGACTTTGTTCCAGTTTTGATGGAGAAGAGTCGATGGGTACCAATCGCTCTGCTTGCTATCCTCAAAGCCGGAGGCGCTTTCGTTCTCCTCGATCCGACACAACCGCTTCATAGACTCCAAGATATATGCGTGGATCTAAGCCCCAAAACTATCTTGGTATCTCCAGAATACAGCGACCATGCGGCGCCCCTCGTGGATAACATTGTCATCGTTGGAAATGACTATTCGCCAGATGATAAGACTTGCAGAGAGACGTCCAAGGAGCCAGTTCAACCAAGCAACGCGGCATATGCTGTCTTCACTTCAGGCTCAACGGGGAAGCCGAAAGGAGTGGCCATTACGCATAGATCACTATGCACCAGTGCCGCCGCTATGAGGGAACATTTGCCTATAAACGCTGATACACGAATGTTCCAATACGCCTCGCATGCGTTCGATGTCAGCGTTCTAGACCTCACTGTGTGCTTTATGGCGGGTGGTTGTCTCTGCATTCCCTCCGCCGAAGACAGACAAAATCGTCTAACGGAAAGCTTGAATGACTTTTCCGTCAGTCTCGTCGCTCTCACTCCAACCGTCACTCGGACTATTCACCCAGAGCGCCTGAGAACACTCAAGACATTGAAGGTAAGCGGAGAAGCGCTGTCTTCCTTCGACATTCAGCGATGGAAATCTGCAGCTCCTCATATCCAGATCGTCAACATGTACGGTCCTGCGGAATGTACAATCAACTCGACGGTCCAAGGGCCTATTGCATTTGATTCGTATCCTTCGAATATTGGATATCCGCTATCCAGTGCGACAACCTGGGTGGTCGATCCCAACAACTATCACAGACTGCTTCCGATGGGGGCTGTTGGAGAGCTTGTAGTCCAAGGACCCATTGTCGGACGTGGTTACCTCAACCGCCCAGAGCAGACAGCCGCGTCATTTGTTTCGCCTCCAGGGTGGTTGGCGCAGTTTAAGCCGGTGGGCTCCAGTGACGAGAGGCTTTACAAGACTGGAGATCTAGTTCAGTACGCTGCAGACGGCTCAATGCATTACAAGGGTCGTAAGGATTTCCAGGTCAAGCTCCGCGGGCAGCGACTTGAGCTAGGTGAGGTTGAGGCGCAACTTCGCCGTGCATTCCCGGATGCTTCTGATGTCCTCGCCGAGGTAGTGTCTTTGAATCAGGGAAAAACAGCTGGGTTGGTCGCTTTCGTTCATCAGAGCTCCTGGGATGATGAGTCCCAGCCGAGTGCCTGCGCAGGGCCGGTTCTCGGTGCGTCTGGCCGTGATTTACTGCATGCTCCATGCGCTGTCTTTGAGAAGGCAGTCACCCAAGCGAAAATGACGGTTTCGGCCACTCTTCCAGGCTACATGGAGCCCAGTATATATCTGCCACTTATCCAAATCCCGAGATCTCGAAGTGGTAAGGCTGACCGGGCTCAACTGCGCCAACTGGCCAGTTCTGATTATGAACGTTGGGCTGGTGACTCAAGCGTCGCGGCAGAGGGACAAAGAAAGCCGACGACTGAGATGGAAGTCATTCTTTGCTCTGCTGTCGCCGAGGCCTTGGGTCTAGCCGAGGCCGACATCCATGCAGAGGACCATTTCTTCCGCCGTGGTGGAGATTCGGTCGCTGCGATGATGCTGGTTGGGGGCCTTCGTGAGCGAAATTGCTATCTCACAGTCGCGGATATCTTCGCACACCCTCGACTGGATGTTCTCGCTACCAAGATGCAGCAGGCGCTTCCCTCGAGTGTGGTAGAGGTCCCTCTGCCGTTCTCATTGCTTGGGAAAGAAGTGGGCTCCCATCAAGCAGTCATCGCTCAAACAACGAAGCAGTGCGCCGTTGCGGAAGAAGAAATCGAGGATGTCTACCCCTGCTCACCTCTTCAGCATGCCTTCTTCATGCTCAGCACCACTCGCGAGAAGGGCACCCTGATTGCAAGATTTGCTTATGATCTCCGACCGGGGACAGACCTTGACAGATTGCAAAGAGCATGGCATGATACTACCAAGGCGCACCCGATGTTGCGATCGCGGATCATTCAACTTGATGGCCAGTCCAGCCTTCATCAAGCGGTTCTCAGTCAAGGCGCGAAGATCGAGCTGTTTGACTCCGATGAGCAAGAATATGTTCCTGACCTGGCAATTGAACCGACGCCTGGCAAGCCACTTTTGCGGATTGCTGTGGTGCGCAGATCATCCCCACGACAACATCACCGACTTTTCGTCACTTTGCAGCACTCTCTGTACGATGGGTGGTCTCGAGCAGTATTTATGCAAGAGTTTGAAAGGGCTTATTCTGGCGCTACGCTGCAAGCCTTGCCTGTGTCCTCGTTCATCGGACATCTCCGTCATGCTGATGAGGAAGCAAAGCAATTTTGGGCCTCAGAGCTCAAAGATCTCCGGGGCACGGCTTTCCCGGCCGTTTCCTCGGGATATACGCCTCACCCTAGTGCCACACTTGCTCGAAGCGTCCCTACCGTGGGGATTCCATCGCCCCAGATCACATTATCCTCCAAGGTTCGGTGGGCGTGGGCGCACGCCATCTCGCTCCAAACGAACGACTCCGAAGTCAATATGGCTTTGGGAACCGCCGGGCGAGGCACCCCGGTGGCTGGTATCGAGAGAATGGTCGCACCCACAATGGCCATCTTCCCATATCGAACTCATATCAATCCCAAGCAAAAGGTGATTGACGCCCTTCACGACTCTCAGACCCATTATAGTCAAATCCTCCCTCACGAGCATTACGGTACACCCAACATCAGCCGTGTCGCGACAGGCCCAACTTCCCCAGCCGCGCTGAACACGCTGTTGATCGTCCAGCCCCAAGGTGAACAGCGACCTTCATCACTATATTTCCAAGAGGAAATGCTGCCTCAGATGGGGGCGTTCCATGCGCGCGCGCTGACCGTGCACTGCCACCTTCAAGAGACGTCTGTCGAGAATGTCGCATGCTATGATGAGAAGCTTGTTTCAGAAAGAGACATGCTTCGGGTCCTTGCTAGGTTTGAGTTGATCTTCCAGCAGGTCTGCGAAGAGCCTAGCTTGCTTGTTGGGCAATTGATTGTTCCAGATGATATCTGGTCATTGGCAGGCGAACTTGTCCTTTCTCCATCGTGCAGAACTGCACCGATGAACTCATGATGAAAGACATTGATTTGCACTGGAATGCCCATTCCTGGAAGCCGCAGACTTCACTAGGCACACCCTTCGACGGCATTCCTACCTCGCGACTCATGAAGTGAGGTCAGTTGTCGTCTCGATTTCGCACCATTGGTCTCGATGCATGTTCCCTTGATATCTTGCCCTGTGCTCCGGAAACGGGTCTTAGGATATTTTCGAGAAAGGAAATAGATCAGTCCCCTGACTTGGAGCTCCACAGCTATGTAGAAAGAGTATTCATAGGTTTTCCCCGGCTGCTTTCAAGTTCTTTGGACTCGCAACATGGCCTCGATGATCTCCCGAGGTCGTGCAGCCATAGTCACGTGTAGCACTTTGAAAAGCGGTAAATGACATTCTGCCATCGATCCAGCTCTCCTGTGATGATCAGCTCGACTCTCAAGAAACCAAGGCTCACACAGATTGCCCACTCCAAGGTCCGCAAAGGCTGTCTAACATGCGGATACAGTATATTCCATCCATCTGGCGGCTCATGCACTCACTCTCCCAAGTCACGACATTCCAAATGCGTCAGAGGTCGGCCGGTCGGTGCATTGCGTCGCAGCGGACTGGGATGTGAATCTCGACAACCCCTCAACAGATGAACTCGAGCCTCTCGTGTGGGCAGGGGCTCAATTGTGAGGAATACCGACACTGCGCCCGATACATACGAGCTGAATACTCGCGCCTTGTCCCGCCAAGTGGACTTCACCCTCTAAAATCTTTCGATTTCTTTCGAATATTTCGATCTCTATTGAAATCTTTCTCAAACCATTTGGATTCTTTTGAATTCTCAAAGCCTCAAATCATTTGAATTCTTTCGAATTCCCAAATTCTCCAATTCATTCGAATTCATTCGAATTCTCTCGAATTCTCGAATCCTTTCGAATTCATTCAAATTCATTCAAATTCTCAAATTCTGCAATTCTTTCGTTTCCCAAAACGGAAATAAGGTCGTCTCTGGTAAGGATGGCCTTAATGCGAATTTCCCAGAATTGGGAATTCTCGGCCCCTTTCGATTTGGGGACAGAAATCTTCTTTAAAGAAGCCATGATTCGATAGAATTGCAGAATTTGAGAATTTGATGGAATTTGAATGAATTCGAAAGGATTCGACAATTCGAGAGAATTTGGGAATTCAAAAGAATCCAAATGGTTTGAGAAAGATTTCGAAAAATTGAAAGATTTTTTTGAGGATGAGAGCGATATTACCTGGACCTGTTCCGATACAGCACCTCCTTGACATGCGCCAATCCACCGCAGACCACGACGTTGATCGCAATACCTTCCTGCGCCAGGTCCTCCCCATGCATACCTCGTCACGAGCACATCGGATGTTATGGAGTACTCCGTCCATGTAAGTGAAATTCATGCCCGGCATGACACGGCCTCGACAACATAGACGCATGTTCGTACACCGAGGTCTACCCCAAATTCAATTGCGTCCACGGGATGCATCGCGATATATTTCGCCTATGTCATGAATGCTTCATGGATTTTTCTTTTTCAAGATAGGCTACATTCCTCCATTCCAAGTATGAAGCAGTCCCAACCTTGCAAGGTTCTCGGCGAACTCTCGACCTTCCAAGTTGGAATGCTATAGATGTGGAAAAGGTAAATATGAATTGTACCACTACTCGAAGACTCATCGCTACACGCTCCCGAGTCGTGGTCATGTACGTGCCCAGGTGCCAACCTTGCAAGACCAGGCTTTTACTACGAACATCATGGATCTGCTCAGTGCATTATATCGAAGTTTCAACCAATGGCTTCAGAGTTACATTCAGGGTCCAATCTCAACCTCCTCAATGATTGTAGAGAACTTGCTGAGGACTTGCTTCAACGCAGGCCTTCGAATAGGTTTGCTATTCAGTCGATCGTTAGTGAAACTTGCGTCAGTCCGTTGGGGACGAAAACCTACCTTATGAACATATCCATCCCACAATCCATGCAGTCTTTGATATTGCTTTCTTCTGCAAATGCACTCAACGCCACAATAGGGGCAGAGTACCCCATCTGTCGGATGAGACGGGTGCTCTCAAGCCCATCGAGCACAGGCATCTGCTTCCAATCAGTATTATCAATGGGGTTTCCAGGGGGGATATGCATTACTTGAATGTCCATGAAAATGAGGTCAAAAACCTCCCCTTTCTCCATGTTTGCCTTGACGGTGTCAAACGCCTCCTGGCCATCTTTCACGATGGTCACATCATACACCTCCTCTAGGGCGAGCATTCTGTCAAATGTGAGCCTGTGAAATCAATTCTAGATTCTCAAGTACCCACCGACGGACTACCTCTTGGTTGACGGTATTATCTTCGGCAACCAAAACCCGGATCTTCTTCGACTCGCTCCCGGTCACCCGCGGGCTATTTTTTAGTGGGATATTTCCGGCGGCTGGCGGGGGGGTCTTGGGTACTGTTGGCGCAAAGAAGGGTTGACTGAGACCAACCAATCGAGGCTGGATCTCCGATTTCTCGAAGCCCGGCGCATGGGATTCACTGCGGACTGAGCCATGATTCGATGGCGTGCGCGCCGCGTTTGAGAATTCTTCTAGTGAAAGAACACTGGGAGTCCGTGACCCTGGAAGGCTCCCGGTATGTGGACTCGGCACAGTTTCCTTCACATACCCCAGGGGGATTTTCAATGTGAAGAGGGACCCTTCTCCCTCTTTGCTCTCTAGCAAGATGACACCACCCATGATGCGGGAGAGTTGCGCGCAGATACTGAGACCCAACCCAGTTCCGCCGTACTTGCGATTCAGCCCCAAATCCCCTTGCACAAAAGGATCAAAGATGCGCCTGTGCAGGTGGCTCGGTATGCCCGGACCATTGTCTTCGACCTCGAACTGGAAGATCACCTGCCGGAGGTTAGGTTTGGATGTCCGCGGTTCGTCGCCCGAGCCTTCTCCTGCCCGAATCGCGTGACGCATGGACGAGCTTGCACTGGATACAGATTGAGGGCGTAGCTGGGAAGCCCGCCGGGACATCATCCTCGAAGGTGGCGGACCGTCCATCCCAAAGACTTCATTCACTAGCCGGATACGGACTTCCACTTTTCCGCTCTCCGGCGTAAATTTGAGGCTGTTGCTGACCAGGTTGATCAACACTTGGAGTATTCGATGTTGGTCACCCCACAGTACCATATCGGCCAGTCTGGGCTGCGCTGGTGTCAATTTGTGCCCGGAGCCCCCCTCACGACAGACCGTGCCTTGGGGCTCACTAACCTCTCCAGAGACAAAATTCACGCTGAAATCAATGTGCTTCTCGTGCACCTGATTTTGAAAGATAATAGCCAGTTGCGATCGCACATCCGAGATCTTGAATTCCTTTTCCTCAATCTGGATGGCCTGGTCAATTTGATTTTTGCTGAATGTTAGCAAGTCGTTCAAGAGGTGCAACAGAAGGTCACCGGATTGATACACGACTTGCAGCGACTTTTTGATTCTCGACAGATCGTCTTCGCCCATGCACACTGCGCACATGCCGAGAATTCCATTCAGGGGAGTTTTGAGCTCGTGGGAGATGTTCGCGATGAACAGCGTTTTACTTTCATTCGCCGTCTCCGCGGCCAGTTTCGCCTTTTCAAGCTCACGGGTTCGCTCGGCGACGCGCTCTTCCAGTCGAGCGTACTGGATAGTCAGCTCGTCCGACATTGCGTTGTATGTCTTTGTCAACTCCGTCAATTCATCTGTGACACAATGTTTTCTCTCTTTCACTCTTGCCGGAATCTGGAACCCGCGGGCGGTGCCAGAATGTCCGATGCTTGTCGAGCTGTTCAGCCACCCCGATGGTCGTGTGAGGCGCTTCACCCACGTCGCGGGAGACCCTTTCTCATCCATGTGCTCCTCGGCTCTCCCATTCGCCTCTCTTGGTGCATCCTCGTCTTCATACCCAGGCGCCCGTGTGTCGGGTTGGGGTGCGCCAACCTCGGGTTCAACTGACTTCTGGGCCGCTGCTCGCAGTCTTCGGATTGGAGCAACAGCCCAGTGTGTGAGTAGAGGGACCAGTACTATGATTGCACCTGCAGTACCGAAGACGCAAGCGATAATGATCTTCCGTAATCGAGCCACGGGGAAAAAGGCCTCTGACTGGGCTTCTTCGACGAGAAGAATCCACTGCACGAGGGAATTTTGAGGGCGCACAGCACCCACAGCAACACTGACGTCTCGTTCATTGGTAGTGGACAAGTCACTTGTGGCCTTGCTTTGGTTCGGATATGGCAGCAGCATCGCTCGAAGTGCCATGGGATAGGCGGAGAGCGCGAAGGGAGTATCCGTCGACATTCCGAGATGTCGGCTGGCTTGGGTAGGCAACGGCGTGGGCTCGAACACATAGTGGACTTGGGCCTGATCGAGTCCCTCAGCGTGGGCGGCAGACGTGGAAGTCGCAGGCTGGTCGCTCGCGGCAAACACGTTGGCCGGTCGGGAGGGTCCTAGAAGAAGCACTTGTCCACTTTCTCCGAGGCCGTCCCGGGAACTAATCACATTTTGAAGATTGGCGGCACTGGCAACGACACTGGCAGGACTTGTTAGCGCCCTTCTATCGCGCTGGTCTTCACAGCACGACTTACGTCATGAACCCCATGATCTCGGTATTTGAGGTGTTGTTGACAATGGGCAGCGTCAGGGAGACGAGAGAGAAGGATGAATTGACCTTCAGCGGGCCCAGCAGTAGAGCCGATGCTAGGCCGAAGGTGTAATCGGAGAAGGCGTATACTGCGGTCGAGCCATTGTCCCCCGTCGCGCGGTACGTAAGATTTGGATACAGGGAAGGTGGGTAGCCCAGTCCTTCGTTCCCGAGCTTCACAGAGGTTCCATTCCCGTAGTTGAATGGAAGCGTGATATCGGGGACAGTGTCACTCGTCACATTGAGTAAACTCTCCACCCCGTCCTTCCCATTCTTTGAGTAAATGATGGCTTGGTACAGGCTGAGATATCCTCGGCCCCCCAATGCAGATTGCACATCGGCGATGGCGTTCGTCCAGTTCTCGACCGAGTTGTTGCCCGCGTAATAGCGCCTCAGCGCCGATTGAATCAGAATGCGGGTAGCGAAAGTCTTGCAGGTTGTTTCCAGCAAGTCCAGATTCGACGCAATCTGACTGGCTTTGATGGTCGCAACAAGCTCTAGACCTTGTGATCTGCGACACGGTTAGCGATGACAGGGGGCTCCACTGGGGCTCACATACTCGACGCCTACAATGAAATCATATGTCGTAAACCACTTCCAACTGTTAGTGAAATGTTGCTGTCACACGCAGGCCTCTCCTACCGTTGCAATGGCCAACACGGCCACTCCCGAAACCGCTGTCAGCAACACGAGCAGCGCAAGCTGCACAGCAATAGGAATCCTCATCCAGTCACGGCCATTCACAGGAGGCTCTGTTGGCCAGTCTGTGGAAGTTCAAGGGGGTTGAATCTCTCGGAGAGCCGAGTGGAAGAGTTGGACCGGATGTGTGACACGGTGGGAGTACATCGACAGGAAACGGGGTCTAGACACTAGATCCAGTCCGGGGATCAGGGCCGAGCTGGCCATTTCTGCGCTCTGATTGGTGAATTGGCTCTATCATTGTCCTCTTTGGGGGGAAATTGGGCGAAGTCGAGTGAAGAACCGCTGCGGTCAAAATTGCCGACTCCACGGGACCCGCCATTGGTCCGTGACATATTTTTCTCTTTTCCTTTTCTACGGAGTATTCTACTTCTATTTACTTCTGATTTACTATTTCCTTCTAAATTTTCCTATTTACTTATGTTGGTATGTTCTGTTCTGGCAACCTTGGAAACGGTATAGATCATATTGACCGTACCACTCTCAGATATATTATATCCGTAACATTTATCCGAGTCGCCACAGTTTTATACGAGTCGCCACAGGTAATCTCAGTCTAATTAGGGCTTGGGACTTTCGAGACTAAACTAGCACGGCATCAAGTCCTTGTAATATCCCTCGCAGTCAGGGCTGTCAACCTATGCCACCTGATCGTGCGAATATGCACTATGTATCATCAATTCGAACATCTCGGCAACCTTGGAAGTGACCCGACATACACTGGGTACTTGGGCACGATCTCGAGATCAGATGCCTGGAATATTCCAAGGGTCCAAGTTTCTCCCAAGTCAACATTGGAAGCTATCTACCTACCTAGTAGTAGCCAATTCCTGATCTCCAAGGCATAGACTGAATCAATATCAAACTTCAATTTTGGAATATCCTGTCAAAGGTTTTCGAGGCATGTAATTACACCGTAAATACCCTCCCGGGCTTCCCTCTTTCGTCGGAATTCCCTGTATTATACCGTACCCGTGATGTATTTCAGATATATATATTTCCACTTTCAAGACTCCCGAGATCTGACATTAAGACTTGAGCATGCTTAACTTTGAACTATGTCAAGAAGAAAATAAAGCAGAAAAACGGACTTCCAAGGTTTATCCATCCGAACACAACCGTCATGGAACACCGGGCATCGGAATGTTACTGAGATGATGCCCAGGTGCAAACCTGGAAGCCATGGAATATTCGTGGACCTCCTTCAAGGTCGCCCAGGTGGAAGGTAGTAATTTCAACTGATTCACAACTTGGAACCCTCGCCAGGAACAATCTAATAGTATACTTGTAATAGGTAGTTCGAGCAATAAATCAAGATGCAATTGTATGTGATTGGCTCCAGCCGAGCTCCGTCCGCTCGGAAATGTTCAGTATGTGATAATTAAAATATGTGACAAAACGCTAGAGAAAGACAAAATGCTTAGGAGGTGTAGCTGCAGCCGTTGGGCTTAGCGGTCTCCACAACACGGGCAGCAATGCCGACACAGTCCTTGTTGCCAGCGGGGTTGGAGACGCCGGCGGAGGCCCAGATGCTCCAGGCACCGTCAATGCTGTTGGGGCAGGCAATCAGGTCGTGGCCGCCAAACTGGAGGTGGCCATCCTTCTCGGTCCAGCCCTTGCGCTCGCTGTTCTTGGGAGCGGGCTGAGCGCCGGTGGTGTAGCCGATCTTGCCCTGGCCTATGAAACGATTAGTTTGTGGGTCTTGCGGTGAGTGGGGGAAGTTCTTACCCATGCCGGAGCGGTCGACGTAGATCTCCTGGGGAGTGGCGGACTTGTCGTAGAGGTACAGGGCACCGTCGTTGATGTAGAAAGTGGCCTGCTGCTCCTTGGGGCGAGCACAGCTGGCGCCCTGGTTGGGCAGGCCAGCGAAGATGCTGCTCTTGGCGGCGTTGAAGGCAGAGTACTGGACGCCGCTGCCGGAGTGGATGGCAACGACACCGAAGGTCTTGGATTGGGTAGAGGGGGCAGCGGAGGCAACGGCGCTGACACCGGCGGCGAGGGCGAGGTTCTTGAGCTGCATGGTGGAGTGAGGATGGATAGAAGAGGTAGAGAAGAGTAGAGTAGATAGAGTAGAGTAGAGTAGAGTGAGTTGGATGAGTTGAGAATGAAATGTAAAGTCGACTACAATGGCTCTTTTTATACTTCTCAACGGCACGGATGAAGAACGCCACTGCCGTGGAGGTGGATGTCTCAGTCTAACGCGACTATTTTCGGAGCCAAGAGCCTAACCCGCAAAATGATCTCAGAAGACCCTGTTTCTGGATATCGGCACAGTACTGTACTGTTCACTGATGATACTGGAATGCAGTCGAGACTGTATCTTTCTCGACTATTGTGCAATTCCAGTCACTCTCTGAGCAGGTAGACCGTAGCACACTACTGTATGGATAGTACTCTACTGTAGAGTGCTGTATGTTCTGTACTCTGCGCCTAAACCTCGGCTCAGCGTCTACCCACTTTGTTTCTCCGAGATCCACCTCTTTGAATCCAGGCCAATGAGACTCTCGATTTGCCCCTTTCGCAGCATGCAAACCGGCTCCTCCGCATCTGGTTTCTGGACCCTAAAAATAGTCCTTTCCGATCCCTTGCCTTCTTTCTCGGGTGATCGACCAGGAATAAGTTGGACTATACGGAGTATGGTAGAGTACAGTATAGTTAGAACAGTAGTTGCGAAGAGACTGCAAGTAACCTGCTTGGGTGAGACATGCGCATCTCAACAAGGCAATGATAGTCACACTGGCATGAGTCCCTTTTTTGTGGATTCAACGCTATTAGGGGAGAGGCCAATTTGCCCTAAATGCCGCTGCCTGAATTGTCTGCATATTGCATATTGGCGAATGTCTGATGTTCCCTTCTCACTTCCTCATTGCATGTCGCCACTCCGGCCAAGTACCTTTCCCACGATACCCTCCAGCCCGTGAGGGTATTCTTCACCTTGGCACATCTACACGCTCACTGCACTATTGACACCTTAGACACTAAATCCCCTTGCCCAACTCAAAGCCCGTGCTTGATGGCGCCTCACAGTCCCCTCGACGGAGCACTTTCGGCCGCATTGATTGCAGCGGGCCTCAAATTAACACAGTTTCCAGCTGAGACACTGCGCTCATCAGCAAGACGACGATCAGGTCTGAGTTGGGTTCGACTCCGTCACTTAATATGCTCCTCGTGCTCCGCTGGGCATGCCTGGTCAACCTGCTTCTGGAACAGATCCCTGAAGATCAGACATGATATCAGGGATAGGGGTGAATGTGTATGCTAGAGTTGGAGGCAGCACTATATAAATGGCATTGGCCTTCCAGTTTTTGATTCCATCTATCACAAAGAATTGCAAAGGATCTTTGACAAGTCTCCACGACTACCTACCTATGTAGGTATGGCCTTGGGTGACCGAGTCTTCCTAAGGCAACCTTGGAAAGTTGAGTTGATCAATTGATCGGGAGATTTGTCGGCGTTTCCAACCTTCCAAGGTTGGAACTAGGCCTTGAAAGCCTGAGGCAGCCCTGGAGGGCCAAACTATGAGTTCAACCTTTCCAAGCCCTAGAGGTATGCAAGGTATGCTGGACTACTTGATCTGAAACATAACTTATCGTAAATCAATTGGGAATACTAGGTATATGTACAGTACAAATCGGCTCGTGTTCTACGAGCGACCGTGAAGATGCAAAGCAAACGCTGATGCCAATGAATTCAACCTTCCGAACCAACCAGGGCGGAAACGGAGCCATGCAAGCACCAGCTTGCACACGCTCGGGCACCTTACTCGGGCGCAGCGCAGGAGAAAACGCCACCGACCTCTCCGTTGGCATATTTGATGATCTAAGATCGAGTTAGCAGGGAACAGGGAACCCGGACAGGCAGAACTTACAATGTCGTCGATACTGGCGTAGGTACCGCCAACCAGGATCACCATACCAATGAGGAAAATCACAATGTTAATGGCTCCCAGGGCCAGGTTCTTGGGCTCCTTCCAGTTGCCCTCGCGGAGAAGCATGAACCACATCATGGCGGGGAAGTAGAAGGTGAATCCCGAGATGAAGAGGGAAGAGGAGATGGAGAGCAGATCGTTGAAGAAGGGAATCACCTCGGCGATGATGAAGGCAACGATAGTGGCGGCGGTAATCAGGGCCAACCAAGTGATCCATCCCATCTTGGTGTTGATGAAGCGGATTGGCGAGTTGGCGAAGATACGACCGTGCACGAGACGTCCAAACACCACGGTGTTGATGGAGCCACTGATGAAGATGACAGGGAGGGCCACGCCGTAGGCGACCCGACTGAGAAGGGTGCCTGCCGAGGTCAGCGCGGGGCTGCCCACGTCCTGACCGACAAAGGCATAGATCAAAGCACCAGTCACGGTGTAGATGACAATCTCAGTGATACCGAGGGCCCAGATGGACTTGACAAAGTCACGTGGGGTGTGCATTTCGTCCATGAACGAGAACTGGCACATGGCAAAGCTGTAGGCAAAGACAATGTTGGTCACCGCGATGAAGGCCTCGGTGAAGGTGATGTCTTCCTTAGGCCACGCGGACCAGGGCACTGCCGCCAGTCCTCCGGGGGCGTCGGAGCTCTTCACACCGGTACCGATGATTGTGATACCGATAGCAAGCAGGATGGAGGCGAAATCGACGTATCCGAGGATGGCCATCTCGGTGAAACTGGGGGGAATGGCCAGCAGAAGCAGGAGAATTGCGGACACGACGGCGAAGACGATTGAGCAGACATCACTCTTGGTGATATCCAAGAACGCGATGGTGCCCGTCAGGCAGTGCGAGGCCGTGAGGAAGATGAGCTGGAGACCCAGCATACCATTCAGCAATTCATATCCAAAACGTCCACAGCCCATGCGACGGCCCATCAGGCGACCCGCATCGGGGTAGTTGGCGACTTCGGGGAAGGCCAGCTTGACCATGCCCACAATGTAACTGGTGTAGATGGCGATGAGACCGAGACCCACGCAGCAGATGACACCCGCCACCATGCCGAGGGTGGCAAAGGTCGAGGGGATAGACAGACTGCCCAGGGCAATGGCCTCCACGATGAGGACGATAGTGAGTCGCTTCCATCCGAGACGGTTGAACTTCTGGATTCCGTGGTCGTAGACGTTGCGCTCCGCGTCGGTCATCTCCCCCACCATGGTGCCTTCGAATGGCGGTGGGGAGGCCATCTCGGCCTTCTCGGCTCCAGGACCCATCACCTTGGTGTCTTGCTCGTTGGAGATGTGGTCGAAACCCATGGTGTGTTGAAATGGGAAACTGAGAGGGAAGTGAAAAGAGCGGCCAGCAGGTATAAGAAGGGAAAATTCTCGAACTACTGAAAGCGGCGCTATCGGGAGGCAAAATTGCGGGTTCCCTTGACTAAGATAATTTCGTGCGTTCTGCTTGGTGGCTCTCGCACGTGGAGTACGACGCTGCTCCACTGCAGTGATCGCCCCTCCAACGAGATGGCCGCAATCAGGTTTCGGCCCCGGTGCGAGTGGGTTTCAGCGGAGCGTTTTGGGCGAAACCCAGCCCGCGCGGTGTGTTTGTGTGGGCATTCCCCGTGTGGCCGATAAGAAGGTTTGGCCTGGTTAGGTAAAAGAAATAGCACATTGGATACTCCACCGTGCGAGGGTCGCTCTGGAGGACTAACGAGCGCTTTGATGTCATATTATGGAGTCTCTCCCCGCGTTGTTATTTGCGGGGGACGCGGTGAAGTTGGGAGGCAAAGGTCGAGAGGCGATTGCAAGAACTAAGGTACACAAGCTTTCGAACGTTCGAATCTTCGCGCCACTGAAAGTCCGGCTGGTGAGCCGCGCTGGTCTCTTCCAATGGGATCCGTTGGCGCTGCACTCGGCGCAGATAAGATTCGTGCAAACAGGACAAACAGGACAGACAAACAGGACAAACAGTGCAAAACACACAAACGGAACTCTAATCTGCCCATCGGGTCACTCCCGTCCGCCGGAATCCCAACATCTCAATCCACCAGCCCTGGAGGGCTCGTATTCCCTCTGCCTCTGAACTGGACATGGAGCCCATTACCCCATACTCTATCCACTCTCCGCAATCCTCCGCACTGGGTAGATATTCTCGCATTGGGGTTCTGGGGAACATCACTGAGAAAAAATACCGCAGACACTCCTGATTCGTCGACCTGTCCGAACGCATGGAAAATGGGCCGCACCGCTGTGGCTGAGGTCAGGATGGGGACAACCTGCTTCATCTCATTGTTGAATTGCCCCGTACTCCAACGGCAGAGGAACCCTGTACGTAATTCCAATTTCCACCCCCGACTTTCGCATAAGCCCAGACTCCAGACTCCGAATCATGGAGAACGATACTAGGAGCGATCATCGGCTAGAAAGACCCCAGAAAAGGCGTCTCGGCCAGGATCCGCGGTGTGCCATTCTTGTTAGATAATTTCATCGTAAGATCTACCCATCCCCGAACACTCGAATCTTCTCGTATACAATTTCCGCTAGGTTTGTCCCGTAATGCACGTCTGTCCCTGATCAGCGTTCGCAGAGTTCAGGGCCCGAAACCGGGCCTAGGCTCCCTTGTGAACACAGAGTGCTGCAAGGCTGGGGTGATCAACTCTATGGATGTACTAGCCCGTGCCGGCAACATTCTCGCCGGGAAGGTGTTTTCTGCGGTGCGTTGTTACAGGCCAACCCTGCATGGGTTTCGCTATGGGCTGGGCATACTCCGTAGAAGTTTGGTTACTAACAGTCATTCTCAGTAGCCCCATTGGAGGAACTCCATTCCTGCGATATTCCTGAGCTACGACTCCCCAACCTCTCACCTCATGAGGCTATGGTCATGTCGATACCAGCATCCAAGTGATGTACTTCACCCAGACTGCTGACTGCGTCCTCTATTTGAGCCACCGCCATTTTCGTCTTGTCCTCAGCCCAACGCCTTGATTCTCCACGTAACGTTTCACGGGCAACCCTTTCCTTTCGACCAGTCGCGTTGGAAACTTGGCACATCCGGCAAGTTGGCTACACAAGTACGCAGTACAACCTCTCGTTTTTCATCTCTTCCGTCTATTCAGGGGCGGAGTGAAATCACAGAGATCTGTTGGCATGGTTGCAGTTGATCATATAGGGCCATCTGATGGGACCTTGATACTCTTAGTACCGTTACTACTTCAAACATGATATGAATCACTTCAGACAGGGCTATTGCTCCCAAAGCTGTTGAGTTCCCAGCCCGCAGAAATAGTAATCTGACAGGCCTATGAGCTCTGCTTCAGACACTCCGTGATCGAGTCTCCAACATATTCCACATTCTGCTCGTTCAACCCGGCGATCGATATCCGTGAGTTGCCTGCCATATAAATGTGGTATTGCTCTAGGATGGCCATCAGCATAGGATCAAACACAACCTCATAACCACTCACCACGCAGTTTCAGCACGATACTTGGAGATAATCCCAGGAATCCAAACATTCCAGACTGGCGGATAAGATGCTCCCACGAACCCGGAGCCCCTGCAAGGAGCGTCAGCGTTGTACATTCTGTCATCTTTCACGGGCGCTCACCTGACGATATCAGCCGGTCATATAGCGCCCTTCTCATTGAACGGATTCGATCACTCATGGTGATCAGATCATCGTGCCAGGCCTGTCGGAGAGTAGCATCGGCGAGAATGGTACTCGCGATCTTCGCGCCGTACGCCGGTGGGTTAGAAACCTCGGACCGTTGTAGCATCTCAAGCATGGACTGTGTCTTGACTGCGGTTTCTTCGGTGCTTGTCGCCAAGAGGAAGCAGCCCACTCTCTCGCCTAGTCACTAGTCAGCCTCTGCGTCGGAAATCGGGATGCATCATGTACCGTAGAGACCCATGTTCTTAGCGAAGGACAGACAGACTCCTGCCTCTAGCTTGGCCTCTTCAATAAACAATCGAATCGCAAAGGCGTCATTATCCACGTTGCCCGAGTTAAAGCCAAGATATGCAGCATCGAACAGCGGGAATAGCTGTCTTTCCTTGAAGATTCTCGCCAGCTCTCGCCACTGCTCTTGGCTGGGGTCACAGCCGGTCGGGTTATGTGCGCAGGCATGGATGATGACGACGGAGTTGGGCTCGGCGGCTTTCAATGCAGCGTAGTATGAGTCGATGTCCAAGCCTTTTGTCTCGGGGTTATAGTATTGGAATGTTTCACACTGGAAACCGAGAGAGGCAAACACCTGGTGGTGGTTGGACCAGGTGGGCTCGGGGATATAGATCTTCGGGCGCGATGCTCTGCCCGCTCGCAGGAGAAGCCCCGCCAAATGTAAGGCTCCAGTGCCCGACAGACTCTGGCAGGTGGCGAGCTATCGTCTGGTTAGCTCTGTCTCGCACCTATTCTCAGCTGTACCGTACTTTATCTTGTTGCTTCGCGAACAGCTCGGGTCCCAGCGCCAATTTGGCAGCCTCTTGTCGGAAGCTCGCGAGGCCCACGATCGGCAAATATTCGTGATTCAGCTTTTGGGAGAGGATCTCCCGGCTCTTTTGCACGGAGGGCAGAACCCACGGGTTTCCATTCTCGTCGCGATAGGTGCCTTGTCCCAGATTGACCTTCTGGGGGAATGGGTCTGCCAGATACTGCGCTGTCAGCGCGAAGATGGCATCTGGAGGAATGAAATGAGCCTGGTCAAACCAGGTTGAGGATATTGTTTCAATAGTCATGGTGTATGGGTAGGGTGAAGGCATCTAGGTATGTCCTGCATATGTATTTAAGGACTCGCCGGCTTCCCGACCGAAGAACATTTCCCTACGCAATGTCTCGACATCCCCTCACGTATTTGAACTCGGAAGATCGCCCGAGCTGCTTCACGAATGAAAGTCCCCTGAGACTATCGGTTCAAGGGACCGAGGGCAGAGCGATGGTGGGGGTTCGGCCCTGGCCTCCGACATTATCTGATGCCAAACCGCTTCGTCGAGAACTCGGAGATACAGCCGTTGCCCCTCCCCCTCATTTGACGGAGTCGGGTTATATAAGGGCGCATTCATCGTCGTCTGCCTAGTAGCAGCATATACACAATCATGGGTTCTCACGCTACCGTCTCTCCTCAGCCTCACGTCCCGGCCGCGGGTGTCTGGTGTCCCGCCGTCACCTTCTTCCACCATGGCACCGACTCGCTAGACCTCACCTCCCAAGCCAAGTACTTCCAATATCTCTCTACAACCGGACTCGCTGGGTTGGTCATCCTGGGCACCAACTCGGAGGCCTTCTTGCTCACGCGCGAGGAGCGATCCCAGCTGATTGCCACGGCGCGCGCCGCCGTGGGCCCCGACTTCCCTCTGATGGCCGGCGTGGGTGCGCACTCGACCAAGCAAACCCTGGAGCTGGCCCAGGATGCAGCTGCAGCCGGCGCCAACTACCTCCTGGTTCTTCCCCCCGCGTACTTCGGCAAGGCGACCAACATGAACGTCGTGAAGCGCTTCTTCGCCGAAGTGGCCGCCAAGGCACCCCTCCCCGTGGTGGTCTACAACTTCCCCGGCGTCTGCAACGGCGTCGACATGGACTCCGACACCATCGCAGCGATCGCCAAAGAATCAGCCGCCTCCCACCCCAGTGGCCGGTCCAACGTGGTGGGGGTCAAACTCACCTGTGGATCCGTGGGCAAGATCACTCGGCTGGCAGCCGAGTTTGCACCCACTGACTTCGCAACCTTCGGAGGCCAGTCCGACTTCCTGATTGGTGGCCTGGCAGCAGGCAGCGTCGGGTGCATCGCGGCCTTTGCCAACGTTTTCCCCAAGGTGGCCTCCCGCATCTACGCCCTATACCAGAAGGGTCAGGTGGCTGAGGCAGTGAAGCTACAACGCCAAGCCGCCCTGGCCGAGAGCCCTATCAAGAGCGGCATTGCATCCACGAAACATGCTGTGGCCTGTTATTCTGCCCAGCTCGCTGGGATCCCGGATGCTGCGGCCAACCTGGCCCCTCGTCACCCTTATGAGGAGGTGGGTGAAGGGCCTAAGAAGGCCATCCGTGAGGTCATGGCCGAGGTTGCGGCTATTGAACAGAGCCTGTAATGAGACATGTATAACGAGCACCATAGACTATGCAATTGAATCCAAAAATCCAGAATTCCTTTCCCTCGCGTTCGGCGGCTCTGGTGAGTCCGTCACACCGTACTATGCCTTATCTTTCATCACATCCCTGGAGCTATACGAGTCATGCAGATAAAGACAACATGATGCCAAGACGCATGGCTGCATGTCGAGTCCGATGTTCTCCTGGTCATGTTGTGCCTATGCCATCGCAAGACCACAAGGCTGTACTGTCTACGAACAGGATCCAGAGCTACAGTATGTATAGTACAAATTAACAATCAACCTCGGCTGTATAACTCGAGTGAAACAGAAGAAAAGAAGAAAAGAAAAAAACATCGGCAGGGCCGACAAACGATTACTGATCGGGCCGATTAAGTGGACCGTCGGGATGTCCACTCGTCTCTCCTACGCCAATCACCAACTGCATTCTCTCCGTTCTCCGTCTCGGCGTTTCTTCTTTGGTGCTTTTTTCGCGATTCTACGTGGCTTTGGCGTGTTTCCCTTATGCAACAGCCAGCTCCCCCACTTGGTCCGTCCAAAGCAGCAGTCTCTCCGATATTGGGCCCTTTCGATTGCCTGTTTCGATCGAATAATGCACACAATGCATATTAAGTCGAAGATGAGAAGATCCAGCACTCTGTGCCGAGGTCCAACTCGATCTCAATAAGAAAAAACCTCTGTCCGGACTATCACATTCACTTTTCTCTCCAATTTGTGAAGTTCACTGTCTGCAGATCGCCGTTGGACCTCGATTTAAGCTTGTCCATTCACGATGTCCAAAGAGGCCCCCTCCGAGGTCCCCTCTGAGGCTGGAACGAAGTCTGTGCAACTACCCAACTCCGTCCCCTTTTGGCGACTCGTCACGGAGCCCGGGGTCATCACTCAGGATGTCTTCGACCACCCCTACCCGGGCTCAGGAACGGAGGACGATCCATACGCGGTAAATTGGTTGCCCAACGACTTTCGAAACCCCCTGCAACTGAAAACCTCCCTCAAATGGTTCATCACCGTCGTGGCCGCCCTCGAGACTCTGGTGGTGGCCTTGGTGTCGTCCGCCTATACAGGTGGTATCTTACAGATCGAAGCGCAATTCGGAGCCTCGACAGAGATTGCCACGCTGGGAGTGTCCCTCTACGTCCTCGGATTCGCCCTGGGCCCTCTCATCTGGGCCCCGATGAGTGAACTATTTGGTCGCCAGTCCGTCTTCATTGGTACTTACTGTGGTCTTACGATCTTCTGTGCCGCCTGCATTGGAGCCAAGAACATCGAGACTCTCCTCGTCTTCCGCTTCCTGTCAGGTGCCTTTGGCTCCTCCCCCTTCACTAACTCCGGCGGTGTGATTGCCGATATGTTCATGGCCCGTGAGCGTGGATTGGCCCTATCCGCATTTGCCTTGGCTCCCTTCCTGGGACCCGTCATCGGTCCCATTGCCGGTGGTTTCCTCGGTATGGCCGCTGGCTGGAAGTGGGTCATGGGTCTTCTGGCCATCCTGTGTGGCTTGATGTGGTTCTTGGGAGCGGCCCTGAAGCCCGAGACCTATGCTCCTGTCCTTCTCCGCCAACGTGCTAAGACCCTATCGAAGCTCACTGGCCAGGTCTACGTGAGTAAGCTGGATCTCGACCAGGGACGTCTTACCCTCAAGGCCGCTTTGAAGACGTCTCTCTCTCGACCCCTAGTCCTTCTCTTCAAGGAACCTATTGTCTTGCTGCTGTCGATCTATCTGGCCATTATCTATGGAACCCTCTACATGCTCTTCGGTGCCTTCCCGATCGTGTATCAGCTCCATCGCGGATGGAACCAAGGTGTCTCTGGTCTGGCCTTCCTGGGTGTGATGATCGGTATGCTCGGTGCGATTGCGTACTCGATTCCAGAGAACAGCCGCTACATCAAGCTGCTCGAGAAGAAGGGTGGATATGCGCCCCCCGAGGCCCGTCTTCCCCCATGTATGCTCGCGTCGATTGCCCTTCCCGTCGGCCTGTTCTGGTTCGCATGGACCAACTCCCCCAACGTACATTGGCTTGCCAGTATTGCTGCCGGAGTACCCTTCGGTTTCGGTATGGTGCTGGTGTTTTTGAGTGTCTTCAACTATCTCATCGATGCATACACCATCTTCGCCGCGTCCGTTCTAGCCGCCAACTCCCTTCTCCGATCCCTATTTGGATTTGCATTCCCGCTCTTCACCAGCTACATGTACGCTGATCTGGGTATCCATTGGGCTTCGTGTGTGCCAGCTTTCTTAGCACTCGCCTGTGTCCCCTTTCCTTTCCTGCTGTACAAGTACGGTTATTCCATCCGCCAGCACTGCACGTACTCAGCCCAGTCAGAGGCCTTCGTGCAAAAGCTTCTCCAGGGTTTCAAGCAGGCCGCAGAGGAAGATGCCGTATCTGAGCCCGAGAACTCCAATGCAGTCTCGAATTCGAACGAAGCCTCAGGAGACTCACAGAAGGAGACTTCTGCCGAAGTGCAATCCATCCACCGCACGCTGTCACGCACTTCAACCAACGCTACGCATGAAATGCACCGAGTCCCTACATATGAGGCCAATCCTTATAACATCGACCGCGTGCACACGAAAGAGTCGTTCAAATAATCAAGACAGTTCATAAAAGGAAACACCGGAGTTCGCCACGGCATCTGAGCATCGCATCATCTTGGTTGATTTTTTCCAGCGTTGCTTGTTTTTTTCTTTTTCTTTTGGCATTTTGGAGGCTTTCTTGCTGCATTTATTAGACTAGTTTAATGATAATCATCGAGTTTACGATCATAATCGAACAATCGTCAGTCTTGTCCTTGTCTGCAACTGTACGTTATGAACGGATCATGGGTTTCACGTAGCATCTCCGAGGCAAGAAAATGGGTAGATGAACATCTCAGTCACCGTCTCAGTCACCTTTTGGTCTAGTCTGCGGGTACCAATCAGACATGCCAAACTACTCTTTCCGCTACAGTAGGAACATGTGGAAGATCCACTGCATGCATGACAGTGGATAGGTGGCTGGTCGAGATCAGATCTGCATCTGTCGATCCTGCATCGATCGCTCTATTGAAGTCTAGAATTCTGGGGTTGTTCCGAGACATGTTGACTCAGACTCGGGCAGAACTCAGGAGCCGGTCCACGTCTTGACCTACCTTGACAATGAGTATAGATGGGCGACACATGAATCAACAGTCGACATAGATCATACGGAGAGCGACCTGGAAGGAACAGGAGAATTCAAAACGAGATAAGAGACATTCCAAAAATTCGATATTATAGGTCTATCATAAGTGCGAAACCAAAAGTCATTCCCAATGTACATCATACATGAAAGTCTCACAGGCCTTTTTCGGCTGTGATCGTGGGGAATCCAAAACCCAGAAAGAATAACCCAAAACCAGAGAGTTCATCCATAAACTCTCGGATACGTCGAAAATGGCAACGCGGGCCAAAAAAGCAAATGAGTATTTACAGCCGGCGAGCTCAGAACTAGCGACGAGAGACGCAGCACAGGATGCCAGACTTGGCGAGGAAGTAGCAAGAGCCAATAAAGCGGAAAATCGACAGACCGGCGGTCGTCCACAGAATGGCAGCGAAGTACTTGGAGGTGCGGACCGTCGAGGTGTTCTAAAGTCACCAGGTTAGTATGAGTTAATTGCAACTGGGATAAGAGGAAGCATACCGTGAGACACAAACGGGAAACACCCTCACTGGTGATACACAACACGAGAATGAGGTTACTGAAAATCCAAATCAACACCAGGTTGGTTCGGAAAGCCTTGTAACCATCATCCATGCTGCGCTCATCCTGTTCCTCCGGCTCGACCCAGGGTTCTAAGGCGCGCTTAACGGTCGATTCGAACTGGCTATCGATATCTGCCTGCGGCTTATCGACTTCTTCAATGAAGTTGGACTTGGCGTCATCCTTCTTGGTTTCAGCAGTGGGCAAAGAGTCACCCTTGTCAGAGCCCTTGGTACCCCAGGAAACATCGTGCCAATTGCAGAAGGCATAAACCATCAGAATGTTGATCGAGCAGGTCATGCCAGCGAAGTAGGCCCACGAAGAGGTAAACATGTGCCAAGGATCCATGTACATGAAACTGGCAAGGAAGTAGATGCCGTAAGTGGAGACCAAAGCGATCAAGACAATACCTGCTCCCGAAGAGCTGAAGAAGGACTTCAGGAATTCACCAACGCCATCGTCTAGACTGAAATCAAGGGTGCCACCGGTGAAGGCGTTCTTGACAAGGTAGAACGATAGGACAATGATGTAAGTTTGAACAATGCTGAAGTAGATGAACGAGAGCGTGTATGCCAGACGTGAACTGTTGCCATGTCAGTTTGGATTGCCCTTGAATGATGCGGCATACAACTTACCCTTTAGGTCGATTTCCGAGCGCCAGAATGAACTGCAGGATCAAGAAGAAAATATATCCGTATTTCAAGAAGTTGTTGACAATCGGTGTCGCATCGTCACCAAAGGGCCATCCTTTATACTTGTTGGAACTGCTAGGAGTTCCAACAAGATCCATGATGACCGTAGTGGTGAGCCAGAAAGAAGCTATATGAATGTGAGTCAAAGTTTGCAATATAATTTAGCGTAGGAAAACTTACCGAGAGAAAACCAGGTCATAACCAGACCAGCAAAGTTGTAGGTCATCTGGATATGCAAGCAGAAAAGGCGAAGGATGTTGTGCCCACTCTTGTAGATACGACCGAAATGCATCATAGCATACAAACTAGCGGCGAAAGATCCGTTCAACCATCGACGTCGCTGACTGATGAATTCAGCTGCACCCTCCGGCACGTCAGTTTCACCCTTCGATGCCTTGACGTAGGTCAGGTGCCATTTGAATCCAGCCTTGGCCACAAGTTCGAAGCAAAGAATTCGATCCTCAGCAAGGAACATGTTCTTCTTGAAAATGTTCATGCCATCAATACCCTTCTTACCAAGCTGTTTCGAAAGGGTGTGATCACCGTGGAAATATTGCTCCAGAGGACGACCCATGATAGCGCGGTAGCGGTAGGCGGAGAAGGCTCCGGGCAACACACTGACGTATCCAAAGGCACTCTCGAGGGGTTTATCTAAGATATTGGAGATCTTATACTCGAAGTTCTGTGCCGCGACAAGGGGGTTCATCAGGTTCTTCCAGCCCTTTCCTAACATGGCGTGAATTTCACCACACGATCCACCAAGGTTCTTGTCATTGTAGAAGGATTCCCACAGAGCAAGAAGTGATTTCTTTCCAGGCTTAGTTCCGGCATCGATCAAAATAACAACTTCGGGGTTGAGGATTCGACTAAAGCCGTTGAAGAGCCAACGGTGGGAGTTGATCTTCTTGCTGTTCTTTTGCTTCAGACAGAAGATCATCTGAACCGGGGGGAGATTGCTGGATTCGTTGCCCTGGGGCCGGATCAATTGCTGGTTGGAGGTCACGGAAAGTTGGGTGGTATATTCAAACTGGTTCTGTTAGCCAATGCCCACGGTCGCTATCGATGAACTCGCGCTTGAGATGCGCCATTCTAGAAGCGTGAACTTACAATGTGAGAAACAGTTTCGCGACCATCGACGGATCGCTTCATGATGCCATCCTGGTAAATACCAATGGTAGCCAACAAGTCCAGGGTGTTCTTGTCGCAAGGATCGATACCGTCGAAGACCAGACAACAGACAATCTTCTGCCAGGCCGGACCTCCCTTGTTCCAGAATTCGGACTTTTTCAAATTCACAATGTCCCGAATGTTTTGCATGACACCGTGGAGTGTGCGCGCCGTCAGGACCTTATCTTCGTTGTAGTAGGTGATGGCGATCAAAAGTTCAGTGTGTCGGTTGTACATGGCCGGTCGCAGATTGTAACCGTTTCGCAGGGTGAACTCGTCAGGGTCACAGGTGGCGGCGGTATCTGCATCGCATTAGCTCCAGTCGTATTTCGAATCCTCCGGTCGAAAACTCACAGCGCAGGTGGGTGAACTCTTCCGGGAACCCTTCTTCAGACTCCCGGTACTCTTTCTGGATCGCATTTTGGATCGCACTGGGGACCGGGTAATCGACACTCAGGACTGAGCCCTGGACCAGCTTGATTTTTCGGGTGGCATAACGCCGGAGACCAGATCCGGGCGCCTGTCGATTCTGCCAAGCTTCCGAAGGCGTCTCCGACATGGGGGAGCCCACCGCAGAGCGACGGTTCAATCCTCCGGCCGATTCCTGATAGGGACCATCCGGAAATATGGTGACTCCGGGATCGTGCAAGGTGTAGCGGCGCAATGAATCGGTTGAGGCATATGGGTCGTCAAAGGGGGCGTTAAAGGGACTCGGTTGGTTGCGGTAGAGCAACGACTGTTGGCTATCTGCATGGTCGTTTTTCTCCTCGTAACCGTATGGTTGTGGCTGAAGGGACCGAGTTAGCGTCAAATTCCCACTCCGTTTTCCGTTGTGCCTTTCTCGGTCCCGAATCCTTTCTCATTGTTCTCGTTCGGGTTTGGGATCACGACTCACCTGGGGCTCACTCGCGTGGGGAGCATACAGACTGCCCTCACTGACCTGGGCAGAGTGAGATGATCCTCCTGTTGCCGAATGAGGCGAATGAGGTGAAGTGCCTCGCTGTGGTGCCGCCATGATGGGAAATCGCGCCTAGCGGAGGGTGCTGCGGGTGTGTCTCCAGGGTAGAAAACCCAATGGACCAAGGCAGAAGACGAAGGTGATCAAAGAGATCGATGAAAGCGATCTATCCAGAGATCGGACCCGAAAGAGAGATGAAAGAGAGAGGAAGAGTCCAGATGTATAATTGAGGGAGATATTTTTGGGTGTAACAGGTGATTGGAGAAGACACGGGCGAATCAGGTGGAGTCACCTCTCTGCGCATTCGCCGTTCGTCACCCTTTCTTCTGTGACCCACCACCTGCTGCCCTGAGGCTGGCATTTTGCCGTTAAAGAAGCATAATCCGTGGCTGTAACATTGAACCACCCTCCTCTGTGTCTTCCAATACGGGCCTCAGTTGGAGTCCGTGATCCGAGCCTTGCTGCGCCGCACATAACTCGTCAGGTATGTTCCAGCGGGTCGACGACGCAATGCACCATGACATTGGCCCACGGCCTCCCCTTGGACCCATCACAGGCTCCGATCCCCCAAATATCTGCGGTACACACATATCCCTTTTTCGCTGTAGCGCTGGGGATCCTTCTTTACTTGAAACAGACCCTGTCTCCCTGACCCTCATCGTCAGATCCCAGACCTTCCGTTGAGACCTTAGACCCTGGAGGCCCGAGGGCGAGGATTATGACGAAATGACGACAGGGCGTCAAGGGGACGATCGGCTTGTCCTCCAGGGGGGCTGAATTTGGCGTATGCGAGTGGTTGGCTGCGATGGGGCCCACTGTCATAAGTGGGCATGTGGGGAAATTCTCTTTCTGGCGAAATTAACACGAAAATGCTGACTCTGGACTGTAGGGACTCCGTACAGTGCCCAGGTGTACGGGAAATGGAAGTCCGGGTCACGTGCCGTGGGACGCGTATGCCTCTGCCTTGGTTTCTAATTCTGTCTATGTTCTCTGTCAGTTTCATATTTTGACATCGAGTAGCCATCTACTCCGTACTCCGTACAGTGCGGAGGACAGACTGTAGTTGCGACTCTGTCCTCCGTATGGAGTACTGCATACTATACATAGTGATAACTTTATGCACTCTCCGTACTAGTACAAGGGATGATCAATAACCTGAAATGATCTATCCACGCATGATATATCAAACCTTGGAGATGCACAATTGACCTTATGTTAATACAATATGACGGTGACCGTATGACCCTGTCAGCACAATACTGAGCCTCACAATACCCACATCGCTTTATTTATAGTAACCCTGCCTCTCGACGGTCAATCCAACTCCAGACTCTGCTGCTCTGTACAGCAGTCCACCTAGGCACAAACAATACCCATCCACGGATACTCCGTACAGCCCCCAATACCCTCTCGGCTGGAGAAATGCTCGGACTAGCTCCGAGCGCACTACTATTGAAAGTACGCATTCGCATTGCATACTCGGGCTAAAGAAATAGATCGCATGTACGGAGTACGGAGCACGAGTTCCTCGTCTGGAACACCCCATACTCCGTACTCATGAGACTGCGAAAATGAATCAATTTGCCCTGGCAGTGCCCAGGTGCCAGCTTCGGGACTTTGCCCGAGGTTGAAGTGCAACCGGGCCATTTGATATGCGGGGTAAGACCGTTTATATGTGCTTGTTCAAGCCTTGAATCAGCTCACACTACACCTTGTTTCGATCTGAGATGTCGAGGCCCTCGTTTGATGCCCTGCCGTTGTCCAAAGCCGGACCGCCCGGCAACGCTTGGGGCATGTTTGGCGATCAAGACCAACTGGGGATGCTGAATCTCTTGACCCCCCAGAATACCGCGGCAGCCGCCCGTGAGATTATGGATGGCGTGCGGGTCTCCACGGACTGGGCTCTCAATAGCATGGCCACTCCCTGCTTTGGCCGATCTGCCTTTGAGCACGTTCTCAAAAACAAGTTCCCCCGAGCCGTCAACGACGATATCTTGGTCTTCAACACCCAGAGTAGTTCCCAGTGGGATGGCTTTCGGCACTATGGATCTAAAGAAGGGACCTTCTTCAACGGATGCACCCAAGACGATATTCAAAATACAACCCGCAATGGTATCCACGGTATGTTCCCTTGTCAGACCGAGTAAGAGAAGAGAGCCCAAAAGAATGCCGAAGCTCACACCAGGGCAGTTTGGGTCGAGAACGGGGGGATTGTTGGCCGAGGTGTCCTCCTAGACTATGCGGCATGGGCCGAGGCCAACGGCCAAGAGGTGAATTGTTTTGCAACCCAGTCCATCCCCGTTGACGTGCTCCAGAAGGTGGCAGCAAGTCAAAATACCACGTTCCGCCCGGGCGATATTTTATTTATTCGCACAGGGTGGACCACGGCGTATGAGCGTCTGTCCCCAGCAGAATGCCAGGCGCTGGCCGACTATGCCGCACCCCCAGTCATTGGGGTCGAATCGTCGGAGGCCATGCTACGCTGGATCTGGGAGCTGCAATTGTCCGCGGTGGTGGGCGACATGCCGAGCTTTGAAGCATACCCCTGTCAAAATACCGATTGGTTCCTCCACGAATGGTTGCTAGCGGGCTGGGGCATTCCCATCGGGGAGCTGTTTGATCTCGAGCGGCTGGCTCAGGAATGTCGGCAGAGAGATCGCTGGACTTTTTTCTTTAGTAGCGTCCCATTGAAGGTAAACACTCTGACTTCCATCTCGAACGAAATCTCATTCCCTGCAGGTTCCCGGTGGAGTCGCCAGTCCCCCTAACGGTGTGGCCATCTTTTGACAGGCGTAGTGATATTGCGCAGCGTAGGGATAGGCGGGATCAAGACAGCAATCCAAATGATACAAAAAATACTCCCATGTCCAATTTGTAGGACGCGACAATGGTGATAGCAATATCCCCGTTCGTATTCCAGTTGGCGTCGGGCCGATAAGCGGGGAGCGGAGCCGCCACCTCTCCCGTTTCTCTTTCTCACATCTCTTTCCCTGCACGCTGTCTTTTGGTCTTATGCGGCATGGTACTGGGCAATGCAGGTATCTCGCGGCGATCGGAGGATCGCTCCAGGCGCTCCATGGTAGCGTATGTGCTCCGGGAATGCGGTATACTCCGTACTAAGATGACAATAACAGATGCAACCGATGTCGCAATAGGAAAACCCGCTGTGCTGGCAATCCACCGCAGCCATGTGCAGCTTGTGTGGATGCAGGTAAACCGTGCGTATATACCGAGGCCGAGAAGCGTGTCTCCATAACCGAAAGGTAAGTACATAGACCCGACCTTCGCTCCTGGGTCCTTACATGTGGTAGCCATTATCGTCAGCTACAGACGCAGACTTCAATACAAGGTAGGTCCGGCCAGGGGTATTCAGATATATATTCACGGGTTGACGCCCAAGGTAGAAGCCAGTCATCCCACGCCCTCCCCGGCCAGCGAGTCCACATCAGCCCATTTTCCAGGCGAGCTGCCACCGGCTTCCAGGGATGATTGGTGGTACAAAGGAACCGACAACTTGTTTTTGAACAGATCTGGGGAACGTCGTATGTATTCATCGGGCCTATCTGGTTACTTTCTTCGTGCTCACTCCGCCAGATTTCGTGGGGGCTTCGTCGACCACACATCTCGCTAAACGACTCAATCCCGGATCAACCAACTTCGCATGGGATGTTCGCCCACTATATGATGATCCAGGCTCACTCAGGAGACCAGTAGGAGGTGCCCTTCCCCAATTACCACCGTTCGAGTTTGCCAAACGGCTGTTTTGGGTGCAATACACCTACATCGGGACCATCTTCTCACTGATCATCCCCGCCGAGTTTGAGGAGAGGCTTGATCTGGTATACCACCAGCCTCTGGACTTTTCGAATCGAGAATCATGTCTGGTGTACTGTCAGGCACTATTGGTGATTGCATTTGGCCTCATGTACAGTGTCAATCAATGGAATGGCGACGATGGCCCACCGGGCTTCAAGTACTTTAAGCATGCACTCCGCTTCTTGCCAGATATCCATGAGGAAGGATCCATTTTCTTTGTCGAGGTCTTATGTTATGTGGCGTACTATATGCAGAGTCTCAACCGACGGGATGCAGCTTTCCTCTATGTTAGTATCCCCGTTGACTTATTGCCCAATCGTCCGCTAATGGCCTAGGTTGGTCTTGCTTTGCGTATGGCTATATCACTCGGTCTTCATCAAGAGGTGTCAGATCCAACGATAAGCGAAGCAGATCGCAACCGACGACGTCGGACTTGGTGGTCGGTTTACAGCTTGGATAGGTATGCTCGATGGTCTGGATTGAGGCTGCGAACCAAGGCTTATAATTGATAGGCTTCTCTCTGTGAAATCCGGTAACCCGATCACCATCCACGATGAAGACATTGGGATCACATGGCCTGGTGCGGTGGTAAGTGAAATGCCTCCGCTCTGTTCGGCTCTTTCTGACTGCCTCCAAGGATGGTTCTACTTTTGACCCATGGCCTTCAACCGTGCTCACTCATTACACCAAACTATCGCGTATTCTAGGACGAATTGGTGAAGGTTGGTTCATTCATCCTTTTCCGATGCGCCGGGAAATGATACATAATGGCACAGATATCTACAGGAAGAAACCTGGATCCGGATCCAACCTCATCGCTTCCGTTCAAAGTATTACCAACGACCTTTCTAGCTGGCTAAGACAGGTACCCGATCGCCTGCGTATAGACTTCTCTGCCCTTGATACCCATATCAATCGCGAGAGTGTCTCCATTAACCTACATTTCTACTCATGTGTGAACATGACCGCGCGTCCCCTGGTATTCTATGTGATCCAAAGGAGACTAGATGCAGAGTCACAAGGGTCTGTCACTCAAGACTGGAAGGAAGGACTCTCGCCGAACACAGTCGCTGTCATCGATAGTTGTATCACGGCAGCCCGAGCCACCACCATGATCATGGATGCAGCAGCCAAGCACAACCTCATTGGTAGGTCACAAGGCCATACCAACCTCCTATTTTTTAGAATACAGAGCTAACGGGTCAAACATTGAAGCCACCTATGGATATCTCGATGGCGAATATGTCTTCTCCGCCGCCCTCTTACTGGTCATGGTCAATGCCGCATTCCCGCACAACGAAACCAGCGCCCGAGCCATGGAAACCGCACTCAATCTCCTTCGTGGAATGGCAGATCGGGGAAACATGTATCTAGGCTCCCGCCATACACTTCTATTGGAATTGAAGGCAGTCCTTGGATCTCGACCCAATTGCACGACCGACACCGTCCTGGCAAGCCCTGCAGCCCTCAAGCTCCCCGTCACGCCGGCAACTGAAGACGGCACGAGTTTATCGGAACGACCTGATCCTGATGTTCAACTGTCCAGCTGTCAGACTCTTCCCAATGACTGGTCACAGGGGTCAGATCTCCCTTCGTTCCAGGATATTGCCTTTCAGTTCAATGTCAATGATGATCCAGCTCTTTGGGAGGGGGCGTTGGACCAAATTGACATCGACATGGATACAGATTGGATTGAGAATCTATTAAAGCGATGATGTTCTTGGATATAAGTTTGCTTCATTTGTTCTATTGTATATCCGAGCATTACCTAGTATGTATATAGTTCAAGGTTGTCACAATCAATTGTAGTACATATCGCAAACATATCTTCCAACCTTAGGTTTAACATACTAGGTAATTCCTAGAGCGTCCCAGCATAGTGAATCCAATGAAGTTTGCCTTCAACTGTTTCCCCGAAATCAGTTATCTCCCTCGCGATCTTCTCCCCCGCGTCGGCCCGAGACTCTTCCCGTCGGCAATGCCATCCCGACACGTGACTATCTACATCGATATCAGCGACATCTTGCGACATCTGTGGATATAATGAGCCCTTGATACTCTTTCCTGTTGATAACATTCACACTTCACTACTCTTTTACCTCTCTTGCATTTCCCTCTTCCTCTCACCTCTCACACAACATGTCCACCGATACAGGGAAACTCACCATCTCCATCGACCGAGGTGGTACATTCACAGATGTGCACGCTATTGTCCCTGGTCGCTCGGACATTATTTTGAAGCTCCTGTCCGTCGACCCTTCTCACTACCAGGATGCTCCCACGGAAGGCATTCGTCAGATTTTGGAGCTGGCCACGGGGGAGCCACACCCCCGAGGTCAGCCATTGAAGCTGGACCGAATTGGCTGTCTGCGAATGGGTACAACTGTTGCCACCAATGCCCTGCTAGAACGCAAGGGTGCACGCTCAGTACTTTTCACCACCAAAGGTTTCCGAGACTTATTAAAGATTGGCGATCAATCGCGCCCCGCCATCTTTGACCTGTCCATGGCACGCCCGGGGGTTCTCCCAGAAAGTGTCGTTGAAGTCAACGAACGTGTGCTGCCTTGTCATCCCTCTGCAGACAGCGACTGTTTCTCAAACTGCCGAATGGTAGAGGGAGTTACAGGTGAGAAGTTCCGCGTGGTTCAAGAGCTGGACCTTGCGCAAGTGCAGGTAGAGCTCCAACAACTCAAAGAGAAGGGCTATCAGTCACTGTCTGTGGCACTTTTACATTCTTTCGCCTACCCCGAGCATGAACGTCAGATCGGAGAACTTGCTCAGGAAATGGGATTCTCCGTTACCCTTTCCTCCAAGCTTCAGCCCATGATCAAAATTGTGCCTCGCGGCATGTCAGCTGCTGCCGATGCCTATTTAACACCCGTGATTAAGACATACATCGACTCCATCTCTGCAAGCTTTGAGGGTGGCTTGGAGAGCCAGCAAGACTGCCGATTCGAGTTCATGCAATCTGATGGTGGACTGGTCGATTTCCGCAAGTTCAGTGGATTGAAAGCAATTCTTTCTGGGCCCGCGGCTGGTGTGGTCGGATTTGCAGCTACTAGCTGGGACCCCACCGAGAAGACGCCCGTTATTGGATTTGACATGGGTGGCACCAGTACTGACGTTTCGCGGTATGATGGCCATCTCGAACATGTGTTCGGTTCCAAGCTTGCGGGTGTTTTGATTCAGTCGCCCCAACTCGATATCAACACAGTCGCCGCCGGTGGTGGGTCCATTCTTAACTGGCGCAATGGCTTGTTCTACGTTGGACCTGAGTCCGCGAGCGCCCACCCTGGCCCGGCCTGTTACCGCAAGGGAGGCCCTCTGACGGTCACAGATGCCAATCTTTTCTTGGGCCGTTTGTTGCCAGAGTATTTCCCTCGTATCTTTGGTCCAAATGAAGACCAGCCTTTGGACACAGAGACAACCGCACGTCTGTTCAATGAGCTAACGCAAAAGATCAATATTGAGCGTCGACAGCAATACCAGTCAGAGTACTCTCCCGAGGAGGTTGCGCTTGGCTTCCTGAAAGTTGCAGATGAATCGATGGCTCGGCCAATTCGCAACCTCACTGAGGCCCGTGGATTTGAGACTGCATCCCATCATCTGGCTTGCTTTGGAGGTGCCGGCGGCCAGCACGCCTGTTCAGTGGCCGACTCTCTTGGAATATCCCGTATCATCATCCACAAATATTCATCTATCTTGTCAGCCTACGGCCTCGCTTTGGCAGAGGTCGTCAAGGAGTCTCAGGAGCCAATCTCGTCGGCCTATTCATCCTCTCACGCTACCCTCCTTGAACGGTTTGATGCCATTGCAGAAACGGCAACGAAGGAGATGGAAGATCAAGGGTTCTCTGCCTCGCAGGTTCAGCACGAGCAGTACTTGAATATGCGTTATGAAGGTTCAGACACCAGCTTGATGATCCTCAAACCCGCAGACTCGGTGGACTTCCTAGAAGCATTCCGTGTTCGCCATCGCCGCGAATTCAACTTCAACTCCGAGCGCCCTGTTCTTGTGGACGACATCCGAGTACGGACCATTGCTTCCTCCAAGGTTCGGACAGAGGAAAGTCCCTTGGTTCAATTGAAGGCAGCCAATATGCAAGATGTTACCACGGCCCCAGCTAGCACAAGCTCCGCCTATTTCGACGGCCAGTCAACCCGCATTGACACGCCCGTGTATTTGCTGGACGAGCTGGTGAAGAACTCTCGTGTTGCTGGCCCAGCTGTCATCATTGACAATACGCAGACAATTGTCGTCGCTCCCAACGCAGTGGCCAACCTGCTTGACACTTGCATTGTCATCGATCTTATTGAGGATGAAGCTACTGCCTCTGCAAGCAACTCCATTTCCTCGGGAATTGACCCCATCAGGCTGAGCATCTTTGGACATCGCTTCATGTCAATTGCCGAACAGATGGGTCGCACACTGCAAAAAACCTCGGTTTCAACTAACATCAAGGAGAGACTGGACTTCTCTTGCGCTCTGTTCTCTCCGGACGGAGGGCTGGTCGCCAATGCGCCGCACGTACCAGTCCATCTCGGATCTATGCAATTTGCTGTGCGATACCAGCATCAAAAGTGGCTAGGGAACTTGAAGGATGGCGATGTGCTTGTTTCCAATCACCCTAGCTGCGGAGGTACCCACCTTCCTGATATCACTGTGAGTGACAAGACCCTCCGTTGAATCATCTCATTGTTTGCTAACTTTGTTATTCAGGTTATCACCCCCGTGTTTGATCGTCCTGGAGGCTCCGAGATCATGTTCTACGTAGCCTCTCGTGGGCACCACGCGGATATTGGTGGTATTTTGCCCGGGTCAATGCCTCCCAAATCAACCGAGCTGTGGCAAGAAGGCGCCGCCATTGAAGGCGACAAGATTGTCAGTGATGGGGTTCTGGACGAGGCGCGCCTGATTGAGCTTCTCGTCACCAAGCCATCACAGTATCCCGGCTGCGCTGGGGCCCGCTGTATCAGTGACAACCTTTCCGATCTCAAGGCCCAGATTGCCGCGAACACTCGCGGTATTACTCTCATCCAAACCTTGTTCAATGAATACGGAACGCAGACAGTGCAAAAGTACATGTATGCCATCCAGGCAACTGCTGAGACTGCTGTGCGGAATCTGCTGAAGGAACTTTACCAAAAGTTCAACGGCCAACCTCTTGAGTCGGTCGATTACATGGACGATGGTACCCCCATCAAGCTCAAGGTCACCATCGATGGCGATGACGGATCCGCCATCTTCGATTTTGATGGCACAGGCCCCGAGGTATACGGTAGTTGGAATGCCCCCATTGCCATTACTCACTCGGCCATTATCTACTGCCTGCGCTGCATGATCAATGCAGATGTTCCCCTGAACCAGGGGTGCCTGGCACCAATCGATATCCGCGTACCATCTCCCAGCATTCTTTCCCCAACCAAGACAGCAGCTGTCGTAGGCGGCAATGTCGTCACCTCCCAGCGTATCACCGACGTCGTATTCAAGGCTTTCCAAGCCTGTGCAGCATCGCAAGGCTGCTGCAATAACCTGACTTTCGGCACCGATCCCAAGGTTGACCCATCCACTGGCGATATCATCACTCCCGGCTTTGGATACTACGAAACGATTGCCGGTGGAAGCGGCGCCGGTCCAACATGGAAGGGTGAATCCGGCGTACAAGTGCACATGACAAACACGCGTATTACGGACCCCGAAATTCTGGAAAAGCGCTACCCGACCATGCTTCGACAGTTCACTTTGCGCGAGGGGTCAGGGGGTCAGGGCAAGAATCCAGGTGGTGAGGGAGTCATTCGCGATATTGAGTTCCTGTCGCCCATGAAGTGCTCAATTCTGTCTGAGCGACGTGTTCATCAGCCATATGGACTTGAAGGGGGACACAACGCGGAAAGAGGATTGAATCTTTGGGTTACGCGGGATGATGAGACTGGCGAGGAGCGGACTATTAACATCGGTGGTAAGAATACCGTTGAGATGAAGACGCACGACCGGATCGTGATCAACACTGCTGGTGGTGGTGGTTGGGGTGCTGTATGAACCTTGAAGTTTTTTGATGCAATTACTAGCTCAATAATTTATGACATTTGAGACAACTTTGATATTCAGCCCATTTGTGAAGTGACGCATTCAAAGATGGCTCTATAATCCCGGATCATGGTCGACTTCCCATGGCAAAAGCATTTGCATCGACCCGATCTATGCCATTAGTTGCCATGATCTCTCGCCACATACAATAGTAGCTCCGGTGTGTGCAAAGTGGTGGATATCTCAATTGCAATGCTATAAATACATGTACACATGGCCCTCAGGCATGGCTCACAACTTGGCCTTTTCAAACGCCGGCCGCCACATCTCGTTCTCTAGTCGACTTGTGTTGATCATTTCTGGCCGAAGCTGATCTAGAGAAGTCACTCCAAGCATCTTCATGGTAATCTCTACCTCCTCCGCGAGAACTGCAATGTCATTAGTCTCCCCACGTCGGTATCAATGGCATCGGGAACTTACTGTCTGTGCACCTTTCCACCCCTTCCGCGCCGTATGCCGCAAGGGCATAGTAGTATGGCCGACCAACTCCCACAGCTGTCGCTCCAAGACACAAGGCTTTGAGGACATCCGCCCCATCGCGAAGACCGCCATCCACAAACACTTGAATCTTATCAAACGCTTCGGGATAGTACTTTCGGATTTCCAGGAGGGTCATCAGGGAACTCGGGGCAGAATGAATCTGCCTGCCACCATGGTTACTCAACAAGACTCCCTGGACGCCATGCTGCACCGCCAGCTTCACATCCTCCACGCTTTGGATTCCCTTGAGAACGAGGGGACCGTTCCACTCTTCGGCGATCCATTTCAAATCCTCCCAGGAGAGCCCAGCATCCACCGAGCCGGGAACCTGCCGACCTCCAAATGCGGGGGCAAAGTCATTCTCACTGTGGATGTCTCTCGCATTTCCTGCCTGGCTTGCATCGAGATTTTCCTGCGCCTGAAGGTATCGATCTGCGGTACGCTTGCCCAGTGTAGAGGTATCGACGGTGACCCACAGACTTTGATACCCTGCGGCTTTCACCCTCTGAATCAGAGCCTTGGCTCTGGTTCGGTCTTCGGGGACATAGAGCTGGAATGACAGGTTGGCAGGGCTCTGGTTGTTGAGTGCACGCTGCTCCTCTCGATGTGCGTTCATGATCTCCTCCAAGGGTTTTGTGGATGCCGTACTGATCATCGTGTGCATGCCTTTCCGGGTAGCTCCCCGCACGAGCAAAGGCTCTGCACCTGGGTGTGAGCTGCCCAATGTCCCCATGGCTGATATAAAGAATGGAAATTGTGAACTGTGTCCCAAAATGGACCTCCTGGTATCCATTCGATCCACTCTTCTCAGGATTCGGGGACGGAAGTTAATCAAAGACCAGTCATCCAGGTTGGAGCGCATTGAAAGCCCAGTGGCTGCCGAACTTGACGCATATACCCATGACTTCTCTGGGAGAATGTCTTTGGCGACCTTCTCAAAGTCCTCTGTGGTAACACAGAGCGAGAGGTGAGGAGTGTTGTTGGCCATGATTTGAATGATTTTTGCTAGCGACTGAGAGACTGTCATAAGTGCATTGAGAATAACAGGGGTAGTGAAGTTATATCAGTATAGTTCCCCCACACCCCCCACACCGGGCCCGGCTGCCCGGCTGCCCGATTTCGGCCCCGACCCCCGGCTTCTGACTGCCGTGGGCTGCCCAAACAGGTAATTCCCGTCACCGACCTGCGCACCTTCCCCATCTGCCGATTGTTCCGTGTGACCTGACCACTTCGATCTCTTGGAATTCGACTTCTTTTGCGTCGGAAATGGAGTCCCGGACTCTTCTCGTGCGAGAAATGCGATATTCCAGGACTTAGGTCTACACCGCAAGATCATTGATGCTTGCTAGAACCTGTTGAGCAGTGCATGAGCGTGCATTCCTTGGTATAATGGAGAGAGCAGGGACCTACGGTAACATCCTCTTCTGGGCTTCCATGGAGTGTGATGGAGTGGGGGAATTTGCAGTGACTTTTCCCGCCATCATGGGACGAGATTCAGACATGGCAGGGGACCTTTGCGGATCCTGTAGAGGACTGTCAGTACGTGAGCAGTTTTGTGAGTCGATCTGACTGAACTCACTGGTCGAGGCCCATAAGGTGTGGCAATTCCCGCCCCCAGGAATAAAGCACAGACGGCTGTCAGACGCATAGTCAGATCCAGAAGTGCGGAGTGTAGTATATCGGAGCTAGACTGCCCAGGTGACTCTCTGAGAGGCTCAAGCTTGGGATAACGATGTCTATTGTAAACTTTGAGCTTCACATTATCTTCATACAATCCATATATCATGAAACATACCAGCCCTGCAGTGGTGATGAATGGAAAACCCGCCTCTTAGTATCAGAACCTTGGAATATGGGGAAAGAAACATTGAAGTCCTTAGTCTGCTTCACTACTAGGCAAGATCGGGCATGTCTAGTTATAGCCATACCCTGATGTCAATGGAATGTGAGAATGCTCTCGATGTCATATTGCGTCACTCATAGCATCCTCTTCAAGTCACCCCTTGTTTGACACAAATCTATGAAGAGAATATTTTCCGCTTGCATCTGACTATGCGCAGCGAAATGACCCGTACCTTGACCTAAGTCCACGGTAGGAGAGTTTCTACCTACAAGATCATACGTGCATGTAGTTGATATTTCGTACTCATGATTGTGTCACAAGCTTTTACTTAGGCAGGGAAATGGGTTTAGCATTCAGTATTGTACTAATTCCTTCCGAGGCGCGCGGCGGAGATCAAAATTGAACGTCCTGATTTGATCACCGAGCGTCCGAGAGCCCGGGGGACCTTGCATGGAGTAGATCATTGTATATTGCCTATTTACACGTGATTATAGGCCGGCGATCACTTGCCTAGTACTAGATGACCAGGTACAGAGTATAAAGCTCCTGTGTATATTGATGCCAGCTCTTGACAGGTTTGCAAAACATAGGGCTTTATGTTCTGTGTGTCTTGCGTAGAAAGTAAATTAAACCTCAATTGTGGAGCCCGGGAATGATTCGGCTCTTTAATCACTTTACCTGCAAGGAACATATGCATCTGCGTCGAGGTGCATCCATCGATCTATGGATGTATGCATGAATACTTCCAAGGTACCTCGAAAGGGATACGAAAGTAGGTACAGCTCCATGTACCTGCCAAGTACCTAAAGCTCCAGCGACCCAATCACAATGTTAGTAAGCATCACATGCCCGGATCTGTCAATTTGCTTCTTTTTTTCCTTTTTGTTGCAGTTTCAATTTCACGTTTGGCTTTTTGTTCTTGGCTTGGACTATGAACTTCCCTGTGCCTGGTTAGCCATGGCGCTCACTTCCTGATCACTCCTGCACACCCGACCCTCCTTCAGATCCTCCATCCGAGGACAAAAAAACCCTCTCAGTCGCATTCAGCACAAATTGACTCGATGCCAAAATCACCGTCTATCGTGTTTATTGCCAGGTGAGCAATGGCCCCGAATGTGCCCTTCCACTGCTAATCTCCCGGTAGACACGGCGCCCGGCTCGATGCTGCGGATAAAGATTGGCATTTGACAGCCCCAGAGCCTTACAATCCACCCCTATCCTATGGAGGCTGGATGCAAGCGCGCGCGCTCGGTGTGCGTATTTCCAGTCTGCTCAGGAATCGGCATTTCACCGGGCAGGAGCCTCGAGGTCCGCACCAGCATCGTCCGACCTCGGATGGCCAGGCAAAACCCACCCCCGCATCCTCGGACCTGTGTCACCGATATAACGTCATTGTCCATACCTCTCCATTCCTTCGATGTCTACAAACCGCTATAGGAGTCAGCGCTGGCATCAATCAACAAAGCACAACCACAGGAACACCCGGGGTGACCAGCCCATTTCCCACCATTCCAGAAGCCCCCACCCTCGATACACGATGCTTGGTCCGCGTCGACGCTTTCCTCGGCGAGTGGTTGTCACCAGACTACTATGACCAGATCACACCCCCGCCAGGCTCGGATAGGATGGTGGCGTTCGCCAAAGGAGAACTCATTCGACGTGCCGAGGTCATTCCCGCCGCGGATGGGTCGACGCGGGCGTTGTCAGGTCATTTCCCAGGCGGCTGGGGCAGTCGATCTCAACCTACCTCGCCGGCCGAGGATGAGGAGCGACGTCTGCAACAAGTCCCTGAACAGACCCAGCGCCAGCGCTCGAGCACCTACGCTACGCTACCAACCCCCGTGACCACCAAGCATGCTAAGACAGCTCTGGGTCGCCTGAACACGGATTTAGCGCCTACCGTGGATGCTTCCTACGTGCCCCCCACTCCAAGCTATGCTGTATCTGCCTCAGACCCCATACCTACCGGCTACGTTGCACATGCGCGGGATGCATGCACTAAAATTGATTACCAATGGGACAGCATGCGCACACCATATTGGGGCACAGGTGGGGAGTACGGCGAAGAATGGAGTACCATGCATGAACGCGTCCACGATGGTTTCCAACATATGATCAACTGGTACCGAGAACAGAACACAGCCCCTTTAACCCAGTCCCGCGGCGCCGACGGCGATGAAGTGGAACCGGAACCAGAGACGGTTCTTATCCTCATCACCCATGGCGCCGACTGCAATGCTCTGATCAGTTCGCTAAATGGGCACTCGGTTCTGGTTGATATCAACACAGCCTCGCTTACAATGGCTGTGCGACGCGACCGAGTCAATAACCCCTCGGCAGACATGGATCCCATGCCTCCATCCTCGGAGCCAGAGAACCAATCGGTGTCGCGGGAATACTCCCTGCAGTTTGTGGCGTCGACTGATCACCTGCGTCCGGGTATCAATCCCTCACAGCTGACCTCGCTGGCATCTCCCTCCGCACCGGCAGTGTCTCCATCGGTGTCTTCTTATCGAAATCGCCTGGGTGCTCGGCCGTCACTCCAAGCATCGTACACCAATAGGCCCTCGCCTGGCTCCAGCTCCAGTCTCCGTGGATGGACGTTGGCGAAGCGTCCCTCCACGGCTTCTCGCGGTGCCGGTGGACTCTGGGGCTCGGTCGAGAAGACAGCCGAAACCGAAGACCCATTCCCGGACTTTGGAGATCGACCAGCCAGCCACGATTCGGCAATCCCGGATCAGGCTGGAGATCGTGGCTGGGTCAAGCAGCTCCCGCAGCGCACACAGTCGCAGCGTGGACTTTGGGGAAGTTCACAAGATGATCGTGAAGGAACGAAACGACGGTGGACAGTGACGGAGCAGAAGTTATGAATGTTTATACCACTTTTGCATGGCGTTGGCCTTTTATTTTTACGAGAACACGACACCTTATTCCCCGGGCATCAAGGCATCAACGTGGCGTTTGTCAACCCCCTCATTGTTTGTTTCCCTTTGCTTGTACTCTTCTCTTCTCTCTCCCTTTCTGGCTTCTCTTCCTCTCCCCTCTTCTTACCTTATCGTGCTTTTTCATGTCGGCTCTTGAAGTCGACGGTCTCTCCGTCACTTATTCTTCTGATCGCACCGGATCCCCGGATCTGCGGCTGATCCACTACAATGATGTCTATCATGTCGAGTATGCGCTTCCTGTTCCTTTGATACTCGGACATTTTTCTAAATATTCCTACGTAGATCAGGCTCTGCAGAGCCTATTGGCGGCGTGGCGCGGTTTCAATCCCTCGTAAACTACTACCGTGCCCACTCCCAGTTTGCCGGACAACCCGATGTCCTGACATTCTTCTCCGGCGATGCATTCAACCCGAGTATCGAAAGCACAATCACAAAGGGCAGACATATGGTTCCATTCCTCAACACCGTGGGCACCGATGTGGCATGTGTCGGTGTAAGTATGAGAGCCTACCCGGCATGCAGGCACACCGCTAATCCGGTCCAGAACCACGACCTTGACTTTGGGGTGGTCCAATTCCGCCATCTGGCAAGTCAGTGCCATTTCCCCTGGCTGTTGGCAAATGTCCTTGATCCAGCACTGGGGGAGGACACCCCAATCGCTGATTGTGGAAAGACCCGCATGCTGACTTCAACAAATGGACTCAAGATTGGCGTCTTAGGTCTCGGAGAACGAGAATGGTATGTTGCTCATCCGGAGCTTGGTGTCCGAGGATTCAGCTGACCCGAGGCCAAGGCTCGACACTATCAATGCGCTTCCGCCAGATCTGATCTATCAATCTGCATCCCAGACAGCCCAGAAACTTGCGAAACAACTCCGAGATGATGGAGCAGATCTTGTTGTTGCCGTCACCCATCAACGTGAGCCAAATGACTATAAGCTGGCGAACAACCTCTCGCCCGGTCTAGTTGATATTATTCTTGGAGGCCACGATCACTTCTACGCCCACGCCGTGGTCAATGGGGTCCATATTATTCGGTCGGGGACCGACTTCAAACAACTGAGCTACATCGAAGCATTCCGCAAACCTGGTGATCGCCCTGGTTGGGATTTTAACATCACGCGACGAGATGTGGTTCGTTCTATTCCCGAAGATCCCGACACAGTGGCCATGGTGGCCCGACTCGGTGCCAGTCTCAAGGCCAAACTGGACAAGCCCATCGGCTTTACGGTCAGCCCACTGGATGGCCGCTTCTCCACCGTGCGCCAGCGTGAGTCGAATCTTGGTAATTTTGTCTGCGACCTGATGCGCTACTACTATGCCGCGGATTGTGCCATGATGGCAGGTGGCACGATTCGCGGTGATCAAATTTATCCTCCGGGGATTCTCAAGCTGAAGGATTTACTGAACTGTTTTCCATTTGAGGATCCGGTGGTTCTGATACGCGTTCGCGGTCATGCCTTGTTGGCCGCGCTGGAGAATGGAGTAAGCCAGCTTCCCGCACTCGAGGGCCGGTTCTCACAAGTCTCGAATATCAGTTACGGGTTCAAGTTGGAAGCGCCGTCAGGATCTCGAATCACATTCGCTCGAGTTGGCGGCGAGCCCATTGACCTGGAGCGTGACTATGTCGTCGCCACACGCGGGTATATGGCTCGCGGGAAAGACGGTTTCACCTCATTGTTGATTGAGGCTGAAGGGGGTGAGGTAGAAGAGCTTGTGAGTGAAGAGAACGGTGTTCTTATCAGCACAATCCTGCGACAATATTTCCTCAGTCTGAAGGTCCTCGGTAAATGGAATCGCTGGAGCGCCAGTCTTCGCCGTCATTGGGGCACCGTGCATCGTAATTTGCACAATGAAGGCTGGCTCAAGCCGCCTTCTGCCTGTACATCTCCCAAGGGCGAGAAAAAGACGCCTGGGAAGAGACTGGAACGGCCGACGCTTCAACGAACGTCCCGAGCAGCATACTACTATGGCCGATTCCCGGAGGAAGTCGAACAACGGAATCAGGATCCCACGGCAGATGAGACGAATGGCAATGCCATGGACTCCGATTCTGATGAGGATCCTGATATCCTGACCTCGTCGCGACCAACCACTAACTACGTCACTCAACCTGCTCAGTCCTCCGCCGAGGAGGAGCACCGTCTGCAAGTAGCGCGGCGGGTAGTGCGCAAGTGGATGCGGCATGCGGGCTTGCAGTCCGACAACTTGAACACCATGGACGGCGAAGGGGAATTCACTCCGGCCTGGACATCGGGTATCTCCCCTAGACTGGAAGGTCGGATTGTGCAAGAGTAGACATGCCCTTTTCGTTTTCGTTTCCACTTTTTCTTTTCTTTGGGGTCTCTTATTCTTACTTTCGGTACTTGTCTTTACGATCTACTACATGTTTGGCATTTTGCATTTGCATTTTGCATGTACGCTGGCTATAGTAGCCCGGTGTTTCAAGGTTGGCTGGTGGAAATGCATATAATACCCCGATCACGATGATGCTCAATCAGACTTCTTCTTTTGAGTCTCCTTTCGCAGCAGATAGTCGCCTCCTCTCCATGCCTTGTAGACTCCGTACAGCCCACTGAAGGGCCAAACGTCCCAAAGGGCACGTTTGACCATTCCCTTCCAGCCACTTTCAAAGTCACCTCGGTGCGCCCCAGGCAGGTCTTCAGGGCGCACTCGCACTTTGTCATACAGAGTCGGAAGATGCTGAGCATGGTATTTGCCACGGAGCGCATCATACGCAGGCCTGTCGTAGATGGCCCAGAACTCATCTTCTGTATAGTAAGCATGAGCGTACAACCATTTCTTTCCTCCCAGACTCTGAACCTTGTGTTCCAACTGTCGGTTCTGAGCGACAAACCTGGCCTGCTCAGTGGTCACACCGGGGCCCCAAATCCCGAAGTTGAGCAATGTGGTCTTTTGTGTGTCCACTTCGTCCCCCTCTCCCTTGTCGACGGATTGTCCTTCTAGTCCTCCCGCGCTTCCCGGGGGAAGCGGGCAGAGCCAGAGTGGGTATTGCCCGAAGTTTTCAGGGCGATCTAACCAGTCGAGAAATTCGGCGGCCTTGGATACAGGGACACCAACATCTTGGATGACATACCGTCGCCCCAGACCACTGACGTGCAGAGCGTGGTACATGACCCGGGTGTACATGAAACGGTTCAGCAGCCAGCGTGTCACAAAGGTGAACGGGACACAGAAGTAGTGGAAGGCATAACGAGCAACCCAAAAACCACCCCGATCGTAGCGAAACAGGTAGTCCGTCAGGGGGATATAATCCACAGCATGGGGCGTGTGAGAATCAACATGGCCGAAGGCTCCGGCCGTAGCACGCTGGACATGCAAGTAGAACCAATCATCCTGGCGGCGGGTGAAGCGCTGGAGTTTGGCAGAGGCAGTTTCCACCTGTCGTCCTGCGCAAACGACAATTTGATTCCGGGAATAGACGATCCCATCCACGAATTCGGTCTGGGGATCAGCGCCAACTTGCTGCAAGATACGCACTGCATCATTCATATCGGAGCTAACATAATATTTCAATTCAACCAGTGGTTCTGCCTTCTTCAGACGGACCTCCAGTAGAGTGACCACGCCGAGAGTCCCGAAGGAGGATGCCGCGCCCCAGAACAAGTCAGAAAAGCCGGACCCCGCGGTCTGAACGCGGTCGTTGTACGCTTTCACCACGTCCCCATTGGCGAGGACGATTTCGATCCAATTGATCGTATGGTCGAAGAACCCCTCTCGGAAGGAGGAGCTCTCCCCCGATGTTCCCGAGAAAGCACCACCCGTGGTGATTCCTGGAAATTCGGGGACCACTAGGGGGACTAGGCCATGAGCCCTGGTGGCAGCCACCAAGGCGTCCATGGGGACATTGGGCTCAACGATTGCAGTGCATTGGTCGACATCGATCTCCAAGACACGGGTGAGATCGGCCGTGCTGATGGTGGTGGATGCAGAATGATTGGAAGGGCGAGTGCTGTTGGTTGAGCCATGATATATGCGAAAGGGTTGTTGACGCTGGTAAAACTCAGCGACCCGCGCTGAGATCTCTTTTACAGCTGTAGCATGATCCATTCCAAGGTTGGAAGCAAAATATGGTAAAATGCAAGATAAAAGATGCAGGTCAAAAGAGTTAAGAGATGAACTTGGAAGAAGGGAAAGTTGGGGTTTAGGCACCGGGATTCCCGGGGGCCATTTATACTACAAAACACAGCTTTTGAATACTTCATGTTCGCTAAGGTATCATAAAAAATCGTCCAAAAGAAAAGAAGAGAAAAATACACCGGTTCTTAACCGAGTCCAACGGGACGTGCCCCTGCAAGATTGACGACGCGTCCACCTCCTCCCAGCCCAGTAGGCGCTCGAGGCTGAACCCATCCAGGGACTGACTTATCAAGGCTTTCATGCGCAGAGATTGTCTGCCAAACATTTGGGAAGCCTGTGGGCATAATACCCTTCAATTTGGCGCCCGGGACAGCAAATCGGGGTTCACGGTGGAGTAGGTAACCACCCATGAGGCCCTGGGTGAGCAAGGAAGCCAAAATGGATTCAATCTCTCGCATCATAGGGGACTTGTCCGGTTCCATGCTATCTTCGGGTGTGAATTCGTAGGGATCGAGTTCGCAATCGTCGTAGGTCTCCTGCGGAGTATTGTCCACGGGGGTGCCCTTGGCATTGGGAGCCAAATGTCCTTCTTGGGTATACAAGCCTCCTGGGGCGAAATAATCGCCATAGTCATTTAAGACGTGCTGCTCGGTTGAGGGGTCTGGACTTCCATTGGCCGCTTCGAGCGCCGAGTAGTCAGGGTCCAGAGCCTCATCAACGATCTGAGAACCATGGATGTTGGAGTACGGCGGCGATTGGGCGATCCCGGCACTCGAGGGTATATGTTGTGACTGGAGCCATCGCGTAGCTGCGGCAATCTTTTTGAGGTAGAGAATGGGAGGCGGTCCACGCTGCGCCTGCGCCTGCGGACCTCGATAGGAACCTCCGTACATGAAAACTTTGCGTGAAAACGATCGCCACACGAGGACTTCACACCTATTGCGAAGGGCGAGGAGAATTCCTTTACGTGCGAACCAGTGAGCGGTTGGGGAGCCAACCGAGAGATGTTGTCGGAAGGCGAGGTAGTCCCCACGAACGATCAATTGACAAATCGGTTGGAAGTGTTGCGCGAGTCCCTGCGCCTCAGGTCTTTGGAAGAGCGCTTGTGAAGGGAACCGGCCGAGGATGATGTTGCACGGAATGAGGTATGAGAGGATCAAGTGGCGTTGGCTGGTGGCCTGGCGGTGGCATTGATCGTAGGCGGACTGGAGAGCGATCTGGGCAGGGTAGAAGAGGTTATTTGCGAAGAGGTATCGTCCGAGATAGTAGAGGTATGTGACGCGTTGCGAGGCAGGGAAGTAGGCTAGGGGAGGTGATTGAGCGCTGATGCTGGCGAACATCTGTTCGGCGTTTCGCAGTTTCCCGCACTAAGTCAAGCGCGTCAATTGTTGGCCTGCGATAGTAAATATGGATCGGAGAATCATACCTGGAAGAGCAGCTTGAGGCAAAGGTTGGCCATGAGGTAGATACCCACACGTTTTCCCTCCGGCTTCCCATTGGGGCCAGGAGTGCCAGTACGATCGGTCAGACACTTGATGAAAGCTTCGCGCACAACGTTGGCAGACTTTTCCACCAAAGTGACCTTTTCCACACTCTCATTTTGATCTGTCTGGCCTTCCATCCGTCGAATGTGGGCGATCAAATCTGGCCGACGGTCCAAGCCGAGGGCCAACTTGGCGAGCACTTTGGCTAGGTATAGAACGGTGGGGAGAACGACGACGCCGAATTGACTATCACCCAGAGCGAGCACGCACTGACTGCAATGGTTCCTCAAGTCAGCCTGTGTCGTGAAAGGTCGCAGCTCGGGGCCGCGCGCGGGGCGCAACCCATCACAAGGTATCGGATCTTACTTGAGCAGCGCTTTCAGCTGGTTGTATGTCTCGAGGAGGTTATCGGTGTTCATCTCGCGGAGGAAGATCAGATACATCTTCATGAAGACGGGGAACGCGGCCCATGAGGAGCCGCTCTTGGTCCGGGGGACAAGGCGTTCGCATCGCTGCAGGATGTCGGCATCCGCTTTGGCACCGGCGGCATAGTGCTGTCGAAGCTCGGCTGTCAAGCGCTGATATATCTCGGACAAAGGTGGTTCAAGTTGGAGAAAGTCCTGGAGTTTGGAGCCGTCGCGATTCTGCACTATCTCCTGCAAATTTCCAAGAAACTGGTCAAGGACGGGAGATTGACTCATTTTGGGCGAGCAGAATGCTCAGAGGCGTCCTGGCTTCACACCAGTAGAAATGATCAGGTTGGATGTGAAGCACCGGAGTTGACAGGACGGTTGAAAGAGGTCCAGCTTTGGGCAGAATCCGACCGCCCATTGTATACAATGCTTGGCTTTGTCGATCTGGTATCGTTGGAATCATAGATGAAAGAGATAAGGATGATTTCTATTGGCTTCCAAGGTTATTTTGAAGAGTTTACTTGGATGGAGCTCTCGTCCATGGAGCTTTATTGCCCTGGACACCCCTCAACTGAGATCAACACATGCATCGGCAACAGCACTGGATCGGCCATCTGCATATTGGATGGAAATGATAAAATGGTACTTGGTAAAATAGGCGCATACCTAGTACGAAGACGACCTGGATCTCTCAGTGCCCTGTGTGCCGTATGGTTACTATACACAGTTCACTTCGCGGCGTACTATAGTCTATAGATCAAGAGCTTAGTTGTCTCTGTAAACTACAAACATCGAGGACTCCAATACAATTTTTGGTTCCATTGAGAACCTTGGAATAGACCGTATATAGCTGGGTATTCTGTAGCTCTTCATTGTATATATTCAAGGTATTTCAAGGTTAAACCCCAGATCAAGAGCACATGCATCAACCTGCATGTCATATCATATACTCCTACTCCGTACAGAATATGGGCATTCTCAGTATCAGAGTCTTCAATTAATACATACTAGTATATATATATATGTATGTATAGAATCAAATATTTCATACGGGGCACATTACTTCATTCTGGCCAAGTTCCTGGATATGATGTCATCCATTTCACATGTGAAAACCAACTACAAATATGCCTCTTCTTCCGCCAATTGCTCTTTCTATCACCATCTTTGCACTATGTCAACGGATTCTGGCATACCACCCATCATAAGGCACCCCTTTGTGGTGACCTTCACTTGGTTCTACATGGCCCTACAAGCTGTCTTGACCTGGGTCTTCGCTCCGGTCCCCCCACCTCCAACCATGGGGAATGAAAACATCCCCAAAAAGAGAGTCGCGGTAATTGGTGCCGGTGTAACGGGAGTCTCGTCGGCAGCACACTGTGTGGGACACGGCTTCGATGTGCAGTTATTCGAATCGAGAAACAAGGAAAAGGGCTTGGGTGGTATCTGGAGCGTACGTGACAATCAATTGAGCAAGTTCAACGCTGGGACATCAGCTAACCCTGGTTTAGAGAGTCAATTCCACCTCAGCTTTGCAGGTCCACAGTCTCATGTACCGTTTCCATCCAGCAGTCAGCTTCAATACCGCATATCCCACTCAACAACAGATCAAGGAGCAAATCATCGGTCTGTGGAAACGCTATAACTTGGAAGATCGCACTGTCTTTGATACAAAGATCACTTCGGTCAAGCAGAACGACAATGGGAAGTGGATCATCAACGACAACGAAGAGCAGTACGGTCTCTTCGATGGCGTCCTGGCGACAGTGGGCGTGTGTGGTGACCCCAAGATGCCACCCTTGCCGAACCAGGACAAGTTCAAGGGCGAGATCTACCACTCCTCTGAGTTGGATGGAAAGAGCGCAAAGGGCAAGAAGGTGCTGATCGTGGGTGGTGGCGCCAGCGCCATTGAGGCCTTGGAGTTTGCCGTCAAGAATGGTGCTGCTGAGATCGATGTCCTTTCTCGATCGGACAAGTGGATCATCCCTCGAAACGTCCTTGTGCAGTCTCTGTTAGCATGCAACATTTTCGGCCAGGAAATCACTCTCTCGTGGATCCCTGAATGGCTGCTGCGAAAGTTCTTCTACCGTGACCTCCAAGATATCGCGCCCACAGACAAAGGAATCTTCACCCAAACACCCATGGCCAACGACGAACTGTTCAATCAAATCCGGGAGGGCAAAGCCCATTGGCTCCGAGGTGACATTGTCTCGCTAGAAGAGAAAGGAGTTTCGTTCAACTTCAGGTCCAAGGGAGTCCCCAAGGGAGGACCCGGCCGGGAGCGACTTGTTGAAGGAGACATCATCGTCATGGCGACTGGCTTCAAGCGGCCCTCTCTGTCCTTCTTGCCGGAGGAGGTATTCGAGGAACCGTACGGCCCGCCGAGCTGGTACCTCCAAGTCTTCCCTCCCAAGTACCCAGACATCTGCGCAAACAACAGTACCTACGTCGATGCAATTGGCACAGTGGGCAACATGCACATTGGAATCTACACCCGATTCTTGCTGATGTTCCTCACTGATCCATTGACGCGCCCAAGTGAACAACGGATGAAGGTATGGATCGATTTCACAAGGTTCATGAAGCGCTTCAGCCCCACTGGAGCGTTCGACTTCTTTACCTATGCCGAGCTCATATACTGGTACGTCTTCTGTTTGGTCGTCAATCCCTTCCGTTGGAAGTGGGCGCTATTCGTGTTCTTTGGTATTGGACGTGGTTTGCCTTTGACGATCGTGGAGCAAGAGAATGCATTCCGCAGAGAGTTAAAGAAAGAGCGCAAGGCCCACAAGTCCGAGAAGTCCAAGGCCAACAAAGCCAACAAGGCTCATTAAGGTATTTCTCGGGTGAAAACGGTATCAAATGCTATGAACAATGCAGCTCTGGGGATATGTGGAAATGAAATGCAGAACCCCATCTAAATCATGTATCTACAATACTTATGCTCGATAAAAATTACGTTTTTTCCAATATTTAAGGTATCTTGAAATGAAGTAAACCCGACTGATATGATTAGGCCAAATTGATTAACGCAGTTGCTTACTGTTCTTTGATCTCTGGTATCTTCTTGTCAATGTTGGTAGCTACATTTCCACCCCGCAAGAAGCGGCCTGGAATGTAACGGTTTTCCTCCAGCCATAGGATAGGCCAGAGCAAGGACACGCCCACGACGCAGAAAAGGGTGGCAATGATGTGCCAACCATAGATGAGCCAATGTCCGATATGTGGCAGGATAAACTTGACAAATTCCGACGATTGGTATAAATCCTCTTGCTTGGAGATGTGATAGAGCTTGCGGTCCCCATTGGTCGTGGCGTCACTTTGCAAGGGTTCACAGGTCAAATCCAACACACTCGTGAGGGTCACAGAAGCCACATGGAACGGAACTAGCCAGATAGAGAAAATTTGTGACATGTTTATGTACAGCTTGGCCTTTTCCTCATCAAAGGCTGAATGGAAGACAAGTCAGCTTCCATCTCTCTCGCAAAGGCGTAAACTTACCAATGGAATGGATTTCCAGCTCGATCCGGGGTGACATGATTTTGTACCACTGGAAGATCTTGGTCACCCACCATCGACTCCCTTGGAAGTGGGGGACTCGACAGAAGGGGTGTACGAAAGAGGCATCGCTGGTGAAATACCGCTCCAGGACCGTTTCTTGCACCGTGGGCGGCGACTGTGTCAGAAGACGGATGACGGTGGGGATTTCAGCCACTGGGAGAGTCAGTCTGGTCCTTCAAATCGAATTGTACAACTCACCTGGATTCTCCATGGTCTCGGGTATACAGGGTGTGTGGAGGAGAAGAGAGAAAAGCCCGCGATATCAAGTTGTATACCGATGACATCATTCACATGTGAACCCCTGTTAGCCCTAGTGTCTGGACAGCACCAATTTCGAATGCTGAGAACATCATGAAGATGAAATATCGAATATCTCCCCAGGCGTCTCTTTAGATCTCTACTGTATTTCAAATCGATGTGTCAAGTACGGAGACATGTTAAGGCCATCGGCATGCCGAATGATCGGATATAGGGCATCTCATCGGATTCAATATATGTCGCAAATAGTTATATGCAGTGGTCGACACTCTAATCAAACAAACTCCGTGGCCAGACGGTATCACACCCGAAACGCCTTTTGCACATGGATATTCATCCATCTCTTTCTACCGCTTCCAGCTATCAACCTTCTTTCTCCGCTTGTCGAAGATCTGTCCCATACCCACACCATCGCTGCGCTGCCCGTCCTCGTTGCGGGTTCTCTTCCGGCTCTTTTCCAGTGCTGCACCATTGCCCTTTGTTTTCCGGGTGAGGCGCTCGATGTGATCAGCACCCGCATTGAGATCCTTCCACTCGTCACCACCATATGTGGTGTCCTTCCTTCCACCTCGCTTGGCCAATTCCTTCTTAGTCTCCTTGGGCAAGCGGACGAAGTTGGTTTCTTCGTAGGTGGTGCGCTCCTGCTCATGCTCCCGATCCTTCTTGGATTTGGTTGTCCGGCCACCATCGATGATCGTGCTACCAACGCTAGGCTCGGCCATAGGCGCAGATGACATTTCGGCGTTGACGAAGTCGTCAATGACATTGGATCGAACGGGTCTGCGGTCTTGGCGCTCGCGGCGCTCGGTGGTAGGCAGAGCGGTGGGCATGATCCGTGGGGGCCGGTAAATACCGTCGCTGGGACCTTCCTCGGCGCTCTTGGAGGGTTGGGCCTGCTTCTTCTCGGCGGGGCCCTTGGAGAAAGCGGAGACGTTGGGTCGGTAGGCCATTTCATCGATATCCTCATCACCCTCGCTTTCGCTTGAGCCTTCCTCGTCAGATGAAGCGTCGCTGTCCCTGGCGGCCTTGCGACTGGCCTTAGCCTTGGATGGCTGAATCTTCTCCGCGCGCTCCGCTTCCTCCGCGGCCTTGATAACCTTGTCCACCTGGTACTTCAGGCGTCCTTCTAGAGGCCGAACACCTCGCTCCAGGTAGACTCGGAGCTCAATCAATTTCTTGCGAATGTCGTCTTCGAGGGAGCTGTTCACGGGCGCGCTCTTCTCCTTCACGTTTCGTAGTTGGAAAATAATCAGGAACACCAGATTTTGCAAGTAGGAAAGCAGGATTTCGCTCTTAGTGTCGAGAAGAGAGATACCATCTTGAGGAGGCTCGATCGTCGCAGTGGAGGCATCGTTCTGGGCCTTGGGTAAAGAAGAAACCGTTGTCGAAAGACATGTGGTCAGGGTTTCAAGCAACGTCGAGAGGCTTTGCGGGCGCGCAGATGCCTGTGTTGATGCCATGATCGAGGGAATGGGTTATACCACTTTGCAGTAATCAACCTTGGGGAAGTCTTCGAAACAAAAAAAATTTGGCTGCGGCAGATAACGATCACGTGTGATAACACGATGGTCAGGCACCAAGGCACTAATCTCCCGGGATATCTTAGATCGTCATTGCCAGTCTGTCCGCAACTCGACTTTCACTCGTTTCATCCCTCTGCGCGCGAAGTGGTTTTCCTACGAATGAGATCATAATCTCTCTTTCTCTGTGGGAGCTTTCAACTGTGAGTCCCCGCCTGTTCCAGTCACCTGAGAAGTGCCTGGCTCTACTCCTGTTATTCAAAATAAACAACCTTGGAAGACTGACTTGGACCAATTACTGCAGCGACGCCCACCATGCGCTTTACCGATCGAGTCTCGGTCCTCTCGTCGGCTTTGCTCGCATTGCCTTCCTTGACTGCAGCTTTTTACCTCCCCGGTGTTGCACCAACATCTTACGACGAAGGCCAAGCTGTTCCGCTCTATGTCAACCACTTGACTCCTAGTCTCTCCCGAGATGACCAACTTCACTCGGTCTTCTCATATGACTACTATCACCCCGCATTTGGGTTCTGTCGCCCAGCTGATGGCCCCAAAGATGTGAGAGAATCATTGGGTAGCATCCTATTCGGCGATCGCATTCGCACCTCACCATTCGAGCTGAAGATGGCGAAGAACGAGACCTGCAAATCGATATGCGCGGAAAGCAAATTTGACGCCCGCAGCGCCAAGTTTACCAATCGCCGAATTTCCCAAGGCTACAGTATCAACTGGCTCGTTGATGGTCTGCCGGCCGCGCAATTGAACTACGATGGTGTGACCAAGACCAATTTCTACAGCCCCGGTTTCGCTCTGGGTGATCTGGATGAAAGTGGACAGGCTCTACTCAACAATCACTATGACATTATGATCGATTATCACAAGGTCGGATTCGGTGGCAAGGATAAATATCGTGTTGTTGGCGTGCTGGTTCAGCCTGAATCTCGCCGGGATTCCCGGAATTCAGAAGAACCGGGTAAGGCTGAGTGTGGTACTCAGGGCGAAGTTCTGTCGCTCAGCGAAGATGGAGAAACCACAGTCACCTGGACATACAGTGTCTACTGGAAGGAATCCCCCACCGCCTGGGCCACTCGCTGGGACAAGTACCTTCATGTCTTTGATCCCAAGATTCATTGGTTCTCTCTCATCAACTCTGCCGTCTTCGTGGTATTCCTCGTGGGCATGGTCAGCATGATTCTCATCCGCGCTCTTAAGAAAGACATTGCTCGCTACAACCGACTGGATTCATTCAACCTCGAGGACTTGGATGGCACATCAGCTGCCATTGAAGACGGGGTTCAAGAGGACTCTGGTTGGAAGCTCGTCCATGGCGACGTGTTCCGGTGCCCCCAGTCTCCACTGTTGCTGAGTATCATGCTGGGCAATGGAGCTCAGCTGTTCATGATGACTGGCGTGACTGTAGCATTTGCTTTACTTGGTCTCCTCTCTCCTTCGAACCGCGGGTTACTTGCCACCGCCATTTTGCTGATTTCTGCTCTGTTCGGTGGTATCGGAGGCTATGTGTCAGCGCGGGCGTACAAAACCTTTGGCGGCGAGGCCTGGCGTCGAAACATTATCATGACGCCTCTCTTCATCCCCGGCATCATCTTTGGGGCTTTCTTTATTCTGAACCTCTTCGTCTGGGCCAAGGGATCCAGTGGTGCCGTGCCATTCGGGACTATGCTGGCTCTGGTTTTGATCTGGTTTGTTATCAGCGTGCCATTGAGTGTGGCCGGCAGCTGGCTAGGATTCAAGCAAGCGGTGAGTTGAACCCGGACGTCGCCATTCTCCCCCCACTAACATATGTTCGCATAGTCAATTGAGGGACCTACCAAGACGAACCAGATCCCCCGCCAGGTTCCCCCGATGGCCGGTAGCTTGCGGACGATCCCGTCCATCCTGCTCACCGGCATCCTGCCATTTGGGGCTATCTTTGTCGAGCTGTACTTCATCATGACCTCTCTCTGGACTAACAAGATCTACTACATGTTTGGGTTCTTGTTCCTCTGCTACGGCTTGATGATCATCACTTCCGCAGCCACCACCGTTCTGCTGGTGTATTTCCTGCTGTGTGCAGAGAACTACCGATGGCACTGGCGAGCGTTTGCGGGCGCTGGCATGACCGGTGGCTATGTCTTCGTGAATGCATTGATCTTCTGGGCCACCCGGGTGAGCTTTGGTGGGTTGACTGGAGCCGTGCTCTATGTGGGTTACTCGGCGCTGATCTCCTTCATTGTGTTCATTCTGACTGGTACGTCCACCCCGTGTGCTCCGGACCTTCCGGGCCCTTTCCTTTCGCCATTTGGATTTGTGTATGCTGATCTCCCTAGGTTCTATTGGGTTCTTCGCCAGTTGGGCCTTCATCCATCGTATCTATGGGTCCATCAAGGTGGATTAAGTGATTTGACCAAGTTAGCCATTATATCAGAGATTTAGATTGCAAAATGAAACTGCATTGTATATACCCCGATGCAGAATACGTCCGGTGCCAAGACCCAGGCCGGTCTGGACTTCAAGTCTCTTCTGCGGCACCTCTTCCCTCTCCAGGGCTGTACTCCGTACTTCATACTTCCATCAGTCGCTACCTACCTAGTACCTAGTACTCTTACGTTGTCCTCGTGCCAAAGTGGGCACCCCTTGCGTAGACGTTCCGCCACCACGACTCAGCCACACATCCCGTTTTCTACCCCGCGTCAAACTTCCTGACTTCCACTCTCTCTTGGATCTCTATGCGCTTGGCATCGCTCTAGAAGCAAAGGAGTTCTGTGAATATGGGAAAGTCGTAAGTTCCCCTCTTTGTGTTCTTTTGCCTCGGCCCCCTCCGTGGGGGCTGTTCGTCAAGCCCAACTCTTCCTCCTGCATAGTCCTGCATATGGACTATTTGTCGCATGACATCTGCTAACTCACTCCAGTCAGTCAAAACTCTCGCCGACGCAGCTCGATGAGTTGCAACGAGCAACCCATTTCGATAAGAAGGAGCTACAGCAATGGTATAAAGGTATCGCTGCCCGCGTACGTCATACATTCCCACCGCTGACCCGCGCTCAGGATTCCTCAAGGACTGTCCATCGGGCACCCTGACCAAGGAGGAGTTCCAGAAGATCTATCGACAATTCTTCCCCTTCGGCGACCCCTCATCCTTCGCAAATTATGTATTCCGGGTATTCGACTCGGACAACAGTGGCATGATTGATTTCAAGGAATTCATCTGCGCTCTCTCGGTGACATCACGGGGCAAGATGGAGGATAAGCTGGACTGGGCCTTCCAGTTGTACGATATTGATGGCGACGGAAAGATCACATACGACGAAATGCTGGCCATTGTCGAGGCGATCTACAAGATGGTACGTACCCCCGATGGATTGAGATGGCCCTCGCTCATGAGAAAACACAGGTGGGATCCATGGTGAAACTGCCCGAAGACGAAGATACCCCAGAGAAGCGCGTACGGAAGATCTTCCGCATGATGGACAAGGATGAGAACGGGAGTCTCGACATTGAAGAATTCAAAGAAGGCAGCAAACGGGACGAGACGATCGTCAGTGCCTTGTCGCTTTACGACGGATTGGTTTAGATGCTTGGGCAATGCTTGGGCGAAATACTGGCGCAATGTGAGGCATTCTCTTTGGGACGGCTATAGGGGATTGCACTGCATATTCTTTCTTTCTTAGTTGTCTTCATCCCATATGTATATCTGATATAACAGTTACATCATCTAGATATAGATGGACAGTATTATATTGGACAGAGAATCAATGTGGAAAAAAAAAAGAGTTGGCAGCTGTCATAGTCCATTTGACTCATGTATACATCACATCAAATCAAGTCCCGCAGACTACCTACCAGCTCTGCATTCTATCATTGATGTACAGGGGTATCGGGAAGAAGAACCCCCAGTCCCCATGCGATCTAATGTACTGGAAGCGGGGGGAAAGTCACAAAAAGGTAAAAAAAGGTCTGGTCAGATCGAAGAAAGAGAAGAAACTCGTCAGACGTAAGAGAAACAGAAAACAAACAGGGGGAGTCATCCAAAGGCCAACGACAATAGCACAAATTGCACGACATCCTGGGTGAACGGGATGTAATTGTCCAATTTCTGGAAAATCGTCGGATTGTCGGGTGCAGCGGGCTCGGCGACAGGCTCCAGCACAATGGAATCATCGGCGGTCGAAGAACCAGCTGCTACGCTTGCCGGTCGCTTCTTGCGACTGTACGCCCGCGACGTTCGCATTCGCCGGCGACGGGCCGTCACCGCCGCCTCGTAAGGGCTTCGCGATACGCGACCCCCCAAAACTAAAGCTCGCATTCCCATCCATACTCGGTAAGCCGCGCGTTGAGCCTTGTTTTGCCGCTTCAAGGCGCTCTTTCACAGCAGTGAGTTGGGCCTCGAATCTGTCAAGGATGTTAGAATATTCAGGTTCACATTGTGCATGGGACGAAGTGAGGACATACCGGTGGTTGGCCTGAGTCAGTTTCTCTTGGCTCTCCTGCAACAAAGCTTCCAGGCTGGCTATGCGCTCGTTTCTCGCGATGAGCTTACGCTCTGCGATGGCAACTTCCTTCTTGAGGCTGCTGTTCTGCTCCACGAGCTGACGCTGTACATGTGTCAATTGCTCCAGGTTGCGCTCCAAAAAGGCCATCTTCTTCTGCTGTGCTCGGTTGTTTGATGATCGGAGAACGTTGTTGTACTGCTCCCGAGCATCGTCCAACGAGATCTCCAATTCAACCACACGCTCGCAACGATTCTGCAGGTCGCGCATGAGAGACTTCTTCATGGCGTCGAACTCGGTAATCTGCTGCTGCAGCGTCTTGCTGGCTGCGCCATTGGTAGAGGTACGGGATTGGGTGTCGACCAGAGACTGTCGCAGCTTGGCCAACTCCTCGTCCTTGCGCGAAATGTCACCGCGAAGCTCCTCGGCGGCTGTGATTTCGGCCTCCTTCTTTGTAGCGTAAAGCTTCTCCAGTCGTTCCCGAATCTCTTCAACATCAGTCTCGCCCAGGTTGCGAGTAAGGAGGGCCTCGTATTCTTGTTGAAGATTGTCCAGCTTTTTCTCCAAATCTACGCGGCGGCTGTCCTGCAGGTCGCCAAAGTCACTCCGGTCGTTGACAGTAAGCTCAGCTTGTCGGATGAAGCCTTGCGTTTCGAGAAGATTCGTGCGAAGTTCAAGGATATCGTCGGGCGCAATCACTTCACCTTCGGCGCTGATTTGATGCAGGGCGTCGACGCGTTGAATCAGGTCTTGTAGCTTACGCTCATTGTCCGAGAACACGTCGCCACCAAGGTCGAACCCGGCCATCATCTTGGCCATCTTCTCCGTCTTCTTCTTCTCCTTCTCGTCGAGTGCAGCGGTGGTCTCCTTGGCCCTCATCCGGACATCCAAAAGCTGCTGCTTGACCTCATCCAACTCGCCCGTGAGCTCCCCGTTGGCCTCACGAAGACCATCCATAGTGATGGCAGCCTCTTTACTCTCGTATGAGACCTTCTCCAGTTGCATACGGAGCTCATTGACTTCGGTGCCCAAGCGCTCATTGTCCTTGCCAGTTCGTGCGCCATTCTCCTTCATCGACTTGAGCTCATCGCGCGCCTCGCGAAGACTGCGTTCCACGGCAACGATATGGGACTCCTTCTCCGACAGCTGGTCTTGGAACTCATTCTCACGGCGCAGGAACTCCTCACGCTCGTCCTTCTCCAGCACCAGGCTGGGGGTACTGGACCGGTCACCAACACGCGAATCCGGGCGTGGGGTGTCAGCACGAGCGGTCTCTTGGAGACGCGACGGGGTACTTGGCCGTGGGGCACGCGCCTCTGTCCTCGCGGCGCTGACCATCTCGTTTCCTCGCGAGGGAGTCCACTGTTCCTTGGGCACGCTATCACCACTTCGCCACAAGTTGATCTCTCCCTCCAGCGCGGAGATGTAGCTTTCGAAGTTTGTCATTTGGCCCTGCGCCTTGCGCAGTAGTTGCTTCATCTCCGCGGGGCTGAGCTCTGCGTTAACCTTGGCCTTGTTCTTGATTGCCTTGGCGCGCACACCGAAACGCAGGGTTGAGATCGTTTCCGCATCGTTATAGCTGCTAGGCGAGCAGTTAATGATCAGAGTCGTTCGCGAGTTACCACCCAGGGACTCTTGGAGGATTCGGGTAAGCTTGGAGTCGCGGTAGGGGACGTGTGTCGATTTGCCGTCCGTCAGAGCGTTGATAACCATTCCAAGCGCACTTAAACTCTTGTTGATCTTCTTTGCCTCCTCCAGGGTTTGGCCACTTGCACCGGTCTTTCCGACCTTTTCACTACCCGCCAGATCAACCAAAAACAATTGACCGCTCTTGGCAGAGCCCGTTTCGACGTTCTTTTGTGTGACAGTGATGACGAAGATGGAGTGCGAACGAGACGATTCTTGGTTCATGTTGGTCGCGGCCACGGCGCGTGCTGCTCCTCCCCGGCGCATAACCTCATAGACCTCTTGCACGCTGGAGACGTAGACTTCCAGCAGACCTTTGACGTAAACTCCGCGAGCTTTCTCCTCATGAACCGGTAAGTTGTCGTTCTGGGGGACCAGCAGATCACGAATTCGCTCCATGTAGATTTCCATATAACTGACCCGAACCGTGTACTCGATGTTGCTCGGACTGGTCAAGATGCTGGCGAAGATCTGCTCAATCATTCGCGGGATGATACCCTTCCCAATATCGTCGTCAATGTCGGAACCCATCATTGTGTACGACTTTCCGGCACCAGTCTGACCGTACGCGAACACCGTTCCGTTATAACCATTCAGAATGTCGTCCACCGTGGGTCGGATCGAGAAATCGAAGATATCGTTTTGCGCCGTGTCCATGGGAAACACGCGGTCGAAGGTGAAGGCGCCGTTGCCCTCTTGGGACTGAATGGTTCCATCAGTGAGCGCGCTCGCCGGCTCTCTGCAATCCACCACTCACCTGGATGCGACATGACTCCTCATTCTCGAATTCGACAATCGGCTTACCACCGGAGGACAATTCGACTTTGTTCTGCGGGCGGAATCTAGCGACCACTGTGAATGTTCAGTCAATTTGAATTTCCTGAGTATTTCAGCCTCAGCCATGCATACCCTTAATGGTGTTCGACCCCGCGGACCTGTGACACCACGTCAGTGAGCGCCAACACACAATCGAGGGATATACTCACGCCATGGTTGTAGAGAGCGACTTGGCTATAGCGAGCACCAGGTAAGAGAGAAAACCCCGTGACGGGGGGAGGTGGGATAAATCAGATGTGATTCAGGGAGGCTGTTGCGGTGTAGAGGGGTTGTCAGGGGCTCCACGTGCACCGTGGAGCAAAGCCAAGGAATGAGAGAAGAATACAATCAGCCCGCAAAGAACGACCGGCTGGAAAAGAAATTCAATGGAGACCTGGAATATGAACGCGAGAAAGGGTGGAATTGTTGACTTGTCGCCCGTTTAGGATTTCTTGGCCGACCGCCCCGGACTCGGGCAAACACTGCAGATAAGCTCCGTATCTAGCCCTAGCCTATACTCCATGCACCTGGTGTATCACTGGTCTACGCTGTATATGTTCTTCACTTAAGACATTATGATCTGCAATCAAACCGGGAAAAGGAATGGTCAGAATGGTCAAGGAAACAGGCTGATGCATTAATGCAGAGAATCAAGCTAATACACTCGGGCAATAACCAGAGAGCAGCCTGGAATGAGAAAGGTACAGAAAGGTATGAACAGAAGAAGAAAAGTTCCATAACCGGCATAAATCAATGTCCAAGGCGCCAAACACCCTACGCTGTGCAGATCAAACGGTCAAGCCACTGCGGTCACCTTCGATGACGCTCAGCCCACTGGACTCGTTTCGAGAGTTTGGGGTCTTAGTCCTCCCAGCTCTTCTCCACTGTCTCACGGACACGCTTGGTGTACTCCTTGCGGTTGTCTTTGTAAAGGTTCGAGGCCTCAACGTTGGCAGGGGACGAAGTGTTGGGGTCGTTCAAGAGACTAGAGGGAAGAACAGACTGTCAGTATGCACGAGATACGTCGATGGGAGTGGTCTCACCTTTGAATGCTGGTGAGGATGGCGGCCACGTCATAGGTGGGACTCCAGCGATTCTGCAGAATGTCCAGACACAGCTCACCGGTCCCGTACACATTGGGATGGAACATTTGGCTGATGAACTTCACGCCAGGAGGCTTGTTGGGGTATTGCTCTTCGAAGTTCATCACCAGGCGGAAGGTACCATCTTCGAAAGGTGTGTCGGCGGGCCCAATGATGACGGCGTTCCTAGTCATGGTTAGCACCATTGAATCACCAACCGGGATGAAGATATCACCTACCATGTCATAACATTATCCGCCACTGGGGAGGCAGAGACGCCAGCTGGGGGATCGGTCTGCATGCGCTGTATGCATTGTGTTAGCGGGGGCAAATCCAAGAGAAACCTTGTGGACAGAGGCGAAAGGAGGATGGAAATATAGTTCGAAGAATCGAGGGATGGAATCAGGGTAGTAGTCCTGCCAACGGAAGATATAATCCCATCTGATGAACTGGTTGAATACGTACCTTGAAATCTCGCATGAGACGGCGGCGAGCGGAAGTAGACATGATGGTGTGTAGCAGAGAGTTTGAGTATTTAGAATCAAAGAGAAGCTGTATAGATACCACTCGATATCGATACGAGCCAGAAGACTTGGTATCGAGAGAATGGAATGAGGGAAAGAAAGAGAAGATGCAAACGCTACCCGATACCTGTCGGCGGCGCGATAGAGGGGAAGATCAGACCGGAGAAACTATATCCATGGGGAATATGTCCTAAAGGCGTTAGACTGACAAACCAATGCTGTGAGTCAGCAGTTAGATCATAGCTCCTCCTTTAGGAAGTGATCGACAGCCTCGGTCCAGGCGGAGCGGCGGTTACAGGCGGTTGCGCGGGCGGATACCGATGTACACATGCAACTCTTCTTCTTATTCACGATCATTTCCTCTTGACTTCTTCATTGTCTGAGAAGCAGCATAGCAATTTATCAAACAGCAAAAACCATCATGATTTCCCCAAGTTTGTCTGTCCGTGTGCCCAAACGGGCCTTCCCCGCACTCCGGGCCCAGAGACAGTTCAGCTCCGCACGACCGATGTGCAAGGAGATCCAGGAGGCTTACATTTTGAGCGCATCCCGAACACCAACAGCAAAGGTTTGTGAGCTCAACAGACTCCCTGGTTTACCATTGAGACTCACTGGTTCCTCTAGTTCAATGGTTCATTCGCTTCCATAACAGCACCGGAGCTCGGCGCTGTTGCGATCAAATCTGCCCTGGAGAAGTCGAACGTGCCCACAGATAAGATCACTGATGTCTACATGGGAAATGTCTTGCAAGGTTCAGTAGGCCAGGCCCCTGCCCGTCAGGCATCTATCTTTGCTGGCCTCCCGGCGACCGTCGAGGCTCTCACCATCAACAAGGTCTGCGCTTCTGGTCTGAAGGCAGTGGCACTTGCCGCACAGAACATTCAACTCGGTTTAGCAGAGGCACAGGTGGCTGGTGGCATGGAGAACATGACTCGTGTTCCTTACTACATGGCACGCGCCAGCCAATTGCCTCCCTTCGGTGAGATCAAGCTGGAGGACGGTCTGATCAAGGATGGTCTGTGGGACGTTTACAACAAATTCCACATGGGTATTTGCGCAGAACAGACTGCGAAGAACTACGATATCTCAAGGGAGGACCAGGACCTCTATGCCATTCAATCATATGAGCGGGCCCAGCAGGCTTGGAAGGAGAATAAATTCGCCGACGAGGTTGCTCCCGTCACCGTGAAGAGCAAGAAAGGCGACACCATAATTGAGCGCGATGAGGGCTTTGAGAACCTACGCGCCGACAAATTGAAGTCTCTGAAGCCGGCCTTCCTGCGAGATGGAACAGGTACGGTTACAGCCGGTAATGCATCCACCATGAATGACGGCGCGTCTGCCCTGATTCTGGGCAGCAAGGAGCTTGCTCGCCAGTTCGGTAACGGAAACCGTGCTCTCGCCCGCATTGTTTCCTCGGCCGACGCTGCTATTGATCCCGTGGACTTCCCTGTCGCCCCTGCCAAGGCAGTTCCACTTGCGTTGGAGCGAGCCGGTATTACCAAGGACCAGGTTGCTGTCTGGGAATTCAACGAGGCCTTTGCAGCAGTTATCAAAGCCAACGAGAAGGTTAGTTATGTTTCTCCCCCGCTTCCCTAAGTGTCTAACAAGATATCTAGATTCTCGGGTTGGAAAACGCGAAGGTCAACATGCTTGGAGGTGCCATCTCTCTTGGCCATGCCCTGGGTAGCTCCGGGTCGCGCATCCTAGTCACACTGCTTCACCAGCTCCAGCCCGGTGAGTACGGAGTGGCTGCAATTTGCAATGGTGGTGGTGCTGCGACTGCAATGGTCGTGCAAAAGCTTGACAGAGTAGACTAGCTTTGCCAGGCTCTACAGTGACTCCTGATACCCTCAAATGAACATAACATAGTAGGAAATAACATTTTGCCCATTTGAAAAATAATCCGTTGGTATTTGAGTCTCTCCCAGTAGACTGCCCTAATTGTATCAGATTCAGTCTCCCTGGCCCCTTGGGACCGTCCTTAAGGTTGTGTTGATATTCGTGCCTGATTTATCAGGCGTCAAAACAGGAAGAATGTCACTCCGCCGCCTCTTCCCACCTGCATCTACATGCCAGTCGCAGACCTACCGCGACGAAATGCTGCAACCGTCACAGTCGCAGGTCTAAGATCATGTTAAGACCGGTTGCTCTGTCGGTGATCCCGTCCTGCCGCGAAGCCATATCCTGGTCGGCAGAGGGTGAAATTGCAATTGCGGCTGGCGAATACTTCCAAATTCTGGTGAGTTTCTCTTTGGCCTGTTAAAGTTGTCCCAACTGACATGTTCGTAGACGCCGTCATTTGCTCGAGCTAACACTGCACTCGGCTCAGAGCCAGACTGGAATGTGACTCGTGTGCGAGCTAATCTATTCACAAATGCTGAATGGCCCGCTTTCCTTCCTGGAGATCGAGATCAGTTCTCAATCGCGGGAGAACAGTCTCCAGCCAACATCATTGCCTTGGCTTGGTCACCAGCAGGACTTGGCAAATACCGACGCAGCGTGCTTTTAGTACTGACCTCGAACCTGGTGCTATCCATTTGGGAGCCTCTCGGCCTGAAACAGCAATGGACTCGAGTTGGGGTTGTCAATCATGCATTCTGGCCTCAGCCTGAACATTCCCAGGACCCGACTGCGCACGGGTTCCAAAAGACAAATATTCGATCTTTCACCTGGTGTGATTCCCCCAAGGCTTCGACTTTGAGGTCCGAAGGCTCTACACTTCCAGCGCTTGAAACGCGCTGGGGAGCCTCTCTACTGGCAGTCGCAAATGATTTTAATGAGATCAGCTTGATACAACTCCGTAGATCACCCCCAACCGATGGCTCCTCTCGGCATTATGAGCTGCACGTCTTGGCCACTCACTCCCTCGATGACCAGGAACGACCCAATAGCCTGCTATGTCCTGGTTCTCTCTTTGAGAAAGCCATGAGGGAGAGACAACGAACCACCTCGCTATCTTGTGGCCCATGGCTGGTTTCGGATCACGAGACCCCCGGGAACTCTGAACGAAATGTTGCAATGATAGCTGCTGTCTGTGGAACGCAGCTTCGGCTTGTGAAGATTGATCTCTTTTTGGAATCGTCAATTCAAGACGACGTGCAGCAAATCGTTTTGTCGGCCAATCTAGAAGACCACCCCATGGGGCGGTCGAAGGAGCGATGGGATCAAAATCATATCACTGGCCCCCTCGGGTGGATGCACACGGTATGCAGTCGCTCGATATCAACATCAATGTGTGAGGTTCTTGGCTGATAAATTCACCATACAGGAATCGTCTTCAAGCATGGTTCTAGCCGTGGGTGTCATGGCAGGGTTTATCACCATTAGCATGCATCGCGAAATGTATGATACAACCGGTTCCAATTCCCCTGACCTACAGGTCCGCGAATGGCCGATTGTTGAACCCGAAAATGAAGACACCCCAAATCGCAAGGGAAGGCACCTGGAGCCTATCTACGGTATGTGCTTGCAGCGCGGCTGAATGCCTCATAAACTCTGACAGTGTTTGTCTAGGAATGCTCCCGGCAACTAACCAACAAGGTCGCACATGCAAACTCCACTTAGGCACACTTGGTGGAGTTGGCTTGACCACAGAGTTGTCCCAAATCGAAGCGGGCAAGACTCCGCAACAGCCGCAGTGGAAACGCATGGTTGAGGACATACAGGAACAATATGACTTGGATCATGATCTTGGGGGAACATCAGTATCGAGAATTTGGGGATTGGCCACTTATCGGGGTATCACGGCAGCGATTTCCACCTTCCACCCAACGGATATGATCGAATACCGAGTATCCAGTGATGACGTGTCTACCCTTGTCTTTTCAGAGGAGTTTGGGCGTATACCAGACACTCGAGCTGTGTTCACGCCGTGGATGGCTAATGGACAACCCCCTGACCACAACCGAATTGGAGAAGTGATGCATTTCGTTCTCCCTGGTGCCGATGGGGACGTTGATCCGGATGAGGAAGGCCAGCGACTTATCTATGTTGTTGCCTGTCGAGCAATAGTGGGAGAAAGTGACCAAGCGATTCGAACCCTTACTCAACGTTCTCTGGAGCGTTTGGCCATAGTGACGGGAGCAGATTTGACTGATGAGATTTCAAAATGCGGCAGCCCCCCTTCATTATTAGATGCAAAGTCTGCAGATCAAATCACCGGCCCTGGAGGATACATATATGAGAGATGCGAGGTTTGCGATGCAGGAATCGGGTGGTCCTCGACCCAGCAGGCCCGTTGTGCCAATGGTCATCTCTGGCGTAAGTTTGTACGGTTTTTAGCATTGGGTTTTTCACTAATCATGATTCTTTGTACAGTTCGATGTGGGGTGTCTTTCCTTGCAATTCAAGAGCCTGGAATCTCCAAGTATTGCTCCTTCTGTCGAACGGAAGCCCTTGACGAGGAGTATGTCGCCGCGGCACTTGGCCACGAAATGAGCAAAACAGCCAGAGGCCTCTTCGAGACCTTTGATGCCTGTCTACATTGCGCGGGTAAATTTCAAGCAATTTACTAGCCACTCTGAATGGAAAGTCCAACGGCAATCCGGCAAACAGAACACAACAGATTTATTTTCATGTTCTGCCGAATGAGGGTATCTATGTAAACCCAAATAGAGTGCCTGCAATAGGATCCCACTCATCGTTCCATCGCCGACGACTCTCGTTCTGAGCGCCTCGCCGAAGATTTTCCAGCTTGTTGTCATCCCCGAACAGCTCTAGCAAATGCTCCGCCAATTGCACCGAGCTTCCGAATCCTAGTCCATTGACACCCTCTGTCACCAGCTCCGGCCATGCTCTGAATCGATCCCACCCCACAACTGGAAGACCTGCACCGAACATGTCTACAACTTTCATAGGGAGATCTACCCCACTGCTGCTGGTATGCAGACTTACTCCCAATGAGGATGAAGCCAGTAGCTGGGCATAATCATGCACACTCAGCCACGCAGTCCGGATGGTGACCTTCTGCAGCTTGCCTGACTTCTGAAGAGAGGCAATTTGGTCCATGTACATTTTTTTCTGTGGGCCCTTTCCTGTTATTATAGCCAATACTTCAGGGAGATGGGTATGTGTTGTGGTTGCCAATTCAGAGTACCGAACAAGACCATCAATGAGAACCGAGAAGTCCTCGTCTGCAGTCCAGGAAGTTGAACTCACAAGCACTCGGAGAGTGCCTTGTAGCAAGGACGAGCGAACTGTGCTAGTTTCCGGAAGGGTTTCGAGGAATCTAGTACGAGCAGCGGGGTCAAGAATGGGGCTAAAGTGACTGGCTGGACGATCATGGAGCGGTAATACGGGCGCCTGCAGGTCAAAATCTTGCTCAAGCACAGACTTCATAACATCTGTAACGCAGAAATGCGCCGTAGCAGGTCGGCAGAAGACTCGTTCATACCATGTTGACAGCTTTACCAATGGATGACGCTGTCCAAGTTTCAAGGCGAGAATAGAGTATCCGAAGTTATGCCAATCAATGACTAGCTTTGTCTGTCTCAGGAAACAGACGAGAGAGGCAATTGCGAGGGTTGGGATGGAGGGAGGGTTCTGTCGTCGCCAAGATGAGCACCAGACACATACGGTCTCACGTCTTCAGACATACCTGAACCAAAAGCCACTTGGAAGGCTTTGTGCTATAGGCTAGACATTTCCAGAGACAAGCCACTTGGAAAAGCACCTTCAAAGGCCCGCAGATCACGAATAGCAGCTTGTTGCTAGTCTGTAAGACGGCAGGGTGTGGATGTAATGGGACGATCGATATCTTTGGATGAGACAATATTTCGGGGTGAGGGTCAGACTCTAATCACGCAGGGCTGGTCAGTCAGGCTCTTGGTGAAATCGACCTTCATATCAACCTTTGTATCCAATGATCTCCACATCCCCGCCCTGCCTCGCAATGCTCAATGCATGATATTGCATGCGCGGGCTTCGGCCAATGTCACCAAGAACCAGTATCTGAACACTGGTCTTGGGTATTTTGCGGTCTTTTGACCCAGTTGGGGGTTTCGCTTGCTCTGGTTCATATTGCGATGGAAGCAACAAGATCAACACGGTGATGGCAGTTGACAGGCAGAACGCTATGCTGATGAGTGAATCGATCATGGTGGCAATTGCATTTCAGGTGTATTTCAAGGAATGTATGTCAGCTTCAGGTCACCTCCACATCCCATTGAATGTTGAAGTAGCATACAAACACCGGACCTCCAACGCAGCCCTGGAGATACCGGAGACGTAATCGATAAGCTTTCACGTGACACTCCTATCGATACGAGCACCTTGGGGGACAGCGACCTTCCCCAAGCCAATCCCCTGAGCCCCAGGCGCTTGTTATTCCAATCATATCACTTTTTCCGATTTGCTCTGCAATGCTGTACCTGCAGCTAAGTTGCTAGACGTGAGCTTCTGCGCTCCACTCTCCACTTCTTGGCGCCTCCTATCCTGTCCGCTGCTTCCTGCGCATTGCGCATTGCGAACATCTACCATGTCGACGGGGACCCCGTCACTCAGCGTGGATTCAATTCCCTCCACTGGGAACAATCACGGCCACAGTCGTGGTCGCGGCCACTCTCGAGCTAATCGGTGGGCACAGCCTCCGCCCCTCCCTCAGCCAACCGACGCCCACCTTCATGAGCATCCGGAACCATTCAACGCTTCGAACTCGAGTTATTCCTACAGACGTGCACCCCACGATTCGGGTCATGGAAATCACACGCATGCCCAATCGTACTCGAGTACTCCTCGCAGCTACAACCATAGTCACAACTATAGCGTGTCTTCCCTTCACCAAGACCACCATGTTCATGACCATCATGTTCATGACCACGACATGAAATCTCCCATTGACTCATCTGGAATGGTTTCCGGTCAATCTCATCTCGAGGCTGATCAAGTCACGGGCGAAACGTAGGTCAGCTAGGTTTGCTTGAATGATAAGGACTGACCTTTATTGCAGCTCAGAACTGTTGACCGGAGCACTTATCGTGTTACCGTGGATTGCACTCTCTTGGTATCAGAGGCAGTGCGGCCATATTGCAGAGACAGCGAGTGGAAATATACAGGACCCCACATCCAGCGACCCCATCACGCATATCACTCAGAAGGCAAGCCTTCTGACTGCGGTCACTCTAATAATCTTCGGCAGTGGCCAAATTCTACACTCTCGCATATCGGGACATTCGTCCGTTCAAATCCCAACCATCAGTGCAAGGAATGCGCAGGACTTGGTTTTACAGGTCGTCTCGGTCGGACTGCCCATTCTTGCGGCTCTGAAGATCGGCGGCTTCTTGGTTGCGTTTGCGCTGCTCCTCGCAACCGCATCAGGGGTCCCAGCTGCTCTCGCAAAGGACCCACGGAATAAAGAACGATACAGCCGCAAGAGGCTGTCTATTGCACTTCTTGCCGTTGCTGTGATATCCAGCATGCTCATCCTAAACAACCCTTGGGGCTCGTCTCCAATCCTTGGGTACATCGCACTTTTGATGTCGATCTTCGTCTTCCCGCCTCCATTTCCCTTCCTGCGCTCTAGCGGACCCATTCCTGAGCCAGGGCTCGTTGTTCCTCAGGCCCAGTCCTCAGGCCATGACTACTCGTCCGTGGTAGTCACAGCTAATGCACCATTGGCCGTCATCTCCGGAGTTTCCCTTGCACTTTTGACTGCTGTTCTCAACCAAGGCCTCGTATTTGGTGCCTCAGACCTTATCTATATCGCATTGCCTACCAGCCTCCTCGCTATCTCCCTTATGGCCTCGAGGCCCGAGAGTCTCCGTTCGCCCAAGAAATCTGGACTCGCGATCTTCGCTGGAACTGCAGCTTTCTTCTGTGCACCCCATAGTCAGGATGACCTGCTTGTGGTCTATTCTACACGTGCCATGTTCGCAATGTCCGCATTCTTTGCATCGCGGAGAGATGACAGCCATTTACATGTAGACGCACATGCCCACAACCATTCTCACGGCCACAGCCATTCCCACGCTACCACGGAGGCTGCCGGGATTTCCAAGTGGCTTCTTCAAAAAAGCGAACCATATCCTTTACTACACAGCATTCTCAAGGAGAAGGACTCTCGGAGTATCTTCTACTTCATGTGCCTGAATTTCACATTCATGCTTGTTCAATTGTCGTATGGATTCCTAACTGGGTCGCTGGGACTTCTGAGCGACAGCATCCACATGTTCTTCGACTGCCTCGCGCTAGTTGTGGGTTTGTGCGCTGCCGTCATGAGCAAGTGGCCTCCAAATGCGCGGTTTCCTTACGGCTATGGTAAGGTTGACACCTTGTCAGGTTTTGCCAATGGCATTTTCCTCATGATCATCAGCGTGGAGATTATTTATGAGGCCGTGGAACGCCTTTCGTCGGGGAGCGAGATGCATCGCATCGGCGAACTCCTGGCAGTCAGTATCGCGGGACTCGCCGTTAACCTGGTCGGAATTTTCAGTTTCGAGCATGGCCACGCTCACCATGGACATGACCATGGCCACGACCATGGCAATGAGAACATGCACGGCATTTTCCTGCACATCCTGGCTGATACACTCGGGTCAGTGGCGGTCGTGATCTCAACGATTCTAGTCCACTATACCGGGTGGGCAGGATACGATCCACTCGCCTCGTGCTTTATTGCCATCTTGATTTTCGTATCGGCTGTTCCTCTGGTTAGCAGCACAGCCAAGACCCTGCTGCTTACCCTGCCAGCCGATACCGAATATAACGTCCGCGAAACCCTCGCAGGAGTCAGTACCTTGCGAGGCGTGGTCAGTTACACAGTACCCAAGTTCTGGCTTGATGATACTGGGGCTACGTCTGGGCACAGCCATTCGCATGACCATGCCAGTCATGAGGCTTGTGGAGGTGGCCACGACCACAGTCATGGTCATAGTCATAGCCACCACGGTCATGATCACGACCACGGCCATCATCACGACCACGGCCACAGCCACTCCCACCATGGCCATGGCCACGGTCACGATCACGACCATCACCATGATCATGATCATGACCACGAGAAAACCCCCCAGAATGTGTTTGGAGTGATTCATGTCGTTGCTTCTCGGGGTGCAGATTTGGAAGATGTCCGTCAACGAACCGTTGACTTCCTTCGAGAAAAGAACGTGGATATTTTAGTCCAGGTCGAGCGGGACGGCGATGCACGCTGCTGGTGCAGTGTTGGAAACAAGGGCTTTTGATCGAGAATGATCATTGTTTTATCTGCAAGCAAGTCATCTACTGTAGATCTACGGATGCATTGCTTGTCAGACAGATTTGTCTATATCATGTACAGACAAGATGGATTCAGCCACTGAAAGTTACCAATTGACCGCACATAGTCTTCGCGCCTTCAGTTCCATACGGCCATTCTCCTACCTAGGTACATATTCTATGATTCTTCCTAATGATATTTAACACTATGCAAGTAACCTTGGAAGATATTGGCAGTCCATGTCCGACCAGCATGAGCTCTTCACTTCCCGGCAGCGAACTATCCTCGGCCGTTGCAGAACACCAACCTTGGAACACTTACACATGTGAGGTACTATTATCCAAGTTAGATTGATCCGCTACACGATGTTCCGTTAGGTCACACAGTCCCCTTGAACTTCGACAAGCAGCACAACAGTCCACGGTACCTTCTATGTCTCTTCACAAAACAAAGACGTACAGACTCGAGTCGTGGCTGCACGGATCGTCATTCAGATCGAAGCCAAGTGCTGCTCATTTGAATAGCTTCGGTTGAGTGGCATATGCTAGTACAAATGAAAGAGTTACATCAAGAGATGCTGTCCTACCACCGTGGACTGGGGTTCGGCATCATTCCAAGTTTCTATATCTGCCGATGTTCGCGCTTGAAGATCCAATCTCTTCAAATACCACCGTTTTTCCCCATATCCTCTAATTTCACTTCAGTCACAATGGCATCAGCCTCGATCCCAAACACGTATATTGAAGAAGTAGTGCGAGGCGGGTATGGCAAAATATTCGAGGGACATACGGTCTTCCTCACCGGGGGCACCGGGTGCCTGGGAGGCTGTCTCCTCTATAAGCTCGCCTTGCAGCTACCTACACGCAAAGTATATGTGCTGGTGCGCGGCAGCTCCCAACGAGCTCTGGATAAGTTGAAACAGACCATGCCGAATCATGCGCAAGCCATTGTATCCACAGGGAAGGTCGAGTTCGTGGTGGGAGACATCAAGGAGCTCAACTTCGGAATCGACTCCTCCATGCTTAAAAAAATGCAAGAGCAAGTCACGCTGGTGATTCATACAGCGGCTAAGATCAAGCTCGAAGGTCCCATCCGCGATGCAGTGGAGATCAATTGCCTGCCTGCGCTGGAAATGGCCCGGATTGCCTCCCAGTTCCGACGACTCAAGCTACTCGTTCAGCTCTCGACTTCCTACACCAACAGTCATCTGCCAGACGGCCCAGTGCTAGAACGTATATATCAACTGGGGGGTGAACAGGACCCGGAGGTAGAACTAGCGTCGATGCTGGCACTGAACGAGTCGCCACATCGAGCCAAGTTCTCATCCAGCTATACCCAAGCAAAGCATCTGATGGAGCGTCTCCTGCTAGCCCGCTTCCCACTTCTTCCTATCCTGCTATTGCGACCAACAATCTTCGGGCCTGCATTCAAACACCCCTTCCCGTTATACGGGTCTGAGGACTCCACCCCGCTGACGAAGTTCACTCGACTCTGGTTCTCCGATCGGGGCGCCACTCAAGTCTGGCATGCAACCGAGGGCTACAACACCGGGACCAACATCCTAGACGAGATGCCGGTGGACTTTGTCGCCAATGCATGCTTACTCCACGCAGCGGCACGCACGACAGGTATCGTCCAGATTGGATCTCAGCTCTATCACCCAGTCACATTTGATGAAGTCTTCAGACTGGGCCTGGAGAACGCCGAGCCAGAGCTCCAGCGAGAGTTCCCGAAGATTGTTTTCACGAAAGACCGGAGCACGCCGCAATGTTTCCTTGCTGAGTTGATTCAGGTCGGGACGCGTAACTGGTTGTTTGACTGTGGGCGGTCTTACTGGCTCAGGCAGGTTGGCGGGCCGTTGAGTATACAGGTCTGCAAGCATGAGGCGGATAGGTGGAACTTGGTCAGAACGCATGATGTCCTTGGTACTGTTAAGGAGAGAGCCCGTATCTGAAGCAGAGGGCCTAATATACATGTGGGCTTCGGGGTGAGCAGAGGTTTTTCCAATGCAGAGTATTTGTAAAATTTTCAAACGCCAATCCTTTTGAATGAGTGAATGATAAGGCTCGGGGGTCCGAGATGCAATAATGGTTGCTTTTTGGGAGAGTCGTTTCAGGTCGTTGTGGTTGGTCGTAGGTTAGCCACAGCCGCTTCTACCGTAATGGAATGTGAAACACCATTGTCAAATATGCGACCATATTCGGGTTCTGTCTTCCGGGTGGTATTTGGCTTCGCCAAGTCCTGTAATGAGGATGCGTTTATCTGCTGACCACCCCTGAAGGGCGTGTTTCCACCCGTGACCCGAAGCCACTCAGAGGTGCGGTCTTGGAACGCACCGGACATGTTTTGTATTCCATCACTCGCCGGGTAGAGAAGCAAGTCTCACAATTCCAATATGTTGGAAGGTTGCGTGGTTCTCAAAGAGCCATCTTGTTCCGGGGCCAGGCCACTGCCTCGGCCCATTGTGCATTTGCAGGCTGCAGGGTCTGTAATAACTCAGAAACCAAAGCTCGGCCCGAGTCGCGGGCCCACCAGTGTTGACCATCCAGCTCTCCGATCAGCACTCCCCAATGCATGAGGATGAGCAACGCCAAAGGCTGCCGGCGTCGGACGTTGTCCACAAACTCCTTGTCGACCATGGCTAGCCACGCCAAAACATTTGCGGCATCCACCTTGTCGTCAATTCGCGTAGAAAAGTGGCGCAGGTGCATAATAGCTTCTTTGTTTATTTGATGCTGGTCGGGGTCGATACTAGCCAGACTCTCATCATTCAAAGTCCCCAGTCGTTCGAGAGCAGCTTGTGTCTCGCTTTCTAGCCTATCCGAGCTAGGATCCCAGTAGTTTTTCCGGGATGCGAAGAGCTCGAGCTTGATCCACGATTCGCCGATCCGGTGAATCTTCTTCACACCTTGGAGAAGTTCGAATACCACGACGATATTCTCGGTGATGCCTGCGTTCTCCCCGCGAGCAGAACTTACTCTCGGGATGGCAATGCCTATGACAGTCGTGATGATGGATTGCGCCAAGACAGCCTCGCAGTTCATGGGATTAATGTGGTCGACCGCAAAGCGGTACGGAGCGAAGGTGAGACTATGATACTGCAAGGCCGTGTCAATATACGCCAAGGAAGCCGGCGGATCCAGTGCGGCAGCGATATGCAGAGCTCCCAGGGCCAAAATGCCATTCATGAGAAAATCATACTGCAGGGCCAGGCGCGGAATGGCAATTTGCCACACGTAGTGGCCCGAATTGGAGGTGCACAGACTTTGATATGTCTCTGTGGAGTACTTGTGCATCAGCTCCAGTTCTCGCACCCCGGACACATTGGACGGGGTGGAGGCGGCAGGGCTAGGGATTCCCAGTTGCGGGGGACTGGGAAGGACCGTAGCTAGCGGGGCCGGGGTGTGGTCTCGCCGGGTCTCCGGGCGAGAATGTGCTCTCAGATAAGTACATGCAAGCTCCCGCGAGATGCAATTGGAGCATGGCGGACCCTTTTCGTCGCACTGTGACCGTTAGTCGAGTGGAGCCTGAAGCCGTCTGGAAAGCCAACCTTGACGCGACGTCGTTTGCATTGATCGCAGCCCTGGCGAGACTTGGTATGCGCCCTACGAGGAGGCATCTCGAAGACGGGCCTTACAGTCCATGTAACCAGTCGGCTTGAATCCTTTGTACAACAGAGAAAAGTCCAAGCGTCGGGAACAGGTGAGGTGATGATGCACGTGACAGGAGCTACAAAAAGACCGCATTTCGACTTTCCTTCTCGATGCTCCTCACCATTTCATTCTGCTTTCTATCTATCTCGGTATTCTTGATTCAGTTTTTCGGTCCTTCGCACTGCTGGGCGATGAGGTCTTGAATACTCCGTTCGGCTCGTTCGGATGTCATGCACAGCCGTTGCGCCGTTTTACTTCCCGTTATAGGCGAGCATCTAGACAGTCTGCACCTCACCTTACCCATGTCTGATCCAATAAAATCGCCCCTGGACAACCTTCGCAGATCGGTCAACAGATACCTAACTAGGAAATAGAAAGATCTCGGATCTAAACACGTTCGCGTAAAATCCCCGGGCGCTTTGATAGTGGGGCGATGCGAGAACGAGAACGACCGCGACAACGAGCCCGACAGCCAATAGTAATGCAATGCGAGGTCTCGCTCTTCATCCACTCTGCTTGACGGCTCTTGCTGACCTTGGCGCGACCGTTCAAATGTTCGACCTTGATAGTCGAGGGAAATTAGGGGGAAAATTTTGTATAATATGGCGACTTAGTCTCTCCCAACATCCAGTCCCTGGAAGCCATCGTCAACGTCGGAGCTACTGAGCTCTTCTTAGTTGTTCGTCCTGGCCGTTCAGGACTTAATCTTGGAATCTCCGACTGGCTCGCATTTCCATCCCAAGTACTCCGTACTCCGTCTACTCTCACCATGGCGACATACGCGACTTGTCACGAAGTTGGCCCGCTCTGTCCCGTTGAACTGACGACCTATGGCTACTACCCTAATTTCGGAGGCAACGTCTTCTTCACAGTCTTCTTCGGTATTCTCGGGATCGCCCAGACCGGTCTCGGTGTTTACTATCGGACATGGACATTTCTGACCGCGCTGCTAATTGGCACATTCATGGAAATGGCAGGCTATATTGGACGAGTCCTCATGAACGATAATCCCTGGTCCGGGCCTGCATTCAAGCTCCAGATCGTGTGTCTGGTGTTGGCACCTACCTTCGTCGCCGCCGGTGTCTATCTGACCCTCAAGCATATCATTCTCAGCCTGGGACCCCAGCATTCAGCCCTCAAACCGCGCCTTTTCACCTGGATCTTCATCGGCTGCGATATTGGATCGCTCATCTTGCAGGCTGCCGGAGGAGGTGTGGCCGCGGCCGCAGGAAATGACGACATGGACATGCTCAAAGCAGGAGACAATATCATTATCGCTGGTATCGCGTTCCAGGTCGCCACGATGGCCGTGTGTGGAGTCTTCGCTGTCATCTTCTTCGTGCGGGTATTCAAGCGAGGCGATGGCTTCGCGGGTGAAAAGGATCTCGACACAGGTCTTTCGACCATCGTGCCCAAGTGGATGCCATTCCTGGTGGGTGCTGAGGTCTTTGCTTACTTCACGGTGTTGATCCGATGTATCTATCGGTAAGTCAGAACGATGTCCTAGCAATGTATATCGTGCTAATTGTGATCGCAGGTTGCCCGAGATGGCTGGTGGCTGGGGAAACCCTCTGATGCAGAAGGAGAACGAGTTCCTCGTTCTGGATGGAATGTAAGCATCAATACCTACCTACTATTAACCTCGCTGACCATTCTAGGATGATTGCCCTGGCTTGCTTGGCCATGACTCTCTTCCACCCCGGCATCTTCCTCCCATCGCTGCGCTATCCGTCCAAACCCCGCGTCTGAGTTGCATTCGATCTGTTGCATGTCACCTAGCGCTCTCTGATATTTTAAGCATTCTCGATCTTGATGTCTCCGTAGCGAACATCTGCACATAGCCCTATATTGTAATTTTCATAGAACACACATATAGAAAAATGTTTTTGATGATGCGGTATGCTATTCGGAAAGCTATAGATCGAAACGAATATGTCAAACTCCAACCCAGCTCAAAGAAGGCACAGGAAATGCACCGCAAAAGAAAAGAGGCAAAAAACGAACAGAAATAACAAAAGGTCGAGAGCATCGCAGCCTGATGCACTCGCTTCATGCAAACGAACGCCGCTGAGCAGAAGGAAACGATACCAAACACCCCGTGAAACCAAAGACCCCACCTTGAAGATCATTTACTCTTCCAAGCTAGCCCGGACACATCTGCGCACACGCTTCTTGAACTCAACGGGGTCCTCGCGCCATAAGCGGGCGGCTTCGACGTTGGCGGGGCTTTCATCGTTCGGGCTGGAAAGCATGGAAATCACGGAGAGGAGGATGGTCTCGGGGGTTTGCACGGGGGACCAGCGCTCCGAAGCAGATTCATAGCCGTACTTGTCCTCCTCGGGTGGATGCAAGATGGAAATGCAGACATCGCCGTTCTCATAGACTATCACGCGAGGATGAGTATACTGTCGGGACATGGGGGTTGCGGGTTGACCTACTGTTTGGGTGGAAGAGGGGAGATTCGAACTTCATATTGGGAGGACGATGGGGATACTCTGAAGGGAAGGACAGACGTGCTCGGAAGTTACCACCTGTTCAAGGTCCCTGGTCAGTATAGTGTCCTGACGTGGAATTACGATCATTACGATCTATGTTCCGGTTTAGGGCCTGGAAGGTGGGCACGAGGCATTGATCACATACCCCCGTAGAGCTTGACATCGTCGGAAATCATTAGCATTACCTCCCATTCGAAGACGTTGTTATCGACCAGACCACAACTGATCCCGGGAATATCCTTATCGGACTGCATTTGCTGCAGCTGGCGAGACAGCATGCGCCCGGCGGGTGAGGTTGCTATGTTGAGTCGGAGTGCGAGGAACAGCGCAGGTTCAAGAGTCGAGAGTCAAGACCCGCGAGACAAAGAGCAGATGAGGGGTCCTTGCAAAATTGAAGGCGGTGTGGTCAAGGTGGGGAGAGGGGGTCCGGGTTGGGGAGGCGGTCTATAACACTACTACGGAGTACGGAGTATGTAGTAGTAGATGGAGATGGAGATGGAGTATCTGTTTTACCGTATAACTAAACACTGAAAGCCAATGTAAGATAAAGAGCAGGACATATAGAAAATTTACTCAGTAACTCCGCATATATCAAAGACCAAAGAGCTTTGGAGCCTTCATGATTCAAGACTCCCAGCTGATTTGGTAAGGAGCATCGGAGTTAGGCTTGGCAGTCTTGAACATCAGGATGACTTGACCACCAAGCACCAAAGCGGCAAGGACGCCCAGCGCCACTTGAATGGCAAAGGTCTTACCAATTACCTTGGCAAAGCGCACACGGGCAGCCCAGTCAAAGGTGGTCCAGGCCTCCAAGAGCCCAATCTTGCCACTGCCACCCGTGATGGCCGGGCTGACCTTGCCGCCGAAGGAGCGGTCGAAGGGCACAATAGTCTCATCCTCCTCCGGGAGCATAGAGGCCGCCACACGGATGAAGATCACGCGGGCAGGCATGGAGATGAGGAAGGACAGAACCGTGGGGATGACAGTCACCCCCATGAAGCGGTACAGAGTGACCATGGGAGGGGCATCGTCACTGACCGGGTCAAGCCAGCCGAGGAATTGGACCAGCGCCATGGGCAAGAAGAAAGCAGCGGACATCAGCACATTCTCCAGGGCCGCAGCCGGGGCAATCTTGATCCAATCCCTGTAGCTGGGGATGCGCTGCCAAAAGCGCTTCGGGGAGGGCTCGGTGATGACGATGTGAACCCAAGCCATCTGCCAATTGGCCAGGGCGATGCTCACGACCGACTGGACAATGAACCGGTAGAAGAGGGAGTTCTCGTTCACGGGGACGGAAGCGAACAGGAATCCGTTCATAGCAGTGTAAGACAGGAACATGCCCATTCCGCGGAAGCGGGACCAGAAGCCCGCGCGGTCGCGCAAATGCTTCATGGCTGTGCGCAGTTTATTGGTGATGGGCTTGGGAGGAGTAGAGACTGCCAACTCGGCCTCCTCGTCATTCGGCTTGGTCGGGTCGGGATTGGAGATCCGGACATAGATATCGGGGTTTGTATCCTCGACAGCGGCCAAGGTGGCGATGACCATTGCATAGGTGTATTCGATCTGGAGCTAGGTTAGAGATACTCGTGCAGGTACGATCGAAGTGCTTACGCTCCAAAAGATCAATCCAAACACCACGGCGGTGATGGCGAATAGAGCGATGAGGCCTCCATTTGGCTGGTCGGGCTTCTTCTGGAAGGAGCCGATGGCAGCCTCTGTGCCTCGACGCACGAGAGAACCGGTGATGGACGACATGATGTGGAATAAATTTCCAACTTGGAAGGATGGGATACGAGGGGAGAGGGGGCCCTTTTATCGATACAAAGGGCCAGGCAGCACACCACTAGCGCCGGAATCCACGGTACTCAGGCGGTACTGAGAGTCAGCCGGGATCCACCCCAAAAGTCTTGTACCTCGTCTGTACCTTCGACGGAGCATTGCCGTCTTACTCGACGTGAGACACTTCATTTGCTTATTTTTGATTTCTGGCATTTCACCTGGGCAAATTATCTCTTGTATTTCTATTCCTTGGATCTAAGAAGTATTGATTCCAAAACACTTCGTAAATTCCAAACAGCACAGCCGATCGGTTATTGGCCCCCAAAATGTTAGCGCTGTGATGGGTCTCAGATCCTGTTTGTAGAAGCCACTGCGGCAACTTGGGGGCTGGCCCCTGGGACCTCGTGTCTGATAGGCAGACAGAAGTTTCCGCCTTGAGCCTCATACAATGTGGATATTGTTGGCCCAGTAGTATACCCTTTTGAATACTAGTATTCCAATTCTTAAAATATCAGATCTGGTCAGATTGTGTACATTTCCAAAAGTTGTGTGCCATTCACCAAATTCTATAGAAGATCAGACTCGGGTCTATGACAAGTCAAAGAAATGGTATCCGAAAAATGAGAACACGCTGTAAAAGACAAGGTATTTACAAAACTTAGTCGAAGAGCTTCTTCATGCCCTTGTGCGCCAGCTCAACACCAAGGAAAGTAGCAGCATTGGCAGGCACCGCACGAGCGAGAGCGGGTCCAAAGCCAGGGAAGAAGGCCTTGTATCCACCGCTAGCGTACACAGTACGGATAACGCCACCAATAGTGGGCTTACCCGGTGCACTCTGCAGACGAGACTTGACAGTGTCAACGGGGAAGACGGGAATCCACATGGCGATACCGGCCGCACCACCAGCGGCCAGAACGGCAGACAGAGACAGCTCGCCCGTCACATTGCCCTCGGCATCCTTGGGAGTCAGCGATCGCTTGATGTACTCGTAGGCGGCGAAGTAGGCCGCGGAACCGGGACCGTCACGCGCCAGCGTCATGGCACTGCCACGGAACACACTGCGCACACCACCCTCCTTGTACAACTGGCGCACGACATCCATACCACCAGAGTACTTGGGCTTCTCGCCTGGGGCGAGAGTCTTCTGGCCCTGGATCTGGAGGAGGACCTTGACACGCTCAAAGGGGGCGGTGATCAAAGTCATGGGAATGGCGGAGAAGAAGCCAGCAGCGGAGATCTGGGCGATGGAGTACTGCGGGGTGTCGTGCTTCACGGGGACCGTGGAGAACTTGTTCACAAGGGTCTTGCCTACGTCATAACCCTGGGGAAAGTCAGTGTCCGATCAGTTTGGCGAGCTCTCTAAACATACCCAGAAGCTAACAGCGACTATGCGACAAGGTTAGCTTTAGTTTCGGGGTCAATTGACCAAGGGCTCAGTAGCACTTACACATGGGAGTCACTCCGACGAGCGGGGCGGAGACACCCGCATACAGTCCCTGGAGTGGAGTTAGCAGCGGGTTCGCGAACGGTTTTCAGACTCAAGGATAAACATACACGAGCCAGACCCTCGCGAGCGACGGTCCTCCGGACCACATCCATTGCGCCCGAGTAGATTCCCTTTTCGGCGGTCTGCAGGCGGACCTTCACCAGGTCGAAGGGGTGTCCCACGATAACAGCACAGAGACCACCAGCTGCACCAGCTGCTAGGGAGCGCAGCTGAACAATAGTCTGGTTGACGGGCTTGGTCTCGGCGACCTTGACCTCATCTTTGAGCTGCTGCGGGGGAGAAGTGGAGGTCGACATTGTGCGGGTGTGGTGTGGGAGGGGAAGAAGAGGGAGGAGGTAGAGAAGAAGCAGAGGGATGTAGAGAAGCAGAAGAATGTAGAAGTGTCAGAAAGTAATTTCACAATCTGGAAAAAAAGGTATGACGGAGGACCGAAGCCGAAGAGCGGCGGCTTGGGTCCGGGGAAGATGCCTCGGTTCGGTTGGCGGATAAACCGGGTTCCCGCACAGCGCGATAGCGAGAGACTATGATTAATCTCGGTCTGGTCTTGGATGTAGTTGTGTTTTTCCTCGAGAGATTCGCGAGAGGAAGAGAGCTGATTGAGCGAGTTCACCTCTTTAACCTCGCTTTGCGTCGGTGACCTCCGTCCGGATGAACGGGAAAACACTCAGCCTCTCCACGTTTCCCCGCGGAATAAAGGAAGGCGATACTTTGACTGAAATGGACGGGTGCAGGTTGATGAATAGCTTAGAGTGTGCCTTGTAGTATTTAATAGAGCAGAAAACCTATAGATGCGCATGATGGACTTCATCACATGTAAATCTCACATGCAGACACCTGAGATTGCAGGTGTCCAGAGCTTGTGCAACCGGGGCAACTATGCCCCTTGCGCATCAGGCACCTTTGCCGTACTATACATATGGTTACACAGCTACATGGAAGAATTACTAGGAACGGCATTGTGTCATGAAGATTCCATTAAGTCCGATCGACATTATATTAACAGCTCCGTAGAGCAGAAAGAAAAGTAAGTGTAATTGTACCACGTCGGTTCATGCTGGCTCGTTTGAGCACAGCTTTCGACGACGCGAGTCGTAATCCGTAACCAAAACAAGACCCTGCTTGGGAAGCTTACAGGGCAAGGAGAGCGACGAGGCCGAGGGCACCCATAGCACCGCTGCCGACGGTGGCCATGGGGTTGGCAGCACCATCGCTAGAGGTAGGGGCAGCAGAGCCAGCAGCAGAGCCGGAGGCATCGCTGCCAGAGTCCGAGTCAGAGCCGGAGCCAGAGTTGGAGTCGGAGTCGGAGTCGGAGTTGGAGCCGCTACCGCCAGTCTCGGAGGAGTCAGAGCCAGAGCTGGTGCTGGTGACGGTGGTCATGGTGGAGCCAGAGCCGGTCATGGAACCGGTCATGGAGCCAGTACCGGTGACAGAGCCCGAAGCACCGGTGCCAGTCATGGAGCCAGTGGAGGCATCAGAGCCAGTGGCAGAGGCATCGGAGCCGGTCTTGGTACCAGTGCCGGTCATGGAGGTGGTTGAGTCGCTGCCAGCACCGGCGCCAGTGCCAGTGGAGGTGGAGTCAGAGTCGGAGCTCGAGCTGGAAGACGAAGTGTCAGAGCCGGCCTTGCCACCTGTACGTATATTAGTATTGAAGATAGATGTACGGAGAGGTTGATACATACCAGGGCACTTGGCGACAGCCATGGCGAGGACCTTCTCAGCATCATCGCTGGGGCAGGCCTCCTTGGTGCAGTCACGGATACCGAACTTGTAGTCATCGGTCTTGCAGAGGCAAGACAGGTCGTCGGCCTTGCAGCCGAGCTCAGAGGCCTTCTTGTTCATGTTGGAGACACACATGGACTGATTGGGGTTAGCCATTGACCTCGCAGGAATTCTTCATCGCCCACTTACAGCGCATTCAGAGGCAGAAGGGTCGGCAGCGACCATGCCGAAGGCGGCCATCAGGGCCAGAGCGACGGGGGAGAAGGACTTCATGGTGAGATTGTGTGGATTGGGGTGGGAAATGGGTAGGTAGAGCAGTGAGAAGCTAGACAGGATGGAGAGTAAAGAATTTGGTAAATCTGGGGGAAAGCGGAATGTTATAAGAGCTCTCCCAGCCACCTCCACTGGGCCAGGGCCAATCAACAACTCAAGAGAATTGAAAATTCAGTTGCTACCCAGTCAACGTGGCCCTGGCCCGTGGGCTGATCCCCCCAAGCATGAAGTCATCAAGTAATATGAGAATCTTGGATCTGCCCTAAGAAGGGGAGGATCGGCCGATAGCTTGCACCCCTTCTCCACTTTTCCCACATCCTGGTCACTCCTGATCGTCATGGCAATTGACCTCCGTCATCCTGTTCTGAACCTTGGAAGTTCGCGGTAAAGTGCGAAATGCGAGATTTGAAATGTGAAATGGGATGCAGGATGAGGTGGCGAAGGTAGAAGGCAGCAGAGATGTGAAAAGCTTGAGGGCGGTAAGGATCGACAGACCCAAATCGAGGTTGTCGACTAACTTTAACAATTCCTCGATGGAGTGTGGCTGAAGCACTCGGCTGTCGCTCGTCGGCACTCACTACACCGTACATCCATGGGTTGTCTACTATACTCCGTACAAGACTTCCAAGGTTCGTCCGTACATATCAACGGAACTCGTTTCATCTGAATTCTCTAGGGATATCCCTGCCCAATCCAATCTCCCAATCCTGTTTGCCCCTTTCTTTGCTTTTTGGTGTTCCACTTTTCTTTGATCTCTTCACCTGCCCTATCGAGACAGTCATTTCGAACTATTAAACTATCCTTTTCAGACCCCGAATCTCCGTACGGAGTACTCCGTCCATCTCACTGAAGATCGGATCGGATTTCATTTTGCTTTCTGACGCAGGATACCGACGCTGCTTTCCGGGCTGGCGCGTCGCCATGCACTCTCAGCCAATGCTATAACAGCCATACAGGAGGACATGCATGTCCCAGGCAAAACTATAATGCAGGATACTCTCATGTTTGCCACCAATCCTAAAGGGGATGTGGAAGAGGTCGCCTAGAGATCTGACCTGGCCTCTTGGCTCCGGGCTTTTAAGTTGCGATCGCCGAGTTCGCGAACTCGCGGCTCGCATAGTCCGAATGGGGGTTGGGGCCTGAGGGATCTGGCAGAGAGGCAACTATAAAACCCTCATCTACTCCGTACTGCAGTGGACAGTTGCACTTTAGTTATAGTCAACCTAAGCCATAATGGAAGCTAATCCTCATTGCTAGTCCAGTCGTATCAATTGACTGGTTTCTACAGCCTAACAGGAATATGACTATAAGAGGCTAGCACGGCGATGTTACATCGTTGGGGTCCGTTATCTTCCCCGCCCCAAACAACTTCCCAGCCCACAATGGTCGTGCGAAGAGCTTATGTGCCAGACCAATTCGATGACTTCGTTCAGCAGCAGATGGAGAGATGGAAGGTCCCCGGACTGACCATGGCCATCGTGCATGGCGCCAGCACTTGGTCAAAGGTATGGATCCTGCGCAGGGGAACGAACTCGGGTTGACCTCTGCCAGGCGTATGGGATAGCTGAATTCCCCGATCGGAAGATGACCACCGATTCTCTCTTCTCGACTTGTAGTACAACCAAAGCGTTCACAGCGGCAGCCATGAGCCTGGCCATTGACGATAGCAAATCTACCGAGACGCCTCTGAGCTGGGACACGCCAATTGCATCCATACTGCGAGATGACTTCGTACTACACAGCGACTATAGCACCATGCACACCACGATAGAGGATGCGCTGTCACATCGCTCGGGGCTGTCAACTCACGACGCCTGTATCAGTCTCGCGAATCCCCGCAGGTCCCTCCGCGAGGCCGTGCGGAACCTGAGGCACCTCAAAATGGCGTATTCTCCCCGCACCACCTTTGCCTACAATAACAATATGTATATGGCGATTTCCCATCTACTGGAACAAATCGAAGGCCGCAGTCTGGGGGAGACCCTCAAGAACCGTATTTGGAGTCCCTTGGGGATGAACGATACATACTTCTCCGCACAGGAAGTGTCAGAAGACCCATCTCTCAGACCTCGATTGGTCAGAGGCTACACCTGGGATTCCAATACAAGCTCCTACATCGCAGAACCTCGCGTAAACGACAACGCACTGACCGGTGCCGGGGCCATAGTGAGCAGCGTCCTCGAGTACACCAAATGGCTACGCGCACTGATCTACCGAACAGGCCCGCTGTCACCGGAGGGACATGCCGAGATCTTGAAATCTCGTACAATCATCACGGATATGAACGAGATCATCCAGCCCCCGGGACCGCATCACCTCTACGCCCTAGGGTGGTTCGTAGCCAGCTATCACGGCGAACCACTCTACTGGCACAGCGGCAGCTGGCCCGGGTTCGGGATCATGGTCGGATTCCTACCAAGCAAAGGCTTCGGCTTTGCAATGATGGGCAACACGACCAATGCTCGCCACGCGCAGGTAGCAATATACACGCATCTTCTAGATCAGATGTTCGGTCCCGGTCCTGGTCCCGTTCTCTCGCCAATGCCCACGGAAAACCCAAAGCAATCGATCGTCGCGTCTGAAACCATGGACGAGGCGATCAAACGGATTTATCCACGTCTGCCTGACCCTATCATCCCGCACTCTCTTCCCTTGCCGCAGTATGCAGGGCAATACGTCCACCCTGCGTATGGATCCATCACTCTTGCGTTGAAGGATAATTACCTACGTGCGGACCTACTGGACCGTGTCATACCTGCTCTTCTCTCCTTTACCCATGCGAGTGGGGAGTTCTTCCTGGCATGCTACTACCAACCCAAGTCAATTGGTTCTATCGCTGTGTACTACAGTGCCGAATTCCGCGTGGGTGCTGACGCGAGTACCACGGCAGTTGGCTTGGATCTAGAGCCTGCCTTGGGTGAGAAGATTTGGTTTGAGCGAGCTGGTTCGATCTAGCCGATATATATTTGGATCGGACTGATACCTGCCCAGGTGGGTACTAGTCGCGTTTGAGCTTGAGCTTAAACTGTAGCCTAGGCAAGGCATCGAATCAGACCTCGGAAAGAACGAAGATGCCTGCTCGTTACCAAAGTGCAGTATAGTACTGCACGGAGTACTCCAACCGAGTCCACGGTTGTATGGATTTAGGCCCGGCAGGCCGTTCTGTGACCGTTTCGGCAGAGCTCCGGGTCCGGTGGAGCCGAGCAAAAATCTGATCCGAACCAGAACATTGGATGCTCCAGAAGCAAAAAGTGATGACCGACGCAGGGATCGAACCTGCAATCTCTTGATTCGTAGTCAAGCGCCTTGCCATTGGGCCAGCCGGCCTGGTATATGATGTTGGTCGAGTTAGCGCTATAGGAACAGATCTTTAGGACTCAATAGTATTCATCCGTGGATGCAAGGTGATGCCCAGTGCAAGGTGCCTTTACTGGAGATAATCAAGGTATCTGAACAAAAGAAAGTATCGAATATGGTATTTTAATGCAAACGCTGAAAATGAGAAAAAAATCAAAAGTCATCCGTCAGGTCATACCGACTCAGTCACATCAGTGACATATATATGAGGCACCATGAGTGACTTCTCCGAAGTCCAATCCATATCTTTCTCGACCGATTGAGGACTTGCCTTCCAGCCAGCCCGCACAGCAAAAGACATAAACAAGTGACCCAGGAAGAAACCAACCAAACAGGCCGCCAGCCCAGCCACAGCCCCCATCACCGCAGGCAAGATGATAGGGCCGACAATACGTCGGAACGAGTGACCAGGGCGATGGTGCGGGTGACCATGAACATGTGCCTCAGGAGCAGCCCAGAACGAAGCAATGGAGAACTTGGACGGGGCCACATCAGGTCGCGCAGCCTGGATCTGACTCTCAGACTTTCCGTGGACATTATCGAAAAGCGACCCAAACTGCGTAGACCAATACTTCACAACCCAAGGCCGGCTCTTCTGCGCAAATCGATCATCCTGACGCCCTCCGCGCGCAGGCTCAACGCGGATACGGGTAATATGATGATCACCGTCCTGGTAAGTGAGCATATCGACAGCGACGGCATTGGGCGAAATCAGATTCCCGTGCAGGTCGAGGAGTTCAATGCGGACGCGGATCATGCCTGCGACTGCTCCTACGCGGTCTGTTGATAGTGGACGGGTGTCGAGGGTGTATGAGAGATCGACGGATTTATCAGTGGGGGTGTTTGCTTCGTAGAGCGGGGCACGGAGTTGCATTGTGAGGGAGGGAGGGTAGATTTGGTTTTCGTTGGCGTAGAGACTGCCATTTTGGATTGACCAGTTTATGGCGAGAGTTTGTTGCACGCCGTTTTCGAGGCTGTTGGGAGATGGGGCGAATGGGAGGTGCATTTGATTGGGGATGGACAGGGCTAGGGCGCTGCCGAGGTAGAGGAGGGACCAGAGGCGCATGGTGAAAGGAATGAATGTGTGTTAAGGAGAGTGGAAGTGAAGAACTCTAGGACTATAAGATAACCTTGGAAGACTATAAGTAACATGGGAGCCTAAGTATATAAGATATCCAAAGGGTAAAGCTTAGCGTCCTGCGCCCCAATTTTCCTGCGCAGTCGCCCAATTGCCCGTGTCGCTATTATTATCCGAATCACTAGCCGTTTGCCCGACCCCGAGTTCTGTTTTCTCTTTGTTTTTTTGGTCTCTTTAGTACAGTAGAAGCCTCAATTCCCAGTAAGTCCTTCTATTCAATTGAACCACGATCCTATAATACTTTTATTATACTACAGTACTATAGTAGTACTATCCATGGGTACGGAGTACAACAGACATCAAAGGGTCCGAAGGATCGACACCCCGGGCCAAACCGACCCTAGTCTCGGAGGTCTTGACAATGTAAGACATGGCCCAATGGGGCAAAGCATGGTCAGATTTTTCAGTTCGCAGGGTTTGCAAGACTTAGAGCTCATTAGCCTGCGCTTCTGATAGGATCCCCCGGTCGGGTTGGCAATCCTCGGCCACTCGAGCTCTATACTAGTGCTTGCACCTGCAGCTTATACGAGCACCTGCATAACATTAGTACCTTCTGTACTCTGTACGGAGTAGACATTTCTCTTTTGGCCCCTCAACTACAGTACAGTACATGAGGGGTAATTGAAAGGTCTACGAATTACGGGGTACTAGTTTTGAGATCACTCCATACTGCCCAGGTGTGCTCGACGTTCTGAGACAGGGGAAGTACCTCGCCTCTGTTTTGAGCCAATAGTTCAATTGACCGGTCTTCATTAAATCGACACGTCTATGAGATGCATTCATGGATAATACGGCACAGGTTGCCAGAACGAACAGCGCGCGTTCCGCGTGGGGTCTGGAATGCTTCGAATCCGCTCGGTCTCGAGGCTCATGAGCTGCGCATGCGGACCCCACGGTTCGATCGTCGGCCCCAGAGGCGAAGTGGGGACCCCGTGCTCCGTGAAGCTGAGGAAGTAGTCCTGCATGGCCAGGGCAACGGTGACATTGCTCACAGTCATGAGAGGGTTGGTGGAAGTGCTGCTGACCTCGGTACTGCCTTCGTTGTAGAAGGTGTAGGCCGCATCTTGGCCGTGCAGACCTGGGGTGATGTTGAATTCGTAGGCGTACGTCCGGTTGAACGCCCGGTTGAGGTAGTCGGTGTTGCACTGGAAGGCCATATCGGAGACGAGGAGGGCGGCGCGCGAGACTGAGTCGGTGTATCCGAAGGTCCCGTTGTAGATTGGGGGGTAGAGGATGTGCTCGACGAACTGGGAGACGTCCTTGAGGATGCTGGGTGCCAGATTGGACAGTTGGCTGCCGAAACCAGTTCGGTTGTAGCTTTCCGGGGTGGTGAACAATAGTCCTTCGTCTGCTGCGTGGCCAACCATCACGTTGACATCGTGGTGGAAGTTGCCATTGAGGAGGAGTTGGCCTGGCAGCGCAGGGACAAATGTGCCGTCCACGGCTGGGCCGTAGATGAAGGTTCCCCATTTGGATTTGGTTGCGATCTGGGCCGAGTTGGCGGCGATGACCTTGTCCGAGGACAGGGTGCGGGCTTCTTCGAGAGTGCTGACATTCAAGAATCCCAGGAACTGCTGCATGCTATCCTCTTGCTGCTCTTCGCTGATGATGGGCACCCACCCAGGGCTCTGGATGACAGCCTGCTGGAAACGCGGAGGGCTTTGCTTCCCGCCGTAAGCTGTGATCTGGTGCATGATAGAGCCTGCACCGGCCGATTCTCCCATGACAGTGATGCGACTCGCATCACCACCGAACAAGTGAATGTTCTTATGCACCCACTCCAGAGCGAATCGCTGGTCGTGAAGGGCCGCATTAGCAGTACCGTTGGCGTTTACGCTTTCACCACCAAGCCAACCAAACGCGCCCAGCTGCTCAGAATATTAACAGGGATCTTAATGGGCGACATTCCTCACTTACGCGATAGTTGAAAGCCACATAGACGATACCGTCATGGTCCGCGGTAGTGCTCCGGTGAACAAGGCCACGGGCATCGTTGGTGGTTTTATCACCAGCAATGTATCCACCACCATAAATCCATACCATGACAGGCGCCAGATTCTTTTCAGTCCCAGTCTTGGTGCGATCGAAAACCTTCTTGGGAACAGTCACATCGAGGAACAGACAGTCTTCCGAGACTGCTGCCTCTTGCTTTGTTGGTGTGTATGGGTAGGAAGAGATGTCGGTGGACGTATTGAACGGCTGGCCCGACAAATAATCCAGCACAAATGGTGTTTGAACCTTTGTTGACCATAATGGGGCCGCCTGAGGGCACATGTGAGAGACAGAGCCATTTTGAATGTGTTGGCGATTCACTTTCGGGGCAGTTGGGGCCCGGAATCGCAGATCTCCCACGGGGGGAGCTGCATAGCGGATGTTATCGAAGCTATAGAGACCATTGGAGCTCTAGAATGATGTTAGCATTGGAAATTAGATATAAACCAGGGAGTTTGGGTTATATCGCAAAGAGAGAGAGCATACATTGTACGAGAGAGCTTGATGTCTCTCATAACCCAAATCAACAACAGGCAATGTCGAGGCCAAACAAGCCGAAGCCAAACTTAACCATAGCAGCACCATTTTTGAAAAAAACAATCAGGATGCAGAGCTGGAACTCTTTTAGTACCCATAGTCAACATGGTCACAGTGGATCAGGGCCCCTGTCACCACCAGCTAACCCTCGGCGTAAGGAGTGGAGTCACGATGGAGTATTTAGCATCGAACAAAAATCGAGATCATCGTTCATCGCACCGCGACGTTGATATAGTATGCCGATCCGCCACCAATCACGGGGGCGTCGGTTTGCATAGTGGATTGAACAATGGCCCCCTTACGTTTTATGCCGACTTTGCTTTTTTTCTCCCGTTCGCATAGGGATCGTCTGTGGGCCAGGAACTGGCTATCGTGCAAGATCCCCTGATGATTTTCACAGATTTTTACCGATGTAGGAGCCCCTATGCTGGGTCCTCACAATTAGGGAGCCTGTTCCAGCTCGCGTGTAACCAGAATATGCAGTGCGAGTACCAGCACTTGCAGTATACTACTCACACGGCAATTGGGGATAACATGAAACATGTACAATGACATAGGTGAAGATTTTTCCTAAAATAACAATTGCATCATACGCGTGGGTCAACCTCCCGAATCCTGTAGTCGAACATCAGGTTCGACGGAACTGCATGTTCATCTTGCAGTTTACTGGCACACTCAACCCCCGCTGCGGGCACTCGGTATTCAAAGCGGTTCCCGGGGGCCGGAACAGATCCGTCGGGCAGTGCATATGGGAAGGGGAGATACTCTGGCAACAGACCCAGCTGCACCAGCACCGTTGCCTGGTCCCACGCGATGTGTTCGTGGAACAGCCGATCTCCGCGGATATTAACCACCGAAGTGAAGGGCACACGAACATGTTTGCCTGTCGGGGGAATCCCGGGGATCCTAGTCAGGTTAGAAAATTCACAGAAAAGGCGACGCGGACTAACATCCAATCCATCTGCTGGACGTGAGTGAACACAAAAATGAACTCATCGACAATTCGATCTGTGCCCACTGTCCGACTAATCAGCTCCAAGGCTGTATCGTCGGGGTTATTGAAAATGAAGTGATGAAGATAGAAGTGACTCAATCGCGATCGTCCAATCCCGCCAGTCAACTGGACCTGTCAACAGGGAGTCAAGGACCAAAGTGGGCGCCACATACCGTAGGAATATGGTTGACGTATGGTTCCTGAACCATCGTCGCCATCGTTTTCTCCACCGACCGATCCCCAAACTCATAGTATGTGTGCTCATCCCAGATCTTCTCGAGGTCAAAGAACGGCCCTCCCAGATGCTTCTTGAGGAATCCCACGCTACGGGTGTGCGCAACTCCTGCCGTGGAGACTTTAAACTCCGAGTGTCCTGGAATAATGAAGCCGGGCCCGGCTACATCGTAGCTGTAGACCTGGTCATCTTTCTTCTGGGCAGCGGGGAGATGAAGCAGAGTGGGGAGGGAAACATCCCAGCTGTCGAAGCAAATAGCAGCAGTGACTTTTCCTGTCGCTGCCTGCAGCTGCTCTTCGGCTTCTGGGGGATAATCGGACTTGGCTCCATAGACTATTTGGTGAGCCTCTTGCGAAGTTCAGCTCGGAGAGTAGGGGTGGCCTACCGATCAGCCCGACTTTCTCTCCGTCACTTTGTTGCGCCAATCTGTTCACGGCTTGATCGAGGAGGTTCTGCGTGTGAAGGATATTCGACTGGTCCAAGGTGAGTTGGGCCACTGTGAAGCTTTCTTCTGCCCACTTCTTCAGTGGCTCTGGGTCTAACGAGTTGTTATGCTGCTGGCAACTTGCATAACACCTGGGTCGTATAATAATCAATGCTGGTCCCTGACCACATCTGGACAGAGGTTTCTGAATAGTCAGATCCGGATTCTCGGAGGTTATGTTGGACATCACAAAAGTTCCAAGGTTGGGCTTAAGTACTTCTCGTAATGGTCAGCACATGTGCACACAGGAATATATACCCGGTCCATCCCCACCCGGACACTCAACTACAAAGCACACCAATCAGCACTTCCATCTTACAATTACTAGTACCGGTCTTCGTACATCGCGCCAATCGGTATTGGGCCAACTGACAGCTTGCACACGTGACCCGCGGTTGAGAGCTCGGTCCTTGCGCGCTCTTCGCTCCCCCAACTCAACCATGAACGCGCTGGTCCAGTCCGCCCTGACTGATGTCGAATCCAAACTCAATGCCCTCCTGACCAGTCTCACAACCTCTCCCACTGCAGCGGGTGCCCCCGCTGCCGCAGTCGCCCTGCTCGAAGCCGACGATGCGTTGACCTCCGCCATTGAGACCCTCCGCCAGCACCAAGAAAATCACGCGAAGATCCTGCGACTCCGAGAGGAAGCGCAGCAGCTGGAGGATCGGGTCAAAGGAATCGTGAGAGACATCGAAGGCTTCGACAAAGAAATCCGCACCTCCTGCGGCGACAACAGTGACAGCGAGTCGGATTCGGATTCCGACGATGAGGCCCGGGACGAGAAATTGGCTCCAAGAGGGATCAAGGAGATCGATTACAAACTATTACTGGACTTCGCTCGTCGGATCAGCAAATACAACCATGAGGCTGCAGCCGATGCTGCGACGGGCGTCGTCAAACGACAGGAACTACCTGCGACCGACAAAGATGTGAAAATGACAGGGACAAATGGAGATGCGACCGAAGCTGGCACAGAACCCGTGGCGTCTGTCACCAAAAACGCGACCCAGTGGCTGGATGAGTCCGCCAACGTCACTCGTGAGGTTTACATGCTACCATATCCGATGGAGGAGCGGATTAGAATGGGCCTGATGGGACAAATCCAGCTTGCTGCTGGCGACGACCCCGAAAAGGAGGTGGAACGATTGTTGCGCGAAGCCCAAGGTCATGGAGCCGCAGAGCCACCAGCGCCAGTGGAACCAGCCGAGGAAACGAAGCAGGCAGACGAGGCTGCAAAGGCTGCAGCACATGCTGGATCGTCGGCTGGGATGCCGCGGGCGCCTGCACCGTCAGCGCCGAAACCCAAGCCCAAGGCGATGTTGGATCTCGATCTCTACGATCCTGATGACGATGACGATTGAGTGTTTATTTTCTGTAAGCGGGCGTTGCATTCGATCCTCTTCATGATACCAGGTCCTGCAGCAAAAAGAGGAATTCAAATCAATCTTTCAACATGTTCAATTCTACATTGCGTGCCGGTGAGCACGCTACAGCTTGTGTACGGAAGACTTGGCGGTCCACCCTCTACATTTCTTGCCATAGAAGTAGAAGGGGATGGCGCAGAGACACCACAGTGTTGCCAAGGTCATGTTCAGCATGATCGGTTTGACGAACCTGCTCTCTTCAACCCAGGGAGTAATGAACTTGCTAAACCCATACCCCCAGAGATTCTTATTGACAGTGATCGACACCATGATAGAGCCCGCCACCGGCTTATAGCTGTCGACTGCATAGGTGCTGGTGATTGCCGGCAGAGCCGCGACCTGGATTCCAGCTGCAGTGTATCCGATGATCACAATGATCTGTAAACCCGTCAGCCAGGGAGGATATCAATGGAGGACAGAAATTACCTTCCAGTCCCACTTATACTGATACCCAAAAGCGACAACGAAATTCCCAATGATCGAAATGATCACATATGGTATCATCGCAGGTAAACGCATTTCTGGCTCTCGAATCCCCCGATTCTTCCGAGTGGCCCTCATGGACACCCAGTCCGAAAGCAGGCCATTAGTGGTCAGCCCAATGAAAGCTCCTATCAAAATGGCAAAATTGAAGAAGCCAATGGTCTGACTGCTGAAGTTATACGGTGGTTCCGCAAATGCCTGGCTCTGCGTGAGATTCAGCGTGAGAAAGCAACTGGCCGACCACGACACGACAAACGCAGCAAGCTCCACAATGGGAAAAGTCAACAGCTTCCACGGTATATAGAAGCTCCGAAGGACAGTCTGAAGATTACTTCCGTTCATTTGCCAGAGCCTAAACTGTTTCCAACTCGGCGTGCCTTTGTGCAGTTCAGGATCACCCTCGGTCTCGGTTATGTTCTCATGCTGGGCTACCTCGACAGGCTTTTCGGTATCGAAGTCATCGGTGGCCGTACTGGAATGTGAGATCTGATCAAGCTCATCCGGATGAACGCGATGCCACTTTGTTTCGGGAAACAGGAATATCTGAAGGGCGAGGACCAGCCCGAGGATCCCAACGTTCAACCAGAAGAAGCTTCGCCAGCCGCTATGCTCGGCCATGGGGCCGGCAATGATGGGACCGACCTGCCCGGAGTCAGTCACAGGTCTCATATTTCACCCAGGGGATATTACCATGAGCGCCCCGAAGTATGCTGTGAAATACATTGTGTTGTAGGCGCCGCGCTCATGCAAGAACATGAGATCTGCAATGATCTCAGGTTGAGAGGTCTGAAGGATCAGTACCGATTCACTGAAAGTGATAAATTGACACACCTCTGCAGGACCCGCCCCGAACCCGTTCAGCACGCAGGCTCCCATATAACTGCCATAGCTAGTCGCCATTGCTCGCCAGATATTACTGATCATACAGATCAATGTCGAAAATATCAAAACCGGTCGCCGTCCATATGTAGTTTGAATGGGAATCCTGGTTCAGCATCAGTGAGGATCTTCCACATTCAAGATGCCAGCATATTCCCACCAGAAGAAATTGCTGAACCCCAGCACCAAGATGCATACCCCGGTGAACTGTACTACACCAGCCAGACCCGAGTGAAAGGCCTCCATCAACTGCGGAAACATCGGAGCCAGAGCCAACGGGCCGATGCCCTGGCTGAAGGATGTCAGTGTCGAAATCGTCATGGCGCTCATTTTCCAGAACTGGTTCCAGTTCTGTCATGGTCAGCATGCCGTTTGTCAAAGCGGAAAGTCTGCATACAAGAGGATCGTGCGGGTCCTGTGATGGCTGAGGAACCAGAACTCGATCGGATTTCGACGATGATTTCATGAAATGGTGGGAGCCCACATCGGCCATGATCTCTGTGCCGGGGTAGATGACCGTGCCGAGTTCCTCCTCGATTCTGAATGGGTCAGTGATGATGGATGGCTATGGGGAAGTAGACGCACTGCCGAAGGGTCTGTGGAGGCATCTTGTTAGCGACAACTCTTTCCTTGCTGAAGCATGCTCACCCCTTCATCATAGTTCATCTCCATGGTGTCTACGGAGTAATATTTCGGGGATTATCTGGTCGAATAGTTCATACTACCGCTATTGCGGAGAGTCTGAGGGGCTACCTGGATATAAATGCCCACTTGGGGACTCGCCGACTGCAGATATGAACATACCTACACCACGACCTAACCCTGGACGCTCTAGTGAAAAAATCCCGGGAGAAGAAAACCCACAGAACTACCGAACACCAATGGAAAGTATGTAACTAGATGCCACGATGAAACCGCAGTGGCTAAGATCACTTACACAGATCACTAGCCAACGTACTAGTCGGCGGAGATATTGGGGGCAAATAGGCATGGACCAGTCCCCGCATAGACTCGCCTATAGGAGAGACTTCCAGAACTACCAGGTCGATCATTCCCACCCCCGCAATGTCCGGGAGATGGCGACTCAATGTCATGCCGATCTAATGGACTATTGGATTCTACTGACGGATTCGAATATTTCCACTCGACATGTACTCCACCTGAAAGCGGGATAGTCAAGCGCTGTACGCAGTCCACGGAGATACACCCCAAACCCACTGATAATCATAGCTTCAAATGGTATCATCTCCGCACTTCTCCGGCATTGAGCCCCTTTTGGTGTTTTCATGATTACCTGGTACATGCTGGGCAACTGGGCGTCCATCCTAAGGCCCGCGGGCAGAGAAGGCCATGACGAACTAACATATCTCCGGGAATATGCTCCTGCTTTACCCAAGCAGCTCTTGTCGCCATCCAAGGTGATCCCGACAAATCCCACCCATCTCCACGCGGGGAGTATCTGGGGATCGTGAAACAAGCTTGTACCGGAGAACACTCCGCACCCTCATTGCAGTGTCTCACTCGCCCATTGGAGGTCCAGCCAGAGGAGCAGGCTGGGATTCGACCTGTCGGGTTCTGATTGCGACCTGTCGTGGGTCTCTTCCCCTCAATCTCCAGACTGGAGAAAAAGCGGAACTCGCTGAACGAGATGAACGAGCTGAATGACTCTATGCATCGTCATGGTGCCGGATATCTCCTCCACGCCATGAATTCCCGCGACAAACGTGGTAGAGCTGTTCTGAGCCAGCATATGGCTCTTCCCGGACCAATCGGAAACGACGATCCTCAACTTACTCTATCAATCTGGTGTACCGGCAGTTTGCTTGACGACATTGTCTGCCGGAGAAAATACATATAAGTTGGCCTGGGCCCAGATGTTTCTGACCCAGGATGGCGGCCTTTGCTCTTTTGGCTGCAGTTTTCTCGAAAGCCTTTGACGAAAATTGTCCAACAATTCCTTATAATGAGTCACCACGCAGATCATGCCTCCGAGGGCTCGGACACAGATGTGGAGAAGCAAGACTCCAACGACAACCAGATTCGATCCCCTGGAGGAACTCCGAGATCTACGCTTCAACAGAAGGAGGGCATGGGGGACAAGAACGAGCTCAAGCACTGGGAATGTTACGACAAGCTTGGATATTCCTTTCCCTGGTGGAAGAAATGGGGCATTATCTCAGTCATCTTTGCAGTTCAGACTTCCATGAACTTCAACGCTGGATTCTACGCTAGCAGTGTGAGCCTTTACGCGAAGCATTTCAATATCACGGAACAGGCTGCGAGAGTGGGTCAGATGGGATTCCTCGTTGCATATGCTTTCGGCTGCGAGTTCTGGGCACCCTTCAGCGAGGAGTTTGGCAGATGGCCAATCATGCAGCTGAGCATGTTCTTCGTCAATATCTGGCAGATTCCCTGTGCCCTCGCTCCAAACTTTGGCACCATTGTCATCTGTCGGATCCTCGGTGGTGTATCATCTGCCGGTGGCTCCGTGACATTGGGGATGGTAGCTGATATGTGGGAGCCAGAGGATCAGCAATATGCCGTGGCATTCATCGTTCTGTCTTCGGTGGCCGGCTCCGTCATTGCGCCAGTAGTGGGTGGATTCGTGGCGACTTTCCTTTCCTGGCGCTGGAACTTCTGGATTCAACTGATTCTTGGAGGATTTGTGCAAATATTGCATTTCTTGATCCCCGAGACCAGGTGCAGTATTCTCATCACCAGAGAGGCCAAGCGACGCCGCAAAAATGGAGACATGGTGTGGAGTGGTGATGAGATCACCAAAACTCGCATGTCTTTCCGCTGGATCTTCATGGTTTGGATACGGCCATTCATCATGTTTATACGTGAGCCTATCGTCTTGTGTCTCTCTCTTCTTAGTGGTTTCAGTGATTCCCTGATCTTCACTTTCCTTCAATCATACACTCCGGTGTATAAGCAGTGGCACTTCAGTACCATCACCACCGGGCTGGCCTTTCTACCGTGAGTATCGAAGCTTGACTTGACATATTGTGACAATGCTAACGATTCGACCTTGCAGTCTCTTAGTAGGGTACATAATAGCATACGTTTCATTCATACCTTGGATCCACCGTCATTGCCGGGTTAGGGAAAAGGACCCAGACGGCCTCCAGCCAGAAGCGCGTCTGTACTGGCTCCTTTTTGGTCAGTGCTTTACATAGCCCTTATGATTCCCCACTAACACACCACAGTGGCGCCTCTGCTATCAATTGGTCTATTTGGGTTTTCATGGACGAGTCTCGGTCCCCCTCAGGTCCATTGGATTGCACCCATGATATTCTCTGCCCTAATCGCCATTGCCAACGTAAGACTAACCGGAGCACTATTCGAATATGAAAACGCTAACCCAGAAACCACAGTACGCAATTTATATGGCAACGGTTGATTACATGATAGCATCATACGGGCCCTGGTCCGCTTCAGCAACAGGAGGCAACGGATTTGCCCGTGATTTCCTAGCCGGTATTGCAGCGATGTATTCTGTGCCCAGTAAGTCTGCAAGACAATCAATTTCGCCAGAAATACTGATCAACACCTAGTGTACGAACACATGGGCACGAAACACCATCTAGAGTGGCCCTCAACTTTCTTGGCCTTCATGGCCATTGTCTTCACCATTCCGATTTACGTGTTCTACTGGAAAGGACCTCGGATCCGGGAGTTGTCGCCGTTTGCACAGACTGTGGCGGCGGACAGAAAGGCAGCTGGTCGCAGAGCATCTCAATGTGGCTCTGGCGATCCGGATCCTGTCGAACGGTATCTGTCACGGAATTCCACTGACGTCTGCACTCGTCCTCATGTCTGAAAATTGGAGTTCTAGGCTTGGAATTGTTTGCTACGCTCAATTAGATTGTTTCGTGTGCTTTTAGACGCATTGCAGTGGTGGAGGAAAATCTTGTACATCGAAATATTGAGGATAAATTGACTACACTGTATAGCTTTGGGTGAAGTTTTTCGTTGAGATATCCCGTATATCGTCTGGGCATTAAACCCTAGAATGCTTTTTGATTCCCTTGATCCGGAATATTTGCGAATACATCTGGGTGATTCACTGATGATGCAAGGGTTTTATGTCGTGACAGCGATATGCGGAACTCACTCCCGATCCGTGGAAGTCCACGGATAGGCTGCTTAAGCCTAATCGGTATAGATTGAATGAAATATAACCTTGAAATGCATAATTTGTTACACTGCTTGGTTCCAAGAAGATTGGAGTTTCTGTATAGCATGACCAGTAGCCCAGCCAAGATCAGCTTCCACTCCTCGTAAGAGATCCACTATAATCTGATGCTCTTCAGCGGTTTCGAGACATTGCCCAACGGCCACAAGCAGCGGTACCATGAAGATACGGACTTCACCCCTTGGGCGACCCAAAGCAATGCCGCACATCTCACGAGAACGGAAATCAACCTCTTTGGTGACTTCTCGGTATCCCTGTAGACGATCAAATGCCGTAGAGGGGGCACTGATGATATCCGCGGGTCTATTGAGCAATAGAGCTATTCGTCCAAAGTGATAATGCTGCATGGCAGCAGCACACGTTGTCGAGCTATGGAAAATCTCAGGGAATGGCAAATGGCCCCCTTCTGCAGATCCAGAGAGGTCCTTGGGACGTTCGACTCGCACCGATGCACGGAATGTTTCCGGCACATTCTCGAACCATGTTTGGAATTCGAACGACAATTTGAGCCAGGTATCCGTGTCAGGATATGGTGATCCGGTACCAGGAGATAAATTTTGATTTTGAGAAGAAGTTGCCGGTGGAGACCCTGTCCACTGCGCGATTTCAATCTGTTTTGACCGCGCAAGGAAGTTGATGACCTTAGTATTGAGCCAGATCAAACCATTGGCTGTCTGATCTTCCCGTAGAAGAGTTGATTCAGTCTGGGAAAGATGGAATTCCTTCCTGCTATTAATCGCGATGCCTGCTTTGCGCCAGAGAGCGAGATTGTCCGGGTCCAGATGCGTGGGGGATCGAGTGAAGTAGGAACCAAGATAGTCCTGGCGGGCAAAGTTCCAGAACGCGGCGCGGACTCCATGCGAGAATGGAGCGGACGATAAGGTATGAAGTTGGAGGATAGACTCGAACAAAGGGCGAATAGGGGAGAGTTGCCTGTACAGAATGGTTAGGTAGTAGCTCGGGAAGTCCACGCACAAGGCGCAATGATCACGAATGACTTACATGTGCCATCCATCGCCAGGCATATCCAACAATCTGTACATGGTAAGAATCGCGGCAGTGGCTAGCATCTCTTCCATTTTCCGAATGACAGCGACATCATCTGGGTCTTGGCTCATGGGTTTCAAGAGTGTCTGGTTTCGAGGAGATATTATCCATCGGTGAATTGTTTCAAAAGGTGATTCCAAGACAGCAGAGCTTGATACGGTCGTGTAGCCATCCGAAGTGAGGTTATTCAAGTCTGAGGCTGCTAGGTAGTAGTAATTGGCCGCCTTGAGAAACCAATCCACCTGGGTTGCGTTAGGATAGACTTCGGTCGTCGCAGGGCTTGTAAAGATTCCGCCATTTGGCGATATGACGCCTTTCACCCGGGCAAGGTGCTTTGCTGCCAGGGCTGCAATTGCATACTTTACAGCCGTGTTGTTTATTGCTCGGACGGGAGCATAGACGGTAAAGAATTTTTCGGCATCGGAAAGATCGAGCCTGGTTGGGAGTCAATTTTCTTGTCATACCGAGCTCGGAGAATCAAAAACGTACCAAGGGCCGATGACTTCAGAGTAGTGTCTAGTGAGGAATGCAATTTCATGTTCAGTTCCAGTCATGAGTTCGGAGAAGATATCCTGAAATTCTTCCTTCTCGCTTCGATGTGAGGTGTTTTCGGGAGATTGTATGCCTCTCCCAGGAGATGCAATGGTCTCCGAGTTGAAAGTGTTTTCAAATGTCGGAAAGCCCCTCGAGGAAGTATTTGGAGAGATCGACTTATGAATTGAGCCTGGCGTAGACCTCCTGCTTTCTCCAATGCCGAGGGATTGGTGAGGAATATATGAATCTGTAGCTTCCAAGGCATCGAAGGTCTTCTGAGGTGAATCTTGTTCAGCCTGTGATGAGCCAGGGCCAGATATGTCCATTCTCATTGGGTCATCTTGAGGGTTCAATCTTGTCTCTTCCATTTGCAAGTGGAGAGGATTGTTTTGCTCTGGCGGTCGATTCCATTGCAACGAATTATCTTTCATTCTTGGTAGAGAGCCTTCTCGCTGTGCGGGGCCCGAGCTTTGCTCTATGGGAGCCTATTTCGAGACATAAGCGCCTGGACAGAAGATTGGGAATCCGACAAACCCTGCTTGGAGCTGACCCAGATCCTGAGCTTGAATGGGCCTCTTGATAGGGCGCATATCGACGTCTTACAGTAGCTCCCTGGTCAATGAACTTGCGTGTTTGGACGTACCCCGGGCATTCGACCCCTGCAGCTATGCACCGCTGGCAATGAGGGCGTGTTTCATCACACTGATAGATGTTAGGCAGGAGAACTCAACATCAGACAGCTACCAGACTCGCCTTCAGATGCCTCTTCTTGCATCGCTCGCAAGCCTTGTTAGATGGCACCCCCGGCATGGTGAGCAGTGTGGTCTCGGGAGCCCCGGGATTCTCGGTCTCAATACGTATGTGTAAGTCCCCAACAATTGATCATCGATCAATCTCTAGACTCACCTAGAAGTGATCCAGATCCGAGACGGGAGTAGAAGTGACGATTCCGTCGATTATATAATCGACGGGATTTGCGAGTTCGGATCGAACGGCATCACTTACATCCCGTCATTCACCTGGGCATCATGTTGCGAACACCATTTGTGAATCAAAGATCTCCGTTGTTTCAGTCAATCGAAGATGTTCCCAGCCAGATACGTTGGGGCTCAATCTCATCCACGCAGCCTGTTCTCTCCGGTCCAGAGCAGGTTCGTGTCTATCACGAATGGATTGGTGTGCTGGCCCACAACCCGGCCACTTGGTCAAGGTACTGATGTTTGCCAGATGCTGGGCGCCCTCATAACATAGTGTGTTGGGAGTGCCGCCTCCCCGACAGTCTGATTGGCTGTCAAACATGTTGTAGATCCTACCATACAGCATGTCTTCAAGACGTGGTGCGCTCTGCAAATAATTTCCACTGTCCTTCTTGTCGAGCAAGATCCTGGGATCATGCTCCGCCCGAGCTCTCGGGGTCATCACTGTCTCCAACTGGCACGAGAAGCGCGACTCAGCCCGCCCGCTCTCTGCAACCCCAGGATGTCCCGTCGGCCAAAGCATCAGTTCAAGGCGAGGAGTCGCCACGGGGATCAAGGCACAAGTCATCGGGAACACCCCAGAGCTTGCCTCCCACCTTGAACGGAAGAGAGGAATCCAACGCTGACAGTCCGGCCGAGCTGTCCCCCATCACAGAGATGTATCCTCAACTCTTGGAATACCTGGCTCTGCCAAATGATGGTACGGGTGAAGACATTCAAAAAATTCAGTTCAAGAACCAACTTAGCTTGGTGATGCAAGAGATTGAATCACATCGGGCGTCATTGCGAGAAAAAACCAATCTGCAAAAAGAATATCTGAAAGTACAAAATGAAAACATGCAGATCAAAGCGTATCTCGATTCCGGGCTGTCCCGTGAGTCTACTGCCATTGCTAGCTCGTCGAAATTCTCACACCCCATCCCGCGAAGCCCGGTGCATTGAAGGCAACTCCCCAAGGGTCATTGCCCCAACCCGGGCCGTCTGCTTTGGCCTTCCCGGGACCTTCCCGGGAAGGGGGGAAATATGCCAGTATTGACGGTTGAAATCTCCCCATGTGCGCATTGAAATCTAATAAATTTCCGAGCTACCTAATCAGGCTATGTGAAACCGTGGGGTTGCAACTATCGCGCGGCATCTGGTACTCGCCGAGCGTTGACCGTTGGACGTGGTTGCGTGATCTCAATTTCGGCAATTCCCTCAACGTGCGAGGGTACAAAACCAATGTCACCTCTAAATCCTCAGTATAACGTGGAGAACGTTACATGATGGGGCTTCAGCACAAGCACAAGGAGATGACGGGTGTGGCCGAGCGCTTTGCATTCCCCGCAGCTTGTCGTCAATGATCAACACCCAAACTCACTTGGGATTTCCCCGTTTTAGAATATCTCACTCTGCGGCTCATTCCGCCAGATGAAGTACCTGTTTGTATCTCGAGACCAATGTGACACTGACTCGGTTTGATGCTACATCTCCTGAATTGTCATTCGGGCTGGAATGTGTGATTGGCTCTTTCTTTTGGGCAACTCGCATGCCGATCGAAGCTGGAATGCCCTTTCCCCGCGACATTTTGCCGATCGGTAAATAAAGGAGCTACAAATCCCCGCGTTGGTTCTTCAGCTGCTGGGCCTGTGTTGTTGGACAGTGTGCATTAAAATCATCATGTCACGTCTATCACTCCGTCTAGGGCTCCTTGGGGGATTCTCAACCTTCTTATTTGGTTCCAGCGTCATCGCTTTGGAAAATGCCCCAAACGACGGGGATATCTTGAAACATGTCGATCCTTTGATCGGTACAGCAAAGGGGGGTTCGTATGAGATCAGGTCAATTTTTGACAGTCGGTTTTGACAAGACTTCGCAGGCCACGTTTTTGCCGGCGCCACCTTGCCATACGGTACGTTCCTCTACAGGCTTTTTTTAGATAGAAATACTGACAAAAGTAGGAATGGCCAAGGCCGTGGCAGACACGGCGGGCGAGAACCAGGCTGGCTTCGCTTATGATACGGAAGTTGTCACCGGCTTCTCGCATATGCACGACGATGGAACTGGCGGCGTAAGAGTCATTCGGAAATGGACAGTCGTCTTGATCTGACACTTGTTAGTCTCCTTCAATGGGCAATTTTCCCATCTTTGTTCAGGCCAATTGTCCACACGATGATCTCAACCAATGCAAGTGGCAACAGTCTGATAGAGCATCTGCCTGGGACAAAAAGTCTGTCAAAGCCCGTCCAGGCTACTTTGGCATTTCCTTGGAAAACGGCGTCCATGCTGAGATGACAACGACGAACCGATCGGCTCTGTACAAATTTGGGTTCACCAACACCAGCGAATCACTCAGTCCGCTCATCCTTCTGGATTTGATGGATCTGCCCCAGTCACGAAGAAACGGAACGGCCGAGGTTGATCCAGAAACAGGGCGCCTGACAGGAAGTGGTGTTTTTGCCCCCAGTTTTGGCATCGGGACTTATAAGTCCTATGCTTGCGTTGATTTCAAAGGAGCCGAGCTCCGCAGCACCGGAATATGGGCGAAGAACAGGACCAATAGTGAAAGAAAGACATTGGAGCTCGGGGCCAACATCGGGTCTACCGCTTCGGCTGGTTCATTTGCCAGATTCCATGCCCCCGAAGACGGTACCATTCTCGCCCGCGTTGGCGTCAGTTTCATCAGCACCCAGCAGGCATGCTCCAACGCAGAGCGAGAGCAACCTCATTGGGATTTTGAAGGCACTGTTTCTGCTGCAGAGTCTGCTTGGAAAAAGAAGCTAGATGTGGTATCTGTAGACACGACGGGTGTCTCTTCCGATCTCCAAACCATTTTCTGGAGTGGATTGTACCGAACAATGATCAGCCCCCAGGACTATACCGGCGAGAACCCTCTCTGGAAAAGCGATGAGCCATATTACGACAGCTTTTACTGGTGAGCAGAGTCCCCTCGGGACAGTCATTTGGGTATACTAATGGTGCGGCTATAGCATCTGGGATTCTTTCCGTAGCATTCACCCACTACTGACTTTGGTTGACCCGCACTCACAATCACTCATGATTCGAAGCTTGATTGACACATACAGACACGAAGGGTATCTTCCCGACTGCCGCATGTCGCTTTGCAAGGGTAACACACAAGGTGGCTCCAACGCAGATGTCGTCATAGCCGACGGGTATCTGAAGAAGATCCCTGGTGTCGATTGGGACACCGCCTATGAGGCTGTCGTGAAGGACGCCGAGGTGGAGCCACCAAACTGGGACGTTGAGGGCCGTGGTGGTCTTCAAAGCTGGAAAAACCTCGGATATATCCCGTACCAAGACCACGACACCTATGGCAAAGGCACACATACCAGGAGTGTATCACGAACTGTTGAATATGCCTACAATGACTTCTGCATCGCCGAGATGGCTCAGGGCATGGGGCTCAAAGCCGACCAGGAGAAATATACGAACCGATCAGGCAACTGGGCCCATGTTTTCAAGGCAGACCAAAAGTCAAGCATCAAAGGGGTTGACACTGGGTTCACCGGGTATCTCCAACCCCGATATGCGAACGGCACATGGGCCTACCAGGATCCGATCTTTTGCAGCCCACTGCTGAACTTCGATTCCTGCTACCTAAACCCCGATGGACACGAGACCTACGAGGGCAGTGCGTGGATGTATACCTTGTACGCTTCCGCTTGACGTTTGTTGCTTTTTTCATGTGCGTCTGGCTAATCATATCTTGCTCTAGTTTTGCGCCCCACGATATGGGATCTTTGATCAAAACTCTTGGCGGTGCCGAGTCTTTCACCTCGCGATTGAGTTATCTCCATGACTCTGGATTGCTCTACGTGGGTGACGAGCAGGCATTTTTGCCTGTTTATCAATTCCACTACGCTGGACGTCCCGGTCTCTCTGCAAAGCAAAGCCACTTCTACATCCCGTCTCAATTCAACACATCCGTGAATGGCCTTGCTGGCAATGACGATAGCGGAGCCATGGGTTCTTTCATCGTTCTGAGCATGATGGGTGTCTGGCCTGTAGCCGGCCAAGACGTATATCTCATTACACCACCATTTTTCGAGGAAATCAGCGTTCGTAACGACCTCACCGGAAATAATTTGACTATTCGAAACATCAATTTCGATTCCAGCTACAAATCTATCTATATCCAAAGTGCCAAGTGGAATGGGAAGCCGTGGACGAAGAACTGGTTCACCCACGAGTTCTTCACTAAAGGTGGTGTTCTTGAACTTGAGTTGGGTCCTAAGGAGAGTCAATGGGGAACGCATATTGAAGATCTCCCGCCTAGTTTGAGTGGCTATGAGTGAAAAATGAGGACAAGATGAATACATTCGCATGGAGGGTTGACTTGTTTACTCTTGAACATACGCACGCGTGGACCTCGACAACGATAGTCACGCTGGTCAGATGAGCATCATGGCACTTCATCCCTTTCGTGCTATTCAAAGCAGATCATTATCCTCGTCCTCAGATCCAGATTAAAGAACTCCAGGCGCAATGTGAAATTTGCAATAGCATGAATTGAATTAAACGCCAGATCAATAGCAACTCATGGTAGGGTGTAGCCACCATCTATGATAAGGTTGGCACCTGTCATATAGCTAGACGCATCCGATGCACAGAAAACATAAGCCTAGAAGAAATTGTCAGGTCTGCTCTGTCTTGTAGGAGTCGAGAACGTACCCCCTTCAGCTCATAGCATTCAGCCATTCTCTTGGCAGGAATCATATCGAGCCATTTTTCACGCCACTCCTTGGGGTGAATATCAAGAATATCGGTAGCAATAAACCCCGGTGAGATGCAGTTGACGCGGCAGTAATCAACCCATTCGACAGACAAACACTTGGCCAATTGGACAACTCCTGCCTTTGATGCGTTGTACTTGCGGTTCATCAGTGAAAGAAAGCAGAGCTTGATGGACATCGAATTACCGCAGCCTGCTTCTGTGGCACATTCACCAAGGTTGCACTGACTGAAGCAGTGAAAATGACATTCCCATGACCCTTTTCTTTGAAGATTCGCCCAGCCGCTTGAGCAGAATAGAATGCACCATCGAGGTTTACCTTCATAATCTCACTCCACTGATCAGTAGTGTAGTCCTCGGCAGCAATATTCGAGACAACTCCAGAGTTGACGACGATGATGTCCAGCTTCCCGAAATCTTTCGCGACCTGCTGAACCGCAGCTTCAATCTCAGACTGGACACCCACATTAGCCTGGTAAGCTGCTGCGCGTATCTTGTTGGCAGATGCAATCTCAGCTGCAATCTTATCGGCCGCAGTAGAAGAGTTGTATATCAATGCGACCTCCATTCATCAGCTTCTGAACGAACATCAAATGAGACGTGGCTCACATTGGCACCAGCCTCCGCTAGGGCTTTGGAGACCTCAAGGCCAATCCCGCGAGCTCCCCCTGCGTATTTGTGTCAACAAGCTCTCAGGACATGACGGGATCACATACCTGTGACGACTGCTACTTTTCCGGTGAGATCGAACGCTTTTGTGACATGCTGGTTTGGGGGCTGAGTGAGAACCATGATGTGTGGATGAAGGGCTTTTCCTCCAGACGTGAGATGAAGAGCTGGAGAGCTGGAGTTCGTCTGGTGTGAGTCTCCCCGCATCGGGCTAACTCCGATCGGGGATATGTGGTCCGGGGGGGCATGAAGATCATTAGGGCCAAGAGACTTGGATGTCAATATCATAAGTATGTGGTTGGAAGCGGTGCAAGTATGTGGACATGGATATTTCATAGCCTGAAGTGTCCACGGGTGAGTGTTTGATATTGATATTCACCACTTTGATCCATCTGAGGGCTATATTTTGCTCCCATCACCGTGCCTTTTGAGATGGGCAGAAGATTTGGCAGAGGTCGTCTCATTTTTGGCAGCTTGCTGGCCTAGATCAGGGTGGACATGCTGTGAGATCTCCAGCGGCTCAAGTTTAGACAGACGGTGGTGAGCTTTCCTGAGGCCTTTGAACAGGCACTTGTTTTGACGGTTCAGCTCATAGGCCCAGAGAAGGGCGAGGGGTTCATTCGATGTGTTTGGCATCTTGAAAGTTCAGTGAGAAAGGCAGATCAACTGGGGTTGTAGAGTGTGAAGAGTGTGAGTGCAGGAAGAATGAGAAATGAGAAAGGGAAATGGAAGGAACTGCGTGCGCTGAAGGGAAAGAGCTCCCTGGCTCTATTTAATCTCTCACTTTTCTCTTTCTCTTCTCTTCTCTTCTCCCTTTCCACCCTATCCTCACATATCTTCAAACCACTTCCAACCATGACTCCCAAGCCAACCAACAAAGTGCGCAAGCGCTCTCCCACTAAGACCCCTACCAAGCCTGGTCCGGTCAGGGATGTGGACATGAAGAAGAGCCTCCTTTTCCTCTGGCTCTGCTTCAAGTCTGCCAATGCTCATGTGAGCACTGCAAGACATCTATCTTGTAACCATGTCTCACGTTTTGAATCTAGGTCGACATCGCTTCTGTTGCCGATCAACTCAAAATCAAGCCCGGTGCCGCGCAAGCCCGTTTCTCGCGTCTGAAGAAGAAACTTGACGAGATGGAAGCCACTGAGAACATCGATGAATCTCCCCTCCCCAAGGTTGACAACGGCAACACCGAGGTCAAGACTGAGGCTGGGACTCCAGGCGCCATTCACTCTGATGAAAACCTCGATGCCGACTTCGAGGACGACGACGAGGAATACAAGCCTCGCGGTTAAGTGGTGATCCGATAGCTCTATGTTGGCAACAGTACGAGGGATGTGGCTAGGGGAGACAAGCATGGCCTTCTGATGTGTTTTCCAATATTTGACGATCTGAATTATCTGGTTCCGATGGTATCGATTTCCATCTGATGTTCCAATTGTGAATTGAATGAAAATGAACAACCTCACTGCGTGTGACTTTCCTCTTGTGTAAGGGTACTCCAGTACTCGAGTAGCTCCTAACAGACTTCACACAGAGCCCTAAACCTCATGGCTCAGATATCTGGTCTCCGCAGACGCTCTCTTTAAGAATGTCAACAATGGACCTTTTTTGTCCCAATTTCAGCCCGCGGATCTCGGGAGACCACACGAATTAAAACACCCACTACACCTCTCCTCCGAATCCAAGCAATGCTGATGTATCTGGTAATATTTCTGCATTGGAGACGAAATCAAAAATCCTTGGTTTTGACTGGCTCCAGGTTTTTAACAGGATGAAGAAAGATTGGAGGAAGACACAATCGAGCATGTTCTGTTTCCCACTGCACACAGTCAATACACGTCAAGCGTTCCAGAACGGCAGACAAAAACTCACCTTTTCTGCGCCATCATAACCCAGCCATGCTCGATAGAGCTTCTCTGCAAACTTCGAGTTGAACATGAACGTCGAGTTGAGAATGATGTCGTCGTGCTGGCCCCAGCTCCAAATGCTGTCTTTTCCAGCATTCACTTTGCCAGGCTGACCAGGATTAGCACGGCGATTGAGCTCTGCAGGGTCCCAATGGAGGTCATGGTAGATCGGATGCGGCACCTGGACTGCCTTGAGACCATAGTACAAAGCCCAAGAGATGGGCGACATCTCCGATGCAAGTCCGACTCCCGACTGCACCTTGTCTTTATGCAACAGCCCCAGCAATTTAGACGAGATACGCGACATAGCAACAACAGCTGCCCAGCGAGGAGTTTCCTGATCTTGGGGGAAATTGAAGACACGATCCCGGAATGGCCATTCCGTGTCAACCGGGTTGAAATGCGGAAGCCATGTTATGAGATCGGCTTCTTCGCCTATGCCCCAAGTACCAGGTTCGTCGTCTGGGTGGGCAACGGGAGGCATTGAGGCATGTCCCTCAATACTGATCCCTTCTGCTGGAACTGGGCCCCAAACGCTGTCATGTCCGGGCATCTCTCGGTCCACCTTTTTGGTAAATTCTTCCCAGGTGCCATGGACGGCGGGGATGTAGAAATGGGAATTCCGCTCCCATAGATACTTGCGTGGCTGTCTTTTCGCGAATTCGGTTGCCCGGTGCACCAGGTCGTACATGTGGCCGGTGTATCTCGAATCCATTTCGAACTGCCATACATAATCGTACTGGGGATGTAGACGGGAGAAGATCTGCGTGGGTTGGAAATATTGCAATATTGCCCTAGGGATTGATGTCAATAGGGTTAATCACCTCAGTCACCGTGGACACATACACATGCACGTCGATGTCTGGGTACCAGTCACTCAGCATCTTTGTGTTGAAGAATGTCGCCAGGCCCCATAGCTCTTGGGGGAGATGCCCCTGTCGGAATACTTTCCAGGCTGCGGAATCATTCTCTGCGGGCAATTCTTCATCCTGGCAGTCGATCAGCAGGACAACTTCGTACTCTGCGCCAGAAAAGAGAGAGAGTTCCATGATCATAGAGCGAATGTGATATAGGTCATTCTTGGTGTATTCCATTCCAAGCCACGAACGCAGAATCACAGCGGTTCGAGATTGCGCAGTGATCCCGGTCTCATTAGCCAGCTTGGGAGAATCGTTCGAATCTGAATCTAGTGACTTGTGAAGAGCATCAAGCCTTCTGCCAGGAGTCTCTGTCGTGCGGTATCTTTTCTTGTTGCGCTGCAGACAATCGCTCTGCAACTCCGCCCAGTTCACTCCTTCCCAGTCTATCTCAGCAGCTTGATTAGATCCAAAAGTGGCATTCCAATTCTGTATGCGACTCGACTCATTGCCTTGGAGAAAGCCATATGCACCGTACCGCGAATACCGATCTGCGCACAGATTCTGATTCAAATCCCAGGCCTCGTACGAGCCAAATATCGGTGTTGGAAAGTCTGACTTGGCCATTAGTACTCTGTGCGGTCAAGCTAGCAGACATTGTTCGTATTCGTACTTGAGGTGTTCCGGGGGTATCCGCTCATCATCAAATCTTCGTCTTTTCGACTGAGCAGGCTCCCCTGCGGACCTGTACACGCCCGGTATGGGGCTTTGGATGCGGACTTCCATTGTTCCCCCTCATAGTCTGGATATGGATCATTGATCACTTGAGATCCAGAATACTCCACTGCATAATCGCTCGGAAACGGGTCAACGGGCTTTGCTTCAGGACTGAGACAAGTCAGAACGAGCCAACGAGGCAATGGACTATGACAATAGTGACGGCAAAGACCCAAGCACCTACCTTGGCTCTTCCCTCAATGGCACTATAGCGAAAGCTTGTTCTCTCGTATAAGGAACGACCAAGAACGCCACCAGGAATAGTGCAGCGGCGGCAAAGCGGAGCTTCGAATCCAAAAGCCTCCGCAGCGCCCTGGAAACATCCATACCCATAGCAAAAAGACATAATGCAGAATCGTGACGCCTTGGGGGTTATTAAAGAAATGTTTAGACGAAGAGTCTTGGCCTGGCTCCATAATACACTAGCTGTGAATAGTGGATTGGGCCCATCAAGGCACACCCAATGGAAGTAGGCCACTCTTGCATACTGGAGACTGCCGAGAGGCCAAGACTGAAGATATAGCGAGTCGCAGTTGAGAGTTCATTTCTCTGTTGCCTTGGCTGTTCAAAAAATGAGTTAGCGTGAGAGTGTCAGGGGTGTACGGAGTACTCATGGCAGCCCTATCAACTTTCTCGGGACCGGCCGGATCTGCAGTTCTCGATCTGGGAATCTGTTGTTTTATTGGCTTCTGCTGTTGCTGAGGGCTATATACTTCTTCAAGGGGATATATGTATGTGCTTGAACAAAAACCTCGACATCGCTCTATTGTAACATGAATAAAAGTATTGCACAGTCTTTCCATATGGTTACATCTAGTTGCCACGATCATGAGAGGGACTCGCTGGTCGCCGCTCGCCTGCCCCAACCGCTGAAGAACCCTCCTCCATTATTAGGAGGCGTCCCCAGTGTCTTGGGGGCTTCGGGTGGAGATTGATTGGCCATGTTGATTCGCGACGCTGACAATCCCATCAACGAATGGCGATTATCAACCTTTGCTCCTTGATTGGCGCTGATCATCTTTCTTAATGAGTCAAGTTTGCCTTTGACTTCTTCAAGCTCCTGTTGAGCCACCGCCTCGGCGGTTTTGGCGTTGACCAGCTCCATGAGCAGCGCTTCATCTGCAGCCGGCTTGTTGTTCTCTGTCGACAAGACGGTCTGCAGCCCAAGGCTACTGGTACGTTTGTTATAGGTGGGGGTTTTGGTCTTGGTGGAGTTGTTGCGGGCAAGTTTGAGCTCGCGGAGACCGCTAGTGGGAGACTGTGCCTCATCGACTGCAGAGGAGGGCGCAGTGTCTGGTGGCGTGGAAGAATCTGGGGTTTTGAGGGTACGCAACTCCCGGTTCAGGCGCTCGAGTCGCTGTCGGTCACGATAACCGTCCTGAATGCGACCACGGGCCTCCCGGAGTTGCTCCTTCAGGGAAGAGTTCTCCTGCTCAAAGTCGTCGATCCGTCGGGAAAGATTCAGGCAGCGGCCAGCCTCCACTTGATGCATTTGCTTCCACCGAGTGAGTTCGTCATTAAGTTGAAGCTTGGTCTCGGTGATGGAAATCCGCCTGGGCTTGGCTGACTCAAAGCGGGCTGTGGCGGCGGTGATCACTTCTTCCGATGCCGCATTATCTGGTTGTTCTCGAAGCTGGTTCAGCATCTCCTTGGCCAATGCATGATCCTCCTCCCGTTCCTCTCGCTCCTGTTGAAGTTCGCGGGTGAGATCGGCTTGTTGGCGCTGGAGATCGCTGAGCGCCATCAGCAAGTCTTCAATCTGAGTGTGAAGATCTCGGTCTTTGTGGTGCGAGGACATGGAAGACTTCACGCGCGTCTTCTGGCTATCACTTGCTGTTGTCGAGGACATATCGGTGGCCGCCGTGCTGGCATCCGAGATGGTCTCGATGGAGTTCAGGGTAGATGTCAAGCTTTGCTTAGAGGTCGACCTACGAACAGTGCTATTTGTGCGTGATGGGCTGGTGTTCGGGTTGAGCGACTTGACCGATGTGTGGTTGTTCGAGGAGCCAGCCCATAGACGACCAAGGAACCCAGAGGCTGTGGCTTGCATTTGTGACGCAGAAACTCCAGCTGAAGGGCTCGTCGACCGGTTATAGCTGGCTTCGAGCGTTTGAAGGCTCTCGTTGGTGACAAGGGACGTAAGAGACACAAAGTCATTCACAAGATCATCAGCATTGAAAGCATACCTGGGAGACTAGAGTCAGCAAGATTCGTTGCAAATTTTCTTCGTGTTATGAGGCACTCACGTATCCCACAAGCTTCGGGACAAAAGCAATTGCATCACGTCCTCGAACTCAGTGCATGCCAAGATTCTCTTCTCGTTGCGCTGCATCAAGGAAAGCGCAACACGCATCAATGTCTCACAGGCACCTTCCAAGAAGATCACATCGTAGATTCGAAGGAGCATGGGAAGTGGACATGCCACAGCAAAGAATGACAGGAACCACTGCGATACATATACAGGTTCAACATGCAGTGACTCTAAATGTTCAAACAGGGCGGGTCTGTGACGCGCCAACAAGTTCTGGAACTGATACACGTGAAGGTGAAGACCCGAGAGATCCGGAAGATAGCAAGTCCGGAGGTTGTAGTGGTCCATCAAACTATCCGGATCTGTTAGCATGAGTTCGATATCAGCTCAGACAATAGAACATACCGAACGAGCACACAGAAAGCTTCGGCATCTGTCATGTGCATCAGAAGAGGGCCAACCACAAACCCAAGGCCTTGACAATATCCAATCTTGGTGTCATAGAGACTGAAACAGCGCAAGACTCGGAAGAGCATCTGTTGGCCTTCCCCATTCGGATCTCGGAACATCTCCACATTGGGAAAGCTGCGGCCAATATCCTTCCCTATTAACCCATCGTAGGGGCTGCTTTCTCCCTGGAGTCTTTGGAACTCATTTAAAAGAGTGGGATCGCGTGCGCCCGCTAGACTGGGCCACACCACGCCTCGCAATGGGGGAGGCACACCTCCTTGGATCTTGTTTGATGTTAATGTAGGCAGCCTTTGCGCGGTTTGGTGGTAGTCAGCGACCAGGGCAGCCCAGAATTCCAACTCGGTCATTGGAGGGGGTGGCAGCTGCGAGTATCGCAGCTCCGCCCTCGTCGGGTCCTTAATGAGTCGCTTAATGTGGTGCAGCGATGCGGAGCGAGACTGTCGCTGGTGTCTCTTATTTTCCGGAATATCGGGTATCCTCGATTTCGGGTTCGTGGCTAAAGCGTTGTTCTCTTGTTCAAGTCGGGCGAGAAGGAGAGCGGTCGACTAAATTTAGGACAGGAATGTTAGCGCTCCATTCCGATTCCAGAAGCCGTCTGCCACTCACTTCATCAGATCCCTCCCCGCGCGGCTCTTGTTCTTCCGTCTTATCGAGGTTCTCCCAGTCCACCTCATTGTCGGACATGTCGGGTTCTTGTCGCTCGCCGCTCGCGCCCGGCATGTCGTCTTCGGGAGTTGGTGTGGTCCGCGCTGCGTCCTGAAGTGGCACCGGGCCAAAAGACTCCTCGCTCTCCGGGGTTATTTCTGATGGGGTCGGGGGTACGTTGAGGGTGCACCACTCCGGCTGGGTGTGTTCTGAATTGGATTGTTTATCGGACAACGCAACCGTGACCATTGAGTCATGGTTCGGGGCATGCGGCGTGCTCGGGGATAATGGCTCTGCTTCCATGATGTGACGCGATGTCATTCACCAGTTATACTCCGGACTCGTGCTCGTACTCGAATTGGCGCGTAGATGTCGGACAGATTTCTACTGCATAGCGGTGCAGGATGTAATGTACAATGCGATCGCAGTCAACTTCACCGTTCAAGTGGACCTCTGGAAGAGTTTCGAAGGCTGGAAGAAAAAGGGAGTCAGGAGAGGAGCCCACCCTATTTCGCTAGCCCCCCCTTTAGCTTTCCCCTCCTGGAGTCTCGGCTCCGTCGATCATACACCGACTGTTTGACCAGTGAAATCAATATATTACTTGGTATACTATTCTCGTCTGGCTGTCCGAATCATATTTACGGACTCTGGGTGTTTACTTTGGTAACACTGCTCACATTAAGGGGTCCACAGATCTCCGGTTTTTGTACATATTACTACGCGCACTGGGTATTGGAGAATCTCTTTCTCTTTTCCTGTTAGTCCAGTCTCTATGTCCCCAACATTATATGCAGGTACAGAGTACTCCGTACTGCCTGTAGCCTTTGGACTGAAACCATGCAGGCTGGGATCATCTGCTACCTAGGTACGAGGTAACGAGGTTGACGATTTCATACCCTGATATAGTTTGGAGGACTGTGATTGAGTGGACTCCCTTAGATATCTAGTCTGATTGGTGGATGTCTCGGTTCCAAACGGTAATACCATTACCAACCCCCCTGCAGCTTCATCCCGTACGACTCTAGATCAGGAGAGGCTGGCCAAGATGGTAACACATGGTAGTACTTACCACGTCGAGGACTCGAGATAGAAAAGCACTCCGCCCTTGCGTAAATGAAATGACCTCGAGTGTGGGGTCAGCAGATGAGTCTCCAGCATTTGGATCATTCTACTCCATAGCCCTGGAGGCGCCTTTGGATGTTGAAACTCCCAGGTCTCGCTCGATCCATGCCCAGTGGATGTCACAACGCGTGCCCACGTGACCCGTCCAGAATCAAATATCACGTGATGTAGCTCTGTCGTCTTATGTAAGTCATGACTCATGTGTCACGTGCTCTGACCTGCGATAACAGGCACAGTGCTCCAGATGGGCGATATCAGATTCAAGCGACAAATTTGCCTTGTCTCGTCATTATTCAAGCACCGCGTACTCGCAGAAACCCGAAAGACTCTCTAACAACTCGTGGTTGAGTGAATTGAGTCGTTGAAAGCCACCCAATATGGCGGACGCTGTATGTCGCACCCTGCATGTCTTTTTACCGACCCTCCCACATTTTCTTTCCGACCCCTCGGCCGCCACCCATTATCACGCCTGAAAGACAAAGACCGGGGCTCTTGATACCCATACCGCCTTTTTTTCTCATTCTCTCTCTGTCGCTTATAACTAACGCTGCTTTTTTGCTTTTCCGTTAGGAAATCGAGACTAAACAGCGCAAATCCGTTGCCTTCAGTGAAGGTTCGGTCATCATGGATACCAACGGACAAGTCACCGATGCTCCCCCGGCTGAGAAGCCCACCGGTGGTACGCAATAGCTTCTCGCTTCCGATCGCATGTGTATTAACGCTGGATATCTTTCAGAGCAGGATGTCGACGAGGTCACCGAGATGTTCAAGGGTCTCTCAAAGAAGAAGAAGTCCTCCAAGAAATCCAAGACCGCCGAAGCTGGCGATGACGAAGAAGCCCCCGCTGCCGACGGCGAATTCGACCCTTCCGCCCTGAAGAAGAAGAAGAAGAAGTCGTCCAGCAAGTCCAAGGCCCCCAAGGACTTTGACGCCCAACTCGCTGAGGCCGGTGTGGACGACGAGGAGGCCGCCGAAGAGACCCCCGAGGAGGTCCCCGAGGGTGACCCTGAGGCTGGTACTGGTATCTGGCAGCACGACGCCACACAGACCATCCCCTACGCCCTTCTCGCTTCCCGCTTCTTCTCCCTCATCCAGAGCCACCACCCCGACATGCTTTCCGGCGGCTCTAAGTCTTACAAGATTCCCCCTCCCCAGTGCTTGCGTGAAGGAAACCGCCGAACCATTTGGGCCAACATGAGCGAAATCTGCCAGCGCATGAAGCGTTCAGACGACCACGTCATGCAGTTCCTCTTCGCCGAACTCGGTACCAGTGGCAGTGTCGATGGTAGCCGCCGTCTCGTCATTAAAGGTATATCAAGACAAACAATTACTCACCGAGCCCATTCGTTGACCTTGCTAACTCTCCACTAGGTCGTTTCCAACAGAAGGGTATTGAAAGCGTTCTGCGCAAGGTATATATATCCTCCTACGGTCATCTTTCGATCCAAGCACCCGCTAATGATAAATATAGTACATCGTCGAGTACGTCACTTGCAAGACCTGTCGCAGTCCCGACACCGAGCTCAGCAAGGGAGAGAACCGTCTTTACTTCCTTACCTGCAACGCCTGTGGTTCCCGTCGCTCCGTCGCCGCCATCAAGGCTGGTTTCCGTTCCCAGATCGGCCGCAGAAAGCGTGTGGGTTAAAGTGGTGTCAACATCTTGCGGTGCAAAGGATATTTTACTTCTTCTTTATGGCGTGTCAGTTATAAGAGCTATCTGTGGGGCCAGAATTGGGTCCTGGGTTCTTTTCTAATCCCTGGTTGTGGGGGTTTTGAGACGAGAAAACGATACGAAGAAAGAAAAATAGTTTCACATGAAATGAACTGGTATTATCTTATTCTCCCGTCCTCCAAGAGTCCACGGGTCCTGGGCTACTCTACGCTGCTGCACCTGCACTGTCGAAGGACGACATACAAAGTCCCAAATGTCGATCGGTCGCCCCTTTTTCAACTTCATGCTATACCAGCTTGCTAAATGCTGTACTTGACGCGGTCAAGTTAAGGGTTAGCAAAAGGGGCCAGTACCTAGTAAGAGAGATGGCTGACCTCGAACGAACAAAGCCCTACATAGGTAGTTCTCAGATGTGACATTGGTGAACCTTGGAGATTCATCCTCAGATGTTACTACTAGGTAGGTATGTCTACCCAGGTTCCTCATCGAAACACGTCCAACCACTGGCAGGTCCCAGGTTACTAGCATCCCGAGACTGTATAAGATGCTCCTGATGTCAAAAATCCCACCACCTTGCAAGCTGTATTTGCCATTTTATCTACCCTTATGATCCTGCAGCCATCTTAGCTAGTACAGTTCAGTCAGTTCTGCTTTTTTTTGCCTAGGTTTCCGAGAAAAGTGCCAAAAAGACTGGAGTTACGTCCATGGATGTCCAGGTGCCCAGTCAGTCTAACGTTGGAACCAACCCAGATCAATCTCGAAACTCGAATGCTAGCATCTAGCTAGCCTCAAACTGAATGTTCATCTGAATATATTTCGGGAGGGCGACAGCGTTCCAAGATTGTAGAAGTTCCAAGGTCCTGTAGAACCATGGGAGATGATATCCTCTGGTAGAGATGAGGTGACTACCTATGACAGTGTTCCAGAGCTATCCCCGGGAGTACAGTCCACACTCTACCTATCTCAGGGCTAGGTACTCCGTACTACCTAGGTAGGTAGTGATAGGTATGGTCAACGATATCTGAAACCTGGGGACAAAGTGATGCAAGGGTTACAGAGAACTACATAAAAGACACCTGGGCAAGCCCTGGATGATCCCGCCACTGATATACAGAAGCTTCTATCCCTAGGTGCTTTGAGCACTTTATCCCTCCCTAGATCACATTTTCGTCAGCTGCGTGTGCAGGTCATTTATCAAAGAATGACAGTCACCCGATACCAGTGTTAACAACCTCTTGGATGGGCAGAACTTTAGGGTTTGATGAATCCCGAGGTCAGAACTAGTCGATTGACACCCCCTGAAACATTTATATGCATGACTAGCCGATCACATATCCCCGCTGGCTGTCAGGGAGTTTGCCCGCTGTCAATCACTGCGTATAGCTGCTATATATAGACACAAGCGGCAAACCATCTGATGCCTTCAGATAAATTCCCCAAAATGACAGTTTTTTGAATGATGATTGATACTTACGTTATATTACATACTATACATAGTTGACTTTCTTCTCACCGGGCAATCAAGTCATGTAAAATACATCCCACGAAGCAAGAAGCTGGCGTTTCAAGGTTTGTTTGGAGATTTCCTATTTAAGCAAACACTGAAGGCGGTGAGGAAGAAATATGATCCGAATGGCTGCAGAGGGCCTACCGCCCTCGAAGTCCGGCAGTCGCGTATCAGGCAAAAAACAACAGAGCGCTTCCCCTCTGCCTCTCTTCGTTTCATTTGCTTTTCATTCTTTGCCGGCCTGGAGCATGTCCAGTCTTGATTGCTTTGCAAAGTAGCCGCATTCACACTAACTTCAGAATCAATCACTGCGTATAACTACACAGCCCCGCCATTTCTTTCCGCGCGCAGTTGAACAACATTATCACCCATCATGGATGACTCCATGATGGACGACTCGGTCTTTGAGGATGAAGCTAGCGGCTCTGACTTTGCTCCTGAGCCTGCGCCGGTAGGAATAATGTGCTATAAAAAGCCACTCCAGATCATTGTTGGCTGACTTATCGCGTTTGAAGAAACCCAAGGCCAAGGCAGCCCCTAAAAAGGCGCCCGCAAAGCCTGCTGCAAAGAAGGCTACACAGTCCAAACTAAACATGAAGCCTGCTGCAAAGAAAAAGGCCCAACCCGGCAGCGAGGACGAAATGTCTGACATCCAAATGTCTGACAATGATTCCCTATCACAGACACCCCCGAAAGCCAAGAAAGCAGCTGCGCCTAAGCGTGCTGGCTCAAAGCCGCTGGGTGATGTCGAGAATGAGTCCCACGGGGGAGATACCCCGACAGAAGACGCAGGCAAGAATGCCAATGCCTCGGACAAGTATCAAAAGGTGTGTTTGCCAGGAGATTTGAAATGGAGCGGCGAAAGAGGTGCTAATTCAAATTCTCTGCACAGCTCACCCAGCTCGAACACATCATCAAACGTCCCGATACGTACATTGGATCGACCGAGCGCACCACGCAGCAGATGTGGGTGTACAATTCGGCGACTGAAGTCATGGAGTTCCGCGATGTCTCCTTTGTTCCCGGTCTGTACAAGATCTTCGACGAAATTGTGGTGAACGCTGCGGATAACAAGCACAATGACTCGAACATGAGCGAGATGCGCATCACGATTGACCGCGAAGCCGGTGAGATCAGTGTGTGGAACAACGGACGTGGTATTCCCATCGAAATTCACTCGAAGGAGAAGATCTACGTCCCAGAACTCATTTTCGGTCATCTTCTCACTTCATCCAACTACGATGATAGCCAACAGAAGGTGACTGGTGGTCGTAACGGTTTCGGTGCCAAGCTTTGTAATGTGTTCTCAACGGAGTTCACTCTGGAGACCCAAGACTCTCGACAGAAGAAGAAGTATAAACAAACTTGGACCGAGAACATGACCAAAATGGGCAAAGCCAAGATTACAGAGGGCAAAGGAGACGACTACACCAAGGTTACGTTCAGACCCGACTTTGCCAAGTTCGGAATGGAGGGCATTGATGATGACTTTGAGGCTCTTGTCAAGCGCCGAGTCTATGATTTGGCCGGAACAGCTAACGTTGCTGTGAAATTGAACGGCACACGTGTTCCCATTCGCAATTTCCGGAAGTACATGGAAATGTACACGAAGGCGATCCGCAAGGAGCGTGGCGACGATGGCCCTCCAGCCAAGGATGAGATTATTACATGTAGCCCAGATCCCCGATGGGAGGTTGGTTTCGCTGTTTCAGATGGCTCTTTCCAACAAGTCTCATTTGTCAACTCCATTGCGACTACCTCGGGTGGAACCCACGTCAACTACATCGCCGATCAAATTTGCAATCGCTTGTCCGATCAAGTGAAGAAGAAAAACAAGTCGGGGGCAACATTGAAGGCGGCACAGATCAAGAACCACATCTTCATCTTTGTCAAGGCTCTGATTGTGAACCCGGCTTTCACCTCACAAACCAAGGAACAATTGACCACCAAGGCTAGCCAGTTCGGTAGCAAGTGTGTCCTCGACGAAGACTTCTACAAGAAGGTTCTCAAAACCGAGGTCATGTCCAACATCCTGCACTTTGCCGAGCAAAAGGCCGATCAGATCTTGAAGAAGGGCGACACTGGCCGCCGTTCACGTATGAACAACCCCAAGCTAGTTGATGCCAACAAGGCCGGTACCAGAGATGGCCACCGCTGTACACTTATCCTGACCGAGGGTGAATCAGCCAAGGGACTGGCTATGGCCGGTAGAGCAGTTGTTGGTCCAGACCTGTTTGGTGTTTTCCCTCTCCGCGGAAAGCTCCTCAACGTACGCGACGCTTCATTCGACCAGATTGCAAAGAATGCCGAGATTCAAAACATCAAGAACTTCATTGGACTGCAGCACAAAAAGGAGTACACGGAAACAAAAGGCCTTCGATATGGCCATCTTATGATCATGACTGATCAGGATCACGATGGCAGTCACATCAAGGGTCTTCTTATCAACTTCCTTCAAGCTCAATTCCCCAGCCTGTTGAAGATTCCGGAATTCCTTATTGAGTTCATCACCCCCATCATGAAGGTCTGGAAAGGTGATATCAAAAACCCGACCAAGTCGAAGTCGTTCTTTACCATGCCCGAGCATGACGCATGGCATGAACTTCACAAGCACGAACGTGGATGGGATCACAAGTACTACAAGGGATTGGGAACAAGCACGACAGAAGACGCGCAGGTTTATTTCCGTGACCTTGATCGTCATCTGAAAGAATTCCACACCATGCAAGATGGAGAATCCCAGCTTATTGAATTGGCCTTCTCCAAAAAGAAGGCGGATGAGCGAAAAGAATGGCTGCGTCAATACAAGCCCGGAACCTACTTGGACCACTCCGTGTCAAAGATCTCTTACACGGACTTCATCAACAAGGAGCTGATCCTGTTCAGTATGGCGGACAACCAGCGTTCTATCCCCTCCGTTGTTGATGGCTTGAAGCCTGGTCAGCGAAAGGTGTTGTACACCTGTTTCCGCCGTAACCTCAGGAAGGATATGAAGGTCGTTGAGCTGGCTGGTCACGTTTCTGGACTGACAGCTTACCACCACGGTGACGTCTCTCTTCAGCAGACTATCGTTGGTCTTGCACAAACTTTCGTTGGTTCCAACAATGTGAACTGCCTGGAACCCAGTGGAAACTTTGGTAGTCGACTCCAAGGTGGTAACGACTGTGCCAGCGCTCGTTACATTTACACTCGTTTGTCTCCATTCGCGCGCAAGATCTTTAGCACGGCAGATGAGCCATTGCTTTCCTATGGTATGGACGATGGAAAGCAAATCGAGCCCGAAATTTACATGCCGGTTGTTCCCCTGATTCTAATCAACGGCGCTGACGGCATCGGAACCGGTTGGAGCTCTTCCATTCCTAATTACAACCCTCATGACATCGTGGCAAATCTGAAGCGCCTCATGAAGGGCGAGCCCACGGAGCCCATGCAGCCCTGGTTCCGTGGATTCACTGGTGAGGTTGTCGCCATGGGCGGCGATCGGTTCAAATTCAGCGGTATCATCCGGGAGTCTGGTGACAAGGAGGTCGAGATCACCGAGCTGCCAATCCGCACCTGGACCCAGGACTTCAAGGATAAGCTGGAGGATATCATCAAGGCCGAGAAGGTGCCGTCATTTATCAAAGATTACAAGGACTACAACAACCACACCAAGGTCCACTTTGTCATCCAGCTTGACGAAAAGCATATGAAGACCGCCTTGAGTGAAGGATTGGAGGAGAAGTTCAAGCTGAGCAAGTCCATTGCCACCAGTAATCTGGTTGCATTCGACCCCGAGGGTCGCATCACCAAGTATAACGGCGTCGATGATATCCTCAAGGAATTCTTCGCGATTCGCCTCAAGTACTATGAAAAGCGCAAACAGTTCCAGCTGTCCGATCTGCACAGGGAGCTTGAAAAGCTTAGCAATCAGGCTCGCTTCGTGCAAATGATCATCGATGGAAAGTTGGTCATTTCCAAGAAGAAGAAGCCTGTTCTCGTCGTCGAGCTCAAGGACAAGGGCTTCAAGCCCATCGTTAAGGTGGCCCAGGCTGCCAAGATGGGTGAAGACGAGCCTGTAGTTGAAGAAGGCGAAGAGGAGTCCGAGGATACTGACACCGAAAACCTATCCAACGCCTTCGACTATCTCCTTGGCATGCCCATGTGGTCTTTGACTCAAGAGCGCGTGGAGAAGCTCCGCCGCCAGATCGGCGACAAGGAAACGGAGATTGACGTCCTGATCAAGCTTTCTAAGGAGGAAATTTGGAACCATGATCTTGACGAGTTCATCAAGGAGTGGGAATTCCAGCTCGAGGATGAAGAGCGTCGTGCGCGCAAGGCGGCTGGTTTGGACCGTTCCCGTCGCGACTCCCGCAAGCTACCAACCGGCGGTAATCGCGCTGCGGCTCCACGCAAACGCAAGGTTGCCAACGGTGATGATCCAGACGACGAAGATTTCGGTGCCCCCAAGGCCAAGAAAGCCGCTGCGGCCAAGAAAAAAGAGCCCCAGACCAACAGCTTGATGACTTTCCTCAACAAATCATCGTCCAACCCAACCCCATCTCCTGCCCCAGGTCGGAGTGGTGACTCAGATGATGATTTCGACATGGACATGGAAGTCCTTCCGAAGAAGAGCCGTGCTGCAGCGAAGCCCAAGGCTCAACCTAAGGATGAGGGCGATTCTTTCAACATTGACGAAGTCCCTCAAGCATCTAGATCACCGGCTCAAAGCGCCGATCCATTTAACATGGACTCCGATATGGACGTGGATGAACCCCCTAAGCCCAAGCCCGCCGCAAAGCCCGCCGCGAAACCAGCTGCGAAACCAGCTGCGAAACGGGGACCAAAGGCAAAGGTCAAGGTAGATGAAGATTCTGATGACGATTTCTTGGATATCGCCAAGGAGGCTAAGCCTGCATCATCCCGTGCTCGACAGCCAGTCAAATATTCCGTGCCAAGCGATTCGGAGAGCGACAACGGTGATGATCTTCTTGGGGATGTCAGTCAAATGGTCAAGGGCATTGGTGGTGACTCGGCAGCAGAGTCTCGTCAACTCTTCTCGGAGCGGCCTCGATCCGAAAGCGCAGCTAGCTTGAAGCCAGCCATCAGGTCACCATCCAAGGTCAACGATGAGTTCGATCCGGACGAGACTGATTACAGCAAGCTTATCCCTCAAAACTCTCCACGGCGCTCTATTCAAGTCAAGCCTAAAGATGCGAAGGTTGACAATGAAGCAGATGAGGACGAGGACGAAGACGATGAGCCAGTGAAGCCAACTGCTAGAGGCAAAGCCGCCGCTAAGCCCAAGGCTGCTCCCAAGCCCAAGGCGGCACCTAAAGCCGCGCCGAAGTCCAAGGCTGCACCCAAGGCTACTCCCGACATTTTCGACATCGATGACGACGATGAAGAAGAGGCGGTGGCACCAAAATCCAGAGCCAAGGCTGCTCCTAAGGCTGCAGCAGCACCCAAGGCCCGCGGTCGACCCAAGAAGGAGCCAGCAGCTAAGCCCGCACCCAAGCAGACCAAGCCAAAGAAGATGGCCGATGATTACTCGGAAGATGACATTGACGCCATGGCTAACGACATCCTGGACTCACCGGCAGGCAAGGCCAATGTCTCGGACGACGAGCCCGTTGTTGCGCCTCGTCGTGCCGCAGCAGCTCGTCCAGCTCGTCGCGGCGCCGCGGCACAGAAATCTTATGTCATTGAGGATGACAGTGAAGAAGAGCCATCGGCCGATGATTTCGACGATGAAGACGAGAGTGACTGAGCGATTGTTCAGTGATCCCCTCCGGGGCTGGCCTCTATTTTACAACTTCCCTTTTTTATCTCTCTCGATCTTTGGATTTTTGCGACGCTTTCTCTCGTGTCTTTTATTAACCTTTTTGCTTTCGTTTCCATCTTCATGTTTTAGTTTCAAAGTATCTTGTTGAGATCTGGCAGAGCCGATAATGGCGAACACGGCATTTCTATCAAGTTTGACTCCAAGTTGTGTATCATGTAGACCTTGAGCCTGGTATCAGGCTTTTCAGTTGAATTACAACCTTGCAATTTACCTGCCTTCTTTGATACCTTTAAATCCGTAGGCATCTTTCAATTTGGCTAATCTCTACATCGAAGACTCAATGCTTGCGCGGTTCCATCATGATCAAAACTCCTAGTTGCCCATATCCCCCCGAAATGCACGAATTTACTGCCGCCCAATATGACCTCCAAACGCCATACTAAATTCCCAGCCATCAGATCGATATTCAAACAGATGCCCGGCGCCGCTTGCTGCCACGGGACAATCCCATTCGGGACCGGGTCTCGATATTCGAACGCGAATCCTTGTGGTCACTTTCAGTCTGGGCTTCAGCCTCGGCCTCATTGTCCACAAGGTCATTCGTATGCAACCGAAGAAGCGCCTCAGCAGCCTTGACCTCACTGGTGAAGTGAGAGATGCGGGACTTTCGATTGGGGTTTTTCTTTGTCCACGAACCTGGGCTGGTCGACTTGCCCTTACCCTTGAGCAGTCTGCCCAAGGCGGACGTGGGAGGACCACGGTAGTCTTCGTCCCGGTCGTCGTCCGATACGTATTCCTCATCCGAATCTGTGATTTCGGAATCACTTCGTCGCGTATCGATATCAGATTGCTCCTCGGCTATCTTGTCTTCGTTGCACATGTCCAAGGACGGACAGTTCGGGGTGGAATACAAATTCGAAGACCCGTCGCTCTCAACATCACTGTCTTCACTCATACCGGACTCCTTGTCATTCCGTATGGCATCTGAGATAACGCGGAGGAGGGTCTTCGGGGAGGTGACTTGCGAGCGAGGCAGGCTATGAATGCTTCGCGGGGGGTTGATCGGAGTGAACGAAGAGCACGGAGACTGGCTCTTCGGGGACAGAGCATACGGCTCAGTGGATGATTCACGGGCACTGGCAATGCTGTCTGCGTATCTGTGCCGTGGGTACTTGAGTGGGGGCAGCTTGACAGGAGGCTCTTCGTAATTGTGTGCCTCCGGGCCACGGACAATGTGGTATCTCACAGGAGCACGCGCAGAGCGTGGTGAGGATGGCATCTCCAGAGAGCGGAAGTAATTCGCCTTATCTGTAGCAAGGCGGATGATCTCGGGATCAATGACCATAACGCCGTGGCGTCTCCGCTCGTCTGGATGAGTACACATCGCTGGGAAGTCAGTACCAAACAGGGGGGTGAGGACGTGGCGGATCCTCCAGCAGAATGTCGCGGCCATGGCTTTGGCGGCATCGTAAGGCATCCAATAGCCTGTATACATGTGAAGTGAGCAGGTGTTATGGTGTAGGGGTATTCAGGAACAACACACCTTGAGCTGCAAGTGCTCCGCCAGTGATGCTGTGGCAGATGTCACGAAGACCATTGTTCTGTGCGAGCATCTTCCCCGGTGTGGTCTGAGGAATGATTAGTTCTATCTCATGTCGTGAGAGCTTCATTTACTAACCTTGGCATAACCGTTGCATTTGAACAGGTGTGTGATTCGCACGATACCAATGTTGTAATCCCACATAACGTGCCACTCCTTTTCCTCGCCGGGGATCTGGAACGTATATTGAAAGACTGTATAAAAGTCAGGAAATTTATGCCATCTTGAGAGACAGTGCAACTCACCATGGAAGCTATCACGCCCAGTCTTTTGTTGGAAGGTCTTCTTGTCACTGGCATAAGGGATTTGCCGAGGAAAATCAGCGATGTTGCCCATGGGGCGGAGCTTGAACTCCTTGTGAATCCTGGTAAGCTCCTCGTCTCTCTCCTCGCATGGAGGGAAGCGACATTGGCCCTGGATTTTACCAGGCAGAAAGACTGGGGCATCCTTGGGCATCTTGCGTGGCTTCGTGGATGGGCTCGTTAGAGGGGGGCCACGAGACTGCCTTTCCGGCTCTGGGTTTAACAGAGACTTAAGAGGAAGCATGAATAATAATATTAGAGTATCAGGAAGTGGGAGGTGGGAGTTGAGAGTTGGGGAAGTGAGAAGGTTGACAAGTGAGGAATGGGAGTCGGGGGAAAAGAAGCAGCTTAATGTTTTTTGGGTGGAACTTCCGGTTTCTAGAAGGTGTGAAAGAAGGGTGTCAAACCTCAGAGACAAAGTCAAGCAAAAATCCCAAACCTTTGTTCAAGAAAGGCTCTGCGCTGCCATTTGCTGCTGGGTGAGTACAGGTGTTTGCTGGCACGTCTGGCATCGAGGAAGTCAAAGGAACGGTGTGAAGTCCAGCACTCGGAGTGTCTGACACTCGGAAGGCCTCACCGGTACTTCTATTACTTTTGGCTCTGGGGAGTTGGACGAATCCCCAGGCTGTTTGTTCCTACGCGTGGCATTGGCTCCAATGATCTTGGACTTTGGACCGGTCATGGCCCAGTGTACAGGGCATATCTAGTGATCTAATGGGGGCAACTCCAATGGGGGGGAATTATTTGAGACCTATGTCTTTCATCTTGCGATGCATTGCCTGTTTCATTCTCAATACTGCGCCTACCCAATGTCAAAGGCCAGGGAAGCAAAGCCATTTCAGGGACCATATGTAGATATCCTAAAGCTTTCTTGAAAACGCACATTCACCGCTTGGTGGAAACCATCTCTAACTGTGCTCTGTATACTCTTTTTCCTTGTTACTGGCTCTTTATATTCTCGTGGCATAATGTGTGAGTGTAACTAGATTAGGCCATTCATCGCTTGTGGAATGATCTCATTGAAGAGCCATGTCAGACCTACCTTGACATTAAACTAAGATCAAGAAAAAGTGGCAGACAGGCAATGTTGATAGCAGTAACAAGGGCCCAATCAGGATCAAAATACCCAATGGCTCAACAGAATGGGCATCAAAAGGTCTCAGATCCACGGCAAGCTGCAGGGCCACTTGCTCCTTGTATGACGGGAGCCCGCATTCCCTGGCGAGTCTGTGAAGTGCATCTGAGAAAAGCTGCACTGGGAAGATAGACTTCTGACAGAACCAAGAATCCTAGGAAATCGACAGGGGTGCTTCTTATCCACTGCCTTTGTTGCTTAAGCCATGGGATGGTCAAGGAAGCACAAGGGTTGCATAGACATAGGAATTTCCCACATCGCAATGCGTTTGGTAAACGGAAAGGAATAGGGCTGGATTGAACGGTCAAGCCAACGCTTTCCTCGTCAATAGAATTAAGGTATCCGGTGGTCTGCTCCATGGGCTAACCCTAACTCGGCCCTTGTCTGCCGCCGTCGAATGAGAATTTCCATAATCCCACTCGACACAGGTGATGATCCAGATGTATACCGCTGCTTGAGCGAGTCTGAGGGCATGCATCTACCAGAGACATTTTCCTGGGGACAGAGGCATGAAAAAAGTCCTCAAAGAATGTTCCATGCAGGCTTCTGCGTAGAAGACAAGCACGTTGGCGCTAAACCCACTCTTTCTGTTTGGCGGATTTCTTTTCATACCAGTGACGGACATTGTACTACACTGGCCTCTGCCCATCTACTCTGTACTCTTCTCCGTACCCGCCTGCCCGAATGCAGTCTGTGGAGTTTTCAAAGGTACCAGAGGCCCTTCCGCCAATCGGCCCCGGCCCAGGGCAGTCGTGTGGCGCACAGCAGATAAACGGTGCATATAGTGGCTGCTAGGATAGTATGCAATTCAGCCAGAGTCGTTGAATATCGAGGACAGTCTTCCATGTTTCAATACACATAGGCTGGTCCTGGTTTTCGAGGAGGCTTCAATCGCATTGAAAGATCTACAGCCCGAAACGAGACCCGTATCCCAGAGAGGCCGGGTTTCAAATGTCTTAGACACCCAGTTGGTGGCTAGGTGCCTCTGTTGGTTTCCAAAGAGCGGTAAACCCGAGCGTGCGTGTCCCTCCACATCTGCGACGCGTCTCAGACCCCGAGCTTCTGGAAAAGGGGTAAAAAGCCATGTCTCAATTGGGATGCTGCTGTTGGTACTTATGTCTTTTGATGCGTTTATCTTGTCTTCGTTTCGATCAAGTATCATCGAGTGACTGGAGAAACCTCTTTCCGGTTATCCTTGTGCTGGCTTTCTTTCCAAGCTCACATGTTCAATCCCATGTTCTCGGCGGTCATGAGCTGCGGTCTCATCAGAGGGTTCGGCGGACGAAATAGCGGTATGCCCCCATAAGGCAGGACTCGACACGATCCAAGTTTCAGCCGGGGTAAGGCTTGAGGCCGATCACCAGGGGGGCCAGGCCTCGACCAGTCGAGCACCAAATAACCCGGACCACCCAAGAGATATCAGGCAACATTGTGCCACGGGCCTCGAATCTGGGGTATATGGGGAGGGAGACATCCGAGCCCGGCTGAAGAAGGCAAGTCTTCGAGGGAAGGAAGTACAAAGATAGGAAAGGAACCGTCACAAGCCGGTCCGAATCGTGATGCGGCGAATAGGGAGCCGGGTCGGTGGACCGGGATAAAACTCAACGGCTGCCTTGCCTTGAGCACTTGAGGCCTGCAGTTGAACAACTACCTAAGTAGGCTTTGGCTTTGACACACCCGTTTCCTTCCGAGGACTTCCGCGTTGACCTAGTAGCTGGTTTCTAATATCACTGTGAGAAGTGACGGCAGGCTTTGACTTGATCGAGGTCTCGGAGGCTTGATGAGACTGAGACTGAACTCCCAAACGCTGACGTTGTCCCAGTTTCTGGCCGTGAATGAATCGGGATAACATCAACGCGGGAAAGGTATAGGTGGCCAGGGATCCATGGGTATTGAGGACGATCGTAGCATCGATCATGTTAGAAGAAATCAACATGTAGGCCTCTGGAAAGAACAGTGAGGGGAAGAATGGAAAGTAGAAGCCCTAAAGGGTGGAGTAGAAGGATCGGGGAGAGACCCGGGCATGTCTACTGAGTGATGCATCTACAGCCCTAGCAAATGGATGCTGATACTAAGAATGTGATCATTCTCTTTAGTCTGATGGAGTGGAGATATCACGTTTCTTACGATAATAGCGTTATATAGATCATCCAAGGTTTGTTACTGAGAATGCGAGAACATGCTATCATGAGTATGCAATTCCGAATTTCCATCCATAGCTGAGAGGTCATGCGAGAGAGATAAGAATACGCGTGTTCAATATTGACAGGAATCAGAATTCCAGTTGGGACAGTGACAGAAATACTCAAGAGGTGCTCATCTCTGAACTGTCAACTCGGCTGTTCTCCAGGTGGGGTGTCCACGGGTAGTCACGTTACGTCACATGACCTCATGTGATCACGCTATCTCCTTTCGGGAGTTATGTTTTGATATGGTCCTCGTCACCATTCCCGACCCACACTTATCGCGCTTTTACAACACTCGTTCACAACGCCTTGCATGCAACCGTCTTCGACTGTCTGAGACCCTCGAATTCGTCAAGGTCAAACGCCGCGTTGTTTACAATATGGCCGCGGCAGGCGCGAGGGCGCAAAAACCCGTCGGTTCGGCACCATGGATCGCAGCCGAGAAGGAAAACATGGCCGACCTAGTGGAACAAGAGATGGAAGAGGTGGAATATCCAGTTCGACATGAAATGGCATGGCTGAACGAACATATGACAGAGATCTTCTCGAAGGGTCAGACGTGAGTCGCGACCGCACTTGGTTTTCGTGTCCCTTGGCTGATAATCAACCAGGAGCTTTGCGGACGTTTTCAAGACACCAGGAAAAATGCGGGGCAAGACACCTCGCACTGCCCGGAAGCGTGCGCCCGAGGAGTCTCGAGTGGTGAGTTTCCAATGGTGTGAGATCACGTCCCTTCAGCTAATCGCTTTTCGCAGCCCTTGAGTGAGATATTCTCCTCGGCCCAGAAGCAGGTCGAGAACCATGCAAGCCCTAGCCCATTCATCCATCGCGTGGTTTCCAAGACCGCGGCTGCGCCATCGTCCCCTGTGCCCCGCACCAAGGACGCGACAGAACAGGCGTCGCAACCCGAATACCCGGATCTGACCGAAAATATGAACTCTTTCCCCAAATACAACACAGACTCGGGATACAACGGTATGCCCGAGGCAGAAGAAGTGGTATTACCTGACGTGCAACCAGAATCACAGGCTTCCACCCAGCCTGCTACTCAGCCTCTGGAGCAGGATGAGCCAATGGGCATGGACACTGAGGAAGTCGACGCGTCCGTTGTCCAACAAACGAACGAGGAATCATTCCACTCCGCGCGAGAGGATGTCTTTTCTCGAGCAGGGACCGTCGAACCCACAATCAAGGAACCCACCCCACCACGGGAGCAACCAACGGCTCCAACCCAATCAGCCCACAAAGAGCCTAGCGCTGAACCAAGTGCGACTCCAGTCAAGAAAACGAAATCAAATACAAAGGCCAAGGCAACGGAAAAGCACCAAGAGAAAGAGCCCGAACCAATCGAACCTGTCAAGCTTGCATCAACTCCCGACCCGTCGCCAGAGAAAACACCAGTGGCCCCCGTGACATCGACAACTGAGGCTGAAAAACAACCCGAGGACGAAGTCATGGAGGATGTTGCGGAAGACCACGCAAATGAAGACACAGCTCTCGATAATCTTGATGATATTGGCTCTCCCTCGGACGGGTCTACCCCTGAGAGGTTGCCTGTTCGCAAGAGTAGTCTGAGCTTTGCGTCTCTGCCCGCGAGAGAACCATTGAAGAGCTTGGGTGGCTCGAGGCTTTCTCGCACAAGTCATATTGACCTGTCAAAGATGAACAGCACTCGCACCAGTCACTTCGGTAGACAGACTGGTAGCCACAGGGTGACTCAAGTGGAAGAAAACCACAGCTCCGGGGCTATGGACCTTGATCATGAGAAGGAGCCCAGCGATGAGGTGGAGTCCGAAGAGGTGACCAGGATGCACAGCAAAAACTCTACACAGACACTTCACGAGAGAATCAGCATGTTGGGCAAGCTGCAGCCTGTGTCCCGACCGCGGAAGTCGATTCCCTCTACCGGTGCCCCAGCTGGCCAGGTTTCCTATCCGGAACTTCCTGCTTCTAAGAATGAACCCAAGCCGGAGGCTCCTGGCCACAAGACTAAAGAAATTCCTGTGTTGGAGCCCACCCCGGCTGATGATGACTGGATCAAGCCTCTGAGCTCTCCTCAGCGGCCTGATCTTTCAAAGAGTAAAACCACAGATATCATGGAGAAGCTCTCCGAGCTCGAGAAAGAGCGAGCAGCAGAAAGGAAGAACCTACCGAGAACAGAGCCCGAGCGTCCGAAATCCTCTGCCTCTATTTTCTCATCTCCACGGCCACATGGACACCAGCAGAGCGCCTCTTTGTCTCAAATCCACGCCGATGTATCTACGACGCCGACAGGGTCTCCTCGACGCTTCGACGGTCCTATCAGTGCTTCTAAGCTCCGACTACACTCTATCATGAAGTCAGCCAAAGGTTTGTTCTCGAGCACTGGGAATACCCCGAAGTTAGAACCTTCTTCGCCAGAGCTACCCCGTCCCCACTCGAGTGCCAGTGTCTTCGGCAAGAAGTTTGAATACGACTCCCAGCCAGTCCTACCCCCTAGCCCTACACGCCAGGAAGGACGCCGCACACGAAGCTCGACCGAGAAGGAAGAAAAACGACGACAGCACCAGCGAGAAGAGCAAGAAAGAGAGGAACAGGAGGAGCAAGAAGAAGAAGCGCGTGCCGAAAAAGCCCGTGAACAAGAAAAACAAAAGGCCATTCAACTGAAGGCTGCTCAGAGCAAATCTTCAATCGAACCAGAAGAGAGACCAGGGCCCTCGGTACAGAAGAATCCCCAGTCACAACGGCAACAATCGCGCGAGCCTGAATCCTCTCGGGATGCTAGTTCGAGATACGCTATCCCTCAACCCAAGCAAAACGAGCGCCGCCCCCTCAAGCCAACCCGGGAGACTTTGCAGAAACCGACTCCGCAGCCAATGTCGATCCGTGTGGGCAGTACCCTATCCCGTCAGATCCCGATGCCTTCATCTTCAGTCGCACAAGAATCAAGCGTTCAGGTGGCTGTGCCTGCTGCTGCACCCAAGCCAACTCTAAAAAAGAAGGGTAGCAACACGTCCTTGCATACGGCATCTTCCGCGGGCAGCTTCAAGGGCTCGATCTCCAGCCAGACACAAGCAGCCCAGCGCAAGGCCCAAGCAGCCAGCAAGAAGGAGCAAGAGGACCGTCGCAAGGAGGAACAGAAGCGTGAGATTGAGCGCAAACGTGCCGCCCAGCAGGAAGAGGCTCGTCGACAAGAAGAGGCACGTCGACAGGGAATGAGGAGTCGTGCCGAAAGTCGTGCCGAAGCTGACCGGGAGCGCCGTGAACGCTCTGCTCAGGAAGACCCCAAGAGGGCCGCTCAGATGGAAGCGATCAGACGGCGCCAGCAAGAAAATGCACGTGGCCATGCCAGGCAAGGTAGTCAGCAGATCGTCACCGAGGTAAGCATGGTCGTCTCTTTTGGACTCATCTCAGTAGCTAACAACCCCAGGGCCCTGTCCTTCAGCACGAAAAGCCAACTCCCCAGTCATCCCAACGTAGTGACTTGGGTGCTTCTCGCCCTCCATCCCGCATCGGGGGTTCTATCCAGCCACACGGCCGGATTAACCCACCCGCACCCAACCCTGCCAAGCCACCCAAGAGGGTTTTGAACGACGAAAGTAGCCAACGACCCGCGGTGTCCAAGCCCAGCAATGTTCAATCAACCGGCGATGCCAAGCGGCGCAAGACAGATGATGAGCACAATCCCATGCCACCTGTGCGTACCATCGTGCCCGGTCAATCGATGTCTGGACAACCGATGCGTCAGTCGTATATCAGAAAGGTCAGTGTTATCCAACAATCCGTTCTTACCAACTCGTTACTGACTTCTTTGGCCTATAGCCCTCTATCTCTACATTCAGTCACGGACAGTCCTCTGTGGCGCACCAGTCGGGCTCCTCTATCTTCAAAAACAGTGCCCCACAACGTCCTGCTCACCCCGGTGAGATGAGCAAGTTCGCGACCGGCAAAATTCCCTTCGCCGAGTCCAACCATGCGCCTCCCCCGGCTGCGTACAAGGCGCCCAACTCCGCCCAGCGCCCAGCAGCCAAGCCATCTCCCAAATATCCGAGTGGTGAGAACATTCATCTACCAGAGATCAACACAGATAGCGAAGACGACGATGACTCCGACTCTGAGATGTTCCCCGTGCCCAAGTGGGCGCAACCCAAGGAGCTGGAGGGTCTTCTCCGACAGCAAGATGGCATGGAAGTTGACTCGATCTTCGGGCCCATTGCCCCCTTCTCGTTGGAGGATACCTTCAAGGCAGATAAGAAGATCAAGAAGTATCGCGATCGAACCAGCAGTGCCAACTGGTCTGGCCCCGATGGACTTACCCAAGAGGAGATCCGAAAGGATGTCGCAGACCGACAACGGCTGCGCCTCAATGGCGGTTGGAGCTTCAACTAATCTCGACGTGTCTTTTTTACTCGCATTGTACATCTGTCATTGAGCCGTTAGCAGGGACCACGGCGTTGCTGGATATGTGTTATCGTTCAGTCATTTGTCTTGAGTTATGGTCTTAGACAACCGCTGCATACAGGGGCGCACAGGTTTAATGAATTGATTAATCAACCTATCTACTTAATTTTGATCATGGATGTAGGATGGGGAGTCAAGACTTATACCTATCTAGGCAATTGACAACTCATCCTGGGGCTGCTTAGGCTTATATTTTCATCAGTGGTCACCTCTTACATTAACTGGCATCATTGGTCTAGTGGTAGAATTCGTCGTTGCCATCGACGAGGCCCGTGTTCGATTCACGGATGATGCACATTTCTTTTTGTTTTTGTTTTTTATTCCGTCCAATCTTATGCCCAGGTGTTATTTTATTGACTTAAACCCTCATTGATCTATATCCCAATATTTAATTATGATTGACTGGACATATCTGGGACGGTCTGTTCCAACGTTGATGTATCACCACCCCGTGTGATCCGAGGTCCCATCCTTAAGATGCATGGATATGTGACTGTTGGATATATATCTACTAGTAACCCTCTAGTCCACCTTGTGGTCTCGGAATAAATGGTAACATTCCAAAATACCAAGGCTGGAAATAAGCAAAAATAGTATTGATCAAGGAAGTTTTGGTCTTTTTGTATTTGGACATTCCATGCCACGAGAATTCATACAAAAAAGGGGAAACCTGGAAGCAAGATAATGTGAAGATCCCCAATCCCAACAGCCCCAGCAGCGCCCCCCTAAAGATATTTATAATGTACAAGTTTCATCTAGATCAAATATCCACATGGTATCTACTCCATGTCAGGCTCGATATCACTTCCCCCTTCAACTCCCTCATCCATGGCATCGGGGTTCAGATTGGCAGCATCGGGAGCAACGCCAATCTGGGTTTCATGAGAGATCGTGCGCCACCCAGCCGAAGCAGTGGGATCCTTAACATACTCAGACATGGGGAACTAGTCAGGAGTTAGTAAGGTTGGCTGTTTCCCCTATGCTATTGTGGGTTGTTTGGGAAAGTAAGAATAGCGAAGAACTTACGTAGTGGTCATTCTTCTTCATGGTGACTACCCATGGGACATTGTCAAAGGTCACAGCACGGATGCGGAAGTACTCGTTATCGGGGATCTTGGTAACTTCGCGAACGAAGCTGTCCAAGTCAGGCGTTGAGACGCCGTTGACGGCTGTGAGGAAGTTGGTGGGCGCAAGGCCGTAATGGTAGGCGGGTGATCCACGACTCTGGAAAAGAACATTAGTTTCATTCGCGGGAAATCAATGGGTACTCACCCTTGCGCTCACGTAGATCTCACTGTGGACCTTGGAGATCTGCTGGCGGACAGCATGGTGCGGCTTCTGCAAGACAGCACCACAGAAGACAAGGGCACGGTCCGTCTCGAGGTCCTTGGTTGGCACGGTGGGGACACGGATGTTGACTTCCTCGCCGTTACGCACAACCAGAGCATCCAGGAATTCCTTCTCGTACATGACATCCAGCTCGGAGACACGGGTGATGAGCTGGCCGTCCAGGGTGAGAATGATGTCGGCCTCCTGGAAACTGGTGCTAGGGTCCACGGTGACAGCTGCAGGTGGGCTGTCAACCTTTCGCACCATGAACAGCTGGTGACGCGAGGGGTTGGCCTCGGTGACCTTGTTGATCCATTCCTGCGAGACGCCCATTATGCGAGCCTGGCTCATCTGCACCACGTAGCTCTCCATGTTCAAGATGCGCAATTGAGGAGTCACACCTTGCTGGATCTTAGATGTGACGGGGAGGATGTAGGGAGTGGCCAGGCCTAGGTGGTATTCAATGTCTTTGTGAGAACTGGCGGAGCGCTCGCCAAGGTAGTTCAGCCATAAGGCCTGCACCACGCCATCTTCGCCGATCAGCACACCGTTGGAGCACTGGGCACTGAGGCCGGTATCAACAGTGACAGCATCCAAGTTGATTGCACGGTAACGAGGAGCAGCCGCATTGGCCGGGATGGATACTGTTGTGATGTCAGTGACGGTAGTCTTTGCCACGACGATTCGATAGTTCTGGTTGAAGCCAACGAAGATGGTATCCTGGCCTTGCTTAATGTAGTTAGTGCTGAGCTGTGCGCTCTTGACCGGGGCCTTCACAAGACTGGGGTCATATTGGATGATGCTGTAGTTCTGGAGCGGGTGCAAGAACACCACCTTCGCACTGACGATGATGGAGTCAGCAACGGTGATGTTGATATCGCAGAGATCGTAGGGTACAATGGCTCTTGAGACCACAACCAGACCCTTCTCGGCATCGATGACAAGACCGAATCCAGTCTTCTTAGCCTGTGGGTATCCGTCCAGCTTCAAGGGCATGGTGCAAGACACACGAACAAAGCTACGGACGATCTCAGCGGCAGCAGGCTGGCTGATACCGTCTAGCTGGATGAAGTTGGCTTCCATTGGAACCGGGGGTTTGGCAGGGATGGGGTCGGCGAGATCGGAGAAATCCCAGATTCCAGACTCGTCGTTACGGACTGCCAAGCGCATCTTGGGGTGCCAGTGGCGGTCGACATAGATGATACTAGTGCCTTTCGTGTGAAGGTCACGAATGTGGCGGTATGAGATGACCACGCGGGTACGATCAGGAATGTTCTTCATGACCTCTACGAATTCGTTGAGATTATGGATTGGTCGCTTGTCGATGGAATCAATGATCCACCCAGCCACTGTGTTCTCCAGCTTGAAGGAGCCCGCCGATTCACAGACGTAGACTCCTCGAGTGGCAATGGCATAAAGGCGTGATTGTTGGTAGGAAAGGTCGTGGAATGTGCCACCAGCAACGGTCACAAATCGATCGGGAGTGATCGCGTGAAGATCTCCCACATCACACTCGACCTCAACATCCTGCCCGCCTCTCTGCACGAGCAGCTTGACGGACTTGCCCACGCTGGAATCCAGGATGTCGTCAAGGCGAACGAATTGTGTAAGAAGCTCTCCATTCACTTTCAGAAGCACATCGCCCTCCAAGAGTTTATTATCACCAGGACCCTCGGGGAGGATGATCTCTGCCGCAAGCATGTTTGTCTCACTGGGCGCAGCCGCACGCACAGCAGCCTCCCACTCGGGTGTCAGGCCCAGACGACGGCATTCGTCGAAAGGTCGCAACACCCATTGTGTTTGAATGGTACCGCGGGTGACAGGTTTCCCTTGGCGGATGCACTCCAGCGCACGGAGTGGGCGGTCCAGCGGTAAGAAGTAATCAGTTGCAGCACCGTCAGCTCGGCCACCGGCTTGCAAAGCAACCGCATGGCCCGCAAGGTTGACCACAGGACTTCCTGAACTACCACCACTGGCGGCAGCGGCGGCTTGAATGTAGTTGGTGTTGAAATCACAATAGCCCTCACCATACTCAGGCGCATTGCGATCCAGTCGACTGATCACACCCGACAGAATACTGAGCTTCTCACCGGCATCGTTACCCACCACACGAATCTCCGTGCCAACTCGTGCCCCATCTGGCTGAAGCTTGAGCTCTGTGAGGTCCATGTAGCGAATCTTTGTGGGGTCGAACTGTAGGATGCCGAAATCGTGAACAGGGTCTCGATACACGGGCTTGACATCGCACTATCGGACTTTCCGTTAGCAGCTGTTTTTGAAACCTTCGTTTTGTCCAAGACTCTTGCACAGAGCTTACCTCTTCATGATTATCAAAAATACAGTAACCCCAGAAAGGACCGGCGCCTACAACGTGACGATTTGTCAAGATGTAGCCGCGCTCAGCATCCACCACAAATCCAGTTGCTTGGCTCGACATTGAAAGCTCGGTATCAAATGAGCAGGTCTGACAGAAGTGGATGGAAACCGCGCTCTTCACAACCTTCTCAATGGTAGCCTGCCATTCAGGCGAGTCGGCCTGAGCGGGAACAACGGCCGGTTCCGGCGCATCATCCACCTCCTCTTCGATATTGTAGACCGTTCCGTTGGCGGGGGTTCCATCACCGGGGGTCAGAATAGCACCCTCGGGCCTGAGTTGTTTGCTGGGACGCTCCGCGGCTTGAGCAGCGGTGCTGCGCTTGCGCTTGGCACTCAGGTCAAGTTGACCATCCATCTTGTCTGAAAGCTTCGAGTGCGCTCGGGGTCGGGAATGGGTGAGAGACAAGTATGGGTGGGAGGACCTTGGGGCGAGCCAAGTAGAGAATTGAATGGAAGGTGATCGGAGGCGATGCGGGCGATGCGGAGTTAAGAAGGAATGTGGTGACGCCGACAATCTCCGAAACTGGGTTGGATAAGTGTTGGATAAGCTCCTTCTGCACACAGGCGGCAGATAACAAGACATCCACTACACAATTGGGGAATTTGTAGAAGAGTCAAATACGCGCCCCAAGCAAAACGTCAAGGGTGGAGGCGGAGAGCCAGGGAAGCCCTCTGATTGGACGGATGATATGCGCCTGCTCAGCTGCTCAGAGACGCTGACTCGGCCTTGGGACTAACACATTGACTACTACTTGTTTGGTATGATACTGGGTTGCCTGAGCTATACTGCCTGGTTGCCCGTTATGGAGTTCATGGTTTGCCTTTTTTAGATATATCGTCTTTCGCGCTTGATGTGACAGTGATATCTTTGGTAAATTAATGACAACAGTATGTCCCATTCCAACGGCGCTACATACACCTCGGGGAAATCACCCTATTCCCACACGGCTGTGCAACGTGATACGTTCGGTCTATCGGCCAGCAGGTATGATGTGCATGGTGGGGGGTCCATGCTGCTGGTATGCATGGTGGGTGCCCAAGGGGTTGGGGACCGGCGCCTACCACAAGGCTTGCATTAGTTAGCCATGGGCGCATGGGGTCTGGTTCGCCAGACGCAAATCAGGAATCCGAGCGGATGTACATGTCGTCTCACATGCTCATGGAAGATCGCATATTTCCCCGCAGGCTTCAGACCATCGAGTCATTCATGGAGCGGGGACTGGGCCCGCCGTTGGGGCTGAGTCGTTGGGGAGTGGAAGCCTTGCCCGATCGAGGGAAAAGATCATTTAGTTTGGCGTACAACTCGTTTACAGCCGGGAGGTTAGGGGGCGGGGTCATGATCGCCAGTGTTTGAGGGACCACGCCACCAGCCTTTTTCGCGCGATCGGCGATGGTCGCTAGATAGGCAAGGTTGGCTTGTAGGCGGCGCATGCATTCGATATATTCTGGGCTGGGTTTCTGGTTCGCCTTGGATGCATCTGGGGCCTCGGAGGTCGGTGAGTTGGTGTCCGGGTTGGACGCCGGTCCAGCCTTGCCAGCGGCCTGAAGGTTCACAACCTCCTCCAGCAGAGCCGAGTTGATATCGAGGAGAACCGTGACACGAGCCTTTTCACGCGCGGCAAGCTGGGCTTGGGCCTGGGCCTGGGCCGGAGTCCCAGGGGATGCACCGCTTTGTGGGGAGTTCATTTGTGAAGGGGGTTTGGGTTGCGCGTTGAGCAAGTTGTTTGCTGATATCGATGCCATATTCTGAGAGAAAGTCTGTGCTACTTGGGAGGGCATGTTCGCGCCGGATGTGCCTGGAGGAGGGACGAATTGGCCCATGGGGCCGGGCATGGGGGCTTGCGTGAAGGGCGCCGAGTAGTTTTCCATTGGTGCTGCGATAGTATCCCCCGTCAGTTCACGAGATTCGAGAAGATATGTCAAAAGATCATAGGCAAAGGACAAGTGGTAGGAAAAGCAGGCGACGCCAAGGGTCAGAGTGATATGGTGTGGCCAGTTTCAGCCTAGCCGTAGGGGCTCAGGGGGTGGGTTACACAAACGTGACCAAAGAGGTTGGGGAAAACATGCAACCTTGAGCCTCACGCCATGCTTTGGAGAGCTTGTGGAAATCTACCCCACTGAGGTGAAGAACATGACAGGTTGTGGAAATAACCAGGGGAGAGGGAGAAAAGGGGCGGGCCACTTACCGGATGACTGGGGGAAACCTGAAGGAACCATTGCTCCACCAGGACCTGGCTGCATTGGCATAGCACCAAATTGCTGAGTGGATGGTGTCTTGGGCTGGGGGTATGCGGGAGCTGGATTAGGGTAGAAGGGCATCTGTTGATTTTGGGGGCTCTGAGTCGGGACGGGATAGCCGGCAGGATAGCCAGAGTTGGGATCCATTGTGTATTGGACTATGCCCTGGGGGGCCCTCTTTTCACCCGCTAATATCTCTTCCCTCTAGCGATCCCCTCGATCTAGGGGAGCTACTGTGATAAGCCGAATTACGCCGCACGGACGAGACGGGCTCGGGTGCAAGCTCGTCAAGGACTGGGGGAGGTCTTCGGGGCCCTGTGTGAGGATTTCGCAAGCGGAAGATGGATGTCCGTGATTGGTCCGATCAATTGCAAGGCAGGGTTGGAAGGCGATCGGCCTCAGGGCTGGAGACTCGGAGCAAGACAGATTTTGGTTGTGGCCCGGATTCAGAGCGATCAGCCGTGGGCTAATGCAGCGGAGCCTTTTCGGCAGTGGGGACACGGGCTCGAATAATAATCGACACAGGCAGTTTCACTTGAACTTCAAACTCGAAATTTGTTCCAGATGTACCTGAGAGAGGGACCTCGGCGAGCAGCGACGTCAAAGGAAAAGTGACATTCGATGAGGTCACGGGATGTTGCTGCCTGAGGCCTGTTACGTGCCTGAAACATCCGGCTTCCGCAAAGTCCCTCTTTTTATACTTCGCGACGTGGATCAGACTGACTAGACAACTACCCCATAGGCCACTAATGGTTTCAGAATGGAGTGGCCGCGATCCTTCGACAAGTGTGCTTTAACCGAATTCAGATGCGCTTCGTTTGACTTGTACTAATTGAATACCATGGTAACCCTAGCGTGGGTGCTTCGCTTTCGCTCAAGTATCGCAACAACCATGACGCCTGACATGTACCATTCTACAGTAGTAAAGCCATGTGTTCTAAACCGGTACGAAATGAAGTGACATCACCCTACGTGGGACAGGGTTCAAGTAACGATATCGATTTGGAATACGTTGAGAAAGTGTCACCTCATGTGGAAAAACCTTCTGCCATTGCTGTTTCCACGATGCTTGGAAACCCCTTCCAATCGAGGATCTACTTTCAGCTCGCCTTCAGGGGAGATGGCTTTGCATCCGTGGAACACGAAGAGTCAGATCGAATAGATAGATAGAAACCTTCCTCACGGCCGAAAGCCACACCTACAGGCGCCAAACCCCGAATACCCATGCATCTCCCTGGGCAGAGCCCGATCACTCATTATGTCAGCTCGGGGATGGCCCTCGGGGCGATCTACGGCCCTCCCCGTCGAACCACGTTCGGCAAGATCGGTTGGTCATGGTATGTATAACATAAGAGATAGAAAAAGTGGATTTCAGGGTGCATTCTACTATTACGGAGTTCGGAATACTAACGCAAATCCTTGAGCCTGATCTGACAGGGAAAATACGGTACTTTAAGCGAGCGCCCTGGTCGTCCTGGATAGGGCAGACCTGGAGGCGATCTTTTGAACTTTATTTATAGTCGATGGATCGGGGCCTCCGATGATCTACACCGCATTTCGCATCGAAAGGCGTGGGATCTGGGACGGTGTAAAAAAGTACGATGGACGGAGTACTCCGTACAACGTGTAATGTTCAAACGAGTGCAGGGAGATTGGAATGTGTGTGGGGCATGCGTACTGATAGTTTGTACGGAGGAGACAGGTAACCGCTACATTGTTCCGCCGAATGAGAATGCAGAAACACTTAACGGCCGGAGCAGACTGGGGATCAAGGTTTGTTAGACTGTCTTGGATCAATGAGGGGGCTTTTCATACTGGACGCTGTCTGGCTGAACGGAGCAATATCCGTCGCACCCATATCCATAGTGCATGCGGCATGCCACAAGAGGGATTGTGGACCACGCTCAAGCGTCATTTGGACACCAAATCGGCTTAGGGCCCCGGTTTCCAGGAAATGCAAGTTGGAGATCTTCCAGTTGCGTGAACTGGGGCTGAGTCTCGCCGATTGACAGCTTTTACCACAGTTAACGAACGTTCAGCTAGCCACGGGCCCAACCTCTCCCTTGCCTAGTCTCGTCAAGTGCATAAACATTGGATTCGAGCCGACACCATTGGTCCATGGGCCTCGTTTGCAGGATATGGACATTATCATTAATCATAGGGCCGAGTATATTACGAGTACTGTACATTGTTTGAGATTTCTCACATCGGAAAAGCATATCCGGTGACGACATCATTGTACTTTTTTTTCGCATCCCCCTAGCGTCAGGGCTTAGTGGGGTCATGGCTTCAACCCATCATATCACAGGTGCGGCTCGGTTTAGCGGAAGCCAGATACGTCGAGATCCATAATTATTAGGCTTCATATGCCGGGTAGACCTAGCCCGAGCTTGACAGCCCGTGAGTACACAGGCCAAACTCAATCGCTTCACTTTTCAGTGATCAGCCTTCGGTTTGCGCAGCTATACTATCGTGCAGCCACCTTGCACGTTAAGGCTCAGTGCAGGGATCAGATCAAGTTTTGTTCATTTATTTGTTGTTTCTTTTTTCTTTTTTCTGTCTGTGGCTGAGATCCACATGAGTTCCTATCCATATGAGTATGACTTGCAGACCGGAGTTTTGAGGTGGAGGTTCTCCGGGAAATGCGCGCCTGAAGGAGGGTCAAATCAGATTCCGAGCCCTAACCCGCCAAGAATACCACCTATGACCACAAGGTGCCCACACCGTTGTACGGAGTACCAAGCAATCCTTTAGCATGTGAACAGTAATGACCGGCACATGTAATCTCATTAAGGGGGCCTAGGACTGAGCGGTCGGTGGAGCCGCTCGACTCCGCCGGTTGCTGCACAAGGACGTTCGATCCACCCGAAATTATCGGTGACCAGAATTCCAATTTCTCCGGTAATTTGACCGAAAATGTTCCAATTGTACAGATTCAGGTGCGGTAAGGCCCAGGCATCGAAATCGGCCATCAATATTTCAACTCCGTAGCGCGGTGGCAAATCGAGCGGCTCCGCATTACTACCTGGAACGCATCATTCTCTAGCCACTAGTGCTGTCGTTTAACAAGCCATTTCCAGGCAGCGCATGGGGTTGATCATCCCTTGGAACCTCAATTTGACCTTGCGAAGTGACTGGTAGACGGTACCGAACTAAAACCGACCGGCCGGTGGAATGGTCTGCATATCTGAAGGTGACCGATCCAGATCCAGATGCATGGATCAAGACACACTATGAAAATCAAACCTACTCGGCTCATCGACATCTCCCATGACTGGGTTAGCGGGGATCTTCGTGTTCGTATGAAGTACAAAAGTCCAGGCGATCGAGTGCGCCCAGAATCCCGATTTGGTAAGGGCATATCAAGGTCTCTAGGGCTTGTTATCAGCGTTAGGTACGGAGTACAGTAGTACATCGCTAGGAATTGACTTCATGCCGAAAAAAGGTTCCCACCGGACTCCACACCAACGATAGAGACCGAAGCGTTTAAGAGGCCACCGACGAATCTAAAGTTAATTAACCTCGTTTTTGTGAATGTGGATCGTCAGGATACAACGTAGGCTGTTAGAATATTATGTTTCTCAGGATATGGCTACAGCTGGGCTGAAAAGGCTATAGTTGCGTGAACCTGCATTGAGAGACTACAGTAGAAGCGTTGTGCCCGCTGCCACTTCCACTGTATACCCCATAACCGTTTGTGTCGCACGATCGGTTGCAACAATGCGGCTACCCGAGATCTCCCAACCTAACAGTGTCTCACCTTGAGATAAACTTTGGTTGTGCTGGCTCGAACGGTGTTGGGGGTGGGTTTCATGCCCTGGCCGACCCTTGGAACCGCAGATCAAGCATAGCAGTGCCTAGCCGGTCCGGGCACTTGTACTCCGTAGACTATATAGTCACTATTTTGTACCGTTGAGTGGAAATGGTAGTGAACGTGGAACAGGACCTCCTGTCTCACCTCCTTGTTTGGAAAACGATGCGGTAATTGTTCACTTTGCAGCAACGGTGTACTGTTTTTGCTTTTTACTTGTAGACACCCCTGCAATAGACGCACTCACGTCACCTTTTTTTTTTCGCCTTTTACAGGGATTCGGCAGTCTTGAACATTTGAGACAAATCAGAGAAGAAACTTGGGATTGTTGGGGGAGTCTGCAAGTGGAACAGTGAACGCCACAAACGTTTGCCGATCTTCATTCCAAGTTTTTTGCCTTGGGCTTCCGTCAAAGGGTGGGTTTGGACCGGAATATGGTTCCTATTGTCATTTAACGGGCTTGATTGTTTCGGGTTGTCTTCGGTTCCAGTGGATCCTGACGAAGTCACTGCAACGTCGACTCCAGACCTGAACAGAATCTCCTGGCAAAACATAGTATACTCCGTAAAGCCGTTGATTTACAGCACTAGTAGTGTTAGGCACCAGGCTGACGATCAGGCCTCTACAGTAGCCGAGTCATTGCATGGGAAGCATTGACAGGGAGGCAGCCAGAGACCAACCTCAAGGGGGGTGTCGTAGTGGAGACTGCAGAAGAGGAATTACTGTTGCGCAATGGAGACCCCTGACTGCCACCTATGCACCAAGTATACATATCATGGTTTAATTAATGCTGTCGGCTGCAACATGGTTCAACCTTGAAAGTCGTGATATGTCAATTTATAGCCAATAGTACTCGGGGCATTCTCTGGTCCCCGAAATCACAACAGGCCAATAACAAGGCAAAGGAGACTGAATTCCAAATATGAATCCAGTGTGTTCCCGCAACCCATCACCCGTTTCAATACTGTATCTGGGTTGAGCTTGCAGCGCAGATCAGACCGCTTCTAGATTTTAATGTTTTTTATTCTTCGAAGCCCGGATCTCCACACTTGACTGTTTTATTCTTAGGGCGCCACAGCTGACCTGGTCGACATTTGTGGCTGTGTGTGCAATCGTCCATATTTGTGTCGTAGCCTCGGTCGGTCGTCGTGGATCGGCGTTGACAAATTGACAGAGAGCCTTAATGTGCGCTATCCCTCCGAGTATGCTATATTCTGGCTCAACTTCTCACAAGAACAGGATCCATGCAGGGGAATTCGTTCTTCATCTATTGCGGTACGGGAGATAAGCTTGGAAAAATAGCTACCCAACAGGGGCTCAGCCAGGATTCATCCTTCGACACATACTATAAGGTATTGCGAGGTACCTGCACGATGAAGGGATCCCAAGCTGATCTGGGTCAGATATTAGAGAAAATGTCGGGACACTCACCAACAGAGGGCCCCGCGTATCCTCACTTTGCCATGATCTATATCGACAGGAAAGGGAATCTTTGCCAGCGCTCTTCTGAATCAATCGCAGAAAGCAGACAGGACATTCTCTCGCCCACAGTGACAGCAGAATTTCTGCGAGCCGTGGCGAGGTCGAGAGAGTCACAGGGCTCTCAGTTCCAAGGTGGGTATCTTGATCCTACGGCGAGGCCCATGTTGACCAACAGTAGTTCCCATTCCCGTGCAATCTACACAGGAACCTTTTCACCAGCAAAACTCCACTCTGCCACAAAGGGGGCTCGTGGCCCACAGTGGCATGGCTTCCAATGGTGAGGAGAGAAGCAGGATTCCCACTGAAGACTCCCACGGCCAGTCCCCAATGTGGCCACTGCCGCGTCAGTCCTGGTCACCTCAACAAGAGCCAACAGCCGGAATCCTGCCCAGGAAAAAGCATTTTGGGGGCCGAAGCCTGAATTTGTCTTCACACCAGAATGCCTCCATCTCCGTCAAAGAGCCCGAAATCTTGCGTTTGTACTATGAGAAGATTTTTCAGAATCTCCAACAAACCAACTGCCGTGTCATTGCAAAGGCCTACATTAAGCTGGTAGAGCCTCGCAAGCAGGTCAATTACCCTTATAATGGGCGGAAAACCGTGGATGGAAGAGTCCAGCAGCTTGATCCAGAGGTCACCAAGCCGCCGTGGTGGCCGACCGGGGTCTGTCATCGGGAGCCAGATCATCTTCCCAAAGTTGGTAAGATACCATTCTACTAACAGACGTCCTCACGCAGCGCTGACCTCGGACAGAGCGCATTCGTCTCTTGGTCCACATCTTGTGTGACTTGCGCGAGAGCAACGGGGTCACTGCCGCCAGGCTCAGGGAATGTGACCAGCCCATCCGACGTCAGATTCTCCCCGTCGATCGTTTACAAATACTCGACGAGATGTACCGAGTGCGCGAGAAGGAGGAGAACTTCTTAGACGGCTTGCCAGGTACTTGATTTGCTTCAACCCGATCGTCGAAAGATGAACTAACGACCCATCGTCAATAGACAACGAGCCCAGCGTATTAATCTCTCGCACAAACCTACCCCAAGTGATGGAAGACACATACAGTGGACAAAGCTCACCATTGGAGGCTGGCTATACCCCTGTCGCGAAATCCGAGTGCAGCGACGACGCCCCAAGAGTTGGCACAAGCCAAGTCATCATGTCTGCGGAAGACCTTCAAAAGAGGCATCCATACTATTCGCCCACTCCATATACCCCTACCATGCACCCGAATATGCAAACCAGCCCCGGCACTCGATACCAGACCTCCGAGACTTCCCCCCACGCCTCGACATCGCCACAGGAGTTGAAACGGAAACGCGAAATATCCTCGGGCACTTGCTTGACTGACCGTACGCGTCAACCTGGCATGACACAATACCTATACCCTGGAAACCCCGGATTTCAACAGCCCATGGAGCTATACCACCAACCTGTCGTTCCCCAGCCAGTAACACAAGCGGTTGTAGTTACCCAGCCAGGGGTCCCAGGACCGGAAGGGCTGCCATCCGAACTTATGATGCCATACGGATATCCATACTACTATGGTTGCTGAGCGGTTGTCGAGTTGAGTAACGCCTGTGATGTCTCATGATAATACGTCTGCATTTCTTTTTCTTTCTATTCTTTCTATTTTCTTTCGGCACCGGAAAAGGTGTATTTAGGTATTGTGGGCATATTGGATAATAAGTCGGAGACCTACGACCCTCCAAGCAAACGAAGGTATCCAGAAGAGTAATAATATAGGGCATCCTTGGATATCCTGCCTGCAAGGGGCGTCAAGCGCCATTCTACTACATTTAACTTAACATCCAACAATGCTCGAAGAAGACTTGATTAAATCAATTGAGATAGCTCGAGTGTTTACAATATTCCACCAGACCACTCTGCACACGGCACACTCAAAGACACTGCGAATACCACTCATTGAAGACCTTGCAACTTCCGCTAGTGCAAGTAGTGGCGCCAGTCCAGCCGGATCCTCCACACTGGCCATATAGAGCAGCGCCAGTAGTACTACCGGAGTTTGCAGTAGTCGTGGTAGTGACAGCAGCAGCGGTCGTAGTGGTACCTGTGGAGGTAGTTCCACCGAGAGCCGACAGAATAGCTTCATAAGCAGGCTTCTTGGCCAGGTTCTCATCCCAAGGCAGAGCCGCGCCCTGGCCGGAGAACACACTCGGAACCCAAGAGTACTTATCTGTGTAATCCCAGATGGTCACGCCAATGCACTTAGTGTTTGCCACACAGGCCGCAACGGTATTCTTATAGTCAGTTGCCTGTTGCGCAAGCAAAGCAGCCGTCGAAGGTAGTGTCATGCGGATGTCAAGCTCAGTATAGGCAATGTCAACACCCAGGGCAGCGAAAGCAGCTAGGTTTGTAGCTTGGGCGCTCTGGCTGGGCGTGCTTCCAACAATCAAGTGGGCTTGCAGACCGACTCCATCGATCTTGGCACCGTACTGCTGCACAAGCTTGATGATTCTCTGAGCTCCGGTTGACTTGGAACCCGATGATTCAATGTTGTAGTCGTTGTAGTAAAGCTTGACATCCGGGTCTGCGGCAGCGGCAGTGGCGAATGCAATGGGGAGGTAGGCTTCGCCGATAGTCTGGTAGAAGATGTTGGTGCGGTAGGTTCCATCCTCGTTGAGAGCTAGTAAGCAACGTGTCAGCTATGTGTGATCCAAGATTACTTCTAGACTATGGCACGTACCTTCGTTGACAACATCCCAAGCATAGCACTTCCCCTTGTAGTGAGTAACAACATTGGTGATGTGGTTCTTCATTGCCGCAATGAGAGTTTCGTTGGTCCAAGTGCCACTGGAGACTGTCCAAGTATCAGCTCACGTACCGCATTCGTGGCGTTGCGCAATTTGGGAAACATACCCCAGCTGGGTAGCTGGCTGTGCCAGACAAGAGTGTGACATCTCAGCTTCTGGTCGTTCTTAGCGGCAAGATCTGCAATGACATCTCCCTTGGTATATGAGAAAGTGCCTTGTGTTGGCTCAATACTATCCCACTGCGTCACGTCAGTCAGCTGCCCCTAACCTCGGGAGAATTCTCATTTTTGCTCTCACCTTCTGCGCGTTACCAGGAGTGATTTGACCGAAGTCTTCTTTGTTGCTTAGCTGTGCCAGGTATGCGGCATCGGTCAATTCGCCGTTATCGGTGGCCGAGCCAAAGTAGACCTTCCCTTTGGCAACAGCAGCAGCGTGCAGACCAGCCCCGGAAACCCTTTCATGAACGGTGAGCGTTTTGACCCCACACTTGATTAATGATTAAGGGAAGAATAGCTCATACAATTGAGGTAGAATGCTGGCCAGGACCAGACCAAGTCTCGTTAATTGAACCATGATGACGATAACAAACGACTCGCCGGTAGTCAATCAAAGGCAAACTCAACTTGAGGAGAAAGAAGTGTCCCCGAAGGCTTCTTATAGCCAAGCACAAGCAGAGACATCCATATAAGTAGGGTCTTGACGTGGATACATCCAGCATCTGCGCCGGCGCTAGGCAGTTTCACATTGAGTATGGCATTCCGGACCTAGAGCCCGTGGCATAGTTGTCGCGGCGGTTCGAGCTAGTCCCTTAGTCTCGAATAGTGTCGGAAAAGCAGGATGATAGAAGTCAAGTGCATCGAAGCGATTACCCACAGACAAGATGCGGGCAATGCAGGTGGGCCCACGGCCCTGCATAAACACCGGAGGACACCCCGTACCTGATTCACGGCAAAAAGACTGACGATTTCGACAAGGTTCTTCAGGGCAATTAGGGCTAAATAAGAACGGGTAAATGGACACTTCTCCACTCCCGGTAAACCTGGGGTGTCGATCTCTGCCCTTTTTTCCGAACTTGTCCTGGCAAATAGCCATCAAGGTGTCAGGAGGTACGACCTGCCAATCCACAGGGGCTGAATCAAATACCCGGAATAGCTGAAAAAGGGAGTTTTCACTGGAACACCCCAGTAAAGACCCCTCGCGAGTTGACTAAATTGCACGCAAACATGTCTGCTTGTGACCGAAGACCCCGCCATCTAGAGGCGATCATTACCGAAACAAGGACTCTGGCTCTTCCACATATTCAGACGGCTAAATGACTAGACTAAAACTTGTGCGTATCTCAAAAGACGGGCAGCTGCGTGGTTTCTATGATTTGTTGGTACAAACATATGAGGAGCTCGCGACGAGTTAACGATTTGACACTGACTGCAGTTGGCGGTCAAATTCTACTTCAAATGTATTGTCATCATCCATGACTCATGATCATGCTTAGAATTCGAAAATGCATCTATATACGATCGGCAAGCGCTTTCGGAGGGTATCGAAACTTTTGAACGTCTTGCTCTAGAGAGTCAAGTGTAGAAGTGGCTGGCTAGCTCGGCAGCAGCACACAGACCAGCTGTCTCCCAGGCGCAAGTCTTAACATGGCATCTCTGCCATGTTAATCAAGTTGTCTGGGTGCGCTTAGCTTTGATAGATAGCGATGTGGTGGCGAATATTGGGTGAGGCGTATGTAGACCTCCTGTGAAACAATGGCCGCTCAACCTGACTTGCGAGCCTTCATCTCCGCAATGAATTTACCAGTCTTGGACAGAGGTACAACGTAGATGTTGACAAGCTCATCGATGACCTCGACCTTTCCTCCAGTGAGAATCTGCAGCAGAGGCACACTCTTGCCGGCCTTGATTAGGCCTCCGGTCACAGTCTGCATGAAACATTCGACGTTGCCGAGAGTGTATTCTTTCTTGGTATCCCAAGGAAGGGGGAAGATGTAATCCAGGTGGTCGGAGATGGAATTCATTTCAGAGAAGGACTTGATGAAGTCTGATTGCGCTTCCATTGGGTAGAGGAAGACAGCAGGGAACTCGACTGTGCTTTCGGGCGAGAGCGGATCAGGTACCAGTCTGATCATGGCGTCTTCCATGTCTGGGGGTTGTTCTGTTTTGCGGGTTCTAATTTGACGGGCTTTGAGGGCCGTGCTGAGCATTACCTTTTGCTTGCGTAGCAGTTCTTCTTCAGCGCGCTTCTTCGCAGCGATGCGTTCGAGGTGGGCTTTGCGCTCGGCAATCTTCTTCGAGTGCTCTTGGAGAGCCTTGCTTTCTGGGTCGATTGCCAATCCCCGGATCACGGAATCCTCAGCCTCGGCGACTTTGTCAAGCTTGAAAAGTGCCAGGGCAGAGCGGTAGTAAGCCTTAATGTTCTTAGGGTTGATCTTGAGCGAGCCGGCACAGTCGAGAGTACAAGAGCGATAGTTTCCTGTGATTATGTGTGAGTGCAGGTTTCAGGGAGATTTGCAACTAAGCATACCGAGTTCAAGATTGCACAGCGCGCGGTTGCTGTATGAAGCCTCCTCCAGCTTGACCAGTAGCGCTGCTTCTTCCTTTTCGTCTTCCGGCTTCTCCCATTTATCTTCCTTGGCGTTGATGACAGCAAGAGCCTTGGTGTAGAATTCTTTGGCATCGATCCATCTAAGCTCCTGCACGGCCTCATTTCCTTGGCTCTTGAAAGATTGCGCAACCTCAGCCCGGCTTCCTTCATTCTGCAGGGCCTGAAGCGCATCGAGAAGCATGTTCTGGCCATCTAAAAGAGTTCTCTCTGTCAGCAAGGTCCATTTGCGCTGAGCAGCCGTCACGTACTCTCATCACCAGCGTTGTTCATATCAGTCATGAAAAGAGGCGTCTTGTTCATCATATCAATCAACTCCTTAGTGGTATGCGACTGAACAGCCGCAATATCCGGGGGAAGCTCTGGCGCATTTGGATCAGTCTGGCGCTTTTTCAGACCCTCTTCGTTGATCGGGAAGGGAAGATCATTGCCAGGCGCGAAGGCGTCGAACCCAGGCTGTGGGAGATTTTGGGTGACCTCTGGAGGGGCATCGTTGAGGTTGAGCGACTCATCGAAGTCATCTGGCAGCTCTTCGATTCGCGACATCGTGTATTCTGGGCACCGAAAATTGCAATGCGCTCCGGAGATTGGAGATCTTCAATGCTTAGAAATGATGCCCGCATCACAAACAGTGCAAACAGGAGGGATGCCAGGTGGCCCTAAGCCCTACTTCCGAATTGGGTCGGCCCCGACAGCTTTGGCACTAAGCCTCATTGGGAACCATGACGACCGACCTCGGCAGTATGCATGTTTGGCATCAGTCAACTTTACTTGAGTAACGATTGAAAAGACCCTGTTCAGATTGAGTGAGTGAGGTCCAAGAGCCATGAATCCAATTTTCAGAGGATGTTGTAGTCATCTGCTGAGACGGGAAAAAAGCCCGCCGACGACCAAGCATGCTCTTTGAAGCCTCCCAAAGACATCTTAGCACCTAGAGCTTGCGGAGATTGACAGACAGCTCAAGGTCGAAAGACATCAAATGAATGTTGTACATATTCTATGACATGGGTCTCACTACCGGCCCAACCCCGATCAACATCAACCCCGCATCAGTCGGATGGAAGACCGATCTGATAAAGGCTGTATGTATACCGCAGAATCAGCCAAAGGATTGACTTCCAAAGTTCTTTGGTCAAACACTCCAAGAAACAACAATCTCTCACAGCAGAACTATGGCCCAAACATTCAAAATTCTCGTCCTACCCGGCGATGGTATTGGGCCAGAAGTGATGGCTGAAGCCGTCAAAGTCCTGAAAGCCTTCGAAACCTCGGAACGCAAATTCGAGCTTCGCCAGGAGCTGATTGGAGGATGCAGCATTGATGCAACTGGCAAGACAGTCACGGACGAAGTGAAGCAGGCAGCACTGGACTCAGACGCCGTGCTTTTCGCCGCAGTTGGAGGGCCGAAATGGGACAATCAACGACGTGGTCTTGATGGTCCTGAGGGAGGACTTCTTCAACTACGCAAAGCCATGGATATCTATGCCAATCTGCGCCCCTGCTCGTCGACCTCACCCAGTGTTTCCATCGCCAAGGAATTCAGCCCGTTCCGACAGGATGTCATCGAGGGGGTTGATTTTGTTGTCGTGCGCGAGAACTGCGGAGGAGCATACTTCGGCCGGAAGGTTGAGGAAGAGACCTATGGTAAGAGGATGTGATTCTTTGCTGCTGAAAGTACCCAACTCACACCCTTTCCCACAGCGATGGACGAATGGGGCTACTCTGAAGCTGAGATCCAACGTGTGACCCGCCTATCCGCCGAGGTGGCACTGCGCCACGACCCCCCTTGGACTGTGATCTCACTGGACAAGGCGAATGTCCTAGCGTCATCGCGACTATGGCGCCGAGTTGTCGACAAGACGATGGCAACCGAATATCCTCAAGTCAAGCTTGTACACCAGCTTGCCGACTCGGCATCTTTGATTCTGGCAACGAACCCGCGCTCACTGAACGGTGTTATTCTGGCAGATAACACCTTCGGTGATATGATTTCCGATCAAGCTGGCTCGATTTGTGGCACTTTGGGTGTACTACCGAGTGCCAGTCTCAACGGGCTGCCTGGGGACAAGACCCTCAAAACACGTCCATATGGACTATACGAGCCAACTCATGGCTCTGCTCCAACGTAAGCCTATCTGATATCAAGAAATAGGAGGTTCTAACATTTGAATAGAATTGCCGGACAGAACATTGCAAACCCCGTCGCTATGATTCTTTGCGTTGCTCTGATGTTCCGGTATTCTCTTAATATGGAAGCCGAGGCGCAGCGTGTTGAGGACGCGGTGCGAAAGGTTCTGGACTCTGGCTCCAGGACCCCTGATTTGGGAGGCAAAGCTGGGACCATTGAGGTGGGAGATGCTATCATCTCTGCGCTGTAGGGCGGGAGCTGTATGCCGAATTTTCAGGATTGGAGAAGCCTTGCCGGGCATCATAACCACCTGGGTAGTTTCTGGGGGCTTTTTGTGGATATCAATGGATCATTGCTGTGCTATAATCAACGACCTTATCATTCGCTTGCAGATCGGGACTTCCATTATGGATTTCATCCATGGATATCTCCAGGGCTTGGCTACCTCCTAATTTGAGTAAGATTACATTTAAATCCGTATCAAGCAGGTTCACGGGTAGATGCCCTAGCTAAGATAGGTTACGATCAAAGAAAACTGAAGGGATTCTGTTGCAAACGGGCCGTTTGTTCATTTTCCTTTTTCGGTTCTCAGCGATTTCGCAGATATAGAATGAGGAAGAGTGGTGGAAGGATGGTGTCTCATATCTACCCAGATAGAATGAGAAAATAGGACCGAGAGATTGCAATGGCCATGTATGGAGAGGAGAACCAGCTTGGAAGTCATCCAGGGGAATGCATATCCCACAGTCCAGGTTCCAGAGTAGATCGTGAGTGGACTGTCGCCAGATATCATATAGACCTCGTGGGACTCCAGGGCTCCTAGGATCACGGTGTCTCTCATACATTGCGATGACTGATGAGTAGGTAATTTGGCCAGAGAGAGAGAAGATACAAATACTGACACATATAGTAACTGAAACGCCAGGTCAATGAACAATGTGTTTCCAGTAATAAAGGGACTTTGTTTCCTGGGTGCACAGGAAGTGGAAAACAGAAAACATTGAGAATCAGTTTACACTGAAACATATAAGGTGTCTGCTTCCCAAATTTCCAGTAAGAACTTACTTACCTTTTGACTCTACTTGAAATGCCCCCAAGACCCCGTCGCATCAACACACACCACTCACCCCGAAGAAGACCTCTTCCACTCCTTCCAACCGACACAGCATTCGGTGAAGATATGAGAGCCTTGCCATCACCCTCATCAAGAGGCTCAATCGACTCAGCCCCGGACGCGAGAATCCCGCTCCACGAGCGACACATCCAATCACCTCGATCAACGGGTCTCTCATCCCAACCTTCACACATCACATCAGGAACTATGGCACTCCCAGAGTCAGCGGGCCCTAGCTCAGAGCGATTTGAGACAGAGCTAAACACACGCTCTATCACCCGACAACTAGACGGGTTGGAATCCAAGACCTCTCAGGAAAAAGTCCAGATCATGGAATCCATTGCCACAGAAATCGGTGCGACATTCATGGGCATCCAACAACATATCGACGCAGGCACGCTGCAGGGACATGAAACGGATGCGATCGAAACCGTGACCGATATCATCAACGGCACAGACGGCAACAGACGAAGGATGTTGGAGCGACAGGTGCGCCGCCTGCGCAAAGAGAGAAACTGGACTCTAAGGAGACACTTGGGGCGGCCCAACCCGGGTGTGCTATCAGATGTACTGCCCAGGTTGGAGGAAGAGAATCGCCGACTACAGGAAGAGAATGAATGGTGGCGGAGTCGGACTGAGGGATTACGGTTGGAGAGGGATTCGTTGTTGAATCGCCTTCAAGCGAAGGAATCGGATATTGCACCACCGACCGAAGCTGAGGAGGATGGTGAACCAGAGGAACGGACTCAGGCTGAGACAGAGGGTTAAGCAAAGGACTCCCGATTAGGCGCTTGGTTCTGAGAGCTGGAGCTATCAAATTTAGGCCTTTGAGCCAGTTCTTTTGCCCATGATTTCAGTGTTTGGATTAAAGATCAATTAGTGTCCGTGAAGAGTGTTTTCTGAACATCGGCTTATGGATTCCGAGGCATCTGAACGAGCCCGGAAATCGATCGGGAGGCAAATGACTTCATGTCGCGTTATGGACGTCCCCAACCCTTAAAAGGGCTTAAAAGGGGGTTCGGATCAGGGCGAATTGGAATCGGAAGAGATTTTCGGGCTCAAACTGTAGCTGAAGGCGAAAGGCCGTAACAAATCACGGGGAACAGAAGAGACCGAAGGGACCTCGGCATTGCTTTGAATGCGCGCAGGCTGATTTGGCCCGCGGATCCACCCTCCTCCGCGCATGTGGAAGTCTGGAGTCAAGACCCTTTCAATCTCTTCTCCTTCACATCTCTCATCCTAAACAAATCCTGTTCTTAACAGTTGTGTTGAAAGCCGATCGAGTTTGCCGTTCCAGGCCTGCCCAAGTGTTTCCCTTCCCAACCTTGAAACCTTTACCCCGGATCTCGTTATCGGCCGAGAAATATGACCCACGACTACGAGGCTGTCCGCAAGGACATCGCCGCCGCGTTGAAGAAGCCCGACTATGACGATGGAAGTGTAGGCCCTGTGTTTGTCCGTTTAGCATGGTCAGTGAAATTTCTGCCTCCCGATCGGGACGCTGTTGACACCCTTATCAGGCACTCCGCCGGCACATATGACGCCGAATCCGACACGGGCGGCTCCAACGGAGCAGGCATGCGATACGAAGCAGAGGGAGGTGACCCAGCCAACGCGGGTCTGCAACATGGGCGAGCATTCCTCGAGCCGATCAAAGAGAAGCACCCGTGGATCACTTACTCCGATCTATGGACACTGGCGGGAGTGGTGGCAATCAAGGAGATGGGTGGGCCTGAGATCCCATGGCGTGGAGGACGAACAGACCTGCTAGACGACCGTAAGGTGCCGCCACGAGGACGGTTGCCGGACGGCGCACAAGGCGCCGACCACCTGCGGTTCATCTTCTACCGCATGGGCTTCAACGATCAAGAGATCGTCGCATTGACGGGTGGACACAACCTTGGCCGGTGTCACGGTGACCGAAGTGGATTCGAAGGACCGTGGGTGACCAACCCGACCCGGTTCTCAAACTCCTTCTTCAAGCTCCTGCTGCAGCTTGATTGGAAGCCCCGCAAGCTGGCCACTGGCATGTCGCAGTTTGTGTATGAAGACCCCGACGCGGACGAAGATGAGGAGCCGTTGATGATGCTGCCGACTGATATGGCGCTGCGGACGGATCCATCGTTCGCCCCGTGGGTGAAGCGATATGCTGAAGACAAGGAGTTGTTCTTTGATCACTTTGCCAAGGTGTTTGCGAAGTTGATTGAGTTGGGCATCCGACGTGATGCTCAGGGGGCTGTCACCAACACTGACGGGACCCTTGGCGGGTATGTCTCAGCGCCGAAGAAGAGTGATACACCCACTGGGCCACCCCGAGCCCGTTTGTGAGTGAGATTGTTTAATAGATACTCCGTAATAGAACATGAAGATACTGAAGATACTGAACATATGAAGAGTAGAAGAGAAGAGAAATAGAATAAGCGGAGAGACTTTGCGGGGAAGCCTGTCAAGGTAGTACTAGTACTCCGTATGTATTTACCTGTTTGGGGTAGTACCCGCATACTCCTCGGTTATGCCAAATAGCACTCTTATGATTGGCTGAACTGTGCCGGTTTCTTTGGTTCTCAAAGGTCAGGGGAATAGTAAGTACAGAATGGAATAACAAGTATAAGAGTTTATCAATGAGTATAAATGGTGCAACTGAGTATAGTACTTATATAAACATCTAAATATCAATCTATCAGTCTGAATCCAGATAGTCCGAGTCGAAGTCTGACAGATCCCGATCCGAGAAATCACTAGGATTCCAAGCAGGATCATCATCTGCTTCTGCCGCTGGCCTCCCCCTACTCTCCTCCACCTTGGAGGCCTGTGGTGGTGGCTGCCTCACTTCTGGCTCCGCTACCTTTTGGCTCTGGGTAGTCTTATACTGGCTGTAGACATTATTGCGCTGCTGCTGTTCCTCGGTGTTGGGCTTTTTCTGGGGCACCGCGGCTGGTGCTTTAGGCCTGAGCGTGCGGTCCGAGCCCAGAGTCGAGATTGGAGCGGCAGTCTTGGGGGCTGCAGCCTGAGGTGCTGTCGGAGCCGCTGCTTTCAGAATTGTCTTTGGAGCTGGTGCACTTGGGGCTGGTGCACTTGGGGCTGCTGGCTTCGCTGGTCCTGTCCCTTGGCATTCACTCCTGGATCTTTGCCGAGCTTCGTACTCTTCAATCTTTTTCTCTCTTATTTGCTCAACCTCACTTAGTCCCTCTCCGTCCTTCTTGTGTGCCCACCATTGGGTTTCCACTTTGTTCAAGTAGTCGTTCAGCTCCATTCGGATTCGTTTGTTTTCATATGCCGCTCTTTGTTTGGGGTCAACGCTTTGACTGAACATCACAGCGGTCTTGAGCTTGGTTCCGATTTGTGGCGACTGTTTCGGTAGGCGGTCATCGACATCGCGCATCGTGATATCGGATTTGGCCCTGCGTTTCCGCTTTCCTTTGGGGGAAGGCCATGTCGGCAGTTCTGGGAATTCCAAAGCACCTTCCCGGGAAGGCTTACCTGAAGGCCACATTTCAGGATGCGCGGCAAGCCAATCCGGAGTGTTCAGCATCGAGTTGAACATGTGATTCTTCAATCTGTTGTTGAGCCCGCCTGTAGGTGGTTGCGGGGTTAAAACGTCCTCGGCCATCGCAGCCGGGTCAAGGAAATCCATAATGTCGAAGTCGGGAGGCGTGGTGCTATTATAGATAGATGGGTCAAGCATTGACTGGTCAACGACCGCGGGGTCGATGAGAATCGGGTCAACAGGCCCCGGGTCGACGGATTCACTGGCAGCCTGTGGCTCTGGGTCCTGCTCGGGGGCAGGCCGTGCCCACTCAGGATTATAATCGATGAATCGATCTCCAATGTTCGAGGTGACTCGCTCCCATGGCTCCTCCGCAGGCTGAGGGTCTGGGGTAGTCCAAGGAACATGTTCCTCCAGAACGTTCTTCTTTCTTCCAATGATACTGCCCATATTATAAACGGCATTATGGGCTGTCGCCAAAAGCTCTCTGGAGGGATCCAAGATGCGCTCAAAGAAGAGCAGAGGAATGGAACTGTGATTCACCCATTCCAAGGGCACTCGTTCTTCGGGTCTGAATGCCGGCACTCGACCGAACAAGATACCCTGATTCACTTGACTGTCGTACATCATCAGATCCGTTCCAATCTTTTCGCCACGCTTTTGATCAGTCCAATAAACACGAGCATGTTCCTCGTTATTGTAAACACCACCAAGCCAGCGATAGTGCGCAACCTGTTTCTTGTCGTCGTAGTCCAGATACTTGAACTTCAGATGTTGAGTATGGCCCCGGATCCTAGTTTTCACATCAAAAGTCATCACCAGGCGCAATGGTAATTGTCCAATTCTTCGCTCCCCAGTGACGCCCAGGGGATCTCCACATTGGGTGCAGGCGAAGGATTTGCGCGCGTAGAAACATCTTTCGATGAGGGTTGCCACGGGCACGCCTTTGTCGTCGCCTTTCCTAAATCCAGGTAAGATGCATGACCCCTCGTGGTAGTCGACGAATGTCTCGGCATTCTGGCATTTGCAAGGCGTTACTCGCTCAATGTGGTGGTAACGGAACTGCGAGAAGCTATTTGTGACCTGGGACCACACAGCCCAAGGTGGGACAGGCTGTCCCATTTTCAGATGAAGCTGGCTATCTATAAACTTTTGAAGAAACTCATCACGCGCGCGGATGGACTGGTTTTCATCAAGAATATCCCAGCTCAGGTTTGTTGTCTCGATGAATGCCTTTTCGATTTCCGTGAACCCGGCTGCTCGGTTATTGGCACGGTCAATCTTTGTACATCCCACGTCCATGAGCATACCTACCATGATCACGCAGTCAGTGGCACAAGATTGACCGTGCCAGACAGGGCCACGACCGCGAAGTGGAAATAAGTCACCGGTTGGATTCCACTCAAACGTCACTGGTGATAATCTGACATTTCCCACCGTGTTGAAGGCCCCAATCTTCATTTGAAGCATGTCAGTGAATGAATGTGCGGTGACGTTCTTGACAGGCTCGGCAGTGGAAGGAAGAGAAGGATCACGGTCTAGATCACTATATACTATCTGCATCAGGGCCTTTTCGACCGCCTCGTTGACGACCTGATTATCGTAGACAGGTTCAACCGTTGGGAAAAGAGGGCCAATCTGTGCCTCATCCTCTGGCGGGGCAAAATGTTCTGGCTGCAGAGCAGGCATCCAGGCCCACTTCGTAGGGTCCTGCCGAGAAGCATATACCGGGCCCTCGAACACTGGGACAGCCGGCCCAGGCGGAGCGGGGCCACCGCGGTAATTCGGGGCAGCTGGAGAGATATCCCGTCTCCGCCTCTTCGGGGAGCGCTCTTTGTCGGACGATCTTTGACCCTCGGAGGAAGGAGGTGCACCGGCCTGGGCCTCGATAATTTGCATCAGATCACCAGCCAGTCCTAGCTCTTGCTGCTCCTGTTCTGTCAATGGAGCTGGATCTGTCATCAAAATAGATTGCATCAGCTCGTCATCGTCAAACCCCTGCCCCTGTTCTGTCAGTCCAGGATACTCTGCCTGGAAGTTGATAGGAGAAAGGTGCTCCTCTCCAAAGAAAGGGTTTTCCTCCTCATTTAAAAATTCCTGTTGTGTCTGTTCAGGTGGCTGTGGAGCTACAGTGGGCTCGTGGAAACTTTCGGATGAATATAAGTATTGCTGGAGAATGAGATCGGGTAAATCGTGTGGGGCATCAAGGGGTCTGTAGTACGCCGGTAAAATGACAGTTCGATCATTTGGTTCAGTTGGAAACCATTGACTAATAGGTGGTGGTCGTGGAGTGAGGTTGTATTGCAAGAGCCGAGGACCGGTGTCTCGGTTAAAATTCAGCATATCTTCCCAACTTTTTGGCCGATGCTGGTCTGTCATATAATAGAACAATTTCCACAGATTCGTTAGAACGGTTACGCGGCCGTGTATTCTTCTCGTGCTTTTTGCCATCTTCTTGGGCTCCGTCCAATGGATTCCCCAGAAGTAGTGATGCGCCACTACGCGCAACGTGGCAATCTTCATAATACGACAATCCTTCACCTTGTCGAATCTGTAATCAAGGCACATCCAGTCATCAGGTGGATTGGGCAGGGGTATGATATCGTAAAGATTCTCGGGCTGGGCTGGCTGTACAAGATCCTCCGGCCTCTGTGGAAAAGGAGTAGGGGCTGCCATCGTGGCAGGAGTAGAACACTTCAACGAAATCAGAGTACCTGGGATATTTCTTGGTCAAGAATACCGTATAGATGCCTGTGCGTTCAATGTTGGGTTCGAGTGCTCTGAGTATAATATTCGACGCGATCAAGATCGAGCGCAAGCCATGATCTTTAATGGCCAGCGAAAGGCCAACAAAAGGGGCCACATTGTCGAGTCCGAAGGCCTCAATGAAACGACAGCAATTTCAAAGAAAACGAGCAGCCGATTGTACACGGTTGGTCAGAGTGAGATGAAAGAACACGCCGGACGCCGAGCCGTACTCCAGGGCAGAAGCTTGACCCTTGAAGCTTGAAGCACAAAGCATTAGACTTCCTGAAGATGTCAAAAGAATAACCCATGGGCCTAGCACAACGATTAGCACGGGTATATTTCTAAATATATCCAACCAGCATGGGTTTCATTCAAAAAACCGCTTTGAGTCGAGTCTTGTCCTGGCGCCACAGATGGCGGAGCCGCCTTCGCCAAACAAAGACCAGAAACATGGCGAAAGATCAAGTGTAGCAAGTGTAAATCTTGGACAGGAAAGAAAAGCGAGCATTGACCATCGACTGGCTATTTTGCTAAGGAAAGATGTCAACCGTCAAGGTTCACTGTTGTGATATCATGTTTGGAAAAAGTTGAGTTGATTTTGGCCTGAAACTAAGATCTTCCAGATGGAAAGGAGGAGAGAGAGTAGGGGGCACTTCAAATGGGACAAGACTAACACCTCGTCTCCGAGAATGAAGTTGAGGGTTTCATAGAAAGATGTGGCAAGGACAAAGGGATAACTAGTGTAAGATACGTGTAAGTGACAGGTGATTTTGCAACTTCGTTACGGTACTGTAAGGATAGATCATGTGCTCTCACATGATCTCTGGTCTAGCCCTACTTCCCAAATCGGGCTTAGTGCGATAATTCGGTAACCGATGGCGCACAAGATTTGACTTAGGTTGGTCTTCCTTCTCTCCATCCCTCCGTCGACAACCCATCGCGATCCTCGCCCATCGCCCATCATGTGTACGTGCCGACCCTCCCTTTCAATCTGAAAGCATGTTATGCTACAAATGCGACAACACCCAACAAACCAAGAGAAGGAAACAATGGCAGGAACGGTGGAACTCGAAATTGAATGTCGGCTAACATGGATCTTCGATAACAGCGCTCGTGTCCGGCGAGAAGACGAACTTCCAGTTCATCTTGCGTCTGCTCAACACCAATGTTGACGGCAAGCAGAAGATCATGTACGCGCTGACCCAGATCAAGGGTGTCGGTCGCCGTTACTCCAACCTGGTCTGCAAGAAGGCCGATGTCGACCTCAACAAGCGGTACGTTCGCCACAACCCTCAATGAGAATACAACCCGCCCCTGTGTATCGGAAGCAAGCGGAGAAGAATGAGAAGAGGAATATGGAATGGAATTCGACACGGACATAAGGGGCTGGGGGCAAATTCCTCGCACAACTTCAGAACAGCAAGGCTGACTAGATGTTTTCACAACAGTGCTGGTGAGCTCACCACCGAAGAGCTGGAGCGCATTGTCACCATCCTCCAGACTCCTACCCAGTACAAGATCCCCACCTGGTTCCTTAACCGACAGCGCGACATCACCGATGGCAAGGACACCCAGGTTGTTTCCAACAGCCTCGACTCCAAGCTCCGTGAGGACCTTGAGCGCTTGAAGAAGATCCGCTCCCACCGCGGTCTGCGTCACTACTGGGGCCTCCGTGTCCGTGGTCAACACACCAAGACCACTGGCCGCCGCGGTCGCACCGTCGGTGTCAGCAAGAAGAAGGGCTAAACTATTCTGTTCGTTTTTTTGCCGGGGGTTCTTGGAGGGATCCCGTTTATTCCGGTGTGTTTCTATGGGCATCCGTGGGACCTTTCCAAAAATTGAAAATGAATCATACCAATGAAATAAACGATCTCTTCGTTACCTTCTTTCCTGGCTAGACTGCTACTGTCTGGGATCTCTTCGATTCAGCGTGATTGTCATCGGTCTAGCCCTTGTAGTGTACATGTGCAAATGCACAGATTACCTGCAGAATGCAGATAAATCTTGCTTCGAGATGCGTTCTCCGTAGATCTTAAAGCTGTCCGAAGTACGGAGTAGCCCATAGTACAATCAATGTTCTATCTTTAGACGATTGTGGGGTTAGCCAGTCTCCCCAAATTCTTCTATGTAGCATTCAATCCGAGCTCCACGTCCTCGCCTTGTAACTAGTACTCCATACAGCGCACAAAGGCCCGTTCTACGCAGCCCTTGTTCACTCCTCTCAATCGCTACCGATATTTACCCTCGTGTATCTACTCGAATGATCTCGACGATCTACTTTGCATTGAAAATCGATTAATTGAGAGTTATAACGCATTGATAGGCAAAAAGCCAAATTGCCGAAATCAAATATCTAGACAGTATCGAGCAAGCGATGCTCTAGATATCAGCTGGGGTGTCAAAGTGTATGTAGACAGACATAGAACCAAGGGAACATAGTGTAACAATCAATACATCGACAGGCTGTATAAACCCCGTGGGTCAGTGGAGGGCTTAGTACCACTCGCCACCGATCCAGCGGTTGAAGAACTCGAGACCCGCCTCGGGCTGGTCCATGGGGACCATGTGGCCAGCACCATAGATTCGAGTGAAAGTGAAGTTTCCGTGAGACTTGATCTGACCGATTTCCTTGCCAACGTGCTCGTTGTTGACAATCTTAAGGGGCTCGAGCTTCTTGGAAGCGAACTCCTTCTGGCCAGGCCACTCAAGCGCGTTGGACCAGGCCTGGTTGCCGAGCCAGTTGCAGATGAAGTCGGCATCGCCGGCGTAGATCAGAACAGGGATCTGCTCAAGGATACCGGGGACAAGGCGGTGGTATGGCTTGAACCAGTCTCCGTTGAAGAGGAAGTTACGGTTGATGTCGAAGTTGCAAGAGTCGTAGCCATCGACCTCAGCACCGACGGCATTGCGCACACTCTCTTGACCAAGGTACTCGCTAACCCAGCCCATGCCCTTGTAGCACAGGTTGCTTGAATCCTCACACTTGCCGCGAACGTCGTAGACGTTCTGGCCGGTGCGCTGGTAGGGTCCGATCATTGCGTTGTTACAGTAGATAGAGGCGGGGACACAGACCCAGGGGCTCTCGCTGTTGTAGCAGGATTCAATCATGCTCTGGCAACGAGACAGGGAGTTGTCCATGGACCGGCAGGTGCCCTCGTCAACAACAGCAGGGTAGCCACCGTCGCCACAGGCCATAGGACGGTAGTACTCATACTGAGTGAGGCCATCAGTGAGACCGTTACCGATCAGAACGGACTTGAGGTTGATGTTGCGCTTCTTGTGAGACAGAATCTCCGAAGCCATGACGGGGATGTAGTGGCCAGCGTAAGACTCGCCAGAGATATGGAAGTCCTGCTTAGCATACTCGGGGAATTGCTTGAAGAATAGGGTGAGGAGAGCGTAAACGTCCTTGCCGGCGGCAACGGTGTCACTGACGGAGGACCCACTGTAGGAGTATCCGACATTGACAGGCTGGTCAAGGAAGATGACTGAAGCATTGTTGTTCCAAGAGTAATCATTGTAGATGGGCTTGATGTTCTCGCCAATGGAGCTAGGGCCAAGTTCCAGGAAGAGTCCGGTGAGGGAAGAGCAGCCGGGGCCGCCGTTGAGCCACAGAACAACAGGGTCGTTCTTCGGATCGTTACGAGACTCGAAGAACCCTTGCATAGAGTTAGCGCCTATTCCCGGTGATGAAGATAAGTAACTTACAGTAGAACAAGTGCTTGTCGTTCTCGTTGTCATCGAGGTAACCACTGTACTGCTTGACACCAGGGTCGATACCCAGAGCGCTAGGGTCAACCTTCTTAGCACGGAGGCTATAGGTGTCTAGCTTGCCATCAACCTCACGCTCCTTGGTGCCAGAGGCACCCTCAACCCAGACGCTTTGGACATCTGCGCCACTGACGTGGTAGTCCCAGTGGGAGTCAGGGCGGCGGGTGTGCTTCTTGGGCATGGAGAGCATGGGAGCACTCTCCATGGATTCGGGGAAGTAGTTGGATACTTCTTCCCAAAGCTGACGGGCTTCGCCCGAGAGGTGCTTGAACTGATCAGAGAGCTTGGAGAAAACATCCGCACCCTGCTGGGCGACATTCTCCACATACTCCTGGTGACCTCCAAGAACCTGCTGGAAGGGAGGGGCAGCCGCCGAAGCAGCTCCCGCCAAAAGGGTGGCAGAAAGAAGTCTCATTGCCACCTCTGTATCAAGATCACAGCAAGAGTGCTAGTAATGGGGGTGTGGATGGTAGCGGGTACCTTGGGGTCTGGGGTTGGGTAGCTCTTATCAGTGACTGTGGACGGGAATAGCTTTCTAAGAAAAAGCCGATGGTAGTATAGCTACTCACAACTCAAAGATACCACAAGATATTGATGGATTGATGTGGAATAGAGGTATGAATGTGCAAGAAGCCCTGCAGTTGGAGATGAGGAGATGAGGAGAAGCAGGCCCCGGGGAGCCGATGACGCCAAACTAGGGCGATAAGCGGCTGGGCCAATCAGTGGAGATCATCCTGAGTCACGGGGGCGTCACGGGGACTCACGGGATCGGAGAGGGGCATATGTGACTAAGCACTTGGATTTCTTGGCGAACTTTTGATATCATCGGCCTGAAAACTTGAAGTGATACTCATTCTCCTTGGAAAGCAGCTTTTACTGAGAGAGCATTTGCTTTGATCGCATACATTGGCGCCCTCTGTTTTTCTCAAGCGAAGCATCTGCCAGCAGCGGCTGAACCTCCGAAATGCCTATCAACCAACCCTCCAACCAAATCAAATTTACCAATGTGTCGGTGGTCCGATTAAAGAAAGGTACGTCATACATACATCGTTGATGCAGGAAATCTTGCTGATGAAATTCCTCGCTCAGGCAAGAAGCGCTTTGAGCTCGCCTGCTACAAGAACAAACTACTCGAGTACCGATCAGGCGCCGAAAAAGATCTCGACAATGTCCTTCAAGTCCCAACCGTCTTCCTCTCGGTCTCCAAAGCCCAGACTGCCCCATCAGCGGAGCTAGCGAAAGCATTTGGAACTGGTACACCACGGGAAGAAGTCCTGCAGGAGATTCTTCGCAAAGGCGAAGTGCAAGTTGGCGAGCGCGAGCGCAAAGATATCCTCGAGCGCGTGGAGAAAGAAGTTCTGGACATTGTTTCAGGAAGACTGGTGGATCCCTCAACCAAGCGCGTCTACACATCTGGCATGATCCACAAGGCTTTGGATCAACTGAGCTCTGCCAGTGGTCAGCAACAAACACAAGCGGGCGATAACGAGGACGAGGAGAAGTCCGCGCAACCAAAGAAGCCTCTTTGGACTGGCGTGTCGTCTAACCGTTCTGCAAAGAGTCAAGCGTTGGATGCTATGAAGGCTCTCATCGCGTGGCAGCCGATTCCGGTGATGCGGGCGCGCATGCGTCTTCGTGTGACATGCCCTGTGTCGCTGTTAAAACAGTCTGTCAAGGCTGCCCCTGGTGCTGCCGCCAACAAGGAAAAGGAGGCCCCTTCTGGCAAGAACAATAAGAAGGGTGGAAAGGGAAAGAAGGGCAAGCGGGATGATTCAGACGTTGAGGATGGTCCGTCTGACTTGGATGCCCCCAAGGCTCCGGGCACGGTCAAGGATAAGATCTTATCGTTGATTGAGTCCATCGAGTCGCAAGAGGTTGTTGGCGGAGATGAGTGGGAGGTTGTTGGGTTTGCTGAGCCTGGTGCATTTAAGGGATTGAATGATTTCGTTGGCAATGAAACCCGGGGAAGAGGTCGGGTCGAGGTCCTTGATATGTCGGTCACACATGAGGATTAAATGCCTTGCTTTACATTTTGTTACGGAACTTGCACATAACATGATTGATGACCAAAAGTTACAAAGAATTCATTTACATACCAATTGATCTGGCTTTGCTAGCGAGGATAGATCACTCCCTTCTGACTGTGTAGCTCATAGGCATTCCTTCAATGAGTGTCTTTCTTGCTTGCCTCTACAGGTGTGCTTCATCGATCAAATGGGGGCAATTCATACCTAGGTACAACCCATAGCTTACTGGCAAACTTCAGTCAACAACTCACGGACTCTTCGTAAGATATCCCGGGTGAATAGATCCTCATCGGGAACGTCCAAAATGCCCAGTTGCCAATTCAAGGTGATCACCATGTCGCCACCTTTCCGAGTCACAAGTTGGAAGTTCAAAGCACTCCCCGTGACATTCGCCGGTTGTGAAAACAACACTCTTTCAATGTTGCAGTCCTTTCGACCTGTATTGGAAAAGGTCGAGGGCTCTGACGACTGCGGGTCAAAAACCACAACGTTGCTGATCTCATAAGATGATTCTCGTTTCTTCCCTAGTTGATTTACAAACCAAGGACGAAACTGGCTCAAGTATCTCAGGAGCCCTATGGGCTGGTCAGCGAGGGTGCTTGCAGAACTGGCAAGTTGGATCGTTGTCCTCCGCGCCGTGTCCCACAATGCACTGTCGTGCTTCAAAGCTGTTGCGCCCTTGCTCGACATCGAGTGAGATCTAGGGGATGACACATAGAGTGCTGAAACACTATTTGCCATTTGATCTTCGGAATACGCAGCAGTCTGCCCTCTTAGATCAATGACTATCTGGCCGAGCAGATTTTCTGTGCCAACATCTCGTGGGAGAGCATCGTCAAGTATATGCGCGACGAGCTGATTGAAGAATCCTGTGAATTTCACATCATGCTCCCTGCAAACCCTTATCGCGGCATCGAGGAGAGACTTCTCGACCAGTAGAGCTTGCGAGCCGGTATGGAAATCTGAAGGTTCATGGCACATAGCTATCCCAGTCCAAGTGTTGCTGATTGCTGGCTGTGTGTGACCAAAATAATTGGCGGCAAAGCTTGGGATGAGAGGACCAAGGAGATTGAGAAGCAAGTAGGACCAACTAATTGTCAGGTCGCACGCTTCCTCCAGAGGCGGTGGAATGGGCGATGCAGAAGGCCGACAGATATAGTCTTGGTCGTACAAGTCACAGCCAGCTTGGAGGCCCTCTAGGAAGCTTCTATGAAAAGCCAGACCTGACTTTCCATCGCCATGGGAGTGAGAGTAAGCGAATATAACATACGCTCTTCGTGCTCCCTCGCTACCCAGCTCATCAGCAACAGGGACAATAAAAACCTTCCACGGAGGACGCTGATCCACCTGAAGAAAAAGCTGATCGTGTATCTTCTTGGTTACCTCTGTGATCATGCTCAGGTCGTCTTTGAGTAGGGATGCATGAAGGTGCAAATGGTGTCGAAGGTCCAGGTATGCAGGCCGGATAAAATTGGGGCTCTCGGTGGTGTGCCCTTGGATCGCAGCACTCAGGATGGGATGAGTGGCAATGCAATGTTTCAGAGCAGGGACAAAGTGGTCGAGGTTGGCTGGGTCAAATGCGTGGGCAGTGTCGTGAACTGAGTAAAGGCCAGTTATTGTCAATGCGCCGTAGAACCCAAGAGCATGACGCATGATGTGGCGCCTTTCATTTTTGCCTTTGCAGCATCAGCATTACAGTCAATGATTAGGGCTGGACATTCCTTACTTGCCGAGCGAATGATTTCAACATTGTCTTGGTGAGGCATAGTTTTCGATAGTAGAGCTCGAGTGCCCACGACTTTGGAATCATTCGGCTTTTTCTCAAATGATTTTTGGATTATGTCTTGTCTAGTTCTTGCTTGGAGCTTAAATAGACCAGTTAAGGGGGCGAAAGACAACAAACCAGCAGGCCGTGTAATCTGAAGCTCCGTTATATTCTCAAAAATGAACGAGACCTCGTTCAGCTCGGTCAATTGGGTCCAAATTTTTAAAAATAAACCAATCACAGTCGTAGTCATCTCCGCAATATCGTTCTATTTGCCAGGTTGTCTGCAAAACTGCGGGTCTTGACGAACCACTTAGCCTCTCGGCAGCTCTCGCTCCCTCGCTCCCTTCGCTCCCCCACACCACGCCAGGTTAATTGAATGTCCACAATGTCACAATCTGACAGAGCTACAACTCGTCGGAAGTGGCACAGTAAATCTCGAACGGGTTGTCAAATTTGCCGCTCTCGAAAAGTCAAGGTATTCACTCCACAATTCCCTGGTACCTAGACCTAACAATTCAAGTGCGATGAGCGACACCCATCATGTCTCAATTGTATCAAGAAAGGGTTGCACTGCGACTTCCTTGAGATCTTAGAAAGCCCGAGTACAACAATTCAACACCCAGAGACACTCAAGCTCGAGCTTCTCCATCACTTCATAATTTCCACCGCTGCCACACTATCCCCTGATCCCCAGGTGCGAGAGGTCTGGCGAATCGTGATTCCTCAAATGGGTTTCACCACAGATTACATCCTTGATGGGATTCTCGCTCTTGCAGCCTTGCATATCTCGCGATACAACAGCGGACGAAAACATGTTCTCCTTCCCTATGCTATAGAATGCCACTCGGCCTCTCTGTCCAAGGCCCTACCGCAGATCCCAGAAGTGACCGCCCAAACATGTACGCCACTATTCGTCTTCGGGGTATTAACGCTTCTTTTCAATCTGGCGCGACCTACCCAGGAGCTCCAAGGACAATCTTCCAGCAATGGCGTCCTTCCCGAATGGCTATACCTACTACGAGGTATCGATGCTGTCGTGATACCCGAGACTCCACTCTTTTCCTCGCCCGTATCCTTGATTTTTCGAAGTACTTGGGGAAGCTTGAATTACTGGCAAACGCACACACCCGATCTGCACCAGGCCCTAGCGGAATTGGGGGAGAAGATATCCGCAGAAACGGAAGATTCAGAGCGACAACTCACACTACGTGAAGCAGTCCTGACTTTGAATCGGAGCTTCTCGTTTATGTATGGCGGAAGATTCAAAGATCAGGATAAATTGCGTGGATTCTTTGAATGGCTCTTTGAGCTTGATGATGCGTATCTGGATCTTTTGAAATGTGGCGATAATGGAGCATTGTGTCTTCTTGCTTTCTATACGGTTTTGTTGAAGGATTTGGAAAAATACTGGTGGATGGAGGGATGGGCCATTCGTCTCATCAGGGGGATCTATATGCTTCTGGACGAGGAGCATCGGTTGTGGATTAGATGGGCTGTAGAAGAAATTGGATGGGTTCCTGGAACTGGGTGATGGGTTGAGCCCAGGTTATTGACGCTTTAGTTAGATTGATTCCAAGGTTTTTTGCTTGCCATCATCAAGCAGACTTTTACTCAATAACATACTAGGTATGTAATGATTCAAGGTCATCCGGCGTCCCCTGCCTGTTCGGGACTTTTACACCTACTAGGTAGCTCTACGGCTAACTATGGCTTCAGCTCCGCTCGTAATCGGACAAGGCCCATTTGACCATCCAGTCTGACATTAGCACGTCTTCAGCAGTTGGCCGCTCCTCCGGCCGGAATGAGAGCATCCGGCGCATCAAATCCAGAAACGCGGATTTCTCGCTTTCCTCAATCTCGCTTCCTACCTTCCGCCTCCATTTCTGCACACCGATCTCAAATGACTCCTCGAGCGGAGGCCATCTATTTTCGCTGTATGACTCGGTTGGATACCCATACTCGTCGAAATATCGGGCCCGTCCTTCCCAGCGCTGCCACCACTTCGAAGGCATAGATCCCAGTACATCGATATGCTGAGACACTATCTCATCCTCATGCACAAAATCGGTGCTGAAAATAGCCTTCATTCCCATGATCTCCCAGATTGCCGTAGCCAGGCTCCAGATATCCGAGGGATACGCGAGCGGAATCTGCGATTCGAATTTGGCTTCTGGGGCTCGAAACGCGGGTGGCGTATGGCAGTCTTTCCCAAGATGAGCTTCCAAAGCAGGGGAAAACGCTTCACCAAAATCACTTAGAAGCAGGTGCGCGTCGGATAGGGAAAAATTCTCCGCGTATTTTCCTAGGAACAGCGGCACAACAGCTTTGGCTGGGGCATTCGGGGGTAATGGTTCTCTATCACATCGTGTGATGGGAAGTGTCTCGGGTTCGCCGTATTTTTTATAAAATTGCTCGATAGAAAGCTCATCGAAGCTTAACGGAAGTTTGACCTAAATGTTGCTTAAATGGATATCTAGACCAACATGCGGAGTGTCAGCTTGCCAGTACCCGAAGTAGCTATCTTTATCTTCATGACAAACCTCCGTGAACATAGCCCTGTGAATGTGTATAAGCAACGGCCTGTGCGAGCTGATATGATAGTGCTCGAGCAACCTCGAGGGAGAAAAGACGGCTGAATGAGATCTCTCGAAGGTTGCATTGTGCAGGGGTTACGGTGTAGCATGTATGATTTCCATTAGGGCCTTGTATTTTGAATTCATCTTCGAGTACAGGTACTAAGCCACGCCCAGGATGTACGGGCAAAGACGTCGGGGGCAGGGCAGATAGAGCCTTGAGGACTTCCGTCTCGCGAGGATTCGAATCGGCTATGTTGACCTTGACAGCAACATATCGGTTCATATGAGTATCTCGGGCAAGCCAAACAGTCGAATAGCCCCCAAATCCAAGTTTGTCTACAACATGATAACGGTCATGCAGTACGTCACCAACCATAGTGGGATGGTAGCCCCCAGGCTGGTAATCTTCAAGTGTCTCCACACCCTTGATCCAGTTGTACTCGATGCGATGGTTCTCAGTCAGTGGTGCCCAGCCGGGTGATGGGACCCAAGTCGAGCTTTCGAGGACGGAAAGAGGATTGATAAACTGGAAGTGAGGAACGACATTTTAATATTGGAAAGTGAACCGGACTCGCAAATGGTTTCAAGCAGCGTGTCATGGTATGTTACCGTGATTGTTCGAAGAAATTACTAAGACGCGCTTTGAGAAGAGGCGTGAAGGCGGTGGTTCGAATCAATCACGTGGGCGGCTATGCATTTGCCCAGGTGCCCAGGTGAGTACCTGTGTAGGTATAGAACATGAATTTATTTGGCTGCAGGTTGATGGCTTGTCTAAAAGTGCTTAATTCTCAGCGCTGATAGTTGAAACGTGTGTAGTGGGTCTGCACTATAAGGCTGTGGTGGATCACTTGTGACGTTCGATGTTGTGAAGAGCTTTTCGGACAGAATCAATTAGCCTGCAATGTTGAAGTTCTGGCCAAGACCTAACCTCCAGGGCTTAGAAGCCAACGATGGATTATGTCGTGCGCCTCATCCCGTCAACTCTTATCTTCTTTCTTCTCCAATGGTCCCATATTGCAGGACTGCTCTCGACCAGAACGTCGCGGCCTGATGGTCAATCTTTTAGGAGAAAAAGCGGCTCTGCGATCGGTAGGCTGTGGTCAATATCGACGTATCAGGGCGGGAATTCTGCCAAAGCTAGAATTCTTAAGAGCAGCCCTGAGAGCGCTATGCTTGTTGACCCTGGGAGCGATCGTATCTCGCACAATAAGTCCAGGGATAAGAGCTAAGCTTTCGGTGATTTGCTTAACATCGTATATTATACATGTCTCCAGGGCTATGGTTTCTGCAGTATCCGACATGGCTGTGGTCTACCTAGGTATGTTCTAGCAAAGGTGCTGGGCCAGAGTAGTTGTGCTTTGTATTCATCTAAGAAGTACCTAGGTATTCGATATTCGGCTCATAATGTAACACAGGGTGCCCAGGACGAAAACTAAAAATACACACAAAGGTGTAAAAACAGAAAAGAATGAACTCAACGCCACAAACGCCCATAACGATAAGGGTATTCCCAACTCAAAAGCAAAGTCGATCCCGTCACAACTCGATGGCATCAAACATCGAGCCTACGCAAGGCAATATTATCACACCCCGTCACCATCAGAACCACATTTTTCCCAGGACCAAGCTCACTCGCAAGAGCAAGAGTTCTTGACACCGCGTGACATGAGTCCAAGCCCGAGAGGATGCCCTCGTGGCGCCGAAGAATTTCAAATCCATCCAGGGCCTCCGTGTCGGTAGCCGTGGAAATTTCGATACGGCCAGATTCCTTCCAATGAGCAATCTCAGGCCCCACCGTGGAAATATTCATATCTGGCGAAATGGAATGGGAGTCCAGGATCTGTCCCTCAGGGCTCTGAAGCAGGAGAGTGCGCGCGCCTTGAAGAACACCAAGCTCACCCTTACTCAAAGCAGCAGCCTGGTCTGCCTCGACACCGAGCAGACGGACAGACTCATCCTGAATAAAAGGTCTGAAAAGCCCGACTGCGCCACTCCCACTCCCAACAGCGGTGACAAGGGCATCAGGCCGGCAACCTGCATCCTGCATCTGGGCTGCAACCTCCTCGCCTAGGAGGGCTTGGAACGTGCGGTTCAGGGTAGGGAGAGGACTGGGCCCCACCGGGCTACCCATGAGGTAGTATGCAGACTCGTGGTTGCAAACAGAATAGCGCAGGGCCTCAGTGATGGCCGCGCGTAGGCTACCCATGCCAGAAGGGGTGCGAGTAGTCAAGACCTTTGCGCCTAGCATTTTCATCTCAAGGACATCTTCCTCTTGGGAATTAGCGTCATCTGCACCCATGACGACTACACAGCGCAGTCCCAGACGTGCGCACATTGCAGATGTAAAGGTACCGTGTTTGGCAGAGGCGCATTCGGTGACGATCTCTGAGCGGCCCATGCGTCTTGCTAGGAGGAGTTGGCCGACGATGTTACGGGACTTGTGAGTCCCGTATTCGTTTTGGTCTTCGCGCTTTAGCCAGATTGTGGCGCCTCCGGCTAGGGAGGTCAGTTTGGAAGCTGGGTGTAGTGGGGTTGGGGCACGCTGGAAGGTGGCATATTCTTCCCAGAAGGAGGGGTCGGAGACGGTGGCTTCGAAGAATGATGTCAGCTCGTAGAGGAATCCCATTATAGATTCCGGTGCGAACCGGCCCCCGAAGGAGCCATAGCCGTCGAAGGTCAGCTGTGGAGCCCGCAGGGTGCCATCTGCTTGCAGGATGGAGATATACGGTGTGATAGTGTCCAATCTTGTGACGGACTTGGCAGGCGTTTTGGGTTGAGAGGGGGAGGAGGGAGCCGTAACGAGTGAGACTGTTGTTGCTCTGGTTTCGTCATCTGATAGCGTTGTCTCGGTGTTTGTGCTGGATGTGCAGCTTGGAGTATCGGAGACCTTGGACTGCACGCTATGTTGTCTTTGTATAGGGAGGCTTGCTCTCGGAAGAGTATCCGGTAGAATGGATGATATCCTGGGTCTCAGTCGAGGAGCTTCTGTGTTCGTGGGAGCATCTTCCGGTCGTTGAGCCGAGAAGCAAAGGAAGTGACGCAAAGAGCGAAGTACGACTAGCTTCATGATGATATAAAGAGAATGGCAAGACTTCCAATGAATTGGTCTCTGAGGATGTCAAGGTCAAGCCCTGAGAGACGGGGCAGACGATGGATTAAATACAAGTCGTTCCTTCTCTTGCTGTGCCTGCCCAATCCAGGCCAGTGATATGACAGGCCATTGAACCTGAGCTCGCGCATTATGGATCCCAGCTCCATAGCTCTTAGCCTCACTCTCATGCTCTTCGTGATTCGTTCCAGTCCCAGTATAGACTGAGACAGCTTCGCCATTCCCATCGGGATTCTTCGAGATGCAGTGATCCGCACTAACATGCTAGCGTCAGATGGAACTGGATCTAGCATCAGTCCTATTGTTGGATCGCGATCGAGGCTTCCAGCGGAGATCAATCCCTTTTGGGCTCCAATGCCCGGGACGAATTGAGACAGGCGGAATTCGATATATGTTTAGGATGTGTGTGACCACTGCGCCCCGACATCATCTCCTAGTCTCACACACTCAGCCCGAGTTTCAATCAGTGATCAATCACTTCCACGTGTGTGTATGTGTAACCTGTTCAAGACCGCAATAGCCCGCGACGTAATGTATACACTTTATCTGAGAAGAGAAGGTAGGTATTTTTTGGTCGATCTGACCTATCAACTTCATATGGTCAAACCACGCTATTGGTCTGTGGAGCTCTGCAAAAGCCGCTTGACGCCACGGTTCCTCTCTTGTCGGGACTTTTATCCCAGCTCCGATTCGATGGTACGTTTTCAGCTGCACGATGATCAGGTCTTGGGAGAGCTAACTCCGGCTGCTGGGTCGACTATTGGCGGTCTGGTAGGGACGATCTACACGGAGTACTTCCTATGCTTCCGCGTCGTATTCGCCAAGATCGTGGCAAGGATTGAAGGATTGCATATTCACGCTAGCAGCGAGCATGAACAGGCGGTAAGGAAGCTGTGATCAAATTGGACGTAACGAGCTTATGCTGAATCCTGATTGCTTCAATGTTCCAGCTAGCCTGAAGGGGCGTGGATGAGTATACTAGGTACTCAAACATTCATCCCGCTATTTGCTACCAGCCTTGGTATTTAGCATCTCCGTCTACGAACTATATCTGTCAACTTCCAAGGTTCGCATCCGTACTCCGTACTTTCTACTTCGTACTTTCTACTTCGTACTTTCTACTGCGCAAACCGCAAGTCATGTGATGCCCAATGTTGCAGCCTTAGACTAGTGAAGATCGCCATGTCAGAAATGTGATACCCTCGATTTGCGGGATCTCCACGAGGCCAGGTTGGGCCTTAATTTGCCGTTCCAGAAAATTCGTGGCCGGGGTTTGAAACGCCGGTGATGTATATATGAAGCCTGCCTACCTGAGACAATACCTGTAGTCTTCAAATCTACTATGTACTACTATACGTAGGTACGTAGTAGTGTTTATCTGTATCCTACTCTCGAGGTCCGCATGTCCGAGGTCTGTCTAGACTGACCCTGGAACCTGGAATGAGATGATGTATTCGCATCTATTCGGCCCCGGGGTACGTACGGAATATATGAGCGCCCATTCAAGGTCTTTGGAAATATCTATATCCCGTCTCTCTTTACATGCGATCTTTAGTCTAAGACTGGCCATTCAATCCTGGAAACTGCAGGCAATTCCAGGAAAACTTGAAAGTAGTGCCATTAGAATCCAGTAGAGATACGTGGCCGAGAATTGAGCATCAAATTCACACATATCATATACTCAAGTCAAATACGACGTAAAGGAATCAGTCACGTACATTGTTCGGTGGCAAAGTTGAATGGATAAAGTTTCGCGCGAACCCAATAGACCATGTCAAACCTTGCTCAGGGCAAAGATCCTTACTGATCTTGGATGTGCACAGTTAGCGCGGGGAGAAAGCTTGGCTGGGCGGGGTTGCTTCTCGAACAGCCATCGACTAGTAGATCTGGAGGCATCTGAATCTAGAGGAATCTAGAGGAATCTAGACCGAAGTTACAGTCCCTGGATTTAGCCGGAAGTCTGGAGTACAGAGTAGTACAGAACATAAACTAGCAACATCGTTTTCTCTAGTTCTAATAGTCTAGTGTATTGCGAAGCTCAAGCCGACCGTGAAAACAGAAAAATCCTTAACGGGTATACGCTCATATGCAAATGCGTGACAGATAGGAAAGACGTGGACACCGAGCGACCGCGAGAATATCGCCTTCGTGGACGTCAGTCGAAGGTCCGGGGCCTTGAACCCAGGGCCCAAGGTGGAAAGTGGAAATAAGGGACATCAAGTCCGGATAAAAGGATCTCCAGGATGGGAAGAAAGGTAAGGGATGAAGGAGAAGGAGAAGATCAGGCGCAGACCTGGACGGCAATCAAGGCGCGAGTGAGATCCTCGGGGTTGAAAGGGACTTGTTTCCGGGCGGAGAGGATACACGGGGAGGTGTAGCGCACAGACTCTTTCAGGTAGAATTTGGGGTCTTTGATATCCTCTGGGATCTCGTAGATGGAGGTCTCGTTGAGGAGGGTTCTCATCGAGCCGCTGTAGCTGGAGGGGTTGAGGATAGTGGAAGACTGGGAGCCGGAGTCGTCGGCACGAGGGGAAGATTCGGGTTCGGATTCCTCGACTGTGGAAGATTAGCGGTGCACGCAGGGAGATTGGGTTGGAATGCGTACCTGGATCGACTCTTTCGACGGGCTCTGGGGCTGGATCGGCTGGATCGACAGCGTCGGGGGCCACCGAATCAGAAGGGAGGTCGTACGTGGCGCATGGCGACAGGGATAATTCACAGGCCCGATCCTTCTCCACGGTAGCCCCGGCAAAGGACCAGGCTGCCAGACGCTTCTGGTGATCCCGATCGAAGGGGCCCTTGAATTTGGAGGGCGGACACTCGTGGCGGCGGTAGTACTCAATTTTGGGCTTGCCGGCAGACTTGTCAGACTTGGAGCGGAACACCCGCTTGACCTTCTCGCGGAACGTCATATCGGAACGTGAGAGATAAAATTCAGATTCAGATGTGAGGATAGTTCACAGATCAATGCGGGCTTCCTGAGAGGATTCAGATGTGCATACCACTCCCGGAGGAACGGACGCGAGTGTGCAAGCACGAAGAGCGGAGATTGGGAGTGCAGAACCGTGTGGGCATTCTACAGTCGAAGAGACAGAGACATGAACCAAAGAGAGGGGAAACAGGTATATTATTATATTATGTAGGTGGATGCAACGGCACAGATAAGACCCCAGAGCGTCTCCGGACCTATTCCGGTGAAGCATTGGGGCGAATACTACATCCACTGTCTGTGCATTTGCATACTACCAGTAGTATTCTTTACTTGTAATACTACTGACAGTGCTATAAAATAGATACACAGATGCTAACTATACAGAATAGAATATCCAATATACTTAGTAGTATAGTAAATGGGCAGCAAAAAAAAGAGAACCCCCACGCGAGGCAAGTCTTTTCCGGGATCCAGAGGATGACAGTCTCTGGTACAAGGAACCGGGTTTCATGCATTAGTACATAACTCATACTCCATACTCCAGTATACACTCTACACTCTACACTCTACTATAATATTTTCTGTAGTAAAACCTTGGAAGTTATCCATATGAGCACTGTAGTGGCGCACTGCAGCGAAGAATTCCAGAAGATCGGGCACGCCGAGCCTCAGTGTTACATCACGGTGGTACCTAAGAGAATGTGTCATGAGAAGACTGACTCGGCGAGTGAGCCAGTCATGTCCGACTGCACCGGAGGTAAGCGGGAAGAAACCGGAAACAGGACTCGCCAATCCCGTTTTGCCACTCGGCACAAACGTGCCGGTCAACGCATAATTCCATAATTCTGGTTTGTAATGCACTTTTTTAGCTGCCTTTCCATCAAGTAGGCCGGCTGGCCCAATGGCAAGGCGCTTGACTACGAATCAAGAGATTGCAGGTTCGATCCCTGCGTCGGTCACTTCTTTTTTTCTCTTTTTCTTTTTTGGTTATTCCTGCCTGTGTTATAGACCATGAAGCGACTTTTTTGCCTTCCAAGGCTGTCATTGGCTTGCACAAACCCAACATCCTGGGTCATATCTCCGAGACCAATCCTGATCATAGTGATCCTACAGACCCAGGTGTCAAATTGGGCCGGGATCTAAAACAAGTCTGCGACAAATTTCCCCACACGCCAATTACGGTCTTGGTGGTCGCGGTGTTGGCAGCTTCCCACAGTCGTATAGATCAAACCCTCCAAGGTTGGGATGGATCTATCGGTTTAGAATCTATCGTTTGAAGTTTCCCTTGCGATGAGTCGCAGCCTAGAGCGACCTTAGAGTAGTACATACTGGGTACCTAGGAGATTGCACTTTCTGGGTCGTTTCGAGATGATTCTTTGATTCTTTGATTCTTTGATTGCGAGTTGATACCTATGTACACCAACTAGAGCGCTGGAGAGTCCAGGTATCTACCTAGGTACCTATAGATGTGTTCCGGCGCTGGAATGCTCATCCTTGGTCGTGGCTTTACTTTGGTGCCGATATATATCACGAGCATCTACTTAGTACCCCACACAATCGGATATTAGGACTTTCAGGGCCAATTTTAACAAAGTGGCAACATGGGAAATATATAAAATGGCGTGGACTTCTCTCGAGGTTATGTCCAAGGCACGTTTTCAAATGTTGTATTGTTTAGTATACGGATTCAACCTTGGAAGGTATTGTATTCTTAGGAGGGCAAGTCTTATCGGAAAGCCTCATCCATGGACACAAGCCCGTCGCCCAAAAGGCCTCGGTGACTGAAAAATGACGATTTGACTGCGAACAAAATGAGAACGTAGATAGTGTTCTCTTCATTCTCGAACCATTATCCACCGCACATATCAAAAACGATGGCCAAACAAAACATTCAATCTCGCCGCAAGAAGGCAAACACTAAGCTCAAACTGCCGACTCCATATTTACGAAGTTGGCATGCGAGACTTGTCAAAATGGCCAACAGACTTCATGACCCGGAGCTGCTTGAGCACCTGAACAAGGTGTCAACGGAATTACCCTATGTTAATCCATCGGCTATGACTACCGCCGATGCGATGAAAGCATTCGATCTGGAATATTTCGAAGGCCCCGAGCTATGGGAGCCAGTGAAGGTAGACATCAAGCTACCTCAAAACTTCTGTGAGTGACTTTATCCTTTAATAATAGTCCGTAGCTAATGATATATGATAAGTGAGCACACTAAAGGCATGGGAAGTCCTTACCAAACATGCGAAAAGCAGAGAGAGTCAAGTCCGATATAAGTTGGACGTATTGATCAATTTCGTCTACCAACAACTTAACATGAACAATTTGTTGGAAGACGGGCCACCTACAACATTAGCTCACGAAACATCTCTGAGCTGGGGCCCTATCATGTACAACAACGAACCACATATATGTGTGGGAAGAGCAGACTGCGGTCTTTTTTTCGGAGAGAAAGACCATATGTCCTGCTATGTGGTCATGATTGAAGTTAAACAAAACGGCTCAGATAGTCTGGGTCAGCTTCTGACCTATATGGCCATGGTTCAGGCTGACCGGAAAAAACGCGGTCAAACAGACTGGACTGTCTATGGCCTTGTCAGCGATGGACACATATTCGCCTTTTACCGGCTTGATATGGAGAAGAGGTTTACATGTACCTTCCTCCAAGCATCGAGAGAGGGCTGGGATGAAATTGCCAGTATGCTGGCCTCGTTTATCATCGAAGCGAGGCGAGGTTGTTCCTCCCCCGTTCGTTCAAGCCTTGCAAGTAAGGCGTCCGTTCGCAGCGCTGGCAGCGCGGGCCAAGGCCCATCACCATCACCCCAAATTCCGCCATTGGCACCGTTGCCATCTATCGAAAGCATGATGGAGGATGCTTAAGTTCTTTTGGAGTGAGAACTGCAGGGGACAAAGTTTCCTGTATTTTTAGGCGCTGATATATTTTTAACTGGAATAGCTGGGGTTATTCCCAGCCTTGAAACCAAAGTTCCTGTACTCCATAATGGTTCAGAATGCTTCGAACTTCATGTTTAGTCGGTAGACTCTGTTGCTCGTTGGGGCTGTGGTATGTGTCCTTGAGTTGCGATTGCAAATTGTGGATTGCTTTCAAAATTAATCGAAGAGTGTAGGTGACACCAGTTTCAAGACGTACTGTACGAATTGAAGAAATTCGCCTTCCACCCCCGGCTTTAGGCTTTAAGGTTGCTTCCAGGTTGCCCGAGTGTCAACCTCAAGCATGGCACACATGGCCTCATTGTTCACCGACATGGATCCACTGAGGAATGGAATGGGCCCTGACCAGGCTTCAATACTATCATGGCCCAGACCTTTCTACTGACGCAACCTATCAAAGTGGCTTGGTCTACACCAATGAGGCTGAAAGCCCGGTACGACGCAACCCGCATTGGGACAGGTATTCCCGACAAGGACAACGATCCCAATTGCGCCCGAATGTGATGGAATTAGTGGAGACCCAACACATCCATTACAGTCTGACGGTCAATATTGACCTCTCCACAGAAAACGCCTATGATCTCATCCTGTTTCCACCTATTTCCGTTCAATTATGATCGTCTCAGATGATGTAATCGGCTGTTTACAGCCCAGGAATGCCAGGCCAATTCTAGGGGCCATAACCCTACTAGGACAGAGTACAATAGGCGCGTGCCCGCCGTCCTGTACATAAGAGACATTTGAAGGACGCAGTACAGTAGGCATGCAGGAGCCACTATGGTCGGATCCCTTAACGGCCCCTAGTGCAGGCACACAACCCTATTTACCCGATGCAGGTGTTAGGGCTGGCCAATGCTCTAAGAGCCGCGACACAAAGAGGCTCAGTTTGGCAACATTGGAATAAAGAGAGAAAGAGGAAGATATAATTAGGAAAGCGCAAAGAAGATCTGAATTTAGAAAAGACGAAACAGCGAACAGCGAACAGTGAAAAAAGGAAATTAGTCAGATACTTAGTGTCCCAAAGTTTCGCCCCGGGAGAACTCAGTCGCATACCCATCCCTTGTTTCTCTACCATATTACAGTAAGCGCATGCCTCACCAATTCTCTTCTCGCATCTAATCATCTGGAAGTCATCATGCCTAAGAAGGGAGGAAAGAAGAACAACAAGAAGGGCAGTAAGCCCGCCGCCGTCGCCGCCGCCGCTGTCGACAAGGTCAAGGACGTTGTGTAAGTTCAATGGGATCTGGCGCGGTGGTCGCGTGCCACGTTAGCCATATACTAACCTGCGCCGCAGCACCCCCGATCACGATGTCGAGGACCAGACCAAGACCGAACAGCCTGCCGTGGAAAAGACAGAGCCCGAGGCTGCTCCTGAGACTACCCCCGCGGCTGCCACCGAGACTGCCACCGAGACTCCAGCCACGACTGAGAGCGCCGAGCCAGTCAAGGCCGAGACCAAGCCTGAGGCCAAGACTGAGACCCCGGCGCCTGTCGCGACCGAGAGCAAGGCGGTGTCCGAGCTCAAGGAGTCCGTGAAGGACGAGCCGACCCCTGCGATTGAGAAGAAGGAGTCAGTGGACGAGACCGTCGAGAAGGCGCAAGCCTCCAAGGCCGGCCAGCTTGGCGAATTGGAAGGTGGCGACGCCGCCGGAACTAGTAGGACACGTGTCAGCCCCTTGGGCGATCAGAGCTAACCTCAGCAGCCGTCATCCCCGAGAAGACCACCAAGGAGCCCGCGACCGGTACTTCCCTGCCCGAGCGCCCCAAGACCTCTGAATCCGCCGCGCCTGTCGCGCCTGTCGTTGCGCCTGTCGCCGCGCCCGAGCCTATCCCCGCCCCGATCGCCGAGACTGATGCCGCGCACACCAAGCGCCCGTACGAGAAGCCCATCTTCAACAATGAGGAGAACTTGAAGCCCACCAAGATGCCCAAGACCGAGGCGGAGAAGCTTGTGGCCAGCGCTGCAGAGGACAAGAAGACCATTGAGAACTTGGCTGGTGCTGGCCCTGCCTCGACTGCTGCGTTCTCCGCCCCTGAGCCCGTGCCCGTTGCCACCGAAGCCGAGAAGGTCGTCGAAGCCCCCAAGGCTGAAGCTCCCAAGGTGGAGAAGGCCGAGGCCCCTAAGGTCGTGGCTCCTGAGGTCGCAGAGAAGGTCGAAGCTCCCAAGGCTGAGGCTCCCAAGGCTGCTGAGAAGAAGCCCGAGGAGAAGATCCCCGTTGAGACCAAGAACACCGCTCAGCCCGACAAGGCCCAAACTGCCAACCCCGACGCGGTCGCTGCCGCCAACGCCGCCATCACTTCCTCCAAGACCGACAAGGCCCCAGTCGCTGCTGAAGAGCCCAAGAAGCCCGAGGCTGCGCTGAAGCGTGGCGAGGAGCCCCTTCCCAAGACCGATGCTCCCAAGGAGACCGAGCCTGCGACCAAGACCGAGGACAAGGCTCAGACCTCTGAGGGGACCGAAGAGAAGGAAAAGAAGAAGAAGGAGAAGGGTGGTTTCCTCTCTTGGTTGAAGCGCAAGTTCAAATAAATGAAGTAATAGGCTGCACGTTGTATGATACGTACGCTGGGGGTTTTTGTTTTTTTTTTTGTTTCCAAGTCGATGATACACCAGTTAAAATTATATATCAGAAGGAATCGGACAGTTTCTTGTTTTTCGAGTGTTCACCGCTACTCACCTTCTCTTGGGCTAGCTTGGCTCTAGTTCATGCAATATATGGAGATCGGTGGAGTTCGACGTGGCAATGTTCGTGCTCCACTACAGTACTTTGTGAGAGCTGTTCGCCGACTGATGGCGAGTGCAGTAAACAGTTGTCTTGAAATGATTCGGAGAAATGGATTTGCCCAGATGGCGACCTGACTTGGAAGTGCCCGATGTCAGTACTTCGTGAGACACAGGACCGACAATGTTCCAATCTGATATAGGCAAATACAACCTTAGAACATTTGAAACATGATGTGAGTTCGTACCTAGGTAACGTGGGTCAACATCCATCCCGAAATCACTAGATCTACTCCGGAGTACGGAGTACTATAGTCGTAAGATCAAAGATACTCCCGTGTCTCAATAATCCCCAGCAAAGTCGCACCCAAGCCCTGTGAGATCTTCCAATGCCCAATTCGGTGCAACAAATCAACAACACGAAACACACATCCCAAGGCCAAACGATTAAGCACAAGGAGACCAAGATCCAATAGATCCTGAGCACCACTGAGCTGGAGTTCCTCAAACAGTCCACTATCTGCACTGATTGTAATGGCATCGCCGCTTTGCCCAGCAAAACACATAAAAGCCGCCCAGATGATACCGCAATGATACAAGCAAAGAGGGACGTAGATTGCCGACTCAGAACCAACAGGAAGTAATTCAAAGTGTTTCTGCACGAGCATGGCGTGTAAAAGACATCGTTTCGCATCTGCAGAATGCACCCATTCAAGCACATAGGGGAAAGCACTTCGTGATGCTTCATCGCCATCACGTCCAAGGGCTAGCTCGAGACGGTCGAAGTCGACATGTAGAGATATGAATATTGAATGCCATAGTATAAGCAGACTGGACCAGGACGTGGGCTTGAAAGATGTCGCGTGTTGCGTGTACCAAGTTGTCAGGAGGGCGTGGCAATTGAGTATGTCTGGGAATTCTTCGCTGGCGAGAGCGCTGATCGATTCTAACATGCCTGTTGTGGCAAATTCGGGAGGGACAGTATTGAGATTATGAGCTGGAGAGGGTGGTTGATACTGGGATCTCATCATTAGAATCTTCCAGCTGCTTGCGGTGGATGCGGCGAAGAGCTCGTTAGAGCAGATCTGAGGAAGGCGATCGATGGAGTGGCGGAGTAGAGGCTCGTGATGATGGAGCTTTGCTAGTTCGGCGTCATGGATGTATAGACCGAGAACGATTCTGGGGATGTTAGGTGGTTTGGAATGAGGGAATCGGGTGTGTGTACCGCATGTTGACCTCGTCTTGTATCCATGCCATCCAGGCCTCATTCAGAGAATCTCCTTCTAGATGTACGATATTGCGGTCCGAGTGCTTCAAAAGAAATAGCTTTGATTTGCGTGCCCACTAAGTAAGGTTGTTAGTGAATACCAGCGTAATATAGTGTCAATATTCCAAGGTTGGAATGCTCACTGAGATGATACTTCCATGAAAGACATCAATCCCAAATAGGTCTTTTGGCCTCTGGATGAGATGAGGATTAGCTTTGTAGGGCTTCACATAAAAGCAAATAGTATCGAGTTGAGTGAAGACATACTCCCATCAATAGACCAAATGTCTGACCTATGAGTGACGCCTGTAGAGCTATCGTACAAGTGCTGCCCGGCTTTGACAAGTAGCTCTCCCACTGCAAGTGTTAGCATTTGACAGACAATTCTGAGGCGGGAAAAGTACAGATGCAAGAATGGCTTTATTAAGGCGCTCGAACATGCTTATTCCATGAGACAATGCACGAGAAGATCCAATGATGAGACTGCCCACCGAGCAGATTGAAAGCAAAAGGATTGAGTTTTGTGTCCCTGGTCGAAATGTAGGTACGTGAACAACTGGGAAAAGCGGATGAAACTTCGAAAAATAGAACTGGAGACAAAGATTCTGAATGCAGATTAGCGAGTCACTTGGTAGCAATGAAGGTGTCGGACTTACAAGGAATCGAGTAGATGGTAGGATTCCATGCTGCACCCGGGGTTGAAGTCGTTCATGAAGACTGTGGCGATATGAATCGTCGATATGACCACCAAATTGGGAGATTTCAGGAGTTGTATGACCAGAGATAGCAGCCACCTCGAAGAAAGTATGCCACTTCCGTTGAAGTAAGCTAGCCTGTTCCTTAGCATGTTCGTCGACACTGGAATCAGGGTTTCCTAGCTCGGGAATACTCGGTATATCAAGAGCGGAAAGAGCTTCTGATGTTGCATGGAGCAATGAAGTATTCACAGCATCCAGGTCAAAGTTGTCTCCCGTCAGAATAGTTTCCCAATCACCGTCAAGTCGATAGTCCCACGGTGGTTGTGAGCTGCCGCACTGGTCATCCACGTTTAAGAAAAGTGATTCCTGTGGCATTGCCTGATTTTGATGCGTAGCGGGCTCTGGAATGGGAAATATTGGGGTGGGATTGTCAATTGTTGTGCTAGTAGGTGGCGAGACAGGGGCCATCATGCTTCGAGCGGTTGACTTTGACAAGTCCAGAGGCTCCTGTGCCACCTCGCAATAGCCATGGAATGAGCCGCAACTTAATTGTGATTCATCATAGTTTGAATCATCTGAATGAGATCTTGAATGCCGCAACAAAGTATCCCTTCCAAGGTTGAGTGGGTTAGTGTTCGCATCGACAAACCCCGTACATACGCAGAGACTTACTGTCGCGCAAATGCCTTGTGACAAACAAGGCAGTTGAATGGTTTCTCCTTTGTATGGGACCGTACATGACGGGCCAGGTGCTCAGCCTTCTTGAATGTTTGAGCACATTCTGGACAGACCCGTTCTTCCTTGGAGGTCTTCCGCCGCCGAGCCCTGATGCCCACGTACGGTGATCTTGACCCGCTTCTTGCAATCGTTGGCAGCATTGGGAGAGCAAGACATATCTTTGATGCAATGCAGGTACAGAGAGAGGGTCAAGCACAATAAACAAGCTACAACTTCCCCGCTTCAACGGGTGTATGCGTATATCCGTGAAGAGCCGAGGGGGTAAAATGAAACATTTGAACCTAATATGCAAGTATTTTGTGAAGTACTAAGCATTTCCAGCATCAATTACGAATGGAGCTGCCCAGGTGGAAATGCAAGAGAGCAGTGAAGTCCAGGTGAATGTCCAGTCTTAACTCCGGATCTCCGGATGTGGGATCTATCGGCGGGGCCTACAGGGGACAGAGCTCAATGGTTCACCACGCTGATCCTGGAACTTGACTCTCCAACAATCCGAAAGGAGATACTCGTGGAAGATCAGCTCGTCTCATAAAGAAACAAGACCGAAACGATGGGACTCTCACGGGAGACCGTCCTGATGTTCCCCGTCCACCATCGTTGGGTATATCCTCACCAAACATTGGAGATCTGAAGCGGGGGAAACGGAATCCCCTCCCGAAGTCTTATTATCGGGACGACCAACCGACCTTCCTGTATCTTGGTCACTACTGTTTCCAGATGGAGCCTTCAAGGACCTGCCGTTTTACTCCAGTGTGGTCTGAGTCCTGAATACCCCGGGGCCCTGAGATCAGCTTTACTATCTGTTCAATCTCCTCTCCCATCACTTTGGTGAACGGACGAGCCAATCTAAGCGACATCCACACGGTTGCTCGGAGTCTGAAGCTCAATTCAATCCCCACCATTCACTCCTCAGAATCCCTCGAAAGCCCAAAATGCAGGGGCAACGAAAGGAGTTTTCAGGGCGCAGCCTCTCCTCACCTGGCTTCGCTGAAGGGGAGATACTAGCGAGCGAAATCGCGCTCAGCTTCTGGGGAGGCGTGAGCCCTCCGACTGGCATTGTGATTGATAGCCACCACCCTCTAGCAGGGAAATCGATAAAAGGAAAAGTGCTCGCAATACCAGGTGGCCGTGGATCATGCACTGGAAGCGCGGTCATCCTCGAGCTGTTCCTGAGTGGAAGCAACCCCCACGCACTCATATTCAAACGCGAGGAAATGATATTGACGCTGGGTGTCATCATTGCACAGGAAATGTTTCAAAAAACCATCCCTGTACTTCAAGTTTGCGAAGCAACATTTGACACGATCATGCACCTCAAAAGAGTGCAGATCGTGGGAGATCACATTAAAGCAATTGATGAGCCATGCCTACAGCCTGAAATACCGTCTAGTCCATCAAGTCTTGAGCCAGACTTTTCCTCAATCACACTGACCAAGCTTGATCGCGAGATGTTGAACGGGGTACATGGAAGAGCGCCTCAATTCGCGATGAGAGTGATTCTTCGCACAGCCTTGATCCAAGGCGTCACTGAATTAATCGATATCAAACAAGCGCATATTGACTGCTGCATCTACACCGGCCCAGCAGTATTGAAGTTTGCCCAAACCCTATGCGAATGGGGCGCGAAGGTTCGCGTGCCCACTACGTTGAACTCGATTTCAATCGACAGGCGACTATGGCGAGTACAAGGCGTTGACCCCAAAATCGCCGAGCCGTCCGAGCTATTAGCACAGACATATCTGGACATCGGAGCGAAAGCAAGCTTCACCTGTGCACCCTATCAACTGGAAAGCGCACCAAGCTTTGGCGATAACATCATGTGGGCCGAGTCGAATGCTGTAGTCTATGCCAACAGCGTTCTCGGTGCCCGTACGATCAAATGTCCCGATTTCCTCGACGTTTGCGTTGCGCTAACTGGCCGATCTCTCAATACCGGGTGTCATCTCACACAGCACCGAAAAGCTGGCATCGAAATTCACTGCAATGCGATCGAGGGGTCTGATGATGCGTTCTTCCCGCTTCTGGGCTACCGTGTTGGTGACATTGCTGCGGATAGAATCGCGATTGTGACGGGTCTCGAGGAGACCGTGATCACGACTTCGGATCTCAAAGCTTTCGGAGCGGCGTTTGCTACTACCTCTAGTGCGCCGATGTTTCATATCGCAGGTATCACCATTGAAGCTCGAAGTGCTGAGAGTGTAGATGCACATCTTCAAGGAATTCCAGAGGTCGAAGTGACACGCTCAGACTTGGCCAGACAATGGCAGCTGTTCAATGCTAGTGGAGTGGAGCATGATACGCAAATCGACCTGATCTCACTTGGAAATCCTCACTTCTCATATGAGGAAATGAGAACCCTTGCAGATCTTGTTAGGGACCGCACCAAGGACCCTTCTACTGTCTTGGTGGTGGCATGCAATCGCGAGATCTATTCCCAAGCCTACAAAGATGGATTCATCTCAGCTGTGGAAGAGTTTGGAGGAACGATAATTACCGATAGTTGTTGGTGCATGATCCAAGAGCCTATTATCCCTAGAGACTCTCGGACAATCATGACCAACTCAGCCAAGTATGCTCATTATGGCGCAGGACTGACTGGCCGACGGATGCGTTTCGGGGGATTAGTTGAATGTGTTGAGGCTGCTCGTACGGGACGAGTCAGGAATTGTCTCCCCGCGTGGCTGGACGAAACAGCATAGGGCGATGATCGGTATGAGATGCGGAATATAAGCATACTGGGCATGAATCTTCCCAACTTTGCATTTTTGGTTGGACAAGTAAATCAGAATTGTCCTTCTCAACCTTGTTAGTGGCTACTGGGCATATATTGCTGCAAGCTTCAAGGGCAACAGTCCCTAGAATACTTGATCTACAATCCCAACATCCTGCGTAGTCCCCGCATGACTCTTGCGGGGTTCGACGGGGTTCCATGCTTGGCAGGCATTGAATGTCCTTTCGGCCCGGGGTAAGGAGGATGCCTCGGCTGAACATATTGTAATAAGAAGTCTTTCCCAGCTTCCAACCTGAAACACCAAAGCTACCAAAATCCATGATGACATCCATCCCCCGAAAGCTATGGGAGCACCCAGACCCGCAGTCGACCAGAATGGCCGACTTCCAACGACAGTTGGAGAAAGCGACCAGCCAGAAGTTTAGTGTGAGTGACCAAATGAATTCTATACACCCGGAGCCATGACTCACAGATATGAAGACATTTCACGATATGCACGAGTATTCAATCCAAAACCGGTCGACTTTCTGGGAATTCTGCTGGAACTACTTCCAATTGATCCACGAAGGCACCTACAAGCAGGTAGTTGATGAGTCCGCGCGGATGGACAGTCTTCCAGAATGGTTCACAGGGGTGCGATTGAATTTCGCAGAGAATCTTCTGTTTTCGAGTGGCCAGACTAAGGCCGGTAAAGAAGATGAGAAGATTGCCGTCAGCGAGGTGCGAGAAGGTGCCGCTCATGAAGTCGTCCATCTCACATGGGGTGAGCTCCGACGACGGACGGGGGCTCTGGTGCAGGCGATGAAAGCTAATGGGGTGGTGCGCGGGGATCGCATCGCTCTCTGCGCCTCGAATAGCATTGACACGCTGCTGGTATTTTTGGCCTCGACTGCCCTGGGCGCCATATTTTCATCCAGTTCGACGGACATGGGCGTGAAGGGTATCCTCGATCGACTACTGCAGATCAAGCCGCGCTGGTTGTTTATGGATGATTCTGCGATTTACAATGGCAAGACGATTGACCTTCGACCGAAGATCCAGGATATTGTCCAGGGAATGACCTCTGTGAGCGAATTCCAAGGAGTTGTTTCGCAATCTCGATTTGCTTCTCCGGCCGATGTCAGCGATATACCGAGGACGCAGACTTGGTCAGCATATCTCTCCAAAGCAGGTGGCAGTGAGAAACTCGAGTTCGAGCGAGTTGCATTCCGCGATCCCTTTCTGATCGTGTACTCGTCCGGAACGACCGGACAGCCCAAGTGCATCGTGCACTCGGTTGGCGGAGTATTGTTGAACTCGAGCAAGGAGGGTAACTTGCATAGCGAGTTGGGCGCGGATAGCGTGGCACTACAATATACTACTACTGGCTGGATCATGTACATGAGTGCCGTACAGACGCTACTCTTTGGCGCGCGTGTTGTTCTTTACGATGGATCTCCATTCCTCCCAGATATTACAGCCCTGGTGACCCTTGCAGGAAAAGAGAAGTGAGTGTGCTCTGCTGATCAAGGTAGCCACTGCTCAATGCTAACTGATTGCAGGGTGACACATTTTGGAATCTCTCCTAGGTGGATGCATGAGCTGCAACAAGCCAAGATCAGACCGCGCGAAATCGCGGATCTTAGCTCTCTGCGGGTTGTGACGAGTACAGGCATGGTCCTGCGGGATGCCTTGTTCGAATGGTTCTACGACGAGGGATTCCCAGCTCGTGCCCGCTTGAACAATATCTCCGGTGGCACGGACTTGGCAGCCTCATTTGCGACAAGTAACCCCCTTTCTCCTATTTATGTTGGAGGGTGTGCCGGCGGAAGTCTCGGTATTCCTGTCGGGGTTTTCGACTCCACCATTGAGGGTGGTGATGGTACCAAGGGCATCCCAGTCCCAGAGGGCGAGCCTGGAGAACTGGTAGCCACGGCTGCGTTCCCCACTATGCCCACAATGTTCTGGGGGGACCGAGACGGCAAGAAGTATTTTGATGCCTATTTCAGTAGATTCGATAGTAAGGTCGCATTTCTCGGATGCAAACAGTGGCTCACCCCCTTCTAGATGTTTGGACGCATGGCGATTTCGTGTCAATCCACCCAATCACCAAGCAGATCCTGTTTCACGGACGCGCCGACGGGGTCCTCAACCCCTCCGGCGTGCGATTTGGGTCCGCCGAAATCTACCGAGTGATCGAGGGTGGATTCTCCTCAGAGATCGCCGATTCGATCTGCGTTGGCCAGCGACGACCAACCGACACGGACGAGCGCGTCATGCTATTTTTGCTCATGAAGCCGGGCACGTTGTTCACCCCCGACCTTGTGGCTCGAGTGAAGAACGCCATTCGCCGCGAGCTAAGCGCTCGCCATGTACCGATGTGGGTGTTTGAAACACCTGAAATTCCGGTAAGTGAAACCCACCAGCCACCAGGCAGCGACTGACCCAGGCCTACGTCATTCAGACCACCGTGAATGGCAAAAAAGTGGAAACGCCCTTGAAAAAGATCGTGTCTGGTCAAGTTGTCAAGCCCTCGGGGACTCTATTGAACCCAGGGAGCCTAGAGTTCTACTATCGATTCGCCGAGGTGGAAAAATTGCGCGAGAACAAGCTCTGAGTGGACTGGGCCCCTCGATGATCTCCACTTGTGTCGTGGCTGTACGGAGTAACACGCGGGTATATCGGATCGCCCTTCTGCCAAGCTTTCACCAAGCTTTAGCATTGTAGGGATCGCCTCCAGGTAGTTCACGATAGATCGTTCATAGTGGATGCAATAAATAACAATAATTGAAATGATGAACTGCGAATCATAACGAGAGTGGGAGTGAGTGGGAGTGCAGGAGAAAGAAAAGGAACAAGTTGCGCCCCGTGGAAGGTCTGGGTGGTCCGATGCGCTGTACGTCATTCCCCGCAGTTCTCCGTATTTATTGTTACTCTTGTTTCCCCCCTTCATCTTCACTTCTCTTTACTCCGTATATCTATTCAAAATGGTTCATCTCGCTCGTGTCAAGACCGATAAGGAGGTCGCTCCCTCGAACCGCCAGTTCGAAACTCTGCCGGCGCCGGATGAGAATGACTTCTATACCAATGTCTACGGCAGCCACTTCGCTGCAGACCATCTCAACCACAATGAGATGCCCGAGAGAGAAATGCCTCGTCAGATCGCTGCTCGGATGATCAAGGATGAATTGAGCTTGGATGGCAACCCCAAGCTGAACCTCGCATCCTTCGTGACAACGTACAGTATGTAAGAGTGGACCACTCGGCACTATTCATCACTGACCGCGAAACTAGTGGAGGAGGAGATTGAGCAGATCATGACGGACTCATTCAGCAAGAACTTCATTGATTACGAAGAGTACCCCCACTCTGCTGAGATCCAGAACCGTTGCATCAACATGATTGCCAGACTTTTCAACGCGGATACCTCCGATGAGAATGCCATGGGAACCTCAACCATTGGATCTTCCGAAGCTATCATGCTTGGTACCCTGGCCATGAAGAAGCGCTGGCAAAACAAGCGGAAGGCCGAAGGCAAGGACTTCTCCCGCCCCAACATCATTATGAACAGTGCGGTGCAGGTTTGCTGGGAGAAGGCTGCCCGTTACTTCGACATCGAGGAGAAGTATGTTTACTGTACCGAAACTCGGTTCGTTATCGATCCCCAGCAAGCAGTTGACCTGGTGGACGAGAACACCATTGGAATCTGTGCTATTTTGGGAACCACCTACACAGGAGAGTACGAGGATATCAAGGCCATCAATGACCTGCTCGTCGAGCGTGATATCGATTGCCCAATTCACGTCGATGCCGCGAGTGGTGGTTTTGTCGCTCCTTTCATCCAGCCCGACCTGAAATGGGATTTCCGCCTCGAGAAGGTGGTGTCTATCAACGTTTCTGGTCACAAGTACGGACTGGTCTACCCTGGCGTTGGATGGGTTGTCTGGCGCTCTCCCGAGTATCTGCCCAAAGAGCTTGTCTTTAACATCAACTACCTCGGAGCCGACCAGGCTAGCTTTACTCTGAACTTCTCCAAGGGTGCTGCCCATGTCATTGGTCAGTATTACCAGCTGATTCGTCTGGGGAAGAATGGCTACCGTTCGATTATGACCAACTTGACTCGCATCGGTGACTACATGTCATCGGAGCTTGAGAAGATGGGCATGATCATTCTGAGCCAAACCAAGGGCAAAGGCCTTCCTCTTGTTGCCTTCAGACTTCCTCCTAGTTCTGAGCGCGTATTCGATGAGTTCGCTGTGGCCCATCAGTTGCGTGAGCGTGGCTGGATTGTCCCTGCCTATACCATGGCACCTCACAGCGAGAAGCTGCAGTTGATGCGAGTCGTCATCCGTGAGGATTTCAGCATGACTCGCTGCGACAGCTTGCTCCAGGACTTCAAGCTTGCCCTGCAAACATTGGAGTCTATGGACCAAGCTATGATTGCCAAGTATCAAGTGTAGGTTTCTCGTCATCGGCGTCCCGTTCTGAATGCTAACATTTCACAGACACATGAAAAGCCATCGCGCGCAGCCAAAGCACCAGCACACCCACACTCACTACAAGGATGAGAAGCACTCGCTGCAGGGCAAGACTGGAAAGACGCACGGCGTGTGCTAGTTTGCTGCACAATGTTCGGAGTATGATACTCCCGGTATACGAGCCTCGGGGTAGCTTCCATTGGGCTCGCTGACTTGAAAACCTCTGCCATACCCCATGAGCGTACCGCGTACATAGAGATGTCTAATGAAATGCTATATTTGCTATAACCCATGACGTCATCCGCCTTTCATAGTAGCCGCCCCGTCGTCTTCACTTTCAAGCCATCATGCAGCGCATCTCACTCGATCAAAAGAATAGACCAACAACGGACTTGCCTCTGGCGAGCATACCAGGCCAGCTGCCCACCCCCAAAGCCACCAAACATCACCCGTTCAAATCTGGCGGGAGTGCATCTCTTTTGTTTGTGGGAACGGCTACTACAATTCTGTCTGCAAATCTCTATCTTCCCCCCTCAAACAACCGAAACTAATGATAACAGTGAATGGGCCGGGGTGAGATTGATGACTGATGTCAGCACTGCACTACGATATCTGCCAGCCATGATGACAAGCTGACCTTGTTAGCCGAACTTTTTACCTAGAGGCGATCATGTCCATCTCGCCCCTGGCGTGTCAAGTGAACGCTTAACCGATCCAGCTTTGCAACTGCACGAGCTGCCTCGGGTTGACCTCATCCTGCTCTCCCATTACCATGAGTGAGTTTTGGGCCAGGCTGGGATGATATGAGATTAACTTCTCAGGGACCATTTCGATAAAAGGGTCGAGGCCTTGCTGAGACGTGATATCCCAATTATCACCACGCCGCAGGCGAAGAAGCGGCTCATCTCAGGTGAAGAACCTTTCACGTCGGTTTATGCGATTGATCCATTTGAGGAAATCGAGATTAATATCCAAGGGACCGAGGGCAGTGAACAACCCCGGTTACGTGTGACTGGGATGCCAGGCAAACATGTCCCTCCTCATCGTGTGATTGAAAGGCTCAATACCATAACCAACGCCGTTCGTGTGGATGCTTCGTTACTTTGAACAACTCTGATACCGACAGATTCCCCCAACAAACGGATGGATGCTCGAACTGGGTCAGTGCACCAACATGGATTTCGCATGTGGCTATCGCATCTACATAACTGGCGATACTCTCATGGCAGACGAGCTACGGGAGATTCCCAAACGATACGCGGGACGCAAAATCGACATGATGCTTGTCCACCTCGGCGGAACTACCATTCCTTCGCCTTTGGTTGGGAGACTCATGGAGCCACTGACATTGATGCCGACCATGGACGCAGAAGAGGGATTGCAACTGATCCAGCTCATCCAGCCCGACGTTACGATTCCGATTCATTACGACGACTACGACGTGTTCGCCAGTCCTTTAGAAGACTTTCGTCGCATTGTCGAGGCAGCAGGGTTCTCGGGTCAAGTTGTGATCTTGGACCGTGGAGAGCAGTACAAGTTCTTTTAGGAAGAGCTGACGAGGCAACTGCTCAGCCTACAAGTCACGCTTTGGGGGCCAAAAGCTGCAACCGAATCTCCACTATCGTGTGTTCTGCTTCGCCTCCGAGTATTTTTGGGTTGGGGGCGGTTTATGCTGTTCGGGGGCCTCGTGTGAGATACGAGGTGTGGGCGATGAGGTTGAGTACTGTTTTCTCTTTCTTTGATATGTTCGACAAAGAAAGCTGTCAACTGGCTTCTGGATCTGGCTATACAACACAGCTGTACTCCGTTGTATAACACACCTGCCCAGGTGTAGAATAAGGATCTCCGACAATTAGTATAATTAGATAGTCACCGTGGACATACGAAGATTTAATTGAGGCTCTCTCAAAGCCACGTACTGTGTAAGACCATTGTTTACGCCCTAAGAATAGAACACCTACGAGTTGCCGATCCCGCTTCTGAGTCTTCCCCTCCTGCACCCTCGTCGAAGATATGCGACTCTTTAAGAAGAACAAGTCGCCGACAAATCATCCAGTGCGAAGCGCCGAACAACTGGTCCCCGCGTTGGCTCCACACCCCGACCCCGTTGACGACCGGCGCTATTCACAATTCGAGTACCAGGCGCCTAGCCAGTCTCGTTCGAATACACAGTCTCTGAGCCGATCCCAGAGCCAGCGTCAGTCAAAGTCCCTGCGCGACCGACCGACTGTCAACGTTGTCCCGGACGATCGGCGCGATAAGGGTCTGCCAGTGCGACCATCATCTGGTGTCGAACGCAGCGTTTCTATCAGGGGCAAGACCATTTCCAATCCTGTTTCGCAGCCTGCATCACCCCGAGTCTCACATCCAGACACTCTGAACGAGACCGACGAGTTCCCGCCCCAGCATTCCTACTCGGAGAACCCCTCACCCGTCACCGCACCGCAATCCTTTGAGCCGCGCTCTGCATCTCTGGCCTACCAACACACTCGAGGCCCCCGTCCCTCTCATCCAGCACATACTCAGGAAAATCACGAGCGGTCGCAGCTGAAGCCCGTGAAACCCCCGCTTTATACCCAGCCCCTCCGGGCCAGCGACACAACAGATCAGCAGTACACGCGCCCTTCGCCGACCGACATCCCAGAGTCTCCCTACCTGGAGAAAAACCGGAGCTTCACTCCCCAGGACCCGGTAATGACTACCCGGCTCCCATCCCGGACTCTCGAGCCGCTTTCCCCCGTCCAGTCCCGTTATCCTGACGCCATGCAGTCCCAGGCACAGGGCCAATCTCCATTCCAGCCGGACAAACAATCTGCAGGTTCCCCGCAGGATTCAAGCCGGCGGGGTAGTGTGTCCAATATGCCCAAGAACGGACGGATCACACCCACCCCAACACACCGCCGCGAGGATTCCGGGGATATCGATGTCCGGGCCCTGATTCAAAAACACGATGAGCTTCGTATGTCAATGTCTTGACTTCTTGATATTATAAGGATACTAACGCGTTCACAGAGGCTAAATACTCCAAGGTAAAGAGGTATTACTTCGAAAAGGATGCGCAGGTCCAGCACCTCCAAAACACGGTAGCACACCAGCGGATGGCAGTGTCGCGTACCGTTCTGGACGATAACGAGTACACCAATCGATTTCAGCGATTAGATGGGGCAATCAAGGACCTGGCATTCTCGGTGCGCAAAGACTGGCGCAATATACCATCCTGGCTCAACGGGATGGTCAGCGACGAGGCAATTTCCACCGTGACCAAGGAAATGACACCGGTCGGACGAGCAATTATCAGCCGATGGCTAGTAGAAGAAGTCTTCCAGCGTCACTTCCACCCGGCCCTGGAGCCCGGCTTCAGCACCCAGCTCAAGAGCATCGAGATGAACCTCCGGCGCCAACGCCCAACCTCAGACGAGGAACGCGAAAATGCCTCCGCTAGACTCTCTTACTGGCGCCGCACAACTTTCGACGGCCTCAGCGATAGTCTAGTCGGCCCCGAAGCTGATGGGTACCGTGGCGATCTGGTTGAACATCTGATTGTGGAGCTCGCAGCCTTCATGGGGTCGCAGCTCCATGAACGCGCCCACCCAGGCCTAGAAGCTGGCGTGCGGATGATCGTCGAAAACTCCATCAACATCATCGAGAAAATACCCCTTGAAGCGCGCGATGTCTGCGTTGATTATTTCCCGCCCGGCGTCTCCTTCGCAGACCAATACATGAAGATCGAAGGCCAACTACCAGCCCTCAACCACCCGCCTCCCCTTGAAACAGAGGAGGAAGCAGAGGAGCCCAGCACCGCAATCGAGAGCCCCTCTCCTGCACAGGCGAAGTCGAGAAAGTCGGTATTTGGAGCCCTGATGGGCCGCAAAGTTGCTGCTAGTGATACTCGCCCGACGGCAGGGGAGAAAGAGGTGGAAGCTGGCCCGCCGCGGATCCGCTATGCGGCTTTCTTGGCCGTCGAGGTACGTGGCAAGGGGCCAGCGACAGTGCTCATCAAGTCGCCTGTCTGGTTGGTTGAGTAATTTACTCTTATCATCCCTGGGTAGATATGAGGGAGCTGTATATAGAGAATGATGTCACATGCTGGCATGGACGATGACTGCTATGGCCTTTGATATCCCGAAGCGTTTGAAGTTGTGATCGGTTCGCATATTCGTTTGGTTTCTTTTCTCTTGGTATGGTCCACGGTAGATCTCAATGAGATATTATTTAGCGTTCAAGATGAGGATCTGCTAGCCTGATCAATAGTACCTAGTAGGACTAGACGCCATCGAGGACCCTTTTGTAGGACGAACAGTTACAACTATTTATCTTGATCCACTCTACCCCTGGCACAACCGTTGAGATCCATGGATATCTCGGGAGATCCTTTTTAGCGTTGAGGCTCGTGGAACGCGGGGAAAATAGTGGAACAGAACCTTGGAACTACGAAGCACCTTTATACTCTTTTACTTTCGTTTCTACCATCGCTTGAGCTCTACTGAAAGATATACCATGCAAGTTGAAATACATCAGAAAAAAGATATTGTTCAATAAAACCCACTATTGACAGTCTGTTTGTATCTACCAAAGCATCAATGTACAAGGCAAGCACACCAAACCCGGGAAACCAAAAGCATAGATGTTTACAAGAAAAGCCATGCAGTATAATGTGAGACTGGATGAAAAAAGATGCAGATTTGGGAAACAATAAAAGCCCGGGTATAGCGCGCACCTGACCATGACCAAAAAAAGATGAAAAAGCAAATGAACATCACCAACGAGTGACAAAGCAGATGCAAAATAATGCTCAGAAAATGTAGGAATAAAAAGGCAAGAATTGCATATGAAAGAATCATGTTCAGCAAAATTCGAGAAATTCCCTACACCAATTCAGGTGGGAACACCATTGGCGTTGGCAGCTTGCTGCAGGACACGAGGCCAGCGGGAAATCAATTCCACGTCGTCAAGGGCTCCCTTGCCCTGGTTGCGTACGTACTGGGTGCTGGGGTCCACGCGAGGCTCGTAGTCCCAGATCGAGGGGGTGCCTTGGATCAAAGCGGAGTAGACGAGACGGCGACGGCGCTGAGAGCGCAGAACGTCCTGTCTGATCTTCTCGAGGTCCCAACGATCATTGGTCTCTTCAATGAAGAAGGCGAGAATCTTGGCCGGATCGGTTGTGTTGGGCAAGGCAGGGGGAAGCTTGGCTGGGCTGGGCGTTCGCGGGGGAGTTGGCGAGGGGAAGGGATAGTCTGTGGCGGAGGCACGCTGGGGAATTGGCGATGCGCGAGGGGTATCATTTGGAGTTGGCAGATTGACGGACGAAAGACCTGATTTCCCAGGAATGGCGGTGGGCTTGACGGACAGGCCAGCTGCCAGGTTGACTTGCTCTTCCGGGTCGTTGACCAAGTCGAAAAGCATGGGTGGGTCGATGGCCGAGGTGATGAACTTCCACCGGCCGCGTCGGATCATCATCAGAGGGGCTTGGGTGCCCTCTCCCATGTACTCGCCATAGACTGTGTCTGTGCGGAGACCCTCGCCGCCGGTCAGGTATGGTACCAAGGAAACTCCATCAAGGGGTAGCTCGGAGATCAGCTTGGCACCTGCTAATTCGGCGAATGTAGGGAGTAGATCCATTGTTGAGACATTCTCGGAGACACGCTTGGGAGCAAAGTGCTTAGGAGCGTGCACGAGGAAAGGCACACGAGCCGAGTTCTCAAACCAGGTCATCTTGTACCACAGACCGCGCTCTCCCAGCATATCACCGTGGTCACCGGTGAACACGATGATGGTATCGTCAGCCAGTCCGGTGTTATCGAGTACTTTGAGCAGCTTTCCAATATTGGTATCGACATATGTGCAAGCAGCGTAGTAGGCGCGGCGGGCAGCCCGAATACGATCATCCGGCATTTCCTTGTTGAACAAGTCGATGCACTTCAGAACACGCTGGGAATGCGCATCTTGCTGGTCGTGGGGGATCGCTCCGTTCTTGGGGAGCGGAATCTCCACGTCATTGTAAAGGTCCCAGAATTCCTTGGTCATGGCATAAGGGTCATGAGGGTGTGTCATGGAAACGGTCAAACAGAAGGGTTGTTCGTTACGCTGGCGCACGTGGTCGTAAAGATATTGGGTGGACTTGTAAATAACCTCTTCGTCGAAATCCAATTGGTTGGTGCGCACGACAGGGCCAGCCTCCATGACAGAAGACATATTGTGATACCAGTCGGCACGGATCTCCTGTGTTTTTATTAGTACCATTTCAATTCCGGGGGGTACCGAGGAATACTTACCGGCTCATCCCAATTAACGGACCAGCCGTAGTCACCGGGGTAAATATCACTGGTGAGACGTTGCTCATAGCCATGAAGCTGATCCGGACCGCAGAAATGCATCTTGCCGGCGAGGGCAGTGTGATAGCCCTCGCGCCGGAGGTAGTGGGCATATGTCGGGGTGTCGGCGGGGAGGTCTGCCGCATTATCATAGGCTCCGATCTTCGACGGAAGCTGGCCGCTGACCATCACAAAGCGTGATGGAGCGCACAGGGGTGCATTGCAGTAGGCCGAGTCGAAGACCACGCCGGCCTCGGCCAGACGGTCGAGGTTTGGGGTCTTGATGGGCGAGTTCTTATCGTGAATGGACAATAAGGGCGCGGCCATCTGGTCGGCCATGATGTAGAGAATGTTGGGCTTCTTGGTCGCCATGATGAAGTAAATGCAAAGTGAGGTGGGTGAGAGTAGAGGGAGGGCGAGGGTTGATATATGAAGCCGAGTATGTGGGGAACAAAGGGAAAAAAAGGAAAGAAAAGAGCGAAAGAGGAAAAAAAACACACAGCTCCGGTCGAGGGCAAAAAAGGCGAACCAAAAATTCGGATTCATCAGGCCAAGACGCAAAAAGGAAAAAAAAAGGAATGAACTACTATACTTCTGTATTATATTCGTAATTATGTTACTAGCTTCCAGACGATCCTGAAGGTATGATACTATGTATGTATACAGATAATCCACGAGTTGAAACCCTGCAGAATGTAAGATCTCACTAGAGTAGCTCCCGCCTGCAATGTACGGAAGATCAGGGGAGGAGATCCGGGACTGACGTATTCCTCCGCAAGGAGCGATGGACTCATTTGGGGCGGCGATGGTGTGATTGAAGATCTGATTATGAGGTATGGTATTATTACACGATACATATGGCCATGCGCATTCCAATCCATGGATGTCCTCACACATTACACATACGGAGTACTCCGTCCAGAGTACATAAGTCAAACACTTGGCGACAATCCCTATCACACGACAGGTCCAAGTGGGAACTGCTGAGTGCCGACGTTGCCACTTTTCCCTTGATGGGGCCTGGGTGTTACATCGGTCACATTGAAAGGAAAGTCCATACGCCGGCAATACCACCAATCCATGTAATACCACAACGAACATCATCCCCCTGAAAGTCATAATTTCCAGAACAATGTCTCCCGTCCAAGACAAGGGTTTTAATACCTTGGCTATCTTCAGTGCAGTTCCCACGTCCACTCGACCCCGGAGTGGATAACGGCACTGAATGCCCGAGTCCACGGCAGCGTTTCGGCTGTGACCAACCTGGTCGTAACTAATCCGGTTTAGGCCTAGACTATTCCGGAGCCGACGACTAGTGAAAACCTTGGACTCCACTGGATCGTGTCAGTGGCCGAACAGCCAATCACACGGAGTCTCATTGTCGCGTTTCCCCCTGGGATAGCCCAATCAAGCTTAGTGGAGGCTTATGAGCAGAAGCCCCCACTTGCTTATCTGCGACTCCAATCAGAGCCGTGGATTTCTCACTACGGAGAGGGAAAACAGACGACCAGCGAGGACCCGACAGGCGGATCAGCAACAAGTCTTTATGCCCAAGACACATTCCCTCCCAACCTGTCATCTTGGGATCGAACTGATAGAGCCGATGTCAACGGAAATAGACAGAGAATGGAGCACACATGAGGTCCACAATTAGCAATCCCCCTTTCCGAGCACGCCATGGGAAGCGGTATAGGATCACCCCCCGGATTTGCACTGTTTACGTACTTTCGACGGTCACCGCCGTTTCGCAGCTTAGGCCACGTCCGAATCCACTTGTGCGTCTCTTCCAAATGGCCACGTCCTCACCCGGGATGCCTTGGCCTGATGCAGGGTGGCGTAAGCAGTGCTCCATGCCTTGATTAGTATCTTATCTCCGTGCTGTTCTATGTATACGAGTAGGTCATGGCGTCGACCACGAGTCCATGCAGGTCAATCGGAATGACTCGACAATTGTCCGCGGTGCATGCGTACTGGAAATCTTTGGAGCTATCACAACAATCTATTGGCGTCGTCCACTCTAATTGGGGCGAAGTGTTGTTTCAATCCAAGATTGTCAAAGGAAGAGCACATGGAAAGTGACGTAGCATTGCGCACTCTGTGCTCCGTATCTACGTACTCATTTCACATTTCACCGTCTGTGGGCGAGCTGTTGTGTTACCTACTTCCAGGGGGTTGATCTATCTTCGTTGACGTTGTTCACCCAGTTCAAGTCTCTCTACCCACCTTCGCTGCATCGAAGATTCGAACAATGTACTGTAGTTTCTGGAAGCAAGTCGCTCGTTGGCGTTCGAAAAGCCAGCGAACAATCTGCATGCAATGCAGCCCTATGGTATTTTGCACTCCTTGCAGGGCCACATATTTACAGACGTCCTTGTTATCCATTGCCGCGATATCCTCAACAACGCTTTTTTTTTTGATTTCTAGTTTTTCCGCTGGGTGCTAACTGACTGTTCGTCCTCCGCAAGTAGTTATCTGGTGCTATTTGGGCGGCATGGAAGGATTCTCTCTTCAGCCGCAATGCCACTTGTTCCTCCTGAATCGCCAACACTAGACTCTTCTGAGTCAACGTTGTCCTGAGACAGTAGCGAATGCATAGAAACCGACCCCATTGCGTCACTCAAAGCGTTCGCTAGCAACAAGAGCCGAACCCCCAAATGGCCCTCGTTGTGATTCAATCATCCCATGGTCTTCGCAAAGGTGCTTCTGTTTGACTTCATCAATGAGACTGAAATGGCGACTCTAGACGAAAGCCACATCGTCCTTCAGAGAGAAATAGCGAGTCAATTCTCGGCATGTCTGGGCGCCTTCCAGGGTGCTTCGAATCGAGTCCGGTTGCGCGGGGTGTTGCATGTGCATTTCCGCCATGGTGTAAAGGTCAAGTACTGGGTTGTCATTAGGAACACGCTGGACATCAAGAACGTGAGAATGAGTCAGCCGCAAAGATAGGAAATCCCGTCGACCAGCATGGACAATGAGGATTGTTTTCTCGCCCACAAAACGCCAGAGGAGTTCCCGGGCAGCGTCTCGGCCTTCAATCGTGGATTTCTCTTTGTGGGCTTTTTCCAACTGTGCCATATCAATTCCGGTTGACCATCGATCTGTGTGCCAAAGTGGGACACTTGGCCAAACCATCTTGTCGATGAGGATTTCCCCAGAGAAATAGTCCAGGGCGGTGATCTTGATCAGCTCGTTCTGACCCCATTCGTTCCGACCCATCTGGCAATTCATCACGACGGCGTGTCGAAAGTCCGCGGGCGTTCCTTGAGGGGTCTCGTAAAGCTGCCACGCGGTTCGAAGGATGTTTTCGTTGATGTATTTGTGTCTCTCATAGACAAAACATCCAGCGAGTTCCTCTCCTCGTTGGCAGCAATCCCATTTCTAAATATTCAAAGATATATTAGCCATCCACATGGATCATTGGTCAAAGAAAGACGCTAAGTCCGAATGCCGGGCAAAGCCACACGAGCTATCATCCAGCACCACTGGTGGAAAGGAATTGCCAGCATGGAAATTAGACTAAAGCACTATCACTTACCCGGTTCACAGTCCCAACCAAGTGACCTTTGTGGCCCCAGCATCCCCAATCAGTTCGCCGTTCGTGGAACATTCTCTCTTCGTCACGATTGAACCGAGCGACGTTCTCACGGGTCCAATAGGTGGTTTCAATCCGAATGCTTGGATCCCAAGTGTCGAAAATGTGTTCCTTGACATGACCAACAACCCCAGGCCGGCGTCTTGGCCTCTGGTTTCTTTTGAAGTGAATCTTGGCCACAGCAGCATTCGCAAACGTTCTCTCTCCGTGATTTCGAAGTCTCTTGCGGTTGGACTCCTCCTCGTTCCTGTTTGTGCATTCTAGAAATCAGAGTCAGTCATGTTGATTCTTGAAAACAAGGATAGGGCAAGGTACTTCGACATTGTTCACACCAGTTTTGCGTTCCCTCGGCCGCCAAGCAACCGCGTTCGTGGGTCGGGACACCAATATCCCCTATCTCCTCGTCATGGCGGCACATCTCCCAGAGACGTGTCAATTCAGGCTCGGACCAATGGTATGGGGTCAATGTCACTGGCCAAGAAGACCAGTCGGTCTGTGGAATCGGATGAATATCACCCCAAGGCTGATCTGGCTTGGCAATGGAGTCTCCCAGTTTGTTGAGATCATTGGATGGGGCGAGTGAGACGGATTTTCCACAGTTTGTTTGAGATGCGAATGTAACTTGCTTCTTTCCTTTACCCTTGCTGTCAGCCTTTGCCAAGTTGCTCGGCTTTTGATCGATGTTGTCCGAGGCAGATATGCCATGAGGTTGCGCGGAGACACTTTGAGGGATTTTTGAGAATGATCAAGAACTCTCATCAAAGCGCTTGACTGGGTTGTCATTCTCAGTTGCCTTTTGGGTCTGATCAAGATTACCCCCAGTCGAATCTTCGCATGATACTTTCTGCAAGCCGAGGGCGAGTGTAGCCGTTTCGTCGACGATTTGATCAACAGCTTCGGCGGCCTTGGGGGAGGCTTCTGGGTGTGAGTCGGGGGTATCGTCTGTTATCTTTGAGGCCTTGCCCAAGGGCTCCTCGTTCAGCTTTTCGGACGGCTCTGTCTTCAACTCTGAGGTATGTTCATGGTTTTGCATTGTTGTCTGGGTGACGTTCTTGTCGCAAGCCTTGCCAGTGAATTCACCTGAGGTGCTCAAAGCACCTTTGCCAGAGGATCTTTCCAAGATCTCCAGAAGCTTTTGTGAAGAAGACTTTGCCTTCGCATCGGGTAAGTGCTTTGCTGGGATGTAATCAGGCACCGAGGCTCTTACCACTGTGTGTGAATCTTTTTTATCACGCTGTAAGACATTTGTGGACTTTCCAGGAGGTTTCCTGTACCGAGAGGTTTTCGTCTGAGAAGCCATTTTGAAACTCGTATCTTGAGCTCTGCTTCAGATGACCGAAGGGAAGGGTTGTGGTAGATGGAATGATCGCGTAACTGGTAGAGTGAGCCTGGGTGAAAGTGTGGGATTTGGAACAGATCAGGACCAAGGCTGGCCCAGGGTGGTGTCAATGAGATACAACCCTAGGCAGCAATCTGGCAGCGACAAAAGCTTCAAAAGAGCATGCAACCGCGTTGAAGTTGCAGAGTCAGGAGTGTGAATGAGTTCAGAAAGAATGGGGTGGGCGGCGACAAGGATCACTGATGAATGCAGCGGTACGCGCCGACACTCGATTGAGCCAGTGATGTAATTCGACGACACAAGGTTGGAGGGGGAACTTTCAGGATAGAATCGAGAACGTGATGAAGGCACCGAAAGCCAAACTTGTGCAGAAAATCAATAAAAGGCACGGTGCGATGACTTGATGGAGCTGGGGAGGTGGAGGAGAGAAGACCAAATGCACATGTGGAGAGTGATCACGTACTGTTCACCTCGCGGTCAGATTCATGGATGCAAGTAATGCTGACGCATCGAGCTATCGCACTCATGTAACCTATGCTCTTCTCGCTTGTCGGGAGACTCACAGAGCCAACTGCTCACAACTGCCCAGTGACTCCGGCCGAAGCACCCCCAGACAGATGTGGCGGAGTTCGCGCAGTGATTGAGATCCCAGAAGTGAAGCCCATCCACCCATCCAGGCTAATGAGCATACCTCTGCATCGGTCAGTAGATTGATGGTCCACGAGAGAAAGACACAACCCGGGAACCAATCTAGAAGATCATTCGTTTCTTCAGTGGGTTGACACAACGAGAGAACAAGTGAGGACAGCGAGACAGAAGTTCATTCATGCTATGAAGCCAGAAAGCACCAGGACAACTTGGAAGTGAACAAACCAGCCCAACTTGCGTCGAGGCCTTTTGACGGACCAAATACGCCTGGAGGACCAGGAAATGCAGAAAATGAAAGGTATACGCCGTGTTGATACATGACTTTACCTATGCTACTAGTTGTGATGATTGACCATGAATGATAGATCAAGAAAAGACACGGGATCAATGCCATAGGTTTAAATTATTGGAGGAACAAGCAACACGTCGATATACTAATCCACCTTGATAGCGCTAGTGGAGTCTGTTAGCTTCCTTTCGACACATTTGGATAGCAATCATACCTATAGACCCGCCGGACGAAAGCGTACGCGGCCAAGAAACCAACGGTTCCGGTCAAAAGACCGTACACCGCGCAGGCGAGGAAGCTGTAGCTGAAGAAAAGTAGGCTTGAAACAAAGCCAGTGACGTTTAGCTTGAAGATGTAATACCAGATGCAGTACGCAAAAATCCAGAATGCACTGCTTCCGCCGGTGATGAAGCTCTGCCACCACCAATGATAATTCTGCGAGGATTAGCATGGGAGTCATTTCATACGTCGAGTTGTGTCTCACCTCAGAGCAAAGCTGGCTATATGTTGCGATCACGGTCACTTCAACCACCGTTATCATCAGCACAACTGAAACAGCGCTCAAGAAACCGAAGACATAGTAGTATCCAGTCTTGTCCTGCCAAAGATTTTTGAAGACGAATAGTAGCTCGATGAAAAGAACTGCGAATGGGATCAGACCTGTCATGACAGGACCGATGGGCACACAAAGATACCAAGGCTGAGATGGAATTTGTCGTGCGATGGCATTCGTCTTCAAAGGGTGCTCCCAAGGTTTTGCGCGGACATAGCCCACCCAGCTTCCGAGATACACCAAAGGCACTTGTATCAGTAGCCAGATGGCAAGAAGACCAATCAGAGTGCTGAATGGAATTGCCGTGCTAGATGCTTGAGCCCAGACAAACAAGTTGAGGAGCAAGATGAGGCAAAATGCGAGACCGGGGAATAGCAACGCAGTCTGCAGAGTGAGTCAGTCGAGCCAATGAAGAGATAAAAAGGATACGTACGATCAATGTGTTCTTGCGCCAAGCATTACCGCCGAAGGTTTTGTAGAGTCTGCCCGAGAAGTAGCCGGAGAAGACACCAGCGAACACGAACAGACCCATACCGACACTCACAAATCCTCCGCGGTAACTGGGATTCAGGATACCGAGGCAGCTAAGCAAGAGCAAGCCAGTAGCCATGAACAAGAGTTGCATGCCAGAGCCCACCAAAGGTGCGAGAAGGCCACTATAGGCTGGAGTGCGGAACACGTCGCCATGTAGAAGCTTCCAGCCGGCCGTGTCTTCGGCGGATTCATCTTCTGAGGAATAGTCTGCATCTCGCTCCACGTCGTCGTCGCCCAAAAGCCCCTCGCTCTTCTTCTCGCTCCTTCGCCGAATGTGGCCCTTGTTTTTGCGATCGTCCATGGCGCCGTCACCACGGCCTTTGAGGTCACCTTGTACGGTGCGACTCCAGATGACGAAAACGGTCACTCCCAGCACGGTCGAAATGGTAAGAGAGTTGAGGATGGCCAGCCAATGAGTGATGGAGCTTTCACCTTGGTTTGTGAAGTACAGATCCCAACGGCTGGCCCAGTCAATCTTGGTGTCCTCCCGGAAGTAAACAGAGTAGGTGTACGGTATTTTCAAGGTGGCTCCATCGTCATCCTCGTCATCCTCTGGGATGTAGGATAGTCCGGAGTATTTCTCTTGCATCCGAGAAAGATTAGGGGGTAGGTACAGTCCGAGCCCTTCGTGATCCTTTTGGACGGCCTTGGGACAGCCTCCCTCCTTGCGGTCCTCGGCGGTGATGCTCTTTGGGTAGACCTCGAATCCAACAACCAGCTTTCCCCCTTCTGGTGCGCTCCGCCAGCGGATAACAATGGTAAAGTGGTTGTTTATGAAGTACCTGGACTGTCCGCTGACTGGGGAGATATCCCGGTATCCAAGCTTGAACCCAGAGGCATAGTATTTGCGGCTCCGGTCCACGGTCACGAAGCTAGTGGCTCCCGGCAGGTTATCCGCGATCCACTCAATCACATATCCCTCCTTGACGAGCTGACGGGCCCACTTAACGTCTGACCGACTGACTTCGCGGGTGCAGAGCGCTTGACATTCAACGTCCTTGCCCATAGCGAGTTCGAAATCGGACGTCATGATCCGATCACCACGCAGTACCTCTCCGAGATTCAGCGAGACGCTCTGGCCGGACCCAAAGGGTGAACCGCCGTGTGTCTTCCCGCTTGGCGGGCAAACGAAAGGGAGGTCGAAGTAGGCATACTGCAGTTGGGTATTGTCGGAGAATATCTTATTGACGAGCAGCGGGATCGGGTCGTTGTCGTTGTATCGTGTTACGGAGTACCCTGGGCGGAAGCAAAGTGTTAGCTTCCCATACACTGTGGAGCCAGTACGCCTAGCGCTTACCAGGGATGTAGAACGCGCTGGCGCAGGAAATGAGCAAGAATGCCCACAGAGCCCACATCTTGCGACACAGTGGAACAATCGCCATGCTCAATGCGTTCAGCTCTATGTTTCCTCGACGGGACGGAAGGACTATCGGAACATGTACACGGTGTGCGATTCGTAGATTTGTAGTTTCGGCCGGTAAACCTGTGACCCACGAGGGTATGACTAGCACGGCCGGTTCAGACTTCACAGATAACAAGCTCTATGCCGCAATCCGGGGCAGATCGACCGCGTCGTAATCGGTAGTGACAACTGCCAAGGATCGACGGGCAGCTTCAGAAAGCGAAATCGAAAAACAGCAACGAATGATATGGCACTTAATGCCACAACAACGACATCAAGTGTTGAGAAAGGGGGAGCAACTCTAAGAATGATCGAGGGGCTTCTCCCTGTCGTGTCAACTTCTTCGGGCAGATCGCCGATTAGCTAATGCTCCACATGGGCAGCCCTGTGGCCAACTGGTCAACGGATTTTCGATGGCAGATCGGGATCAACATAGAATAATAGTACGAAGCTTCCAAGATTTGTCCTAATACTACTACAACGAGGAGCATATAATCTTCTATCCTGTCCAGGTGCGATATGAAACATCGATGTTCTCGAAAATATACAATGACTAACGTGTTTTCCGTCTCTTTTAGGTTGTTTATGCTTCACGCTAGATGGGTGCCTCGCATATATAGATCCGAACACAACACTACTAGGTACCGAGGTGCATATTTACTCCGTACAATGAGCGCAATTGGTACCTAGGTACCGTGAATAAAATCATAAATCATTTTGCATTCAAATTCTCCGGTCATTACCGCGTATCCAGATAAGGATCAAGACAAGCAGGCTAAAAGTAAAAGGGGGAATGGGAAAGTCATAGATACTGAGGGACTATGTCGCCCTCGAAAAGAAAATGGAATACATCATGTAAAATAATGGGAAGGCTGTGCTAGAAGGAACAAGTGGTGCCCAAGATCAATCAAGGGCCGCTGAGAAGATACTCCACGGCCCCCTGAACACTACCGCCTGACCGACGCAGTGCTTCAATGTTGCGCTCGAACTCGAAGAATCCCATGTCATTCAACTGGCGAAGCTGGTCGGCAAACCTCTCCTCGGGAGGTCGGTTGTCAGGGGGCTGCGAGGCTCCAAAGCCACCTCCCATACCACCAAAGCCACCGCCACCGAGGAGAGCTGCCAGAGGGTTCGCTCCAGCAGCCCCACCTTCTGTACCCTGTCCACCCATGCCCTGCATGATCTGGGACAAAAGGGCGGGGTCACGGAGGAACGGGTTCTGCTGAGGATTGAAGGGATTGGCGCCACCCTGGCCGGGTTGTCCAGCAGCGCCGAATGCGGCCGGGTTGAATAGTGACGCGAAAGGGTTTGCAGGAGCCTGGGGAGTTTGTCCCTCGGCCGGAGTAGAGCGATCAGTCGACTCGGTGCCCTGCGCCCCAGGCTGAGCTGCACCGGGGGTGGGAGTCGGCTGGGCTGGGTTTCCAAAGGGGTTGCCACCGAAAAGTGCACCGAAGGGGTTGGCGCCAGCACCTCCGAATGGATTCGGAGGCATGCCAAATGGGTTGGCCTGTGTGTTCTGTTGCTGAGAACCTTGGTTTTCTTCGGCAGTTGTGTTGGTAACTCCAGGGGCGGGGAATGCGCCTTCGCCTGAGCCTCCAAGCCCACCACCCATCCCCATGGCGCGCTGCATCTGCATCATCTGGCGAATTGAGCTAGGATCGGTCAACATGCGACGGAACTCTGGACTTTCCATCATCTGGCGCACTCCGGGTCCCATATCACGCAACATGGGATTCTGCTGAATCATCATATCGATCATGGCGGGGTTCTGAAGAGCTTCGTTGATGCTAGATTGGAACTGGGGATTCTCAAGCATATTGAGCATTGAGTCGGCATCGGGAGGAGGGCCCATCTAGAGAACGGAAGAGAGTTAGCTGGCTGTTTCAGATGGCACGGCTCAGTTGACTATATGAAGATGCGCAAGGCCACTTACCCCACCATCAGGGCCGAATAGTCCAGCGCCGGGGAGCTGAGCAAATCCGGCATATCTCGCACCGGTCAACCCCGCAAGAGGATTGTTACCAGTCCCAGCAGCAAGATTGGTTGGGACACCAGCCGCAGCAGGGGTTGGTGTTGCGCCAGTGGTGGCACCAGCGGGGCTGGGCTGAGCAGCTGTGGTCTGGCGGGCATTGCTCGCAGCACTCTTGACAAGATGGATGGTGTGGCCATCCTTGATCTTGTAGGCATTCAGGGTCTCGGTGTCCTTCAATACTCTACCCGAGTAGATCAATCGTTGACGTTCTGCGGGGGTGTCGGCATATTCGGAACTGGCAAGCTTCTGTTTAAGGTCTGAAACCAAAGTGGTGAGTGGGAGTGTCAAGGTATATTTGGCATCTGTTGATGATTTGACAGTGAAGGTGATCGGAGCCTCGTCGGCAACAGCTGTCTCATCAGCCATGGTTGGAGTATGCAGTATGCACGAGTGGGGTGATCGGGAAAAAACGGCGGGTGCAGGTAAGTTGAACCTAGTCAAAAGAACCAAGATGTAACTTATATAAGTAGGGAACCCAAACTGCGAGCAGAGTGATACTTGTGACAAGATGGATGTGAGAACAGTCCTAAATGCCGCCTCAGCGTTATCATCACCGGCAGTTCATGGTCGGTCAAAGAAGGCGGTCGAAGCTACCAGATCACGTGCGACCACGCTAGCGAGTATTTTCTTCCTCGTGTGGCCCAGCTGTTCCTCACCTTCTGCACAACGCGACTCTATCTTGCTCCGTGCCAAGTGGACTTGAGGAGGTTGTTTCCCTTTCTTGACTCCACTTTGCAGCGATGGGACTGATGTAATATTCAAAACCCCGACATCGCAATTGCATGTGCCAACCTTCACAATCTCTTAGTGCCGGGAAACCGGACAGCTAGTTGCCCATCATGGCTACCACTTCGCATATGTTCATGTACTCTCTTACGGTCCAACAACCAACAGCCATCACTCAAGCTATTCTGGGTCAATTCACTGGAACCAAGGAGCAACAGATCATCACCGCGTCAGGCTCGTCGTTGACCATTCACCGGCCTGACCCATCACAGGGGAAAATCACCCCAATCTTCTCCACAGATGCCTTTGGCATTATCCGATCGCTAGCATCCTTCCGATTGGCGGGCAGCAGCAAAGGTATGTTTCTGATTTAACCCCCCTATCTACTCCCTGGGAGTTCAACTTAGTGATTCTTCAAGCTTCCCGGGCAGCACGGTCCTCTCTCGAACTGACCCCTTGAACAAGGGTGAAACCTGCCCTGGACAGCGATGTTGAAATTCGCAAGTTGTCACATGTGGACTGTGCTGAGTGATTGTAATAGATTATGTTGTCATCGGATCCGACTCTGGACGAATCGCGATCGTTGAGTACTCCCCTACACAGAATCGCTTCAACCGAATCCACTTGGAAACATTTGGAAAGTCTGGAGTGCGCCGTGTCGTCCCCGGGCAGTATCTTGCGGTGGATCCGAAAGGACGTGCCTGTCTGATCGCATCTGTGGAAAAGAACAAGCTGGTCTATGTTCTCAATCGCAATTCGCAGGCAGAGCTCACCATCTCTTCCCCCCTCGAAGCTCACAAGCCACAAACCCTGGTTTTTGCTATGATTGCCTTGGATGTGGGCTATGAGAATCCTGTCTTCGCTGCCCTTGAAGTGGATTACTCGGAAGCCGACCAGGATCCAACTGGCCAGGCCTTCGAAGAACTCGAAAAAGTCCTAGTGTACTACGAACTGGATCTCGGTTTGAACCATGTCGTTCGAAAGTGGTCAGACCCAGTGGACCGAACTGCCTCCATCCTCTTCCAAGTACCTGGTGGCGCTGATGGCCCCAGTGGTGTCTTGGTATGTGCTGAAGACAATATCACCTACCGACACTCCAACCAAGATGCATTCCGCGTTCCCATCCCGCGTCGCACCGGACCCACCGAGAATCCCGAACGGAAGCGTTCGATCATATCCGGAGTCATGCACAAGATGCGAGGAGCCTTCTTTTTCCTTCTCCAGTCGGATGACGGTGACCTGTTCAAGTTGACACTTGAAATGGTTGAGGATGACAATGGACAGGCTACAGGAGAAGTTAAGGCGCTGAAGATCAAATATTTCGACACAGTTCCTGTCGCTACTCACCTTCTGATTTTGAAGAGTGGTTTCCTCTACGTTGCTAGCGAAGCCGGTAACCACAACTTCTATCAGTTTGAAAAACTCGGTGACGATGACGAAGAGATTGAGTTCTCAAGTGACTCTTTCTCAGCTGATCCTGCTGTGCCCACTGCTCCCATCTTCTTCCGTCCCCGGGGCGCGGAAAACGTCAACCTCATGGAGAGCCTCAACTCCTTGACTCCCTTGATTGACAGCAAAATCACCAATCTCACCCAAGACGATGCTCCTCAGATATACACAATTTGTGGTTCTGGAGCTCGCAGTTCCTTCCGCACCCTGAAGCACGGACTTGAGGTGTCGGAGATTGTGGAATCCGATCTTCAACAAGTCCCTTCGGCAGTGTGGACTACCAAGGTAACTCGTGCGGATGAGTATCACAGCTACATCATTCTCTCTTTTGCCAATGGTACCCTTGTCCTGAGCATCGGAGAAATTGTCGAGGAAGTTTCAGATACTGGGTTCCTATCTACTGCTCCCACACTCGCCGTGCAACAGCTCGGAGAAGATTCATTGCTTCAAGTTCACCCTCGTGGTATCCGTCACATTCTCGCCGATCGACGAGTAAACGAGTGGCCTGCGCCCCAGCACAGATCTATTGTTGCTGCTGCTACCAACGAACGCCAAGTTTGTGTGGCTTTGAGCTCTGGTGAAATTGTCTACTTCGAATTGGATGCTGATGGTACTCTGGCCGAATACGACGAGCGTCGACAAATGTCTGGCACCGTCACATCCCTCAGTCTTGGCGAGGTCCCCGAAGGCCGAGTCCGGAGTTCCTTCTTAGCCGTTGGCTGTGATGATTCTACTGTTCGTATTCTCAGTCTCGATCCCGACTCAACTCTCGAGAACAAGTCTGTTCAGGCTTTGACGTCTGCGCCATCTGCCCTTCAAATCATGGCTATGGCCGATTCAAGCTCTGGAGGCAGCACCCTTTATCTTCACATTGGTCTTTACTCTGGAGTTTACCTCCGCACTGTCCTGGACGAAGTTACTGGCGAGCTTTCAGATACCCGAACTCGTTTCATTGGTGCCAAGCCCGTGAAACTGTCTCAAGTGTCTGTGAAGGGCCAAACTGCCGTCCTTGCACTGAGCGCTCGCCCGTGGCTCGGATATTCTGACGTCCAGACCAAGAGCTTCATGCTCACCCCCTTGGACTATGTTGGTCTTGAGTGGGGATGGAACTTTTCTAGTGAGCAGTGTGTGGAAGGAATGATTGGTATCCAAGGCCGAAACCTAAGGTATGTTTCTGTCTCTTCACCCTGTCCCTTTCCCCGATCAAATGATGTGAAAAACATTCCGAACTTCTATGTGGATCAAACCTTTTTATTTTTCCAATTGTTCCTGCTGAGATCAACAACACCTCTTGTCGCTGAAATAACGAACTTTCGAATATGACGCTGACTTGAAACAGGATTTTCTCTGTGGAGAAACTCGACAACAACATGCTGCAAGAGTCTATTCCGCTTGCCCACACACCTCGACGATTCGTCAAGCACCCGGAACAACCACTCTTCTATGTCATCGAATCCGACAACAACGTTCTCTCTTCCGCCACTCGCCAGAGACTTATTGAGGATTCTCAGGCTCGCGATGGTGAAGTTGCAGAGCTCCCACCGGCCGAATTCGGGTATCCTCGCGGAACTGGGCACTGGGCCTCATGTATTCAAGTCGTTGACCCAGTCACCACCAAGTCTGTCGTCTTCACTCTCGACCTCGAGGACAATGAAGCAGCCGTCAGCCTCGCTGCCGCGAACTTCTCGAGCCAAGACGATGAAACCTTCCTGGTCGTCGGTACGGCGAAGGACATGGTTGTCAGCCCTCCCTCATCCAAGGGAGGCTTCATTCATATCTACCGCTTCCAAGATGATGGCCGCGATTTGGAGTTCATTCACAAGACAGAGGTGGAGGAGCCTCCCCTAGCTCTTCTCGGTTTCCAAGGACGTCTGCTTGCAGGTGTTGGCACCAGCCTTCGTCTCTATGACCTCGGTATGAAGCAGTTGCTTCGAAAATCTCAGAAGGATGTTGTGGCGAAGACGATTGTCGGTCTTCAGACCCAAGGAAGCCGCATCGTTGTCAGCGACGTTCGCGAAAGTATCACCTATGTTGTTTACAAACACCAAGACAACGTTCTCGTTCCTTTCGTCGATGATTTCATCGCACGTTGGACTTCGGCGACTACAATGGTCGACTACGAGACTACTGCGGGTGGTGACAAGTTTGGTAACCTTTGGTTGCTGCGCTGCCCACGCAAGGCCTCTGATGAAGCCGACGAGGATGGTTCGGCCGCCCATCTCCAGCACGAAAAGGGTTATCTCCAAGGCACTCCGTACCGCTTCGACTTGATGATCCAATACTATGTCCAAGACATCCCGACAAGCATTCACAAGACTCAGTTGGTTCCCGGAGGTCGAGACATCTTGGTTTGGACCGGTCTCCACGGCACCATTGGAATGCTTGTCCCCTTCATGGGCCGTGAGGACGTCGACTTCTTCCAGCTTCTGGAGACCCAAATGGCTACTACCCAGCCACCTCTCGCTGGTCGTGACCATCTGATGTATCGCAGTTACTATGCGCCTGTGAAGGGTGTCATCGATGGAGATCTCTGCGAGATGTATCTCCTTTTGCCTAACGACACGAAGATGATGATCGCTGCGGAGCTTGATCGCTCAGTTCGTGAGATCGAGCGCAAGATTTCGGTAAGTTCATGGTTCTGTTGGCACTATATCCTGGCCATGTCACTAACTTTACTCAGGATATGCGAACACGTGTGGCCTATTAATTTCGGTTTAGCCCCGGCGTTTTTGCTGCCCTCTTATCGGGCTTTAGATACCTCTTTCACATAATGGATGATGACTTGGTGGCTTCCAAACCACATGCAATCGTTCCTCCGAGTCCATGTCTCGACGGTTACGTATACCTTCCCTGCTGGCGCTGGCCATTAAAATCCCAGTCGTCTCTTTCCTCGCTCGGTTTGCCGCTTCCCTCGGCTAATCTTGAGCTGGATGCATCCGGTCACTTCAAGTGCTGGTTTGTTTGAGACAAGAACAAGCGTGAAAACGCCTCGACGCTTTTTGAGTACGATTTGATCCGCAATGCACCACGGGTCTGCGTCGTAATTTATCAGTCGGGACATCCCATTCTCTACCTAGGTAGCTTGTAATTGTATCTCGTACCAATGTCATATCCTTTGATCTTGTGATCTCTTCTATTATATGCTTTGCATCCCTACCGTTCTTGTAACGTGTAACGACTACGAGTAGATCTTCCGGCAAAGGCCATTCCAGGCTTCGTGCCTGTGAACCATGCAGTCCTGGTCAAACACCAGCAGCCTTCTACATCATTCTATTACGTTGCCGCTCCTTCGACGCCCTACGGCATATGCCAAATTCTTATTTCCAAGGTGGTACCACGCTGCGATGCTCAAGATCTCCAGGACAAAGGCACAAGATCGGCACTCCTAACCGCAAGCGCATCCGGCTCGAAATGTGCCACACAGTGCAGACCAGAGCCAGATCAATCATCCGATTCAGAAGATGAAGCAGAGCCGCCGCATGGATGATGTCGACGGCGCCAGCGATCCCCGCAAGGGACAGCCCTGGAGATCTACATACCAAGTCAGCTGCCATAGAACGCGCTTCCAACCCCTTGTCTTGAAACCTTGGATTTCAGATCCTAGATCGAGAACCTCCTTTTAACCCCCCACTCCAATCGGGTTGATCGCCGGAGCATGGTCAACTGCTATTCGTGGAGGATGTGGGAGATCATGCATTCAAGAGGACGTCTTGCCTGCTTTAACGGGCGCGATGGTACCGTGGTAGCGGGTGATCACATTGTCTTGGCCAAGGGAGCGGATGTAGGCGTGGGTACTAACATGTCAAGCTTTGAACGTTGTGATACCCTCAACGGGTCGATCTTCTGGGCAATATGGAGACTTGCAATTGGAATATCGGGTGGGTCTTGATCTGATTCGGTGGGATTTAGCTGTATGTTTCAAGGGTCCATCTCTGACCAGGTGAGGATCAGTGGGAGCTCATTTTCTTGATAGTCGAGTGTCCAAATCGGTGTGAACAGTTGGTACATCGGATGAGCATGCAAAGTGTATGCAAGGTTTGTTTCTCGAATGTTTTTGTTCTCAGACTGGGGAGTGAAGAGTACGTAGAAGCAATTTGAGGCTTCGAATGTGCTCCGTGATGGATAGGGGAGATCGAGAGGAATAGTCTAGTAATATCGACTCCTAGTGCCTGTTGATCCCGATGACGTTGGTGCATGTACATTGAAACCAATATATTTGTCTATTTGCATTCACATACATACAGTACATACTGTAGAACAGATCAACTGCAATGGAACCCTGGAATATACTATACTTCTAATCCCGTGACGCAATTCGGTAGACCTCCTTTACACCGATCACTCCGATCACGCCAGCGAAAAATGAGGTCGGCCCATCTCGACTCGGTTATGTTCGGAAATTTCTGGGGCTCCCGACACTAGACTCCGTCTCGTTTCCCGAGGGAAACTCGCGACATCAACTTGTGAGTTGTGAATGAACAGATGCCCTGGTGTCTACTTGATATCTTTGGAAATACGAGAGAGATGCTGGACTCCGTATTCCGCTTTGAAATCAACCGGACAGAGTTTCCCAGCCGTGCATGATTGGCCGCCAGCAGCTCGAGAATGTGAACGGACCAGGTGGAGACACGAAGGGCGTGTGAGGCGTCTCCACCGGTTGATCTTCAAACCTGAACTTATGCCGTTAACTGGTTCCCTGACCTGACTGGCTCTCTGACTGGACTCTGATTAGGCTTGTCCTTATTCTCCGATGCGCAACTGCGCAAAAATCAGATACCTCATGTTCTGGATCGCAGGGGCACATAATTTCGAAGAGCTGACGCATCCCAGGGCTCCAAATGTCGATGTCCCAAGGGTACTTCCCTAGGGTAGCTAGTCTCGGCAAATACCTTTGCTATGCGGAATGTCAATCCAAGGGCGCGAACAGAGACGGACCCTCTCAGCCGGGCCACCAATCAGGCGTATTGTTTCCTTACGTGGATGTCATTCAGGCTCGGCCTTCCTTACATTGACCGTGAGAGTGCTCACTTTTGGGCGCTACACGTGGGTTCTCGTCATGCTTGTGAGTCAGATGGTACGCGTAGAGTCCAATTTGTAAGAACTTTGATGTTCTGAGGTTCAGTTGTTCAGTATATAACTGCCCCATACTCCGTACTCCGTGCACTCCATAGTCCCCAGTGCGGTTGTCGACGGTCTCCACTACTTATTATTTTTTTTTTCTCAGACACCGAAGTATTGATTATTTTTTGTTTAAATCCATTTTCATACCCCGACTTGTCGCTTCATTTCGCTCAGCTTTCGTCGCGACTACCCATACGAGGATACTCCCCACGGAACCCGACTATACGCCATGTCGGCTGCAACTTCGATTCTCAGCTCGGGCTCCGAGAAGCTGGATGCATGGACTCGACGAGCTCAACCCAAGGTGGAAATTGATCTGGCTGGACAAAAGCAGGGTCATGTCAATTCATATACCACCGGAGAGAGCGTCGAGGGCATTGTAAACATTACTGCGGAACATGATACACGATTCGAGGAAGTGGAGATTGTGTTAGAAGGTATCTTTCCTGTTATATGCCAATGCCAGGACTTTTGATTGACAAGGGTTCAGGACGATCTCGTACTACGGTAGAACGAGCATCATGCCCCGGCCGCACCGGGTCACAACAGATGTTCCTGAAGTTGCGCCAGCCCATTGAGGATGACGAATACCCAACCCCTCGTGTGCTGGAAGGTGGCCGTTCATACCAATTCCCCTTCACCTTTGTCGTGCCAGACCGTCTGCTGCCTCAAGTCTGTTCCCATACCAAGCTCAATGATCATGTCGGACGCTCGCACACTATGCTCCCACCAAGCTTGGGCGATCCAATGCTGGGAAGTGATGGGAAAACCCTCATCGATGACTTGGCTCCCGACATGTCGCAGGTGGCTTACATTGTGCGAGCATCACTTCACCAAAAGCGACACGAAGGTCAGGCAGCCAAGTCAATTGCCGGGGTTGCCAAGAAGGTCCGCATCATTCCAGTCGTGGAGGAAGAGCCTCCAGTCGAGATCTCCGAGGCCTCATCTTTCTGCCTGCGAAAGGAGAAGACCGTCAAGCGTGGAACACTACGAAGCACGCTGGGCCGACTAGTCGCCGGAACAGCACAGCCCAAGCCGATCCAATTGCTGCCCCCCAGCTGCGAGCCATCCGATACTGTGAGCACAGTCACTACAGTAAACCTCAGATTTGATCCAGTAGGGAACGAAGTGCCACCCCCACTCGGCACGATGACCAGCAAGCTTCGCTCCAGCACTTTCTACAGTGCCTCGCCCTGGGAGGACTTCCCTTGCGGAACAGGCATGCCGTTCTCTTCAGTCGGACGTGGTCTATACAGCGAGGCAGTCCCTCTCTCAACCATGTGTGTCGCCTCTGCACAATGGACCAAGCACTCACCCGACTCTCGCCGCGACTCAGCCACCTCGACATCCTCATCCGACTCAACGGGCCCATCCTCCATATTCGCAGGCGAGACCTACTACACGGCCTCAATCGTCATCCCAATCACCCTTCCCAAGAACAAGACCTTTGTCCCGACATTCCATTCCTGTCTCATCTCCCGCACCTACTCTCTCGAGCTCTCCTTGACGTATCACACTCCCGCGGCAAACATCATGACTCCGACCGTCTCCCTTCGCGTGCCGATCCAATTCACCAGCCAGAACTATACCCAGTCTATCAAGTCCTCCCTCGGCCTTGTGGTCACACAAGAGGAATTGGACGAATTCTTCCACCCTCGCAATGTGACTTCTCCAACCAACTTTTCAAACCAAGTCAGCGATGTTGTCATCGAGCTCGCGCCTCCAGGCTACTCGGAGACAATTGGCGTGGCGACTCGCTGAAAGTCAAACAGCACACGCCTTGATCTTTGGATTGTCGGCCATCATAATTTCTCGATCTGCTACACAAAAGTCTTCCATTCGCTCTGTACCACCCGATGGTCTTTTTGATTTTTTACGAATATACCCTCTGTTGTTCATGTTGTTCATGTCTTTCTAAGTTGTACCTTGATTCACAATAAATATCATTTCTCCACCTTAATCAACATGTATGATGTCACGGCTAAAATTAGAGAGAAGTGAACAGTTTAATTTATGGGTTTAAACTGGGTCTCTACCCTGAAAATCCGTGGAGAAAGTGAAGTCTGGAACGACGTTCTGATTGCCTACTAAAAAAAAGAGCAAAGCTTACAAGCATTTCAGAGATTCCACTTTTCGTCCCTTCTAACTTTTGCGCCCAATCTGTAAATCAGAATCGGAACCGGAACGAGAGCCAACGCAATAAAACCCAAGAGTGAGTTACCCCAGCCAATCCCCATAGCATGGTACATCTGCGGGCCAGCAAGAGGCAAAAAAGCAGCCACGACGCTCCGCATGACCGCAAAGGCAGCAAGCGCACTAGCGGAATACTGCGAGTACGCGTCAACAATATAGGCCTGAGTCGTCAGCCAGACGCATTCAAAGCCAATGCCGAAAAAGACCAGTCCGATCACCGGCACGATCCAGAAGACCCCCTTCTCGCTACTCCAGCCATATAGGAAGAATGCAATTGGCAGACATGGAGCACAGTAGATGCATATGGGTAGTCGCATCTCGGCCTCGTATACACCACTGTTGAGTCGGGTCTTGTGGATGATTGATCTGTCGGAGCATGTGAAGAAGATGGTCACACCGATGCTGTACCCGACCAAGAGGGCTAGGTAGACGATACCGGTGATACCGGTTGACCAGCCATAAGTGCCCTCGAAGACTGTGGGGATGGTATTGAAAAACAAATAGAGGCAGCCATACGCGAAAGCAATGTAGAGAGAGACGCCGAAGACAATTGCCGAGCCGAAAAGCAGTCGGAAAGGCCTGACGAGACCCCTGACAAGAATTTCCCGGTTGGAGAGAACCGACGCATCATCTGTGAAGCAGCTTTGCAAGCCAGGTCGATTCAGCTCTTTTCGCAGTTGCATTGTCTTTCTTTCGATGAGAACTTGATGATTGGTCTCGTGGTTGAATACTGCCATTGCAACGACAACCCCCGTCGCTGGGATTAGAGTAATCCAATTCAACCAACGCCAGCCTATCTTCTCGGAAACGAAACCTCCCACCACTGGCGCCACAGAAGGGCCCATTATCGGCCCAAGCATCCACACAGCCATTGCCTTGCCCCGTTCATGGACAGGGAACATATCGGCAACTATAGCGCCTCCCACAGTCTGCGAGGCTGATCCACCAACTCCACACAGGAATCTGAAGAAGATCAGTGTTTCTATTGACGGGGCAAGCGCACACCCAATCAACCAGACACAGAAGAAAAGACTCGCGAGAACCATGATAATATGCCGACCATATATCTCCGAAAGAGGCGACAGAAACAGAGGTCCGACTGCGTATCCCAAGAGGAATATACTGACGGGTATAGCGCCCTTAGTGATGTTTGTGACGTTGAATTCCGCCTCGATAGACGATATCGCCGGGGCGATGATGGAAGAAGCGAATGGAGTCATGAAACCAATGCCCGAAAGAAGACTCGTGGTTAGCCATTTCCGCGCCGGAGTGAAGTTGAGCGGATTCTTGGGGTCGCTGTGACTCTCCCAGCCGACAATGCTGTTGTCCATATCCATCAAGTACTTGGTTGAAGCATCTGGCCGATGTGTCTCGCCTTCTTCGACCTTCGTGCTATACTCGACTTTCTCATTGTGGGCATTCTGCCAATGTCAACGGAGTCCGGGATTGGGGTTCGTAGATACATACTTGTGTCTGAGGCTGGTCATCTTGCATGACAGTGGGTGGGTCCATACTTCTGTATAAATTTGAGGCCAAGAGAGCCCTGGGAGTATTAGAGAGTGTGAAATTGAGGTGTGAGAGAGAAAGAGCGAGAGTGAAAGTGAGAACGAGGTTGTACATCAATTGAGGCATTGGAAGGCGCCGTTAATAACCAGGCCGGAAACCATCCGCGACCCACTTGTCAAGTACAAGGCGTAGAAGTTGCGCATTTGAGGTTTCTGTTATAAATTGTGCTTGGCTCTCGGGGGCTAAGGACACCCGCTTTGGGGTATCGCGGGGACTCCACGCCATTGTTCCGGCTCCATTTCCGATTCCCGATGCTACGTTCGCACTGTCTAAGTTGAATTGCCCTGCATACACACAAAGCATGTGCATGAACCCGCGAGAAGTGAGCGATTCCGTTTTTCTGGTGTACTGAGTAGCGTGTGTTAGTACCTACCTAGGTAGGTATGCAAAGCCACAAGCACATTCAGTCACGCACCGTTATCGCGCGCAAAGATTGGGATACAAAGCTTGGGTGTAACGAATGTGAGAGGTTTCAGAGGGGATGTGAATGGAGATTTATAAACTCCGTGACTCAGACAATCCCATCACTCAGCGCAACCGACGCCATTTCAAGGTCCGGGTAGGAAACCCATCCAGACATACAGGCAAAGTAATTACGACCTCGGGAAGCAAGCCCCTGGATAGGCTATCTTCATCACAGAACCAGTAAGGCGCATCGTATAGGAGGCTCGTTGAAGGAGCAGAGCCGAGAGTCGGCAAATCTGGATACGAAGGAAAACATCGCTTGCCGAAGATGTGAGGTGAATCGATAAATGTAGCCAAGGAAGTCGGGAGGGATGATATACTCCTTGCACCAGGCACTCGGGAGATATTCAAGTGACCCCAGACGAGCCATGGGCAAAATAATACGTTAAGTCTAGTTCTCCACAAATGTCCACGGTCGGATGAAGCCCAATACGAGCCGACGAGACCATCATTGATCCCCGGATGATTCTGTCAACTCCCTGCTCGGCACAGAAATATCCAAAAATCCAATCGAGTCCAATATCGCAGTTCAACTCCTACCCCAAACGCCAGACTACCGATCCGAAGTGGTTCCTCAGACCCAACATCATCCCCATTCTATAAGTCCGAGGTCTGTTTTGTCCGATCTTCCCCAAACAAAGTTCCTCAAATACGCTATCGAGAGCAACCTGAGTTTCAATTTCTCTATCAAGCCCCAATGTTGCGTTCTCGGTCTTTGCGGCATTCAAGAGCCGGTGCCGCTCAGATCGCTCCGGATGAGAGTGAGTTCTTGAGCTTCTTATACAAGCCGCAACGCTAAACGGCATATAGACCGAAGCATATGGAAGAGTGTAAGGACCGATCAATGTCCGAGGTCTCGGCTATACTAAATTGGATTGGAAGATCATTCATCTCAATACTCGTGGACCCTGAGGCACCCTGAGACAGGCATTGGAAACTCCATGCAGCAAAAGCCCAATATCTGAAGCATCAGCCACGTGAGAACCGAGGACCGTTGATGATGCGCTGGTGCAGTGGACCTAGCATCACTACCTAGGTATGCGGAGGGTATCCAGGAACCTCCGGTCGCATGGCTCAAGTGTTACATTGATGATGTCCAAAGGACCCTGGTTCCTGCAGACAACTTGGAACCCGGTCTATTGAGCTAGTTTCGAGTCGCCGGCCTTGTCAACCCTATCCTCAACCCTGTGTACGTCTTCATCTTGCGGATGCTACCGCCTTGGTTACATCGATTGACAATCCAGAGCCTCGTAGTTGTATCAGTTCGTTCTCAGAGATCTAGCCAAAAGAACCCCAAACAACATATGCCCCGATCATTTCACTTTCGTGTCGCTGCGAGAATACTTGAGATGACAATGTCACCATTCTCAACACCCAGAGACGTGATTGGTCGATGTAGCTTACAGGGAGACTAGGGAGATTATCGCAAAAGCCCAGGCTATGATCTCAGAGTGTTGCACCGAATGATTGACTATTGGCGCTAGGCAAGATGAATTGCTTGCTTCGGTCACCGAGATACCTGAGACGAGATAAATGAAGGTTCATATTAGCAGGTAATGACTGACTAGCACGAAGACCAACCAAATCGAAACAAATGAATAGAAATCCTGTATTTTATCTTCCATTGAATACACCAAGGTTCAATGCTATTGTCCTAATGGGGTCTCGGTGGCCCCAAAGGGACAATTGGAGCAGTCAATGGTACTCATTCGAAATGAATCAGATGAACTTGAAGCTTCAACCAGAGCGCAATTCGGATGGCTCTCTCATCTCTTCTCTATAAATACATCTCTCTCAACCGTTTCATTCCACTTCTTCTCTTTCTCTTCCCAACCTACTATCATCTTTCGACCAACCGACTCGCTGGAACGAGCCCCTCTAGACAGTCATTTGCAACCAGTTACACTCCTTGACCATGCAATTCTTCATCTTTTTGCTGGCAGGCTTGAGTTGGCTAGCCAACGCTGCCTCCATCCCTACTCTTCGATCCAACATCACTGAGATTGAGTCTCGTGATGTTGGCGATGTCAACGGATATCGCTCTGTGGCATATTTTGTGAACTGGGTAAGTAGGCTTCTCTGATTCAAGCCAGAGCATTACCTGTGATGCATAGAATGAGAGGCTCACAGAATTATCACCAGGGCATCTACGGACGCAATTTCCAACCTCAGGATCTGCCCGCCGAGAAGCTCACGCAGTACGTATCTCATATACCCATGGGCGGGTGGACTGGTGGAGTTGAAGAGTCCTCGCCAAAGCTGACTATTCTATAGCGTTCTTTACGCCTTTGTCAACCTTCGCACTGATGGATCTGTCTTTCTTTCCGATACTTGGGCCGATACTGATAAGCATTACCCAAGCGACTCATGGAATGACTCTGGAAACAATGTCTACGGCTGTATCAAGCAGCTATTCTTGCTCAAGAAGAGAAACCGCAAGCTCAAGGTTCTTCTGTCTATTGGAGGCTGGACCTACTCTAACAGCTTTGCTCCCGCCTTTGCTACCGATGCAGGGCGACAGCGATTTGCCGATTCTGCAACTGAGTTGGTGAAGAACCTCGGCGTTGATGGAATTGACATTGATTATGAAGTGAGTGATTAGAGCATCTGCGGTTGATCAAGGAACATTGTCATTGACTTATTTGAAGTACCCCCAAAATGATGACCAGGCCGACAAGTTCGTCGATGTTCTTCGACGCACGCGAGCGGTATGTCCACCAGCATATAGCCAACCTTGCGAGGATAAATAATTGATGATTGCAGGCCTTGGATAACTACAGCGCTGGTAATGCAGGAGGATATCACTTCTTGCTTACAGTCGCATCTCCAGCTGGTAAGTGGCATCACTCCCAAGAATGACATTCAACTAATCTCCCAAGGTCCGGAGAAATATCGCCAGGAGCGATTGAATCAAATGGACCAATATCTCGATTTCTGGAACCTGATGGCATACGACTACTCCGGAAGTTGGGACACGATCGCCGGTCACGATGCCAACATCTACGCATCCAACAGCAGCCCATCCAGCACCCCCTTCAACACGGACCAGGCAGTCAACTACTACATCTCACAGGGTGTGGCTGCTCACAAGATTGTCATGGGTATGCCTCTCTATGGTCGCCAATTCACGAACACCAATGGACCCGGAACCCCATTCAACGGTATTGGACAAGGAAGCTGGGATGTGGGCGTGTGGGACTACAAGGCGCTGCCTCTCCTTGGTTGTGCAGTTACTGAACTGAGTCAACTCGGTGCAAGCTACTGTTACGATCAAGGAAAGAGGGTTTTTATCAGCTATGACACACCTGCCATCGCGCGCCAGAAAGCTCAGTACATCAAGTCTCGAGGACTTGGTGGTGGCATGTGGTGGGAAAGCAGCGCGGACAAGAAAGGAGGTGATAGTTTGATCGCTACGGTATGCTCAGGTTTTCATCGAGTGCCGAATTAAACTGACATGTATAGGTTGTGGATAACCTTGGAGGCATCAATGCTCTGGAGCAGACCGGGAATCAGCTGGGCTATCCCGCCTCCAAGTACGACAACGTGAAGAAAGGATTCAACTAGGATCCTCGTTCTCTGACTTACATGCTGGTAAATTCCATGCCCTCTCAACACGGAACGGAAACAAATTGGATTTCTGCAGGGATATCTTGTTCGCCTTGGGACAGATCAGAGGCGCTTCTAGTGGATAGAAGCGCTCTCGCACTTGGCAGAAATCTAGCTCAGAATTGATATCAAATTTGGAAAGGAAAGCTCTCTCAGCGTAGATGAACAGAAATTATTTTGCTTCAAGGTTCGCACATAAATATAAAATTAAGACCGATGCACCGTCATTCTAATATTCCAATATTCCATCATGATGATCCTTGACGCCCCGAAAGACAAACGTCCAATTACCAGACCAATCCACCCAAACAGCCATTCAGGATTTATCTTGCAATTCTCCAACCTGATTAGTATCGCTGATAGATCCAGCAGAAGGAGAAATACTCGAATCACCCTTCCCTTCGTGGCCATGAATCGCTTCAGTAACAATCCTATTACCTCGTAGTCCACGATATACATCGCGAATTTGTTGAATACCACCATCGAAGATGGGATAGAAAATGGCAACCAGCATGCTGAGCCACAGCCAGATGATACCAACGACAACCCATGCGATGTAAAACTTGGAGAATGTTAGCTTTTGGCTCAAAAAGCAAGATCAGAACAAGATCAACATACCTTTTTCGAATACACATAACCGGACCCAGGGGGAAATCAGCCAAGTTCCAACACCACACTACATCAATAGACAAAAATAACTCACCCATACATAGGCAATGGCCAGATAACCCAGTGACCCAAAAAGGTTGCAGCAGCCCAGAAAGCGGCAATAGTGGCCCATCTCTTCAATTCCTTTTGATCAGGCCCGGAGACACGACCACCATCCTCGATACTCCCCTCAGGGACCTCATGATGATGGGAAGTCGTCAGATCACTGTCAAGTTTCTCAAGCGAGAGCTTCTCCTTTTTGAAATCATCCCAATTGTAGTTCTGTGGTCGGATAGCCGTGATGACAACGGAGTACAAGATCGGCGACAAACACGATGCGACCGTCCCATACATACAGGGGAGGACCTCGCCAGTCGACGCAACAGAGACCTCGCCGCTAAAGCGTGATGCCAGACCAAGCCATACAGCAAGGCCTGTGGCAAGTCCTAGAACGGGCGAGAGGATCGCAGCAGCTTTGCTCTGGCGGCGCCAGAGGATAGTGAAGATCATCGGGAAGATGCCGGGGCATGTCACAACACCTGAAAAGCATTAGATTGAACAAAACACTCATGACAATTTTGGAACCCACCGAGCATATAGAGTGTCCAGCCGAGATTGATCCCGACGTAATGGAGCATCGTGCTGAATCCAGCAGAGAAAGCAGCGAAGAAGATCACGCCAAAATGGCTGACCCGGATCAAGTCCAGGTCTGTAGCTTTCTTCTTGAAGTACTCGCGATAGACATCAAAGCTCAGAATAGAGCTGACGGCAATCACTTGAGCGGAAAGTGTCGACGTGCAGGCCATGAAAGTCATGAGAAGAACAGCTGCCGCGCCTCCCTTTCCTGCGAGTGTGATTGCAGCGTAGGGGAGAACGAGCCCGTTGCTCACCTCATCTGTAGTCATTCTCTACTTGATATTAGAGATTTTGATTCGAGACTGATGGGTATTCGGCTTACTCTGGGGAAAGTTGGGAAATTGGGCTGGTTCTCCAAGCCCAGGGCAACAGAGCTCATCACTGTTCCGAGGCCCCAGGGAATGGCGAAGTAAGCAATTCCTCCGATGGTGTATCCGGGTACTACAGCAGCAGGGGAGGCGGAGAAAGCTTTGATGAAGTAACTTGTATCCATCTGTTCGAGTTAGAGGAGGTATGATCGGAACTGTCAGTTTACTCACAATGACCAGACCGAAGTTGCCGAGTGTGTGTAGAATTCCAAACAAGATTGCCTATTCATAGTGAGATATGGTTCTGATGTATCAGGGATTGATTCATACACTTTTGGATGTCATCGTCAGATAGGATCCGTCCTGGTTGCCAGAGACTGGGTTTCGCTGTGCCGCTGCCTGAAGAAGCTCGAAAAGATCGCCCACGGAGCCAATTTGGTCGTTTGAGAAGGCCTTGACGGAGAAATAACAAGCAATGATCATAATAATGGCCGTGTGGAAGTAATCAGTGAGGAAACTGTTCGTTCGTTAATGACTGTGTGTTCAGTCGGGTAGGAGGAGTACTTGCGTTGCTTTGATACCACCAACAAATGTATAAACTGTCACCCCGACTGGGAGCAAAAATGTAGCTGCGATAATATGCATGCCGGTACTGAGACTGTCAGATGGGCCAAGCAAAAAGATAGGAATAACTTACACGGCAGTGATAACTGCAGCTGCACCGAGTAACATGTTGGCGCAAGCGAAAATATTGTTCACAAGACAGAGAATCATAAAGACAACATGGGCAACTCGTCCTATAAAATATCAGTATGCTCCAAACCGTATCATAACTCAACATACCATATCGGATCCTCACAACTTCAAGTGAAGTGTGCGCCTCGGGAATCTTTCGCTTGCAAGAGATTCCCAACAAGGCAAAGAAGACAATCATAGGGCTACAGCCTGCTGCAAACCAGAAAGGTCCCGCAACACCATAGTCATAGCCGACAAATGAAGATCCCAATAATGAAGTTGACCAGAGCCAAGACTGTGATTGTCAGTGAGTGGTCAAATGCAAGGGCGGGAGACTGACTGATATCACTGCCGATGCAGTGAGCCCTGTTCGAACTGTACGGTTTGCTGTCATAAACCTGCCTCCGTCAGCATCTGGCAGATTCCGGGGAAAGGGGAACTTTCTACATACATTTCGGTCCTTTCATTGTCTTCGCCGGTAGTTTTCTTCAAAACTTTGGTGATGAGCATCATTGCTGTTGGGGTGAGCCTAGTGATTCGGAGATTTACCAGCGAGTTTTGGAAAGCCTACCTAGAGCAATGATCACTCCGATTACGACAACGACGACATACCCAACCGCCTGGGACAGGGGCGGCTGAACTGTCGAAATGCCATCGCGAGTTTGCAAAATTGTCATTGTGCGGGAACACGCAGTCTTAATCAAGTAGACCTGGTCTGAACTTGGGTGTAAACCAAAGAGGTTCGTACAGGCTTCAAGTCATACGAATTTCAAGTGGGCAATCAAGGGTTTATGTAGTCTATATCCTTCGGAGTGTAGATCATGAGAAGTTATGTTCTTCTTTTTAAGAGAAGGTGTTCGTGATAGGGTCCGCAATGGCTTGATTTATGTTGGCGATGAGGTGCTCAGTGCGCGGCTGAAATCCTTCGATATCTTCGATTAAAGTTTAGAGACATCTATGATATCACTCGCGCGGAAGATCTTTTACAGTCAAATTGGCGCTATATATCGCCCTCATGTGTGTATATTAGGTCGCGTTGTTCCAAGGGCAAAATGTCACTCAATTGCACCATCAGAGCGTACCGCAAGAAGCCAAGGAACAGCCGAAATCTTGGGACCAAAATTGAGAGCCCTGGAGAAAGAAGGGTTCAGCATAAGAGCCATAGCGCCAATGGTAGGGAAGCAAAATGCAAGCGAGGCGAGGAACTGCGAGCATTCCGAACTTTGTGAAATCACATCACCAGAGACCTACCAAACACCTATGTTTCTCGGGCGAGAAGATCCCCGGCCTGAGATTAATAGTATCTGCATAATCCAAGTTTAATTGGGACACTGCCAATCACATGCATGTATTGTAGCCCCTAAAAGACCCAAAATCAGTGCTGATCCATGATCTCCGGCACGCCATCGCGGCCCACTTTGATGCTATAGATGTGACGCGGGGTGACTTGGGCTTCTTTATAAATGAAAGAGTCCCTTCAGATGCCGTGTTCAAGAATTGCATATTATCTAGTCTAATTGGGACAGGTATCTTCTTGAAATTATCACCATGTCCACCGAGAAACCTCGCAAATCACTCATCCTGAATGCCTTCGTGGAAATGTGTATGTGAAGGAAAAGCACAGATATCCCAGCCAATTGCTAATAATTTAAAGGCAGCGGACACCAGTCCCCTGGGCTATGGAGACATCCCGAGGATGAGTCGCATCGCTTCAACGATGTCGACCATTGGGTGGAGTTAGCGCAGCTCTTGGAATCGGCCAAATTCCACGGAATTTTCATCGCAGATGTTCTTGGTAAGACCAAAAAAGCCCAACCTGAGAGTTGAACTAACGAGAAATCTGAATAGGAGGCTACGACGTCTACAAAGGCCCTAGAAATCTCGATCCCGCGATAATTTCCGGCGCGCAATGGCCAGTGAATGAACCCTTGGCTGTAGTTCCTGCTATGGCAGCGGCCACCAAAAACATCGGGTTTGGTGTCACAGTTACAACAACATATGAACCTCCATACCATCTCGCTAGGCGACTTTCGACGGTTGATCATCTCACCAAGGGCCGGTAAGTGAACACAATCTAAATCTCAAAAGCCACCGCTGACTTGAAGTGAACCACAGCCTGGGTTGGAACGTACGTGAAAGACTTTATTCCAAATACGAAAATCAACCGCGGAAAGAATGCTGAAAGCCTTCAGGTCGTCACAGGATATCTTGATTCCGCCGCTCGCAACCTAGGCCAAGCCGAACAGCCCCATGTAAACACCCCGCTATCGGTTCAAGGAACATGAACTAATCTTCGGACAGCACGACGACCGTTATCTTCTCGCAGAAGAATATATCAAAGTCACCTACAAGTTATGGGAGTCATCTTGGCGTCAAGACGCCGTGATTCGAGACCGCGAGCGCGGCATCTATACAGACCCCACAGGCGTGCGAGAGATTAACCATGTAGGCAAATACTACAATGTGCCCGGGCCACATTTGTGTCAGCCAAGTCCACAACGTACCCCGGTGATTCTACAAGCAGGAACCTCCAAGGCAGGCAAGACGTTCGCAGCGCAGCATGCCGAGGCGATATTCGTGGGTGGCCACAGTCCTTCCGTGGTAGCGAAGAACGTGAAGGAAATTCGCGAGTTGGCTCAGAATGAGTTCGGTCGTGATCCTCGAAGCATCAAGTTCCTTGCTCTGATCTGTCCTGTTTTGGGTAAAACTGAGGAAGAAGCAGTTGAGAAGTTCAAGCATTACCGTAGCTTGGGATCAATCGATGGTGCTCTTGCGCTCTTCGGTGGATGGACTGGCATCGATTTGGATACTTATGGAGACGACGAAGAACTGCGACATGTTGAGAGTAACGCGATTCGGTGCGTATGACTTTCTGGACTTGTGGAATGCGCTGACTGGTACAGATCTGCCGTCGAGGGATGGTCAAAAGCCACACCCGGGGTGGCCAAGTGGACGAAGGCTACTGTCGGCCAGCACATCACTGTTGGCGGTCTGGGGGCGACGCCTGTTGGAACAGCCGCCCAAGTCGCGGATAACATGGAGCGCTGGGTGGAAGAGGCAGATGTCGACGGCTTCAACTTGGCATATGCCATCAAACCCGGATCCTTCAAGGATATCATCGAGCTCTTGATCCCAGAGCTGCGAAAGCGTGGACTTTTCTGGGATGACTATGCCGCCCCCAAGGGAACATACCGGGAGAACCTCTATGGAGAACCAGGACAGTCAGGTCCCCCAGCAGACCATCCCGCCTCGAAGTATCGGTGGAATGCTGGGGTTGATGCCGCAGATGCTCCTGTCCCAGATAATTGATCCAGAAATCAGATCACACATATTGAATCACAGAGCATTCAATTTGCCAAACATCTTCTACCGAGTGAACAGCTCTGAAACAGGATGAGAACAATAAATTTTAGTACAGAATATCCGTAGACAATTATCTGTATATTCTAAGGACGCCAAAAATGCGAATTTTGTACAAAAAGAACACTAGGTCAGCATATCATCAAGGCGCTCACCAAGCACCTTCTCAATCTGCTTGACCCACTTCCTGACCTCTCTCTCGACATTTTCATCTTCATCTTCCATCAACTCGCTGATGTAAGGCAGCATCTCCGGCAGAAGCGCCAACCATTCCTCGCCAAGCTGCTCAGTAAGAGCCTGTTCGGTCTTGAGGGCCGCAAGGCGAGTGAAAGCGCTGTCACCACCAGCAGAGCGGGCATTGGGCGCGGAGGAAGGACGGAGATACTTCATCAACGCGGAGTTGAGCTCCTTATGGTTATCCGTAGAGTCGGCGGCGAGAGCCAGCTCTGTAATTGTGGGGACAACATCGGCGATCACCATGTTTGAGGTGGTGGTGGTAGTTGCGTGGCTGAGCTGAGAGATCAAGGGACCGGAGATGCTTGCGAGATGAGATGGGGATTGCCAGAATTCTAGATATTCATGTCAGATCTGCAAATGTGAAGGGCGGCAGAGTGCACGACTTACCATCTTGGTCATGCTCGAAGGACTTGCGAAGCATGCGAAGGGCCGCAAGCCACAGGGGCTTCTGGGCCTTGGAGGGTCCGGTGGTGCTTAGGATGCTGACAACATTCTCCAACACGTAGCTGGAGTATCCGGTGACGATGGACTAGAAAAGTTAATAGGTGTCTGAGTGAGATGAATTGGTGGGAACATACCTGAAGAGTGCCAAAGAACACCTCAAGGAACTTGTAGAATGTCGTGAGGCGGGATACCTGGGCCTGCTCATCCTTCTTGGGAGCGCCGGTAGTGGCCCACTCAACGAAGCGGAGGAAGATGGGGCGGAATGTGCTGTCGTTCAGCTTGTAGATCATCTTAATGGTAACGTCATTCAGTGCGGACTCGGCCTCGTCAATGGCAGATGATTCAAAGACAGCCTTGTCGCCCAGAGCGAGCTGCTCACGACGCAGGTCAAACGCCTTGAAAAGAATCTTGGTAAGAGTACCAATGTTCTTGGCGATGGTGGACTTGGGGTGCTTGTCAACGGCAAGGGTCACTACCTCCAAAATCTCATTGACGGCAATTGGGCCAGCCTCGACGGCCTTTTGCCAATTGCGGTCGACAGCACCAAGAGTAGCGCTCACATCGACCTTGCGTGCAAGCAAGCGAAGAGACTCTTGACGACTCTCATCGCTACTTTCTTCGATGTCGGCATTAGCAGACTTGAATGAAAGAAGCAGAACCTTGTCCAAATGACCGGCAGAGATCATGAATGGCAAGTGAACGAAAAGAGCAGAGAATAATGTGAAGATGGCATCGTGGAGACGAGAGTTCTCTTTGCCAGAGACCAGGCTCTGCTCAAGCAACTCCAAGGAGCGCTTGAGGGTGTCCGGAAGGGCAGGAATCATAGCCTGGCCCAAAACCTCGGCCATAGAAGCCAGGCAGAGGACACCGATGTAGCGAATGCGGTCATCAGATTGGCCAAGGCAAGACTCGCTAGCAACAGCTCTAGCGGCTGGAATAACCTTGGAAGGATCCTTGCGGCCGTACTTGTCAGTGATGCGATCGATGCACGAAACAGCGGCATGCTTGAGCAAGATATCGGGGGAAGATTCGACGATGCTGACCAGGGTGGGCAGGAAGTCAAGGACACGGATCTGGGAAAGATTATCACGCTCGGGAGTCTGGCGAAGACGGTTCTCGAGCAGACGAAGGACCTTGCGGCGGAGCTCATCGTTGGGCCCTTGGAGAAGAACCTCGATAGTGTCCAGGAAGTCAACGAGGGACAGGGTGCTGAAGAGGGAGCCAAGTACTTCGCCACAAGCCTGGCTCACGAGCTTCATGTTCTTGACGCCCTCGCCGATGTTCAACACCTGCTCCAATACCCGAGAGAAGCACGCGCGGGATTGATCGGCGAGTTCACCTTCTGACTCGAAAGCTGCCTCAAGCTTGGACTTCAGGGACGAATGCTTAAACAGGTGGGCGAGATCCCGCAGCAAGTCAACTGAAATGCTCTGGGGGTCGCGTCCATCGTCACTACCGATACCAAGCAGGACCTGGGAGATACCAGGCTTAGGCTTGAAGGCATCGCTGATCAGCATCAGGTACTTGCTGTAGGTGGTGAGCTCAATGACAGGAGTGGCGTCGGAAACCAGGCCAGTCATCAAGGTCAGAACATCCTTGTCGGTTGAGTAACGGTTGGCAAGCATTGCCAAAACAGCGAACAAGAAGTCTTGGGTTCCAAGCTTGCTGATGAGAGCATGGAAGAGTCGCAGACGGCGGTGTGAGGGGATGTGTTCGAAAGCGGCAGTGAAGCTCAGCAGCAACTCGGAGGTGCCAGAGACAACATCCCGCTTCTGGCTGCGCAGGGATTGAATGAGAGCAGGAACAACCTGGTCAATGGTCTGGTCAATGACAGAGACAGAGTAGTCATCGTCCTTGCGAAGAACACTGGTACCCATGAAGGTGAAGATTGGCATGACACTGTGAAGAACCAACTCAGGCGCAATGACGGACAAGCTGCCGACAAGTAGAAGCGCGACATTCTGGACCTGTGGGCTATCAGTGGTGCGGACGCAATCCACGACCAAATCAGCCCGAATAACGGAGACATCGAACTTAGGCTTAACAGACCCCTTCGACTGGTTCACAATAGCCAGCAGACTTCCAAGGGTCAGGCTGAGGAGATAGCTCATGCCAGACTGGATCTGAGACTTGAAGTGGTGAAGGGCAGCCAGAGTTTGGAACAAACCATCAGTCAACTCGGGGTGAGCTTCGGGGGAAGAGCTGTCGACGATTTCGAGGATGAAAGTCATCTTGTCCATCAACTTGGTCAGTTCCGCTTCGTCCTTGACAGTCATGGCAATCATGTTGTTCTGGCTGGTGCGTCTGCGCTTGGGTGCAGGGCCGATGGATTCGACATCAGTGATTGAAACAGGGATCTTGCGAACAAACTGCTGCAAGACAGCGCCAGACAACTCAATAGTGCGCAGAACGTTTCGGCAGTTATTGATCAAAGAGCTGTTGTTTGCCGATGCTCCAAGAGAGATATCCAGCAGCTTCTCGGATGCGATCAGCTGTCGGTCTTCGGCGACCTTGGCCCAGATGTTCTTAATCTGGGTGAAGCAAGCCGCGACAAAGGCTGGACGCAACGAATCAGAAGAGCTGGCATTCGATAGAAGAATATCCAATGCATCTTTGTCCTTTGGTGTGACGACGGCGGTGATCAAAGATTCGGTCTCGGATGGAATAATGCGCTCCTTGCTGCAGATTTCATCGACTTGCTTCTCGGTCAGATCGCGCCAGTCTCCAAGCAATGGAAGAAGCTGAGCAGTGAGTGTTGCAGTCGAGACCTTTTCCACACTGTTAATCAACTTCAAAAGGCCAATCTTGGGAGCGAACACCGGGATTTTGTTGACGTGGGAACACAAGGAGTTGTAGAAGTTAAGACGGAGAGCCTTCTTGAGCTCAGATGCACCCGAGGCTTCTGAGAGGACGTTTCCTCGAAGTGTAGCTTCCAGTACCCGATGAACATGGTTGGGGTCGAGAATTGACTCCTCCAAACCAGGGAGAATGGAGCGCTCTAAGATCTTTTGGGAGTCCTTGGCTGAAAGCCATGCGACACTTGTGGATGCCTTTCCTTTGCCGTAAATTGAATCGTATGCCCATGGCTGTGAACTGTCAGAGGCCTTGGAATTCTTGTAAAGGGATGCAACAATTGCCAAAACACTAGCAGTCTCCCGACGAATGCGCTCAGAGGAATCTGACAGACCAACATATAAGAATGGCAAGAGGGCCTGGGGGTCAAAGTCATCCGGAGCGGCTGCGAGAACAGAGGAGACAACGTTCAGAGCAGCAATCTTGGTTCCGATGGGGTAAGGTCCCGTGACAACTCTAATGAAGAAAGACAAGTACTGCGGGGACTTTGTGGCCTGGGCTTTGCCCAGGATAGACAAATTGGTAAAGCTCTGCACATTCTCTTCAGAATCAACGGCCAAGGCGAATACCCGTACTAGGTTGTCAAACTCGATGATCGATTGATTGGAGAGGAAAGATGAGGGGAACAGAGGTTCCTTAATCAATGACTCCAAAGCCGGAGTGAAAGCATCAACCTCAGGCTGCTCGTCTGCATCAGCCATTTCCACATCTTCAAGGAGAGGCGTGGCGATAGGGGCCTCGATGACGGTCTGAAGGTTGTGCTCAAGAGCCGGGATGTTGAAGGACGATCCGTTCAACGTTTTTTGGAAGACGGGCTGGAGGGTTTCGGAGCGGTTGAACCCTTGCACGAGCTCCGCGAGTTGTGTCTGGGCATCCAAGGACATACCACGGGTTTCATCAGCGCTGGATGCGGCCTCGAGTATCAAACTCATTGCGTTGCCAATCTGATCCTGACCGAGAAGCTGACGGTCGAAGATTGAAGTCAAAACTGCTAGGCGGGCATTGTCTGGCTTGTGAAGATCGTTCAGACAGCCGGCAATGATTCCAAGAAGCAGCTTGGACGTGTTATATTGGGTAGTAACCTCGGAAAGCTGGGCGATTGGGTTTTCAAGGCGAAGAATGGCCTTGAAAACTCTCTTTGGGATTGTGACAACAGGCTTTTGTTGGGCGAGGACTGACAGACAAATCAACCCAGATGCCTTGGTGTCTTCTGACCAAGAACCCACGACACTTTCCATGAGACCTTCAATGACCTCGTTTGAGAGGAAGGCCTTTTGTGCCAGCACAACACAGATCATGTAGCAGCCGACAAGGAGCTCGGGCACATTCTCAATTGTAAAGGCAGCACTGAGCACGGGAAGAACTCGTAGAAGAATATCTTCATGCTTGTCCTTCTCAGCCTCTCTTTTCCCGGAGCGAGCAACATCAAGCATGATAGCAATGGCTTCGGTGACAATACCAGCCCAGAAAGTGAGTAACGCATGGCTCTGGGCGTTCTGACGGCAAACTTGCAACACATATTCGTTTAATTCCGCAAAGAAGGATTTGTTTGTGGCGGCACTATGAACAAGAGGATGTCTCGGCGGATTGATAAGGCTATTCTTGTATGGATTGAGGATCTTGAAAGTCGGCGAGAGTCTTTCTGGGAGGATGGAGAGTAGGTTGAGGAAGAGCGGCGTCGTATGATACGGTAGGAAGGTTAACAAAACGGCGGTTGTATTGAACTCGTGAATCCTGAATTCTGCGTCAGCCATAACGTCCACACATCTTACTTGCATTGCGAGGTCCTCGATTCAGGGCTCTCTTCTCTGGTGTTGCTCACCTAAACCTTCGCACAAGCCAATCTACCGCCTTGACCGCTGGACTAAGCTGTAACCGGCCGCCAACGAGCGCCAGGAAGGCTCCCACCGCAGTGTCCAATTCCTTGTTTTGTTGTGCGTTCATCTGACTGCGATCCTCTGCCTTGCTTTGCTCGCTGAAGATGGTGCGATCAAATTCCGCAAAGCGGGGGTCCAAAGAGCATAGTTCTTGGAATCCATCATAACATATGTCGTAGATTGCATCAAAATCTTGACTTCCAGCTATCTTGGGGTCAAAAATAAGCGATTGTGAGTGAATGGCCCGTTGCTCCTTAAGGTCCAGTTCATGTGTCGACTTGGCTGCGATTTGCGACAGCTGCGCGGCGAGAGACGACATGGTAATTTTTTTGACGAACTGTGAAGCGTGCAATTCGTGGTATTTTCGAAGCTCACACAGAGATACAGTGATCCATACCCTTGTCACTCAAGACTAGGCCTTCGTGATTCCGGTAGCCAAAAGCAGGTCAGAATAACAGATGGGTTGAACCTAAGCACTCGGCATGATATGCATCCACCAAGACGAGCAGTTGACTTTTTTTTCTGCCGGGGCGACTCACCGCCCTGGATAAACGTCCCGCCGCCCGCCGCTCTCACCGCCGGACAATCTGTCCTCTTTCACTCCTCTCCACCTTTCGGATGATCTTTCCTCTTTCAGCTCTCTCCGCCTTTCGGATAATCTTTTACTTTTCGCTCACCCGAATCTCACTCGGATAATCAATACTCCGGACTTTCAATAGGTCCGAACTTCGATAAGATCAACTCTCACGATGGACTCATCCGGCCCACAGGTTAGCGAGATCAGCCTTCTTTCCCCGGACCTTCGAGCTCACTGTCAATTTAGGATGTTCCACGATTTGCCAGTTTCCGTCCCCTTACCGCTCCTCCTTCCGCCGCAAATCCCTCGGACCATGACGATGCACGTCGCAGTGGCCGAAGCTCCAGTAGAGCGTCACGCCGCTCGCATCGCAGCCGACAGGAAAGCAAACGCCGATCCCGTGAAGCGTCTCAGGCCGGGCATGCAGCTGAGCAAGCTGGAAGTCGCAACGCGGTCGCGCCAGAGCCCACTGTAGCTACAGAGGTAAACGCAGATTTCCTCCTCGACGCTCAAGGCGATCGGGACATTGCACGCTACGGTCCCTCCCAATACGAGTTGCCCTCATACAATCGCGCCGGTCAAGGCTTTGTTGTGGGTGCCCCAGGCAAGCGTATTACCCGCGAATCGCGACATGAAAACGCTCTTGTGTTTGACGATGCCGCGGGTCTCGCCGCAACTAAACTCCTCTCCGCTACCAATCTCGCGGCCTTGGACTCGGCCTCACCTGACATCATCCAAAAAGCTGCTTCGACCAGATCGCTTAGCCAACTTCCCGACACCGACCATCTGCGAGACTTTATCCCGACGGAAGGGATGTTGCCATGGGCCGAAGAATCAACTGCCACGTTGATGGATGATATCCGATCTCCGGAGAAATCAGACTTCCCCAAAGCAGAGGGCACAGTCAAGGAATCTAGCGAGGCGAGCTCTGACTCCACCCCCACTGAAACTGCGATTCTGTTTCGCAACAACGAGCTGTCCGAGCAGGTACACCTCGACCCTGGAAATATCACAGCATGGCTGCAACTTGCTGAGCACCAAGAGCTTTTGCTCGTTGGCGCGAGATCTGGAGGGACCCCTCTTTCCAAATCCGAGGCACAAGCCCTAGCCGAAGCCAGGCTTTCGATATATGAAAAAGGTATCGACAGCAATCCTGCTAGCCCTCAGCTTGACCGTCTTCTGCTTGGTCGCATGGAACAAGCTGCACGATTGTGGGACAAGTGGAAGGTCATCAGCGAATGGGAAGACACTCTCACTCTGTACCCAAACTTCATCAGTGTGTGGATGGGGTATCTTGACCACTTCCAGAGGGGTCCAGATAACTCCACTTTCGAGAAGTGTTTCGGCCGTTTCAAATATTGCCTGGAATTGATCTCCTGCTATGGTTCTGGCTTGTACAAAAACCAAATCAGATCATACCTGTTCCTTCGTCTGACGCTGTTCCTTCGAGAATCAGGATACACGGAGCAGGCCGTCGGCCTATGGCAAGCAGTGCTCGATTTCACGTGCTTCCGACCCTCTCAAATCGGCACTGGGTACGATGCTGTTCTGGCCTTCGGGGAATATTGGACATCGCAAACCGCACGTATCGGAGAGCCTGGTTGGATCGGTTGGAACCAAGGCGGCAAGTCTTCTTTGCATGACGATGAAGACATTAGTTCTCCTCAGACCCACGCAGACGTCTCGGAAACTTTCAAAACCTGGGCTCTTTCTGAGAGAGGCCAAATGGCTAAAACTCGATTGCCGTCTGGTGCTTTCGATGCCACCCAAAAAGACGCGGCTGATCAGGTAGTGCTCGATGACGATTGCAAGGAGATACTCCCATACTTCCTGGATTACACACTCTCTTTCGAGCCTTTGGTTAATGCTTTTATGCATTTCTGTCACCTTCCTTCGTTGGCGATGCCACAAAACATACGAGACGCCCGACTGTGGAGTGGCGACAGTTTTCTTCGCAATGAGTACATGGATGACCCCAAGAGCACGATTGCGGATTGGATCAAGTTCCAACATAGTGGCGAATCCACCACTACAGTGAAACTTTTTGCCTTTCCACATCACAATTTCCTTCAGAGCACCCACACGCTCTTCGCTGACCCGAACACGTGGTTTTCCTCTCTGCCGAAGTGGGTGGAGACCAACTCTCACGCGTCTTCTGTCCTGGAACCCCAATTCGTCCAGCGAGTGCTCTTTGTTCTTACCGATAAGTATGAGGACACTTGGCTGGGTGAATATGCCCTCGCTCTCGCTTTTGCGTGCAGCAACAGGCAGGGCAAAAAGTATGCCAAGCATGTTTTAAGCAAACGATCATCTGACATGCGGTTCTACAATGCTGCCGCACTCATGAATTGGCGCACTGGGGATCGTCCATTTGCCGTCAAGGTGTGGACAATTGCTTTGGCCTTGTTCCAGGAGCCTGAGGACAAATATCTCCGTGGATCTGCGACGCTCTGGAATTCCTGGATCTGGGAATTGCTCTCCGAGGGTCGGAACGGGCAGGCATCATATTTGTTGCAGGCAATCCCCTCCAAGACTATAGACTTGACGTCTTACAGCGCAGCTGATGGCACCGAGCTGGACCCCATCACATTCTTGAGAGTCCAAAAGTACCTGGTGGCTGCACAGCAGCACGCCATTGCGCACAACGACCCCCAGGCCTATTCATCTCATACTGATTGTCTCGCCATTGCTCTTTATTTGACCAACCACTCACTTCAGTTGGTCCTTAAAGTCTATGATGACGCGGTCAGGTCTCTTAATGGGCTTGAAGAAAATGTGACAACGTTCGCCACCGAGCTGCTGTTTCAAGCGCGGGCCCGTTTAGTCTACCTGTGGGTGGATACAAAGAAAGGGCAATTCAAGCCTTCTGAGATCCGTCAAGTCTTTCTCGAAAGCTTGCGCTACTTCCCGCACAACACAATTTTCCTCTCGCTACTGAAATGGAATGACGCGCGAGTGAACCCCATGGATCGTACTCGTGACATTCTCTCAGTGACCACCGGTACAGGCACGCAGACGCCCGATCACCTGGGTTTGAAGCACCGGATCCCCATCACCACCCATCTCTTCAACATATACGTTGAGATGGGGCGCCCTGTGGTTCTTGGAACGACCGCCCACTCAGTTCGAGCAGCGTTCGAGCGAGCGATTGATGATTCGAGTATCACCATCGGAAACACCCGGGCTCACAAGGACATTCACGAGGTGGGCAGCTCGGGTTCAGGTCAGAGCAACCTTACGCTGTGGCGGCTGTACCTCACGTTTGAACTTTATGGCCAACGGAACGTGGCTCGGGCCCGTGAGGTCTTTTTCCGAGCAGTGGGCTTTTGCCCGTGGTCGAAGGAGCTGTACATGTTTGCGTTTGAGCATCTGCGCGCTGACCTGACAGCCATGCTCCCGCCATGCTGGGACAACACCGAGGGGGAGGCAAATTCGGCAGGGTTCAGCTCTGCGGATTTGCGCGCTTTGTACGCTAAAATGCAGCAAAGCGGGTTCCGAATCCACCGTGAGGTGGATTCGTATCAGTAATTGTATTATTTGAGTATGTCAGTGTCGCTTGCTTCCAAAGTTCCAAGTAGCTCGTAAGGATCATCCGGCTTCAATCCTCGCTTAAAACTGGTGGTTCTTTACAGTTCCGAGGTCATGATCAATCCAAGCTGCGCAGCACCTAGGCTGTAGGTACAATCATAGCATCCGGAAGGGGTTCCAATGTTGCTCTTCGGAAGGACTTTGGAGTTAGCCTTTGACAGATCACAACATTGCTTGATTGCTCGAAGTGCATCCATGATTACCCCGGTCCATCTTTACGCTACTTGTATACTGACAAGTCGAGGAAGGCAATACACAGTATCGCCCCGAGCTCTTTAACAGCTTCACTCTCATTGGGTACATATCTTCAGCTAATATGTCAGGCCGACTCACTGAAGAAACGATTCTCAGGTTTCGCCAGGCCCAGGTGCTCGCGTAGTGTCGAGCCTGTATAGTCGTTTCGGAAGAGGCCTCTCCGCTGCAACTCGGGAATCAACCTGTCTGTCACCTCTTCCAGACCCTGAGGCAAGAATGGAAATGTGCAGGTGAATCCGTCGGAGGCCTCCTCTCGCAGCCAGACTTCCATTTCTTCAGCAATCTCACTTGGCGAACCGAGGAATGTCAACCCAGCATATCCGCCGTATCGCTGGGCAAGTTGTCGAATTGTCAGACCCTCCTCCTTTGCCAACTTCTCAACTCCCTCTCTGCTTGTCTTACTCGCGTTGGTCTCGGGCAAATCATCGGGCAGGAGACTGTCCGGATCAAGCCCACTCACATCAACACCAAGGGAGATAGACAAAGAAGCGATGGCACTGTCGTAATGTACCAGGCTATCCAAGTTGAGTCGCTTCTGCTGTGCATCCTGCTTGCTGTCCCCGACTATGATCATTGCAGCAGGTAGGATCTTCAACTGGTCTCTCTTCCGCCCCGCTTTCTCGACACGCCCTTTAATGTCGGCATACAGGGCCTTCGCGCCATCAATGTCTTTAGGGCTGCAAAATACAACCTCCGCCGTCTCAGCCGCAAGTTGCTTCCCGGGCTCACTCTGTCCAGCTTGCACGATGACAGGCCAGCCCTGTGGCGGTCGAGCGATATTCAAAGGGCCGCGTACTTTGAACTCATCGCCAGAATGATTCAAGGCATGCAGCTTGGCCGGGTCGAAATATTCTCCCGTCTCTGTATCGCGGGTGAATGCATCATCGGCAAAACTGTCCCATAGTCCAGTGACAACCTCGTAGAACTCGCGCGCTCGCTTATAACGATCACCATGAGCTAAATGCTCATCGAAGCCAAAGTTATGACTAGTCTCCGGGTTGCCAGTGGTGACGATATTCCACGCGGCTCGTCCGCCGCTCAGGTGGTCCAGACTGGCAAAGCGTCTAGCAACATGATAAGGGGCATCGTACGTTGTACTTGCTGTAGCAGCGAGGCCAATTTTCTCCGTGACGGTCGAAAGGGCAGAAAGCAAAGTGAATGGCTCAAAAGAGGTAACTGTGTGGCTGCGCTTGAGGGCTTCAACGGGCATGTTCAACACTGCCAAGTGATCAGCCATGAAGAAGGCGTCGAACTTGGCAGCCTCGAGTTTCTGGGCGAACTTGGCAATATGTTTGAAATTGAAGTTGGCATCTGGGTAGGAGCCGGGATAGCGCCATGCTCCTGGGTGCAGGGAAACTGGCCGCATGAAGGCCGTGAGATGGAGTTGTCGCGGGGGTTCAGCCATTTCCAAGGTTTGATCTTGCTTGATTGGAGAAAAAGAAAGTAGGCAGTCTTCTCGGACTTTACATTTATACACCTTGAGCCCCGCCGTTGGAGTTGTTGTGTCGATTTATAATCCTATATATTCTTGATGGCGTGCTTGGGGCAGGTTGCTTGCGTGAGCGGCTTTTATCTACACAATCTGACAGCCATTGATTTTTCGAAGACTTTTGTCGTCAGCTTTGGATTGGCAATCATACTTCTCCCGAGGTTTCTTGCGCAGGTGGGCATTGACCTCAGGCAGAGCGGCGAACGGTTTATGTTAAGCCTTGAGAATGTATGTCAATGGATGGATCCCAATTTAATTCCGTGCCGATATCTGCTTAAACGATTCACTGTTGTAGTACTACCCAGTACCTAGGTACTAGGTAGTTGTATTCTAGATTATATTCCAAGGTTAGTTTGCATGGCAATTTGAATCTTCAGTATCCTTCCAAGGTTCAAGGTTTGTATATTATCAATATATTGCACACACTCCTGTACCTCAGTATGAACATTGCCCTAGGGCAGCCGTCATTAACATATGTTGTAGATCCTGTATCTGCTGAACTCGCCACAAGCAGAGATTCGCGTAATCTTCGTGGATGGCTCAGCGTCAACACGCAGAGTGAAATCCACGACAAAGTGACAGTAAAAATAGAGATTCGTGATTCATGTCATTCGTATATCAGAATATGAAAGGAAATGCAAAAAAGCAGAACAGAAAAGGCTAGAAGTGCTCTTTCCAGAACTTGAACCGGATATCCTTTGTCGAGGCAGCCTTGGCTGCATCGCTGATTTGCATCGCGGCAGTATTAGGGCCACAGAAGTATACACCAATCTCGGTAGCGGAAGCACTCTGGAGCCCAGTCATGTACGACTGGTCCAGTAGCCCGAGACGCATGGCAGTGAAAAGACGGTTGAAATCCGGCCGACCAAAATTGGTTCGACTCCTTAGCTCGGTAAGTGGATCGAGAGCTTGGCCCACAGAGTTGAGATAGATATTTGCAGCAGTATCAGCATCCAAGCGCTGGGTCAAATATGTATGGATGCGTAAGAATTCAGTTCGTCCTTCATTGACAGCGGCGCTAGCAGACTGGGCCTCAAGCGAAGACAAGAGAGCCTGGAACCATTCGAAAGACGACGTATCCTTGCAGACCCAGATAAACTCGACACGACGGAGACGACGCGGAGGGTTCGGACTTGAGCGAAGATGCCAGATGTTCTTGAGAATGGATGCCCAAGGCGTTACACCAATGCCGGTACCGATGAGCACAGCGATTTCATTCTCGAACACATCCTCCGCGGGGGCACCATAAGGCCCATCCACGCGAATCGATGGCATGGTTTGACCGTTTTGTAGAGCGACTTCGTACATGCCGTTCGGGTCGAGACCTTCGAGGTCCTTTGCTTGGGCGGGACCGCAACCGAGAGCGTCTCCGAGGGCACGGGTGAAGTCTCCTACTTGCCGGACATGCACGCTGAGGTAGGAATCGAAGGGACAGGATGTGATGGTGAATGGGTGCCATTGGGTGCTGGACACGTCGGGGACTTGAAGAAATAGCCATTGACCAGCTTTGTATTTCATGCTCGGCTTGTTGAACTGGATTTCCATGGCGGCTGAGGCTGATTAGTTGTGCTCCATCTCACATCGAGCGGCAATCTTACCATAAGGGTGACGGATCACTTTTGTAATCACCGTGTCGCGCCGGGCACGAATTTCTCTGTAGAGCCGCTCAAAGAGATACAAGGCTCCAATAACCAACTCCCATCGCCATCCTTCGTAGCCGAGACAATGGTCCCAGTATTCCTTTCCTGCCAGTGGAGATATTGGGTCGGCGGTATCTCGGACAAAGCATCCGGTGGCATGGGTGTAAAGAGCCAACATAAACGGTATAAAAAGGTGATGCGCATACCAGAAGGTCTCATATGCCTGTTGGCGGATTCGGTGATGAGCAGTAGTGTACATCAACATCATGCAGAGGAGCATGACATGACCCGTAATGCCACCCGCCTGTTTGAAGTGCATATCAACGGCCAGCTCCGGGCGGATCTGATGTTTTTCCACATTGTAGAAGCTAGACTCGGTCAGCCAAAGGAAGCACCTGGAACGACAGAGATACATACTTAACATAATGTGCCGCTGTGTGAATGGCCGTAAAGACCAGTATAGCATAAGCTATCTGGCGATGAAACCAAGCCGACTCATCGAGAGGCAACCATCTGATCTGCGGTCTGAGCCACCGGAGAACGTTTCGACACATCGGGAATAAGATCAAGGTGCAGTCAACCGAAAGCACCAGACCTGCGCCTCGCGAGATCCAAACTGAATACTGGAGAGCATTAAGTGGTTCCAGTTTGGGATTCGAGGCCTGCAGGTACCTGAGACATGTCAGTCGCACATTCAAGACAGATGCCAATCAGAATACATACCATCCTACAGCAAAGAGACCAATATGTAGGCCCCAGAAGAATAAATGGAAGAATACTTTCGAGACCGTCCACCCGGCTCTCTTGAACCAGGATTCAGTAGTTGCGGCCATATGATGCGATTTTGGGAATGCCGACCAGCGACAAATGGATAACAGCGACCAAAGGAGTGACGAGGTTGACCAGCAACCCTGTGATTGACAAAAAGAAAACTCGGCTGAAAGCGAGAATTAGATTCCTCTATCGCAGCAATATCGTTGCTAAGACGGGGAATTCGACGACGTGAAGATGTACTGTCGTTGATTCTCCATGAACTTGGCCGGAATCACGATCGGGGGAACTTCAATCTAGGACTCAGAGGCTCGGTCGAGATGGCTCAGAGATAGCAAGTAATTCGCCGATGCCACTGTGTATAATGCACGTCAAAAGTGGCAGGACGCTAGTTGAAGTTGTGCGTCGAAATGCGCGGATTATGGGCCGCCTGCAGAAGGTGTCCCTTGCACAAAAGTGGCCGATAGGTGCCCAGCAGAAAACGGGATAGTTGACAACTAATTTCAGGCCGATTCGGACATTCTTGACGTCAGTAGATTGAAAGAGACAAGGCCGACGGAAGGTTGGAGGTTCAGAAAAATCCCAGTGTTGTGGTTTTAGCTGCAGGGGTGAGGGGGGGCCGATCTATAATTACTTTCGTCGCTTCGGGCTCTACTCGCCCTACGCGGTACAGAAGCCCTGACTTTCTTCTACATCATCCAAGAGTCTGACTGTCTGTGCTTTAGACTTTTCAAATCATTCCAGCAAAAGATGGCATGTCTGGTATCTCGCTAGTCTCGTCAATTCTTGCCTGGTCTCTCAATTTCCACAGCCGTGCTCCTTCGGACTTGGCTCGTCCTTTTGAACTGATTATGATCCCGGTCATCCACTCGAGTTAATGATCTGACCACTTTGCTATTTTTACGACCGTTCGTAGCAGGTACGCCAATTAAAATCAGGGGTTGTACGCCATCGGTCTTACCACCGTGCCACATTCCCCGCGAAGCGACCTCGGGAGACTAGACGGGGGTAGAATCTGGAAATAGCTTGCGATGCGCTCCCCGAAGGGCTTGACCATGTGGAAACTAAATGAGGTACCTAAAATAGACACCACTTCCCCGAACGAAGTCGATGAGAGGCTGGGAAGCGATATCAAAGATTTTGAGTGGCCGGCGTTAGATGAAGCCAGGGAAGAAGGCTACTTGGGAAGCAGCCTATCACAAGCCTCCTGCAGGCGCTGATTTCTCGTCACACGGAAACTCCGGGCACTGATAGTCGGTGAGAACGCCTGTCATTCGGTTTAGGACTTGGATCGGATCCAGTGCGATGTATGTGCTGGTAGCGTAGACTTAAGTTTCGACCAAATATAGATCTTCAATGGCATGGAGCTCTTGATTTCCTGACGGCATTCGCACAGGAAGTCTTGACCCACCTTTCATCCAAGCTAGCCTGTACTCCACAGCCAACTGTTGACAAGTGTACGGAGTACAGAGTACTAATGGTATTGAAATGGAGTTGAGATCAGGGCTGCAGCAGTCATCTGACCTAGGAAGTTCTCAACTACAAAGACCGTACAACCAAGGCTTTGGATCTCGCCTGAATAATACTCAGTGAGACTTTGCGAGAATTACGGCAAAAAAGTGTTGACGGCGCGTGCGACTGCAGCCCATCACGCCAAGTCCCGGGTGTTATGGCTTCTGATTTGCGGACACCCACTTCACGATCCGCTCCGTCACATCTCCACTCTCCAATCACACGGCGACGACGGTTCTTCAAGAATCCTACAAAGACGGGATGGCCACATTCAGACTTCTCGTTACAACTGATTGGGCCATTTACCATGGCAACTGTGCGGGTCACAGTTTAGCCCTATCCTTCTCGTACCAACCCCAGACGTGCATCACTTTTTGACGCACGGCAGTCACATCCTGGCAAAACGTCCCACTAGGGCGATTTGAGTTATGGGCCATCAGGCTATCAGAGGGGTAGCTCTAAGTATAGACTCTTATACTCGGTCCCGCCTGCAAGCATGTCGCTAGGGTGAAATTCTTCTCCAGAAGCATGCGATTACAGCAATGATCCCTAGCAACATTTTTCAAACACAACCTTAATCAGATGAAAATACGTCTTCATGGTTGACTGGCTACGATGAATTGATTCTGCCGCCGCATACGTCGCAGCTTTTCTCGTTCTGTGACATTTGGCGCCCGGGACTGGCTTTGCATTTGGTCCTTCACACCCGAATTGCTTTATTCCCCGAGACCTTCGCTGGCCGAGGCTCTACTGGACACTTCGCTCACACCCCTACACAATGGGCAGACTCATCAAGAACCACTGGGGGCGATTGATTATTCTGACCGCGGCAGCTTGTACGTCCCCATCAATCCCAGGCCCTATCAGCACTAACACAATCCCAATAGATCAAGTTGCCAGCGCCGTCGAAGGCTTTATATGGCCCAAGGTCTTCTGGGACTTCGTTTCCAGGAACCTCGATGCAGCCGTTGCCCCCGTTCCCGTCCTCCAAATCCTGAATCTCTTAATGGGCCTTATTGGGATAGCTTGGGAATGGCCACTCAAGCCATTTGCCGGCTCCGGTCCACACCGCAGCATTGAAATTCGTCTTATTATATACCCACTCAGCGCATTGCTCGCAGCACTATTATACCAAGGCACCGATCCGGCTATATACTATTTGATCGGGATAGGTGTTTATTTTTGGGCCTACAGTGAAGGCGAGGTATGTTGTTCTCATCTTGGGCATACGGTTCCATTGCTGATCGGTTACATAGGTCGTTTGCCCGGAGCCTTGGACCCTACCGAAACGACATGGATTACTTAAGGCATAGAGATACCCGAATTCTGCTATATGCATCGATTGCGCGAACGCAGATACTGTACATAAGCTAATGTATAACGATTTACGATTTGGAGCAAATGCTTTTTGAGGCTGGTGAGTCGGTCTTGAGACGGTTACCGATTGCACGTAGGACCAGCAGTCAGTATTCTCTGCTCTTTGAGGATTCTCCAGTCGACAGTAGAACATTATACTGTAGGAATATCTCTGCTCAGAGCGAAAGTCGTAGCTGATGCCTTATAAAAGAGGCACCATACCATGATCACCACGTGATGTGTTCTGTTGAGTCCGAAGGTTGGAGTCAACCCCGATCGTTCGCTGCCTCGGAATTTGAACATAATTCAAGGCGTTCAAGAAACCGCAAACGGTGTTCCGCCACTATACAGATATCGATCGACGGTTTCCTGAGAGCAGAACTAACCGTTGTCACTGACAAGTGCCCAATTTTGCCGAGGAATCATGCCCCGAACAGAGTCGCATTCTACCAGAGAAGACGAATTGGCCTTCGAACTGGATCCTGAAGATGTGCCAGTCAACAAACTTACAAGCTTCCATGGCAGACTACAGCATTTTCTGCACAGAAGCAGCGACGAGATGACCGACAGCCCAGCGGCGAGAACCACAGCTATATCTCAACCCACGGTCAAGTTGGAAGACACAGAAACAAAAGACCAAGCCATACAAGACCGCGCAGAACCCATTAAACCCAGTCCGAAGCGCAGGAAAGCAGTCCAAGCAACTTCAACCACAATCTCTCGCCCACCAACCCGATCAACCCCACCGTCCCCAAACAAACGCAAGCGCAACACACCAGCACCAACACCCATACCCCTCGGACCAAGCGCCACAGAATCCCTCCTCCGCGACACCATCCCCCCGAATCTAATTCTCCTCCTCGTAGGCGTGAACCCAGGGATCATGACCGGTATATCGGGATACGCCTACGCGCACCCATCAAACCTATTCTGGAAACTGCTCCATTCATCAGGAATCACAAGCATGCGCCACAAACCCTCAGATACATATAAACTTCCGAGTCTATATAGCGTGGGCAACACGAATATCGTGGAGCGACCCACGCGCGACGCGAGCATGCTCAGCCGCGCTGAAATGAATGCCGGCGTCCCAGTGCTGGAAGCCAAGATTGCTGCGCAGAGACCTGAGGCTGTGTGTCTTGTTGGGAAAGGTATTTGGGAGGCGGTTTGGAGGGTCAGGAGAGGGAGGGGGATTCGGAAAGAGGAGTTTCGGTATGGGTGGCAGGAGGGTGAGAATATGGGGGTTTGCGAGGGTTGGGCTGGGGCGCCTGTGTTTGTGGCTACGACTACGAGTGGACTTGCGGCTGGTATGAAGCTGGTGGAGAAAGAGGCTATATGGGCAGAGCTGGGAGAGTGGGTTGTTAGGAAGAGACAGGAGAGGGGATTTGTTCCTCAGATTATGAAACAAGAAGATATATAGTTGCAAGTTTGAGATTGCTGCAATGTAGTATCGCTCTTCAGATATCTTGCTCAACTACGATGACTTTATGAGATGATGCATGTACGAGACGGTGGTTTCAAGTTTATTTGTATTGGTTGATGAGTAAAGTGGCTCATCATTCATTATCTCATGATATCAGGTATAGTAGCCTGTGTTTCGATGCAATTCCCGTATCCCCTCCAGGGCCATTCCAGGGTGGAGACAAGTGCGACACGTCTAATCGCGGGATACCAGGGATGATCGAGGTAGGGATATCTCAATGGAGTCAAAGGTGGGGGAGGGTTCATCCGTCCCCGGATGACAGAGGTAGAATTTAGCGAGTGGTGCCCATAGATCCCTTGGAGTCATTCTTGCCGCCCTGACGCTCGCGTGCCTGTCGGTGGTTAGTACGTTGTATACGAGACCCCGCATTTAGGAGACACTCACAGTGGCAGCCTGGAACTCGCCGCCCTCAAGGATCTTGGTCATGATGGCATCCTCGTCGGTAGTGCCGAATTCGTTCTGGAGAGCAGCCTTGCTAGCAGTGTCGAGGACACCTTGGGCGCCGTGGCTGTGAATGTTAGTACCGGTTGAGGCGATAGGTAAGCTATGAGCAGCGGAACTCACGAGTGAGTCACGAAGATCTTCCAGCCGTTGAGGACATCGGCCAGGGCAATGCTGCGGTCGTTCTTCCACTTCTGGAGGATCTCAAGGTCGTCAACGAAGACAATGAAGTCTTCGGAGCTACCCTTGTAGTACATCTTAGCGGCGGTATCGTTTCCACGAGGCATGATGAAGGTTGTGTAAGGTAATTGGGATAAAGTTGAGAGAAGTTGAGAGAAGTTGGAAGGTTTGAAGTTGGAGAGAAGAAGTGAGCGACGAAAGGCTTTAAGTAAAGCCCCAGGTGATGATGGCGGGTGACGTCACTATCGAAGCTCCCCGCGGTGATCGTGTGAGGGACACAGTCCACTCTGTCCACTGCACTGTGTACACTGTGTACATTTGCAAATTAGGTGGAGAGGCTTACTGTTCTATTTCCACTCTAACTGTGATAGTTGGACGGTGAATGCCAACTATTGCATCGGTCGACGTCATAGGGAGCTCCCTGTCTATGGCCGGATCCGCTGTGACGCCAAACGTGGGGATATTGGCCAAGTGGCAATTGGCATTCCTAGCACATTACGTGACGCCAAGTTAATAATATCTACTTCCTTTCCAGTATACACATCTGCTAAGAATGGACCTTCACTTCGTCACTCAGCTGGAGAGCGGGGCTTTTTTCAACTTCCTCGGTGCCAAGGCACTAAACAGACTCTTGGGGGATGACCATTTCTTCGGTGATGGACCTGACACAGGGCTATCCTCCTGGCTCGACCGGGCCTCGCTACGCGGTGAAGCCGTTCGAGCTGAGCCTGGGAGTCGCGTTGTTTTGGATTGCTGGGGTGTGATAGGAGTGCGAGGCTGATAGTCAATTTCCTTGTCTTCCTTGTCTTCGAATACCTCGCTACTGCGTCCAATCTCCTTCTCTTCATCGAATTCTGGTCGGGCCACACTTGGCGGCTTTCGGGGGGTCACGCCAACACCAACGGATGCGGAGCGTTTGTGGAACGCCGTATGAATACTGAGGTTTTTCATAAGGGGCCGACGGCGGAAGAGATCGCCTCTACCGAGCACCATCCCTGGGGTGGGGAGAAGGTCTCGGGACCAAATGTCCGCAATCAGCCGTTCCAAGCGAATTCGATCTATTCGCCGGGCAACCAAGGTCACCGATGTTCCCTCTGGCGGTGTTTTCGGTCGCTCAATTTCACCTTCTAGCTGGGCTGTTGGCTCTTCGACGTGGCGTGGATAGTGAGTCTTTCTAAGGATCACATGCTGGACTTCGTACTTGCTTGCGATTGACACGGAGTCCATACACGACCGTCGGGCCAAAGAAGAGACTTGATACTGTACTTGATCCAAAGGCGCTAGGCGCAGCGCTGAAAAAGCATGAGCCTCTGACTCCCCAGTTCTAGGCTGAGAAGCTTCGGCCAGAGCGGCGGATAGCCTGAGAATCTCTGTATTCCAATGCCTTTCCTCTGCTGCAGACGATGCACTGAGGACGAACTCGTAATTGGCATTTCGGTCTTGAAACAGGAGTTTCCACGAAAAGATACACTCATAGCAGCACAGACCTGGTATATCAGTCAGGGATTTTTCACTGTACTGTCTGTCTGGTGTAGTATTTACCTCGTCCATTTTGAAGCACATCAAACTTGACCTTATCCAGGTAAACACAGGCCACGGCCTCTAGTCGACGCAGGTCATCAACGCCCTTGGCAAAGAGCATATAGCGGTTGAAAAGAACACAGACCATGAACTCCCCGGCTATTGTTGCTTCGGTGGTTTGGTAGGTGACGTGAAGCACACCGCACAGGACCATCGCGCCCAAATCTTGGTAAACATCATGCAAAGCGTCGTTCTTGAGTCCATTAGTTATGTCCGCTCTGGCCATAAGTTTGGAGTCGCTCACCGATTTTCCAACATCAATCTTCTCACGTAGTAGCATCGTCTTGGAAATACGATCTTTATAGACCGGGTTTCCGGTCGCCAGATTAATGCGTCCTACTAATTTTCTTGCACCATCCAGGATTTGTTGGATTTCATCATGTACAAATGGACAGTCACTGGCAGGCGTGGCTCTGAGTAGATCCTGGAGCATGAGGGGGTATTTGCAAAGACGCTGAATGGGCTTTAGATACGTTAGCAAGTGACTCAGTCACCAAGACTGAATTCACTCACTTTGATCAATAGATCATTGAAGGTCATTGATTTACTATCGTCGTGTCTGCGTCGCTCCGTCGATGCAACCGACTTGGCCATTGCCTCAATTCCTCGATCGTAGATTGTCCACTCGGCGGGTTTCTGGCGCAGAAGCGCAACATCGTGCGAGAATAGCTCGTAGTTGGCGCAGTATTCGTCGTACGCAGAGAACGAGCGTGACTAAGTTACTTGTCAGTGTGGGCATGTCTGAGGATGGATACAAGCCTCCAACCAGCTCCTCGATGTTCCTTGCAACATCCAGCGCCTCCGCCGGATCAGCTGTGAGGGTTTTGAGACGTTCGTTGACAGATGCCTTCATTGTGCGACTTCTGAGGGAACCCTGCTTTAGTCCCCTCAAGCTGCCCAAATTTGTACTCAGCCGTTTTGAGATTCCCTTGGATGTGAACTCCATATCGCTCGCTCGTTGGGCATGGAGTGCTGACATTGGAGATGACGCTTGGATTTTGGTCAAAAACAGCTCGTGGATGTCTAGGATTTCTTGGACATTGTCCGATATCTTTCGCCGGATGTTGAAGATAGTGAGAATCTGGAGTTGAGATACGCAGATCAGTGAATCCGAGCTGCCTCAATGATTTGCCAGATATCTTACCCCAGTGAGAGCCTTTAATCCTAACACATAATCGCACTCAGTCGTGACAAGTTCCCGAAGTATATGGCGTCGTTTGATGGCTCTGAGGTCCGTGGCCTCATCCGGGTGGTTACTCGAACTGGGCTGAGGCGAGTCACCAGAATTGCCCGAGTCTGAGAACATACTTGCGGCTTTTCTATCGGGTACGCTTGGCCGAGATTGCAGCATACACTGACTTGTGACGCTTGTGGAGGCCGTCAACACCGTCTCAAACTGGGACGATTCGGACACACTCGACCGGTGACCGCGCGAATCATGAGATGACGAATCTGACCAGCCCTCAACATACCGTCGCTGGCTGGAGTCGCGCTTTCTTGGACGAAAGCTATCGTACCATCTTTTGAAAGGGTGAGGGACCTTGGCATTCACAGCCTCCTGTTTTTCAAGATCCTCATCTGCCAGCAGGCCATGCCTTTCAAGGTTGGTATCCTCCATCTGGCCAGTGAAGAAGTGATCCTCAGATCAAGGGATCAACACAGAGTCGGACATGGAAAGAGATCTCTCGAGCGAAAGAGCAACAGAGAGCGCTTTCCTTGTCAGGTCCGGCATATCGAAGGACGAGAAGCCGGGGATTTGCGATTCGAATCTCATCCAGTACGTCATGATGAGAATTGGCTACTAGTAGGTATGGTCGTTTTTTGCAGATCTCTTGTATGTCTTATTGGTGATTATCTTCCGGATGTTCGAATATATACTTCCAACGCCAAGCATCGCCGATTATATAAAACGGTCGAGAGAGACCCACCTCTTCTCCCACCTTCTCCAAGACACGATCCAGCCACATCATGGACGACATCCACGCCCCAACTGTGGCCTCCGGACCAGCATCCGGGGCTAATCCTCGTGATGTTTCCAAGCTATCAATGCCAGAGCTGATGCAGGAAAAGGAGCGCATTGAGGAGGAAATGTCCGCGCTCAGTAGCGTTCTCCAATCGGTAAGACCTCACCTCGAAGCTTCTGCCGCTTTTTCTAACGACTTTCTTTTGAAGCATGGTGTGCGAATGACATCCTCTCTCACGACATTCGATGGCTTTCCTCGCGATGATATCGATATCGCGCAAGGTATGCCCCGCAGCTCGATCGGCCCGAACTATCGCTAAGAGATAGTAGTGCGAACCATACGCGTTCGTATGATCCATCTACGCAATGACCACAAGGAAGTGATGCAGCATCTCGAAAAGGGGGTCCACGCACACTTTGCCAACCTACAAAATACACCCGGCGCGGGACCAACCACAAATGGCACAAGCCACCCGCCCGCCGTGCAGTCATTACCCAGCCGCTCTGCAACAGGCAGTAGTGCACTCGAAGCTCCCTTCGCAAAGGTCAACAGTGTGGTCACGGCAAGCCCGGCAGATCAGGCAGGACTGAAAGCTGGGGACACGATCCGGAGCTTTGGGGCTGTCACTTGGTTAAACCATGAGCGTCTTACGAAGGTTGCGGAGACTGTGCAACAAAATGAAGGGGTATGTAACCATCCAGCGAACCTCCATACCCATACTGTGAATACCTCTGACATATCGCCCCTTCTCACAGCGAGCGGTCTCGGTAAAGGTTAGCCGCAAGGAAGAGAGTGGTTCTGTCTCCGAGTTGAGTCTCCAACTCACTCCCCGGCAGAACTGGGGAGGTCGTGGCTTGCTCGGATGCCACTTGGTTCCATTGTAAGCGAGCTTTGCTGATATTGACCACGGCCCGATTGATAGCAACCTTGGAATCTCCCATGCGCTGTTCATGACTAATGAGAGACGTATTTTCTTGTACTTGGGCCAATTCTTTTGATTTGTAACCGACCGTTTAGGCTGCAAAGACGGTGATAATATCGGAAGACATTGGGCCTGACCAACCAGCCTTAAAAAAGCCTTGCTTGGGACTCTGTAATCATGCTGAATCAAGACAATTCTGAGTCAATGACAGAATTCCCGGAAGTATAAGACCCTTCACAACAAGACTTTCGCAGTAAACAAAGCGGTGTTTTCAGTTTTCCCCTGTCACTACGTCAGTGCGGGCCTCAGGCATATTTACACACGTGACCACCACCAACGGGGCAAAAATTCCATTCTCCTTCCCGGCACCCCTCTACCCTCCCTTTAAAAACAACAACATCCCCCCTCATCTTCGCGAGACCCATTGGAACTTATCCTTTTTAAGTTTCTTGTGAACCGTTGATTTTCAAAAATGGCTGCTGCTACCCCCACTTTCAAGCTCGTCCTGGTCGGTGACGGTGGTACTGGAAAGGTAAGCGCATTCAAATCTTGATGATCGATTCTTGATGGGCAATGGGGTTGGATTTCCTGGATGTCACTGCCTGGTTCAAAGATCCTGGCTGGTGATACCGAAATCGCCTCCAGACCTGCCCCGCGCCTGTCAATAATCGCACCATCGCACCATCGCACCGCCTCACCGCGACTTCATTACTAACACATTTCAAAGACCACTTTCGTTAAGCGTCACTTGACTGGTGAATTCGAGAAGAAGTACATCGCCACCCTTGGTGTCGAGGTCCACCCTCTGAACTTCAACACCGTATGTCATATACCCCGCCGAGCCCCGCTCCGACATGGTCCAAGTCACTAATAACCCGAACAGAACTACGGTGCCATCCAGTTCGATGTCTGGGATACCGCTGGTCAGGAGAAGTTCGGTGGTCTCCGTGACGGTTACTACATCAACGGCCAGTGCGGTATCATCATGTTCGACGTTACCTCCCGCATCACCTACAAGAACGTTCCCAACTGGCACCGTGAGTGGCCCCGCGACCGTGCAAGAGTTCGAACCGCGTACTAAACTTTCCTCTAGGTGACCTCGTCCGTGTCTGCGAGAACATCCCCATCGTCCTCACCGGTAACAAGGTCGACGTGAAGGAGCGCAAGGTCAAGGCCAAGACCATCACCTTCCACCGCAAGAAGAACCTCCAGTACTACGACATCTCCGCCAAGTCCAACTACAACTTCGAGAAGCCCTTCCTCTGGCTCGCTCGCAAGCTCGTCGGCAACCCCCAGCTCGTACGTCCCCCATGAACCCATAGTCGATCAGCGCTAACACATTCTATAGGAGTTCGTTGCCGGTCTTGCTCTCGCTCCCCCCGAGGTCACCGTCGACGAGGCTCAGCTCGAGGCCTACCGCAAGGAGATGGAGGAGGCCGCCCAGCAGCCCCTCCCCGATGAGGATGATGCTGACCTGTAAATTGGTGCATTCAACGACGGGTCCACGAAGTTTCCGACATGAAAGTTGGGAGTCGCCTTTTCCTGACCTCCCCCGAGCTCTCGCCAGGTAGACAGGAAGTCCACGACCCCCGGGGATTGCGTTTTTTATTTGGGGTTTGCACTTGCGAAAGCAAGCCGTCCTCCGAACTCACGATACAATGAAAGCGGGAGGGTGGCAGTGTGAAGCAACAGATGGCACTTGCATTTTTTTGATTATTTCCCCCTCTAGTAGTTTAGACATCCCAATTGTCTTTTTTTTTCCCTCCCCGAAATGAGCACGCATTCAAAAAAAGCATGTACTCTTTCAAGATCTAAAAAAATTTTCATCTTTGCCAGATAGATTAGATCTTTCACAGTCTTGAGGTTGCCTTGAGAAAGCATTTCGATTGCAAGGATTCTGAAATTCGTAATAAACACCATCGTATGAGTTCTACTTAAGTCATATTGGAAGTCGTGAGTAAACCATCCCGAAAGAACGCCTGGGTATAGCAATCATCGGCCCTTGCAGACCGCGCCGGAAACCAAAGATGGTGAAGCAAAAGACAAAGAAAATGGCTAAGGAAGAAAGAAAGGTCACACCCATGGCTGCAAAAAGCTACCAAGGAGAAGACAAGACCCAGATGAAGGGTATCACAGGTCGCGAACACCCTAAGAAGTTAGCAAGAGTCAAAAGCAAGAGAGGAGTTGGACATACGAAGAGATAAGCAAGCTCCCTAGTATCCAAGCGAGAGACATTCATAGTACCACCCTCATCAAGAGCACCGCTAATCAACTCGCGTTTCTGATCTTGAAGGGTAACAATGCGATCTTCAACCGTGTTCTCGATAAGCAAACGGTGAACGAAAACGTCTCTAACCTGCCCAATGCGATGGGCGCGATCGACAGCCTGGTCCTCGACGTAAGGGTTCCAGAACGGGTCGAACATGATGATATGAGAAGCGGCGACAAGGTTGAGTCCTGAGTTGCCTGCTTTCAACGAAACCAGCATAATCTTACAGGAAGGATCGTTGGTGAATGCTGTCACGGCGGCGTTGCGCTCCTTCAGATTCATTGTGCCGTCGAAGCGGGTGTGGTTCCAGCCTCTGCGAACGAGTGGGATCTCAAGAAGGTCAAGGAGGGAAGTGAATTGGCTGAAGATGATGGTCTTTTCGCCCTGGCCGCGTTCCTCATTTGCTTCGAGAATCTCCATAGACTTTGTGATCTTTGAGCTGGGGAACCAGGTCTTCTCTAGACGGCGGAGATATTTCTTCTTCGCGGCCTTGTTTTTGAGGGACGCGGTGCGCAATTCGGCGAGCGATTTCTTCTTAGTGCCTGACTCCTCTCCGGCCTCGGTTTCAGAGTCAGAGGATTCAGAGCTACTGGCGGTGGCTTCGCTGTCTTCCGCGGCGTCGGCGGTAGTGTCGGTGGTGTTTTCGGACTCTGGCATTGAAGTTGGGTCATGGACTCTTTTGAATGAGTTGGTGTCTGTGAGCTTCTTGGGGTCGACGGGGCCTCGGCAATTTTGACATTTGATGACACTATCGTCCTCGAGGTTTTGGGGGCTGGAATTCGCATAATTAGAGATACGAATGAAGCACTCCGAGCACACGTGGTGTCCACATGGGATGTAAATTGTGGCATTTTCCACGCTGTCCATGCAGACAGGGCAAGTTCCACCTTCATCGTTATCATTGTTCTTGATGCGCTCCACCACCGAAGCAGCCAGGAGCTTGGCGTTGGCGATCTTGTCGACTGATGGATCAGATGGAGCTGGTTCGTTTCGGAACTCTTGCATCAGGAGAGGATGGCAGCATGCCTGTCGTAGACGAAGAAGGAGCACCAAGACGTGGCTGTAGTGTCTACCTAACGTTCCAGCGTCAAGCAATCGGTTGATCTGTGATTGGGTCTTTGTATCGAGCTGGCTGTAGACTTCGTTTTCTTTCTCATCAAAGACGACGTGGACCTTCTCAATGACCTTCGGTGGGAGTTGAAGAATGGGCTGTCCGTCTATCTTCGAGGCCTTGGTACGTCGCAGACACACGGATTTGACTAGCACGCGAAGTTGCTTCATCACATCTTCTCCGCCCCAGCCCGACTTGATACGACGAACAAAGTCCTAGTGAAAGATGTTGTCAGCAGTGAAAAACAAGATGGAAGAATGAGGCTGCAGGTACTCACCGATTTGAACTTCTTCGCATTGTTGTATGGTTTGATACGCAGGAATGCTAGCAGTGATTGGAAATCTTCGAGGCGATTCATCATGGGTGTACCAGTAAGACACCACCTGTATGTAGAATTGAGACGGCAGCATGCGATAGCAGATTTCGCCAACGGGTTCTTGATGTTTTGGGCCTCGTCAATGATAACACGGTGCCACTTGGCCCCGGGGCTAAGAGGGCCTGCTCTAGCTTTCATATCTGGAACTGCAGAAGAATACTTGTTTTCGTCTTCCATCTTCTCTGCTTCCAGTAATGTCTTGTAGTGCGCGGTGAGCGTACCGTACGTTGTGATAACAACATCATACTTCTTTAGGTCTCTCCAAGGCCTGCGCTTCTGGTGGTAAATCAAAACAGCCAATTGGTGTTTCCCGGGTTTGACATGACGCTCGATTTCTAGTTTCCATTGCTCCATGAGAGCCTTGGGCGCGATGATCAAATTGGGACGTCGTTCTTCATCTTCATAGGGGCGAGCGACCATGAGTGCGATTGCCTGAACAGTTTTTCCAAGACCCATGTCGTCTGCGAGAATACCACCTTTATGGTTACTCTCTTCCTTGGCTTTCATCCAGTTGAATCCGACCTTCTGGTGCTTCATTAAGGTGACACGCAGCGCCTCGGGAGAATCCGCATTATCTGCCTTAGTCGCCTCGCGAATGTCTTTGATGCCACCGAGCAAGTTTTTGATATCGTCGGGAAATTCTCTTTCGTTGTAGGCTGCGATGTCCACGTCGTCATCGAAGAGCTCTTGCTGCTCACGAACCAAGTCGAAAGCCTTCTCAAACTTGTCATACTTGTCATATGGGTTATATTTCCCAGTGTACATCCCTGAATATGGCGCCCCTGAATATGCCCCTGGATACGCCCCTGGCATGTTTGCCATGGTACTTGGCAATTTCATAGCCTCCCGTGCAGATGTCATGTATGGCGAGCTCCACGGAAGAGGCCTGGTACTTGACGACGAGTAGTCTGGCGGGAAGCGGCTCAATGAATAATCGGGTTTAGAATATGAAGAAGATGATGGTAAATAGGGGTTGCCAAAGGCTGGCTGCCTGCCTGTGCGAGAGTTGAAAGAATCGGCCGAAATCTCCTCGAACCCATCGTCGGAACTCGAATTCTGTTGGCTATACGAAGACCCGGGAATGTAGAGTGCAGGGGTGACAGTGCTGCCCAGGCCGGGTTCTCGCTTAACCATTTGGGTACGATGAGGCATATTCCAAGAAGGCCGTTGTAAAGGATTCGGCGCCGGGAGGGAGACAACATCCTCCTCATGTTGAAGCGCGCGAGCTAGCGCACCATCTTTCTCGAGTTGGAATTGCGAGTTGATTTCACTTTCCATCATGTCAAGCTCAGTTGCAAGGTCTTCGCGTTCGTTATCGTCCAGTGCCGCATTCATCAGATTCCTGTACTGAGTTCTATTGCTCTCAACTTCACTTTTGTGTCGAGCTTCTATCTCCTCGAGCTTCGAGCGGCGTGAAAAGGATTGCGGGGGCGCGCTTCTTTTCGCTGAACCCTGAACCGGGGGTGATGATCCAGATGTCGGACGCGGGCGTTTCCGAGACTCCTCAATGGACGGCAGTGCTGATGAGCTTGAACCATTTCCTAGGGCCGGAGACACGGTGGCAAACGGGGATGGTCCTGTGGAGGGCCAATGTGGCTCTTCGGCAAATCCAGCGAATCCAGTATACCCACCAGACGGCATAGCAGGTGCAGGTGCAGGCGCAGGCGTAGGAACAAAGCGTGGCGTTGACGGACGAGGTGACACTATGGGCGGAGCCACAGCATTTTCTATAGGGGGACTTTTCTCCCCCAAGAACCTCCTCAGTTGGGCTTCCTGCGACTTGATGGTTGCCAACTCGTCCCTCGCCTCTTCGCAGTCACCCTTAGTTTGTAGGATATCGTCGTAAATGAACTTGCGCAGGTCTATCTCTTCCAGAAGCTCATTGATTTGGGCCTGGGCCTTATCGACCTCTTGGGCCTTATTGACCGCAGCAGACATCTCTCAGCAGTCCGTAGCGACCATGGGCACAGAATGACGGTATTGTGAGGGATAGGAGTTCGGATAGTGGGTGAAGTTGGAGACGTGGGAGCAAACTTCAAAGAAAGACGTTTCGGCCAATAAAGCCCCCGGCGTGGTATGGGAAAAGAAAGACGATCTGTGGGAGTCAGCAACTGTTGGGCATCCAGAGCAAACAGCAGTCAGAAGCGCGGGTAGTCGCATGAGACGGAAGGGAAACAGCATATGGACGAAATTTATGCGTGTTTGTCACATCTTGGGGCGCAGATCGCGACAGAAGTATGGAGTACGGAGTACAGAGTACTTACATCGAGTATTTCGGGCGCTTCACCCGGGTGCATGGGGCGACGGGGACGAGCAGTGACAAAGGTGCGGTGACGAATAGCTGCGAAGGGCGGATGCCAGATCACGGGTGTCGAGGTTGGGGACCGATGGCTAGATGGCTAGGCGAGTGCCTAATCTTTGCGACACATCGATTCGATGGGCCAGGGTTGCGTCGGCGGGGTGTGGAAAGGTCTACATTGGCCAAGCTGTGATACTTGATGTGCCAGGCCCACCCGGGTGATTTGAGCCTCCTAGGCAACTAACACATACACATCGCAAGTTCTTCATTTTGATATTTTACACCTCTACCCATGGTTATCACTACCTAGGTACCGTGGACACAATGGTTCGACTAACTGGCGACCCGTGGACACCTGCAACTTGTCCGCGAGTCAACGCAGATTTTTGATAGCGCGTCTGCCTATCACCACGTGACCATGACGCGTGAAGCCCTGGATCGATCCATGGAACGCCTTGATGTAAACAGGACAAACAGAGCAAACAAGGCAAACAGAGATCATCCGATGATCTCGAGGTCCCGACCAGTTGACGGCTGTTCCTTGCCTGGCAGACATTCTCGAATAAAAAGTTACGCCTCTGGCAGACCGTGAAGTCCTGGAGCCGGCCTTGCAACATTGAAATATCATCAGCAAATATGATTGCCCAAGCTTGTTTCTATGTTCTCTAATACAGCTTCAGGGTCCGCGGCCCTGGCTCGGGAGGAACAGGTCCACTCAACTTATTGGCGCCGCCTTCCAGAACAGCCAGGCAAATGCAACAACACCTTTCAAGCCGGCAGCTGTCCAAAACGATAACTCCATACCGCCATCACTCCTGCTCAACCAGCCACCGGAAATAGCCCCGATGAGGAGGGCAACAACACCGCCGAGGCGGCGGTTTCGCTTTGGGTTCGCAGTTGTGCAATCTGTGAGCCTTGGATCAGACGCAATATCGAAGTAGACAGTCGTCAAGACAACCGTCGGCATCTCGCTATACCCCAGCGCACGGCTGAACGCCATTCCCCCCGCTGACTGGAAGGCAAGAATGCTGATTGGAACTAGCTCGAGGAAAGGTGGTTCCCCGTCCCGGACTCCGTCCTCGTCGAAATTGGTGAAGGCAAGAGGAGTGATATCAGTCTCGATCAGGCTGACTGCGATCAGAATCAACAGCGTCTGAACGAAGAAAGAAAGAAATAGAGTGCTGCGCCGAAGGGCGCCGGCGCCGCGCATTCCGATTGAGAAGGCCACTGCTCCCAAAAAGAATGAGAGCATTGAAACGATTGATTTGAGCCATCCCCATGGCCTGGTCTCGGGCTGGTGGGAGGTTCCTAGCCCCAGAAAAATGGTATTTCCTACGGCTCATTAGTACCAGACGCACTTCGTGTTCGCATCTTAAGTTGTCCATCCCGCACAAGTGAGGAAATCCATACCGGTTTGCATTCCGAGAAAACAAGACCACTCATTATAAGCGCTACTGTCGCATAATCCCGTGAGGAAAAAGAGAAGAAGGCATATCAAGTCTGTATGGGCGGCTGAGACGGGCTCCTTCCATCTTCTTGCGATGTTGGGTTGCGCGAGGCATTTGGAGGACAACAGACTGGGCTCACTCGAAGTAAACTTTCTCTTCAAATATTGATACATGCGAACAAAAAGTCTCCAGAAAGGCATTAGACATCGATCGAAAGTACCTGGGCGGAGGCTTTGATTCCTACAGTATCAAGGTACTACCTAGGTATAAGGTTTGTCACCAACCCTGGAAGAGACAATCAACTTTCTAACCTCCCTTCGAGTCTCTAATTGAGTATCGTTTGACCTCGCAAAGAATTAGCCCCCAGGGCACACCGTCGATGACGCCTTTGAATGATTCAATGGGTCCTCTAGCCCTTGAGCATTTTCCGGCTTTGAGAAACCGATATGACCGGTTATGAGTATCCGGGAAGCCCGAGAACCGAAACCCTAATTGGCGACGGTATTCCCGATTTCCGACAGGGTTGGCTCTCCTAGCGCCCTCTGTCCCTCTTCCCAATTGGCTATCTCACTCATGCTCTTCGACGCTAGAGCATCTTAAGATCGCATTTGGATGATAGAACGAGCAGGGCCTACAAAATTGCCCAGGTGAAGTTAGCGAGTTATTCAACTGTCAGGTGCCTGGACGACCAAAATACTTAGGTATATAATACCCCCGGCCAGTTTTCTCATCTCTTTTGAGATCACCGTCACCATCCAACCAAGAGCCCCGATCGCAAAAAAATCTACCCTTCAAGAATGCCTCCCAAAATTGCAATCGTGTTTGTATGCTAGGATTTTCTGTAACACCCATGGACCCCCGTTGATGATGAAATAGTACTCGATGTTCGGTCACATCCAAAAAATGGCCGAAGCCGAGAAGAAGGGAATTGAGTCTGCCGGTGGTCAGGTCGATGTCTATCAGTATGCTGCCACTTCATGCTTCGGCAGGTTTCCCTGACTGCTTACCAATTCGATCCCTAGAATTGCCGAAACTCTACCAGAAGACATTCTGGCCAAGATGCAAGCACCTTCTAAGCCCGAGTACCCCATAGCCGAGCCCAATGATCTTCTTCAATACGATGCTATCCTATTTGGAATTCCTACCCGATTCGGTAATTTCCCTGCGCAGTGGAAGGCTTTCTGGGATAAAACAGGCTCCATTTGGGCCACAGCTGGTTACTCGGGCAAATATGCCGGTCTATTCATTTCTACTGGTACTCTCGGGGGTGGGCAAGAGTCCACCGCTATTGCCGCGATGAGCACGCTCGTCCACCACGGTTTTATCTATACCCCCCTTGGATACGCCTCCGCCTTTGCTTATCTGTCGAATCTGGACGAGATTCATGGGGGCAGCCCTTGGGGCGCCGGTACCTTCGCGGGAGCCGATGGCTCCCGCGAGCCTACTCCCCTTGAGCTTAAAATTGCGGAGGCTCAGGGGAAGGCCTTTTCAGAGACGGTTTCAAAGGTAAATAGAGGATAGAATGTTCGTGTTTGCCTTGAACCACCGATCCAGATTCGAAAAGATAGCACCACTTGGAATCGCTGTTGTTCAATACCCAAGGACTAGATCACTGGCGCTTTGCTTCAACGACATCGAGTATTTGAATGTGACATTCACTGATTCTAGATTTACCAACATACTATGTGTTCTCTCAGTGCACCCGAGGCTGCCATAATGTGCCCAAGTATTGGCTTCCCAGGTAGTATCGTTGTACCGTCAAATGCCATTTTAGTCCTCTGATGAGCACCGATCTTCCAACTTGATCTAGGTAACCCCTTCTGGGAATACTCGGAATGAATGCCGTAACTGCGTCAAAGTTAGCTTTACTGTTCCCTAGTGGAGGTAGTAGGGGGGATCCGCTATTCTATAGCTTGTAGGCATTAGTATGGGTCGTAGGGGTATCTAGGTCGCCAGTCTCCAGCCGGAGACAAGCAATCTACACAACCCTTCATGGGTCAGCTTCTATTTGATGTTACCTAGTATGGTGCTGTAGGCCAGAGACTTCGCCCAACACTAGGGTCATAGTCATGACATCCATAGGCAGATGGATCTCGAGGTCGTCCTGCCTGCTTTGTCAGACCGCCATCGCGCTCTTCCTCTTCCTCTAGGTAGATTTTGATCAATTCCCAGGGTTGAAAGAAACAATTCTGCGATAAAAACGAATCAGCGATGAACTGGCACCTTGACCTAGTTCTCATGTCATGCCTTTCATCTCCTGGGCAGTTTTCCAACATAGTCTCAAGAAGTATCCCAAGGGGAGGAAATAATTGTGTGAATATTGGGCCTGTAAAGGCCGTTAAAATTAACCAAGTGGTTGGTTGGCACTGTCATTGCGAGTGCCTACCATGAAATCGCAGTCTGGCAAAATATCATCCAGGGATAGCCATGGCTGGTAAGACGCGTCTGTCCAAGGGCCCCACCCAGCAAAGCCATCTAATGATGCGAGATCTTCCATCGCGAAATTGGGTCTATGTCTTGCGTTAAAATCAGACTCAAGCTGCCTGACAGGTGGATGCCCAGTGAGATGCAAGAGAGACTCAGTTGCAGCGTGATGCTCCCAGTCTGTCTTGTCGCAAGAAGACGAAAGGCTGTCCAATGATGCTTTCCATGGTTTTGCGACCTCCCAGATTTCACTTGCTTTGGATACCCATTGAACGCCCCAGTTGAAGTAGCCGATACTATCATCACGCCTGGTATCCGATTTCGGCCATCTTCTTACGCTAGCAAGCACTGTGGTGGCACTGAACACACAGTAGCAAGTGAAAGGTAATCGTAAGTCGATCCCTTGACTTGTTAGCTGTTTCATCATCTCAACAAGTGAACAGGCATTCTCAGAGAGCTTGTCTGCGCTTTCCTTCTTCCAGTCCGTGGGGTAAACTTCCCGAAGGGAATTCAAGCCAGATCTCTCCCTTTGCGTAGAGTGGCGGAGCATGTGAAGTGGCGTATGCTCCCGGTACAAGAAAATGTTTGTTAAAAAGTAAAGTAAATTCACAAAAGCGTAGCGCTCGCCCTGTTTACGAGACGCAAAAGCTTGGAGGTGCGATCCCGCACGTGAAAAATGCATTCGTGAAGGCAAGGCTTTTCGCCAGTCTTCGAGGACCGCCAGACAGCGATTCGAAAACGTACCAGCAACTCGAAGATCTTCGCTTGATAATCTTTTGTCTTCACGGCCTTTGTCGAAAGAGATTCTCCGGGAGACCTCACACCAGATGTTGAACCCTTGCAAGATCAATGCGAAGTCGATTTCGCTCTCTTTGCCACCGAGTCTCTGTATCGCTGGCGGATCTGAGGTCTCGAGGTCCATGACCTCCAAATATGTTAGATTGTCAGCCTGGTACAGGCCGAACGCGTAGTCCTCGTCAAAATTTGGGAGCGCAACGTTGTAAATGGTTGCGTGAAATCCCAGCGATCGAAAATTTCCACAGCCGAGTAGAACCTCGATCATCAAACAAGACCAGAGCGTGCGCCTAGCTTCTTCAAGTTTGGTCCTGTGTGACTGGACAGACGTAGCAGAGTCGTAATCTTTTTGGTTGGATAGCCATCCGAGAATTGTACAACAATTTCTTGTTGCCATTCCTGAGTTCATAGAAAACAGTCAGATCAGAGAATGAAGGTTTCACGGAGGTGATTGGAGTCTTCCACCAAGTGGACAAGTGCCCAGGTGCAAAGGAGGGTGTGGTAACCTACCGATATACGTCCACGACTGGCCACCCTTGGCGGCCGCCCAATCATGAAAACTGAGCAATAAGAGCGCTTGCGCTATGGTAATATCGTGACCCGTAGCCATATCACAGGTAATAGTGCGCCGCAGATATGCGGCGAAATATTCAGATGCCAGAAGAGGAGAGCCATGTTGATGAACCAGTTTTGGTAGAAACCGTGCACATACCGCAAGGATCCCACAAAATTGGAGACCCAACGGGTGATCTTTATAGATGATTGAGTTCACAGTAGGACCATGCAGGAAGCTAAACATTGCGAAACGTTGCTGAAAAATTTCGATTGCATGACATATTGTCTCACGATCAACGGTAGCCAGGAAGTTCTCCGTGTTTTTCGGCGAGACACTCGAGGCTGAAACATCCACCATCGATGCTACGCATGGCAGATTTGCGAAAGTCTGATCGTTTGTGGCGCTGGCTGGCACCGGTAAGGAATCCGGCCTCGTATCTTCTCTCTGTGCAGTTGTGTTTGTGCTAGGCTCTGGTTCAAGTGGTCTAGTCGGAGATGGAAGTTCTTGGTTCGAGCAGAGCCTCTGAGCGCTTTTTTTCCTTGGGAGGCTCAAGGTACAGTTCCGAGATGAATTGGAAGCACAAGCCCGACAAGGAGGGCTTCCATTATGTCGGCATTTGACTTTCGCCCTTCGACACCATTGGCACGACAGGCTGGATCTCATGCCGAAGTGCTTCGAAGTTGTGCGTGGAGAAACTACCTCGTGACCGAAGGTGGCAAAAACCGCAGCAGTGAAAAATCAGAATCAATCTGATTGAAGTAAGTGGATGACGGATAGTGAGTTGAAGACTAAGTCAAAACAACTTTGGAAATATTGAGCTGCAAGGGATCTTGACGATCAGGTCAGACAATTATATTTGAATGTGAAACTGAAGGGCAGGTGGCTGATTTTGCTACTTCTGCAGACCCCGGGGGCGGTGAACCGTGTCCTACTTAAGCAGGTCCCCGGGCCCCGGGGCCCCGGGGGCCCGGCTGCAAAGGGACATCGCCGCCCTCCTGGGCTCCCGGGTTCCAGGCTCCCGGGCTGGGCCAGATGCTGAGTAATGCTGATATTTCACCTGGGCAGCGTGGACCCGTCCACGGTGGGGTGCCCAAGTGGCTGAATAAAATTCATTGCTGAATTACCAAAACAGGCGCCCTGGGGTATTCATTCCAAGTTGAATATTGTAGTACAGTAAGGCTCAGTCTTGGAACCTTTCAAGTCACAATTTGGAAAAGATTTGACTACAAATATCATGTACTTCTAAAGCCACCCAGGTGGAAGCTTGTAGGCTCAAGAGCTAACCCGTAGGTCTAAGTAGAAAGCAGAGGCTGAAAAGAGAGAGGTGCGCGACCTGTGCTTCCTGCATATACACTGGCTTTTTCATATCAAATCAGCTAAATATCTCATCTAAGCCCCTCCCCTCGCCCTCTCCCCCTTCCGCGCGCGCTTATCTTCGGGGTCTAAACTTTGCCCACGGCTCAGCAAATCCAGCTCCGCGTACCCAAATATCGCGGAAGACCACACCCGTTGTCTCAACAGCTAAAAAGAAAAAGAGAAGAATCGTTAGCCAGGGATACATCTTTCGAATCCAACAACAGAAGAAGAGGCTTACCTAAATTGCCGATCTGAAGCCACATATCCCCAGACAGCGGAAGGGTGTCGCTGTCAAGCTTTGTCTGGTAGGGACGACAAAATTCCTCGGCAAAAGCGACCGTGCGAACAAACTTTGCTAGATGTCCATCGTCAGATGGATGAAGATAACTCTTCGAGAACACCTCTGGCCAGCCCAAACGGATTGGATAATTCAGAATGTCGTCGACATGTGACTCTGGCACTTTACGGGATGCCCAGATCAAAAGATCCATCCGGCCTTTCATCTCCAATAGTCGGCTCTTTGCAGAATCTGCGATGTAAGGAAGATCCATGAAGGCCTTGAAGAAGATAGATAGATTGACAGCATGGATGAAGAAGAAGTCTAGCTTCAACTCTTTCTCCGGATTTTGGGCCGTTGCGGTCCAGTATACTATGCATCTGTCAGCGAACGATTCCAGTTTTCCACAGAAAGAGGGACTCACTCGCTGTATTAACCATTTCAGCAAGCTTTTCGAAAATCCGGTCCTCTGGGACTGTCCATTTGCTGCAGTGGTGAATGACCTCGTCACCAGCCCGCTTGAGGATGCCGTCCTCAAAAACATCCGTGTCTCCATGCTGCGATGAGCTTTTGACTTTTTCATCTGCGCGCATTTCTCCCATGATTTGCAATAACGATTTGGAAGGTGATGGTTGCAAGTTGGCAGTCGCGACGGCCGTAGCGGGATTGAAGAACTGGTCACCCAGATAGTCCTGGTGGACTGATGCCTGCGCCAAGGCCTGGGCAACGATGGCGGGCTGTTCAAACTCGATACCGAAACCAAGATGAATGATAGGATGAACGAGACCCGCAAACATCCGTGAAAGTAGAGACTCGGCGAGCTTGTCACCACTGAACAGATATTCATTCATCACAGCCGGGACGCCTTTTGTGGCAATCTCGCGCTGGAAGAAAGCCAGGTAGTTCGAGTAGTGCTCCTCTTGGAACATGTACTTCATGAACTCAGCTTTGCTGGAGAAGGATGCGATGACATTTTCGTCCCGCGGAAACGCGGGGCGTTGGCGTTTGTCCTCTCGCTCATACTGAAGCTGGATGGTTTCGGGAGAAGCCCCGAGAGACCAGATGGTGAGCATAAAGTGTACGATGTGATCTGTTTAGACATGAGTAACTGTGCATCATCTGGGAGACGTGTAAACACTTGCCGTGAAACTGGATCTCATTGAGATAGATGTGGTGATTTTCCATGTCATGTTGGAGTACCTCGCTCACTTTGCGTGCAGATGCGGAGCTCAAATTGGAAGAGCTGAAAACACCGGCATTCTTCGGCGTCAGCCAGATCTTCGTTGAAGTAGCCATCGTTGAAATTTCTAGTGGACAGAGAGGCAATTTGTCAAGAGTGGAAAGATTTGAAAAGGTCCATCGAGCCCTTTTGTATTCCCATTTCCAAAGTTGTGAGAATCATCATTGTGTCATCGATGAAAATCTGTGTTCCGGGACAACTAATCAATTTTGAAGGCTCTCGGAAATGAATATGTATCTAATTCGCCGGATTCAGTGGCTTTTTCACTTTCCCTTGGAAGCCCCGGATGTTACGGTACAGGGGCAGAACGTCAGATTGGCAGAAAATAAAATTACCTGAATTACCATTACTTGAAAGCAAACAGGGCAAACTGTGCAAACAGTGTAAACAGCCTGTCCCATTCCTCTTCCCCAACACCCCCTGACCGCCGCGCCCGGGATTACTCTACGCCAGGATGGTAAGTGAAGTGAAGCTTCCTGTGAGGAAGTTTCGGTTACTGACTGGTTTCAGGAATTTGATGAGGATCGGGGCCTACTAGTATACTCGTGGATACTGTTTACAATACACTGTATAGGGCGGTAGATAGCATAACATCCACTAGCCCTAAATGGGATACCATTACCATACCTAGGTACTGAAGACCCTTGGGTACTCCGTACGCCGTACGGTGCTTTTCGCGTTTCGGCTTTCGGCTTTTCGTATCTCGTATCTTGCATTTCGCATTTCGCATTTCGCATTTCGCATTCCCCATTCCGCCTTTCGCCTTTCGCAATCTATGTTAATATTCGCCCCAACTCGAAGGCAAGCCACAGTTTGATGTACTTGCTATTGTCTTACAATTGAGATCTTCGACTGATGTCCTCTGCCCATCAACTTCAGCGTGTAAGTTCAGTAAACAGCTTGCGGCCGTTGACGAATTGGAGATATCTTCCCGGCGAAGTATTTGCTTCTCTTTATTTTTCCCACTCTAGCATAATCGCAACGGGGTGGATAACTGGAGAGGTACGGATCTTGTTCGGTTCTCAGCAAAATGATAGACATCTAGAATCGGCACAATATCCCGGATGCTCCTTATCATCTACTCCGTAATGTCTTGTCCTGTGCTGTACATATTCGACTTTCTCGTTGGGGTGTATTTCATTCTACCGTGTTGACTTCGTTTGAGATCATTTTCAATATTTTGACCCGAGCCATCTTTCCTTCGCCGGGTGAAAAGTCACGAAATCCCTCGAAGTCTTCTCACAGCTCTATTGGGAACCATGTCTCTTTTAGTGAGCTTTGCCGACAGCGAAGGCCCGCGAAACCCGCAAGATTGGTCGACTACGAGAAAGTCAGTGATTTTGTAGCCGACGGCCAATATGTGAAATACAAATATTGACAACAATAGGGTTCTCTTCTCAATGCTGCTTTCTTATGTGACCTTTGTTGCAGCATTTGCAAGTGGCATATTCTCCACTGCAATAGATCCAGTCAGCTCTGATTTTGGGATCTCCAAAGAGACCTCGACCCTGGGGGTAACTCTATTTGTTGTAGGCTTCGCATCCGGCCCAGTACTATGGGCCCCAACATCTGAGCAGATTGGCCGTGAGTGGCCGATCAAAATCGGTATGCTTGGTTACAGCATTTTCAGTACGGCCACAGCGACAGCAAAAGACGTGCAGACTCTGATGATCTGCCGCTTCTTTGCGGGACTCTGTTCGGCGAGTCCGGTCGCAATCGTCCCCGCATGCTTTGCCGATATCTTTGACAGGCAATACAGAGTGACTGCCATCACTGCCTTCGCGATGGCTGTCTTTGCTGGTCCATTCATGTCGCAGGTAGTTGGTGGGTTTATTATTATGAATCCTAACCTTGGCTGGCGTTGGACCATGTACGTATCAGCCATCATGGGATGGGCGGGGACCATATTGCTTTTCTGTTTCCAAGACGAATCTTATGCCCCGGTACTTCTGGTTCAAAAAGCCAAGATCATTCGGCAGAAAACTGGAAATTGGGCAATACATGCCAAGCATCAAGAACATGACTTGAATTTGCGAGGTCTCGTCGTTCAGATCCTAGGTCGACCATTTCGCATGCTTTTCACTGAGCCGATTGTTCTACTTGTCACTTTATACATGTCTTTTGTCTACGGGTTGATGTACGCCTTGCTTGGGGCCTATCCACTCATCTTTCAAGGCGTACACAAGATGAACGCCGGGCATGGTGGCCTGCCATTCTTGTCGTTGGTAGTTGGAGAGATAATTGGTGGAATATTTACACTTGCAGAGCAGCAGGCCCAACAAAGGCCATCGAATAATACTCAACGAGATCTGGCACCGGAGAGAAGACTTCTTTCAGCCGCCATAGGTGGAACGGTCTTTGCAATCGGTGTCTATTGGTAAGCCCCGAGCTGCAGATGTGAGAAATTTGCTAACCAGGTGAACACTCTTATAGGTTAGGATGGACAGGATACAATCAGTCCATACATTGGATGGCCCCAACGGCCTCTGGGGTCTTCATTGGATTTGGGATCATCTGTATCTTTCTTCAGTTCATAAATTATTTGGTGGATAGCTACTTGAATCTGTGAGTTCATCCAGCCAAAAACTAATGGACTTGCTACTAATCAAACGCACGCTAAAAAGAGCTGCTTCTGTACTCGCAGCGAATACGATATTCCGTTCCGCTGTCGCGGCTTCCTTTCCACTATTTTCACGACAATTATTTGAAAATCTAGGGATCCAGTGGGGTGGAACACTTCTAGGCACCTTGGCCTTATTGATGATACCGATACCATTTTTGTTCATGAAATACGGGGCCTATCTTCGGGGAAAGTCGAAATATCTTTCTTAGATGCCTCCCAAATGAAAAGGAATGAACATTATTGGGACAAACGCTGGCTGAGACCAGGAATGAAAAAAAAAAGAAAAAAGAAAAAAAAAAAAAAAACGAAAAAGCAGATCTGATTATAGGAAGCGAGAAGTCACTGAGTGGCAGAAGCAGAGAGCTACTACTATCTGAACTGAGCTGGGAGGGAACATGACCCTCCATCTCAAGAAACTTTTCGCAAAAGGCTCGTGTGATAGACATGAAGTGATCATTCAAGAATATGACTATTCTGCCCCACTGTGACTCCGCCGTGCTAGTTGCTCAAATGCCCCGCCACATTCTCCAGGGCATCGATAACGAAGTCTGGTCCCAAGGCCTGGCAAGCCTCTCGATCCCCATATCCATACCGGCACCAGCAGACCGTGCTGCCGATGTTTCTTGCGAATTCAATATCAGCAATTGTATCTCCAACAACCAGCACTTGGCTGGCTACAATCTGCGTGCCGGCTTTCTCAAGAGCGGGGGCTAAAACATTCGTGAAGCTGGAGGGATCTGGTTTGCGTTTCGCACCAGGAGTATTGTCACCAATAATGAGATCCTCGGGCACCAAACCATCCAAGTTATTGCGCTTCAAGGCAGTCTTGACTGCCTCGACGCCCTTGTTACTGATGATAGAGATGGGAATCCCGAGCGAATTGATCTTTGCCAAGAGTTCCTTTGCGCCCGGGAAAGCCTTAATGAGTGGCTGGCCGTGGGTGGCGTAGAGTGAGCGATATTTCCCAATCCATTCACTCTCGATGGTCGGGGTGAAGTCCGCCGGTGAGGGGTGTAGAGTTTTGAACGTATCGGTCAGTCCGGACCCGCTGGCGATCAGGCGGTGAATCTCATCTTGAGGCGGGGTATGGGCTGGAAGCAGGGTATCGAAGGTGAGTTTGATTGTCTGAGAAATGGATTCGTGGGTGTCGAAGAGGGTGCCATCGAAGTCGAAGATCACGAGAGATGCCATACTGGCTGATATGGGGAACAGTTGAAGTACAGTTGAAGTAAAAGAGTTGAAGATGGTAGGCAATTAGATTGGCGCCACAATGTACTTGAGAGATCACATATAATACTCAAAAACATTACTGTACATTACGGAGTACACATACAGCTATGGCGATGACTTGGCCTTACGTGGCTCATGCAAATCGATGTAACATTGCAAACAGTGTATTGATCTGCCCGAAGATCATACAGTATTGCATACGCCAAGGACAAACTCCTTGTGGGGCCGTTGTATGTGGACCCTGATATGTATAGGCTGGAAACTTCAAGTTTCTACTATGTGTTAAGAAACGATGGAAGCCTGCCTACTTTGCCGGAATATCTCTTGCTTGAGCGTATTTCAGACTTTGATGGCTCTTTCGAAGTTGGGAGAGCTAAGGGTCAATGTGTTTTGAAATGCATAAATGTTAATAATGTCAATAGGATCATTGTATACAAAGTATTCCATTGAAACTCTGATTGAATTGCCCGAATCAATCTTCAAGTGCGTCGCTACCGCTACGCGTCTCCCCTCTCTCCTCTCTTCACCTCTCTTCCCCACCTATTTCCCTCACCTCTCTTCATCTCTCTTCACCTCTCCTTTTCTCTCTTTTCCCCCACCTATTCAACTGCATCTGGGCTACCATCTCACTGGGACTCTAACTGGCACATCCCGGCTGAGCCGCTTCGCTGCGCTCAGGCAACACCCGGGATGTGCCAGGGGCGTCCATTTGGATCGAGCCAATCCCATCAATCTAGTTTTCCTATCCTATTCTCTCTTCTTCCTCACTGGTTCATCTGCCCCCGGGCGACCATCTGACTTAGACTCTAACTAGCCTCCTGTGGCTGACGCACTTCGCGTTGCGCTCAGGGAACTCCCGGGATGTGCTAGGGCCGTCCATCTGGATCGTGCCGATTCCATCAATCTGATTTTCCTATTCTTTGAATTATCACCTCACGCAGACTTTAACTGGCCTCCTGTGGCTGACCACCTCGGTGCCGCTCAGGGAACATCCAGGATGTGCCAGGGCCGTCCATCTGGATCGTGCCGATTCCATCAATCCAATTTTCCTATTCTCTTCCTTCTTTTCTGTCAATTGATCTCGCAGTTACCCACTTCGTTTCTTCGTGCTGTTTGTGCCTCATGCGCCTCCCCTCTCTTCACCTCTTCTTCCATTCCCCTGGCCCATATACTCAAGATCCCGTCTCTGCACTGCTTCGCAAATCCAGGACGTCGCGATGTATGAAGTGCACCTTGCTCCGGATCCTGGCTCTCGGCCTGAAGATCCCCCTCCCTCCCATGTTGATCACTCCGATGAACATCTTGACTCCACCAAAAGTTCAAGCATTGGTGATGACTTTCAAGACAACAAAGAACTGCAAGAAATCCTCCAGAGTGACGAATCCGAAAGATCCTGCACCTACCGATGCGTTCTCTCTGACACCACTTCGACTCACCTTGGTTTCGGGAATGATGCTGCTCAAAGTGTGAGGCTGAGGTTGTGGCTATGCATCAGTTTTGTGCAGCCTCGAATTGACATCGGGCTCACAATCAAGTGGCATGACGGGAGAGTCAGCCACGAACGACGCCCAGCAAACCCTCTCCACCGGATGTTTGGTGACCAAATCGCGGCGCTAGACACCTCAAAGATTGTGTCTTGCAAGGTAGGTTTCCATTTTACGATCTTTCCTTTGACTCTGAGTGATTGACATCTTAAAAAAACAGAATCCTGTCGACAGCCCACCGGTCCAATTTCTCGAAGCGTTTGTTCGCAGCACCACTGGAGGAGACATCGAGATTTCCAGCGAGCTTTGATCGATCTCGACACAACGAAAGTGGACGACATATTTGCCAACGGCCGGCTTTGGGTCCTCGCTATCTTCATCAAGGACCAGTGCTGCCGATTCGGCCCCGGTCTTTTCACCAGATCAAAGACTCGCGAAACTCAGACTGCGGCCATTCACAGCATCCGAGACAAGTTCTACACTGAGCCAGAGCATCACTTCGTGGTGAGATCAGATGATCTTTCGGAGATTCGTGAAGATCTCTTGAAGATGTGAAGCTTGTGCCTTCAAACGGATCCAGCAAGCTTCCAAGACACTTTCCTTCAAGGAGGGGACTACGCTTCAACCGAGATTATCACTTCCACATATCTTTCCCAGCTCATATCTTACCTCCTCCCGTCTCTCTCGCATCAATAACTAGCCTTCTCGCGGCTGAGCCAGTCTTCTGCTAAGCCAGTTTTCTGCCGCTCAGGGAACACCCGGATGTGCTAGGGCCGTCCATCTGGATCGTGCCAATTCCATCAACCTGATTTTCATATCATTTGAATTATCATCTCACTCAGACTCTAACTGGCCTTCTTGCGGCTGAGCCACCTCGCTGCGCTCAAGGAACACCCAGAATGTGCTAGGCCCGTCCATCTGGATTGAGCCAAGTTTCCCAATTGAACGCTCCGCACCCTCGTAGGTTCCTTTCATGACGCATCCATGGATCTCAGCATCACCTTCCCATGGATCCTGCAACATGACTTATCTGGCCTATTCACCTACCCAGGTAGTTTCGATTTTCGATTTTAACCAGCACCACCGCTTCGGCCTCTTACTCCACAACAGACATCATGCCAGCAAGTCAAGTTACCGACAGTGTGGAATCAACACCGCCAAGTCCGAAAAAGCAGCGAAATGGTTCATCCGATGACTCCATATTCCCATACCCCTACTTGCCGACGGCCTGCGTCATGGGCCAGGACGAGTATATTCGGCCACCGGAGTATAGGGACCAGCTGCCAGCGATGGAACCGGTTCGGAGTGAGTATTTTCATATTGAAATCGAGAGCTCAGCTGACCCGGCTTCAGGGACAGATTCTGCCGAGTGGGGAGATGACCAGACTGCAGCCAAACGTGCGTGTTTTGAGCCAAAGGTCACCGATAGCAACAAAGAGCTCTTTCGAACTCACCACCCTTCCTTGAGTCAACAGACCGATGTGTACTGGAGGGAAGAATCGATCGGCAGATTCATCTGGTTGGTAGAGGTTGATGGCCATTATGTCGGTACTCACGCTGGGGGTATTGGTATCCATCTTATCCCACAGGGATTCACCTACAAGCGAAAACCGGGCATTTACACTTGCCTCTGGCCTTCCAACCACCACCGAGACCCTGTTCCGGAGTCACTGGATCCTCGAAAGTTTCTGGCACCGACTCATCTCAATATGCTACGAGAAATGTACCCAACCTCGATCGGCGCAAGAGTTTTCGTCAGTGGATTCATCGTGCTCCTTTTTAAGGATTATGCAGCCATCAAAAAGTCCTGGACACAAGACAAAATTTTACCTGTTTTCGGTAATTTGAGAGTATCCTACGATGTGCTGGAAAACATCCCAACGCATCAGAAGATTTGCAGCGGCGCCCCGGTCTCTAATGAATCAGATCCTTCAAAAGCGCTCGCGGCACTGGGACTAAAGCTTCGTTTGCCGCAAGGTTATGAGGCTATCACAGTTCCCACACACGCCTTTGTCGCTTTGAGGCCTGTAAACTGGACGCTTTCTCTTCGAATCAGCAGCTGGTACACTGCGATCAAAGCAATGCTATCCCGGTTTGCTCTGGCCATTGGACGCACTCGCAACACACTGGACCCGTATTCGCCCCTTGGGCGGGGGGTCGCTCTAGCCCATGATATCCGCCAGGGATGTTAAATGTAATATTATCAGCATATTCGACATGTCTAACAAAGAATGGATCTTAGGTCGGGACAATTACGAAAAGTTATGATCCTACTGCAGATGAACCCCTTTGCTACCCTACCGGGTTCTCGCATGATATATCCTTGGTCACCAATCCCCGGGCCAAGGGACTACCCGAGATGGAGGCGCCCAGCCGCACAGCATGTGTGGTCGGATGGGGCAGCTACGAAGATGTGCAAGCTGAAGAACCAATATTTATGACCGCCCTCAACGTGCAGAATGGCAACCCCATCCACAGGGCTGGTCATGGTGTTTCGGCAACAGACAACAAAGTAGCACTTCACGAGGGAGCACAACATCTTTGGGGAAATCAAAACTTGACGCAAAACATCTCAATTCTATGGAGGACTGAACGTGAGCACGACTCTCTGGAAGGCTTTTCCGGATCAGTGCTTTGTCTCGGCAAGCGAGAAGATAAGACATGTCTAGCCGTCTGTTTCCAGAACTTCCAGTTCTCCATGATTTCCAAGAAGAAATTACTTACTGAGCATAGGCCTGCATCTGTGGTCGATGATATGCGTGAATATGCTCTAGTCAGGGGGAGCTTCTTGCTTCCGGAAGAGATAAGGACATCTGAAATATTGTGCCATCCATCCGCAACATCACAGACAGCTTCGACTTTCCCTGCCAAGTCAGACCGCCAAGGTATCCTGAGAAGATCGTTGTCTTCCCCTGACATCAAATCCAAGGTCTGATGTATTATTGCTCGCGTTTTTGTCGTGAGTCATCCGTGCCCTAGGGCACATGACCCCCGGGGTTTCTAGCTCTCAGTTTGTCCTCAGTAGTCTTGCTTCTTGCTCTCTATTCCCCAGTTAGCTGAATTGAGTCTTCGCTCTCTCTCTCTCTCTTGGCCCTTTGGTAATTCCAACTGTATTTTTGCAAGGATTACCGAATTTGCTATATCGACGAACAACCATTCTTACAGCAGCGTTTGGGAAGGATACCGAAAACGAAAACGAGAAAGAAGCATAATTCCTCCAACGCTGACAGCTGTCGTTATGATATTGATATTATACATGTTTAGTGAAGCGATCAACATGCTCCTTGCTACCACTCGAATACTTCCAAGGTTCGCGCACTGGAAACTAAGGAGAGTCATATACCATAAGTGCGTAGCTCTCTGGGCTTTCTTTCAGTTCTATCAGATAGCTTTCTCTTCTTGCTCTTTTGAGTGAATCGATCAATATTTACTCTCTCATCCCTGATAAGCTAGTAACTTCTCCAACAGAAACCGATGACGGGAAAGTTATTCACTTCATTTCTATTATTGAGCAGTGAAGACCATTAGCTTATCATTGCATTTGTTTCTCTTCCTGTAAACATTCAAATCATAGCTGTTAATTGTGATACTTACTTTGTATTATCTTTATTTCTTCCCTTTATATACCATACCCAATATACCAATAACTCGCTGTAAAATAAACAAATACCGTTCCTAAGATCATCAAACGTTGATACCATCATAGACCTCTTCCAAGAGGTCGACTAAGGGCACACATAATCCGACTAATTTTACACACACAAGGTTTCTTTCCAAGTGGCCACTATCATCGACGGACAATTTCGCTGTAATATTGGAAACTCCATAGTGATTGGAAATACTATATAGCTGCGATTCTTGGCACTCACCCCATGTTAAGTTATAGTGTACATTACCCTCACTGTGCTCGCTTCGGACTCTGGTGTTTGTACAACAGAAAGACCATGAGTTCAAATATTGACTCGATCCCATTCTAGATCGGGTTCTTCGAGGCCCCCCGGCTCTGTGACGATGTGTTCTGCTTTGTTCCTGCCTGTCGGTCGTTATCGCGGTCCTTCCCGGTTGAAATAGCCTTGCTATTCCCATGTTGGTCTCTCACTTTCCCACTTCTTCCTCATGAATACCTTGCCGTCGAATTACGGGCTTCTGGGCATTCCAGCTTCTCCGTCTTCCAATTATTTCTTGCGGTGTGTTCATCACGTAGGGGCCGGCCCTTCCCATCCTGGTGCCTGTACAACAAAAATGCCATGAGTCCAAATATCGACTCGAACACACCTGAGGAAGGATATTATCAGAACTGCGAAAGGAGATCAGGATGCACCGCCTTGATACATCACTTCAAATGCCTGCGCTAGAGGATGACTCTTCGCCCTCCTTGGCCTGCCAACTGGCAACAAGACCATTCCAGAGGCACTGGATCCTCGAAAGTTTCTTCCACCAGCTCATCTCAATATCCTACCCATGGGCGACTCGATATGGGGAAGACTTTTCGTTAGTGGATACATTGTGCTTTTTTGAAGTACCGTGCAGTCATCGGAGAGTCCTGGACACAAGAGGGGATTCCACATGTTTTCGGAAATTGAGAGAATCCTACAATGTTGTGCCGGAAAACATCCCAACACATCAGGAAAACTTTCAGCGGTGCGCAGATATCACCTGAACCAACTTCACCAAACGCGCTCGTGACACTGGGACTAAAGCTTCGTTTGCCGCAAGGTTATGAATGGGGGTATGCCAATTCTCACGCATGTCCTTGTCGCTTTGATGCCCATCCGCTGGACGCCTTTTCTTCGAATCAGCAGCTGGTACATTATGATAAAAACAACGCTATCCCAGTTTTCTCTACTTCACGGAGTATCTGACGAGAAGTCATGTGCCATGAGTCTGGCTCACGGTGTTGGGTAGCTCTCTCTTTCAGAGATAGTTCTCAGCTCTCTTCTCTTCTCTGCGGCGAATCAATCAATCTCTGCTCTCTATTTCCCTGGATAAACCAGTAGCTTCTCCAACAGTATCTAGCTTCTAGTTGAGAGTCTTACTATAGTCACTGTAGAAACGATCAATATGAATCTCATAGCTTTAATTCCAAAGTTTGAGTATGCTACCAAAACTAGACTAACAGATCCTCCAAACCCTAGAATAAGCCGATACAGAGCCCTAGTTTTCTTATAGGCAGAGGGTAAATAGTATACATAACTAAGGACAAGGCTTCGTTTCCTATATTCTACTTCCCGATGTCCCTGCGTTCACCTAGTCATAGGTTCGATATCAGTTCAAAAGTAAAAGTCTCATTTCTCGGAGTTTGAGTCTAAAGTGAAGTTTTCAGTTCATAAGAGCGGAGTCAAAGCGTTCTAAAGGGTTTTTAGTTTTCAGAGTAAAGTTCTTACTTCAGTAGATTTGAATCATATTCATCTTTTGCTCAGTTTTTTATTTATACCTAGGTATTCGTCTATAAAAACCCCTCCCCGAGCCTTCTTCTTCCTTCCTCTTCTCACACCCCACAGCTCTGAGGTCCATCATCCCCTCGGAGGGTAAGTCTTCTCCATTTCGTTCTGCTAGTTATCCACTGACAATTCTAGGCTCCGGGCCACATGGAGAAGTTCCACGTGAACAAAAATCTCGTTTTTATGAATGTCGCCGGCAGCCAAGAGTGCAGGATGGGATTTTCATGGGCGAACCTTGCACATGTCCGCACCGCCCTGGACCTTGCATTTAACATCATGAATCGTCGCACGGTCTGCCCAACGGGGTTTGTGATTGTGGCTGGTTACGAGGCGCAAAAACGGGCATATCACTCTGAAATCTCCCATCGTGCAGAGCGCCAGCCTGAGACCCAGTGGCTGAAATTACGAGTCAACGTTATCGAGACCTTTCAAGGCAATGAAGCGCCTTCCGCCATATTTGACTTGGTGCGATCCACGACAATGGGGCACATGCGATCATTTCGGAGACTCAACGTCGGTGTGTCTCGCGCTCGGTTTAGACTCCGGTGTCTTTACAACAGAAACGCCATGATTTCGAGATCGACTCCAAAACGAGGATAATATCAGAACTAAGACAGGAGATCAGAGATCACCGACTTGGCACCTCAGTCTTCAAGTGCTTTCACTGGAGGGCAATCCAGTGGCTGAAAGTACGAGTCCATGTCATCGAAACATTCCAGGGAAAGAGGCACTTGTGCGCTCTACTACCACTGCATGGGCCACATGTGATCCTTCTGTCGATTGAAGGTTGGAATGAGTTGTGCTCGCTTTGGACTCTGGTGTCTTTATAACAAGGCAGCCATGACTTCCAAGGTCGACGCCAATACCTAGATACTATCTGAGATACACCAAGAAATCAGGATCTAACAAATCGGCTGCTCAGTTGAGATACCTGCCATAGACGACGATTCGGAGGGTAATTCGGAGGCTCAGGTGCAAGACCGGCAGGATATGCTGTCACGTTCACGCCTATGGGCCATTCGCGGAAAGGCTGAACTCTCAGCCTTGAACGAGGATGCTCTCAAGTCTTTGCCAATCGACCAAGATCAAGAGGTTTTTAAGTCATCGGGATTGGCGAAGTCCGATCCTAATGTCTCCTGGTGAAACAAGATGATTTCATCAATAGGTGTGGTTGACTGAGAGTTCACGGTGGCTTCAGTCCGCGAACGAAGAAGGAATCTGGCATGAAATAATGGGAAAGTTAAAAAATGCATAGTGCATTAGCCAGATTAGCAAGAAATCGAGAATTTTCCAAACAACTGATAAAGGGGAAAATTACCGTCTTATGTTGATACAGAGTACGTTCACATATGAATGTAGGGTACTAGGTAAAGGCAATGTATTCACTACCTAGGTACATAGGATATAAATATGTACAATGAGCGGAGAAAAATTAAATGTCGGCGTCGCTTCGAACATCGGACCAATAATTGATATGTCAAGTTGATACGCCCCTAATGAACTCCAGGGCAGTATAGGGTAAAGAGTATTGATCTAATACTCTCCCAGCCATGCACAATTCAGGACATCCGATATATTGGCCTGAGCCCCGCTTAGGACGTTACTGCACTGCATGTCCAAGTTTCTTCTGAAGCCGGCTCTAGAGCAATCCAGGGATGCCCTGGGTCCCCATAACTAACAAGGGCCTGGAGCCAACTGGTCAAATTATACCATGGCGACCAAAAACATGTTCCGAACAGCTGGCTGAAGGGGAGTTTTAGGCACCTGACATGATGTCCCCGGGGCGCGAATGCAGAAGGTAAGAAGCCGGGGAAAGAGGCTTGATGCTGGCAAGGTACCAAGATAAGGATACCATCATCACTGGACAGCACAGACACAACAACATCCAAGGTATATGTAGGCCATTCATGCGACTGAAGGTATCCGCTTTTCCCGGTCTTGTACCCCACGACGCGGTAAAGGGTTCGAACAATTATAATTTATGATAATGCTGCAGAGATGGAGACAAGCATGGGCTGGAATCACAGTTTTGACTCCACGGTTCTCTTCTCCTCTCCCGGTAATCATGCCATATGTTCTAGTGCAGGTGTCGAAAATGTGGAAGAGGAAAATCCCTAACGAGAGGGACCCCTCTGACGAAGGCACTCAGGGCCGCGAGGACCTGGGTGCTGAAGTCGAAGCAGTGAGGAAGCCGCTTAACTTAGCGTAGAAATCTCTAGTTTCCCAGCAGGGTCAGATTAATAACCTGGCTGCCATTAGGGCCTTAAACTCTAATCCTGGTAAACAGAGCTTGAAATATTCTCGTCATCACCCAGGTAAATAGGACTAGAGCATAAGGTCCTATTAGCAGCTAGGTCATTAATCTATCCCTGCTGGGAAATCAGAGATTTCTACGCTAAGTTAAGCGGCTTCCTCATCCCTTTGACTTCAGCTCTCAGATCCTTACGGTCCTGAGTGCCTTCGCCGGAGGGGCCCCTCTCGTCAGGGATTTTCCTCTTCCACATTTTCGACACCTGCACTAGAACATATGGCGTGATAGCCAGGACAACAGAACCGAGCACAGGCCCGACCCAAGTCCCCATGCTATTCCACAGCTCAACCCGGCAAAGCTACCTACCCTTGATTTGGGCATGGGTTGCCGTTCCGATGATGACCCCGGTGACCAACTTCGAGCAGGAAGACGGCGATACAGGTGTTTTCATGGGTAAGCCCTGCGCAGAAATGGCCTCTGGCAGTATGTCATTCAGTTATGCCCAATTGGAATTGCTCATGCATGTCATGTTGGCTTTGTCCCATTTGAATGGTGTCTTCAGCGCAGTCATCAATGGCGTAAAATAACAGCGGTACGTCAACTGTTTGGGTGGGTACTCTCCTCGGAGCTACTCCGACTCGCTGAAGGAGCGGCAATAGGTTGCCATCTCCTTGGGGACGTGCACAGGGCTTGCCGCGGATCAGCTGGTCTCCACGCAAAGGTGCTCAGTGACTTCCTATATGCTCGGGTGTCTTCCTTTGTTGAATTGTCAATCGATTGCTCGCTTTCGAAGGTAGAGTCCTAAGCTTCAAACCGTCACGTTAGCATGTCACTGACTGGCCGAAGAGATGAAGGGGGAATGGAGATATGGGAAAATGAGTTTGGGTTTGTCTTAGCTTCCCTCAAAAGGCCTGAGCCTCGAAGAGGTACTGGTCACCAGCACTGCGCAGAAGTGCAAACCCATCGCTGGTGCACCGCCCCCGAAAGGACGGTGCCCAAGAAGACGCAAGCGCCTCCTTGGGATGTCTGTGGAGGAAAAATGATGCAAATGATACAGGTTTGCCAGATATACTGCCCTCGTTCGAACGCATCGACAAGGAAAGTAAATACAACCACAGCTGACACCACCAACTAGGGCTCGTCACCCTGTCGAGCAGGAGGGGAATCCTGGCAAGCAAGGTTTGAGGTCCTAATGGCCAGGTCATCAATCTGACCCTGCTGGGAAATCACAGATTTCAACACCAAGATTAGCGACGCCCTCATTACTTCGACTTCAGCACCCAGGTCCTCGCGGCCCTGAGTGCCTTCGTCGGAGGGGCCCCTCTCCTCGTCAGGGACTCTCCTCCTCCTCTTCCACCTCTTCCAAATTTTAGACACCTGAACTAGAACATATGGCGCGATAGCCAGGGCAAATGAACCGAGCACAGGCCCGACCCAAGTCCTCACGGCCGTCCACAGCTCAACTTGCGAGGTTGTCTCATCCTTTTGGTCCGTCATATTCTCTTGTTCACTTGATAGCGCAAATGCGGGGGTAAACAAGCTTTCAATAATGCGGGCGAAGAAGAAAGAAGAGGAGAAGGGGAGACGAGGGTGTTTTCATGGGTTGGCTTTGACAGACTGGGAAGTCTCGCAATGGGGAAGGAACGTTGGGTGCACCTCACAACCTTGGAACGTGGATAGATGTGGTGATATTGAGTACTATACACACATCGAAAACGTGAGCTTTTCTTTAAAGCACGACACAGCGAGACATTGGCTTGGGTGATACTTCCCCCTGCAAAATGTACACTCCATGGCCCACTGGAGTCATCACCGATCGATATTTCTTCCCCTTCAGCAACGAGACATTCCTGGAATACATCTCATCCTCGGACAGAGCATTTGCTGACCCAGCCTGAAGAGACTACTTCTCAAAACGTAGACGGGAGTTCACTATTTTGTGATGTGTGAATGCTGCCCGATGTGCAAAAAAAAGACGATACTTCCACTCGGGGTCTGCTGGACTGATCCCCGGTCCTAAGTCCATCCACAAAGTAAGAACTAGGCTTGCGTGAGTTTCATCCAAGGTGCGAATCTCCAGTTTCCAAGAGGTATTGCATTCATCGCAATGACCTTGATCGGGTGGAATCTTTGGACTTGTAGTGGAGCAATAACGCAGAAGTTGAGATTCTAATATCTCTCTGAATGCTGGCCCAAATAGGTCTTGCTCGTACTCTTCTAGTACACGGGTAGTTAGATGTGTGCACGCACTCATGAATCCATTCTGACGAGATGGCCACATCCGTGGCACATTGTGTCGTGTTACCACTGCCACCTCTTGGACCCGCATGCATAGACCAGGAGGTTGAGAGCAAATTCGAGCCTCGGCAGAGAATACTGTCATCATCCTATCCTCGTGGGTATTTGTTCTTAAATTCTCGTTGACGATGTTCTGTAGGAATTGTGGGCCTTTTGACCGGAATCGATGAGAGCTAATCTCGGTGTATAGCATACTCTCAACGGGAATTCCGAATGCCCGCCCATGATAAAATCTTCTCATGGCAAGCTGTAGATGTACAAAATAGAACCTATAAGATGAATAACATGGATAGCTGGCCAAGGGCAAATTTTGTTGTAGGTTTCGCTCCTCGAACATGTGGACAGGATCGAGAAGCTGCGAGGTTGGCCCAACCCAATTCCACAAGTGAGGGTCAGCACCGACAAGACTCGAGGTTGGAAGCCCAATCCTTCTCCACAGGTGAAGCCGAAGGCAGATGAAGCAGACATAGTATTGTGGTAGATCGGAAGAAAGTCGAGATAAAAGCTGGATCCGTGCGGCATCCGTGGGGCCTCCAGTGCGGCGCTTCGGAAAGCTCTTGAAGGCAATTCCAGCGAAAGAATTCAACAGACGGCGGTTTCCAAGGGCGAGGCAAATAATATCGACGGAGGATAGGTGATCAGAGATCATCCATAATATCTCAAGTGGAAGCTTGTCCAAGGTTGGGTTTCGCGGAGAAGCCATCTCGGTTGCCAGGGTTATTACACCCTGGCTATCGTTTCACTTGTCCGGAATGTGACAATAATTGGGATTTTCGGCGGAGACGAAAAAGGGAATGTTTATTGCTTGCTTTTTCTCTGATGTGAAAAGAATGGCCACGGGAAACGAGGAAGAAAGAGAGTGGAAGAAAGTGGAAGAGAAGAGGGATCAAAGTTGAGTGAAAATTACTGAGAGACATTATTTGAACCTGGACTTTGTTGGATGCAGAGGTCATCATGAGGAGTTCAAATTGGTGCCGCTGTGGCCTGATTGATGCCTGACACTCTTCCCTTTTCAACGTTCTCTTTATAGATCGAGGTGACAACGGAACAATTTATGTTACTTTACGCATTGAAATCGTCGTATTTTCATATAGCAAACTTTGATAAATATACAGCTATTTGACAGTATGAGCTATCAAGTTCGGAAATGCTTTTTCCCTTCGAATCATCATAGAATCTCCAAAACACACGCTTGTCAATGACCTCCAGAAATTGCTCTAAACCCTTATCTTCCTATGCTATAGATTGAGAGATCATCTTGGAATGCTACTTCATCTTAGCCTTTACGGTCATGCGTGGCTCAAATTAACAAAAGCGACTTACATCGAACTTCGCTGAAATAGCTTTGACATCATCCTTCAAAACAAGTTCCGTGCTCGTTTCAGCATGTTCCCAGTCACTTATCCAATCTGTGATGGACTTGTCGTTCTAGACTGGGCGTAAGGCACGGATTCCAGAATTGCCAGTGGTTATTGCGAATGCTCGCAGATGTCACCAACCACAGACCGATCTCATTCTGGGAGGTACACGCAATTTTCTAATCCCGAAGTCATACGTCACAGTTTGTATCGTTACTGGGTCAAAGCACATTGTTTGGGATGTACTGGCTTTCGGAGCTTCTAAGCATTCCCGTCTTCCATTCTAATTCCAATCATACCGTCATCGGTACCGACTAGAATGGGAATAAAGCCATCGACCAAGGTTTCAGAACTAGACGGAGACCTGGGGCTATGGTGGGCGCCTACTGTTTTGGACCATTTGAGCAAACAAAATGTCTAGAGGCCGGAAACTACCTTAATCGGGTACTTCTTTTGCAACAGAGTCAAAATTTGACACTCGTACTTACATCAAGGACATCAATCATGAGCATACGCAAGGACAGCAAATAAGTTCGATACAATCTGGGTCAGGCCATCACTGATGCTTGTGATTTGTTACTAGGCTATACCAATTCCAAAAGCTCGAGACTCTTTGCCCACAGTTTCTCTGGACCTTGCTCATCATATGCCCATTCTGCATAACCTGCATTGCCTATGGTTTGAGGCTTTGCCAGTTGCGTGTCCTCCAGGTACAGGCCCCCTTTGCCTTCGAGATCTGGTGCAACAGCAGCAAGAACAGTCGTAGCAGCACCCTGTGCAATGTTCTTCCAAATTTTCGCCATCGTCTTATCCTCGCTCCACCCTTTCTGGACTTCCTCTGAAACATGACGCTGCAGCTCAGTAGCAATGCTGCCGGGGTGAACGGCCCATGCATGCAGTCCTTGGGCCCCGAATCGTTTTTCAATTTCTCGAGCCGTCCAAAGATTGGCGGTTTTACTCTGACCGTAAGCTTTCCACGGCTCATATTCACCTTTCAAAGACAAATTGTCGAAATGAACAGAACCAGCTTGGTGGGCGCAGGATGATAGGATGACGACTCGAGAGTTGAAAGTTGGCGTGGAAGACTGAAGCAATAGGTCTTTCAGGAGATAGAAGAGAAGGAAGTGACCTAGATGATTTGTGCCGAGTTGAGTCTCAAATCCATCAGTCGTTTTCCCCTCGGGACAAGCCATCACGCCCGCATTTTCAACCAAGATATTCAAGGTCGTGCTCTGAGCTCTGAAGCTGTCTGCACAAGCACGCACCGAGTCCAGCGAGCCCAGGTCTAGATGCAGGAATTGCACACGAGGACTTCCTGCTAGAGTACCAAGAGCAGTCCGGGCCTTGCTAATGTTCCGAGCAGTGACATAGAGTGTCGCGCCGGTGCGGTAAATTGCACTTGCGGTTTCAACGCCTATGCCAGAGGAACAACCAGTGATCAGAGCGACCTTTCCAGGTAATTTTCTTTCAAGTTCATAGTCATCGATGATTTGAGATGCAGTCGGGCGCGCATCCCCAGGTCCGTTCGGAGTCTCATGATTTGCGATATATTTTGAAGACATGTTCGTATCGAGAGGGAAGGGGTGGGAACCAAAGTCAGAATTCAAGGGCAGCAAAAATATGAGAACAGGTTTTACCCAGCTACCTCTGGGTGGTGATAGAGGTATTTATAAATACTATATATGGCTCCCCGATCTCTTGCATGCATGAATTGAAAGCCTAGAATAACAATCGTGATGACCGACCAGTGTAATTACGCAAACAATTGGAGCACTAAGAGCTGATGAGGTACCTGCGCGAGGCTTTGAGCGACAACTGAGCTTACACCGTGGACCCTTAACACCGAGGTGGCGTCATCAGTTGACTAGATCGTGCCCGAAATTTCTGATGATTTTCCCGCTTTTAATGGATTCCAAATCCACAAATCCAAGGTTCGGCGGTAAGCAGCTTGCATTAGTCGGATCCAGACAAGATTGTCTTCTGTGTTGGACACTATGCAGACATTAAACGCCTCACCTGGAAACAATTCAAGCCAAGCTTCTGGCTGGAGTGCATTATGGGATACAATTGAGTCGACATCATACTACTTCATCAAGCAGACAGAACGCAAATGCGAAAAGAAAGAAAGAAAAAAAGAAAGGAAAGAAAAAAAGAAAGGAAAGAAAAAAGAAGAAAAAAAAAAAAAAACATATCGGTCAGTAGTAGCTTGAAATCACGCTGTAGAAATGGACAATAAAGGCGAGTCATCAAATCGGGCAGAGCGACCCTTGCTTTTTGATGCCGCAATCATTGATATAAAATGATGCCTCGGCTTTCTTTCCAGAACAGAATCATCAAGACATTCATGAAGCTGCAAGACGTGGCCTATGGTCTGCCGGCTGATTTGTGGCGCCAGGGTCTTTGGAAATTGTGATGTTAAACAAGAATGCGAAAATCTTCCGCTCAGAGGTACCGGAAGTGAGGCGAGGGAAACCTTGGAATCCGCTTTCGATCAGTTCATCACTCATGTGTCGCAATGGCCATCAGCAAGAGTAGCGGAAACTGTTGCCGACAAATTACAGCCCGTGGTTGTGAAACTGGTGTGATCTCTCGTCCTGGATGCAGTGACCTATATCGTAGAAGCTGGCCGATACTTTCTGCACTGTGTAAAAGGCGGATTCCGCCTCGCGGGCAAGCGTCTTCTATGAAAGAGACTTAGAAAAGGTAATTGAGAAGTGGTATTGTTGCCTATTCACTAGGAGATTGGTATATCAAAGCCAACGTTGTTCTCCAATCAAGAGGCTTCTCTCCTCTCTTTGCTCTCCAGCGATTAGTATTGATCACTAATTCTTCACAGCCTTTAAGCAAGAATCCCCACTTAAGTAGGAAAGCCGGCGTGACTTCCCAATTTTCCGGCTCCCAAGAAGGACCCCACACTAGCAAACTGGCCCCGGTATTTCTCGTATCCCAGAACGCCATGAGATCATGACACAAATCATCGTCGTCTATCGTGTCTTGAATGGCTATAAGATTGTCACGCATGTTGTGAAAGGGAAAGAAATCCAACCAGGGGTGATGAGGGACACGCCGTTGGTATTCTGTAGGTTGAAGACTCGCGGGTATTGAAACCGTCGAGAAGCCAGGTATTGGAGAGTTGAAGATGGAGATGGAGTCATCACGTTCCATCCACTCCATTGTCATACCAATGGACCGTATATTTTCGATGATTGCACGTTGGATATTTAGCCTGGAGAGGGAGAGAAGGTGGTCGATGTTGGGGGAGTTGCGAATGTAGCTTTTCAATGCTAGGGACTCGAATTGACGCATCATTAAGTGTGGTTGAGGGGGCGCGATACTGCATGTGAATCCCCTTTCATCTCGGTCGATTCGGATATCAGTGGAGTTCGGTGGTACAACTACCAATTTGTTGTTGTTGAGCTGTGCGCTGTGCTCCACATTTTGGGCCTGCTGACGCATTCCTGACTATGTTGTTAGTGGTTTTATCATGCAGAGAAAGGGGGGAACGTACGATATGTTCTTTGGTTGAGGCGATTCTGTAACTTTCTCCGCTCGGCTCGATCGATAGTACCAGTCCAGTCATCCTCGGGTTTCCGGATAGCCGCCTGTTGTGACATTCGGACCAGTTGGATTCGATTATTGTCGGACGTCATAGTTGATGACATGGGGAATGGATGTATCTGGCGATCATCGGGGCAACGTGGATTTTAAACGATGTAGGGTGCTTATGCCAAGCCTGAAGGTGATTGGTTGATTAAATTAAAAGTAGGCTAATGCAAGTTGCTTACATGGTCTAACCGAATCTGGACTAGGTTTGACAACCCTTCCAAGGTTGGAACCGATCCAACCTTGGAAGGCTAATCTCTTGCACAGTGTGGAAAACGTCTGTGGCCACAGCCACGCTAGCAATGAGGCAACAGGATTTCGGATACTGCTTATCAGAAGATTTTACATATGGTCGGAATAAGGAGATAGTTGGCTTCCTTGGCAATTACCTAGGTACCGAGCCGGATCACCGCGGCTGAAGATATTAGTCCGAATTCGGAACAAGTTCATTCCAAACGTAGAATTCCATTCTCCAGCTTGAGAACAATTTAGGGAATGGCGCACTTCCAAGGTTTTAGGCTGCTAATGATGTGCATTGTAGACAGAGCCGAGATCTAAAAGGTGTGATGTGTGGCGCGGGACTGCAGGTTGGATGGCGCCGCATGGAGAGGATTTGCATCTTGGCATGACAATTGTATCACGCAATATGTACGGAGTAGGGTCGGTAGATTTGCAGGTTTCTTCCGATGCTAGCAGCGCAGGAGACGACCGTGCGGCCGTGGTTGTCTATCTGAGATATAAAACCGAGGGGATGTCTCCTGAAAACGGAGCATACCTCATCAATCTTTCTTCTCCCTACTTTTAGCCATTCCTCCAACGGCAGATCAGCAAACGTCAGCGGCACTATGAAGATGATTGGAATTGGTCTCACCACACTGGGCTTGGTTCTCAGCACAACGTTTGCAACGGCACAGAATATGTCGTTTGGTGCCAACAACTTCTACCGCAGCGACAATGTAACGATTCAGCCTGTTACATTCCAGAACCAATACGAGATTACTGTGGCGGGAAATCTCTTCATTCACAACCACTTCAACCGCAGTATGCACTTGCCAGCCATTATCGTCGGCCATCCCATGGGTGCCGTGAAGGAACAAAGCGCCAACCTATACGCCACCAAGTTAGCCGAGCAAGGCTTTGTAACAGTCTCGATCGATCACAGTTTTTGGGGAGGCAGCGAGGGCAAGCCACGCAATGCTGTGTCACCCGAACTGTACGCCGAAGCATTCAGCGCGGCGGTTGACTATCTTGGCACCAAAGCATTTGTCGACCGTGAGCGAATTGGTGCCATCGGCATCTGCGGCAGTGGCTCTTTTGTGATCAGCGCGGCTAAGATCGACCCGCGTATTAAAGCTATCGCGACATCCAGCATGTACGATATGGGCGCTGTCAACCGTGATGGGCTAGAGAATTCCCAGAGCGTCGAGGCGCGTAAGGAGGTTATCGCTCAGGCGGCGCGGCAACGCTGGATAGAGATTAAGGGCGGTGGGATCAAGTACACCGGGGGTACCCCGAACGAGCTCACCCCGGACACTCCTGCTGTTGGCCGGGAGTTCTTTGACTTCTACCGTACCCGCCGTGGCGAGTTCACGCCCAAGGGAACTACGGCTAACTTGACGACTCACCCAACACTCTCGTCTAACACCAAGTTCATGAACTTTTACCCCTTCAACGATATTGAAACGATTTCACCGCGTCCTTTGCTTTTCATCTCGGGAGACCAGGCCCATTCGCGCGAGTTCAGTGAGGACGCATACGAGCGAGCCGCCGAGCCTAAGGAGCTGGTTTGGATTCCTGGAGCCGGTCACGTCGATCTCTACGATCGTGTAGATCTCATTCCATTCAACACCCTCACTCAATTCTTCCGGACGAACTTGGGTGAGAACAAGGCCCGTCGTACCTAGTAGCTCAAACTAAGACGTCTGCTTCGACATGCGCGGAAATGTTTATCTTCTTTGAAAAACTGTTCTTGAGCAAAGCCCTACTTCTTCCTCGGTTGAGGGAATGTTTCAATATATAACGCAGCTTGTCCAATATAAATACAAAAATCAACAAGATCTGTTAGAGTCATGTGATGGCTCTCTCTTCCAAGGTTGTCTATACCTACCTAGGTAGTTCTAGTCTTTGCTTTCCTTTTCTCTCTTCCTCCTCACCCACTCAATTCATGGTTTTGCAACCGATTCCTTCCTGGGTAGAGTCCCTTCTAGGAGATCACCTCAGATATCATTCGGACTTTCGGTTGAGAATAGCTGTATTGGGTCTCTGGTGTCGGCGTCTGAAACATTGATGCATCGGGTCCCTCTCCAGGGCTGATTGGCCTGAATCTGTTGTGAACACCTGGCCAGGTGGGCAGTTCCATACCTAGGTAGCTCGCTCGCTCTCCCTCTCTTTGCTTTTTCCTTCTTCACGGCCATCTATCTGAGTGGATTCATCACTTCTCTCTGGCTTCTTCATTAGATCCGTAGCTGCCTCATCAGGATCCTTATCCAAAACGTAGAATTTGCCCTTTTCGGGTTCGTCAGAGTCCTCAAGCTTAGGTTCAGGCCCATTGACGGGGTAATTTTGGCACAGCTTGTCAGCTCAAGAGAATTTTCCACAAATACCAAAGAGTAATGAGGACCAAGAAAATAAGTGCCGTTCCCTGGGTCGTCCATCGTATACTTCGAAGGCGCCCGATACTGAGTTCAGACATAGAAACCCCCAGAAAGTCACGGAGCAGATTTTGACACTGGGATAGAGTGTTTCCATTCTTCAACTATGATTTCTCGAAACAATATCTGGTCCATGGATCGATCCCGCCATCGTTTCTGAAAATATATCACCCGACGCCCAATTCAATTTCACCTTCTTAATACCGAACAATCCAGCTTCTCAGACTTAACTCTTCCACTTTCTTCACTCTCGCCCGACAAAATGTTTACACCTTTCTTCGCCCGTTTACGCGGGGCTGTGAGACGGATCCAAAATATCGATAGCCCAGCCGCTGAGAGATTCTTATTATATATGACCGCGTTTAACGCGTGGAGTCTCAGTATAGGTGACCGTCTCACTCAGAAAGACATGGCCGAAATCAAAGCAGAATTATCGAAACTCAAAGGCTGCAATGAGGAGAGAAAAGACGCAGAATAGGAGGGCTTTTCAACCTCCATCCTAACACGAACATTGTTTCCTCAACACAGAAAGATCTTTTTGGCCTTGGAACCTTTCAAAGCACCTGGGCAATAATGAACGTCTTGAATCGGTTTGGAGTCCATCCTGACTACCATTTCCATGTACTGACAAAGTGGGATAGGATGAACAGACTTGATAGTGTGACTACGGTTCTCCGCATTCCTTGTTTGCTTCCGAGTATTTTATACCTAGTACTACTCCAGCGGTTTTGAAGAGATGACGGTCTGGCCTGTGCTATCTGGAATTTCAAATGACGTTATTGATTTATGTATGATAATCCCTAGGTAGCCTCCTGGGTATGCACCTTCCAGAACATCGCTGCCTTCCTAAATTTCAACGCACCTGCCCTGTTGGGCACTTGAGTGCAGTTTCGTAGATCCATGAAGCTTCTTTTCCTTTCTTCCTCACCCCATCTGTCTACTTTGATCAGAATTCCTACAAGCATGCCATACTCAAGAGCTCTTCAGGCAACCTAAATGCCTCTCAAATCTTTTGATAACACCTTCTCCGGCCTTTGAAGTCTCAAACGTGGATACTGGCAATCTGTTTGAAGTCCCCCGGGTATGTTGTGCCCAACGCTTCCTGTTCACACGTTCTGACTCTTGAGAAGAGGGTACACACAGCCTGTTTTGGGATGATTTCGGCACTGGCGCACCTGAATACCCGTGGTCAATACCTTCTTCGGTTCATATCCATCGGCGGAATCGATGCCACATCGCAGTCACTTCACAACCAAACGGAGCAAGCTCTCCGCAGCCGTCCGCCTCGGGCAATGTGGGAATCGATGGGCGGCCTCAGCCCTGAAGAGGTGAAGCTTCTTGGCTGGGCGAGTCCGCAGCCGTCCGCCTCGGGCAATGTGGAAATCGATGTGTGGTTTAAGCCCTGAAGAGGTGAAGCTTCTTGGTTAGACGAGTCCGTTGGGGGTGGACAACACCTTGATGGGCTTTCGATCAAGTCGGCTGCAGGGAGCATAGGGGTCTACTCGGCTGATCAAGTCTGCTGACGCCCGTGGTGTGTCGTTGTGTTCAGTGCCTATTTCCTTCGTGGCTTATGTGATAGAAGGCAGAAGCCCCGGAGCCCTGGAGAGAGAGAGAGAGAGAGAGAGAGAGAGATCAGTTGATTGAGATAGAGCTAGAGAGAGAGAGCAAGAGAACTGAGCAAAGGGGAAGAAGAGATCAAGAATCATGTGATCGCAATCGTGATGCGCAGCTGACCTTGGGGTGGTCATCGCCGCTCGTTGCTCCTTTGTGACATTCGTTTGCGTGCTAAGCTTTCCCTCGTTTTCCTTTTGCTTTTCTTCTGCTTTTTATTTCATCGGTGTCGATCCACTGTCACTCACCTGCGGCTTTTCTTTTGCTACCTAGTACCTACGCAGGGGTATCTGTGCAGTTTGTTTCCAAAACACCGTGTTCCCATGGGCTCCAAGAAGGAACCATTTACTGAGCAGAGACCTGCATCTGTGGTCAACCATATGCGCAAACATGCTCTAGTTGAGGGGGCTTTTTGCTTCCAGAGAAGATGGGTATTGGGGGAGCGTGGATGAAGCTTAAACTACCTATTTGGGACTAGCGCCAGTACTACTGTCTAATCAATCTGGAATAGCCCAAGGCTTGTCATCCAGGCAGAAAGTTTGAATACCGGTATTACAATAACAAAGACCATAGTAGGGACTTAATTTCTTACAAGTGTAGCCCCTGGCCCTGGGATCTATGAACCTATTCAACTGCATACAATTTTTCATATTCAGTCAACTCCAGTGGCTGTGTAAATTTTTAGCAGTACCTGTGAGCTCGATGTTGGGCTGTCAATAACTCCATTCCTGTTGGTTCTACAAAAAAAGAGTCTAGTATTTCCTACTTCTATGGTTAGTGCTTCACTTGTAGGCAAACAAATTCAATACCATTGAGTTACAATACATTCTGACAAGCAGTGTGGGCCTTATATGCACTAGTCTACGCAGGGGCAGAACGTCCAAGGGTCGGGTGGGGCTTCAGTACAGTAACGTTACCCCTGATGGACCTAGTGTGTATTATACTATCCACCCCCCTATACAGTGTATTGTAAATAGTATCTCCCACCACGAAGTTATTCATTCACCTCCAGGGCTGTACTCCGTATATAGGCCCCGATCCTCATCAAATTCCTGAAGCCAGTCAGTAACCGAAACTTCCTACTTACCATCCTCACATAGAATAATATCCTGGGTACGGTTGAAACAGGTGGGCTCAATTTAAAGCAACAGCTGCAACGGTAACAGTCAGACTTAGAGACAGGCGGGAGCGACGGTAGAGGCCCCCGGGCTACAGCATACCTAGGTACTTACCGCAGAGGCAGCGAGCCCCAGGACATCTGGGCAGCGGGTGCGGCGGTCAGGGTGTTGAGGAAGAGGAATGGGATAGGCTGTTTACACTGTTTGCACAATTTGCTCTGTTTACTCCCCTGCTAGGTAATGGTAATTCAGGTAATAATATTTTCTGCCAATGTGACTAATAAACGCTAGTCCCGAATGGGATACCCTTACCATACTGAAACCCCACCCGACCCTTGGACGTTCTGCCCCTGCGTACTAGTCCCAGATAGGCAAAACTTCACAACCTTGGAATTCAAATTCCATCCACCCCCCGGGCCACTCTGCCCCCCAATACCCGGTTTCTCTGGAGGCAAAAAGCCCTCCTCGACTAGAGTATATTCACCCATATACTTGACCACAGATACAGGTCTATACTCAGTAAAGAGTTCCTTCTTGGAGACCATGGGGAACACGATATTTTGGAAACAAACGGCACAGATACTCCAAAGGAACTGATAGGAACAACGATTCACCACTTGCGGGCGTGCAGCAGGAAGCTTGTTGACGTGGCCCAAACAATTGGACAGTGAGTAGGCTAAAGGTTTTCTTTTGACTTGCAAGCGTCGTGCGCAATTTGCTCCAGCGCTCTTTGTTGTGAACACCTGGTCAGGTGGCCATGTTTGCCCAGATCCAGGTATAAGTAGCTCCCTCTGTCCCTCTCTTTGCTTTTCCCTTCTTCACCATCTTTCTGACTGGATTTTCCATCACCTCTTTCTACCTCTTCCTTCCATCAATAGATGTCTCATCAAAAGCCCGTTGACGGGAACTACCATATGTCAGCTAGATCTGATGAGAATTAATCCATGAGAAAGCTCACATAGGCATACAGTCCTCCTAAAAAATGGGGGAAAGAATGCCCTTGATGATTCCTCCACCGACTCCGACAAGGAAATAGGCTCGTGTCACTTTCAACGCCCGGAGCCAGGCAAGTCGAAAACGATAATTAGCTTCCAAGAACCACTAGACAGTGGTCAGGCTAAAGGTTTTCTTTCGACATGCAAGCGTCGCGTGCAATTTGCTCTACCGTTTTTGCATGTTACGTGCCCTATCCAAATCTTCATCAACGAAAACCATGAACATGATGAAAAGGGGCCACACAACTAGATGGAGGATTGCAAACAAGCTTTTCGCGACGCTTGCAGAACAAAAGAAAACCTTTTTGCGTGATCACTGTCTAGTGGTGCTTGGAAGCTGATCAAAGTTTTTGACTTGCCTGGCTCCAGGCGTTGGAAGTGGCAGGAGCTGACTTCCTTGTCGGACTCCGTAGGATAATCTACACATACTCCGAATTCAGCATCAAATGTGTGGTTTGAATTACATCCGCGGCCTGTCCACTGTACCCCCTACGTGATCACTCTCAGAAAAACCGAAAATCCCCAAAGGAAATTCAAAAAAGGAAAGCGATTCCGGGTCCCGGGTTGGTAGGCAGGGCCAGGCCTGAGGGGAAAGACAGGAATCTTTCGAGATGAGTATTACCAACTCAGCCAGGGTGATGAATTTGGTTAGCAAAGTCATGAGTATGGCCCCTTATCCGAAGAGTTCTTTGAGTTCCTGAAGAGCTTGCTTGCAATCCTCTTTCTACTTGTGTGGCTCCTTTTCATTACGTTCAACCTTTCCATCAATGAAGGTTTAACTTTCCTTTCCTTTCCTTCTCTCCGCCTCCCTCTCTTCAGGTCGGTCTGTTGAATCTTCTCCTCTGCCTTATGAGAAACGCCAACAACTAGCCGGCCCAACACGATCTCAAGTTCACACTCTCCAAAGTTGTCACCGAGAGGAATTTGGCAGACTAGCTCTGGTCCACTGGTTCAGCTTGCACGGAAGCTAGCACATCAAACAGTACGTGACTTCATCCCAACAGAAGCTAAGAGTTCTCTCAACGACTCTTCTCGGTTGACCATGCCTTGCTAACTTTCTTAAGCCGCCCATGTGCAATTCTCACCGGCCAATCGTTGTTTCACACTTTCCAATCCGCAGAACCGATCTCGGAATCTAATTCAGCCCAGCGCCTTGTACTCCGTACGTCGATACACCACTGACGCTGGAGACCTCGAATCCTGAGGAGAGATACATACACGAGCAGGGCGAAGATGATATCAATACAAGTGAACAGGAAGAACAGCCAGTCGAATTCTGGCTCGCTTCAGAAGATGGACAGCTGTTCGAATGCAATATGGATAATCTCCCTCAGTTCATGGTTATTGAAGATTTCCATTCCGGCGTGGAATTTGGGAATGTTTGTATACTGGACAGTATATGATTCACGTTTTCCCCGTAATTTTCGAATTGTTCGAAACGGTTCTGTACAATTGTAACGAAAGTTACAAGCCCATGCATGGCGCACGACCCGACTGTTCTGCTGCGAGTCCTGCGACCTTGAAGTGCAGAGCATATGGGCTTCCAGGTTTCACGTTGGATGCCTATTTTCAACGTGGAAGGTTTATCGAGATCCACTCTGTTTGAGTATAAAGCTACGCACTCTGCATAATCTACACGACACCAGTTGATCTCCCTCCAGCCTTTACTCAAGTCCCCGCGGGGCCAAAGCACACGATGACCATCGCGACAATAATCGAAGCTCATCAAACCCCATCGCTCGAGAAAATATGGACAAATTTCTGCTCACCAACCTCTACCCCGAGAATAATGCAAGATGCAGTCCACGGCATTACCCAAGAAATAGTCCTCGCCGCCAAGTCGCACGATAAAGCTCTTGGCGGATCAACGACAATGATTCCAATACTCCGTGGCGCGTTGCCGATGTTTGTCGCCGCACAACCTCTATTATCCTCATCCTGCATTCTCGTGCGCTGCAGCAAGACAAAAGGCACTGAGGATGTAGTGGTTGACTGGTTGGGTCGGGAGCCGTTTCCAGCAGCGCCTGACGATGGCAAAATTGTGATTCTTGACACAATTATCGCGACGGGTGATACTGTCGTGAAACTCTGCGAAGAGCTTTATGAGATGAGTGCGGAACCGAGATCAGTGGCTGTCTGGTGTTGCTATGCAGCGCCCGAGGCGTTAACGCGAATTGCTGCGTGTCCGGTGGTGGACTATGTAGTCGTCGGAAAGAAGGCCGAGAGATGTGACGAACGGGGGTATTTGGTTCCCTATACCAACGGGGATATAGGAGATAAGATATACGGGGTCAGCAAAGAGGTTGTGCCTGCTACTGTCGTTGGGAGTAAGAGTGTTATGTTCCAGGCCCGAGAATTACTCGTTGAGAACGGAGGAGGTTGGAGACTGACGGAAGATGGAAGGGCGATTGAGCGGGATTTTCAGTTCTCTGGTTTTCAAAAGGCTTGGGTGAGTCTATCTCGACTGATCCCTAACAATCTTCACCATTCTGACCCAAGCAAAAGGCTTTCATGGGGCGGGTTGCAGACATGGCGACTCAGCTGCGACATCACCCTGAGTGGACAAATGTTGGTCGATCAAGCTCCCCTAACGTTTCTGTGCTAACAATCAAAGGTCTACGGAAAGGTCTCTATCCGCTGGACAACCCACCAGTCCAGATGCTTGACGGAATTGGATCTGTCCATGGCTCGGATATGTGATGGTCTGGTTGAAGTCTCTTCTTCTGATGTTTAAGCCTGGATTTGTTTAGCTATACCTTTTTTGCAACAGACAGCCCAGTCAGAGCTCCTCTCGCGGCCGTGAAGAATAAGACACTAGCTACCATCATGGCACCGGCAAACACCTGTAAGCCCCAGTAGACCCCATTTTGCCGACTCAGAATTGCGCCAGCGATGGGACTTCCCGTCAGCGAAGCAATACTGATGCATGCGAACAAAACCCCCTGACGGACACCGATTTTTGTCACATCGGGTGAGATCTGGCCCAATAAAGCGGGAACCATACCAACAAATGCGCCAGAAGCGAACCCATACAGTAGACTAAAGACGATGTAGATGGCTTCGCTACCCGGTGCAAGAAGGGTACCCGGGAGCCAGAGGACTAAAATAACAAGGGCGGATAAAGAGCACATGGCGATCATCACATTGAACCGTCCAAGTTTATCCCCGAGATATCCTGGTAGGATTCGACCGGGAAGACTGTCATCACAAGTCATCAGCTAGGGCATAAAAATCCAAGAGATTGACACTTTCGACTCACCTGGCGGCATTTAGTATTGTCAAGAGGTACCCGGCTATCTCACGATTGACTCCATCTTCTTGAGCTTCAAGAATGACGTAGTTGATGGGAACAAACATGGCAAAGAACCCACAACAAGATGCCAGCATGAGTAGCACAAATGGCACCTCTGAGAACGGGCCTATGTAGTCCGTGAGAGTGACCTTCCTCGGAACAGGCGCGATTCTCGACCGAACCGTCATGTTCGCAATGACCAGCAGCGCGAGAATGATGAATGCTGAGATGCGAAGTGACCAGCCAAATCCAATGCGAGGCAAGAGCCGCGATAGCATAGTTGGGAAGACTACACCACCCAAGGATGAGCCACTGGAAACGATGCCAAAAGCCAAGGCGCGTCGCTTTTCAAACCATGTTGCGGTGCATGATAACGCGGACGAGAAGACAAAGCTGGCCCCGAGAGGACTGCAGATACCCTGGGCCAGAAAGAATTGGTAGTACTCCGTTGATATGGAAGTCATCATGAGGCCAAAGACGTGGAGAAAGGTTCCCACAAGAAGCAGCCATTTGGGGCCATAGTTGTCAAATAGCTGAAAAATGGATTAGCTCAATGCTGCTCTAGTCCACGGGTCAATGAGTGAAAGTTACTCTTCCGGTGACAAGCCCAGCCGCAAAAAGTACGAACGGCTCCAAGGACAAGATCCAAGAAATACTCGATGCTGAGTAAGTGCTCAATTGGTTGTTTTGGTAGTATTCTTGGAAAATTCCAATCGCTGAAAGACATCAATTTGCGATTCCAATGTTGGCTCGGGGAGCAGGTCTTACCATTTACCCAACCAAAGGCGCAAAATAGACAGCACCATGCTCCAATCACGACGGTCCAAGCGCGAAGACCATGATCCAGTCTTCCAATTGAGTCTTCAGATTGCTCATGGTCAAGGGCAGTCGCCGGTATCTTCTCACTGATGGGACTTTCCCCGGGCATTGTTGGAAGGGATGCAGGGACACGGGCAGCATGCGAGAACACAATCGCGAGGGAATTGCCAAGCGCCTTAGAGACGAACAGCAAATTGTGATAGGTGGAATGGGGCAGAATGGAATTGAAGAAGGAATTTCTTGCCCCCAGGACTAGGAACAAAGAAGTGACCAACCCCGAGTCCGGCCCTTATCACCACCACGTGACCCAAGGGGCAGGGAGCATCGCCAACTGTCTTTCCAACTACTGAACAGACACCGTGAAGGCAACTTGCAATTTCAATCCTTGCTGGTGTGCCTTCTCATTACATTAGTCTCCAGGCAATGAGTGGCCGTATACTCTGTACTGTAGCCACGACAAAAACAAGACAAGGATGTTGAAGGCCTGGCCCCATGGCTCTGTATATTTGCGAGCTTGAAAAATATACCATACTGTATCCGTAGGAGATAGATACCCTGGACCTTTGCATCGGCCCCACCGAAATTCGAGGCTATGGACGGGAGCAGCATCCTTCCATTGACCACCGTTCCCCAACCACCCTCCTGCGTAAAGGCAACCGGGCTATCAGATCACTCGCCACCTGGGCTTCCAAATACCGCGTCCGAAGTAGTATCTTGCGTATTCAACTGCAGGGGTTGCTTGGCCCCGCACCTCTGAACGTGTCCATTGCGATCCCCCCAGCCTTTGGTACGGATGCCTGCATGCAGATCTCTGTCCAAGGCCTTCGATCAGAGCTGTAGTACGAAGTAAGGGCTTTACTTGCTGCAAAATCTTGGAAGACTTCGTAGTAACTCTTATTCATGATTGCCCAATGCTTTTCCAGGGTTACCAGGGTGGAATTTGGGGGCCAAAGTTAATGCACTTATACCTTTCAAGCATTGAAAATATGAGCTCATATCTGTACTCAGACATTTGCACTAGAGGGGCAAATGTCTGAGGTTACATCGTACAATACAAAGCCTCAGAGTGAAACAAACGAATACCTATGTATGTACAGTAGGTGGATCGGGCTTCCCGGGCCCCACCAGAGCCCTGGAGATCAGTGATCAGTGGGGCTACCCGGGCCTTCGATCTTCTAAAGAGCATATTTCACGACATTTGCATTCATACCAGAGGCTCTAAGTTCAAATAATAGCACCTTGCTGATGGATTCACATTATCTGTTCGAACGCCAGGTTTGCAATCTCTTTCGTGATACTTTGTGTTCACCAGTAGCCTGTACATACGTGAAATGGCTGTAGCTTGCCTAAGGCGCCTTTTGCGAAGCCTTAGAATGATCCAGGGAAATGTGTACGGAAACTGTTGTTCGATAAGACCAATTAGAGCAACAGGACCATGCAGCCCTGGAGTGCGCGTGGCATGTGAGTCGATCTACGGGGTCCGACACGAATCCTGATGAGACTATTCTCCTATCAGATCAATTTGACGAGCTTGTTTGCGTTTGCATGTGCGGGTATAGGTAATACTGATACCATGACGCCCAGAGTACTCGTGCAGATGATCGCACAGGCTGAAACATACCGACGCATTGTCAGGGTAAGATATTGGTGAGGTGAGATAATACGGAGAGATGGCATGCCTGAGAAAAGTGAGGGGTATTGCAGGGCGATTTGCTTTGGGGGCCAGGTTTTGCGAGTGGGTGGTTATAAGGATGAAAGCAGTAGACATACCTAGTAGAATCAAGACCCTGCCCTCTGAATCAGTCATAGTCCTGTCAACTTCGATACCATCCCGGATGTATTCAATCGCATCCTTTCTGCGACATGTACTGTCTGGCTATCTCAAAGAGTCACCCGTGGTAACGGTATGCGATGACCAGCCAGATAAGTCACTGTGTTGCGAGTGTCCAGAGAAACCCTTGCATCTATTCGAAAATTTGCCCCCGAGTTACGACCCGTCGACATGGTGGTTAGATGGCCAGCCTTCGCCGTATCCTCATTTTCAAGAAGCGGAAAGAATTCAATATCACATCAAGACCATTAAGGAAAGTCTTCTTCGGCATATTCTTCAAGGATGCAGAACCATTCTCGAAGCAAAAGGCCATCATCTCCTGTCTTCAGTCAAGGACCATGAGTTGCTTTGGAAAGCCGCGATCTCAGCGCAAAAATACGGAGTCGTGTATCTCGCCTCTCGTCGGGATTGCCGCGAAGAGTTCCTTTCAGCAGCTGAGTCTCAGCCAAGCCTTTTCGCCGAGATCAGTGCCTTCCTCTCTTCCAACTCCAATGCAAATCGGGTCATCAACTATGGCGTTCACCAGTTGGTCAACAGCCAGGAGTTCAAGGTGGATCACGAGACAAGACTCATTCCTCCAACCGCCATATCAGCTATTGGAGTCAACCACATCGCAGTGCGAGAGAAGGATTTCACAGGGGACGGTACATCGATGCTTGAGACCCCTTCAGCAATATGGGATCTGCACGACTTCGCGCATCTCTCTGCGGCATCGATAAGTCCGCGCCTTTATGGCTCGAAATACTTCACACATCTCAATAAGCTGCCACCAAAGCTGACGGCTTTGATTCGGAGTCCGAAGATGAAAACATCGGAGCCATCGCCCCGTATCTCAGATGGAGTGGTCTTCAGTGAAATACTCACTGTTCTTTTCACTTCTGAGGTCCAAGAAAGGGCGAACTCGCACACATATAGTTCCTTGACGAATGTTCTAGCAGATTATGTCGCAGATTATCTCATGGGGACCCGAGAGTTGAAACATTTGACGACGGGGGTGATGTTGAAAGTGAAAAGTCCCATACAAGCCACTGAGCTAGCGACTCTAGCACAGAACAAAGCATATGAACTGACAGCCAGCGAGATTGAGCAACGCGTTTTCACAAGAGGTGGACCTGTGGGAGATTCGAAGGATGAACTGGATAGCCTTTCTGCGCTCGAGAGGATCGAGTTCCTGGCAGGGTGTCGCAAGTGGCTATATTTCGAAATAAGGAACACTATCAAGCACCGAGCTCATAGGCTGGCATATCAAAAGGTGGCTGAGCGTATGCTCGCAAGCGAAGCGACCGACGTTGATCGTATGTTGTTGGAAAGTGTCTTGGATAACATCCGCTATCGCGAGTGGGAACATGATGGAACGGTCAATCTTTGGCAACTCGTCAAGGATCTTGAGGGCAAAGCCCAGGGTTAGCTGGGCGTCATGTATGGATCTGGAAATCATGAATTGGATTTGTATTTTTGTAATAAATCATCACGGATTGCTGTCGTGGATGCTGTCCATTTGAGTGTCACTGTTAATTCCTTCCCATTAATTTCACCGTCCCGGGGATGGGCATGATCCGCCCATTCATGTATTGCCTCAATGCATGAGTCCCAGCGTCCCATTCAAACTACTGGAATCCAGGACGGGATTAAATGCAAATTTGACGCCTGCACCCCAGACCGAGACTGACTGCGGCAAGGCGGTGAGGCGATCGCGTCTCCGTATTCCAAGGTTGCACAGGAGCCAGGTCTGAACGGATCGGATTGTTTGGGCAATGCGCAAGGTCATGTTGCATCGGCGGCTGCTGAGACTTTGTAGACAAAGCTGGCAACGTGAGGGACGCGCCGCAAGCTTTCTTCATACTAAGTCCCGAAGACCACCTGCAAAAGTCCAATCGCGTTCATGTAGCTATCCGCTGCGACGGTCGGGGCGGTCCATGAGGTCGTCGAAATAGGGAGGACGTGAGCTGGTCGGCAGTGAATCACATGGTCGCTTCGGGGTCTAGAAATGAAGCTTGCTGAGTGCGGTCTGAGAGAGAAATCTTCCAGCCGAATTAATATTGAAAGTCCCCTACATTGTGTGATCCCAAGTTCAAAGCGTCGGCTGGAAAAGCTCGGGGTGATGGACAGACTCGCGGTGGTTGCCGAATTTGTGTGACCTCAGCGCACAACCGCGGTGTGGAGTCGGAAATGAACCACCTGGGGCTTTTGGGCAAAGATGGGAAGAAGTGTTCATCAGAACGTCGATCATGTTCAGATTGGGAGCGCACAGAGACCAAAAACCGACGAAAACCTGGAGCGCACAAGATCACAGAGCTTCCTCGGAGTGTGGAGAAGGGGAGATGGAGGCACGGGGCCTCGGCACGGATAGTTCACATGCGTATGTCATCATATATAGGCTGGTCACCTCCCCGATTTCCGCTCCGACCATTTTGTACTCCCTACACATACACCATGTCTCTCAAGAAAGGTATGCAGTGCCCTGTGGCCCTGTTTTCAACGCTGACTCCGATAGATTCCCACCCTTCTTCCGCTGCCTTCGACGTCATCAACCAGACGCTCCAAAGCAGCGAGGCCGACCGCAAGGATGCCCTTGACAAGGCCAAGGCCATCGTCGCTTTCAACCTGAAGAACGATAAGGGCGAAGAAGCCGCATGGTACCTCGACCTCAAGAACAAGGGTGAGGTCGGACAGGGCCTTGCTCCCCAGGGCGGAAAGGCGGACGGTGAGTTTCCCCGGAGTGGCTCGCTTCACATTCACATACTAATCACCGTCTCATGATAGTCACCCTCAACCTCTCCGACGCCGACTTCGCACAACTCGTGGCCGGAAAGGCCAACGCCCAGCGTCTGTTCATGGGCGGCAAGCTGAAGATCAAGGGCAACATCATGAAGGCGACCAAGATGGAGCCTATCCTGAAGAAGGCCCAGGGTGCCAAGCCCAAGCTGTAGAATATATACCCTTTTGAGAAATTTACACCAAGTCCCGTTGGGCACTGAAGATTGCTGGCTATTGCTCGAGAGCCCCTTTCAAAAACGTCATAATTTGGTTTGGCTGGATCTTTCAAAATACGCGCCACCGAATTGATTGCACATCTACAGATCGCGCACATGTCCCTCTCGTGAAACCCTTCCCTGATCTAGAACCACGAAATAATCCGCATCCTTGACAGCCTCTATGCGATGCGCGATCGTAAGAACAGTGGACTGCTGCAACTCCTCCCGGATGATCTGCTGGATCTCAAGCGATGTTCCTTGATCAACGGAGGCAGTCGCCTCATCCAAGATGACGATCGCACTACGCCGAAGAACAGCCCGAGTCAGTGCAATCAACTGCCGTTGACCCTGGCTAAGGTTTCTCCCTCCAGCTTCGATGTGCGTCTCCAGATTCCAGTGATGCCGACTGCACAGTCGCTCTAGTACCTCCGTACACTGCTCGTCTGAATATTCTTCCGTCGGATCTAGATTCAATCTGATACTGCCGGAGAAGAGGACAGGGTCCTGCGCGACAAAGGTGACACGCGTGCGAAGTGCCTGCGTGCTCACCTCGGCGATGTCAATGCCATCAATGAGGATCCGGCCTGACTCAGGCTTGATCACGCTCAGTAGCGACATGGCTAGTGTTGATTTGCCACTGCCCGTACGGCCCGTGACTGCTATCGTGGATCCTCCGGGGATGCGGAGAGAGACGTTCATAAGCGAGGGGTCAAGGTTTGGCGCGTACCGGAGAGTCACATTGTCGAAGATGATATCGCTGCCGTAGGTTGGCCATGCGGCCGGGGGAGCGATTGATCCAGGTGCCTCTTCTTCGATGTGAAGTAGTTCGTCGACTCTCTCCACCGACACAAAGTCCATTTGGAGTTGGCCGTATTGCTTGCAGAGGGCGTGTGTTGACTCGACAAAGTTGTTCGCGGCAATGAGAACAAATGCTATCAAACCGGGTGTGGTGTTTGTGTATAGCGCCAAAGCTGTCAGGCAGAAGGTAGACAGAGCTGATAAGCCCTCGAAACGGTACATGAGCCAGCTTTGAAGTGACCAGTAGAAATGATCCATGCCCTGGAACTTATCCACGACTGAGATTACTCGGTCTTGGAAGCGAGTTTCGGCGTGGAACGCGCGCACTGTGGTTAGGCCGTGTAGTAGTTCCCCGAAATTTGATAGGAGAGGGCTGAGAGATACCATTTCAAGTCTGCGCAGACTCTGCGACGTAGGCAGAAACCGAAGGAATACCATGACGAATGCTGCTGTCAAGATAAGAGAGAATAGAAGGAACACCGGGGTAGCGGTGGCAATAACTAGGATAGATGATACCCAAGTGATGACTTGGAACGCGATAGCCTGAAACTGCTCACTGATATTGCCATCCACCACCCCAATATCAGATGTGAGGCGATTCATCAATCGCCCAAGGGGAATAGTATCTGGGAAAATATCAGACCAGTATTTTGAGCGTGGACGGAAAACTTACCCAAGTAGCGGAATGTGGAATGGCTGACACGAACCAAAACCTGACGGAAAAGGGACTGCCCGGCACAGTAGACAATGACAAACATTAGAAGCTGCGCGACCAAAAGGGTAATAGCTTGCAGCGAAATGATTGCAAAGAAAGCCCAAAGCCAAGGCCGAACATCCTCTCGCGGAGACGGCAATTGATCCATTGGGCCTTGGGGTGTAAACCATGCGTCTAAGCTTGAAGATATCAGCCGGCTGGATACCTTGTGATCGGTGACCAAGTTCGGTAAATTTGCTTCCACTGCCGTTGTTTGTTCGTATGCTTCTCCCCATCCCTTCAGGAACCAGGATTGCCCAACAGCCATCAGTCGGTAAATTGCAAGGATGAGTACCAGAGCAAGCCACCACCGGTACTTTCCAGCCCTGATATAGTTCCAATAGACTCGAGCCTTGACGCCCCCTTCTGCTCGGTGTTCGTCCTCGATGAATTTGGCAGGGACGGCAGCCGCCTCTTCTTCGACGGTAGTTTGGGCTTCGATTTCGCCGTCTTGATCCGAGTCATGGGAGGATGTTTCATACTCACCGAGGGCGACTGCTTGTCTGTCATACGCGACAGCATGGTTTTCGGAGATTTCGATAATTTGGTGCGCAAACTCGCGTACCAGTGCCGTTCGGTGTGTCACCAAGACAATAGTGCGGCCTTTCATCAACGGTCCCAAAAGGCATTTGCGGACCACAAATTCGGCAGTGTTGTGATCAAGCGCCGACAGAGGATCATCCAGGAAGAGGACTCGGGATGTACTGTACACGGCTCTTGCCAGAGCTACACGCGCTTTTTGACCTCCGGACAGGCCGATACCATTCTCGCCAACAAAGGATAGATCACCGTGCTTGAATTGGGAGAGATCTGGAAGGAGAGCACATGCTTCCAATGTCTGTTTGTAACGCTTGTCGTGGTATGGCGCAGAGAATAGGATGTTCTCTCGAATACTCATACTCTGCAGCCAAGGTGTTTGTGCACAATATCCCACCATTTCGTTCGGAATATTGACCGAGCCACCAACTTGATCGAGCTCGCCAAGGAGGGCTTGCAGAAATGCTGTCTTTCCAGCCCCGACTTTACCCGTCACAACAGTCAAGCCCCTTGGGATACTGACATTGATGTCAACGAGGACGGGGATGACTTTTCCGGGCCATGCAAATGAGCCGGACTTGATAGAAAGCGTGTCATTGAGTCCCTTGGTTGCAGAAGGCGTGATCTCTTTATCAGGCTCAGACATGAAATCCTCAATACGGCCCAGGGCAATGGAAGCATTGATGAGTGAGGTGATCAGACCAGGGATGTCCCGCAAGCGACTTTCCAGCATGGAGAAGAGCTGCAATGCCGGGAAAATGATATCAATGCGCAGCTTACGGCCGGCTAAGAAGGTATAGGCATACAACGCAACGACTGGAAAAGCACCACTTGCAAACGCATTGACAAAGCGAATCATGATGCTCCACAGACTGGTGACAATCCGAATATTCAACTCATGTTGTCGGGCATCCATTACTTGCTGAAGCCAATGGTTCTGCCATCCGTACCATCGTAAATGACGGATTGCTTCAACGAACTGAGAGGTTATTTGAAGCCTAGTGTCTGTTGCTGCTCGTCGGACACGTTCCCATCGAAGAAGAACTCGGGTTATGAACACATTGACAGCTTGTGCAACCAGGACAGCCAATATTCCCAAGAAGCACGAGGGACCGAAGAGTGTCCACACAAGAACGGTGGCGATTACAAGCCCCAATGGCTGGTTGATCAACGAGTCGACTTCCCAGAATCTTTGTGCAACTTCATAAACATCACCTCGCAGAAGATTGAAGATTTTGCCGAGGGAAGCCGCTTCTCTGGCATTTGTGGACGGGGTCTTGCTCTTTCGAGTGATGATGCGCCGCCACAAGCTTTCTGTGGGTTTGGCCGGGGTTTCATCCACTGGGAGTGATGCACCGTCGTTCAAGTTACCATTGTTGTCACTAGACCCTTCGGGATTCTCTTTAATCACGAGCCCAAGGACGTTCTTTCTTGACAGTGCTTTTTCGTAGACCATCATGATCATCTCGCCCCTGGATCTTTCGTACGATCTTCGACCATACCAGAGAAGTAGAACCTGGGCCTGAGCGGCGACAAGCCTCATGGCAAATGAAATCAGAGCATAAGTCAGAGCAACACGCTTCGGTCGCAATGGGTCCTTCATAGCCTGCAATAGCTCTTGTAGCAATACCGGTGTTGAGAAGTCTGTGCTTGAATTAGTACCAGGCGCAAAGCCAATGAGTCAAATCAACTTACCGCAAATCAACTGAGTTATTGAAATGGTAGAAATGATAAAAACATCAATTCCATTTGCGCGTAATAGTCGACCGAGTACAGATCCACGAAGACGACGGAACTTCTCGTGGAGCCGGCTATGTTGGAAGTCAAATCCAAGTAACCATACATCGTCCTCGTTTAGTTGTCTCTTGCGCCCCGTGGAGATCAGCGGTGCCATCCAAGACACCGTTAGGAATTGCCAAAGCCTGAGGTTGTCCTCTGGGGTGCGGAAATCGCTGGAGGGCTGTTGACCAACGGCACTGATATCGAATGATGGCAATGAAGTTTCACGGAACGGCATCAAAAGAATTGTTGCTGATGCTGCTGCCGATGCTGCCGCGGCAATATGGCGAGCAACAACCTTGAATTTCAGGCTCACATCTGGACGGGTCGCCAAAGAAAGTTCAACGGCGAGTAGGGAAACATAGTACACCAGCATTGAAACGGAGCATGCTCTTGGTCGTTTAATTGCTATCAGAATCGAGGCTACCGCCTGGAGGTGGTCAGTAATAAGCAACAAAAGAGGCGTGTGGTTGTATCCTACCCATGAGCCGACAAGGGCGATGTCAGACCAATGCACACCCGGAGAAATCAACTGGCCGACATCGGCCATAAGACCAACCCCCGAGAAGATGAGAAGAGGAATAGTCCAGGCCAGAGATCTCACTGGGGGATCAAGCGGGAGCTCTTGAAAGTCATGTTGCTCAGAAACAAATGGGATGGTCCATTTTGGTCGCCATCGCGAGACTTGCCCGAAAATATGACTCAGTGCGATGAGTACGACAATAATTGCCGGGATGCACGCCAGGTATGGCAATGCACATGGTGAAATCCAGGCATTGCGCGAGTCCTAGGTCGGTCAGCCGAATATGAAATACAGCTAGGGACCAGGTATCATACCCAAATTCGATCGCAGTTTGATGCCGGGGTATCCCAGATCAGGATTTGATTCATGCTGAGCGATGCCACTGGATGCGTTGTGACATCCCTATGGCAGGCAACGTGGGGTTGGATTAAGGTTCATCCGGCGGCCGATGTATAGCGGCCGGGGTTTGGGTAAAGGAAGGCTGAGTTTCTCATTCAAATCTAAAGAAAACTAGATTGGGTCTGTACTATTTGCTGTGTAATATTTGCTGAAAATTAAATCAGTACACCCAGCCACCATCAACGTTGTAGACGGCTCCAGTAACGAAGCTCGACTCGTCGCTGAGTAGGAAAGCAATGACTTTAGCAACCTCTTCCGCAGAACCAAGTCTTTTCTGTGCATTTGCCAAAATACCAGACTCCACGCGTTTTGGGTCGTTGTGTGCAGACATTGGAGTGTGTACCGTGCCTTTTGTTGTCGGATAATAATTAGTTTCTGGGAACATCACGCAACTATATAGTTCGCCTTACCTGGAGCGACACAATTGATCCGAACATCTTTATTCTCCTTGGCAGTCGACTTCGAGAATGCAATCACGGCAGCCTTGCTGGAGCAGTACGCAGAGCTATTTGGCATGGTGATTTGGCCAAAAGTGCTAGCCGCCGACACCTGAAATCCATTAGCTCAACCGACCACCCATCATCTGGATCAAAATATCACATACAATACTACCGCTCTTCATGACCTTTAATTGAGCACGCAGACAGTTGAACACACCGAAGACATTCACAGAGAAAACGAATTCCAACTGCTCTCGGGTTAATTCAGTCGCTGGCACCGAAGGCCCTAAAACTCCAGCCATGTTCACCGCGCCGTCGACTTTGCCGAATCTTTGGACAGTCTTCTCAATCCAAGAGTCAACAGAGGCCTCATTTCTGACGTCCACGCGAGTTGCGATGTGCTTTTGGTGGCTACCAGGCAATGTGGCGATAGCTGTATTCAATGCTTCCTCGTTCAAATCGGCCATCGAGATGGATGCACCTCGAGAGGCGAGAAGCTGAGCAGCAGCAAGTCCCATGCCACTTGCAGCGCCTGTGATGGCGATCTAAAAGCTGATTAGTATGGTTTGGATTTACTCCCAAGCTTGAAAGACGGGGAAGTCAGTAACCCACCACTTTGCCTTGATGGGAAGCCATGGTTGATGTCGAGGATGGATTTGAGGGGAAGCAACATGGAATGCTCAGTCCTTTTTAAATGGGCCATATGGAGAACCAGGTACCTTTGAAATACTCTTCGAGAAAGCGCAGCCGACCCCGATCACTCGCCGATGGATCGGACCCCGAGCCGACGAGTGGAGAAATCGAAGTGGATATACCCCGGATTCCTTATCGCGGTCGAAGCAGCCCTGGAGTCATTTGAGAACGAGTTGGTCTCACGTTGGCCTCACATGGTTCTCTATTGGATAATAACTTCCTTTGTCATGGAGCACGGATCAAAGGTCATCGTTTCCCCTGTTCTGGAATGACCCACGACGGCGACGGCGAAACTGTTAATTGAGGTTGAGGGAGCATCTGAGGGTAATTGTGATTTTTATTTCAAACTTGCGTGAAAACAGGTCATTAAAGTGTAATTTGCTATAAGGACCTGATTGGTGGGCCATAAAGATTCAGCTTCAGCTTCAGCTTCATGATATGAAAAATATACTCATCCCCTCAGGAAGGGCATCTTTCCGAAAGCAAATTCGTCGAAAATGAGCGATCCCCTCAAAAAGGAAACGAGAAATCATCATTCTCAAGTTGCTCCGCAAGTGCCAGAATGTCGTCGGGCGCAGTGTCGAAATGGCTCAATATGCTATCCGAGCCGTTCCACGTTGCTCTGAAGGTATTGTCTCCGTGTTCGTCATTTATCTCATCCACACTGCCGGGACCAGACAAATATTGAGACATTCTAGCTGAAACTGATGTGTCTTTTAGAGTAGAAATCGGCTGAGACACCATGGAAATACGTCTCCGATGATCTTCCAGCAGCATTTCCAAATGTTTCAACTCCTCTCGCCGCAACCTGGCAACTGCATTGCCCTTTCTAGTCATTTCTTCAAACACACATGACATGGAATGGTGCCATTCATGCCCCGGGACATATGTCGGAAGGATGGCGCTGAGGATATAGAGCAACACCGCGGACGAAAAGGCGTACTCCAATTGAAATGGCAGAAAAGTCTCTGTGAGGAGTCAGCGTCAGATCCATTTTGGCAACTTTTTGGCTTTGTACGAACCAAGGAGATCACGATCTACCATGCTTCTGAGGATGAGTAGTGTCGCCGTTGCAGATTGAACCGACTTTTCAAGCAACTTAGCGATTGGGCGAGAGAGGAGCCGTAAATCAAAATCGTTGGGAGCTAAAGTGCGGATAAGAAGCCAAAGAACCAACGGACGAGTTGCAAGGATGATACACTGCAGTAGAAACATTCAGCTCCGGGCAAAGAGATATCAGGCTTTGAAGACTTACATGATGATGAGATAAGGTGATGTTGTAGAACATCTGGGGAAGGTCCCCTCCTCCGGCTTTGAAACAAGATGTGGTCTCATCGATCTCGCGCGAGACTTCAGCCAGCTTGTGTAAGACTGATGTGATACTTGAAACAAAGTCAGAGCTCGGGGTATCATCGAAGCTGTATATGGCTGCGCACAATCGAATTGATTAGACAAGGCTTCGCCATTGAAAACGACCGCGGAGATCGTTTCAGATGATAATGGTGAGCTTACTGCTATATATCATGGAGTTTATCTGTGAGAGGCGACTTCGGAGCGCGAGCGCTTGCGTAGGCATTGATTGCGATCGTGGGTTGGGAAGGGATATGGCGATGTTGTTGAGCGGTATGGTCGGAGGACAACCCAGGCCTGCTGTCAGTCCTTGATCGAGAACGTATATCGTCCACCAGACATTACTGCAACGAGCGCTTATATCGGGATCCATAATATCGTCTGGAACTCGTCGGTGCAGACCATCATGGAAGGCCAGTCGGAGTGCTTGACCGATCTGTATCGTGAAAATTAGATCACGGCGGTACAGGGCCTCAAGAGGGAACATACATATTGGTATGCGGCAGACCGCATGTCGAGCGACTGGAAATAAAGTGCAATCAGGGCGAGAATCTCTATTGCAAGAAGGGCCGGGCGCTCATCTTGCAAGAATGCCACATCCGGAAGAAGCGATAAAGCGCGAGTCGCAAGGTCAGATCCAGAGGGCGCGACAGCTGCCGGGTCCGGATAAGATGTTAGGGCCTTTCCATATGCAAGGATTATCAAGTACTTGATGAACCAGAGGGGATGCATCTCTGCTGTCTTCAATGGACTTTTGTGGAATTCATCAAAGGAGCGTAAGAAGCTCTTCTCATCCACGATCCCAAAGAGCTCCCCAAGACGGTATTTCACGATGTTGTATAGCATCAATGCATGATCCACAGGCGGAAGTTTGACTAGGTCGCTAGCATCGACTGCTAGCTTTGGTTGCCAATGGAGACGGAAGGCTGCTCCGTCTAGGTTGAGGGGTGAACGGTGCGCGTTTGGACACGACGCATGGTCTTCTAGTAATTTGAAGACCCGTCTACAGAAAGACCAGGTGGAGGTATGCCCGAGAAATACTGCAAATTCGTCTTGTCAGAAGATTGGGTCGATCCAACCGGGGGATAACGTACAAAGACGGCGATCATCAGAGCCGCTTACATAGGCCACGTCTCTGGCGACAAGCGGATTGTAGGCTTGAGGGGTGATGTAGGTCCCATGCTCAACCCGGGGGCTTGGGTTTACGATAGATTCGGCTACCGAGCTGGGGAATTCGTTGATTGTGGAGTTGGTTGCTAAGGACAGAGTCAGGAGCAGGTCATGGCGCGGTGCTATAACATAGAATAGTTCCGTACCGTCAATAATGCGCCGAGGAAGAGAGTCGGGCGTACATAGCGTGGGCGACTCTCTATGATTCTCCGTCGCCGCTCTTGCAGTCCTTGGCCTTGAGTGTAGATACGTCGGGGTTAAGACCGACGGGCCGGTCTCGGCCTCCGACTCCGACCCCCTCCATCCTGGTGGCAGCGTCGTAGCTGGGGCAGGGGTGTCGGATTGCAGGTCTTTCAGTTGAGCGATCTGTCGTTGTAAGTCTCTGATATACTGCTCCGGCACCGAGATATGGGCATCGTCAGCGGAAAATGCGCAGGTGTCGCGGCGACGGGTACATCGCTCGCAGGGCCGCACCCCCGAGCACCGGACCTTGGCAGTCCTGCATTGCTTACAGCTGGTGGAATTGATGAACAAGGAAGTCTTGATTCTGTTTGCCGGGGATACTTACGCGTGCGCTCGACGCGAAGGGCGCGGTGTTTCGATTGAATTCATTGTCCGACATGTGTGGAGGAGTAACAGCGGAGGGCGGAGCGAGCTCCGAGTCCGAGGTATCGAGATAACGAAGATCCTTGCGGGGTCATCGCAGCCCTGGAGATTCGTCTGCACTTTCCATTTGGACTTCCACTACTTTCCAGGCCGTCGCGACCACCGTCATGACCAGTTGTCTCGCTGGGTAATGAGCACATGTGCATGCTAAGCGTGTAAATTTGATTCCTTATCAATCCGACCAAGATAAACCCGAAAAAAAGACTGGCCCTATACATGCCCATATGATCCATCATCTACCCAGGCCTGGTCCTCACAAGGTTGAATTGATCCCGAGACTCCATTCGTTGTGACTTAACCCTTGAAAACGAAAGAGCTGGATTCCCGCAGAAAATCAGCATGCTCCTCATACATGGGCTTCAGGCCAGTTTCCAGCGTCTCTTTGAAGAAATCTTCAAAAGAGATTCCTTCCAGGTCGGGGTAGAGGTCCTTGCCGATTTGATAGCCTAGGTAGCGGGCGTATTCGGGTGTATTTTCTCCCATAATGTCAAATGACTTTTGGTAGGTGAACTGGTAGTAATCCATCATCTTGTACGGATCGTCTTTAGTCCTGGCGATACCATCGTCAATTTCATCAGCGGTGCGCTAAGAGGCGAAACGTCAGTACATAGCCTATCATAAGGATAATCATGGGAATGCAGAAACATACATATTTCCTTTCAATCTTCTCGCCGCTGAGTTTCTCAACTGTATCATATAGCTCGCGCTGAGTGCGGAGGTCGGTATAGGCAAAGACCTTCTGATTAAGGGTCCTAGGGTCGGCGATGATGCGAGCAACATACACGCCAACATCGCGGGAGTCGGTCCTGGCCGAAGGTACGTCACCATCGCCCCCAATAGCACTATTGTAAAGAAAGAGGTTTCGATCAATGCGGCCGGATGGCAGACGGGGGAGGCTGATCTGGTACCACCAACCGACGTCGATGACGGTATAAGAAAGGTGCAGTCTTTGAATATGGTCTAGTATGACCTCCTTCTATAGATGCAGGCAATATGTCAGTCTTTGAAGTCAAAATAATGTATTATCGTGAGGAAGGTAGGGAAATAACCGCTACATACGTTGTCGCGCAAGGTCTGGACGCCCCTGGGCATCACCGAAGCATAAAAGCATGGAACGTAACGCTTTATTCCTGCCTTCTTGGCTGCATTGGCAAGGGCAACCTCGTCCAGTAAGCAGCAGACAATAAAGACGTCGATGCCTTTGAGTTGGGCTGTCATATCATCCTCAGAGTCGGTAAGGCTGAATGACACTATGTTGATACCCCTCTCCTGAAGGTCGAGCACATTAGGCTTCTTTAGCGAAGGAGGTCGAACAAGGGCCGTGATCTCCTGCTTCCACCAAGAATATTAAAATACTTGACAAACTCCGAGTCTTTAGATGCAATGGAGACCCACGAATTTTGTTTCTGTTGATGACAGCAGGCCATTGACGATAGAGCTTCCATTTTGTCCGGTGGCCCCAAGGATTGCGACCTTCATGTTAAGGTTGTTGGAGAAGGAGGAAGACGTTTTCGAAGCTGCCTTTTGCATTTGTGACGGGTATGGAGCTCTTTTATACTCAAGGTGCGCGAAGGGTTCCATTTGCCCATCCCTCATTACTCCAATTTTGCATCACCGCTACTAAAAGGGTCCCATATATCTCGGATCAATAGCTTCTTGTGGATTATAGTAAGTAGTGAGGTTACAAATCAAATACTTTGGAAGCCATTTGGGTAGAATTTTTCGGTTCTACTTCCTTACTGGACTTTTCCCCGTACGATCGGCCGAATGAGGCGGTCGATTTTATGGGGGTTTTCCGAGTTCCTCTGGTTGTACAATTGGTACGGAGTATGTAGCCCTGAAGATTATGAAGCTGAGACATCCTCGCATGTCCTATGGCCCGGCATCCGAGCCAAACAGCACTGAGCGACACAGTTGCCCCGCCCGGGCGGGGTCAGCCCTGCCCAGGTGGAGCCCCCCCCCCCCCCCCAGGGCCCCAGGGCTGGGGTTTGTCAGCGACAGCCAGGGCCCCGGGGAGCTCAAATCTTCCGGTCCCGGTCCACTTTTTTTTTTTTTTTTTTTTTTTTCTAGAACCGTCCAGCATGTGTTCCTAAGATCTTGAAAAACCAGACTTGTTTCGAGTATACTTTGACATGCACCTGGGCAGACTGAAGCAGTGTGTGAGGTCCCTATAATCGTCAATTTGTGGCAATTTCAAGGGTTGAAAGTGTTTTACGAAGGAGAAGAAAAACCACCTTTGAACTGAGAATCAGGGCGACCGAGGTCCTAACATTAATATTGCTCGGGATGAGCGAAAGAGGGCATCAATTGATAGTTCAGGTGTTAGAGAGCGAGATGCCTCGATTCAGTGGTGAACCGTACGGTGAAACTAAACATTCAAAGTTGAATTTTTGGGCGATCATACCTTGGCTCGCCCACTGCTTGGGAGGTTGGGGGCATGTATGCAGTCCACGCACGGGTGCCCCAGGCCCCGGGGGCCAACTGGTCCACGGGTCAACGCTCCGCTTCGGGGCCCCGGAGCCCGGGCCCGGGCACTTTGGGCACTAACATATAGCCTTAGGCATAGTTTATTTACCTTTCAAATGTCTCAGAAGCCCAGGATTCGAAACCAGTTCGTCGCAATATTTCAACTCCAACTCTGTAAGGCGAGATAGATCGGCGATTCTAACTCTCCAAACGACCACTTGCAAAGGCTTCGGGATGAAAGGACAATCGTTAGACATATAGAACAACCTAATAGAGGTATCTTCATAAATTCACTATTGTTTCTGAATTAGAGCTACAGGAAACCTTTTCCAATACCGAAGGGTGTTGCTGGTGGGGAATTTTTACAAGCCTGAGAAGTAGAGAGTTTGGCTAGCTTTTCTCTTTCTCTCCCATTCTCGACCACCTCGTTAACAAGATTGTTTCTTGGAATATTCATTATCATAGAGCGAAGGCACAGAAGAGAGTGGAAGATACAAACTAAAATTCGGGGATCTCTAGTAGACACGCCGACCTTGGTACCCCTTCAAGACTCATGGGTTCCACCTACATAGCCTACGAGGTCTTGAATAGTCTTGTCTTTTTTATGGGACTCTGCAGGTGCTCTGCCTGCTAGGAGGCGGAGTCGGTTGACTGATTGGCCTCGGAATTTGATCGGGTTGAGATGCTCAATGCTCGGGGCTCGGTGTCTCTGGCCGAAAGGGGAAATTGTTTCGATTTGGTGAATTGGGTGATGGACAAACCATCACGTATTTCTGGATGCAATTGGAAAGTCACACAGACTGTACAATATCTGAGCAGGCGGGAAATTGAGAACCACCAGGTTCAATACTTGTTACTCCCCTAGCCTGGAGTGTATCCGCTGTGCCCTGAACAGCCAACCCGGTTGACCGGGGCCAAGTCAACTCCGAGATCACCATTTCTATTCTCGTTGTGGGTAGATGCACTCATATACAGATTATGATTAGCCATTTAGGTGCACAGATATAGTATCTTTTATGGGGCATTCGTAGAGCAGCTGCCAAGTCGGCTCAAATCTTACCCGTGGCACGTCTACACAAGCTCCAATTCGGCAAACCGCACTTAACATGATCTGTCGACTCCACTACTTGCTGTCCACTCAGGTTTTGGATCATCAAAGCTTTGCAAGCGAAAAGCCTTGCGAATTATTTGCGCCGGGTTAGTTCTGAAGCCTAGAGGGCCATGTTGGAAATACCAGACCCTATTTTTAGAATCGTGAGCACTCCTGGAACTAGGAGCTCACTTGTATGTATTTCGAATGAGACTTTGGAATTCAGCTTGACTTTGAAAAGTATGCCAGGAAGTGTTACAAAGTATCAAGATTAGGTCTTCAACTCAAGCTTATGGGGAGCTCATCGCCAACAAGACTTCAGTGACCTCTGCGTCTAAGATGAAAAAGACGAAAGTATGCAACTATCAAACATCGATTAATTGCCAGGTGGGTGGGTACTTACTCATTTCGGTTCAATGGCGAGGCTGAATGATCAAAGCTTTACTTGAGCAGATCTCGTCTAATAATAGCAATGCTACCTTTAGAATGTCAAACCCTTGGGAAATCGAAATCCACAATCAAAGTATATAAGCTGGTCAAGTACCTAGGTAACTGGAATCTGGTTAATCATAACAAGCCACCTCGCTCAGCTTGTCTCAATTTACCTTCAGTATTCCTTCGCTCGTTGAATTCCAACTGTTTCACTCGCCGTCATGTCCATGACTACCACTTCCACCACTTCCTCCGCCTCAGCTACCTCCAGCTGCCATGCCAAGTTGTACGATATCCCAACGCACGACGCCGCTTGTGCGATGCCGATGCAAAGCAACAACTCTGCTATCATGAGTAGCTGCTGCTCCGAGGCCTCGGTCGTCGAATACGATGGCTGCGACTACTACTGCCTGGCTCAAGGACAGAGCGTTGGCACCCTTGCAGAGTGCCTCCTCAAAGCCTCTGAGCCTGGTGAGGTCTGGTGCAACACCAATGCCAATGCTACTGCCACTGCAACAGCCACTGCTACTGGTACTGGTGTCGTCACCTTGAGTGCTACAAGCACTGATGCGGACAGTACCACCTCGGGTACTTCGAGTAGCTCTACCGCAAGCTCAACTGCAAATGCGGCTGCTGGTATTGTTGCGCCTCAACCTCTGTCCAAGTCTGCTATTGGAATGGTGGGCATGCTATTGGCTGGTACTGCTGCAGGCCTTCTTCTCTAAGGTGCCTCATGGGTTGGAACCCACGCCACAGTCGTCTAGCCCTGGACACAAGTTTATGCCATTCAAGGAAGTGCGGTGAATATCTTGCAGCAAAGTGGCTTTCCTATTTGGTGTGTTTGTATACTGCTCCAAGATCCATTCGATGTGATTAATGGTCTTTCGGTGCGAAACGGGATCCAACTTCCAAGCACGGTGAATGTATTTTATTTGGTGGTTTAAATGGCACTAAGGCTTCTCTTCCAGATCTCGGGAGATGGCCTAGTCGGTGGCCTCATCGTTAGGTGCGCAATTTTCAGGGCTGTTGACCTCTTTCCCACACAGTCCGGTGACCAAGTTTTCTATTGTCGCTCATTTTTTTTTCTTCTTTCTTTTTCTTTCGTCTCTTCTTTCTCGCCTTCTTTCAATCTTCTTTTCAACCAATCAAACCTTGAAACTTTCAGTGCAACATTATATGGTACAACTTCTACACCTTCGTACTGCATACGTGCATCTAGTCTCTGATCTAAGAATGCATGTTAGGCACCAAAGTCTATTTTAACAAGTCTCAAGCGTTTCCTTCTACAAATGTACAAAGCCATCCAGAGCTCCTTGGCTGATTTTTACTCCTGAAAACTCCTGAAGCATAAATGTCCACAGGTCCTACCCAAATATGTACTATTTTGACCAATTGAATTGAGTTGCAAGGTTCTCCCATCGGTCCACGCTGAGCCGGTGACATCAGCCCCACGCGGGCTCAGCGGCAGGATCCGCTGCGGGGCCGCCCGTTCTGGGGGTATCTGGCTCGCTACTCCGTGCTTTCAATCTTCGAAAACTCATTTAGAGCAACCGGGTATAAGCATTCCGTTATACAGAGTATTCGCTGCAACTATACGACAGCTATAAAAGCTAGTGGCAGACCTTGCAAGCAAAAACTCACGTGCAAGACATCAGATAACAACATGGAAACAAACCCGTCTTTTGTCCTCGAGGCCATTCAGCATGTTACCTTTCGAGACATACCTGTGCCTGAAATCGAGGATCCATACGACGTGATCGTTCAAATCAAGCAGACAGGTATCTGCGGGTACGTACACGCAGACCCTTCACTCGAAACCGCTCTGACGGAGGGTATCCGAGCAGTTCAGATGTCCACTACTGGCAAAGAGGGCGGATAGGAGACTTCATCCTCGACACCCCCATTGTCCTCGGCCACGAGTCTGCCGGAACAGTGGTGCGCGTGGGAAAGGCAGTCAAGCATCTGAAAGAAGGAGACAATGTAGCCATCGAACCAGGCGTTCCATGTCGTCACTGCTCATATTGCCGAAGTGGCTCATACAATCTATGTCCCGATACGGTGTTCGCAGCAACGCCACCCCACAACGGCACGCTGTCACGATATTTCAAAACAGCCGGTGATTTCTGCTATCCACTTCCAGACCATCTGAGTCTCGAGGACGGTGCTCTCTGCGAGCCGGTTGCGTGCGCTGTGCAGATCTGCCGCGTTGGCGAGGTCCGCGGGGGGCAAACGGTTGTTGTATTTGGGTGTGGGCCTATCGGGATCTTGGTGCAAAGTGTGGCGAAGCAGTATGGAGCGAAGACCGTGATTGGAGTTGACATCAACAGGAAGAGACTTGATATGGCGATCGATATTGTGCAGTCTGCGGATGGTGTCTTTGAGCCACCGCAGTGGCGGAGGACAGAGCCCCATGATGCGGATGCGGAAGTCGCTTTCTATGGGAATGTTGCAGAGGGGATCAAGAAACAGTTCGGATTGGGGGAGGGCCCTGATGTGGTTATTGATGCTACTGGAGCACAAAGTGCCATTCAGACTGGTGTTCAACTGTGTAAGAAGGGTGGCATGTTTGTTCAGGCTGGCATGGGGCGTGAGGTATGGCCCTGTTTGTTCTCGGTGGTTCTGTTGGGCTGACATTGTTGGTAGAATATCGTCTTCCCGATTACAACTGCTTGTATCAGAGATCTGACAATCAGAGGGTCGATTCGGTACAAGGCCGGCGTCTATCCTGCCGCCATTGACCTTGTGGCCAGTGGACGTGTGAAGCCGCAGAAGCTCGTCACACACAGGTATAAGTTCGAAGAGGCTATTGAGGCTTTTGAGAAAGTGAGGAGTGGCGGTGAAAATGTTCTCAAGGTAATCATTCAAGGCGTGGAATGAGCCGAGACTGACGGGCGCTCTCCATGTCCTTGCTGCTTTTTGAACGCCGCGCAAGCTGCCTGTGGATGGTCACGAGTGTTTCATAGCCCGTTGCAGTATTCGAGTCTTGCTGTGTAGTAGCAGAATAATGCCATGTATCTCTTCTATCGAGGATCCGACAACCGCAAATCGCTCAATGGTATTGATCGTCTTCTTCTGTAAATCATCAATGTCTTGAGCGAGATGTGCCAGGCCAGGGCTAACAGAGCTCAAGGTGAGTAGTATGATCGAAGAAAACATCCTTCATAGCAAGGTTAGTCAATCGAGACAGAGCACTCCTGTGGATGTATCAACGTACGTATGAATGATGATTTCTGCACAAAATGTCGGACACATCAATCTGCGCACCGAAGCCTCCAAATAAGCCCTGCAATTTACTATGCTTGCCTCGCATTGTTGAAGAATCATAGGCGGGAGTTCTGTTTCCGGTGATAAGTCAAGGGCACAGAGAAGGAATGGCCTCGTAATGATGTCCTTGGCAGAGTGAAACCGATGTAGCATATTGACGCGTAGACCAGTGAATCGAGATGGATCATTCATGTCGGGCTTGATTGTCTGCGGCAATAAGTCGAACCAGTTATTGAGTTGTCGGTCAAGCTCCTGAGATACACTGAGAATATTCGACAGTGATTGAAAGTCATAAGAGGGACTATCACTTGAGGCAGGCTGCAGACCGAGGCTGCGCCTTGTCCAGTCACTGGCATACATTGTGTGATGCACACGATTGAGGAGGCGGCGGACGGAAAGTTCTGCAAGGAAGAGATTCGTCTCTTGGGCCTGGTGGTCTGTGAATGTTGGAAAAGGGGTCAGATCAATCACATGCTCAATTCCACTTCGCGGCAGGTGGTGCTCAGCAATGAGGTCACTGCTATAGGTGTTAGTGAATGCATTTCTGGGGAGTTTGGGCGAGCTGACCACTCGGTATCGAACGCTGCCCAAGACAGTAGAATGATACTGGACTTCAACTCATGGTTATCCGGCGAAGCTTGACTTCTGATTGCATGAATGGTCAGTTCCTAAATTCACGTTGTTTTGAGTAAGAGCAGTGTCAGTCAAAACCTACCGGCTGTTCAAGTACTGGATGCTAGTCGAAGCCATGTGGATCAGTTTCCAAGATTGCAAGGGCCGCAGCAGGAACCCAAAATATTTCGAGATCAGGATCAGGCTTTGAGGCAGGGTTATCGTTGGGCAAAATGACAGCAGATATTCGTTCATCAAGATCTGCAGTGCGGGTGAAATGTAGTCTTCCCCAGGTACCCAGTATGGAGAACTAGAGTTTGTCGGATCAACCTGCTCAAGGCTGGCAGAGCCCAATGCAAGCACCGCGAGGCATAATGCCGAGTCACAATCAACCTTCAACCCCGACCTGACGTGGCGATCATAGAGGGTTAGGAACTGGTCTTTGTCTAGGATTGGCATTTCGATATGGACATATCTGAAGTATGCCTCCACGAGAGGATAGCTGTGTGCGTGATTCAGAACAGGCAATCGATCGGCGCTAATCGATCCCGGGACAAGCGATAGTTTGTCCGGCATATGCCGTTTAGATTCGGCGCGGATGAATAGATCCGGTGGAAACTCGCCGAAGAGCGTCTTCACTTTGTTCATATGGAGCATGTATTCCGTTGTGGTCGTGTGTCCAATTGGAATACTCATTGGGGGGATGTCATGCTCTGGTGGCATGAAGGGTGAGTTAGCACTGATGAGTCGGGAAACATCCGCCGGGGGTGCTCGTGACGGGGAAGAGATCAACATGGAAGATTGAAAGGTCGTCTCGTCCTCTGAGGGCGCGACCGGGAAAGCAAATCCATTTCTGGTTTCGCCTGTTTGAGGTGTTGGGGGGAGTCTGGGATTGTTCCAGAGAAAGCTCTCCACTGCATCGAGACGTCGAAAGAACTCAGACGAAGAAGTCTCTCCTCGCGGTCTGCGTGAACCCGTGAGTATTGAGTTTACTTCCAAGATCCATTCCTCACCTTGAGCTTTCTGCTTCGTTATACACGCATTCGACGCCTGAGTCTTCACAGAGACTACACGAGGGAACCACCCCATTGCAGCGCCGTTTCCTAATCGATCAGCACTGGGCTCAACAAGCAGGGTACGAAGATCGCATACCGCCTCCGACAGTGATTGCATGCTAGCGCAGCGCGTTTCCGGCTGGAGTCCATCGATATTCACTCAAAACATGCCTCTCAATACGCGGTGTGGTGGAGGAAGTACACAAGCGGACAATCCCGCCGGCGTCCCGCCTTAGTCATCTCGCCATATCTGAACGCCGCGGGCGGAGCTCCGACGGTATACCGGAGAACACGCAGGCTGGGCGGAGAACGCCAATCCCACGAAATCGCAGATCATTTTTAAGCATATCGCTAGGAAGTTAAGTTTAATTGAGCCTACGGAGGTTAGTTTTCCCCCAAAGATGTAGATGTCCAGCTTGTTTCTTGAAACCCGGAGGGCTACACTCCGCACGCTCTCGTCGTAGAATCAGTTCCAATTTACTTCTGACTGGAGGATATTCGACGCTCGAACCTGACTGCAGATAATTTCGATACGGCATCATTCTCTTACCCCCGCAATATTGGTATTCGATAGATGACAGTGTGCGAAGACAACAAGGGACATCTACTTAGCCGCATCCGGCACGACATATCGGGCCGAGCGCTTCGGGAAAGTGAGGGTCCACTTTAGTTCCCCGTTCAGAGTTTTCTTGGCTGTGACTGGGGTAGCTCTGATTTTTCTGATCTCTCTTGTCATTAGTCACTTTCAATTGCACGTTTCACGGAGTCAGGGACCTCGAATTCCCCAGCCAGTATGAGAGACGAAGAGTCCTATGCCGTCAATGGCAAAGAGGTCACGGATGGTGCCTTTGAAAAGGACATGGAGAAGCCATTGGACGTCAACAAGTTGGAGCCCTTTGGAAATGAGGAGACGGCAGAGGTCAAGTATCGGACGATGAAATGGTGGTAAGTTTTGATCCTGAATTCAACATCGAATGCGCTATTCGGAACATAGCTAATCAGAGGACAGGCACTGTGGCATGCGTGAGTGCTCCATATTCTGACACATATCAAATCTTGAAGGTCCCCATTGCTAATTAGATGACCAGTCATGATTGCGGAGAATGTGTCAGTGGGTATTCTCTCACTGCCTTCCGCTGTGGCTACCCTAGGAATGGTCCCGTGCGTATCTGTCTAACCTGGGGTTCAATACCGGTTAACTAATGTGGGGTTCTAGTGCTGCTATCATGATTCTGTTCATCTCAGCCCTGTCATGGTACACAGGATATGTCATCGGCCAGTTCAAGCTGCGTCACCCTGAGATTCACAGTATGGGAGACGCAGGCGAGCTGTTGATGGGCCCTCTTGGTCGTGAGCTGTTGGGTCTGGGCCAGCTCCTCCTGCTGATCTTCCTGATGGCCAGCAACATCCTGATGTTCAACATCTTGATGAATGTACTGACTGATCACGGTACCTGTACTCTGGTCTTCGGTGTCGTTGGGCTCATCATCTGCTTCTTGGGTGCCTTGCCGCGTACCATGGACAAGGTCTATGTGATGTCCGTCATCTGTGAGTACATTACTCCTAACCAGAACAAGGCTATTGACTAACGTACCGTTAGCATTCCTGAGTGTCTTCGTGGCAACGGTACTGACCATGATCACCGTTGGTGTCGAGACCAAGGGCCACGTTGTGAACCAAGTCACAACGGAGGTCAGCTTCCGCGAAGGGTTCCTGGCTGTGACCAACATTATTTTCGCTTACCGTACGTCCAACCTTGGCTTTTCTATCATGTTGGTGTAGCTCGAGCTAATCAAATTCCAGTTGCCCATGTCGCCTACTTCGGTTTCATGTCTGAAACAGAAGATCCGCGCACATTCAACAAGTCACTAGCAATGCTGCAAATCATCGACACCGTCCTGTACTTGGTCAGTGCTTTGATCATCTACCACTACGTCGGACCCGATGTGAAGTCACCTGCCATTCTCTCCATGAACCCGTTGATGAGCAAGATTGCCTGGGGTCTTTCCATTCCAACTGTGAGTTTCCTCTGTCTTGCCTGCTGCTCTATGCTCATACATATAGACCATTCTTTCGGGTGTCGTGCTGGGCCATGTTGCCTGCAAGTACATCTACGTGCGTATCTTCCGTGGATCCGACAAGATGCATAGCAACAGCTTCCTGTCCATCGGCTCCTGGGTCGCCATCTGCCTAGGTGTCTGGGTTGTCGCCTGGGTTGTCGCGGAGTCGATTCCAGTGTTCAACGATCTCCTGAGTTTGATTGTAAGTTCTGAAATTTGAAAGACAAAGCGCATCAGCTAATCGATGATCACAGAGTGCGCTATTCGGAAGTTGGTTCAGCTGTAAGAATATCACCTCAAGCTCCCCACCCCGAACCATTACTGACTTTTCTCCCAGTCGGTCTTCCCGCAATCTTCTGGCTCTACATGAACAAGGGTCGATACTTCCAAAACTGGAAAAAGGTGGTTCTGACCATCACTAACCTCGGAGTCTTGGCTATTGCCATCGCTATCGTAAGTCCGCGACCCTTTACTTGATCGTCGCATTACTAACTTCTTCTAGTGTGGATTGGGTCTCTACGTCTCTGGCGTTGCCATCCACAATGACTCCACCAACCAAAGCTGGTCTTGTGCTAATGACGCGTGAAGAAGTGAAAATGTAATGACCATCAGAGGAGCAGGGCTTCCTAACATATCCGACATCAGATACGTCCGAGTATTTTAGCATTGTGTATAGATCTCAGTTTGCATGTACAAAAATGAACACTGGTTGATAATTTTAGTGCCTATCCATTGATCAATGCTCCCGAGGTCTCGAAAGCCAACGTTCAGGGTGAAGGCATAGCGTAATTTCTCTACTGGTTGTCATTTCGTTCCAAGGTTTTCGCCCCTTTGCTCAAGTCGAGGACTTTTGCTTCTTCTCGTCGTGTAAATTGCCACGCTCTTCAACCAAAGATGCAATCGCTGTCCCAGTTTCACCTCCCATCTTTGCGAATCCTTGCGCCACACCATCCCGGTCACCAGGCCGCATCTCCTGACTCATCTTAAATTTGCCTTGCAGCTTATCGATCCGAATTTGAATTCCGACAATGTTTCGTTTCAATAACTCGACGTACTTCTCCGGCGCATCGGACACCTTCCATGGCTCAGGATTCTCCCCGCCGGTGTAACCCATAATAGACTTTTCAGTATGTTGCGACAGATCATGAATCTGCTTGGCGAGGAACTCTCCTGCCTCCGGGCTCTTGGAATCATAGTAGAGAGACAGTTTGCCGTAGACCTGAACGGCAGAATAGTTCCACGTGGGGACGACCTTGCCCGAGTCCGGCTTGGTCTCGACGTAGAATTTCGGTGTCACGTAGTGATCGTGCTTGCCGTTGAAGACCACCAACACATCATTTTCGATGGTGGTCACCCCATCTTTGCTTTCCAATGACTCAATCATGCCTTGGACCTGGGGGTTTTGTTTGGCGATATGCGCCCGCAGACGGCCTAGAGGAGCGGAGTCATCGCAGTCTCCGGGGGTGTCTAGCACCATTGGGACATGGGTGCATTGTAGGAAATCCAGGGAGGAGTTGATTCCGGTGATGAGCATACCCAGCGGGTTCTCTTTGATGAATTGGAGCAGGACAGCATCATCTGTTTCCGCGTGGACGCTTGGGAGGAACATGTTGCAATAGTGTAGGAGAGAAGCGAAGTTGAGTGACGGTCAAATTTGAGTCATTTCAAATGTATCAACAGACGAAAAGGGCAAATTTTGCGCCGGGACTGTATGGAGCCAACCATGGTCCCCCGCTCCCGTGCACCCCATCGGGTATAGCGTCCATGCATTAGATGTCTCGCTTTTCAATTCAACAGCTTGATAATTCTACAAGATTGGGCGATAGACTACTCCGTGGGTGAATATTCATTCAGCATATCATCGCATTTTTACTGTACTACTAGTACTAGTTGGGTGGAGTGTCAATATTGACAGTGACTCTGCTGAAGGCCAAATTGCTCAGGCCAAACACAGCGCGTATATTTCCAACGGAACCCGAGAACATTGTGTGTCATCGACCCCACATGTGCACCGCACATCGAGTCTGTAGTCCACCTGGGCAACATCTCTCGCTCATGTAAATTATGATACCCACTCATAGGGTGTCCAATGTATAAACCTGCACCTCCAAGGCCAAAGAAAACCAACATCGTTCGGTCGCGGAACGGCTGCAAGGGCTGCCGTGAACGGCGCACTAAGGTATGCGATGCTCGCGCTTCGGAATGCTCCATGGCCTCGCTGACCGCTGAAAGTGCGACGAGAAAACGCCAGTATGCGGCACGTGCGCTAGACTGGGGAAACCCTGCGAAAAGGTCAAACCCGAGCTGAAGTTTCACGTTGTGACTGGCCCGACACGCGCGACAACGGCGCCCAGTGCCGAGGCCCAGACTTCCGAAAGGCAGGTCTCTATAGCGGCCTCCGACTCACGCCGTGATCTCCCAACACCGAATGGCAGCCTTATCCGCTCACTTAAGCATACCGAGCGAGATGTCTTTTACTCGACGTACTGGGAGGATCGCTGCCTACCTGCGCTACCCCCCATGTTCCACGCGATTTCGGGGCTGCTCGATTTTGCACCCTTGAAAGGGGCGGTTCTTGCTCTATCGGCGTGCAATATTAGCCGCATACAAGCGGAGAGGAAGTCATCGGCAAGCATGACAAGCTCCAGCGTGTATCAACCGAGTTTGCAACATCAGACGCGGAGTCAGCTGTACTATTCTTCGGCAATCAAGAACTTCACAGCACTCACTTCGCAGGACTATCAGCATAACCTTCGGTTGGTCTTAGCCATCCTTGTGACTTTTGGCTACATAGAGTCATCTATGGGTAATTTTGATGGTTTCTACTGCCATGTGCAGGGTTTATCAGGGTTCCTTGTGGAGCTGCGACAATACACGGAGGACCCAATCATCAGGGATTTGCTCGCAGCGTGGTTCCAATCACAGTTCCTTGTTTGGTGGGCGCGCACCTATTTCAGCTCTTTGGCTGTGCAGCGGCAATTACCGTCGATCCATCTACCCGCGGTACTGTGTCAGTCCCCTGGGTCCCTTCACGAACGGAGAGCAGTGGTATTGGGCATTCTCTGTGAATCCCATCTAGTGAACACGAAAGAGACACTTGGACATTGGGACCAATCCGAGCTCTGGTCGGTGACACTGCCAGAGAGTTCTCATGATGAAACGAAACCGCTCTGGATAGCGCAATTAGAAGATGCGTCCAAGAGACTGGACACGTGGGTTCTCAACTTACCGCCATCAGAGCATCCCATCAAAGCCGAAACCTCGTCAACATCACATATCCTATTCAAGTCTCATGATGCGGCTCTCAATTTCGCTTACTATGCAACGGCCCGCATAATGCAGTGTCTATCATTCTTGTACAGCCTTCAGACAAATGACACGCAAGGCATTCTAAACGGATGCTTTGAAACCGAAAGATGGATCTCCCTCCTACTAGATATCGCCCGAGGCGTCGATCTGCATGCCTCCATCACCATGAATACCTATACAATTGGCTTTTCCAGCCTGTTGCTTGCCGCGTCTCTTCGGTGTCAGGATCTGTCACTTGGGATGAAGATTGAGCAGTGGTTACAGAATTTGGAAAGTATCCAGCCGACAGAAGAAGGTGCATTCCCTGTCTACCAGACTCTTGCTGTCGTCAAAGCGATCAATCGACAAAGAATGCTTGGGCGTGATATATTCGGTGTTTCACAGCCGGTGGATGATGGGGGTGGGACTCCGAAATTCCACGGATATAACAGCCAAATGATCCGCAGTCTTTTGATGCATGGCAGATGCAGATTTTCGGGTGAATTTTTCACGGAAGATATGGAACTTGATATCTGATGTGAACATGCGCACTGCGTAGTCGCAATGTGGCAAATTCCAAGGCTGCCTTTGGAAAAACTAAAAATTCTATCAAACCTGCTGTTTTTACAAGTGATTTAAATGACACAATCTTCCATGGCATACCTAGCGCATTGTAGCCTCAAATCCTAGTCGGCCTAGGGGAGGCGACCATTTGATGAAAACCTCCCGGTGTTAAATTAGGAAGAACGGAGCGAGTTCCCCTAGAGAAGAGATTAAGAAGAGAGTAAGTAGGTGGGATTATGCCGAAGGGATCATGGCTCATGAATCCATAGCAGGATAGCTTCCGCTGTGGGTGCGTCCACGGGTCGTTCTTGTACACCCGATCTGGTAAGACTGTGGACCAAACAAGGTCCCCACCAGGACACATTGAACATGAGAGAAGCCAAAAGTGGTGGGCAATTGCGATGAGATGAGCCAATCTGAAGATGATTCACTCTTTACAAGGCCTATATCTTTGATCAATTCCACTTGGCAACACTTGAACGGGCTTGCAGGGCTATGTGGGTTCAAATATCCCTCTATGAAACGTAGACACCGAAAATGTCTTCGACGGTTAGCAATTTATTTTGCATTCCCAAACCACAAACCAGACCACATATTGGCATCCAACTGAACGGGTCTGGTGTCAAATCTATCTACACTACTGGTGATGCGATCGAAGGAGTCACTATTATTACAATCCCAAGCGGAACTCGACTTGACAACATCAAGATAAGCTTGGAAGGTACCGATATTATGTGAAGATCTGTGAGAATGGACTGTGCTGATGACATCTTTTGCAACAGGCAGGGCACGAACGACCATTCCTCAATCGTCCCAGACAAATCGGATCCCTTTTACTCTGGAAAATGTTTTCCTCCAGCTCGACCGTCTAATTGATGAATCTAGCTATACGATTGAGGAAAGCGCGTCATTTGTTTCATACAGGATCCCTTTCCATTTCATCATTCCAACCTATGTGAAACATAGAACTTGTGCGCAACTGGGAAACGATACACATGCAAATCTTCCACCAACCCTTGGCGATTCAGATATCCCCTATGAAAAAGAATTCGGGGGTGACATGATGCCGACATCTGGTCAAATCACCTACCGAATCCATGCATCTGCGCTATTGCATACATCCACAAACAGACGAAATTCCCTGTTGAAAGCATTGAAGCCTCTTCATGTCGTTCCAACAAAAAATGGGGAATCAACGGGCACCGGTATGCTGAATCAAGCAGCATTCAACAAGGTTCAAATAAAGCGCGGAGCATTTCGCAAAAGCGCTGGGGAGATACACATCTCGTCATACAGCCCCATGCCCATACATTTGCCCATGTGCAGCTCCCTCGCAGACAAATATGGGACAACTTCTATCGCACTGGACATCGAATTTGCATCACCAGGGCATAGCGACTTCCCTCCACACCTTAGCACACTGAGCCTCAAACTCGTGTCACATACCTCTCTTGGGGTTCCTTCAAGTCAGCTTCATTCTGGTCTGAGTACAGCCTGTTTTGACCGAGATCACCGATGCCATTTTACCGATGCAACAAATCTTCCGAAAATGGATGTCGGATCTGTGCAATGGAGAGACATTTCCAATGTCAATAATGGTCCCCTTTATGCGGCTCGACTCATCGTGCCGGTCGTTCTTCCCAAAACAAAAGTATTTGTGTCTGACTTTGAATCATGTGTTGTTTCACGATCTTACTCGGTTGATCTATCTTTGAGCTATCGAGCTGCCGTGTCCAGTTTTGCTACCTCGAGCATACCCCTTCGGGTTCCGGTCTCAATTCAAAGATGTGTGCAATAAATATCTTCAACCCCTTCAAATTACACGGTCAAGCGCGAATACTAGTCGATTGACGCAGCTCCCGATTCCAAGAGCGCATCGGATCAGCCCACTCCGCCTGGGGTCGAGAGTCCCCCGCTCTGGTGGAACTGTTCCGCCTCACATCCGCCCGACGTCCGACGTCCGACTTTCGTGCCCACTTTCCTTTCTCAACTCTCCGCATGTGCAAGGTTATTATCTCGGCTGGCAGACCACCGATGATTCAAAGAATACACTTCGCACTCTGTTGAGAACTCGACACACCTCCCCGATACCATCGGTCTTCGAATGAAAGACAACTCACCTCCATAGTCTAAATAGCTTCTACTTTCCACTGAATTAACTCATCTCCGTTACTATTGAACTTGGAACCACTGCGAAAACATCTCAACCCCCTCTTTTTCTCCGCTGCAGATCCAACTTCACAGTCAACGTCCTACCAGTTGGCCTCGAAGCATCATGACAGCCCAAAATACCTCAACAGGCCCAAGTGAGGACCAGCGTGCCTCGTTAACCTCCCGAGTCATCCCAGTGATGAAACTATCCGAGGGCGCCAACCCACTTACGCGCCCTCTTCCCACCGTCCCATTCACATCTGCGCGCGAGCGTGCCGAAGCGCGATTCCAAGTCCTAGGCAATGCCGTCGTAACAGGCGGAGCAGGCGTCCTCGGCCTCATTTCCGCCCAAGCCCTTCTCGAGCACGGACTATCCTCACTCTGCATCATGGATCTGCCGCAGACTCTCGAGACTTCAAAGCCGCAGATTGAATCACTTGCATCGAAGTTCCCCGACGCGATAATCACGAAGATACCCTTGGATGTCACCTCGACAGAGTCGATCCAATGCGCATTCGGTCAAGCAAAGCAGCTCATGGGCGGTATTGATGTTCTTTGCTGCTTTGCTGGAATCCCAGGTTGTCAGCCCTCGCTGACAGTGACGCCTGATCAATGGAATAGGGTGATGGATGTCAATCTGAATGGATCGTTCTTCTGTGCGCAAGCAGCAGCTAAAGTGATGGAAGAGTCGGGTAAAGGCGGATCCATCCTTCTCACGGCCTCCATGTCGGCGCATTATACCAACTTTCCCCAACCGCAGGCTGCATATAACGCGAGTAAGGCCGGTATTGCCCATCTGACTCGCAACCTTGCTGCCGAGTGGGCTATACATGGGATTAGAGTGAACAGCATTAGCCCCGGGTATATGGATACCATTCTCAATGCTGGGGATGGGTTGGCGGATGTTAGAAAGGTTTGGGATTCCCGTTGCCCAATGGGCCGGATGGGAGACCCTGAGGAGATCACCGGCGCTGTGGTTTTGTTGTGTAGCCAACGCGCCGGTCGGTATATCACCGGTGCGGACATTATTGTTGATGGTGGTACTTTGACGCTGTGATTCTTCGAAGGTTGTACATTGATGTATATGGAGCATGAAAGTCATACGATTCAATTCAGGTCGGGTCTATCTATCTTCTATTTTAAGATGGAATGCAAAAGAAGCACTCCATTTCCTTCATCCACCACGCACTTTAACGACAAATGTAGCCGCCATCGATACGCAGATCAGAGCCGGTGGTGTAAGAACTGGCATCACTGACAAAGTAGACATAAGCAGCCTTCAACTCTTTGGGATCGGCTTGACGTCCCATGGGAATCATGCCCTGCCAGAGCTGCTGGACGTCCTGGGGGACAAAGTCACCGAGGCCAGTTTCGACGTATCCAGGCGAGATACTGTTGACACGAGCAAAGTCCCTCCACTCATTTGCCAATGAGCGGGCCATGTGAATACAACCCGCCTTAGCGGTATTGTATGAAGTCTGCTCTTGGGGATAATTGACAATATGTCCCGACATAGACGCTGTGATCACGAAGCTTCCACGACCACGTTCCTTGAAATGGTGGCCCACAGCCTTGGCGCAGTAGAAGACAGAGTTGAGGTCTGCCTGGATAACATTTTGCCAGTCTTCGACAGAGCCATCGAGGACACCTGCATCAGCGGTGCGGCCAGCGTTGGCGATGAAGCTGTCGATTTTGCCGAAATCCGCGATGACATTGTTGACGAGATCTTGCACTTCGTCCCACTTGGAGGTGTCGCATTTGTATGCTTTGGCTTGGACGCCATATTCCTCTTGGATGGCTTTGACGTTGGCTTCTGCGCCTTCACGGCGGGAGAAGTATGTGAGTGCGACGTTGCCGCCCATTTCGGCACAGCCACGAGCAGCTTCGAGACCAATGCCTCTAGGGCCTGAGGCACCGGTGATGACGATGACCTTGCCCTTCAGGCTGAAGAGGTCCTGAAGGGAATTTGCTTGAGGGATTTCGATAGGCATTGTGGAGATGAGATGTTCCCAATCGGGACGGGGAGAAGGTATATCGGTTTGGGTGGTAGAAGAGTTTGTTTGCGTAGAGAATGAAAGAAAGAGAGAATCTTTGGGATTTTATAGCTTGAGATAATTGCGTCGTAGCCACAGCCCATACTCTGTCCAGCTGTACTTCCCCCTCCCATGAATGTATCCACACATGCTCCACCAGGCGGGATAGCAGGCGGCTTCATCCCGCCGCCACGTAGGTTCATTTTTCTGTTATTTTCGAGACATTCGCTCAGTGGGTACCTTCAAGTTCTGTGTTTTGAATCTCGCCATATCCATAATCCCGTGCGTCCCTAACGGGTCTCAAAATATAGCGAAAGCATTCGGCGGACTAGCCACGCCTCCCACGACCTAGAGAACGCAATCAGCAATGTTTAGTGCAAGTAGTTTGAACACATCCATAGATACCTTCAATGGCATACTAGACAGGAAGAAGCTATATCTTCCCGTGGCCTTGCAATGCTCCGATAACTTTTCCAAATCAAACATCTCCCCAATCGGCGTCCCCCAGCCCGCCAACACCCACTCGTGCAAGTTGAAGTTCGGATCTGCATGAGCGCCCCGAATCGGCGCGCGCTCAAAGCTCGGGGCATCACCCGCAACGGCCGCGAACTGGTGCTCCCATAGCCAACGCACCATGCCTTCCGAGGCCTCCACGCCGTTGAAATCGGGCGATGACCGAAGCGCCAATTCTTTGCGCTGTTGGTCATTCAATTTGTTATATGCAGCCGTGAAACCACTGCGAATAAACAAGACGTCGCCTGTTCGGAAGTCAAGCTTGTGGTCTTTGATGACTTGCTTGATGTGCTCGAGGGTAATGGTCTCTGATTCAAGGGCGGAGACGGAGATGGAGTTCGTTGCTGCCCAGTCTGCGTAGTCTAGGAGAACACCTCGGCCTGTTATTCCACCATGTTCACACATTGCTACTCCTGTTAGTATTCTCGACTCCATATTAGTCTCTTCCATTTCTTACAATGAATGCCGATGGTGTCCGAGCTCTGTATCTCCTCGGCAGTGTGTCCATTATAGAACTTCCTCGAGCGTTGATTAGCTACAAGTCGTCAGTGAGGCTCGCGAATAATTCCCAATTGAAGATACCATAATGTCTGAAACCATCCCATTGCGTCGATCCTTGGCTGTTGAAGGTCAAGACATCATCGAAGATACAATTCGGACTTCTGAGCACGAGATCCTGTTTGAATGGGTCGCGGTTGAAGCTCGGATGCGATGGCATGCTGAGCGGCCAGTCGAGCGAAATGCGCACTCCGGTCTGGATCTCCTTAGCTGCTTCGACGACGCGCTCGGGCGTGAGAAGATTCAATGTTCCCAGTTGATCATCTTTGCCAAATCTGCCCCAGGCGTTTCCTGCCGGGCCTGCTTTGTCTAGCGGGAGAGCCTCGAATGGGATTTCCGTCATCGTTTTGGTCAAGCTTTGCTCTGCTGAAGATCTGGGTGTAACCTTGGAAGGAATAAGAGCGAAGCCAAGACAGGAGGCTCAATGCTTCAGACCACTTTCTCGCGCGACTTCGGGGTATCTTTATGTGCTTTTCCGAGGCAGCGAACCCCTCACCTACAATGTCTCCACATCCCCGGATCTCCAGGCGGATATAAATCCGATGGCATTCAAGTTCTTTTTACTTTGCCAACGGCCTGGGATAAATGTTTATTGTATTTCACTATGGAAGGGGAGTCGACGGGACTATTTAGAAGGTGAAGTATGCGATGGTGGCCGCATATGTCGCCAGGTTATCGCTGACTTTGGCAAGCGCAACACCATCCTTGACAATCATGTATGTCGTTCCCACGGTGTTCAAGCCATACACTACCAATCCACTCGTAGAACCCTCCACACTGAAGATCATACTCTGGCAGTTCTCGGGTACAGGGAACGTGGAGCATGTGGTGCTGTAGTTGTTAAAGAAGCTGTAGAGGCCGGCGCCGTAGATGATCACGTTCTTGGAATTGAGCACCCGAAGTCCTAACGAGTTGCAATTTCCGCCGAGACAGCTACTGTAGTCTGGGTCTTTGAGTGTAGAGTTGGTAGGGTACGGACCGTTCGCTGCATTCGGGTTGGGTTGGTAGTATCTTTATGTGATCGTTAGACATAAATCCATCAAGTGAGACAGGTAACGCACGGAGTCTCCGTCTGCACAAACCCAGCCATGATTGAGCTGGCGCCTGAGAATTGGTATTGATATAGTGAGTGGTGCTCCGATCCCGTGCCGTAGCTTATGTTCATGTCAGCCATCGCGCCTGAGATTCCAAGATCGGTATGTATCCCACTTACAGCCAGACATTCTTCCCTTCCACCAAAAGGCCGCGACCCGAGTACACCGAGATCCGAGCATCAGTCGGGCTTTCAAGGTCATGGTCGGCAGTCCAGAGCCAAACGTTCTCCAAGTATACGTTGCTGGCCGAAGTAGTGATGTGCATGGACATGTAGGCAACCTGGCAGGCCGCAGATACAGCCGCCGTTGTCGGGCAATGCGCAACCTGTTGCTGGGATCCTTGGAAGCCTCCGATGCGGGTGTGGACATCCCACATACCCGATCCCACTGTTGCTGCCAGGTTCCATTCTATTAGAACGGCACCAGGTGTAGAGCCTGCAGTGCTGACGATCATGTCGGACCATTCAATTGATCCAGATTGGCCCGGTTGGCCGATTTGAATCACGGGAACTGGTCTGGTTATGCTAGACCATGTCCCTCCTGTAGCCATGATCACGGAGTAAGCCTCACCAACAATCCGAGACCCCGGGGGAACATACAGAGTCCTGGTGACTTTGTACGTTCCCTGGTCGAAGAAAAGAATTTTATTCGCCGCCGCTGCAGATGTCAAGGCTGATTGAATGGCAGTTGTATCATCGGTTGAGCCATCTCCTCTGGCTCCAGCGCTTCTGACGCTGACAAACGAGGCCACCGGCGACGCTGCGTATTGGGGCTTACTCTTGGTGTAATATCTCGTCGACCCACTAGCAAGCAAGGCGCTTGGGCGTGTTGGCGGGGTGAATGAGCCTTGGAAATTCGTGGGGCCGTTAGGGGTATACTTATGACCCTGTCCCCATGCAGCGATGGTAGATGAGCCTGTTGACCCGGCGAGAACAGTACCGCTTGCCCCCTTTACTGCGACTGGCACATTGCTCAGAGCGATGTTTTCCAAAATCATACTTCCGGTAGAGTATGTCGAGCTCTGCCAGGCAGTCGTCACAAAGGTAGGGCAATCACGAATGGTGCTGTCCAAAATGTTGACGGATCCAACTAGTTGATTTCCAACGCCACCATTGTTTATCGAGATGGCCGTCTGGCAGTTGGTGATCACTAAGTTTTGATAGGTCCAGCCCCAATTCCATATTTGGGAAATGGCTGTGACTGCATTTGAGATGACCAAGTTGCGCATTGTGAATTGCTGATTGCCAACATTGGCTCCGTACAAGCCACCGGTGATGGTGACATCGCTCATCCAACCACCGGACCCTGAAATTGCATTAGAGTGGCTCGAGTAAAGAATCACAGTATCACATACCGTTCTCAATAAAGATTCCCTGGTGCTGAGTTCCAGAAGCGGCACTCATGGCAATCTGGACATTCTGAATGCTCGAAGCTTGGCCAGTCGGCCAATGGATACCGGTAGCAGCGGTACCGGCAGGGATAGCAGTCAGGTCCAGTTTCAAATTGCGAATCTGTCTGAAGAAAACATTGGTTGATATCCATCCCTGGTTTCCATCACTCTGGTATTGGTCGCCATCAATCAGGCCGAGACCGACAAAACCTGCAGTCGCCTTTAAAACCGGTATGGCATTTGCATTGCCGACAAGCTGGGTGAAATAGAAATCAATGATCGATGTGGAGATGATATATGTTCCAGATGGGAAGTAAACAATTGCCGGTGTCGTGGTAGAGGTGTGTCTGCTCGCTGGTCCGAAACGCCCTCCAGCACTGATTGCTGCATTAATGGCCGCGGTATCGTCGGTCACACCATCGCCTACTCTCTGTCAGTAACCTCGCGCAATAAGTTTGGTTGGGAAATCACCTTTAGCGCCGTAGTCCTTGACATTGCGAAACACGTTATATCCGGAAGGGTTGGAGTTGAAAGCCGCAGTTCCTTGATGGGCTATATCCGCCAGCCAATACGCGGTGTCTGCGGCTGCAGCTTCAACGACAGCAGCCTGGACCTTTTCGGGGGCTGCTAAAACAGTGGCCACGGGTATGGCACTCTCTGCGGGAGTAGTATAGACGTACTGCTCGAAGGGGAGCATAGCAGAACTGACTAACTCATCCACATCGGCGATATCTAGTAGTTGTGCATTGACACAGACCACCAAAGGTAGGAGCTTGATAAAGGAAGTATACATGTTGCCAAACAAGCACCCAGTGCAAGCCAGCAAGAGTCGTACGGGCCAACAGAGCGTGGGGGACTGGGGACCACATGGCTTATGTAGATCCCTTCGAGGCGACCAAACTCAATCGGCCCCATGGCGCATGACAATGAAGGGGTGAAGTCGTGCAGCCGCAGCTGCATCTGCATCCTTGGCTAAAAATGCAAATCAGCAATGATCCCACCCCGAAATACTACGCAAGACGGGGAAACCAGTCGGGGAAATAGATCGCAAGCCAGTGGCTCAATATCAGGGTATGCATTAGCGATGTGCTTCGTCAAAAGTGCTCTGCCACTCATTCAGATGATCACGCAGGACCTGTCACCTCATGATGAAGTGGAAATGAGCATGGGAATGACTGCTGATCTTTCCCCACCAGAGGTCGAGCTCCCAGTCTATAGCAGCGGCCCAGGTGGAAGCCCACCAATAACGAATCGTGCCTGGCCACTTCGCATTGTGCAGAAGATCAAGCTACATTTTGTGTTCGGAGGCGGTCCGGAATAGGAATGGAATGTGACTAGCAGAATTTGAGGCTTTTCAAGGGTATGTGACTCAGGGGCCAGTGTGATGGATAGCATGTAGCCGTGTCCCAGCACTCTCCACGCCACGGCCACTTCATAGTACATCTTGTACCCCGAAACTTTCCTAGGCAAATCTACCAAATCCACAGTGGATACTCCGTAGTCGCAAAGTAACTAGGTCATTAGGTTGGAGGTCAGAAGATCCGTCTAGCGCCTCTGCGGGGGAAAAGCCTGCCCTGGATATATTGGCATCTTGTCACACGGCACCTTGCTCCCTAGACGGAAACGTTGTCACACCCTTGGGTCTTCTATTCAATGTCGACCTGTCACAGGCCCTCCAGTCAAGTCTCGAATTTTGACTTGGGAAGGCAATTTGTACCGAATCGGACTCGTCTGCCAACGAGCGGGCCGCGAGGGTACCTGAATCCGCAAGTTAAAGAGCTCAGCCAACCGCAGACACAGATGATTCACGTGATTCTGAGTGATTCTAGTTCCAAGGTTTATTTGCTGTGTCCTGTGCTGTCAGCATGGAGTGGGCAGCACTCTGTCATCCATGCCGAGTAGACTTGAGGTCGAGCACCATAATGCGGGCTGCTGACAATCCTGGAAGTTCCATTTGCAGTGGAATTCTGCCGAGTTTTGGCACTTGAAACGGCTCCAGTTGACAGCCGCGAGGATTGCCTTGGATATGCCTATAGGGGTTCAATAGTCTGCGCCATCCCCTTCGCGGGCCAAACAATAGAGTCCCGAGCATCGTAGTGCCAAGACAACCCACGTGACTGCATTTTTTCCCTCTTCCGCCTTGGATGTCTGGCTGCGAAAGAAAAAAAAAAAAAAACAAGTGACACCCTTTTTCGTGGGCAGGGCATCTCAAAGGCCGATTCATCATATCAAGGGTAGACTTTTATCCTTGATTCGCCTTCATTTCATTTTCCACGGTGACAGCTCACCGCGTGACCAGCTCTCAGTTCTCAGCGCGCCGGATCGCGAACGTGCCACGGAAGCGCGGGCACCGTACGACGATCTCATAAAGCGAAAGAGGCATTCGATCTTGTCCTCGCAGTGGAGACAGGTGCAACTCCCGTTGTTTCCTATCCAACTTGGCGCAGAGTGGGAAGGAACCAGGCGCAACAAAGCTCCGTGTTTCTATCGCAACGGGGAACAGCCTTGAGACGCCTGTTGTTATTTATACATAGCGTCATCATCTCCCTTCGGAACCGCCATCGACTCCTACAGATAGCTCCTTCGGTCGATCTCACAGCTCTCGGTCGTTACCCATAAGCCCAACATGCAGAAACGCGCAGCTTTTGGCGACCAAGGGTCCAAGGATGGCGACGGTGGCTTCGGGCAAGGTACCCCAGATGACAAACCTCACCGGGCGACTGCGGCTCAGCTCGCCAGTAGAAAGTAAGTGTCTTTGGAGGACAGTGACGGAAACACAGGCTGACCGGTGCTTTTGATGGTACCTCTAGAATCAAGGACGTCCGCAGACGTCGAGCTCCTACACCTACAACCGGTGGTGGCTCGGATACACCCTCTTTCAACCCCTTCGCGGGCACAGCAGCTCCGGCCGCAAACCCCGCTCCTCCCTCCACTGGGTTTACATTCGGGCAAACACAGAATCAGAGTCAAAGCTTCCCTGGTGCGAGCTCAGGAGCCGGCCAGGGTGGAATGTTCTCATCCGGCACAAATGGACAAGCAGGAGGTCAGCCATCATTCAACTTCGGCGGCAGTTCAACCTCTTTCGGGGCTCAGCCGGCAAGCAACCCGTTCTCTATAAACACCTCTTTCGGCGGAAACACTCAGCCAGCTACCAATGGGTTCAGCTTTGGGGGATTCAATGCCGGAGGCTCTGGAAACCAAGCGACCCCGACTCCAGCCCCAGCTCCGGCACCGACGTTCGGTGGGTTCGGTGCCCAGCAAAACACAAGCACACCCGGCTCCGGCTTGTTCGGACAATCTACCTCACACATTACTTCACCCGGCGATGAAAGCATGCAGACTTCACCAGATACGAAGCCCAAGGCGGACTCAGGACTTGGGACCAAGCCAGCGATTGGAGGATCTCCACTTGCCAATCCTTTCTCAAGCTTGTCCGGTCAGACAGCCAGCAACCCCTTCGCGCCAAAGCCCGCTGCCACCAGTGAAACCCCCAAGCCCGCATTCAAGCCTCTCTTCGGCGCGGCTGCGGAGTCGAAGCCGGAAGAAGCTAAGGCACAGCCAGCTGCCAGCAACCTATTTGCGCCCAAGCCTGCCTCGGATGCACCTGCAAGTAATCCATTCGCGAGCCTGTCAGGACAGACTGCAGGTGCGAGCAACCTTTTTGCGCCGAAGCCATCAACAGAACAAACCCCCGCGAAGCCCGCGGAGGCGGCAAAGCCCTTCGGCAGTCTATTTGGATCGACTACAACTCCCAAGCCGGCAGAGCCTGCCAGCAATCTGTTTGCGCCTGCATCGGCGACAGACACACCAAAGGCAAGCAATCCGTTCGCCAGCCTGTCCACGCCGAAGGTTCCCGAGACCGAGGGAGCTGCAAAGGCCACCGAGGCCAAACCCTTCAATTTCTCGTTTGGTACCCCCGCGCCCTCGAAGACGCCTGATGCCGAAAGTAGTTCGAGTGCCACACCCGCGTTCGGTAACATGTTTGCGACGCCCAAGCCAGCCGGGGAAGATACGAACTCTAAGCCTGCAGCCGATCCACAGCCATTCAAATCCCTGTTTGGAACACCCGCACCATCAAAATCTACTGAGTCTAAGCAAGATCAGAGCGCTACTCCCGCGTTCGGTAACATGTTTGCGACTCCCAAGCCAGCCACTGAGAATGCGGCTCCCAAACCCGCTGAGTCTGAACCCTTCAAACCTCTATTCGGAGCGTCAGCAACCCCGAAGCCAGCCGAGACTAAGGAAGAAAAGACCTCTGAGCCTGCAAAGCCTCAGTCATCAGGATCATTGTTCGGTGCCTCTCCTGCCCCAGCGAAATCCGGGGAGGAAGGCCCGGCTCCTACGCCTAGCAATCCATTCGCAAGCCTGTCGGGACAAAGCTCGTTCAGCAGTCCATTTGGGTCCAAGGCAACAGAGCAGACGACCCCGGCACAGCCTACGGCATCTTTGTTTGGAGCCAGTACATCGTCGAAGTCTGAAAAGGAACCAGCTCCTGCAGTGCAAAACAACAGTAGCACTTTCCAAAACCCGTTCTCCGGGGTTCCCCAAAATACAGGAAAGAGCACCGACGCGACACACGCGCCTCCAAGTGCTCCTACAGAGCTGAAGAGTTGTTTACGTCCTTCTTCTTCTTCTTCTTCCACTCCCCCACCTTCCTCCACTCCTGCAGTTTATCCTTACGAGGTTTCCAACACTCTCACTGCTCAGAAAGCCGACGGTCTTTTCCCCAACTCTACTACTGATCAGACCAAGATGTCTATCGACAACGGTGCCGACAGTGCCCAGGACCCTAAGACTGTGTACATGAAAATTGCGATGCTCACAGCTGCTTTCAAGGCACACGTGGCAGAGTGTGATCCATACACTGACGACATCGACGAATCCATCATTATGTATGCTGAGCTCCGCCGAGAGCTCGGAGTTCCCATTGGAGCGATCGCCCCCGAGGAAGAGGAGGCACGCGCCGGACTCGACATGTCAGACGCTGATGAAGCCGGTTCTGCCAACGAGGCTACTGGCGATGCTCAAGCTTCTCCTCCATCTTTCGACTCCCCTGCCCCCGCCGCTAAGCCATCCTCCGGTGCTTCTGACACGGTCAACAAGTTCAAACAGTCCTTCTCGGCTCCTGGTGGCCCTGCATCCCCTGCCCCCATTGGATCGTCTACTCCCGCTTCGACCCCTGCCGCTCCGCTGTCATTCACCCCCGCCGGTGCTCCTCCCACGAAAGCCGTTCCTACTCCCGCTGCCACTGTTGCTGAGTCGTCTGGTTCAACTCCTGCGGCTCCTGCTTTCGCCATTCCCAAGTTTGGTGGCGCTTCTGCAACCCCCATCTCTAGTGCACCTGCGCCTGCGTTTACCGCTCCCAAGTTCGGTGGCGGTTCTGCGACCCCTATCTCTAGCGCCCCTGCGCCTGCGTTCTCCATTCCTCAATTCGGCGGCGGCTCAGCTAGTGGGACTGACATGATGGCTCAGTTCAAGCTCAAGGCCGAGAAGTCTGCGGCTGAGGAAAAGGCCAAGAGAAAGGCCGAGGACTTCGATTCGGAGGATGATGATGAAGAAGAATGGGAGAGAAAGTATGCCGAGGAGCAGCGTGCTAAGCGTGCCAAACACGAGCAGGCGGCCGCGAACCGCCCTGTCTTTGTTCCCGGCCAAGGTTTCAAGTTTGGCAACGCTGAGACTGCCTCGGCTACCACCGAGTCCGCTACTGAGACATCTGTTTCAGTGGGTGCCAGCACCTCGAGCAGCTTCCCCCCTCCGTCCAAACCCCTCTTCGGTGCCAGCACTACATCATCAAGCTTCGGGGGCTTCAGCGCTCCGCCTGCATCTGCACCTCTCGCTGGTGACAAGCCTTCCGCTACATCCACCTCTCTCTTCTCCACAAGTTCAGCCCCATCCTCGACTTCTGCCGTTTTCGGGACTTCGCAGCCAATTCCATCCTCGCAAAACATCTTCGGTGGTCTCAAGCCATCCCAGCCCAAACGGAAGTCCTCCGTCGACGCCAGCGACGATGAGGCTGAATCCTCTCCCAGGAAGAAGCAGGCCTCGCCTCCCGCTTCTACCGGCGGTCTCTTTGGGCGTGTTTCAAACCCGACTACACCCTCACTGACACCTCCTGCCACCAACCCATTCGGCGCGCCTCCTGTTGCGGAAGCACCCAAGGCCCCCTCTGCTCAGACTGCCCCTGCTACCAGTCCTTTCGGTGCATCACTTGGCTCTGGCACACCCAAAAGTGCCCCTGTCGAGGCCACCTCCGCTCCCTCCGCTCCATCAGCCTCAACTGCTGCTGGTGCCGAAGATGGTGAAGGGGAGCCTGGAGAGATTTTCGACCTTGCCAAGGGTAACGTCGGTGAAGAGGATGAGACTGTCGTTCATGAACAACGATCTCGCACCTTCAAGCTCGACAAGGGCTCCTGGGTGCCTCAAGGCGTTGGCATCCTCCGCCTTCTGAAGCACCCCGAAACTGGCCGGTCTCGCATGGTCATCCGTGGCGACCCTAGTGGTAATGTCATTCTGAACACGCTTCTGAAAAAGGAGCTTGACTACAACCTCGGCTCCCTCAGTATTCAGCTCATGGTCCCCGGGGAAGATGGAGTCGTGACCCAATACGCGGTTCGCGTTAAAAAGGAACACCTGCAGGGTCTGTTTGACAAGATTCAAGGGATCAGGTATTAAATTTACTACAACATCTTGTTTATCCTTATTGTCCTGGAAGGGAGTGTATGTTTATGTCCTAGCGCATTGCCCCGGTTTGCATCTGTTTCTCGTCATTCGGTTCTTGTCTTGATCCCCTGTTCTACCTCGATTTTTGCTCTTGTTGGCCCGGCTTATGCCATGGGCTAGCTTTGAGTCTTTTCGAGCTCGCATTTCTTCGATATGTCGCATCTTCGACCAAATCTGGCCCAGCCTACGCCATGGGCTACATTTGCGCCTCGATGCAAAATTCTTCGACTATTTTTTTTTTTTCTCAGCTGTGCTACATTTCTGACCCAGTTCAGAGCTTGGGTCTCATTTGGAAGCACGTTGATTTTCATTGTTTCTGTTCCATTTCAATTTCCCTCCCATCCATGGTTTTTCGGCTTTGGCATTGGAAGAGCCCGGTGTTTCACCATGGGCACTTTCTTTGCTCGGCGCCGCGACTCCACGGCTTCGATTGTTTTGTCTTTTCCCCTTCTTTGACTGGCTGTTAGGGCACCGGAGTCTTTAATCTGTTTCAAAATTTGTTTCGATCTCTGCACTATCAGCATATGGGGTCTCGTCACTCTGGCATTGAATGTATTTTAAGTCATGAAAATTAAATATCTGCCCACTCCAATTCCCTCTAGACGTGTCCAGAGGATGCAAGCGAAGAGAGGCTATTTTTGGCCCCATCGGAGAAATCGGCCAGGGGCTCAATAGGCCCTGTCAGACCCTGTGAAAAGTCAGCCTCAATTTCAAGGTTTAAGCTAAAATGCCCCTATAAACCATGGCCTTTCTCGTTGGATTTCCCTTTTCCCTACTCTCCCGCATTCACAGTCACTCTTTTACCCAATGAAGCCCTCCACGCTCTCTTTTTTCCTCGGGCTCAGCCTATCCAGCCTGGCCAGTGCTCGCACAGACCTGGACGGCTGCGTGTCTACCGAAGTAGTCATCAACTACGGAGCAAGCTACCTCTGGTACGTGCCCGGCACCGGCGAAATCTGCACGTTCCTCGACTGCGGCGGCGGCCGTGCTCCCCCGAAAACCAACCAGCCCGGCTGTCCTCTATACTCCGGCACTGCAACAGTCACGGCAAGCTACATCGAGGGCTACGGGCCCAATGGCAAGCAGGCTGCCTCCACAACTACGGCCGAGGCTACTACTTCCACTGAAGCTGTGGAGACCTCCAACTCTGCTGGGGGAGCTTCATCTGCCGGGTCTGATTCCGCCTCGGCTTCGACGGCGGCTACGGCTACGGACTCGAGTGCTAGTTTGATTACTGCTGCTCCGACTAGCTCGCCTGCTGTCTCTATGACTACTACGATGTCTCCTTCGGTCTCTGGTGACTCCACTGCGGCGAGCAGTACCCCAACCGACAATGCCGCTCATACTGCCGGGGCTAATGTTGGTGTTGCGGCTTTGATGGCTATGGTGGCTATGGCTCTGTAATTTGGACTTTGTATAATGGATGTGACAATATTTGAACATGTTTGATGGAGCTATACTCGAGAAGAGGCTTGAATACCTAGTATGAAGCTTCTTCAAAAAAGACAGAAAGAAAAATTCCTTGTACAATAAATTCAGTCACTCCTATTCCCACTGTACGAAATGCCTAGTTAATACATGATCTGTCATTCGAAGGTCGACATGCCCTATGCACATGCGTGATCGCTGTGGAGCGGACTCCGCTCGCGTGATGCTCTCCGAACTACATGCAGATGCCGAGATAGTGGATCATGTCTCTCGGCTTTGATCTCAGATTGATTCAAGGTTGTCAGACATGAGATGGAGAATACTACCTATGTAGTATTGTTAGTCGACATGGAGTGTTTACAAAGTACAGTATTGATATAGTGTGAAGAGACCAATCACAGCCAACAAGGTCTGATAAGCCGTCTAGTTAACAGTGTGTACAGAGTATACATCCGGTATATCCGGCAGTGTACGAAGTAGTAGTCCGTAGATGGTTTATTTAGAGTAGAATATAATCAGATCCCCTACAGATATAAATTGCAGATATAATTCGATTAACGGTGTCACCTTGCGCAAAACTGGTTGTCGACATCATAGCTGTTTTTGCCTTGCTCGGGCTTGGCAATCGTGAACGCACATGCTCTTCCCCCTTTCCCCTCGACACTCGGACTTTGACGACTTTCTCATTTTCATCTCTCACTCTTCTCTTTGATCGTCTCTCCTTCTCACCATGGCTTCTGGTGATGTGAACTACCCCAACACGGGCAGTAAGGTAGAATAACCCCGACATTCTTTGCCGAAACACCCACTAACGAGCAATGCAGTACTCTGGACTTTTTTCTCCGTTTTCTTCGTGGCATTGTGATGGCAGAGACTGATTTGGACCCCTCGCACGCGCAGGCATCAGTGATGTTGTGACCAAGGGTAAGCAGAATCTCGCACAAGAAGCTGGAAACCCCTCACTAACAGCAATTTCCACAGGTCCCCTCGTCGACAACGTGAAATCCGAAGCTTCCCGCACCGGCAACGAGCTCCGGGACCTGTCCAACGCCCGTGTGACCCCCTCAACCACCACCGCCGATGGCCAGCCTTTGACCCGTATGTTATGAGACAAGAGCGCATCGGATGAGCTGCTGATTTTCCCAGATTACCACTCTCTTCTGTACAGCCTTCTGAGTGTGAGTGGCTCTCCGTCAACGTCCGGTTCCTTTCTGACTTTCTACCATAGTGGGAGCAACCCCGCGCGACCGCGGTTTCCTACGCCAGCGTGATCAGCTTCATCTTCGCCGCTCGCTACCTGCCTCTTCTCCGCTGGGTCTTCAAGTTCCTGTACATGTCTTTGGGGGGTGAGTGTGGTCGCGTGACATCAGTTGAGGGGATCTTGGTGGGCTGACCATTTGTGTGCAGCAACTGCCGCCGTTGAAATTGCCGGTCATGTCGTTCTCAAGCGCGGTATCGCCAGTGGATTCCGTCCTCGTCGCTATTACACCATCCCCAAGGAGACCGTTGAAGCTGTGCTCGAGGACCTCGAGCAGCTGGTGGACTTTTTCCTGATCGAGTTCCAGCGTATTTTGTTTGCCGAGAACGTTCTCCACACTATCCTGGTACGTTTCAATCTGCGGGAATGAGGTCGAGCTACAGACTTACCATATTTCAGGCTTTCACTGCTGCCTTCACTGGCTACTGGCTGATCCGCTTCGTCCCCTTCTGGGGCTTGGCCGTCATTGCCGTGACCACCACATACTTCGCTCCCCTCGTCTACATCAGCAACCGCGAGATCATCGATGAGCAGATCGTCAACGTGCAGGAAATCATCAATGACCAGACCAACCAACTGTGTGATCTGGCAGGTGAGCGCACCTCCCAGGCCACCGGCCTGATGAAGCAGTATGTCGGCGAGTACAGCTCCAAGGCCCAGGGATACATTGGTTCTCGCCGCTCCACCTCCCCCGAGGTCACCAAGGTTGTCAGCCCCATCAAGCACGAGGTCATTAGCGAGTCTGCCAAGACCGAGCCCTTGGAGAGCTTCACTGCCCCTGTTGCCGAGACTGTTCCCGCTATCAAGACCGAGGACTTCCCCGAAGCTCCCCAGGCGGCCCCCGTTGCTCAGAATCTCGACTCTGACATCGTTGCCTCCATCGAGCCCGCGGAGCAGGCTGGTGACCGTGAGCCCCTGGTTGCCATCTAAGCAATCACACTATCAGATCCAGTTGATAGGGTTTTGAGTGGCCTCACCTGGCCATCACGAACTCTGCAATGATGGATTTTGTTATTCTGGTCATGAATTTACTGGATACGCAGAGCGGCACGCAAGCTTGGGGCTTTGGGCTTATCTTTTGACAATCCCTTCCATTGGGCTATTCCCAAACAAGTCAAGTCGTGTCGCCGACGAACAAAAATTATGCAAGATTCTTGAGCGATTAGCGTTCATATTTCATGTATTCCCTTACCCTTTTTTCTCTTCACTTTCTTCCCTGTCGTCACTTGCTTCACCTTCACCTTCCTCGGGCTTTTTTTTTTCCCTGTCTATTCTTTTATCAACGCGCTTTGTCTACGTTTTTCTCGAATGCCTCTGTGCAGCTTAATATCTTTGGTATTTCAGAATCATCGTCATCTATCATGGATGGGATATCCTTTCCTAAACCCGGTAGCTATACGGTTCATAAACAGGAGGTATCTCGCCGAAAGGGAACAGAAGATCCAATGGCGTATTCATCATAAGCTCGTAATCCATGTTTACCGTACTCGACGGTGACGTCTGTTCCAGAGCATCCTTTCTCCGCTGGTGCATCGCCTTCAACATCTGTCCTCTCGCGGCCATTCTCCCATAGATCTCGGGGATCTGGTTACCATCTGGATATTCCCGCAAGGTCTGTTGAAAGTGTGGCCGGGATTCCTCCAGCTTGGCAAGCAACTGGTCGATGATTTGATTGAAGTCTATCGTGCTTTCGACGTATGTCCGATCCCACCCACTGTGATTATAAAGCGAAAGCTGGGATAGAGTGACGATAGCCTTTCCGAACTGACATATTATGGTAAAGGGGACATAGGGAAAGAAGGTGGAGGGGAGGGCGCTAAAGTTCCTGAAGAATGAGGTCGTTGATTCCAGACAGCGGTATAGCAGGTCTAACCGCATGAGTGGATGATCGCCGTAGTTGGACTCGGATGAGTCCTGGTTCAGAGCAACTCGGTAGAGATGTATTTCCAGCGTGTCGTAGTGGGTTAATAAGATTGCTGTAGTGGGTGTTAGGTGGTTCAAGGTTGCAATACCAGGCTTGATGAACTGACCGCTCTGCGATGGGTCGCCTGTCATGCGAGCTTTCAGCTCTTTTAGTTCGGCTTCTAGCCATCGGATGCTTAATCCAATAGGTGGTGATGAGACGGGCGAGGAGTGAAGGTCGGTGCGGTAGAGTGTACAGTGGATTCTTTCCGCGAGGTTCATCACTCGGACTAATTGTACCAGGTGGGCATCGACGGGGTTTTCTGCCGCCTGCTCAAGAACCTTGCAACACTCTTCGGTGTATTTGGTGAAGCGAATGATGGGTCCGAGATCTTTCACGCATGTGGAAAGCCTGTGCTCTGTTAGTCACGAAAGTAGCATTGGGGTCGGGTCGTTTACATCGTGGTCAGGTAGTAACACCCTAGATAAGTTCGTCGTTCCTCCAAGGTCCGAACGGGACTGTGCGAGGGTTCTTGTAATGATTCCTTCAAATAGGTCATGGGGTAATTAAGGCTTTTTTGATATGTCAACTCTTGGTTTAGCCCCAGGCTGAGCGATTGGGCTACAAGTAGATGCACAAAGGCATCGAATTGTGAGGTGCTTCGAATGATAGACTGGGGCTCCATCTCGGCTTTGAGGGTAGTATCGCCGGGGCCTGTGGGTATAGATGTAGCGGGTGGCGGACAGCGACTGACAGATGTGAACCAAGCTGCATTGACCAGAAGTCCTTGGAGGAGATCTAGGCTCTGTTCCCCTTTCATGACAATATGCTCTGCCACATATCTCTGGACTGCTTGCACAATTTCTCTTTGTCGAATAGAGCTTTCGCAAACAACCATTGAGATGTTCATGAAGAGGAAGGGTTTCTCTCGGCGCAGTTCCTGTGCGGTGACCCCGGGGGGAATCACCAGGAAAGGGAAAAGGAGCAGCATCTGTTTCCTGAACACATCCAAGACTTTGTTCTCATCAAGGTCGGTGGCAATGACTCTCTCTTCAATCGCCGGTGATGAACTTGCAGTTGTCCCGTCTAGGTGTTCTGCATTTCTTTTCGAGGCAGCCAACATGTCAACCATTCGATCTAATTTGGCCTCGAGTGCAGCAATCTCTCTATATGATTCATCAGTATACATGACATTCATGGGGTGCAATATGACCTCCGAGGTCGGGACGATCCATAGATATAGAAATTCACTTACGAACTACTCGTCCCGGATTTCCTTGGGCGCCGGTGAGCCCCAGGCGTTTGGTTACCACATTCTTTGCCCAGACGGAAGCACCTGCATATAATCAATAAAAGGTCTTGAAGGAATTTCGATATATTCACCTTTTGCAGGGGCCATCATCTTCGGGCAAACATCGCACCTTAGCCTTGGCACAAGTCATACATGCCTTCGGATGCCGCGTACTGACACTCTCCATGATGACAGGTCTTGGCACTTTAGCCTTGTATCACTCGGGTCGGTTTGCCGACGTGCAGTACGAATAGCAGTGGATTCGAGTCCACTCCGAGAGAGAGAGAGAATGGAGCGGAGGCGGAAGTCCGCTCCAATCCGCCCCCAACTACCTAGGTATCATGTGATCTCATACCCAGCCCTGAGATCCTTGCGATATCACGGTGAAATAACTAGAAAAACTTTCATAACACCTAGGTAGACTATCTATCTGACTGTTTATCTTGGTGGTTGGGTGGTTCATCTACATAGGGTGAACTTGGGTAGCCTACCTACTCTGAGCTTCACAAGATATATAGCAACAATACCGTTTATATGTCGGGACTTGCAAGGTCATTTGAGGTTCCATAAAACGTGAGATTATATGCTTTACTGTAAGCACGAACCCCCATTCTTGCAGTTTTAGTATTTATTTCGAGAACACTCCAACCTCAATGACAGCAAGAGACGAGTGGATTATTCCATGCAAATTGTTCCATATCTACTCAACTTCGGACTAAATACCTTCACGAGGCGGACTGTTTTCTTTGAAAATAACTCCTAAACGCAAGTATTACCCCGAAAAGATAAGCCAGACAGCAATCTCGCACAATCCAGCGAAAGATGTTGCAAGACGGAGTACACAGGGCTTATCGGCGAGTTGACCGTCCCCGCAATTGGTTACTCCGATGACCTACTCCGACGACCCCAATTCCCCTCTCAACTTCTTCACATCCTCAACCATGGCGACCTTTTTGAAGAAACCTCTGAAATTGGCTCTTGTGCAGCTCGCATCGGGTATGAATACCTCCAGTGCCCTTCTCTTCCAAGGTTGTTAACACCATCTAGGAGCCGATAAGACCGTGAACCTCTCCCATGCCCGGAGCAAGGTCCTCGAAGCTGCAAAGGCTGGAGCACGATTGATCGTGCTCCCAGAGTGCTTCAACTCTCCTTACGGAACCGGCTTCTTCCCTAAATACGCAGAGACCCTCAACCCCTCACCACCCACCCAAGAACAATCGCCATCCTTCCATGCGCTGTCGGCCATCGCCGCAGAGGCCAATGCATACCTTGTCGGTGGAAGTATTCCCGAGTTGGAAACGTCCACGAAGAAATACTACAACACCTCGCTGGTGTTCTCCCCAACCGGCGAGTTGATCGGCACCCACCGCAAAACACACCTCTTCGACATCGATATTCCCGGCAAGATCCAATTCAAGGAGAGCGATGTGCTCACGCCGGGTGATCAGCTGACAGTCATTGATCTTCCGGAGTACGGAAAGATTGGCCTGGCCATCTGCTACGACATTCGATTCCCCGAGGCGGCGATGATCGCCGCTCGCAAGGGTGCGTTCTTGCTGGTCTACCCGGGCGCGTTCAACACCACCACCGGTCCTCTGCATTGGTCACTCCTTGGTCGCGCTCGCGCCGTTGACAACCAAGCCTACGTGGCCCTGTGCAGCCCGGCGCGTGACGTGGAAGCCTCGTACCATGCCTATGGCCACAGCTTGATCGTTGATCCCAGCGCAAAGGTCCTGACGGAGGCTGAAGAGCAAGAGACCATTGTTTACTCCGATTTGGATAACGATACCATTGCAAGCATCCGCAGTGGAATCCCGATCTATACCCAGCGCCGATTCGATCTGTACCCTGATGTGAGTGCGGGTAAGGAATAGAGGGGATACACTAGACACAACATCATTGCCATATATAGAGTGTAGGCTATAGGCCAAGAGCCTATCTCTTACAATGTTCAACAATGAGGATCGTGATTTCTATAAACCATACTCCGTATTCGTACAAAATGCGAAATTAAGGTCGTGTTGGCCTGAGGCAACGAGCATGACATCCTCTGCGATTCGTCAAGTGACCGCCCCACCTTCACCAATCAGAGTCCCCACCGGCAAGCGAGACCACACTGAATTTCGCACCAAAGTCGACCATCTCGAATTTCCCTTCTGAACATTCGACCACTTCCGCCCACCGTCGACCACCCCATTCAGTCAGTCTCCCTCATAATATCTTCAATTTCTCCCCTAACCTCCTCTGCAGAGATGTCCAACGTCAAGACCGGCAACAAGCGCTCGGCTATCGCCGACGTGGTGTCCCGCGAGTACACCATCAACCTGCACAAGCGCGTATGTTGAACACTCCCCCCTTCCCAGTCTACCTGCGACGATTCGAATATACGAAGAGTTCTGGAGGCATATTGGACAGAGAACAAGAATACTTTTCCAGATGGAATTTGTTACGGAGAAGAATGTGTGCGGCACGTGTGCGTCGGGTTTGTGGAAACCCACCTCCCACCACACTGCCACTATTGCCATGACCTACAGAGAAATCTGAAGCGAGCGCCAGCGCTTTTATCTGTTGTTGCAGATAGAGACGAGGAACGGGGACTTGAAAAAGCCCTTTTTCGCATCCACACATCCGAACCCGGAACACAAAAGAAGAATTAGTTTTATGAAGTCCACTATGGCCGAAAGACCACAAACATTCATCGCGCAGAGTTTTCTCTTGCAGATGGCATTCGGGCGGAAGACTGATTGTAACTTCTTTTCCGGAAATATAGTGCCACGGCGTCAGCTTCAAGAAGCGTGCTCCCAAGGCCATCAAGGAGATCCGTGCCTTCGCTGAGCAGGCTATGGTAAGTTCCAGCGATTCCTACCGCGGTGATGGGCGTGACTAACGAATTCAACAGGGCACCAAGGACGTCCGTGTCGACCCCCAGCTCAACAAGAAGGTCTGGGAAGCCGGTATCAAGGGTGTCCCCTTCCGTCTCCGTGTCCGCATCTCCCGCAAGCGTAACGACGAGGAGAACGCCAAGGAGCGCCTCTACTCCCACGTCCAGGCCGTCAACGTCAAGGACCCCAAGGGCCTGCACACCACCACCGTCGATGACGCTTAAGCGTGTCGTTTTCTGTGTTGCATCTATGATTCCATGTTCCCAGCTGGGGTTTGGTCCGGGTTTTACAAAATAAAAATACCTTTTCCCTTTGGGGCATCCTTACGAATTTCTTACTGTAATATGAATGGACAGGGGCAACCTGCATGATCCTTGATGGTACTCCAGAGCATACTTTGGTAGTGATTTCCAGCGTAGTCCTAGACTGGGGATTCTGCCTAGCAGCTCATGGGATCGCGGGCATCTCTTAACTTGCAATTGGCCTTCATACTTGGAGCCAGCCAGCTGCCAGGTTCGGGCTATATCTATATAGATGCCTCAGGTTGAATGTCCACTCATCTTGGAAGTCAGCCCTGGAGTGACTATTAAGAAACATTCTGTTGGTCTCTACATGCTGTCTGATTCTTGACTAGTCAAAGTCTACGTTCACTTTGAAGAATCCCATTGTAACTGAACATATAGAACCCTATGTCATTCCGTAACTGAGACGAAATTATGGCCAAAGTTGGACAGACTTCATCCCTCATACAGTACAACAGCTATCGATTGTGACACCCGAATAAAAATAGTTCATTTACTATATTCTTTGCTTGACTTCAACTCTAAAGACAACAGACTAAGAATCGAAGAGCGTCGAAGACGACAAGGCGGTGAGCAAGCTTGGTGAACTGCCGTACATCATATCAGCTCTCTCCGGTCCGACAACCATCAACATTTCCAATTCTCGTCAAATCCCCTACGTTGTTCCATCATTCCGATAATCCGACTCTTCTCCTGTGGTTCCGCATCCCGCGACTCCTAATCCTCCACCATGGAGTCCAAGATTCCTGATTTCCTCGCCGAGCAGCAAGCACAAGGAAGCGCAGAGACGCAACCCTACTTCCTCACGTTCGAAGATTACTGGGAGCGTAAACTATGGCATCAGCTTACAGACTCGTTGGTTGAGTTCTTCCGCTTGCCAGAGAGTGCTCCGCACCGCTTAGCTTTCTTTAAGACCTTCGTGCTCAGCTTCGCCGACCGGATCAACCAGCTCAAGTTCGTGTCGCTGGGTCTGATGGCAGCAACAGAATGTGGAGGTTGGTTTACCCTGAGCCCGCACAGGAGGTTGCAAACAACCGCTGCCTCCAGGATTCCAACTCGATGTATACTTACCTTTCCCCTCTTTAGATGACCAAGAACGACTGGGATTCCTCACCTCTCTCGCCGACAAGGTGGACACAGCCGATACACAGGACGCATACGTCTACGCCCTCGGTGACGTGGCGAACGTGAAGCTGTCGTTGAAGGATCTCGAAGGAGCGCAGAAGGACCTGGCCACCTGCCAGCGGGTGCTGGACACCTTTGACTCCGTTGAGACCGTAGTGCACGCATCATTCTACCGAGTGAACGCAGACTACTATCACGTATGTACCCCAAATCTTCCAAGGATCACATTCGATCAATCTGACGCAACCTCAGTCCAAGCAAGAATTCGCCTCCTTCTACAAAAACGCCCTCCTCTACCTCGCCTGCATTGACCTGGAAGAGCTCTCCGAGACCGAGCGCGCATCGCGCGCCTATAACCTCAGCGTCGCAGCCCTGGTATCAGACACGATCTACAACTTCGGCGAGCTGCTCCTGCACCCCATTCTGGATTCGTTGAACCAGACCCCACACAACTGGCTCCGCGAGCTTCTCTTCGCGTTCAACCGCGGCGACCTGACTGCCTACGATGTGCTGGCCGGCAACGTCAGCAAGAACAAGCTGTTGGAGTCGCACCGCCAGTTCCTGTACCAGAAGATCTCCCTGTCAGCGCTGACTGAGATGGTCTTCCGTCGTCCCCCTCATGACCGCTCTCTCTCCTTCCAGGCCATTGCGTCTGAAACCAAGGTGCAACCCGATGAGATCGAGCACCTTGTGATGAAGGCTTTGTCTCTGGGCTTGCTGCGTGGGTCAATTGACCAGGTTGCTCAGGTTGCCCAGATTCACTGGGTCCAGCCCAAGGTCCTTGATATGAAGCAGATTGATGGCATGCGCAACCGTCTTAAGGACTGGGATGCCGGTGTCAACCAGCTCGGTCATTGGATTGAGGGAGCTGGTAAGGATGTCTGGGCTGCATAGATTATTCTCTCTGTTTGGGCTACTTCTACTATAATGAATACATGGTGTGGTCACCGTTGTCATGACTGCTTGACCGTTTGAAATATCTACTTACAATACGAAGCGAAAGTAACCCTTATGTGACTTCCGATTCACGTTCTGGTGCACCCTAGCCCTCATTCTCTCCAATTTAAAGAGGTTTAAAGAATAATTAGAATCACACCCTCCCAAAAAGTTGATTACAAGTAAACGGCCACCGCAACCTTGGAACTGAACATTAACGAGGCACCAAGCCTCTGCCCTTGTCTGATTTCAATCTAAGGCCATAACCACACCCAAGGCTTGATCGTCACCCAAAAACCTCAATCATAAGGAATATGAACGCATCCAAAAGAGACAAACTTAGGCGGATCGAACTTGTCCCTGTTGCGACAGCCCTCAGAACCATAAGACTGGGCATAGTGATCAAAGCAATCACAGTTGTAGGCATCGTAAATCGTACAGTAGGCATTCCTGAGAACCCACGACTGTGGTTTGTCCAGCGTGCCAACTTCACAGGGAGCCCATTTGAGTCCACCCTCCGTCCACCATCTACAAGTCACGTTTGTTTCGGTGAGCTCGCTGTTCAACCCTTCTTTCCTGTTCAGACATCGCTCCCGCTTGCCAGAGGGCGTCTCGTCATTATATCCGGACAAGGTGTAGTAGTCTCCTTCGCAGTCCTTCTCACTATACCATATCACCTCCCATGGTTCTTTCCATCCGTCGATCTCAAGATTACCTTCCCATGGCTTATCGGTGTTTTTGAAATAGCCGTCATCGGACGTCGTCGTGGGCTTCGAGGTTGTGGACGTTGTTTGAGGTTTGTCTTTCGGTTCAGATTGCTTAGTCTGGGCTTTAGGTTCCGACTCAGGCTGTACTGCTACAGCTGCTTGATCGGGCTGTGTCGCAAGGGTAGTGGCTTGTGCAGTCTCAGTGGCAGCACTGACCGTAGCCGTCACTCCAGCGGGAGGTTTACGAGCTTTCGTATCACAGAATTCTGCACCTGTGCCGCATTGACCCCATGTAGCACACTGGGACAGTCAGAATGGCGTCCACCAGGGCTCTTTCACGGAGTTACTTACACATTGGTTCAAGGGACAGGGATGCATAGAGCCGAGCTCAGCCCAGTTGCCTGGGCGCATTGTGCCGGGGATTTGGGGACCACATACGGCATTTGGTAGAGCCATTGGCATTGGCGGTTCACCGGCACTCAGACAGATGAAATCACCTTGGTATAGCTGGTTGCAGCCTAGCCATGCCCATGTTCTTGTGTTGAAGGCTTCGATGTCGGCTTCGGTTATCCCGTGTGCTTGGGCGATTAGGGCACATGTGTCGTATCCTTGGATGACATAGCTAGCGCAGAAGCCATCGACTGGTGTTGGTGGATTGGCTAATGCGCCTGCTAGAATGAGGCTGAGGGCAAGGTGAGTATTGATCATTTTGTTCAAACTGACATTTTTCTGATGCGGCTCGATCTACATATATAGTGATAAAGAAATTCATGGTGAAACAGCGCTACCCGAAGTGATCGGTGTTCTTTCAGGTAATCATTTCATGGCATTCTCGAGGTCATTATCGAATCAGACTGCAGTGGTTGGTGCCAGGTGGTGGGAGGGCTCCAGGGCTTTGATGGATCAAAGAAAGATTCGGGGAGTGATGCATCCGATCTTGACAGGCAACACATGTGTCTTTGTTTGGTCAGTGTCCTAAATGCATGCATGTATTGAGTCCAGAATAAATCCATGATTCTTGCCGTTCCTGGATGGTTGATGATTGGATCAGAGCCCAGATATCGAGTCAGTCCTTTGACGGATGCGACATGAATTGCATAGTCACGTATATTGATGACCACGGACAATATGACTCAGAAAGGAAAGAGGAGAGGGTGGCCATATTGTACTTGTTTCAAGGGCTCTTTGTATCCCGCGGCGTTAGGTTGCATATGATCATCCAAGCCACCGGCCCCTAAGAGCCGGTGACAGTAGACCCCTGTCTACTCTTTGTCTGGTTTTGACACCCGCAGACTGCCATTTGTAATCATATATATTATAGGATTTATGGACTCCATTTGGAATGGACACGCTAGCACAATGCATAACATCAGAAAATCGAGGACCCAAGCAAAACTCCGCCAATCAACCAAGCAGGCCACCACACACACCAGACAACAACCTGTGTCCACATGCCCCAAACATCCCAGCCAAAGGCTGCCTCGGTGAGAACTGTCTCAACTGAGACATTGGTGTACCAGCAGACGCCGAGGAGGACAGTAGGTGGGGAGAGAAGGTTGAGGAGAATCAGGCCTAGACCGGAAGTGGCGAGGCGGGCAGGCGCAGGGCCCTGCAGCCGGGCCATGAAGCTGAGCGGCGTGCAAAGCAGACCGATTATGAATGAAAGGGAGAAGTTGAGGGTGGCAAGGGTTGAAAGGGAGAGTCCAAGGAGGAGGAGAGAGAATGATTTGATGAGGTGGTATTGTTGGGGGATGAGAGGCTTTGATAGCCCCAGGCCATTTGATAGGATTGCGGCGAGAGATAGTGGGAGAATGATATCCACGCCAAGTACGACGTAGGTAATCGTGGTGAAATACTGATTTGGTTAGCGATGATCATGTCATCTGCTGGATCCCCCCAGAAGACTTACTTGGTGAGAAATGTTGTTGAAGACCCAGAGTGGCACAAGACCGAGGAGATGAAGCCCAACAACAAGGGACAGAGGGAGGGCTAGCTTTCGCTCAGCGATATTGCTCGTCTTCGCCTTCTCGGCAGATGCTTTCTCGCCCTTGGACTGAACAGGCTTGCTCTCTGGGTAGTATCCTGTGCGCATCCACAGCGCAATGGCCATGATAGTGAAGTTTCCAGCGAGCAGCATGGCACTAGGAAGATAAGTTCCAATACTGACGAAACGGTTTGACTGCATGAGCAAGTAGAAGAAGAAGCTCTGGTGCAGGTGCTCTAGCAGGTTGTTCAGACTGCGACAGAGAGACTCGATGGTCCGGCCAAGAGCCATTTCATCTTCCCAACCCTCGCCTTTGGTTTGCAGAGTGATAGCATCGATGTGGTACGGCATGAAGCTGCTGTGAGCGCCGGTGGCATATCCGAGGCCCTGCTTGGTCATGCCACGGACCATGGTTTGCAGACGATGCTCGTAGCTGTCATCATGATTCCACATCTCCTGCAGATTAGCACCGATGCCCATCTGGCCACCTGCAATAGACACGGCGGTGTTGAATAGATCGAGGTTGGGAAGCTGGCCGTTGACTCCGTCATAGACAATGTGTAGTGTCTGGAAGCGGTGCTCGAGAGGGTATTCAATAACCAAGGCACCCTGCAGAGCTCCACTCTTCAGCGGCAAAGGCTGCACTGAGGCTGGATGCATATCATGATAAGCATCAATCCAAGCCTGAGTTCCGGTCTTGCTGTCGGGGGTAATCAAGAAGATAATATCCTTGGACCATAACGACCACCCTGTGACAATTGTTCAGTATGCCTGTTTGGAGCCAGGGATGTAGGACGAACTCTTGAAATATCTAGCCAGCGTGAGGGCAAGCGTGACACCATTCAGGTTCAACTTATCATCGGCCGTCAACCACGGTGCAACTAACACAATTGCCTCCGTGGCATCACCGCGCGGCGCATGAATTATAGCATAGGAGTTCTCGCCTTCGTGTGTGTTTCCAGCGGAGTTGTACTCATACTTCTGCCTGGCGAACTTGAGTCCCGCCTCCTCGAAAATGGACTGCACCTTATCCGAGACCCTGTCAAGTATCAGCGAATTGTTCAGCGTGAACGGTTGAACTGACATACCCTGCGGTCACTTCCGACTTGCCCTTTGTTTCGTCATTCAAGATCGCTTGCAGCTCCTTCTTATATCCCCGGAAGATGTTCTGCTCGCTGCCCGTGAAGTATGCGTGAACCTGTCCTGGCAGTAGCGCGTTCTCGGAGATATAGGTACGTCGAGAGTATTCGTTTAGAGGCAGCAGGAGCAGCCAGGCGACTCCAACCACGATGCAAAGGAGAGAGAGGAGTTTGGGCAGGCGAACGAATAGAAGATGGGGGTTACTCCGCAGATTGCGGATTGCGGCTGGCATCTTGTTAGCTGGTGTCCAAATGCGTGGAGGACAGGTGGTGTTTCAAGCTCACATTTCAGCGCCATGGTGTAATGACCATTGGGAGTAAGATTGCGTGCCGAGTAGGCCCGTTAAAATCGTGAACTGATTCGATTGAACTTGAAGCTATTGAGATCGAAACTCCGTTGTTTATGCGCGGAGAAGGGGAATTTACGCCGAACCACAAAGACCAACCACGCAGTTTGAATGGACTATGCACACGCTATGCTATTATCCAGTGTCCATATCTTCCGTAAATCAAACAAAATGAATACAATGGGAACTATACATTAAAGATGAGAATGAAGAATATGTCGTCAGTATTAGGCTCCCAGGCGCTGCGTGGATCCCATGAAGCTCATAGGGGTTCCGCTTCCACTGACGCCAGCGGGGTTGTTGGTGGTGGGGAGAACTCCGTAGCGGCCATAGGTCTTCTGGTCGACAGAGACATAGTGAGGAAGACGCCCGAGGAGGTTCAGCTTGCCCTCAATCCAGCGAAGGATCTTCTCGGGGGGCACAAACACCTTGAGGTATCCGAGGCCGACTGATTGACAATTAGCTGATATTATTATACTAGAAGGGAGAAAACTCACGGAGGTAGCCAACCAGGATTGCGCACAGGTGACCAAGGAAGCTCACGTTCGACATAAGAATGGAAACCACGACGCAAGCAACCAGGGGTGAGGTCCAGGTAGGAATCTTGTAAGGTCCAAGGCTAAAGAGAATTAGACCAATTCTGCAACAGTCTGAATGATATCTTACCTGAAGTTAGGGTGGGACTTGTATGTCTTGATTGCTTCCGATCCGAGAAGAAGGAAAGCCCACACGCTAGATGGTGAGTCAGTACCTCATTCATGCAATTTTTTTACCACCCAAACATACCTTGCGCCAACGACTGAGGTGTTTCTGTGAAGCACGCCCCTCTCGATAAGGATGTAAAGACCAGCAGGAACAGTTGACAGAGCTATCATCCACCGTTAGCCAGGAATCCTCAAACTGTTTCTCCGACACTCACGTCCAACAAACAAGGCCACAGAAGTCAACGTGCCATGTTCAGCCTCAAAGCGCTCCAGCAGTGGAGTCAGCGCCACAACGTTGAACAGAGCGTGCCAGAACCCAGTGTGGATGAAAGGATACGTGTTAAGGCGGTACACTGGTTACCGTCAGCATGCGCGCAAGCCGTCATCTCTCGAATTCACACATACTAGTCCCTAGGTTGATCTCCTCTGGGATCAATGCGCCCCATTGCACGACACTCCATATGGTTTGCAACTCAAGCAGCCAGAAGGCCAAGATGACAAGAAGGACCAGCCGAGTGAACAGCGGCAGCCGGAGCAGATAAGTCCTAATCCTAGCCGGATTGAAGGGCAGAGGAGGAAGAGCAGCAGGGGTAGCCATGGTTTGCGATTGGATTGACTTGATACTGAACGGAGTATTCGGTTGTCGAGGAGGATGCGGGAAGTGCGTTGCGATATACTTCGAAAGAGGGAGATATCAAGACCACCGTCACGTACCGTCACGTACTGTCGTCGAAGGTTCTGAAATGAGACGAAACGTGAACTAGACACGAAACGACTGGATAGAAGATCGTCGATTAGTTTTGAATTCTCTCCACGCTAGGTCCGGGCCGGTCAGGGATAACTCACGCGCACGCGACGCCTGAATTGAGGCGGCGATATTAAGGAAGGTGAATACCGAACTGGACTCGGTCTCGATGACAACTCCTAGATCCAGGATCCGATGAAGCCCCAGATAATATATTAGTCCACCGAAGCAATAACAGCCAAGTCAATGGTGATCGGCCCTTTTCGAACTGCCTGTTCGCCGAGAATACGTCCGACGATAAAGACCAACTATGTCGTTCATCCACATCCGCTTATGTGGGGTGTTTTGACTTGGCGTCGCATGTGGAATTTCATCAATTCGTGAATCGATTCAGGGCTATTTTGCTAATCGAACAATGCTATTTACATCTAAAGGTTCGACTTCTCGGTAACCAGGTGCTGGTTGAACCAGGCAATGGCCTGGCAGAAGGCCTGCTCCTTGGCCCACTTCTGCTTGGGGTCGCTCAGATCAGCGCGCACGGCAAAGCCGTGGCTAACGCCACTGAAAAGGTTGATCTGCCAGGGCTCAGCGGTCTTGATGAGGGTCTCCTCCGATTCGTGACGGAGCTGAGTAGTGAAGATTTGGTCGACCTCTGTTGGGAGTTAGCGGTGCACTTCGCATTTCGCACTTCGCACTTCGAGAAAGTCAACTTACCAGCGGCGGCGATGGAGAAGGGACCCTTGATGGCACCGAGCTCCTCGTGGGTGACGAAAGAGGGGTGGGCGGAGTAACCAACGTCAATTTGACCGGGCTTGAGGTAGCGGACAACGTACTGAGTCGATTAGTATGTGGATCCGAGGCTTGGAGCAAAGATGAGTACGTACCTTGCCACCGAAGCAGTAGCCAACAGCGCCGACCTTCTTCACGCCGAGAGTCTCACGGACATACTTGATCGTGGACTCGACGACGGGCTCGACGTTAGCGGGCTGGTGCTTGGGGAGCCATGCGGGCAAGTCGGCCTTGCCGGATTCCATATCGCTGACGCTGATCTGGTCACCCTGGAAAAGATCCGGGAGGACGGTCAGGTAGCCATTGTTGGCGAACTCGTCGGCGAGGAGCTGGGCGTTGCTGAAGATACCGAAGATGTCGGTCAGGAAGATAATGGCCTTGTCGGGGTTCTTGTTGTCCTTGGGAGTGGCAATGTAGGTGTTGACTGAGTTGTGAGTTAGCTCAATGCCCTATGATGCCATCATCCATAATTTACCTCCGTTGATGTCCTTGGTCTCACCAAGGGGAGTACCTTGGTGCTTGAAGCCGGAGGCACAGCAGGCAGCGGGGGGGTTAGAGGCCATTTTGAGAGATTGTGAAGAATGAGATGAATGTGTGGAGGGGCCCCGGGGGTTTTCTTTTATAACATTGAGTGTGTATGGATGCGATTTCATCATCTTCGTGTGTCTTCCAATCACGTTTGTTCGTCCTTTTCCGTTTCTCCCCCGTCTCCACTTGCCCCTCGGCTTTTGTCAGGTCCTTTAGTTCCTTGCACATGCAGTTCCTGCATATTCCCTGCGATAAGCTGCGGGATAGGTGGGCTCAGTTGGATCTTCACTTCTACTGCAGAGTTACCCCGGATGGAAGTCCCGACATGCAACTTCTTGGCTTCTAAGAGCCGATGTCAAAGACTCGGTACTCGGCACGGGGCACGGAGTTAAGCTGATAAAGCCGAAGAATTGGAGCTGAACGACTATGCGGTCAAAAGATAAAACGCCGTATTGGAATAGCTTTGTGAAGAAGTATCATACAAGGTTGTACCACATACAAGATATACTATCATCAATTCCATATCCGTCGTCGCATAAGTATGTGGCCTTCTTTCATCATTGCCTTGATTAATATCATAAGTAAAAAGCATCAATTTGCACGCGTCGCACCATAGCCGGTAGTTCATAAGTATCAGGGGGTATCAAAGGAAAGACTATCGCATAATTATTCACGGAAATCGGAAGTTGAGTCGTGGGCGCTGAGTACGCTTGACGGACCAGGCCTTGAGAGCGATCACCAAGACCTCATAGGACATGACGAAAGCAGTAAAGCCTAGTCCGACGGTGAAGGTGAACATGGCGTCCACCTGGTAGAATTCCATCGTCTCGATGACATTGCGGGTCTAGAATCGGTCAGTAAGGATCATGTCCAAACCAGATTGGCAAACTTACACTCAACATGAAGATGAGACCTCCGGAGATCAAACAGAACGATGCAATGATCTCGGTTGGGGGACGAGCCGGGAGGTACGAGGTCGGTGGCTTGAGATACAACAGGACATATGTCATACCCCGGGCCAGCGCAAATCCAACCAGCATGTTACCCCACTGCTTGTGTACCATAGTCGATGTCATGCTGTCTTGATGGTGTGACCCCATCATCATTCCCAGCAACAGGATAATGAGAGGTGGCATTGGGTTCAAAGACACACCCTGGGATCGGGGCAGTTGCCAGGCCTCATCCGAGTCCTCATGAGCCGGGGCTTGAAGCACGGTGCTATTCAGCCAGTCGCGAATACGAGTAGACTCGAAAAGCATACCGGCCAGGCCACCGCCGAAGAAAAGCACGGAGATCGAAACATGCTCCAGGTCGGTAGGAGACCATGCCTGCCCGGCGTTGGACAAATGTTCCAGGAAAACGTTCGTGATACCGTATAGGAAGATGACAAAGGACTCTGTCGCTTCGCCGGTAGGGACTTTGGACTTCCAGCCAACAATGGACGCAGAAGGTTTCTTGTTCCATGCCCACCCGAGATCGGCCCAGCAGCCCATGTAACGGCCTAAGGTGAGAACACCGTACCAGAAGAAGATGCCACCCTTGATGAAGTGGGCAAGTCCATTGAAGACGTCGCGTCCTCGCATGATGCCGCCATATGTAACAGCGCCAGTAGCAAGGGCCGCAAATCCAAAGGGAAGGATGATCCGGTCAATGACATCATATACAACCCTGAGTCCTCGATGGAGCGAGCCAGAAACCAGGCCAGGCAAACGCTGGGACAAGAATTGACTAACGCGACTGTCCCATCTGCGAGGTGCAAACTTGGGCATCTCGGGCTTCTCAAACCCATCGTAGCCGGCATGCGACTCCGAGGGAGACCCGGGGCTGTGTATCGAGGAGTTGCTTTCCGTCCCCTGTCCACTGTCCCGAGACCAGCGGTGCTCATGGATCCGGTAGCGGTCATCATGATCATCCGTCGCAACGGGCAAGAAAGCAGCATGTTCACCATGGTCATAAGAGACCTGGGATGACTCGCCGCGGCCAGCAAGAGTGAACAGCAAAGCCAGGAGCACTTGAACAAAGATCACGCTGCTAGCGACCCATCCGATCTTGTGGTGAGCATTGTTCGCGTATAGGTCTGGTGTTTGGTCATTGAAGATGATGCCGAGAAGGAGGCCGAAAGCATTAATGACCGTGAATAGGAACTGAGAGGGAAGCGCGAGCCGGGAGCGTGCAACACTGAGCATAACGGCTTCGGGGGTCAGTTCTTTCCTGGGAATGAGCTCAAAGTGAAGGTAAACTCACCGACAGGAAGGACGAAACACCAAGCTGCAACCATGAGCACGATATGGGCTATGATGGAGCTGGAGTGTTTTCCATAGGCAAAGTAACTCATCGGACCGTCGGAATTTGCATGGGTGGCCGTTGGCTTGGGCGCGCTGTGTGTCATGTCCATGTCCATGTCCATGGATTCATGGGCTGTCGCGAGGGCGATAAATACCGCGAAGGCGGCTTGGGAAGCTCGAAGTCGCATTGCGATGCTATGTGCAGAAATGTGCAAAGGGAAAAGGGAGCTTCAACCGAAGGTCGAAGCTCAGAGCTCAGATCGAATCGTGACGTAACGAGGACTCGTGTAGGGCTGAGAAGGAGAGAGGGAGGAACTGCGATATTTAAGAAAAGTGTCGGGGAACGAAAATGAGGTAATGGGGACAAATTAGCTCATGTTCTTTTGTCTTGATTAACCGGGAAGGGAAAAATGAGAAAGAATAAAAGGAGAAAAAAAAAAAAAAAAGAAACCTCGTCGGCGCTGACTTCCAATGGTTCATATGATGCGCGCGTGGAAATAAGACACTCATAAGGCTGTTGGCCGTTGGGCACCCCTTCAATGCATACAAAGTACAAAGTACAAAGTGCATACCATATGTTCCTCGCTATCACTTGAGTCATGTTTTATCACTACTGTATACATTCACACTCTACTAGTTAGACTACTTACTATAATATGGTAGTGATGACTTCCTACATTGAAGGATTTGCGGTCTTGGCAATATACTCGGGCTCGGGAGTCTCGGGAGCTATGACCCATATCAATAATATACGTGAAATTCAACATTTGAAAATTTCGAACAAAACCTGTAGACATGAAGAGCCAAAATTGGGTCTGCCAAGTGCCTCTGCATCTTGATCAGTTGAGGTGCCTGCAATGACGTATATGATCATTTCCCCTTTGGGACTGCGGGACTAGACCTTAGGTAGACCTAGAACTTCGACATGCATTTACTACATTAAAGACACTAATAAGAAGTACCTCAGGAGATGGGGACTGTGTTGTACTAGTATACCTAGGTATGTATGAAATACTTTGCACACCCTCTAGGCTCTTCCTGGGATAGTAGCAGTACAACGGAGTGTTAACGTGTTGACTAAAAACCTACATATCCCTGTCTTAGGTACCCACGATTACCAATCCCAGTCGTGAATCATGCAGAATATGACTGGTAGAACTTAATCCCAGCGTCAATCAGCCCCCTGGTCAGGTGCCTATTGCTCTCGGCCTCGCTCGTTTTGGCTTCCGTTTTCCGAGCCGCACCTCTGACTTCACAGATGCATGCGTGGGGTTCATGGGCTGATTAAAGTAAAAAGCCGAATGCTCCGCCAGATCAGATGTCGGACATTCGGCCGGAAATACGGATTATGGCGCTTTTCGCAGGGTTCTGCCGGACTGGGACAATCACTGGATAGCAAATAGTGGACTCCGAACATGATATACCTGACACCACTTATACTCCGTACTCAATAGAGTATAACAGAATCAAAAATCTGATCGACCATCTGGCAACTGATTCAGTCAAGTCCCGAGGTCTCGGGCTGAAAGGTCTCAAGCAAGGTGCCTGCACCCCAACATGTCGTGTACCTTGTACAACACGGCCTACCAATACTGTGACATCAAGGCCTGAACATTTCTACTCGCCATGCAGTTACTAAGGGCTTTAGAGCCAAGCCCGAGGGCGCCGATCTGGGTTGATGAATCGGCATCCGCGGGCATCCGGCGACCTGAAGGCTGGCTTAAGCCCACGCACCTGGCCGCCCCAGGATCTGCCGCGTCGATCAAATTGCCTACCTTGCTACCTGGGTATGCCCGGAATACAAAGTCCGTCTTATTCCCGAGCGCCGAGCAAAGTCTCCCGAGGACCTCGTGTTTTGGAGCTGTCATATGAGTCATGATTTCTCATGGCATCTGGGCATAAGCATAACCTTAGATCGCTCCATCTGGAAATCCCTTTGCGATTGGGTAACGCTTTGGCCTTTGCGCGCTTCCGTGGAGAGATGTACATCTGTATAGGTCTGTAGAGACGGTGTGACCTGCTCATGCATGCGCATTCCATACTCCTATCTGGTCCAATGAAGTTATCGGGGCCACCTGGGCAGTTTGCGCTAGCTTCGTAATCGACAGGCGCAGATTTCGCCATACTCTCAACCGCATACAAGTACTAGTCAGTAGATAGCAGTGACGAAAGCCCTTGCTTGAATGTACCTTTTGCTGTTAAATTTGAACCGATTTACTCCGTACTACCCTTCATCAAAGAACTCCCGAGGGATCCACATACAACCTTGAAAATGTTACCTTTCTCGGCGCTATGTTCGGAACGCGGCACAACTGCCATCCGCACCCCGGCTCTGATTAAGCCGTTCTCCAGGGGCTAGGGGCGCCCAATGAGCATTGCCAGCCCGACATTCCGTGCGATCAACACGGGCTCCTAGTGTACGGAGTATTTGGCATAGTAGCGTATATTTATGTACACAAACCTTCAAGGGTTCAGCTGTCATGGGTATCACTTGGAGATGTCAAAAACCTTGGAAGTATGTCTCGTTTCAGCCTGTACGGAGTACTATAGGAATGATCGGATTTCATTTCTCGTCTTGAATAGTTTTCATCAATCGTTTCACTTCGAAAAGAAAGAGTCTGTCCCCGGGAATAGTCAATTTGTGACAATCTTGGACACGAAAGGACAATAACTGAGCCTCATCAAGCGTCTAGTAGATCGATCAAAAAAGCGTTTCTCTCATTAGTCTCTTGAGATGTTCCTAAGGCCCTTAGCTAGAGCATGTCAGCCTCGGAAGTTCGCATTATATCCGTGGACAATGCACCCCTAAGCGAGTGTTCCAGTTGAAGCTATTCAGGCTTGAGCTCAGACCACCGAAGATCTTGTCCCATCAGAGTAAGTATCATAATCTCGGAAGTGAAACCGCATGAAGATACTACATATATCGTGGGGTATGCAGTAGTATAAAATTAATCTCGCCGTCCGTGAGGAGGTGGAGACATCTATGGATGTTGTCCCCGGGGCCTCAATATGGATGGCTTGTTTATCCTCTGGGGGCAGATTGAACGGTTGGTCATTGGTTATACTTCAGACCTTTTCAATCAAGATGTGTAATTAGATTGGATGATATGAGCCGGAGTTAAGCTGCACCATTCAAAGCGGGAAGTATAGATCTGACACAAAAAATATCGCGTTGCCATATGGTACTAGTTAGAGTATGTTCTTGGATGAATAGAGTTTTGAAGTCACGGAAATCATTCACATTAGATTGCATAGAAGGCCTAACAATCCTGACTGCCGGTAGGCCCGTCGAAGAAATGACCGAGAGACGTCTGTCATTGCTAACTTCTGTGGAGAAATGTCGTCAAGGTGATTTCCGACCCAGAGGCCTACATCATCTGCCCAGTCTTCTGAATTTTCAAGTGCGAGATTAGGCTGGATAGCCCAATCGGGTCCACTGGCGACAGGGCTTGGTATTCAGTAGGCCAATACCGTGCATTCTGGTGATGGTTGACCAGACTGTCAGCCATATCAGAAACGAACTGTGCGTATCAAAAGCGGAAGAATCGTGGAGTTCCAGCCGCAGTGTAAGTAGCTTTCTGTCACTTGTTTTGCAGGATCGCACGTTCGTCAAATGTGCGGAGGCCGCAATTTTGATTTGGGTTCTAGCCAGCTTGGGTTTTCGGTAGGCCGCTACCGGGTGCATTCTTCTGTTAGGTTGCTTCTTGTCTGGTACTCAGAGCCTGAGAGAGAGGCAGGAGACGGAAAAAGCGGATTGATTCTCTAGGAGAGAGAGAAAAAGAAAGGGAAAAGCGAAGAGAGGAAGAGAGCGAGCTATCCATAGGGAACCATGGTCACCTGACCAGGTGTTCACAACAGCTTGTGGTTGTAAAGACTGAAAACCCCCATGCTGATGGAAACAGTGTGAATGATCGCTGACACAGCTTGATGGCGGCCAGATCGATATGGGCGTTATGTGGTGGATGATCAGGGAGTCGACGATTTCAGAAATGTGAATGAGTTGAAGAGAAAGTGAAGAGGCGGTGCATGTGAGAAGTAAGAATCCCAGAGAAACTGAAATTGAATTGACGTGAAAGTGAAAAGGAAAAAACAGCGTAGGAGGTAGCGGCGGCGAGACTGAACTAGCAAGGGTGTCGGGAGGAAAAGCTGGATAGTGGTGGCGACTAGGAAGATGGCCAGAAGGAATCGAAGTTATCCTCATCCGTGTGCTGTTGTTCAAACTCTGTGACGAGCTCTTCTGCACCCTCGAGGTTTTCCAGCGGTAGCCAGATGTCATCTAAAGGGCCTCGTCCGGCCCAGGGATGAGGAACAAGTAGCGGCTTGCCAATACTAGTATGTAGTTATTACTTATATAGCCTCGCCATACCTAGGCATAAAAATGCCCGTATGGGCCCAGAGGCTGGTGAGATCAACGAAGTGTTGAGTAACGTCTTACCTTTAACCTTTGATGAAGGTAATATGAGCCTCTAGATTCGTCAATCTTCGCCAGATCGATTTTGCGGGGCTTCCGAGAGGGGAGATAACAGCATGATTGGGAAAACCAACATAGAACTGGTTAATGAAAATTTGAAAGGGGCTTTAAACATATATTGATCTTATTATCGAGTTTTCATGGCGCTGTATTTCGCATAACCCATCATATGCAGCACTGGAGGGAATTTAAATGTCACCAAAGTCGAAGTATACAAACTTAGAGCCTGAGGCATCGAGATGTGGTGATCAGGCGACACGTGATCTAGTCCCAATACGGCTAGGGCCCCTCAAGCGAGTTGGCCCGTGCCCTATTCCGCATTGGGGCAGAAATTGCCCACAACGAATTCCAACCCTAACTCGTCTCCGTCCTTTAACGCCCAACGCCAGCGACCCTCGTCCCGTCAACAAACCGTCAACTCCCAGGTCCCACCTCTAAAACCTCAAGATGACTCACGAGAGCGTTTGGTACAGCCGCCCCCGCAAGTAAGTCGAACCTCTCCGCGGATATATCGAAAAGCGACAAATCTAACTGTTCTCCCTCTTCAGGTACGGCAAGGGCTCCCGCGAATGGTGTGTACAACCCAATCAACCTCCCCGATGAAAGACGTTCTCGACACTGCTGGATATCACGAAATTGGAGGACTGGAACCGCTCGACACAAGGAATGGGAAATGCTAATATGTGTGCGCCTTCAGCCGTGTCTGCTCTCACCGCGCCGGTCTGATCCGCAAGTACGGCGTAAGGACAACCCGAAGACGAAATGCGTCTGCCATCCGCGAACCGAACCCATGGCTAATCTGGACCTATAGATGAACATCTGCCGTCAGTGCTTCCGTGAGAAGTCCACCGACATTGGTTTCAACAAGGTTCGTTTTCTCTCGCCCGATCATCCATCTTCGATATCCGCACAATACCCATTCGACTCTCGACACCCGCCATGATCAGCCACACAGCATACGCTCAAGAATTCAAAACTAACCACACCAACAGTACCGCTAAGCGACTGCAAACCATGACCATTTCTGACTCCCACTCGAACCATTCGCATCCAAATCCATCCACGTGCCCGGCTCGACTACGGTAGCGTCCAGTGGAGGAATGTTCTAGACGAGCTCAAAAATGGCGTCTTTGATGTTTTGCGAGGATAAGGCACCGGCTGTGCCTGGTGTCATCGGGTTGTGAATCAAAAATCAAAATTCTGGCTCGAGGGGAGGTTCGGGGTTGCGTGGAGAGTCTTGAAAAAACGAGGATGTCTTGTTATTTCCCTCATCCTGGTTTTTTTTCTTATCAATTTCAATGACGGAATTATTCTCTGGGATTTCGCTTTTTCTCTACCGCTTCACCGCGTGTTTCCATTGCCTGGCGTGCTCATGGCATTGTCCTGACATCTTTGATCTGGGGTGTGTAACTTTGCCACGGCAAGTGCTGAAAGACCCCAGATTCTTCCGTACCAGTGCTCGAGTCCGTGCCTGTCGTAGTGGATTTGATTGATATTTACGTACTTTGGGAGCCTAGGCCCAGATTGAGTTACTAGCAGATCTCCATGCTATTATTGGGCGGAAGCTTAAATCAAGAACGTCAATATAAACAGCCATGGAAAATATTAACATAAACGCCAAACTCATCCGCTTTCCTGGCTGCACTTTGGTGATGAGGCCTGTAGTTTGTTCGTGCCTGTCGGTCTCAAAGGGGCTCAGGCGCTTTCTATTTGGTCTTGCTCTCACTACGAAGAGAGCGAAGGCTGTAAAACAGAAGGTAGGCGTCCTGGCGGAGTACGTCGGCGATGCCCGCAACGGTGACTTTGTTGTCATCCATGAGGACCCACTAAGAACACACCTGGTCAGCCAACAAATATTGTCAAGTTTTGAGAGTTGATACATACCTTGTCACCGCCAATGCGGGTGTATGCGAAATAGTGGCCAGTGTCCATCGTTCCTTCATGGACAATGACAGTCGAAAGATCGTAGATGTATTGGGACATATCCACTGGGGAATTGTCCTTCCTAACGGTGTAGGGAAGCATGTTCAGGGTAAGAGGGAAGTCGATGTGGCCATCCATCTTTTCGGATGACGAGAAAGTGTGTTCATATCGCTGTCAAATGTCAGAAACAATTGTGGACCTCACAGAAGATTCCGAGCTTACCTTGAGTTGCATACAGAGAATGACAGGTAGTTTTCGGATTTGAAGCCGCTTCGAGGCTCGCTGGGGGGTATTTCCACACTTCTCACAGTGGTAAGCAGCATCGGCGTGGAGATCTTCGGAGGCAGTGAAGCTATCAAGGCAGCCCAACAGAGTTCCAGTAGTAGAAGATGTCGAGCGTCCGAGTTTACGTTTCTTGGATTGCTGTTGAACGTCAAGACTTAGGTCGGCCATGGGATCGTCGGTGTTGGTGGTTTGGCCGCATTTGTGGCACTTGACGCTGCTGCGAAGTTCACCGTAGAAGACCTGGTGGAAGAAGCAGTTACATTTTTGGTTGTAGACTTCGGTGTGCCCAGGCGTGGAAGAGTGAAGACCGTTGACGAGGAATTGGAAGTATTCGTGGGCATCCTGCTGGCGGTATCCAGCCATTTCCTGAGGTAAATCAGCCAGTCGTCCTCCCTGTAACTTCAGACCACTCACTTTTGAAAGTTCCCAGCCATTGTACAGAAGTGTGGCCGCAGAAACCGCTTCGTTCCTCTCGCCACTGTTAAACTCCATGAAGACCTCGGCTGTCCCACAGGCCAGGCAGTTCTTCTCTTGACAGGTGTGAACATCGTGGCCACCAGCGAGGAAGAATGCGTTCAAACTGGGTTCATGGAGCAAGGCTTGAACAATGACGGCCTGATAACAAGTCTGGCCCATGTTCCAAACGCCACGGGCGCCACGCTTAAGGCATGGGTTTTTGTAAGCGTTGTTTTTGACATAGATTTCGGAAGCTGAGTCCTCAGCCCAGATCGATCGGCCATCTATCATGGGTTAGAGAATGTCCTCGGGCTGGCAATCGAATCAAGTAGCTCTTGACTCACCGGCAATGTGTGATTTCCCAGTTGGCCCACGGAGTCGCTCCAAGCCATGATCATAAATGAAATCGCCACACTTTTGGCAATGCAAAAAGCGTGTCCGGGATTCGATGTCTAGAGGTGTTTGTCAGCACTGACCGAAATGGTCAAGTTGAAATCACTTACAGAATGTATGCCCCGTATCTGCGGTGTGTGCTTGTCGCTCCGTATCCAAACATACTTCTGGGCAGCTCAGACAGTGGGATTTGGGCTTCAGAGACTCCACAGTTCGAAGGCCAGTGGTTTGCACAGCAACCGTGTCGGTTTTGGAATAAGGGGCCAGTGATCTGTCTTTGCTGCGAAAGGCACTCCTGAATTGGCTGGCTATTTTCTCGTCCTTGTTGAGGAATGCCGCAAGATGCTCTTTGTCATGGGTCAGTAAGGTACGTAGTATTGCCTGCGCGTATCAATACATACCGCATCCAAAGGCCGCTTCGGACAAAAGAGTCGCGGAATCAAGACTCGCCATTGGGAACGACATGGGTACGGTTAAGAGAGGTAAGGAGAAAGGATGAAAAGGTCAAACTTGGGAGATGAAGTGTAATTTGAGGTGAATCAAACAGCTTCAGACGCTGAGATGCGCGGAAAGACCACAAGGATGCTAGTTCCAGGCGTCACGTCAAACCACGTACGTAAAACGAGAGACTGCGACGGAAGGCCCAGGGAGAAGGCTGGATGATCAGAGACCAGGTTTGGCCTCAAGGACTCCCCCTGAATAAGTCCAGCATTGCACTGTCACCAAATTAGAGACATGATCAAAGGCAGGGGAGATCAGACGAATGGACTATGGAACAATAGATCCCAAGCAATTACTCACAGGAGCAAACAATTAGGAAGGTGGACAGGAGCTATGCTCCACGGAACACAAGGTCAGACTCTAATAAGACCTTTACTATCTCAGTAGCCCTCCAACATAGAGATGAAATGGGTACTGAAGGAATAAGCGGTGGACTCGAGCTCAGCGTCGTCGGGGGGAGGTTTGCCATCGGGCGGTGGTTTTTCGCCTGAGGTTCCCGATTTACCGCCGGATCAGAGGTCGGATCATCTACGGAGTTGACTGCGTTCTGTTCTCTCGCATTCCCATTTACTATGTATTTGGCTTGGCTCTTCTAGTTACTCAGTGTGTATATTCTTGGGTATTTCTATGTGTGGGGAAAAATCGTCACGTTCGCTCATTCATGCTGGGCAGAAAACACCCTCAAACGCGCGATCCTAGCAACCATCGTAGAACCAGTCCAGAGCATGTTTGAAGTTGGAAAGCACTGCACCTGGGGCGCATCTGTATCAGACCCGTTACTATTGCCATTTTACCGGGTCCCTATGCCTCGGCCTCTGGGCAATCCACTTGCTCGACCGCCGCGAGCAGTCCCTCGCGTGGTGTAACGACTAGTCGCCGCACCGCGGGCAATCCCTCGTGAGGATGCGCGGGAGCCTGCCGCATACCTCGACGTCGGCTTGGAGACTGTGCTCGGGGGGTTCTCGACAAATGTGGTGTCCGTAGTCCTGCGGGGCAACATATCAGCTTGACTGTCTGACTGTCTGGGATCCCATGGTGTACACTCACATAAAAGTCATCTCGCCATCATCGGGTCGAGTCTGCTCTGCTTCCTCCTCTGTAAAGCTGTCAGCAACCTCGTCGCGCTGCTCCGGGTAGCGCTCCTACCCTTTTCCTTTTGTTCCTCCTCGTCCTGTCTAGCTTTCTTAAATGAGTCTCCGATCGGCGCCTGTTCATGCTGTCAGCAGTGTCGCCCTCTAAATGCAAATTGTGTCGTACCTCTGGGAAATCCACACAGAAAGCATTCATGTTCAATCCGTACAGGAAGCTGGCGAAGCTCTCGCTGAAGCGCGTCAGGCTCTCATGCATCAGCTGCAGGTGCATGAAGTTGGCTTCAAGGTCAGCCATGGAGTCGGCCAATTCGGCGAATTGTGGTTCCAAGGCATTGATGCCGGGTTGTGTGTATCCTGAGTTGCCAATGCTGCCGCCATAGCCATGGGCCTCTCGTAATGATGAGCGCGAGCTTGGACGTAGAGGGGTTGTGGGTCTGGACGAGGGACGAGGGCGTGAGGACGATCGTGAGGCGTCCATTGTGTATTGTCGAGATGAACTTGGAGGGTTGTTTGGGTTCGGCCGCGGAGGGAAGTGGATTTAATGTTTTGGTCGCACCGTCACGCGACAGTAGACTTCGAAGCAATCTCAAGGCCTTTCGTCTATACGGTGTAGTGTGCGGAGAAGTTCTGTCGTGATTGATCTCGAGATCGAAGACTGGAGAATTCAATCTATTTCGATTTAGGGGAAGATCTTCCCCGCATCGTCATCCTTGATTCTGCCGTCTCACTTTTTCTTTCTTCGCTTCTTGTATTCTAGACACCACTATCAATTGTTTTGCATATGCGGGCGATTCTACGACGTCTCTACCCTCCGGCCAAATTTCCCGTCGCTCGGTATCCAGTCGCGCGACCATTCTCCACCCAGAGACAACCCAGACAAGCCTCGTCTTTTTGGACTATCACCTGCACACTTGCCATCGTTGGAGGCGGCGCTTGGCTTCAAGACAAATACTACAATCCCAAACCGGCCCTGAAAGCGTTACCAGAACAACCACCTCAGCAGTCATTCCTCGGAGTGATTGATACCCTAGCAACGATGCCCGCCGAACCCGCCCCCGGAACCGTCGGGAACCTCACCCCGGAGCAAGAGATCAAACTGAAGGAATTCTGGGTCCTTGCGCTCAAGGTCTTCGGTCTGACTCTCGAAGAACTCGAGGCCCCTGTCCAACCAGCCGCCGATGCTGCACCCGCCCAAGACAAGAAGAAGCCCAAGGGCCGGTGGTCAATCTGGGGCAAGGGCGAGGACGACGACGCTAAGAGCACGTCTTCCGATGCCACAAGTGTATCTATCGTCGCCGAAGACGACAAGTATGGCCAGTCCAAGGAATACAAGCAAGCGCTCGAGGACATGAAGCCCGAGGAGATCCGCACAGCCTTCTGGAGCATGGTCAAGGGCGACAACCCCGACTCTCTACTCTTGCGGTTCCTGCGCGCCCGTAAATGGGATACCAAGAAAGCGCTCGTCATGTTAATCTCGACTATGCGCTGGCGATTGCTGGAGATGCACGTCGATGACGATATCATGTTCAACGGCGAGGAGCAGGCACTTAAGCAGTCGCAAGGTACTGATGCCAAGGAGAAGAAGAAGGGTGAGGATTTCCTGACGCAGATGCGTCTTGGTAAGAGTTTCTTGCATGGAGTTGATCGGGCTGGTCGTCCTATCTGTGTTGTTCGTGTGCGTCTGCACAAGGCTGGTGATCAAGATAATGAGGGACTGGAGCGCTTCACTGTGTATACGATTGAGACTGCCAGATTACTGTTGGCTCCGCCTGTTGAGACTGCTGTATGTGTTTCGTGTATGGTTGATGTTGCAGGATGACTCTGACTTGCCTAGACAATCGTCTTTGATATGACTGACTTCGGTATGGCCAACATGGTAAGTTTGACGGGTATATCATTGATATTCTCCATGCTGACAGTTCCCAGGACTATGCCCCGGTCAAGTTCATGATCAAGTGCTTTGAGGCCAATTACCCTGAGTCCCTCGGAACAGTGCTGATCCACAAGGCCCCATGGCTCTTCTCAAGTGCGCATCCCACCTTTACCGTTGAAACACGACTAACCAGACAAAGGCATATGGAACATCATCAAGGGCTGGCTTGACCCAGTCGTTGCAGCCAAGGTCCATTTCACCAAGAACCGCCAGGACCTCGAGAAGTTCATCCAACCCAGCCAGATCATGAAGGAGCTGGAGGGTGATGAGGATTGGGAGTACAAATACGTCGAGGTTCCAGAGAACGAGAACCCCAAGATGGCCGACAAGGAAACCCGTGAAACCCTGCTGGCCGAGCGACAAGAACTCGCCAAGGAGATTCAAGACCTCACAGTCGAGTGGATTCGTGCTAGCTTCAAAAAGGAGACTGCTGCTGCTTCTGCGGCCGAGGAGAAGCGCAAGGAGCTCATCGAAAAGCTGCGCAGCCAGTACTGGGTTCTTGACCCCTATGTCCGAGCTCGCTCTCTCTATGACCGACTCAACATTGTCCAGGGTGGTGGAAAAATCAACTTCTACCCCGATGCTGCGAAATAGACACCAGGGCCTGGGTGACTTGGATCTACTGCATATTTAGACTCGCTGTGGCGTAATTTATGAAGATTTCGAACTGAGACGCTATAGAACGTGAACACATTGGCGAAGATGGTTTGGAATGCTAAAGATTTACCTGAAATTCAATAATTGAACAGACTGTAGATAATTCAATTTTCTTGAACGTCTACGCTATGGATTGGCCCGTTTACATCTTCGACTTGATATCCTCGTAGAGAGCCTTGAGCTTATCCATGTCCGTCTCCTGGGAGGGCCAGCCAATGCTCATACCCTCCTTCTCGTTGGGCTTGGGAATCTAGTCGACTGTCAGTACCTGGGTAATGTCCGATATCAACAAGCAAACATAGACATACCATGTGGAAGTGCACCTATGAGGAATGGTTAGCGAGAGCAATAACGTGAATCCCCAAAATGAATGACTTACATGATCAACAACCTGGTGGGCGATGCGGCCGTTGTTCTGCAGGATGTTGAAGTCCACGGCGCCAGTGGCCTGAGCGACCTTCTTCGCGACGGGCTGCGGATCTGGTTAGCCCTGCCAGCTCAAGGACCTTGCGGACAAGGACCCCGGGGATGTGACCGAAGTCAATTCGAAGTTGGAATTATAATTTAATCTCCTTCCAACCCTCGTCGGTCTCCATTTGACTGTCCACTTACCAGAATCTCAAGCAGGTGCTCGTCAGGGATATCGGTCAGCTTTTCGCCGTGGTACTTGGGGATCACAAGCTGTGCATCTGGTTAGTTTGAGTCTTCCCAAAGGCTGCTTGGCTGGGATTTTCCAGAATTCATCTCAGTGCAACCCTCGTCAAGTCCGGTTGTATGAAGCGAACTCGGTCGGAAGGTGCGGGGATGGGATGAGAGTAGATTTGAAGGGATACGCACAGCATGGCCACGGCTGAGGGGCTGGATGTCGAGGAAGGCAAAGACCTTGTCGCTCTCAAAGAGCTTGAAGGAAGGGATATCGCCTGCGACGATGTCAGTTGCGCAGCTACCTAGGTATGGATGACGTGTATGTCGAGCTCAGGATGTCTTGAGTAGTCAAGTCGTAGGATATACCTAGGTATAAGATTGATGAACATACCCTTGATGATTTTGCAGAAGATACAAGCAGCAGCAGACATGATTTCAATGTTTCAATTGAGGTACTTGGGTGATTGGGAAGCTCCGAAATAAGAATATGCCGATGCCCGGGATATGCGGGGTCAGATAGAATAAACACTAAAAAAATGATATGACCAGAGGCGGATTCGAACAAGGGACTTTGGTGCTGAGGACTACCGGATGCGGAAAGTCAAAGGGGTACATAAGGCAATTAAGGGAGCGGCCCCCGAGGAGTGGGACAAGCTAGTTCAGAACCCATTTCTTGCCTTTTACCAGAGATGGCCGTGGTTTGCCCACCAAACTCCTCTTACAAATCTTTGGACCAACACCGCGACACAGCCGTCGTTTGTTTTTGACTTTTTGACATTGTAACTATGCTCTATGCTGTATTCTGAACACACTCGTGCTTTTATTTTTCACAATGGTGCTCCTGACGAGGAGTTATTGTAGGTGGAAAGTAGAATCGTGCGTGCGCATAAGGAGTATTGACGTTGCCGATACTTACAACGCCCATACACAATACCAAGGGAGTCCTTCAAAGTCGATATATGGCCCTCAATATCAATCTTGACAGAATATCTTATCTTTGCTTGATCGCTTGCAGTTGGAGGAGCGGCCATAATTCTTGGTTGCAACTATACTAGGATCTCCATGGATGCCAGTAGACTTCAGGACTACTGTTATAGCCGTGTGCACAGTATAGAGCATCCATGGATACTTAGGGACAACTTGGAAACACAGGCCATACAAAGCTATACCTTGGAAACGAAGGGATGCCAAAATTAAATCTATATTTATTCCTGTCAATCCCACAGTCTTTAGGACACTTTAACAACATTCCAGAGATGCCTAGGTGATCTTGATATTGATGAATAAAAGCCCGGGGGAGCAACATCCAATCACAGGCCGTGTGTTGTCAGAGCATAAAGAGTAATTCACTCTGTCGAGGCTGCGCAGGGGCTGAAATCAAGAACTAGGGAATATAATTCAAATGAAATACCCTTTCTCAATCCGTATCCCCCATCTCAGGGCAATTGAGAGCGCAAGGCCGGCACAAACCGCGAAAGTGGTGTTCAAGGTGGTGATCCAAATCCGGACTAGCGCGTCAGTCCCGTGCGGTTCTTCCGACTTGACTGCGAAAGCCCATCGCACATCACCACGCCCTTGGCAACACTCCGCTCCAATTAGCTGGTCTCGAGAGATACACTCAGCCAGAGACCATGCAGAAAACCCGCACCATCAACTCCGTCCTTGGGGCGCGACCCTTCTCCGCCCCGCGGGTGCAGCTTCAGTTCCAGCGCAACCTCCAGGATGTGGCCATCACCCGCACCGGAAAGCCTCTTGTGAAGGTCCAGGGTGGCCGGTGAGTGCTCAATTGGACTATGCCATGAGAGAAATATGCTAATACGAGCCTGCAGTTCCTCGATCGGAGGTAGCTAAGCCCTTCCGTGATCGACCCCGATTTGCTCACGCTCACACCATTCTAGGTCACACCGCGACGGTCTTCGGTGCTACTGGTTTCCTCGGACGCTACATCGTCAACAAGCTCGGTAAGTCAGGGATTCGCAAGGGAATTGGTTCGGGAGCTAATGGCCCGCAGCTCGCCAGGGATGCACCGTGGTCGTTCCCTACCGTGAGGAAATGGCCAAGCGTCACTTGAAGGTCACTGGTGATCTCGGACGTGTTGTCTTCATGGTATGGATCTCGCAGAAGAATCGTGTGGGAGGCTCCGTCTAACTCGGTCTAGGAATACGACCTGCGCAACACCCAGTCCATTGAGGAGAGCGTGCGTCACTCCGATGTTGTCTACAACCTTGTCGGCCGTCAATACCCCACCAAGTGAGCTCGGTTTCGTTAAATGCGATGCTGGATAGCCGCTGACTCTCTCAGGAACTTCACCTACGAGGATGTCCACGTCGATGGTGTCGAGCGCATCGCCGACGCTGTTGCCAAGTACGACGTTGACCGTTTCATTCACGTTTCTTCCTACAACGCCCGCCGTGACTCGCCCTCCGAGTACTTCGCCACCAAGGTCAGTCTAAAAGCCACAGATTCAAACAAGTGGAGTACTGACGATATGATAGGCGTGGGGTGAGGAGATCGTCCGCAACATCTACCCCGAGACCACAATCGTGCGCCCTGCGCCCATGTTCGGTTTCGAGGACAACCTTCTGCACAAGCTGGCTAAGGTTGGCAACGTCTTCACCGCGAACCACATGCAGGAGCGCTACTGGCCGGTTCACGTAAGTCACACTCAAGAGGTATCAAGTGTGCTCAACTAACCCCATCCAGGCCATTGATGTCGGTACCGCCCTCGAGCGCATGCTGCACGACGACAGCACTGCCGGTCAGACTTTCGAGCTTTACGGCCCCAAGAACTACTCCACTGCCGAGATTGCCGAGCTGGTTGACAGCGAAATCATTAAGAAGCGCCGCCACATCAACGTCCCCAAGGCGCTCCTCAAGCCCTTCGCCCACTACATCAACAAGTACCTGTGGTGGCACACCATGTCTGCTGACGAGGTCGAGCGCGAGTTCATCGACCAAGTCATCGACCCCGAGGCCAAGACCTTCAAGGACCTGGGCATGGAGGAGACCGCCGACCTGGCCAACCTGACTTTCCACTACCTGCAGGGCTACCGTAGCGCCTCCTACTACGACTTGCCTCCTTCCACGGAGCGCGAGCGCCAGGAGGACAAGCGATACCTGCACGTCCTGGACGACCAGTAGTTTGTGTTTTTTAATGTGTATATAAGCCGACTAGACTCAATTGATTTCCTTGTGTTGGAGAGGTGCAGAGAAATAGCCCGCGAGTCCATAGTCAAAAATTTCCAGCCAAAAATGCCCTGCTCCCTAACGAGTCTCTCAACGTAGGAAATCCCGGAACTCTGGGAATCTCCCCGCACCTCATATACCTCCATTTCCCAACCATGTCCGCCCCAATCCTCCTCCTGAAAACCAAATCCTCCCCCCAAGATGGCTACGAGGAATTCTTCACCTCAAAGAACTACACACCGACCTTCGTCCCCGTCCTCGAACACCGCTTCCACCAACAAAACCTAGCCAAGGTCCAGCACCTCTTCAACAGCAACGCATTCACCACAACGAAAGACCATGCAAAGAAATACGGCGGGCTGATCTTCACCAGCCAGCGCGCAGTCGAAGGCTTCGCCTCCATGATCGAAAACGCAGATGGTGCGCACCCCCAATCCCATCTCCAACCCCACCATGCACACAGCTAACGAAACAGTCTTCAACATCCCCTCCGACCCACTGGTTCTATACACCGTTGGACCCGCGACTGCGCGGACACTCACAACGCTCCGCGACAAGCATTTACCGCAAGCGACGATCTACGGCGCCGATGCCGGGACGGGAGCCAATCTGGCGCAGATGATGCTGGAGCATTATAATGGGTTGTATCCTGGTGAGAAGCCGGGACTCCTCTTCCTTGTTGGGGAGGTGAGGCGGGATATCATACCCAGGACTTTGATGGATGAGGGTCTAGGGGAGAGGAGGATAGGTGTTGAGGAGGTGGTTGTGTATGAGACTGGGGTGATGGAGAGTTTTGAGGGTGATTTTGGGGGGTGGATGCAGAAGTATCATGAGGGTGTTGTGTGGGTGGTTGTGTTTTCGCCGACGGGGTGTGAGGCTATGTTGAGGGTTCTTGGGCTTGGGCCTTTTGCTTCGGGTGCGCGACGGGGGAGGGTGTTTGTTGCTACTATTGGGCCTACGACGAGGGATCATCTTAGGGATGAGTTTGGGTTTGAGGCGGATGTTTGTGCAGAGAAGCCTAGTCCTGAGGGGGTTTTGGAGGGGATTGAACGGTTTATGAAGTCTTAGTACAACCCTTGGAACATATGTGGGTTGGTATATATGTAGAGAAGTTACAAATAACGGACTTGGAGCCGACAGGACAGTTTACTCCTGCTCATAATCATATTGAAGTTACCTAGTTCTAACATGTATCAATAACATCACGCTGTCAAGTCAAGTGCGTGCAAGAATCACAGATATCTCTCCAGTCAGTAAAACGGTCAGATTTACCGCATGATTTCCTCGTAGATAAAGACTGGAATCCGGTTAGTAACGATCAATAAGAAAGATATGAGATCTTACGCTTCAACTGCTCCTTGCTCAAAGCATCCTTGTTCTTGTCGAAATCAAAGAACCCATCGGGAATAGGTGGTGCGGTAGGTTCATCTTCGGGATCGTGGTAGGGCTCGAGGTATGGGTGGCGCAGAGCATCTTCAACAGAAATACGCTTGGCGGGGTTGAAAGCAAGGAGCTTCTCGAGCAAATCCAAGGCCATGTCGTTGCTCTTGGGGAAGATGGCACGGAAGGGAATCTTCTTCTTAAAGGGGAGGGAGCGGATGTATTCGCGCGCACGACGGGATTTGATGCCGTAGTAATCCTCCATGGTCGGTGTGCCGAGAACGTCGAGGATAAGAGTCAGCTGATGGTGATCTGTGATTGTTAGTCCTTGTTACTATAAGTCAATGTAGGAATCATACAATCCTTTCCGGGGAAGAGGGGCTTCCCGCTCAGCATCTCAGCCAATATGCAGCCGACACTCCACACATCAATGGCCTTGGTGTATTCCTTGAATGTCAACATGATCTCGGGTGCGCGGTACCAACGTGTGGCCACATATTCTGTCATGAAACCGGAGTTGTCGTCGGTTGAGGCGGCCGAACGGGCCAGACCGAAGTCGCAGACCTTCAGGTCACAGTTGGCGTTGAGAAGCAGGTTCGATGGCTTCAAGTCTCGGTGGAGCACATTGGCTGAATGCATTGCCTTGAGGGCTCGCAGGGTTTGGTAGATAAAGTATTGGCAGTGGTCATCTGAGAGGTCTTGTGTTCGAATGACTCGGTGCATATCAGTCTCCATCAATTCCTGTAGAATATCAGTATCCTGCATCTCTTCACGTATCCTTGAGGTGGCGCACTTGAATCAGATAAACTTCCGTGAAGCTTTCGTAGTTGCGGGGTCGTTGAATGTCGAGAATGGAGATAATGTTTTCGTGGTTAAAGTATCGGAGCAACTTCATCTCACGTAGTGTTCGCAGACAGAACATGGAGTGGTCAAATGGCGTAATCTTCTTGATTGCCACTTTCTGGCCGGAGGGCTTGTGAATAGCGGAGCTGTCTGGTGTCAGACGAATCGCCAATATATGCCGGCGTCACTTACCACACGACACCATAAGCACCCTCACCGATAACATCTTGGATTTCATATTGATCAGAAACATTGAAGGAGATCTTCCGGGATCCTCCTGCTGGGGGGCCTTGTTGTCCCATGACGTCTGGATGGCTAGGCTTTTTCAGAAGCTTAGCCTTAGGGCGATTGTTAGCATTTAGAATCCTTGGGAGAAACGCAAGCAAAGGTCGAAGGCAATCCATGGGTGCAAAACGGGAAAAGACGAACGGGGAACGCGCTGAAAACACGGGGACGGAAAGTGTACGATTGGGCAATTGGCAACTCGGAGCTGAGTAGAGATCCCAGAGCTCACGAATCCAAGCTCGATCGCAGGCCGGGAGGCCAACGGATCCAGGGAATTCGGGAGAGGAAGCTTACTTTCGTTTGCGCTGCAAGCGAATTGGACTGCTAGTCCGAACCTCTCAGATTTGGCGTTGGAGTAGCAAATGTCGCACCAAGCTCCCGGGAGGTTGTGGGTAGGTACGGTGTCCGGACCGAGAACGGGAGGAAGGTATGCGAAGCTCAGTGTGAGGTCGCGGTGTCAAATGCGATCGGAGTCTAAGAAGGTGGCATGTTAGTGGGATCGATGGTGATGTGCATGGCCAAGTGCCCCAAAGCGGGGTCATCCCCTGACGCGGATCACCAAGGCTCTGGCACTTACCTCTCGCCTTTTTCCCAGGGCAAGATCAGAAAAACAGAAGAGCGCGAGAGAGGAAAAGAAAGGAGTCGGAGGTCGAAGAGAAGCGAAGAGGTGAACCTGGAGAAACAGCGGGACTCTCTCACGGGCCGTAAGGTGGGGCAGAGAGCTTTGAGGCTGCTCCGGCAATTTCGTGAGGGTGAAACCAAGTCAGTGGAGAGACAGTGAAAGGCAAGACTGACACTTGTAAGAGGAGTCCTAGTGTCTGTTGTGAGGAAGTGCCTTTCCCCCCTGGTCGCTTTTCTTTGGTTTGATGCTCCTCGAACCTTGGATCGTGGTCATCTCCACAGCTACTTGAGGGGTACCCGGTCTTAGGGGGAGCCACCCATACATGGCCCAGGTAGACTCAAAGTACTTCGTTGATCCCCGCCACAGCGCCAAAAGAAGTGCCTGTCGCATCGTTTCGCTCCCCTCGACGGCGCTACTGCGTGGGCGCCGAAACTGGTCACAATCACTTCTCCACTGACTTGGAAGCTGGTTTCATCCTGATTGGAGCAGGGGGCACTGCCGGGTTTCACCATCTACGAGCAAATCAGACTATTGGTCTATAGTAAAAGACTAGCTTCCATGTAAAACATCCCTGCCACTACTCCGTACTCCCCTATGGAGTCTTCATATACGAACCAGGAGTATTTTTGGAAGGCCCAAAATAAGAATGAGGTGGAGAGCAACCTTGAAAACGAAAGATGGAAAAAATATAAATAGTAATCCAATAAACCAAAGCCAGAGATGCGATTAGTCTATCGCCAATGCGATCTACACTAGATAAGTTCAAATATGCCCGCCCTGATAGAAAACCAAACGCAATCTTCCCCAACGTAGTGGTACAGGCGGCCTCTTGCAATGAACCCGCCAAGTTACTGAACCTGGACCTTTTCGTCAGTGTGGACCGATACCATGGTCAAAGGACTCAAACCTTCTCTTGCAAGGAACCCATCCACTGATCCAAGCTGACACTTTGATCGGCACGGTCCTCAACCAGCATGGTCTGGGCCCAGAGGCGCAGGCCAGGCTCACCATCCTCACGGACCACGTACAGGTGAGGCACAATCATGCTGCCCACGCCCTTGGCACGGTGGTCGCGGCTCTTCTCAATTACAGCCCGCACACGCTGGCTGAACTCATTGTCAACCTCCGGCAGAGTCTGCTTACCCACGCGCAGCTGCGACTTGTCGGGGACACCAAAGACGTCCTCAATGAGCTGCGGCACGGCATCGCGGCCAACCCAGAGGAACTGGGTTTGTCCATCGTCGATCAAGTAAAGACCGAAGGGAATGAGACGGCCCGAGGACAGATTGATGGCGGGAGGCAGGATGATTTCCCCGGTTTGCTCGTCGGGCACACCCGCATTGTCGGGCATGTCATGGAGAGAGTACATCCGCGGGTAGATGTATTGGATGAGGAGAGGAAGGGGGAGGGTGGAGAGAAGACACAGAGCGGCGGATCGCATATCCGTCGGAATCTGAGCAGATTTGCGAAGACCAAGCTAGAAAAGAATTAGTAAGAGTTGAAAAAAGGATCAAAACTCGGAGGACTCACGTTCTTAATCATTGCAAGGAACAAGACAGGCAGAGCCCGCAAATTGGCAGGGAATTGAAGACCACCACCGCTGACGCTGCCGCCGGCGAGTTCTTTGCGGTAGGTCTGCAGCAGCTCAACGATCTTGGCCTGGAGAGCTTCACGAGCAGGCTCAAGGCCACTGCTCAAGGTACGTTCGACAGCCTTGTGACTGAAGAATGTGGCAATGGCCTGCTGATCGGCTGAGGCGAAGATATCTGCAAGATTCTGGGTTGTTGGCAGAGCCAGAGTCAAGACACGAATGCGACGTTCGCCATTGCAAGTGGTGTGGAGAACAGCAGCCTGCATGCAGACGACCGGCTTGGTGACGGTCTCATCAATGGCAACTTCAACAACATAGGCCTGATCACGAGGGAATGCAGGGAATGCACAAAGATCAGAGCTGCGGTTGAAGAAGTTTCCGTAGAAAGTGTTCATGCGCAGACCGGTGGTGGCGCGCACGCGAAGAACGGCCTCCAGACCAATTTCGGAAGACAAATAATCGGAGAACTCGCAAGCAAACTTCATAGCATCCTCGCCCCGTGCCGCGTTCCACCCAGGGTAGAAGTAGGTTTGACCACCAGTGTAGCGGGGCAAGTTGCTGAGAGATGCGACGTCCTGGTATTGAGAGGAGAACAAGAACATATCAACAGAAACTTGGGCTTTTGAGCATTCCACAGCAAAGCTCTTGTAGAAGGAGTTTCCAGTTTGGAGTAGACTTGACTCTTTGCTGGTTCCCAGCACCTTCTTGTCTTCTCTCATAGTGAGCGCTCCATGACCAATGTTGGGCAAAGACGAGCTCAGAACAGTCATCTTTCCGCCAACGGGGGAGATCAATCTGTAACCGGCGCGCAGTGCTGAACCCATGGCGCAGCTGTTGTTCTGGGTGTGCTGGAACATTTCCTGGAGCTTGTCGAGGAAGATCTCAATGTTCTCACGGCACTCGCTCAACGTCACAAGGAGGTCACCAGGGATTGGGAGGAAAGGCTCGTCCAGGTCACTGACTACCAACATGCGGGGATCCGAGCTTCCTGACCCATCCCGTGGGATACTGAAATAGTGCAAGCTCGAGTCCACCGCGATGAAGCCGAGGCGGGTACGGCGGTCTGCATTTGGAATGCGGTCCAGGCTCTCTCTGATGGTGCGGGCAGTGGTGGCCAGAAGACAGTTGGTCACTGACGCATAGCTCACATCAATCAAGAACAGGTAGACCAGAGGTTGCGGTGGGCGAACCATATATTCCTGCGGCGCAACAAACTCCACCATGCTGTGGTTGAGGTCGGAACGGAGCGAGCGATCAGCTGGCTTCTGCAGGGTAGAGTCCCAGTCGAAAGCCTGGGGCACATCGTTGGTCAGATTACACATGTTACAACGCCAGCGGTGACCATGGTCCAGGAAGGTGACGAAGGGGTTGATATAAGAGCGGCAACGTCGGCATCGTGAGATAACTTGATCGGGGATCACGGGAATAGGGTCCTCGGCATCGTGGAGAGCGGCGTAAGGTTGAATGACGAGAGCAAAGGGCAACTTGGACTTCTTAAGGAGGGAATTCGTGGTCGGGACAGCGTTCAGCGTAGATCGCATGTATTTCGTGGGGCAATTGGCTTCGGGGGATGGGTAAACACTAGTCTGTTAGGCGTTAGCAAGTCGACTTCCGGAGTACGATCTCAGATGCACATACTCCTGGTGGCAGGATAACGGGAGGTGGAGGGTAGTCCAGCTCGGCGACACTGAAAGGTTGCGACCGAAGGTCGGTGGGGTAAAGCTGGTTGAGCTGAACTTGAGGCCGCATAGGGGCTTGGGCCGGCTGCGGGGGTGGCATGTGGTGCGGCTCAGCCATACCCATCCCACCAAACTGTTGGGTCATCTGGTTGACATCGGGTGCGGGTGCAACAGGCGAATTGTATGCGACGGGTGCTCCAGGCTGCATCTGGTTGGGGTCTGCCCCGTAAACTGGTTGTTGATATCCCGCAGCTTGGGGCTGTTGGTAGGCTCCGTAAGCGCCTCCCGCTGTCTGCTGTCCACCAAGCGCTGCATTGGCACCAGAACCGAAGTCAAAGGCCTCGCCAGCGTACGCTCTCTTCTTTTTTCCACCGGCTGCAGGAGCAGGCGCAGCTTGTCCTGAGGCCGGGGACTGTGTGGGCTCTGGAACACCGTAGGCGGGCTGGCCGTACCCTTCTTGGGGAGGGAAACCCCCTTGTGGTGCTGCCATTAAGTTCGGATGGATGTATGTGCGTGTAGAGGGTTTTGGAGAGGATGTCGCAGTGGGTAGGGAGTGGCTGCGATGGGTGAGGGTAACAGCTCCTGGGCCCCCACAATTAGTTTCTCGCCAACCAAACAAGGGGATTTAATTGCGTACAGAAATTCCCACGCCGACGAAGTAAAGCCAAGTTAAATCACGGGAAGCAAATAATGAAGCACAAGACAGCTCACTAAGAGAAACCGAGGGAGTGTGGGTGAGGCGGTGATGTCTACGGTGGCCTTTAGGTTGTGTTGCTCCAGCCAATCACAGGCGAGATACCATGTGACGACCAAATCTTGGGGTTGCGCGATGTCGAAATGTTTTCGATACTGTAGACAATTGACTGAAAGACTTGAATTGTTGAATTGAAGGTGATATCTTACCTAGCTAGGTAGGTAGTTAATAACTTGGAATATAATAAAAGAATGCGGTGTGGTTGTGCTAGAGGGTTGCTTGGGATATATCTTGAGCCTGGAGGTATATACAACGCCTGTCGAGCCCCGATACATCCAAGCAACTCTGGAAAAAATTGGAATCACGGAAGGTAAACCATACTATAGTTCTACTGACAATTTCGCAAAGCATAGCAACTGTCAAATGGCCTGACATTGTGTAATTCCAAGACTGGATCACTATGTATGGACACTAAGCAGATGTAGGGCGAGGGTTGCCCTGCCAACATAACAGCACACACCAACTCAGAACTCCTCCACACGTTCCACAACCTCAGGTTCTGCATACATCGACAAGTAGCTAGTTTCGTTTCCTTGCTTTTGTTTTTCTTTTGGAGGACTTTGCTGTTCTTTATTGTTTTATTCGCTCCTTTTGGTTTACATTGGATTGAAATCTTGGAATTGAATGACCACCCCGTCAACATGAGTGTCCGAGTCGTCGCACGTGTCCGCCCACTCCTCAAGTCCGAGCGAGACTTGGATGTCATTCTGCGCACAGGATCTTCCGCCCCGGCCGACTCCAAATCACGCCTGTCCAGTGCTGGCGACAAGACCGAGAAGACCGACAAGAAGCTGGCAGCTCTCCGGGACAGAGACAACGTCGTCCGCATCCCCAACCCAAAGAACGAGGGCGAGGAGTATGCATTCCAGTTCAATGGGGTGTATGATGCTCAGGTATCGCAGCAGGAGCTGTTCGATGCGGAGGGTGAGTGGTTCTAGGGTTGAAGTGATGTGGGTCAAAATATTGACCAAACGCCAGTCGCACCGACAATCAAGCACCTACTGAACGGATTCGACGTGACCATATTCGCATACGGAGTGACCGGAACCGGTAAAACGCACACAATGCGCGGTGGAAAGACCCTTGCAGACCGTGGTGTGATCCCGCGACTGTTGAGTGGAGTTTATAGACGCAGCAAGAAGATCGAGAAGGATAGCGAAGGGGAAACCAATGTTCAGGTGGCTTTGAGCTATTATGAAATATACAACGACAAGGTGTACGATTTGTTCGAACCGCCAGAGAAGCGCACGATGGCTGGTCTCCCTCTTCGCGACAATGGTGGCAAGACCGTCGTTTGTGGGCTGAGCGAGAAACCCTGTACAAGCTTGAAGGAGTTTGAGCAGCTCTATGACCAAGCCAACACCAATCGGTCTACCTCGGCCACAAAGGTATGGCCGCCCAGCACCTACATAGCTTGAAGTTTGTCGCTAATCGTTGAACCCCAGCTCAATGCGCATTCATCCCGGTCACATGCCGTTCTCGGTGTCAAAGTCACAATCACATCACCCGACAAGGTTCGCGTGAGTACTGCTTCCGCTATCGATCTCGCAGGTTCAGAAGACAACCGACGGACAGAGAACGACAAGGAGCGCATGGTCGAATCAGCGAGCATCAACAAGAGTCTATTTGTCCTGGCCCAGTGCGTTGAGGCCATCAACAAGAAGCAACACCGCATCCCGTACCGTGAATCGAAGATGACGAGAATCTTATCTTTGGGACAGAATAATGGACTGACTGTCATGATCCTTAACCTCGCCCCTGTGCGATCCTACCAGCTGGATACTATCAGCTCCTTGAACGTCGCCAACCGCACGCGCAAGATCGAGGTTCGCGAGGTAGAGAACGACCCGATGTTCAAGGGCCCTGCGCGACCTGCCCCTCGCCCATCTGTGGCCGGTGTACGACAGCCTTTGCGGGCGTTGACAGCTTCAGTGAATGTGAACATGCCAGCGCCCCCCAAGGATCCAGCAGAGAAGGACGATTCAAAGCCGGTGAAGGCGTTCAGTGTTTACTCGGATAAGCCACAACCGAAGCCCACGAGTCAGCTTCGCAAACCGGATGCGCCAAAACGAACCTCCATGTCCAACACCGCTTCTCATCTCCCCACAAAAGCAACGCGCCAGCCTCTAGGTGCCCAATCTGCGTCTCACCAAGCTGATATATCGGCTGCCAAGATTGAGGAGATGGTCGAGAGGAAGGTGGAGGCCATCATGGCCCAGCGTGCTGTCAGTGAGCAATCGAAGCAGTCTCAAATCAATGAGTTGAATGAGCAGCTTCAAAAGCGACTGGAGCAGTTAGAGCAGCGCATCGATGGCACAGAAGATGCTCGTGCGGAGGGGCTGTCTTATTTGCTGATGGCCAAGCAGCATCAAGCACGTGGCGAAGACAGCTCAGCGCTGAGAATGTATCAGCTTGCTGCTCCGCATTTCCCCCATAACACGAAGCTGGCAGGGAAGATTGCCACTCTGAAGGAGCGAGTCCATTCTAAGGCGTGGGAGCAGAATGCTCCTTCTCCCAAGGGCAGGCTTGGCAGCATGCTCTCGCTTAAGAAGGAGCCCAGCCATACCCTCGGCAAGCGCCAGGCTCAAGATGTAGACGGTGACTACGTGGACCGCACCGGTGGTTTCTCAAGCGATGAGGAAGTGCCTCGCCACCAGCACAAGAAGCGTGCGTCAGCAAAGCTTGCCCAGATTGAGGAGGACCCGGAAGTCCTCGATAGCGAGGATCCGTCTGTCTCTCCTCGCACCCTGCACTTGCTATCGATCATCAACTCACGCGATGTCAGCCAAATCAAGTTGCTCAAGGGAGTTGGCGCCAAGAAGGCAGAGGCACTTGTTGACTGCCTCTGCGAGATGGACCAAACATCAGATACCGACAGTGGAGCTTTTCCAGAGTCCCAGTACCAGGTCAGCAGCCTGGCAGAACTAAGTCAGTTGAAGGGAGTTGGGGTTAAGACAGTGGAGAACATGAGACAGGGCGTTTTGGCTTGATTGCATAATGCCCTTCGGGATATACTGGGGCATAGGGGTGGTTTCTCTTCTTTTCATGCATCATCCTTCAGCGACGGTGCTAGGGCGTTTTTCTTCGTGTCTGTACTATTCTTAGTTAGTTTGGTGCATTTGGAATAATAGTTTCTGATCATTACCATGACAAAGCTTTTCTATAGTGTCTTGTGCCTATATGACCATATTGCCTTTACACTGGTCAGCGTTTCATTTCTCACCAATCAATGAAGATCCTTCGACACCCGTGATAATGTACCATGATGCTACTTCTCTTCTTATTTCAACAGTACATACTTCTCTTACACCTCAGTGAACTCATATCATATGAATGTCCTGAATAGTATCACCACAGGAAGTTTTTTTATACTTGCCCGGGGATTCTTGAGATGTTTGGGGTGGCACAGTTTCTGAGGCCCCCTTCTCCCAAGGTTCCTCTCTACGCCTATCTCTTGAATCTCCCACGAGTCTCTTGAATGGCCCCCGAGCACCAATAAAAGGAAGAAATCGACCTCGGGATCACCTGCCCAGGTGGGCACCTGGGCAGCCTCTAGTATTGCCTTTTTGTGTCGCCTTTCAAAATCCCCACTATAGTTCTTGGAATGCCGATGATCATTGGCTCAACCAATCCTTGCACCCGCAGAGCCTCACTATCAGCCCCACCAGGAACTCGGAGCCCCCCGGGACCAAGATCCCGCATACGAAAAAATCACTATGGTCACTAGATATGCCTTCCTGAGTGGGTAGGCACATGGTAGATACTAGGATAGATACTTCTTTTACCAGAGAGCCTATGAAATGCCTTCGAATGAACCAAAGTCTAGCTACTATGTGTATGTCTTAAACCTCCCAAGAGCCTGTAAGTTAAAGCAAATACCATACGGCATCCACCAGCCCAAGTGCCCCGATGGGCATGTATTCCAGGCTTGACATTCCATATTTTCAAAGACCCAATATCGCCAAAAGGCCTTTCTGCTCAAGCTGAAGCTCCTCGTCCAACTTTTTCCACACTCCTGCCCTTGCCTCGGGGTCATTACAACATGCCTTCGGCAGCGCCTCCCAAATTCGATTGATATACTTGCCTCCTCCTCGCCCCTCCTCTGATCCAATACCCTGTGTTTTCAGGTTCGGTCCAAATACCGGGTTAGTGGCAGCATTGACGATAGCATAGCTACCCTGCTTTGGGTCAATAGCCAAGTATCTCAAAAGGAACGTGAGAGCTCGTTCAATGAAACTTTCATCCGTCAAGAATTCCCAGATTCCAGAAGCAACAAAGCCAGGATGAACCCCGTTGATGGTGATGTGGAGGTACTCTGGGAGTTTGAGGAACCGGGATTGCATTTCCATGACCCAAATTTGGAGCCAGAGCTTGTTATTCCAATAAGGATCTCCAATCATACCTGGACCACAGTCGAAGTGATCGAGATCCAGTGGAGCGACGTGGTGAGTGCAGGATGTTGTGCAAACGATGCGTGGCTGTACGCTACGCGCTATGGACGGCAGGAGGCGGAGCGTCAGCAGAACATGTGAGAGGAAGTTAACCTAAGCCGTCAGCACCTTTAGAATATAGATAGGCTTGAGGAGACAAACCTGATGAACGAAATGGAAGCCATCCTTGGTCAATTGGCGTTCAGGAGGAGCTGCCGCAATACCAGCATTATTACAGAGAATATCCAAAGCGCGGTCAGATTGCAGCCATCTTTCGGCGAAGGAGTCGACACTCTGGAGATCCGCCATATCAATACTCCACCATTCGATAGTCGACTGGTGGCCTTGTGCCTCGGCTAGATCCTTGATTTCTTGCACGGCAGCGGTAGGATGCTGTTCCCACGCGGGTGGATCTCGACAAGCAAGGATTATGTTTGCACCCGATGCCGCGAAGGACTTGGCAGTCTCAAAGCCAACACCGTTGTTGGATCCAGTGATAATGACCCATTTTCCGACGAGGTTGGTGGCTGGAACTTGATCATCTGTGATGGTAGCGGGGTTGACACCTCGCAGCCATTGGTAAATGCTGTATGGCGAGGGAAATGACATGTTCTTGATATTGTATGAGCAAGTTCTGGTTGGGGGTAAAGAGGAGGTTGCGCTGTATAGTGTTGCCTGGTGAAAATGGCGGGGAACTTCTCGCCCCCAACCTCCGCTTCTTGGCCCCCGGGGCCATCTGTATCGATCAACACCGGGGAGTCGGGAGACAATGCTTCAAAGTGAATTCTGTAATCAGGTCAAAGATACTTTAAGTACATGATCGATTCGAGAGCACTGGGGTACGCCCTTCTTATAAGCCCCTGAAATGGGCATGCTTCTTTATTACTTCATGTTTCTTACTTGATGCTCTCAAATTCTATGTCTTGTTGCTGTCCGCCATAGCAAGAATCAAACCGGCTAGATCCACACGGAAAAGGGACGATGCAGCAAGATGGGTTCAAGTAGAAGTGGTCTCAACACACTTGCTATGAAAGTAGGTAGCCGCGGAGAGCTTACTGACCAAGGCCAAAGTGACGCCTCTCACGATTGCGGCCATGGAAATTAAGAACACATCCCCATTCCTTGTGAAAATGTTCAAGATTACTCGCGTACCGTTTCATATTTTCTTGGGAACCTATTTTCATTGATATCTGCGGTTCATTTTTCGTGGGCCAGTTTGCTCAGTTCTGAATTCAATGCAATCAAGGATGCTAGGAAGGCACCGACTTTCAAGTCCGAAAACAGACAAAAGAGAGCAGAGCGTAGAGGTGCATTGATAGGGGTACTTTTCCAGTGTGACAAACTTGTCTATATTAGAGATACCGAGACCGACCAAGCGTAGTCTGATCAGTAGCCTGGACTTTAAGTTGCCTTGGTCTCCCTTCGACGAAGGCGAATGGTAGCACCTGGAGGAGGAAACATGAAAGTTCCCGCTATGATATTGAGCGGCCTTTCTTTAAGCGGCTCAATATCATAGTTCATGATGATATATGCGAGGAGTAATTTCAGCTTGTGAGACGCAAACCAACGACCGGGACTGTATAGTATCAGGTTATCTGTGCCCTATGTTGACGAAGTGGAATACGAACCAGGAGTGTCTCGAGTGACCAAAGGAAAGGAAAGTCTGGCTAGTAGTCACCATCATGGAGCGCGGGCTCGATTCAGTCGGCATGAAGCGGAATGGATTATACACATCAGGCTCGTCGTAGTACCGCGAGTCCGCATGGATGGCCGGGACTGGGAATCCGATCATCCAGCCTTGTGGAATATGCTGACCACTTGGTAGAACAACACCTTCTTTGGGCATTACCTTTCGGGAGATGCCTCGCGAAATGAAAGCACTGCGCCGAAGAGTCTCACGAAGTGTACTGTCCAAGCGATGTAACCTCAAAAGTGTGGCTGAGCTATTCCAGTCATCATCGGTCTGGAAGGCTGACTCGCATTCCTCGCGCAGTATTTGATAGTAGTTCTGCTGAGGATCTGACGAAACAAGATCGAGTATGGCGTTGCTGAATGCGACTGTGGATGTCGAAATAGCTCCTGCGACCTGGGACAGTCAATGCTGGGTGTCAGGTTGGTTGATCAGAGTGCCTTACCAGAGTGGTGAATTTTTGGACCGTTTCCTTTTCACTGGTCAAATGTTCACTTTTCAGGTCGAATGCCGCGCGGCATGTCCAGGTAACTAAATCTTCCGGCGGAGCATAGTCAAAAGACGGATCCTGTCTCTTGCGTTGCATCTTTTCGAATCGCTCGAGGAAATAGGGTAATAAGTAACTCGTGCAGACTGCGCGATAATACATCAATGGAATGCAGAACACAGAACCGACAATCCGCTTGATTTGCCACGGACACAGCTGGCCGACAAAGAGTATGCCGGCACCAAACCAGGTAGACAAGCCCATGAGGTTACGAATGAACTTGTTATCGCGAGTCAAAGATTCACCAAAGAAAACGCGGCCGCTTGTTCGAAAGATGATCTCATTCAGTGTATCGTGCACTTTCATCTCTTTCCACTCCGTGCTCATCCCGAACTGAGCATCAACTGCACGACGCAGCTCATCGACAAGGTCCGGCTGGATCTTCCCCAGACTGCGTGTGAGGTGAGTTCGAAGCGCCTCGACAGCAGCAGCAGGAGTGTAAAGGTCCAATCCCGGTACAATGTACTTGATGGCCGTTGTTTCAGCCTGAAATTCATGATGGGACAGGATGTCGTCGGGCTGATCAACCACCCATTTGATATGTTCCGGGGGTAGCATAACCTCAGCCCGGAAGCCAGTTCCAGGCGCAATGAACGCTTTGCCATTCAACCCGAATTTCTTGTAACCAGAGAGAAGTGTAGTAATCCCCGCAGTGTACTCGCGCAGACATGCCCTGATCTCCCCCAGGCATTCTAAGCGTCTTCCAGCCCATTCTAAGCCCACAGGAATCCGACTTCGACGAACAAATGTATGAATGACAACGCTCAGAGATGCGACAAAGAGTGCGCCGTAGGCACAGGCTATGAAGGGGTTCCAGTCTCGCATTTTGGGATCAAGGCCAAGATCGAGACTTGCAGGAACCTTGGGAGTCAATTCTCGGATAGATGGAATATGAAAAGAAAAGTACCTTGCTCGTGTGGGCACTCAGGCTATATTGGAAAATCTACCACCTCCCTTCTTGCATTTCTTCTGAAATCACATATGCTCATGAGCTCAAACAACTAAGCATGATACGAACGTAGAGACCTACGAAGATCAGCCTGATATCTGACGATACACAAGGTTGGTGAGATTGATTCATCAGATATGCAGGCAAGAGTGTGCATATTTTAGCCCAATATCGCCTACATACAATCACGAGATCGTGCATTCAATGTCAAATCAGATTAATTCAAACCATGATTCGTGGCGCACCCGCAGATATCTCTTCATCAAAATCAATAGTTCGACTTCCAAAGGTTGTTTCGCATGACTATACATTGCTCAGCGTAATTGGGTACACCCGCAAGTTCTGGCGCAGGACGCACTGCATAAATCGCAAGAGAGATATTGCCCAGGTGGCACTGCAAGCCGTGGAAAAGGAGCCATTGGCTATCAAGAGCGGCAAAAGGCAATATGAAAGGCACGGTGTACCATCCCGAGGCCGGCAATTGAGGGCCTTCCGCAGCAGAACATGCAAAGATCTGAGCTATCGCTCAGCTCGAAGGTTTTCGGGGCTCACCGATTCAGCTTGGCTAGGGCTTTTTATTGTCGAATACTTAGTTTTAAGTAGAACCTTGAAGCATGGACCAAAGCAGGCCGTACACTTCCCATATCTCAAAGACTCAATATCCTATGCACACTATCTAAATATGTCTACCGAGACATATTGTGTGAGTGTAAAGCACTCCGAAGCCCTCCTTTCTACCACTCTAGCAACTCCCACTCTGCTGGAGGAAGTGCAGAGTGCACTTAAATTAGCCGCAAATCATTCCATTCACCTTCAACATGAGGATGGCCATTGGTGCGGAGAACTGAAATCAAATGCCACCATGACGGCGGAGTATGTGATGCTTCGTCAGTCCATAGGCCTCGATATGGCTGAAGATCGAGACGAGTACATCTCGTGGTTCTTGTCCGACCAGAATCCCGATGGGTCATGGGCACTCATACCAGGAGGTCCAGGTGAAATCTCAACCTCAGTGGAGGCCTACCTGGCATTGAAGATCCTCGGCCTCGAACCAGATTCAGCAGTCATGTGCAAGGCCCGGAATTTCATCATCTCAGCCGGTGGTGTCGCCAGGGTACGAATCTTCACCCGCATCTACCTGGCAACTTTTGGTCTTTTGCCCTGGGATGCAGTCCCAGAGCTCCCGGCAGAGCTGATCATGATGCCCGATGCTGCAGTCATCAGTATATATCGATTTGCATCGTGGGCTCGCAGTACCGTTATACCCCTTCTCCTCATCTCGCACCATCGCCCCGTATTCGCCCTGCCTAATGGAAAGTCCGCGACCAACGACTTCATAGATGAGATTTGGGTTAATGCGGCAGAAAAGAACGTCCCATACTCTGCATCTCTCTGGAGCCTGCTCAAGACAGATTTCGTGTCCGCCGGCTTTCTGGTTATGGATAATATCCTACACATGCTCGGTGGGCTACGCAGCTCTCCTACCCGCATACATGCGCGGAGGAAATGCGTTGAATGGATTCTAGAGCACCAAGAGCCTGAAGGCGACTGGGCTGGAATCTTCCCCCCTATGTATGGTGGTGTCATATCATTGTGTCTCGAAGGGTATACATTGGATGATGAGCCTGTCCGCAAAGGCCTGGAAGCTCTCGAGCGCTTTGCATGGAGAGATCAAAACGGGAAGAGGATTCAGGCCTGTGTTTCCCCTATCTGGGATACTATTCTGTCATCAATTGCTCTCAGCGACGCCGGTCTGGCAGCCCGTCAGGCCTTCCACGGGGTGGAGTGGGTGAAGGATCGTCAGCTGGTGAACGAGCCAGCTGGGGACTGGCGGGTTTACAAGCCCAATATTACAGCAGGAGGCTTCAGTTTCGAGTACATCAACCGATGGTATCCGGATGTGGATGACACTGCTGCTGCAATCTTGGCCATTGTCAAGGTGGATCCGCAGCTCACAAGATCGTTGTCTGCTGTTACCAAAGCAGTGGAGTGGATCATCGGTATGCAGAACGGTGATGGTGGATGGGGTGCATTTGATCACCACAATGATCGGCTGTTCCTGAATAAAATACCTTTCAGTGACATGGACTCGCTCTGCGATCCTTCTACAGCAGACGTCACAGGCCGAGCCGTCGAGGCATTTGGACTTCTTCTCGAGAGAAACAGCCATCAATTCGTCGGACTTTCCAAAGACATCAAGATTTCCTGTGACCGAGCAATTGCATACCTCTTACGCACACAAGAAGCCTCCGGGTCCTGGTTTGGTCGATGGGGAGTGAATTACATCTACGGGACCAGCAATGTGGTGTGTGCGTTGGCTTTCTTCTCCCAAGATAGAAAAGTGCAGAATGCCCTGGATGCTGCAGTGGCGTGGCTGAGCACCAAACAGAATCCAGATGGTGGATGGGGAGAGAGCGTGTTGTCTTATCGTAGTGTCCAGTTGGAAGGTCGCGGCGGTCCATCGGTCCCTTCTCAGACCGGGTGGGCTTTGATGGCCCTGCTTGCTCATCCTTCCAGTGAAAAGTCAATTGACAAGGGGGTGCGGTATTTGTTGCAAACGCAGACGTCCGAGCGTGCTGATACAGCGTCGTGGCCCGAAACCGAGTACACCGGTACGGGGTTCCCGGGGCATTTCTACATAGGGTATGCTCTCTACAGCCATTACTTTCCCATGATGGCTCTCGGACGATATGTACAAACATATGGCTGTTAGAGACTATCGCACGGTCGGCAAAGGGTTGGAAATCAGTTGGGTTTCGCTTTTTGAAACGTTTAGTGCAGCATTTTATGAGACACGATGATATGATTCAGTATATTGGACCAGTTGATTGATGTTAAGCTGGTAATACCCATGCACTGATACTTGCTCCTCACTCACACCTAAGCTAAACTTTGGAAGTCAATGCCCAGGTGGATCCGCCATAGGGTTTAACTACTTACCTAGGTACACTGCATGTGAGCAGTATATCAATGTAGCTTTGGATGCAAACGTGGAGGCCCAGGGCTGCCGTCCCGAGATCGCCATCTCATCTTATGTGAGCTGCAGCTGACATTTTTTGGGCAAATAATTGCATTGCACTTAGGCATCTTAACTACCTACCTAGGTAGGTATGTGAGCTACAAGTGAAATTTGGTTCTTTATATATCATTGCATTGCATATACTGCTGCTCTATCTAGATAATAATACTGGGCACCAAGATATACTCAGGCATCACTTAAGCCTTTGGGAGATCTTCCCCCTGGCTGCGCTCCAAGTCAACATCTTGTGCCAGCGACAGTTCCTGGGCTAAAAATAAGTCAGCGGTATCCCTTTATGCAAGAAGAACAGGACTCACCATTCCAGAGCTCAGCATATGTGCCATCGTGCCCGAGAAGCTCCTGATGCGAGCCCATTTCGGCAACTTCACCGTTCTTCAACACCAAGATCTGGTCACTATCGCAGATCGTGCGGAGACGGTGGGCGACAAACACGCTGGTGCGGCTCCTGTCTTTGAGAATGCTGTTGATGTTTTGTAGGATGGCCTGTTCCGTGTAGGTATCAAGTGCGGAAGTCTAAAGAGTGTTAGTTGGCAACCAACCATATAAGATAGAACACTTACGGCTTCGTCAAAGAACAGAAGCTGCGGGTCCTTCAGAATCAAGCGAGAAATTGCTAATCGCTGCTTTTCTCCGCCGGAAATCATCATTCCGCGTTCTCCAACGGCAGTTTGGTAGCCATTGGGCAAAGTCCCGATCAGCTTGTCAATGTGGGCTCGTTCAGCAGCCTGATGCACCTCTTCGTCTGTGGCATCGATACGTCCATAACGAATGTTGTGGATGATTGTATTGTTGAATAGGGGTGTGTCCTGGGGCACTACGCCGATGGCTTTGCGAAGACTCTCGAGGCTCACATCACGGATATCCTGACCGTCAATCAAGATGCGGCCGGATTCGACGTCGTAGAAGCGGAACAGCAGACGAAGGATAGTGGACTTTCCGCAACCACTAGGGCCGACGATAGCGAACTTCTGTCCTGCAGGGATAGTGAATGTGGCATTCTTCAAGATTGGACGTTCGGGGTGGTAACCAAAAGTGACGTTCTCGAAGCGAATCTCGCCGCCACGGGTGAGTTGCAAGGGCTTGGCATTGGGTCGCTCCTGGATGGTGACATTGACTTTCTGTAAATTGAATAGCGTCTCCATGTCCAGCAGAGACTGGCGCGTGTCCCGGTAAACAGAACCCAGGAAATTGAGAGGCACCGAGAGCTGGAAGAGCAGCTGGTTGACCATGACGAGATCACCGACGGTCATAGTTCCAGCAGCGACTCCATTGCAAGCCAGGTACATCATTGCGGCCAGCGCAGAGGAAAAGATCATGTTCTGACCAGAGTTGAGGAATGCCAAGGATGTGGCCACCTTGATTGACGCATCTTCGTAGCGCTTTAGGGCCTTGTCGTATCGGGCAATTTCGAATTTCTCGTTATTGAAGTACTTGACAGCCTCGTAGTTGATGAGCGAGTCATATGCCACGGTTGACCCAAGATTTTCGGCAGCGTTAGCCTGTTTGCGGAACTTGGTTCGCCAGGCAGTTGTCGTGATAGTGAATGCCGTGTAAGCAGCCATGGTTGCAGTAGTGATAGCAGCAAATTGAAACCCATATTGATACGTCTGCACAGTTAGCGAGATATCGTGGACCCGGCTGTGGAAGTCATACCAAGATACTACAGACAAGCGAGATTTCAAGTGCATTCGGGGCGATATGAAAGACCATGGAGCTCAGCAATGAGCTGATACCCCTAGTACCGCGGTCGATGGCGCGATGCAGACCTCCAGTTTGCCGAGCAAGGTGGAAGTTGAGATCTAGTCGCAACAGATGCTCAAACACATTTGAAGCGAGTTTTCGAATGGCCTTTTGGGCAACACTAACAAAGACTGCATTGCGTAGCTCTTGGAACAATGTTGCTCCCGCTCGCGTAACACCATCTAGGATAATTAGCCGCCGGGGTTTTTTGGGTTTATACCAAAACATGCTCATCACATACAGGCAATAACCATCGATCCAGCCACAGTGTATGCTGTCCCTCCAAGGGTAGCAAAGTCCACATTCATTGAATCGACGATGCTCTTGAAGTAGAAGGGAATTTGGACGTTTAGAATCTATGTCTGAGATCAGCTGTGTCCGAGGTCCCAAATAGCAAGTAAAGCATACCTTTCCTCCGAGCAAAAGTGCAAGTGCCGAACCGACACGGAGTTTCGTGCCCCAATCATCCTATAAACCATGGTCAATTTCCCGTACTCCATACTGATACCACTTGGGCGATACCTTTGGCCACAGATACTTGGCCACCTCTTTCATGATAGCCCAGTCTGCCTTTCCCTGTTCTTTATTCGTGGCCAAAGACTCGCTCAGCAAGTCCTTCTCGGGCGGCGCCTTCCTGCCCGCGGTCTCTTTCGACTCCGGGACCAGCTTGGCATTCTTCAATTGCGGCGGAGTGGGGGTAGTAGGGTCGGATGTGACAGAGGAATCTTTCTTTTCTGACTTGTTCCATAAGGGGCCTTGGTTTGTAGTGAACACTCGCAAGTGCGCTCCGACTCGTGTGCTGCGTAGCCGGCCGGCCAGACTCGGGTGGTATGCGAAAGTATGCGCCGTGCGCCAGCTAGGCGTTTGTGCGGCTTTAAGCAGCACGGCCGCCATTTTCAATAAAGGACAAACTCCAACAAAACTGCAGTTTACCAGCTTAGGCTTGGGTGCATGGTGTGCGTGAGAGGAAGATTGGCGGTGCGTAGCTCTCCGATCGCAGAGGGACCTTGGCCGCCGCGTTCGGAGGTAACCTTGGGACCTTCACAATACAATGCCAGCAAACGGGGCCAAGGTTCAAATGAAGAGGAGGAAGACTGAGAAGAGAACAGCTAAAATATCTAAGAAACTCCCAATGTCGCAATCCAGAGGGGCAGTTGCACGCATGTTCTCGGGAGCACAATTACCCGACGTCCATCTTGGCCCGGGAAAGTTGGAGTCTGACGTAAATTCTCCTTTGCTTCACAATCACAATGCGTCTCCAAACCCGGACTCTGTCCTGGACTAGAGTGGTCCCTAGAGCTCGGCAAACGCGATGTATTCAAATTCGTGCCGCGCCCTCTGGCTCTTCGCCCGACAGCCTGCCCCTCGCAAGCACGCCTAGCTCTGTTGAATCCCGAGGTAAATAGGTCCCTAAAGACTGCTTTCGAGAGGGATCCTAACATTCAATCTTCATAGATGCGCGATTCGATGTTATCGGTGCTCCATACTCACTTCTTTCGGTCTCGCTTTCCGCGTCGCAAAACCTATACACACGACGAGGAACATTGGTTGGATTGAGCGGCAAGGCAGATAACGTATGAACGCCTGTTCAATTGCTGTGCTGGACCCTTTATCGTATTGACGCATAAATTTTACAGGTTATTTCGACCTTGAGCGTTCTAGAGCCCTTCCGCAGGGCAGTTGTCGGTGTGCCTTTCCTCTACCAGAAGGTATGATGCGCGTTATTTCAACATTGAAAAATCCGGAAGACAGCCATTGACGACTACTAGGTCTCCTCCGCCACCCCCGTCACAGCCCTTGTCTCCGTTCGATCACCCAATACTTCGTTTGCCGTGGTGAACGTCAATGGATCTGTGGATTGGATGGTTGCCCAGAGACGGGCCTTGCTTGCATGGACTGGCCGGTCTCTGTCTATCAAGCCAACCATCAACGCCAATCTGGTTTGTGGCTTCCATCCAGTGGAAAATCCTTTGCTAATATGTGCAGAGCTTGTCCCATTGGGGTAGCTCTGAGGTGACCGGCCGGGGTTTAATAGCCCTGGTTGGTAACGGACAGATTTACTCCGTCGAATTGAAGGAGGGAGAGCAATACATTGCGCACCCCAGGTATGGCATCGTTGAGCCAAGTCTGTCCTCGAAATAGCTAACAATATACCAGCAACATCCTTGCTTACACCATGTCCTCCAACCCTCCTCGCCCCTACCGCTTCAAATCCACCACTCTCAGCTTCCAGATCCCAGGACTGAAGCCTCTGCCACGACTCCTGCGGAATGCGAAATTCATCCGCGACGTGTCCGAGTCCAAGGCATACAAGAACACCATGCAGTTCTTCCACAAGCTGCGCACCTGGTCCCGAATGACAATCTGGGGAGATAGAGTAAGACAGGTCCATTTGAGTGAAATCCACCCGCTAACATTCCATCTAGCTCTTCATGCAATTCGACGGCCCCACGACCATCCTCGTGTCATCCCGTGGACCTCGCATCAACGACGTTCTATCCGCGCAAGAAGTTAATGAAATCGCCAATGTGCCTCGCGGACTCACCTCTGCCCCCGTCGAGGCGGAAGAGCTTGCGAGCAACATGGCCGAGCTGACGCGCTCTGTCGAGCAACTGGAGCAGGACATTCAAAGTACCAGCCAAAGCGTGGAGCAACTCCGCAAGGATGGAAAGGAACCTGCCCGCGAATAAATAGATTGAGAACGGATTTGGAGTTCCTGGCATTGGGCCGGATGGACTTAGGATGAGTATCATGTTGCATCCTGTACAATATAGGCATTTCTTTCAATTCAGCTCTCGTTTTTAGTCAATTTCAAACCCACTGGTCTGGTCTGGGGTTACTCTTCATGGTAATGGATATGGGATGCTTCAAAGGTTAGGGTTAGGGTTACACGGAAGCCAGTAGACAGCTGATGCCTTTCGAGGCTGGATGGTACCGGTGAGAATTGCCACTTAGCTATGGCATTTGAGATCCATACCTTGACTGTTGCTGTGGTTGTGGTACAGACTCTGGTCCAATCGAGACATTTTGCCTTGGCTCTTCCATGAGCGATGTCCTTCCACGGCTGTCCCATCCAGTCTTCGCCGTTCTCCCAAAATTGAAATTGTTTTACTTTTCGATCTGTGACCAGCAAGAAACACGCTAGAGCAAAAGCGCCTAACATAATAAGGTTGTCCCCACAACTGAGCACAGATACGGAGTGTCCACGGAGCATCCACGGAGCCTCCAGCTCCCAACTTCCTAAAAGATTACAAAGAACCCCTGGTCAATATTGGAAGCCGAGTGATGAGTCTATTGGAAATCTAGATCGACTCCCGTCACACTATTGAACAGCAATGCATCTTCCCGAAATGCACACTTCATCCGGCCCTTATTTTGAATAACGGTCAGACTGGTACTCGATGGACCCCAGGTCCGATTCCGAATCATGGGCAATAGTTCTTCGGGGGTCCATTTGTACAAATCCGAGATCATAAGTCCGATACAGATGCGTTGGCCCGGGGAGCTCATTTCTTGAGATCTCTACCTCTATTCGCTGAGGCTTCCATGTAGGCCGAATTCCAACCCGTCAAGCCCTATGGAAGTATAGTACTGTATTGCACACGAGATACTAGTACACTCCCGTCGAATCAGAAGCATGATACCTATATAGATGTAAACAAGTCCGATACTGAATCGGAGAATGGGGCAACTCCGGCTCGGCCTTTCGGGCTCTCAACCCAATCTCCGCCGAATCTTTGCCAGATCGGGAGATTTTGGGGGCATTCCGGGCCCACTGTAAAGCGTGCGTATGTGTGATTGGCCATGTTCTCTCGCCTTGGTTGGTAAACTATGATGCCGATTGAAAAAAAATAAAAAGTGGTAGCTCTCGGACTTATCTGGACGCGACAGGCCGAAGAATATAAATCAACTGCTTTCCAAACTGACTTGCCAGGGATTCAGATTCAACCGGTTGACAAGCTCGGTATACTTTTGAATCGATCTTGTTCAACGTCCTTTCGATCCCGTTGGGAGTATAAAAAGGCCTGATCGTCGATACTGTTGAAAATCACCATGGCCGCTCAAAGCGAAACAAACGTTCACTCGAACGAGAGTGCTCAATCTGCCAACACAACGCCCACGGCCAGTGTATGCGGGAATGATCCAGAGAAGGGAGCAGAGCCCGAAAAGGCTGCGGAAAAATCACTTGCCAATGGCCCGGCGCCTGCAACACCGGTAATCGGACCACCACCAGATGGAGGTGCGCAAGCATGGCTCGTTGTGCTAGGAGCTTTCTCCGGGCTATTCGTGAGCTTCGGCTGGATCAACTGTAAGTCATAGTCCCAGGGAAAGCAACAACAAACTAACTTTCCTCAGGCATCGGAGTCTTCCAAACATACTATGAAAGTCACCAACTGAGCACCTATTCCACCAGCACAGTAACATGGATCACATCCCTCGAGACCTTCGTCATGTTCTTCTGCGTAAGAGCCCCCAAACCCTCAACTCCAAGCCAAAGCTAACTCCATCAGGGTCCAATCTTCGGCACACTCTTCGACAGCTATGGTCCACGCAACATCCTCCTCCTCGGCACCTTCCTCCACGTCTTCGGTCTCATGATGGCCTCCCTCTCAACAGAGTACTACCAATTCATTCTTGCGCAAGGAATCTGCAGCCCCATCGGCGCAAGCGCCATCTTCAACGCCTCCGTCAACTCCGTCAGCACCTGGTTTGCCCAGCGCCGCGCCTTCGCCCTCGGCATCACTGCCTCCGGATCAAGTCTCGGTGGTGTCATCTTCCCCATCATGGTCACCCAGCTGATTCCTAAAGTCGGGTTTCCCTGGGCGATGCGTATTTGCGCATTCCTGATTCTCTTCATGCTGGGTATTGCCAATGCGACTCTCAGGTCGAGATTGCCGCATCGGCCTAAGCAATTTGATATTCTGGGTTTTGTGCGGCCGTTGGCTGAGTTGAAGTTTGCATTGACGGTCGCGGGTGCCTTCTGTTTCTTCTGGGGTATGTTCTTGCCGTTCACTTTTGTGATCACCCAGGCGGAACGGTATGGCATGTCTGAGAGAATGGCGGGGTATCTGATTCCCATTTTGAATGCTGCCAGGTATGTATTGTCCTTCGGATTTCGGTTCTCTTCTAACGTGTTTTTCAGTATCTTCGGACGTACCTTGCCCGGTTACCTGGCCGACAAAGTCGGTCGCTACAACACGATGGTCGTCACGACGTTCTTCTCTGCGATTCTCGTGTTGGCGCTGTGGCTGCCTGCCCGCGGCAATATTCCGGCCATCATTTTCAGTGCCTTGTACGGATTTGGATCCGGGGCCTTTGTTTCCTTGGCGCCGGCGTGTGTGGCGCAGATCTCGGATCTGCGACAGGTGGGTGTTCGCAATGGCACGTTCTTTGCGGTGATTTCCTTTGCGGCGTTGACGGGTACGCCGATTGGGGGTGCGTTGGTGCCGGATGTGCTGCATGGGGATTATACTCATTTGCAGATCTTCTGTGGTGTTGTGGTGATCACGGGAGCGTGTTTGTTTGTTTTGGCTCGGGGGGTTATTGGGGGGTTCAAGTTGCAGAAGGTATAACTTTTACTTACACTAGATACATATAATTTAATATACAACGTCGAAGTTGGAACATCCAAGGTTAAGGTTACAGTTAGAGTTCACCCCTGGATCGAGTCAACAACTACACTACATATGTTGTACATATGTGCTCTGTACAGAGTCCTTTGTATAGGAGACATCTTCTACATACGGAGTACACTATAACTACTAGTTCGATACTCCTTTGATAAAGACCTCCGCAATCCCAGTGCCTAATAGGGTTAGTGTATGCGCGATTAAAGAGCCGTGCGCGGGCCAGAACTTCCAGAACATGACAACCACGAGGCTACACAGTACTCCTGTGCGACCTACAGTTCTCCGTACGTCTTAAGTAGATAGTATATTCTGTACTGTATTCACATTAAATAGAGATATATTCCCTATGAAACCCATCTATAAATTCCTCAAACACAAAGAGCAAGAACAAACGCCTCGAACTCAAGATGAAACGCTCCGTAGACTCGCGATACCCACGCTAGTCGCCTCCACTTTTCTCCTTCCCCTAAGTACTCGCAACCTCCCTGACAGATTCTATCTGCACACTCATTTCCGGGGAACCGCACCCCATCCATTCCTTCGCACGTGCGTCACCGTGGACATATACTCCGTACATACACACAACACCCTCTCCGACGCACCGCATCTCCCGCGCTTACTGAAACCAGTAAGCACATTGTCCTGCATGCACGACTCCTACTGATACCAGCCTCCAGCCATTCCATTCCACCTTTTCCACGTCCACGTCCACGTCCGCATTCAACTCCCCCACCGCACACCATGGGCCTCATCGACAAGCTACAAGCCAGTACGTCCCCCCACAACACACACACAAACCCGACTGACAAATCCAGAACTCGAGCTCTACCGCCTCGAGCAGCGCTACGCCCGCCGCAAACACCGCAGTAACTTCTCCACGGGCGCTCAATACGTCGATGGCGAATATGTCTACTCAGGTGCCAGTTCGCCAACCAGTACCGTGTCCAAACAGTCTACCGGGAGCTGGCGGCCAACGTGGGGAAGTCAGACGTCGCGATGATGGGATACTCGGGATTTAGCGCATTTGGTTCGATTCTTGTTCTTAGCATTTTTTCTTTCTTTCTTTTTCTTTCTCTTCCTCTTTTCATTCCTTTTTTATCTGAGGTTGGACTCGCGTGATGATCCGCGAGTCGGGTCTTGTACATTTCTTTGCTTTTTGTTTTGTTTTTGTTTTGTTCTTGGGGAAATTTGGGGCATTGTGTTTTTTTTTATGAATTTCATGTGTGGTGGCCGGATTCAAAAGTGGATGCTTTCTTCGCTTGAATTTTGGATGGGTCTGCTTCTTGCATCATTTAGATGTTCAATTATCTGATTAGATTTGGATCTTGATCGCTGTCTTATTCATCCCATCTCCTGTAGGCAAGTACAAAGATATCACCTAGGTAACGCTCGATCATAGGAACAGCCAGTGTTCGCGGATAAATACAAGACCTATGTGATGTCAAGAGAATGCAAAGTTACTTCTTAGACTTGCGCCCTCCCATCGTCAACCGTCCCAGATTCGGCAGACTCGACTTGTGCTTGTGGCCCGAACCCAGGATGGAAGACGAATTGCCCTTCGGGCCTGGCTCTGACCCGCGTCCCCCGGGCGCAGGGGGAGGAGGACCTGTCGGAGGCCCGCGAGGGGCATCGGGGAGACGGGTTCGAGAGCCATCGGCGGCGGCGGCGGAGAGCGCAGCGGTGAGCGCCGGGTTCTGCGCTTCTTGGGCCCGGTGCAGCTGGTTAGAGGAGCGACGGGTGCGCTCTTGCACAACCTTGAACTTGTCGAGGAGATCCACCCAGCGGATGTTGTTTTCGTCACGGGTCTTGAGGCGGGTGCCGGTTGGGCGGTCAAAGGAGGATCCGGTGGGGAGGGTACTGGGGGCCATGGTCTTAGAATCCTTCTCACGGTAGGGGCTTGGGAGCTGGGATGCGCTGGGGGAGCGAGGAGAGGGTCCATACTTGCGGGGTCCACTGTGCAGGAATCCAATGTTGCTAACACTGTTGAGGCGGTTTTTCAGGGCGGCGAAAGCGGAGCTCTGGGGGAGGAGCATGAGGACGCCGTAGAGACATTTGTACAGGAAGGGATATTTTTCGGGTTCGAGGAGTTGGAGACGAAGATCTGTTGGATGGGATTGTGAGTTCATGTATATGATCCATGGCCGATGGACGTACATGTGAAGACAGGGGACTCTAATAATTGCACCAACTTATCGATCTGGATCAACATGTTGACTGTCATTTCCAGTTCGGCACTGTATATGTCGATGTCAGCCACACCTTTGCGATCATTCAATTTTGTCATGTCACCCACAATATCTGAAGTAGATTGTATGCCTGCTCATACGCTTGGGCGAGAAGGCAGAGGGAAAACGTGGAGACGGCATTGTGGCACCAGGATCGGAAGAGCGTAACAAAGAACAATTGACCATCCTGGAAGACTTATTAGGTTTGGATCAATGCGGCGGATAGTTCTGAAGTCTCACCTTTGAGTCAAGATTCCTCAGTCGCTTCCTCAAGTCTGAGAGCTCAGGCGCAGTGATGAGGTTGTTATTCAGGTTCTGGACCATGATGCTGGCAAACTCGAGGTCCTAAACATGGTTAGCACGTAATTTCCTCCAGTGTGAGTGAAAGCCAACTTCTTCCTTCTCGAGGCACTCGGCCAAAGTCCTGTAGATCCGCTCCGGGCTCAAATTGATACAAAGTTGTCGGATGATCAAATTGCCACGCGCTTCAAGTAAGTGCCTGTCAGTTGAGAAGAGCTGCAACAAGTTCACCATGAAAGACGTGAAGTAGCTGTCTTCGCTATTCCTCGATATCTGCGAGAGAAGCTGGAGATCCTTTGTCACCACAGCGTCTGAGGGGTCAGACAATGTCTTCAGTAAAGCCGGGAATGTGCCATCATTGAAGGCGACGACCTTCCGTGGGGCTTTCTGGTGCAACATGATGAGCCACCTGAGAGCTGCAACCCGAGTTTTGTCGTTTTCATTCAGGAACTGCAAGGTGAGTGAATTGACGGCGGCGGCATAATCGAGATCCGTTGTAGGCAGTGGCGTAGAAACACCGCTACTGCGGGCGGTTTCCGCAAGCGAATTCTCTCGCGTGTGTCTCCTTGTATCAACACTCGATGTCTCGGAGGGTCTGATCCCGGGAGTGGATGATCGTCGCTCAATGGGTTCTTTGCTGGATGTGGCGAAGGGGATTTTCGATGAGCTTGCCTGAGGCTCTTCAGTTGTATCGTTGGAAAGAGAGTAGATGTACTGCATGAGAGAGGTGTTGACTTGGTTCGCGGCCGCTCCCACTGAGTCCGAGCCGCTCGACATGGCCGGGAGAACTTGAGTTAGAAGTCTGGGGACAAAGGGGAGAATATCCTCAGGGCTGATCTCAAAGAAGGCGTCGATCCATCGAAGGGCCGTGAGCTGCATTTCCTCCTCTACACCATTGTAAGCGAACGATCACGACAGCCATGCAGTGTTGACTCACCATGTGATGTATTGACAAAGCCGACTAGAATATCAAGGATCTTTGGATGGTCAATCTGGACATCCTGGCCTGGGATCCAATCTCCGTCAGCCTGAAGGAATTCGTCGGTGGAAGCCTCCGACGCGGAATCTTCCACGGCGATATCATTCTTGTACTCGGAGGCGCCGTCGATGGGCATGTTCTGCTCCGTAGCGTTGCTCATGACGTCGCTAGCAACGGAGTGTCGGTTACTTTTCTCGCTCTTGCGGCTTTCTTCGATTCCTTTCTTCAGTCGTGTGATCCTCTTGATCTCCAGCAGGAAACGATCGAGTAGACCCTGGGTCGCAACGTTCACGTCGTTGTTCGGACCGCCGAGGAACTTGATGAGACCTTCGAGGAAGTCTGGCAAATAACTCACTAATTCTAGATCTGGAATCGTATCCAAGAGAGTCAACCAAGAGACAAGGAAGTTGCGAGTAAACGGCTGGATCACGTGGATGCGTTCTTGAAGCAAAGGGATGAATCGTGCGAGAGAGAATGCCATAGGAAGCTCCGTGTCTTCTTGGTTTTCTGTCTCCGGGATTTCCTTCTCGGGCATGTGCAAAATTGAAACATACGAAGCCGCTGACTCGGCAACGATGTCTTTCACCAATCGATCTAGAAGCTCTGCACCATTCTTCACGGAAAGCTCCGAGTCGGATGCAAGCTATACTGCACGTCAGCGCATGTTCGATCCCAAGACCGCACCCCTTACCTTAGCCAACGCATCAAAGATCTCGTTGAAAAAGAGCAAAATTTCTCCTTTAGCCACCTTGGCAATGTTGTACATGCTCTCACAAGCATAGTATCGAACCCTCGCATCTTGATCCGAGAAACACGCCAGCACTGGCGGCACAATTTCACTCAAGTATGGCGCGACACCTTCCTATATCACCCGTATTAGCCCAGAAGCTCCGCGAAGGCCAGTTTGTCCATCCTCACAGATCCGAGGGCAATGGAAGCCGCAGCCAATCCAATCAACCCTCCATTTCGGGCGTGAGGCTGATGCACGGCGTATGCATAGTCATGGCAAAGTTGCTCGACGACTTTTTTGATCTTCTCCTGATCACCTTGGAATATTGAATCGCGTACGACCTTCTCGAGCCTAAGTAGATACCACAGCTATCAGTATATTGCTCTGTCTGTGTTCAATATGGGAACAAAGGATGCCTACTCCAAAGCACCCTGCTTCCTCCGGTCGTAGAGCTTGTCATTCAAAAGCCTCTGAATAGATGGCTCCATCCCTCAAGACAGCTTGTGCTGCAGTTATTCTCCGCTTGATCGGTTAAGCAATGCTCATGGTGGAAGAACCTTGAGAACGTTATTGCGGGCGGGGATCGCCAGAAAGTCACGAGCTCCTGAGCCGAGTCGAGGTTGTCGATCTCACGAAAGAGTATGAAGAAACAAAAGCCTGGGTAGCCCGGGAGCTTAAACGATTAAGGTCGAAAGGTAAACCGATCACTGGGCGCTGAAGATGCGTTGGCAACGTGGAGGTGAGGAGATCCAACCGCGGTGTGACGTATTGTCAGCAGTTCCAGTGGAGTCTTGGAGTTATCCGTGACCGCCTTGGGTATATGACAGCTCAACCCTGAACATTTGAATGCTCACTAGGTTCTTAGAATGCGCAGTTGTCCACGGGAAACAAATTTGGTCATATACTATTAAAAAATCTTTCTGATCATGATCGCTTCTAATACTGCGCTTCAAAATCAAAATCCACCTAAAACTCGAACGCCCAAAGTGCTCCTTATGCCAAATAGGGTCATCAATGACTGATGTACTGGAAGATAGCAGATACATCCTGTTCTCCAGTTTCTTGCCGCAGAAGGAGATCCTGAATCTGGTTGAGTGGGCCTTTTTCACCAGTGTTGACGAAATGGTTCCACGAGCTTGTGTCGCCATATAACATTGCCGGGGCCTTGATGTGTTGCGTGCCGTCAGGCCGACATCGCTTACATTTGAAAGTGTCATGCGTATCGCTGCGGGTGTCTGGCTTGAACTGGAACAGCTCTCGCAGGGAGTCCAAAGAGAAGTGGCGTTCCACATCCTCGGCAGAGTCAACCACGCAGGTCGAGAGAGATTGTTTGTGAGATTGGCGCTGGAAGATCTTTTCCTCAATTGAACCAGTCGCAATAAAGCGGTAGACGAAACAGTCTTTCTTCTGCCCGTCTCGCCAGACTCTTGCCAAAGCCTGCTGATCAGCAGCTGGATTCCAGTCAGGATCGAAGAGCACCAGACGGTTGGCACCGATCAAATTGAGACCACACCCACCAGCCTTACTACTCAGGAGGAAGACAAACTCTGGCCCATCTGGATCATTGAACTTGTCGACGAGCTTTGTTCGCTTCTTGATGTTCATTGTTCCGTCGAGTCGCAAACAGCCATAGGCGCGGGACCTGCAAAGCTTCTCGAAAAGATCCAACGTTTGGGTGTAGTTGCTGATGAGGACAATTTTGTCATTGGTATCCTGTCGGATACGGGCGAGCATGCGGTCAAGCACCATCATCTTTCCTGAATACCAGCTCTTGATATCTCTGTCGCGCCCCCGTCCATCGGGGGGTGCATAGTCTTCGGGGAAAGTATGCTCGCATCCCGGCAGGTCCTTTTCCAAATCAAGAAGATCAGGATGATTGCAAAGCTTTTTCAAAAGTCCAATTGCCTTCAATGGCTGACTTCCCTTTCCGCGGAGGAGGCTCTTGATCTCTGGGCTTTGGATGAAATGGTTGTATAGGCCGCGCTGAAACTGCGACATGTTGCAGAACACAACATGCTCATACTTGACGGGCAAGTATTTGGAGAGAAGCTCGTTGGTCCGGCGGATGATAAATTTGTTGACAACACCAGATAGTTCCTTGAGACGCTCATCGCCAAGTTTCTTCTCTTCGTCCGTACCTTCCGCATCTCGACCCTTAAGAATTGGCAATTCAAACTTTTTCCGGAACTCCATTTGGGAGCCAAGGACGTTCGGATTGGCAAAGTGGAGAAGAGCGAAATATTCAGACAGATCATTCTGGATGGGGGTTCCAGAAAGAATGACTCGGCGGGTAACATTGAGTTGATTGAGAGCCGTCCATGTCAGACTGTCTTTGTTCTTCAACCGATGGCCTTCATCACATAGCAAAAGTCCAATTGGTGTATCGTTCAGAGTATCCGCATACATACGAAGTGTCTCATAAGACACAATAAGAACCGGTCGAACGATACCACGACCGGATGCGATGGCCCATTGTTTGATCTGAGCTATTAGCTCTGCTTTCGTGGCCTTGCCGTCTATTGCGAATGGGGTTGTGGCATCTTTCCCAAGCCATTTCACTAATATGGTCAGTTGATGTGGCAACATCGAAATCATGGACCACTAACCCAATTCGTTTGCCCAATTGCCGACCAAACTCGACGGACATGCAATAACGCATTTCTGGATTGTGGTTTTCCCAGCCTCCGAGGATTGCTTTAGGAGAGTCCACATCAAAGCAATACATTGCAGCTGCACGGGTTAGGATCAAGTAGCGATCAACTTTCGATTCGACCCAACTCACTGTTTTGCCCAGACCCATACCATCTGCCATGATACACCCATTGGCATTCTTATCTACCAAACCGGTCACACAGCGATAAAGAAACTATCCATCCATCTAGCATTAGCTTCAACTCCATAGAATCTTCTGGTTGATACCATACCCTCACACCCTCAACCTGATGTGGCCGAAGAACTTTGCTCAGCCTAGGATCAATCACAACCGGCACCTTTGGTCGTTCTTCAACGTCCTTTTTGAGACCTAGAATGTCGGCCAAACTTTTATGCACGATTGGTTCATCAATTTTCGGTGCTTCTTCCTCGGGCGCCTCCAGGCTTTTAGGCGCAGGTTCTTGAGCGACATCATCCACAGTCGGGTCATATAGCACGATGGCAAACTCTCCACTCGGGTCATGGAGCGGTTTAACGACAAATGTTGCGCCCCGTCGCATACCCAATGTTGGAGCGGCCCGTCCAGAATTGTAGTCATCCGTGTCTTTGTTCAGCAATGGGACCTGAAATCGAGACCTAAATGCCGTATCCTTGTCTCTCGGCTTGAAAACCGGAAACTTGTTGACCTCTCTGGTTGCCAGAGCGAGTCTGTCATCGTTGGTATACGGCTTCTCGCCATCCTCGACGCTTCCATCAGCATTGGCGTAATTGACCTTCCGCTTCTTCCTCGAAGGCTTCTCAGATGCCCGCGTTGGTGTCGCAGAGCCGGGACATTTGAATGGCCTCACGAGTCGATCGATTGAGTTCTGGGAGTTCGCTGATTTGGGTTGTAAGGGCGTCTTAACACCGCCATCGCCACCCGTTGGTCGTGATCGATACCTTCGCGACATTAGTATCTTGAATAACGAAACGAGTCAGGTGCAAAACTCACATTGAGCCAAATTCCAAAATGAAGAAGAATCCCCCGAGCCAACTTCTATACAATGATCCCAATGACCCCAAAGCGTGGAAGTGGCGAAGTTCGATCGTCAACGCGCTCCTGCCTCGCGTCAGCCTAGGCTTACAAACACCAAAATGTCACGTTCGCACGTGACGCTCCGGAGGTCCGCCTGAGGGGCACCCCACTACCGGGGAACCGGGGGAGGTGAGATAATTTGCTTGTTCTCTTGTAAATAGTTTTGAGAATTCTTGTCGGGTATCTCATGGCCGCCGACTTTTGGGCTGGCTACCTCAGTGGAGCCATTGGGATCATCATCGGCAATCCTCTTGATGTCATCAAAGTTCGGCTGCAGGCCGGAAATGCGCATGCAGATACATCGACGTCCAATCTAGGTCGCTGGGAGAGAGCAGGCTCTCTTGTCCGAGGTGCGTTTTGGCCAACCATGCAAGCTTGCCTGAAACCCTTTGATTAACTATCGTCATAGGTGCTGCTGCTCCAATTCTGGGATATGGAGCTCTCAATGCTATTCTTTTTGTGGCCTACAATCGGTCATTGAAGGCTTTGGACGGGTCTGTATCAGACCCCACCAATCCGGTGGGAGTCTCACCATACAACATTTGGCTTGCCGGAGCTGCAGGTGGATTGGCTAGCTGGACAATTTCATCACCAACGGAACTCATTAAATGCCGGGCGCAATTAGATTCCCGTCCAGAAGTCTCATCGTGGACGGTTGCCAAGGACATTTTCCACACGCGCGGATGGAGGGGGCTCTATTATGGTGGAGGGATTACTAGCGCCAGAGATGCAATTGGCTACGGATTCTAGTACGGAACACACACGCCACCCCCAGATACCCCAGAGGAACCTAGTTGCTGATCTACGGCAGTTTCTGGTCTTACGAACTGTGCAAACGATTTATGACTTCTGAAGATGATGGTCAATATCAGGCCGCTATGAACATTTTGCTCTGCGGTGGCATTGCTGGCGTTGTCACTTGGGGCTCCGTTTTCCCTCTGGACATGATCAAGACGAGACTGCAGGCACAGACTATTGATTATGGCCGGGGGGCTGAAGCGCAGTCTCTACTCCAACAGCGCCAGCCGCTGAACTCTTTCCAGATTGCGAAAGAAACATACCGTGCCGAAGGTCTCAAGGCATTCTACCGAGGTCTTGGGGTATGCAGCACCAGAGCATTTATGGTGAATGCTGTCCAGGTATGTGCTCCGCGCAATTGGGAGAGACCGCAAGCTAAGACCTCAGCAGTGGGCAGCCTACGAATGGTTGATGAAGAGCTTCAGTCAATGGGGCACACAGGTGAAGCTCCAAGCACCCACGGTGGGTCTGTAGATTCATCGGAGCGATGGAGGTATAGAGAGACTTGATCAAATCGAAACATCCGACCGGAACCCAATTCAGGTTAGATTCTACTAGTATTTGGTATTGAGGGATTTCTATTGGAAATACTGGGAAACATTGCTGGTAAAGGAGGTAAATTTCGCTCAGATGCCGTTTTCGCCGAACATCGGCGGTTTCAAAGTTCACCCGTAAACCGGAAGAACGGAAAGCCGGCGAGTATCGGCAATATAAAAAAAAAAAAGCCTCACGTGAGACTCCACCGATATGCATGAGCGCGTTGAGGAATCCAACGTCGGTCTAAATGGGAAAACTTTTGTAGGTCGATGTGCAGAATAGATGATCGTGGTCGCGTCGCAAAGGTTGTGATTATCCCAGAAGGCGTGGTCCGTTTATTCCTTCATCAGGTCGGGGTTCTCTTCTCGCTTGCCGTTGTCGATGACACCGAGTCCGACCGCACGTTCGGCGAGTTGTTGGCTGTGAGGCTCCTCTTTGAGAATCTTGACTCTGGCAGGCAAAGAAGGATAATGTCAGTTATGCGACGCGGTGTGGGGTTGATGGTGTTGGACACTCACCTCTTCTTGTGATTCTTGCCCTTGGTATGAGCCTTGAGATTGTATTCACTCTCAAACCACTTGGAGCATTCCAAGCAGAAATGTCTGCCCAGGCCAGGAAGGTCCTCTACATCCTTGGTGCTTTTGTATTGCTCCAAGTGACGGGGCGACTTCATGTCCGCGACGACCTGATCATAGTCCCTACACGCTGGTCAGCATCTGATCGCACACCACGTAGGACATTGCCGAGGGTAAACGTACCTGGTGCGGTGTCTGTTCTTGATCTGCCTGGTAGCACCCATTGTAGCTGATTGCCGAAATACCTCGGAGCTTCCGAATATTATCAAAATAGATGCAAGGAAAAAAAAGATTATCACCGATTTCCGGAGTGAACGGTGAGGAAAGCGGGTCTGTTGTGAGAAGGACAAGCAGCAAAGTCGAACGAAATTTCCGCTGACTGTGGGCCACGGGCAGCGATTCAAACGCCCCGGGTATGATTGGCCGGCTCCTAGACACGGCCTCTTGGCGGCGATGCGGGATTGCCGTCGGCACGCCTCGGCTCAATCGGTTTCGTCACTTGCCGTACTCCCTGTATTTATGACGTTTGCATGCGGTAAAGGTAAACCAGTGCATTAATTCTATGTAGTGTCCTATATTCAAGAATTATATCTGGATATCTCAATATAGATACAGCTGGACAGCTCGATCATAAAGCCCAGGACTATATAGTAGGGTAGAGGTAGCTCTGAACACAGTACATGTGTCTGAGCCGTCAAACCCACATGCCGAGTCCAAGCAGGGTTGCATATGGGGTACAGAGCCGAAAGGAGAGAACACATTGACCTTTAGCCCTTTGGTCCGAAATGAGAGAGCTGGGCAAGGACCTGGTAATTGGAAACACCATGATTGGTGGCCGAGTTATACCCGTCACATGCCTTGTATCGCTGATACAACCCCGGTACGCCTGTGCCCCAGACAAACCACTTCATGTGTGGAAGCCTTCACATAGGGAAATGGAAATAAGGGACAAGGGGCTGATCGGATGAACGATTAGGACAATATGGCTCACATTTTCCGAACTCACTTGCGTGAATTCTCGGCCCAAAGCAGTGTCTATCAAAATGCCCAGCCCTTCTTTGCCGTCGCATGCGGGAGGCTTAGCCCAATACGCTGTATTGTATCGCCCTGGTAACAGCGGTTACGGCTCTATGCCCGGGCCCCGTAGAATCTTTCTCCCACTCAAAACCAAGCTTTCGTCCTTTTCTTTCTTTCTGATCTCTTCCTCTCTCATTCCACTCTCCACTCTCATACTTTGGTGAAGGTGGTTAATAGCTCTTGGATGCTCAGTTCCATCTCATAGAGCTTGCATCATGATCTCCACCCGCCTTGCGCGCGCCGGTGCGCTGGTAAGTTTTATATCCCTACATCCTCGGCTCCGTGCGGCCGATGCTGCTCAGAGGGTCGATGGGAATCTTGGATTTGAAGAAGATGCTAACTTGCTATGATCATAGGCCCCCAAGTTCCGTCTTGTAAGCAGCAACCTTGCACCAAGCCTCCGCCACACGTGGCGGATATATGGCGGGCGAGCTTTGACCGAAAGTATGCATTTACTGACTTGAGAACAGTTCAACGGAACCCGGGCTTACGCCACTGATGTCCTCGACAAGAAGGTCGAGATGACCAACCAGGAAACTGTGAGTGGCTGTCGGGCTTAGCGCCGCACAGGCGGGCGTGGAGTATCAGCAGCCAACAGCAGCTAACGCATTGGATATTAGGGCCACTACATTAACTACAAGAAGATGTCCGAGAACCTCGACATCGTTCGCTCCCGTCTGCAGCGTCCTCTCACCTACTCCGAGAAGGTCCTGTACTCTCACCTTGACGACCCTCACGGACAGGACATTCAGCGTGGTGTCTCTTACCTCAAGCTCCGCCCCGACCGCGTTGCTTGCCAGGATGCCACCGCCCAGATGGCCATTCTGCAGTTCATGTCCGCTGGCATGGACCGCGTTCAGACCCCCACCACCGTCCACTGTGACCACTTGATTGAGGCCCAGGTTGGAGGTGAGAAGGATCTTGCTCGTGCCAACGACATCAACAAGGAGGTCTACGACTTCCTTGCTTCCGCCACTGCCAAGTACAACATTGGTTTCTGGAAGCCCGGCTCCGGTATCATTCACCAGATCGTTCTTGAGAACTACGCTTTCCCCGGTGGTCTGATCATCGGTACCGACTCCCACACCCCCAACGCTGGTGGTCTCGCTACCGCCGCTATTGGTGTCGGTGGTGCCGATGCCGTCGACGTTATGGCTGGTCTCCCCTGGGAGCTGAAGGCCCCCAACGTCATCGGTGTCCGTCTCACCGGTAAGATGTCCGGCTGGACCACCCCCAAGGATATCATCCTGAAGGTCGCTGGTCTCCTCACCGTCAAGGGTGGTACTGGTGCCATCATTGAGTACCACGGTCCCGGTGTCGACTCCCTGTCCTGCACTGGTATGGGTACCATCTGTAACATGGGTGCCGAGATTGGTGCCACCACCTCCATCTTCCCCTTCAACGACCGTATGTACGACTACCTGAAGGCCACCAAGCGTCAGCACATTGGTGACTTCTCTCGCGACTACGCTGCCCAGCTCCGCGAGGATGAGGGTGCTCAATACGATCAGCTCATCGAGATCAACCTCGATGAGCTCGAGCCCCACATCAACGGTCCCTTCACTCCCGATCTTGCCACCCCCCTTTCTCAGTTCAAGCAGGCTGTTAAGGACAACAAGTGGCCCGAGGAGCTCAAGGTCGGTCTGATTGGTTCTTGCACCAACTCCTCCTACGAGGATATGTCTCGCTCTGCCTCCATCGCCCGTGACGCTCTTAACCACGGCCTCAAGTCCAAGTCTCTGTTCACCGTCACCCCCGGTTCCGAGCAGATTCGCGCTACCATCGAGCGTGACGGTCAGCTCCAGACCCTCGAGGAGTACGGCGGTGTCATCCTTGCCAACGCCTGTGGCCCTTGCATCGGTCAATGGGACCGCAAGGACATCAAGAAGGGTGAGGCCAACTCCATCATCTCCTCCTACAACCGTAACTTCACTGGCCGTAACGACGCCAACCCCGCCACCCACGCCTTCGTCGCCTCCCCCGACCTGGTCGTCGCCATGACTGTTGCTGGTACCCTCAACTTCAACCCCATGACCGACACCCTCAAGGACAAGGACGGCAAGGAGTTCAAGCTCAAGCCTCCCTCCGGTGACGGTCTCCCCACCCGCGGTTACGACGCTGGTCTCGACACCTACCAGGCTCCTCCCGCCGACCGTAGCGCTGTCACCGTCAACGTCTCCCCCACCAGTGACCGTCTCCAGATTCTGGCTGGCTTCACCAAGTGGGACGGCAAGGATGCCACCGACCTCCCCATTCTCATCAAGTGCCAGGGCAAGACCACCACTGACCACATCTCCATGGCTGGCCCCTGGTTGAAGTACCGTGGCCACTTGGACAACATCTCCAACAACATGCTGATCGGTGCCACCAACGAGGAGAACGGTGAGGCCAACAAGGTCAAGAACTACTTCACCAAGGAGTACGATGCCGTTCCCGCCACTGCCCGTGACTACAAGGCTCGCGGTGTCAAGTGGGTTGTCATCGGTGACTGGAACTACGGTGAGGGATCTTCCCGTGAGCACGCCGCTCTCGAGCCCCGCCACCTCGGTGGTCTCGCCATCATCACCCGCTCCTTCGCTCGTATCCACGAGACCAACCTGAAGAAGCAGGGTATGCTTCCCCTCACCTTCTCCGAGCCCGCCGACTACGACCGCATCAACCCCGAGGACAAGGTCGACCTCCTCTGCACCCAGCTCGAGGTTGGCAAGCCCATGACCCTCCGCGTCCACCCCAAGGACGGTGGTGCCGCCTTCGACATCTCCCTCAGCCACACTTTCAACGAGTCCCAGATCGAGTGGTTCCACGACGGCTCTGCCCTCAACACCATGGCCCGCAAGGCTTAAACTGCTCCTCTCATGACTTTTCATTAAAATCTTCAAATAGCCCGTTATCACGGGCATTTGTGTAAAGTACGTTCTCTGTGTTGAACAATTCAGATACATGCTTGAGGGGTAGGGGTTGCAGTCAGGTTGTCTGGGATGGCCCGTATCCCTCGTGCATACGAGGAGTTGCGCTCTGGGAAAATTTATGATCTTGTGTTTTTGTAGGCCTGCTCGGCCTTGCGTTGATTCCCGATTTCTGGGTGGGCTCAATGGATATACTCTTTTTGATTTTTACATCGTTTCTTGTATGTTAGGAATGGCATGCATACACAATTTCTTTGAGTTAAGCAAATTTCCAGTGTAGTCATAACTGTAGTCAAAACTGTAGTCAACTATGTTATCTCGTCCAGTGCTTGACTACATGGAGTGCAATTCGGGCTGGTAGCACCTAAGTGATCACCATTCCGGGTCTTGGAATCCCAAGTACTGTTCTCAATACTAGTTCTTCGTCTGGTTGTCACATTGAGCAGCGACTAGATATGATCAGTATAAAATACGATGCCAAGTCGAGGAAGCTAGATTATACAAACTACTATGTCCGTATAGTAGGGTCCCCGCAGCCGAGGCATAGCCCCGCGCGGACAGCCGTGAAGAGCCGACTATCTCTGGAGACAGGCAAGCTCTAGTTCATCTCGCTGCCGGGCACTGCAATATAATTATCTAGGTAACAGCCAGCAATCCTACCTGGGATCTTCACATCGACATCGCTGAGCATCCTTACTAACAACTGGTCATCTATTGGTCCACATCTCTTGGTCACTATCACAATTTATCCAAGTCTATCTCAGCCTGCCATGGCAACCCAACTAGTGCCGCTTCCCGAGGTAGAGCGCCTCAGCGCCTCAGTCATCCGGATCTTGGGCGCAAACCCAGGCAAAGTGAGTCCAGCCCATATCCTGCCCAGGTGCCCGAGGCATGGCAGTCACAGCACATGCTGACAAGCCACTGCAACCAGTTCACACTCCAAGGTTAGCTCATTACCTGCAGCCGTCCCTATCTGGACCAGGCTCTAACCTCAACCAGGCACAAATACATACTTAATTGGGCGCGGGCATCAGAGAATCCTCATCGACACCGGCGAAGGACAGCCGGCATGGGCCCAAAACCTGAAAACCGTCCTGACGGCCGAGAAAGCCACCGTGCACCAGGCCCTCATCACCCACTGGCACGGTGACCATGTCAACGGTCTACCAGATCTACTCCAGATCTGTCCCCAGGCCCATGTCTACAAGCACCAGCCGGGATCAAACCAAAATGACATCCAAGAAAGCCAGACCTTCTCTGTCGAAGGCGCCACGCTGACGGCACTACATACGCCAGGTCACACAGTTGACCATATGGCCTTCATTTTGGAAGAAGAAAATGCCATGTTTACAGGTGACAGTACGCCCCTCATTCCCCCTACAGTAGTGCAGATCTCACACGTCCAGATGTCCTGGGCCATGGCACGGCCGTCTTCGAAGACTTGAAGACCTACCTCAGCAGTTTGCACCGAATGCGCGACCGAGCCTCCGGTCGCGGGTACCCGGGCCATGGAGCCGTGATTGAGAATGCCGGGGCGCGCATCACGGAATACATCAAGCACCGACAGCAGCGGGAAGACGAGGTGCTGCACGTCCTCAAATACGGGTCGCTAGATGGGACAGTGGTGAATATTAAGACGTGGACGCCCCTGGAGTTGGTCAAACAGATTTACAAGAATGTTCCGGAGTCATTGCATTTGCCGGCTTCGCATGGAGTAGCACTGGTGTTGGCGAAGTTGGAGGATGAGGGGAGAGTTGTGGCGGACGGGGATGGATGGAGATTGAGTGAGAAGTCAACATTGTGAATTGATATCTTGTATCAGACATAGAGTGGAGAGGAAAGGGGGAAAAATCAAGCGTGGAGAGTCGAAGTCGAAGCAGGAAATTGATGACAGACGTCAGCGATCGGTCATGACAAAAGGGAAAATAACAAGGTCTTTCCTGACTGGCTGGCTTCTGATGCCTGTACATCTTGCTCTCTCTGATTTTCTTTTCCCTTTTTTTTTCTCTATCCTCACCTCATGTAAGTGTTAGTGAAGAACTCCACCGGTATTTCCAAGTTATAGAGTGTGACGCCAGGCCACTCTCCCACCCCCACTCTACTACCCTTTTTTCCCTCTCGAGAGCTGCCCGCGAAGTCTAACCTTGCATTTGGCATATGGAGATCGTGTGCAAATAGCTGGCCCTCGTTCAGCTGCATTCCCTCTGCTCGCCTTTTTCGAGCAGATCGGTCGTCATAAGGTTGGTGATCTTCCCCCGCACGAGCGACTCCGTCTAATCGCATTTTCTTTGGCAGCCACAGCCTCCCTCATACCTGCCCAGGTGAACACGGCCTTGTCTCATTGCATTTATCCTGCATTCCGATACCCGACCCGTCATCATGTCTGCCGACGAACCCACGAACGAAGCCCGCTTGCTGCTAGTCTCCAACCGCCTGCCGATCACCATCAAGCGGTCTGACGATGGAAAATATGACTTTTCCATGTCTTCAGGAGGTCTAGTCAGTGGATTGAGCGGTCTTTCAAAATCAACTACCTTCCAGTGGTACGGCTGGCCCGGTCTGGAAGTGCCTGAGCCCGAAATCCCGGTTGTCAAGCAGCGCCTGAAGGAGGAGTATGGTGCCGTACCCGTCTTCATCGACGACGACTTGGCGGATAGGCATTACAATGGTTTCTCCAGTGAGTGGACTTCGCTGCTGTCCCCCTACAGCTCTAGCAGCGGTACTGATGCTTCCGGATAGACTCCATCCTCTGGCCGCTGTTCCATTACCACCCTGGTGAAATCACATTCGATGAGGGTGCCTGGGAGGCTTACAAAGAAGCCAACAGGCTCTTCGCGAAGGCTATCTCAAAGGAGGTGAAGGATGGTGATCTGATCTGGGTCCACGATTACCACCTTATGCTTCTTCCGGAGATGCTGCGCGAGGAGATCGGCGATAGTAAGAAGAATGTCAAGATTGGCTTCTTCCTACACACCCCATTCCCTAGCAGTGAGATTTATCGAATTCTTCCTGTGCGCAATGAGTTGCTTCTGGGTGTTCTGCACTGCGACCTTATTGGCTTCCATACCTATGACTACACACGTCATTTCCTCAGCAGTTGTTCGCGTCTGCTGTGAGTATATTTCGCCCCCGCCGGATTATCCAGCTAACCCAATAATTCCAGGGGTCTTGCCACTACTCCGAATGGTATCGAATTCCAGGGCAAGATCATCACATGTGGCGCGTTCCCCATTGGCATTGACCCCGAGAAGTTCACGGAGGGGCTCAAGAAGGAGAAGGTGCAGAAGCGCATCGCCATGCTGGAGCAAAAGTTCCAGGGTGTGAAGCTTATGGTTGGCGTCGACCGTCTCGATTACATCAAGGGCGTGCCGCAAAAGTTGCATGCGCTCGAGGTGTTCCTCAGCGACCACCCAGAGTGGGTGGGCAAGGTTGTCCTCGTACAAGTTGCTGTACCCAGTCGGCAGGACGTCGAAGAGTACCAGAACCTGCGCGCTGTGGTCAATGAACTGGTCGGACGAATCAACGGAAAGTTTGGTAAGTTTGTCTACTCCCCATTCCCTGTAAATGACGCTCATCTTTTCAAGGCACGATCGAGTTCCAACCCATTCATTTCCTGCACAAGTCCGTCAACTTCGATGAACTTATCGCTCTGTACGCCGTATCAGACGCATGTATCGTCTCATCCACCCGTGATGGCATGAACCTGGTGGCATACGAGTACATTGCCACGCAGCAGAAGCGCCACGGAGTCCTCGTCCTCTCTGAGTTTGCTGGCGCGGCTCAGAGTCTTAATGGCAGTATCATTGTCAACCCCTGGAACACAGAAGAACTAGCAGGCGCCTACCAAGAAGCGGTCACCATGAGTGATGAGCAACGAGCTCTCAACTTTGCGAAGCTAGATAGATATGTCTCCAAGTACACCAGGTACGTTACTGAAGCCAGTCTTGTCCATCTTGCCGTTTACTAACCCTCAACTCTCCTAGTGCATTCTGGGGCCAATCCTTTGTCACAGAACTCACTCGCATATCAGCACATTCCGCCGAGAAGTTTCAATCAAAGAAGCTCGCGGAAGAAGAAAGCAACGCGTAATTCTGAAGGGAAATGAATCTTAGACACGAACTGCACGAGGCGAATGAATGGGGTGTTTTCCCTGGTTGATTTTTGAATGGGTTTCGTTTTATCTCCTACTCTCTTAAAACTAGGATTAATCGCCAAGAGGTTAGATTACATGCGTCCACCGGATTTGTTTCTTGTAAGAAGTCGGGGCAGCCGAGTGAATGCATATTGTACGATTACGATGGGTCTGGTACAAAACACCAATTTACAAACTCGGCCGTTGGTATATTTCTAAGAGCAGGCTACCCTCAAGAAGCCGAAGGGCGATGATTTATACTTAAATGAATTGTGATCATAGTTCTGGAGACCGTGGAGCCCAAGCTGTTGTAATGCCTGTATACTAAGAATGCAAACAGTGCAAACATGCTTCCCCGAGAAATTCTCGAATTCTCAACCGCCGACACCTCAAGCTCGCAACCACTGGAGATCCAATCACCACCGGAATCATCCTGCGCCCTGCTCCTCCGCATTCCGGACACTTAGCGGCTTCAATAAACAGCAAAGATCAAAAGGCCCTCCCACAATGGCCCCAAGCCACCTTCTCCGGGCAACAATGCCACTCCGAACCATCATCACGCCTCTGTCCCTGACACGCACCCCAATCCTCCAATCAACATACATCACCAGCCGCAACACCTCAACAACCCCCCAAACCCCCGGCACAGATACCCAAGCACCCCCACGACTCCGCAACTACGCCTCAGCCCTGAAGACCGGCACCGTCGTCTCAGTCGGCCGCATGGAGCGCACCGTCCGCGTCCTCCACAGACACACAGTCTGGGACCGCCACATCCGCAAATACTACCCGCAGGAAACCAACATCCTGGTCTCCGACCCCGCGAACTCCCTGCGCTCCGGCGACATAATTGAATTCTCGTCCGGTGCGCCGAAGAGCAAACACGTGCACCACGTCGTTGAACGGATCATCACACCCTTCGGCGAGAGCATTGCCGAACGACCTGCTGTGCCTAGTAAGGCGGAGCGCGAGGCGGAGCGCGAGACCCGCTGGGCGGCCAAGTACCTCCGCCGTGAGTCGAGACGGCTCGGGAGGGAAGTTGATCTGCTTGCTGAAGCGGAGAAGGCGGGTGTGGAGGTTGAAGAGGGGGTTTCTACTGCGCAGCTGATTCACAAGATTCATGCGGCGAATGAGCGCGTTGGAAAGGTGAAGAGGCTTGTGCAGGAGCGGACTGAGGTCCACCGGGCTGAGAAGACTGAGCCTGTGGTTTAGGGCTTGGAAACATTGTATAACGTTTTGAGTCTTTTTGTCGTCTCTGCATGCCTGCATTGCATATTCCGAGGCTATGTACTGTACTATACCGCTTCAATTTTCTTTTTCTCTTTGGCATTTGTGATTTTCTTGTATTGGCGTTTCGAATGGGGTTCTAAAAAGTATGTATGTGAAGGGAAGGGGCCTAGTATATCCCTCAATGTCATAATACAAAGCACCCAGCAGTATACGTCGTAAGAATGGGGCCCAGGTGAAGAGGCCGGCCCATTGCCCTGATCATTTGCAACGAGAAAGCATGTAAGTCACTGGTATCACGAGAAAAAATAATCAACTGCCAAAAACGGTGGGCTGAGCCCGAATTCCAGATCCAGACCCTACGGGAATGGGGACCCCGTCGGATTGGGCGCGGGGGGGATTTGGTCTGGCGAGTGTTGCCCGAGGTGAAAGTTCTTTGCTTAGATTTCATTTTCAATCATGATGCAAAGACGCGCACTTTGAGGTCCACACTTCCAGTCGCGAGGACGCATCGAATCGACATCTTAGTCGCGTTGGGATCCTCCTTTGCGCCATTCGCAGCCTCGCCGTTCGTCTCGTTCGCACCAGTCTCTTTGATTAATGGCGGTGCCCATCGGATCGAGCTGATGAAGTGGTCGTGGGCGACAATGGTGCGTACACACTTCCCTTCTTGTGTGAGATCCCAGCATCGCAATGTCTTGTCGTCGGAAACCGAGAGCAGATACTTGCCACCGGGATGGAAGACCATTGCGCGGACCCAGTTGTCATGGCCCACAAGGGTCTTAATGCAGTTTCCGCGAGTGTCCCAGAGACGGATGGTTTTGTCCCGAGATCCAGTCGCCACGAATTCGGCGGACGATGATGCTGATGGGGGTTTCTTGAACCCTGCGAGAGGTGCGAGGTGAGGGTAACTTGTGGCCGGGGCGAAAGCGACACATTCGATATAGTGTTCGTGGCCTAGGAATGTTGACTTGGTTTCGCCGGACGAGACATCCCAGAGACGCGGCACTCGGTCATCACCACCCGAGAAGAGGAATCGACCGTCTGGGGATGGTACAACATCGCGCACCCAGTCCCCGTGACCCTGCATGGTCTTCACGCAATATCCGGTGGTCACATCCCAAATGCGGAGTGTCATGTCGCGAGATGCCGAGACCAACAGGTTTCCGGACATGGGAGATCCTGCGGCCCCTGATGGAATGAACCGCACCGATGAAACGCTGTGGTCGTGTCCGGGAAGTGTGCGGATATTCTTATAGTCGTCTGCTGGGTCCCACAGTTTGATCGTCAGATCTGACGAGCACGATGCAAGCAGAGTGCCGCCGCGCGGACCTCCGTAGTCAACATCCAGTACTGCCCTCGTGTGTCCCTTGATCGTCCTCTCGAGTTCACCCAGCTCCCAGTCCCAAATTTTGATCGTGGTGTCATCTGAACCAGAGGCGAGTGAGGAGAATATAGGATGGAAAGCGACGCAGGAGACTGGCGAGCGGTGCGATTCGAGGTCGTGACGCGCTGGTGCCCTCGGCAGCCAGGAGACCGGATCTTGGTTTCTTTTGGAGAGAGAAGTGGGGGTTGCGGTATCCAGCTCGGCCTGTAGTGAGGCGCATCGCGATTCCAAGTCCATAATCTATACCGGAATGGCAGATTAACAAGAGGAAATCATGGGGTCCCGATCTTCGCACAACACACACACCTTCTTCTGTAACCGGACCACGCTCGTCCATTTCTTTTCCAGGAGCCCCTCGTATTTCTTAAGTGTAGTGTCGTCGACTGTGACCGAGTCGCCTAACTCTTCCCGCAAGGCCGCGGAGCTGTGGTGGAGATTCACCGAGGTGAGGTAGGCGATTATTCCTTTATGTCTGTCGCAACGTCAGTCAATGGCCCCCCTAATTGCGTTCCGGGTCACATACAGCTCCTCCGCCTGGCGCGGAGTGAGGAGTTGGCTCATGATGCGGTTATTTTGTGTTCTCGCAACGGGCGTTCAATGCGCATGTACAGTGTGTTGTTGAAAAACTGCGATGGAGGGGAAGCGGTGTCGGAATGTGAACGGCGACGCGGCGAAGCGGGCGAATTGGCGAGACACCAATCCGAGACAGCAGCGAAGACGCACGAGCGAGAGGAACGAGGCAATCGAGAAAATCAAAGATATATGAAGAGAGCAAGTGTGATCCACCGCGGGGTTCGGTCACAACAAAACAATCTCGCCAAGCCGCTTGTTTACTTCCCGATCCTCTCCAACTGTTTATTTTCTTCCCCGACGTCAACCTGTTCTCTTTGGACTGGACTTTTGAGATACGTCCATTCGAGGCCGTCATTTCCCACCTGATTTTCAGACCCGTCAACTGCGAACAGAGTCTGTCTACATTTTTCCTTTGGGCACCAACGAAACGGTACGGCCAGAATCCTTCTCCCCCCCGCAAGCGCCCAAACCCTCCCAGCCAGGCGATCCTTTCTTGTACAACTCGCAGACGGGAATTCGCAGAGCGCTAACTCGGTTGCCCTCAGATACCCGCATATACCATCTTTCGGTGAAAGCCCAGCATGGCGGACGCCGCAGAGGATCTCTCCTCCTTGCCTTTACCCGACCGGTTCGCTCATAAGGTGCGCTCACCCTGAAGCCCTGGAAGCAAGATCGCATGAGATGACTGGTGATTCTAACGCAACGTGCAGAACTGGAAAGTCCGCAAGGAAGGTTACGAAGACGCCAAGGCCCAGTTTGAAAAGACCCCTGATGAATCACACCCGGTGTTCGTGCCGTTCATACAAGACCCTGGCTTGTGGAAAGGCGCAGTGGCAGATTCCAATGTAGCTGCACAATTAGAAGGTCTCGGGGCATACTGCGCTTTCTTACAATTTGGAGGAGCGCAGGCATGTACGAGGTGCGTACTGAACGTGTCTCAGTGAAGTGTCGGTCTATGAACCCGCTGACGTTTTCTTTTTCAGGACCCGCGGATACACAATTGGACCTATCGCAGAGAAAGGTTTACCATCCACACGACCGGCCGGTAAGGCCAGCGCCCAAGAAGCGCTTCTTCTATGCGTGGAGTTGGACAAGGCGGACCCAGTGATTGAGGAGCTACTGCCTACACTGTCACATAAAGTACCAAAGGTGGTTGCGGCCTCACTCGCAGCATTTACCGCCATTTATCACAACTTCGGATGCAAAATTGTCGATCCAAAGCAGACTTTGAAGGCGCTCCCCAAGGTTTTCGGCCATGCTGATAAAAATGTTCGAGCCGAGGCCCAAAACCTTACAGTTGAACTTTACAGGTGGCTCCGTGAGGCTATCAAGCCTCTGTTCTGGGCCGATCTGAAGCCGGTTCAGCAGGGAGATCTCGAGAAACTCTTTGAGAGCGTGAAGCAGGAACCCGCCCCCAAGCAAGAACGGTTCACTCGAGCGCAGCAAGATGCCATGGCTGCTGCCAGCAGTGCGCCCGCAGGCGATGATGGCGATGAGCCCATGGGCGAAGAATTCGACGAGGAGGAGGATGGAGTTGTTGTCGATGCCTTTGACCTGGCAGAGCCGGTTGACGTTTTCAAAAAGATTCCTGATAACTTCCACGACCAACTCGCTTCTTCGAAATGGAAGGATCGCAAGGAGGCACTGGACGCCCTCTATGCCGTGATCAATGTGCCACGAATCAAAGATGGTCCTTATGATGAGGTCGTGAGGGGATTGGCCAAGTCGATGAAGGACGCTAATGTTGCCGTTGTCACAGTGGCTGCAAACTGTGTTGATCTTTTGGCCAAGGGTCTGCGTAACGGCTTCACCAAGTACAGAAGCACTATCATGGTACCCATGTTTGAACGTCTGAAGGAAAAGAAGACGACTGTGGCAGATGCGTTAGGCCAGGCATTAGACGCCGTCTTCAGTACAACGACCCTTTCCGACTGCCTAGAAGAGATTTTCGAATATCTCAAGCACAAGAACCCACAGATCAAGCAGGAGACGGTGAAATTCCTCGTCCGTTGTCTGCGCACGACGCGAGAGGTGCCATCCAAACCCGAGCAAAAGTCAATTGCTGATGCCGGTACCAAACTGCTGACCGAGTCGGCCCCGGCGATCCGTGAAGGGGCAGCTGAAATTCTCGGTACATTGATGAAGATCTTGGGTGAACGTGCTATGAATCCCTATCTGGATGGGCTTGACGAGATTCGCAAGACCAAGATTAAGGAATACTTCGGAACCGCGGAAGTCAAGGCCAAGGAGCGCCCCAAGCCTATCGTGGCTCCCCCCAAGCCTGCAGCGCCAGCTGGTCGCAAGGTTGTTGGCAAGAAGCCAGCTGCCTCGGGGCTGAAGAAACTCGCCCCTGCGGCTGCACCCCCTGTCCCCGAAGAGCCCGTGTTGAAGCCTCCACCCAAGGGAATCCCCTCAAAGCTTGGTGCCCCCAAGGCTGGTGGCCTCGCGACTCCCGGATCTGGTCTCAAGCTTCAGAGAAAGCTCGCTGGGCCCGGAGCCACTGCGTCGCCTTCAAGACGAGCCGCACCTCCCCCAGAAGAGGACGTGGCACCTCCACCAGCTGCCCCTAAATTCGGCATGGGACGTGGTCTTGCTGGTCGCCCCATCGCAAAGCCATCACCGGCCGAGCCTGCTCCTGCGGCTGCGCCGGCACCTAATCCCATGGCGGCTGCCGATCGAGCTGAACTGGAAGAACTTCGAATGGAGAAGGAGAAGTTCAACCGCACTGTTGAAGAAATGAAATCGGAGCGCTCCAAGCTCAACTCCACGATCACCGAACTCCAGAACCAGAATGCACAGTTAATTGAAGATCACACTCGGGATGTCCTGAGCATCAAAGCGAAGGAAACACAATTAGTACGAGCCCGAAGTGACGCCGAAGCTGCAGAGGCCAACGTGCAAAAGCAGCAACGCGAAATTGAGCGATTGAAGCGTGAGCTTGCACGAGCCCTCCGTGCATCAGCCATCAGCCCGCCGAACGCCATGTCTGACGCCGGTGGCATGGGCATGTCAGAAGGCTCCATCTACCAAGACCACAACAGCAACGCCGCTGCACGGTCAGGTCTTCACATGGGATCTCGCTTCGAGAGCTCTCGCCGGAGCTACGCCTCCGCCAGTCCTGTCGAGGACAAGGACAATGGTGGCATGGACTCACCAGGACTAGCCAGTCGGAATGGCGGTCTGGGTCGACGATTGAGTCCTACATATGGTTACTCGAATATTGGCAGCCCGACCCGGTCATCGACTCGGAACTCTAACACCAACCTCGACGAAGACCAGCCTCGTAATACGGAGCCAGCAGAGAACTGGAAGCGGGCCGCGGAAGTGACCAGCCAGTTGAAGGCCAGAATTGAACAAATGAAGGTATGTTTCCAGATGGAATGATTGACATGGACGTTTCTAATCACAACTTGCAGGTACGACAAGGTCTTTCACGACCTCCGGCTCAACGTTAATGATCGAATGACCACATGTTTATGTTTCCACTATACACCCTCGCTGTTTGTGTTTTTAGACGGGGTTCTCTCAGGGCTTTTTCAAAACGAGTATCTTTGGTCTAGGAGCATAGGGCGGGTTGTCTGTACTTTTTCTCCCTTTTCTTATGGGTCTTCTTCGGATCTCTGTAATTTCATACTTCTTCTTCCTTCACCGCTACTCGTAGAGTTGTACTCAACCCGAAACATCCCCTAAGAGCTACGGAAACGAGGTTAATTGACCTGGAATGAAGTGATAGCCTGCATGTAGGATTCTGCAGGGATCAGCCTTGCACTGCAGCGTGCAGGACATGCAGGCAATGACACTGTACAGGTACAAAGCGAAGAACGAAGTGGGAGGTGCGACGTCGAAAGCCAAGTCTCCACTTGTCAACTAGTTGTTGCTTAGCCTCTCGACACACGCAATTTTGGAGTTCCGATCACCGATTGCCCCTCATTTGAGTCCAATGGTGTGACTTGATGAAGTGGCCCCTCGAGTGGCCTATAAAACCCCCTTTTCCCCCACTAGCACATCCCCTCCTCATACTCTCTTCATCCATCTTCCACATCTAAACTTCACATCACAATGGGCTGGTTCTCCGGTAAGTCATCCCGACTCTTCAATCTACAGCCACTGACCCTCGCAGACGACTCCGACCAGGCACAGGCCTACAACGCCGTCCAGAACGGCGACTACCACGAGAAGCACGAGTCCTCCAAGATCCACGAGCTGATTGCCGGTGCCGCCAGCTACGAGGCCGCCAAGGCCTACGAGGACCACGTCGCCCGCAACGGTAAGCAACCCTCCTTAATACACACAAGACCCCCACTTACAAGTGTTTTCTTCCAGGCCAACCCGAGAGCCACGCTAAGGCTAAGGAGATCCTCGCCGGATTCGCCGGTGCCTTCATCGACCGCGAGGTCGAGACCCGTGGCCTTGACTTCGTCGACAAGGAGAAGGCCAAGTACCAGGCCCGTGAGCACGCTCACAACGCCTATGACCAGCAGGACTACCAGTACTAGATCTCGCGGATCAAGTGGGATGTACTCCGTACGTGATATGAGAATGACCTGAAACTTTCACAAGTGGTACTTGAAATGGCCTTCCATGGTTGTACTGAGTAAGACGTAGCTGAGAGATGTAGCGGACTCTATGTAGGGACCATGCTAAGCTCAAGTAATGAGATGTAGTCGTGATAAGACGTCTGCATAGATCAATAGGGTGCTGCCAAGACGGGACTATCACTTTAGAAAAGAGGAGTTTCGGTCTTGGCTCTTGGCAGGTGTGCGCCCTGGACGATCATGCGGTGCAGTCCTTAACGTTCGCCAGTCGATCCGATCTCAGGTGAATGTAGCACATCAGAATAATTGCATCAAACACTCTCTTAAATCCACACATCTCAAGGGTGGATGTCAGAGGCCCATGAACGACCGAGGACTAGGCTTCGTAACTTGCAGAGTTTTTGCCCGCACAGCTTGTACATACCTCCACTTCGACTTCTCGATGGTGTTCACCTTGATAACGTTGCTGCCGGTGGCTGTATCTCTGTTGTCTATGTACGTGCTTTTCAGCATGTAGCAGGTGTATGCCAAGTCCGGAAGAAAAATCTACTCCGTACCGACTTCGGCAGAGGAAATTGATCGCGGACTAGAGATACGAAGCCACAACACTTGGGAAGTAGTGGGATGATTCCCATGCGTTGACCTACAAGTACAAGGGCTACAGGCTACAAAGCAGACGACATGAATGCCTGATTCCGATAGTTCTTAGGACTATAGTTTGAACAGGTAAGAAATGCATTCATGGGTATCTGCGAAATTGGTACATAGGGCCAGTGGAGTTCGTAAGAGGAAAAATTATCTTTTTTTGTCAGAACAGGATCAAAGTGCCCAAGGGCTCTTTCGCACCCATCTAAAGCTAAAAAAAAAATTGGCCGTCAATAGATCGTCAAGTCCTTGAACATATTGTTGTTCCCACAAAACTTTTTTGGAGCCGAGCGCTTCGGTGAAGTAAACGATCCTGTCAAGTCATCAAAAGCTGTAGTTACACAAGCTTAGACCTTGATGGCGGCATCGAGAGCCTTCTGCTTCTTGGCGATGCGGTCGTTGGCCTTCTGGCCCATGATACCACCACCCCAGTGACGGCGGGTGTCCTCGTTCTTGTCGGTGTAACCCTCCTTGATGGTGGAGAGGAGCTTGGCGAACTCGGTCTTGTCCTCGGAGCGGACCTCGGTCAGGGCCAGGACAGCGGAGGTCTTCTTGTGGACGACGGTACCGAGACGGGCCTTACCCTTGACAATGGCGTAGGGGACACCCATCTTGCGGCAGAGAGCGGGAAGGAAGACAACGAGCTCAATGGGGTCGACATCGTGGGCGATGAGGACGAGGGAAGCCTTCTTGTTCTCGACGAGGCCAACAACGTGGTTGAGACCGTACTTGACGTTGTAGGGCTTCTTGGAGACATCCTCCTTCTTCTTGCCCTCGGAGACGGCGGTGGCCTCCTGGACGAGACGCTCCTTCTTCTCGACCTTGGTCTCAGGGCGGTACCTAAAAGAAAATCGGTTAGGATGACTGAGAGAGATCGATCTGATAATGGACCACGAACTTGGAAAGAAGCTTGAAGGTCTGGGCAGCGGTGTTGCGGTCCAGAGTAGCCTGGAACTGAGCGATGGAAGGAGGAACCTTCAGGCGCATGTTCAGGATCTTCTTCTGGCGCTGAAGACGGACATATTCGGGCCACTTGACGAAGCGGGACAGGTTGCGCTTGGGCTGGATGTCCTGGCCGATACCGAAGTTGCGGGAACGCTTCTCGATGAGAGGGTTCTGGAGGGATAAGGGTCAGTCTCTTTCTCAATGTGCTCCCAGGAAAAGAAGAAAAACTAACCTTAGCGGCCTTCTTGCCAGAGCCAGCCTTACCCTGGGGGTAGGGCATAGCGGCGGTCTTCTTTCCGGACTTGGGAGGCTATCATTGAGAAAAGAAGATCAGCGTGCTGTTCACCTGATGCTGCGTCTTCTTTGTACTCTAAGGAGAACATGAAGCCAAGCCGTGTTACGGGCATTGACTTATGCTTCCAGCCAAATCATCACACGATCGCACGCATCTCTTTCGAGGCTGCATGCGATCGGTGGAATTGCTTAGATCAAAGATCCGAAGCAAAGCGAATGTCTTTCGACATTGCTAATAACTCAAACAAAGTCCCTTGAACTTAATCAAGAGACATCTAAGTACTCACCACCATGTTGTCGACTGGGATCTGCGCTGGTTGACGGTTGACGGATGAGAAAAGAAAGAAGTCTTGTGGATGCAACTTAATGAATTCTGCGTGGGTCGCGCTAGTGCCGCGCTAGCGCAATCAGGTGATCAGGGCTAGGGTAAAACGCTAGGGCACGATCTCGATGTCACGTGATATATCTACAAGCGTTTTGCCTTTTTGATCTCGCGTTGCTTGCCGCTTTATGGTCTTGGGCTCCGTACGGAAAGTCGAGAGCATTGGCTACATCGTCTCCACTCTTTACTACCCTAAATACGGAAAACATTACACTTGTATCAACCTTGACTACTCCGTACAGTACCTCTCACAACCCTAGAAGCTTTATCCGTACCCTTATATAGTACCTAGTACTGCCGGTGGACAATATGTACCTACCAGACTTCAGAGCTTTCTATAGTATTTCACTGTCTTAGGTAGCGACCATAGAAATGGCGATGACTTACTGGCATATACCATCAGGTCTATCTAGCAAATTCCAAGATAAACTAATACCAGAAATGGCTAGTAGGACGACCTTTTGAATTGGCCTTGGGACGAGCCATTTGCCATACCACCTAGAGGTGTATACTTCCAGCCCTGGAGGTTGGACACATGTATACCTAGGTATATATCCATCCATGGATGGATACATCGAAGATGCATGATGCCTTTGGAACCTACCTACTTGCGACCAAACCTAGATAGAAACCTGGAAGCAATATTGGAAGCTACCTAGGTATAGTGATGCCCATAATCGCTTTTGGTATCTGTGATCTTCCAAGGTTGCTTCTGGGTGGTGCCCAGGTGGAAACTTGGAAACCTTCGAAGCTCCGTAGATGGTTGCTTCTCATGGTATATTTCAGACTGAGATAAAGCGAATGCTTCCAAGGTTGACACAGACCCTTCCCGAGGTCGTTCTCATGTCTAGTACATAGAGCCTCTAAGGTTCCAAGGTTACTTCCAAGGTTCAAGTTTGGAGGTTGTGGGAGCCACGCTCCTTACCTGGTACCTAGGCACTATTCCATGCGGCACACGAGATAGCTTCCTTCCAAGGTTACTTTCGCACAAGCACATTAGGCACTGCGTGGCGGTAGCCGTACTAGGTAACAACCTTGGAAGCAGCTTTTCGTCCATGATAATCTTTGAAGCATTCGAGATCCATGAGAAAATCCCGCGGCTGCCCAGGTGTTGAAGCAGACTCTTGGGAGCTGGCATCACAACGTGGGAGGTGTTTCCCCCAAAGTAGCCAGCCATCATTCGTGCCCAGGTGGCACATACCTAGGTATGCGTTCTGATTCCCTGGATCTCTCATCTTGCGTAAAATGTCTATAGTTATATCATTTCAGGACATCAATTACCGAAAACCACAGGCAGGCTCCAACCCCATGGAAGCAAGCAAAGACTGCGCAACCAGAACTCCATAAATAGGAAGATCAGACAAAATGACTTTATAGACTCCGTAAATAATGCAAAAGAAACAGACATTAACCTTTCATCGCCATGCCCCCAAGCCAGGCAGCGCCCCGCGTCCCAGACTAGTATTCGCAGCCTGGACGGCACGCTTTTTACCCAACGAGCCCTCCTGAGCACGCACACCAGCAATGATCTTCTCGATATGTGTTTCGACAACAACTCCGCCAACGATCATCTCCCCAAGTACCGCGTGCAGCGTCTCGTAGCCGAAGATCAGATCCAGTTCACAGACGTTCTCGAACATACGGTCCAGACTCTCGACGAAGACTTGAATCAGGTCAATCAGAGCGAGCGGGGACTCAGTAGATGTAGAGATCATGATGAATGACAGCGTTGCGTAGGTGCGGTATGTGATTTGGGTGGGGGTATCGGAGGGGCCGGTGGCGGAGGAGCTGGCGCCTTTGGAAAGGAGGGGCGGAAGGGGGAGGAAGTTACAGGCGCTTGGGGGACGTTGCGACACGAGGCGATAGATCTGCGCGATGAGAGATTGCTGGGTTTGGGTGTCCTGGTTTGGGTGAGCTGGGGAATCTTGGGATCTTGGAATCTTGGATGCGCCGGATGGACATACCAGCTGAGTGTAGAATTTTGTCAGTCGAGGCTGACCATTGTTATTGAAGACGAGGACCGCGTTGATCATATTGGCGAGCAGAGTCCAGGATGCGCGCGGTAGTTCTGTAGGTAGTTCTGGAGCTTATCGGCGCAATGGGTGCGGTCTTGGCTCGACTTGCCCCGTGCGCCGATCTGGAGAAATGCCAACTTTGGAAGTTGACCTTTTTTTCTCGTCTCGACAACTCACCATGTATACAGTACCATTGTACAGGTGCTCTGCGCCAAGGAAATCATTATTCACAACGATCCGAGCAGTCTCTTCGTCTTCGAATCCTCACAAAAAGCGCCTCCTCAAAGACCTCACTCCCTCCGACTTATGCTACTACTGGGACACACAAGCTCCGCAGCCGGAGCAGCTAGCTTTCGCTGATAAGGTGTTCACGCCGTCGCGACATTCGCCTATAAAGCTCTGGTCCGCCGCTAAGTTCCGCACAACGCCAATGTCCTCGGTCGAGCCGGAGGTGGCATTTTTGGGTCGCTCGAATGTCGGCAAAAGCTCACTTTTGAACGCCATCATGGGCCAGGAGGTCTGCTGGACATCATCTAAGCCTGGCAGGACGAGGGAGATGAATGCGTTCGGAATCGGAGGTACAAAGGGCGGCGAATCGAAAGTGGTCTTGCTCGATATGCCGGGATATGGAAAGGCGAGTCGAGCTGAATGGGGTGCAGAGATCATGAAATATCTCCAGGGGAGGAAACAGTGAGTGATGAGATTTGGTTTTACAGCTATGGCTGGCTAATGGGGACAGACTTCGTCGGGCATTCTTGCTCATTGATAGTATGCATGGGATAAAGAAAACGGACGCGGACATTCTCCGATTATTCCGACACCATGCTATACCGCACCAAATCATTCTGTCAAAGGTTGACAAGTTCCTTGCCAAGAAAATGAAAACTATGAAGACGGGAGTTACGGCTGCCAATTTAGAGCGATTGCATCTTTTGTTACGTGGTATCAAACCACTTGTTCAGCTGGACCCTCAAGCTGGAGAGGGACCTGGCTCGTTGGGTGAGATCCTGACGTGCAGTGCCGAAGCAGAAATTGGCAACGGCCGATCCCTAGGAATCGATGCAGTCCGCTGGTCGATTCTATCCGCTGCTGGCATTGATGGGAGCTTGGAAGGCGTTCGGCCCGCGGCGCCCTCTCCCCAGCAAACAACAACCGTGGGCTGAACAATAGGAAAGTGTTGAGCTACTCTCAAGGCTCCGTCCACTCTGGCTTCATTGCAACATCTTGGCACAAGTAGCCATCTCGAAATCCAGGGCAAAAACGCCCATGATTTATATTTCGACCTGCCGAAAAATGCAGACCGATGTCAAATTTCCGAGGACTCACGAACTCAGTGACCCCGACCTTCTCTGCTGACACCAAGGCTTCCTGGGTCTGAACGTCCGCTGCGATGCTAAACAGCTTTGAGCAAACAAAGCATCAAGGTCTTTAGGGCTCAGGTGTGCTTTGAAGCTTGACATGAATATTTACCAACCCAAATATTCCAACTACATGGCCTACTTCAAAGGATTCAAGAAAACCATACATAATCAATCTATTATAATCTGGTACAGACAAAGGCAGACAAACGAGTTTTGTAACAGGGTCTACCGCCCGGTACTAGCAGTATGCCGGCATAGAATGACACAGGAAGTAAAATACGCGTCAATGACAAAAAAGACATATCATGCACAGGGAATTTCGATGGATGGATGGTTGGGATACATAGCAGATAAGCTCACATAAGAGATTGAGGTAAAAGAAGAAAAAAAAAAGGGGTAAATACGCCTGGTCCCTTTCGTAATGCTGTAACAAAAATGCCGACCGCGCTATGCAAAGGATGTTTGTTCCGATGGAAGACGAGAGCTGTAAGGATGGGTATCGTGAATGGGGGGAAAAGAAGAGCAATGAGAAAAGAAAACCAAAAGAGAAATAATAAAGGTCGGGTTCGTCAGATCCATGTCATGAGAACAAGCTCAGTCAGATTCGTCGTCGTCCTCGGCACCATTGACAACTTCTTGGCCCCGTCTGTTCACGACGATTCGCTTCGCGAGTTTAGTTTCTGGTATGCCATCTCGGGCAGCACCAAAGTCAAGGACTTCGATATAGGTCATGTTATCACGCTGGACTGCAGCGACGCACCTGCGGTCGTTGAATTTGACCTGCCAGACGCCGCTGAGGTCTGTGAGGAGGTCGCGGACACATTCACCAGTTCGCACGTCCCACATCTTCAATGTGCGATCAGATCCTGAAATGACTTTCTGATCGTCGTGCTGGAAGCATGTGATGGCGCCGGTGTGTGCACTCAGTGTGTTCTTGCAGTGACCGTGCACGGAGTCCCAGATGCGGAGAGTGGAATCGGCCGCGGCCGAAACGAGGAATTCGTGCTCCAGGGCAAGCAATCCGACGAGGGAGGTGTGGCCTTCGAGGTTATAGAGGACGGATCCGTCGTCCAGGGACCAGACTTTGACCATATGGTCCATGGCGCCACTGATGCAGCGGTTGCGCTTGTGGTCCAGAACAACGCTATAAACCTTCATCGAATGGCCCTGCAGCGTATGTAAAGTTTGACCGGTGGAGATTTTCCAGACCTTGACGGTAAAGTCATAACTACCACTCACGAGGGTATCGCCGTGGGCGGCAATTGCACGAACGGAATGCTGATGGCCGGAGAGCACACGGAGGAAGTATGGACAAGCACTGTCTTCGGTAAGGGAACCGTTTTGATAGTTGACTGGATCACCGGGCTGAGGCAGCTTCCAAACACGCAGGCTCGAGTCACGAGATCCAGTGATGATCAAGGGTTCCTTGGGCATGATCTCAGGCTGCCCATTTGCATCCCTGCCTATCTCGGTGGGCATAACAATCTGCAGACAGCGCACAGTGGAGGTGTGCCCGTGGAAGATCTGAGTACACCGGGCCCGCTCGATGTCCCAAACTCGCACCGAGCGGTCGGTGGAGCCAGATACCAAAGTGTTACCATAGTATTCCAAAGCCCAGACACCACCTTCGTGGCCCTGCAGTGTTGCCTTCAGAGCGCCTGTTTTCGTGTCATAGACATTGATGTTAGTATCATCACTTCCTGTGAGGACCTTGTCGGCGTCAAATTGCAAGCAAGTGACGACATGACGATCGTGGGCACGGAAAGCAATGTGCTGTGGCTTGACATCTGGCTGCATCCATCCTTTATGGATTGAGACATGGCGGCGGTAGAGCACCTTGAAGAGAGAGATTCCACGAAGAGACGGCAGGCCCACTTCAGCGTAGGGAATCGCCGTGGCCGCAGCATTGGCAGCTGCGTAGGGAGTTTCAGAAGCAGCGATGTCCTTCCTCCAATCTGGATCTGCGAATTCCCCACCGGCTGCTGAGACCTTGCGCTTGGCAAGTTTGCGGCTCGAGATACGCGTGTTCGCTTTTCTCTTGGGGCGTCTGTTGACAGGTAACGCCGCCAAGGGGCTTCTACTGCTTGGACCGGCCATCGTAGGAACAGGAGAAACTTCCCTGTCCAGCTTCGGTAGCTCGATAATGCTGAGGTCCTCTTCGTGATTTTCGGGGCCGTTGCATAACTGCCATCCCCATCCTTGTCTGATGGCCCGCTCCAGCTCTCCGTCCGAAAGTGAATAACCGTTGCTGATGAGCAAATCCTTCCAGCTCTTTTCATCGGAGTTTGTGATGTGCCTCCAACGCTTGGAGACCTGCGCAGCACGGCACATAGTTTGTACATCAAGGTACTTCACGATGTTGAGGCTAAGCTCCAGAGGCAGTAAAGAGAGGAAGTCACACTTCAGTGTCGGGTTAACCACGTCGGCCACAAAATGGAGAGTAGGCTTGGGGCATCTTCGGAGGAATTGGTACATCATGTATGTTTTGACCTCATCCGGCACCGAGTCGAAAAAGTCCAGCACCTTCGGCATATCTAGAAGAGACGAGGGGGACCGTGAGTTAAGATGGCTATTTGACCGACCAGCCTCTGCATCTTGTAGTCGCAAAGCCCTGGAAAGACGCGAAACATTTTGATCAAGGCTAGAATCCGTATCATTGTCGAAACCCTCGGAATCCAATGAGGATTCGCCATGCAAGGCATTCATAGCAGCGACCGGCGAGAGACTGGGGCTGGGAAGGCACATGTCTTGTGCCATGGCATTGTCAATCGCCGAAAGCTGAGAGGTATGCTCTGGTCGCTCTTGTATTGCTTCCTGTGAGTCGTATGTGGAGTCATGGTCAAACGAGCTCGCCTCCTGCGTGACTGGGCGGTTTTCATCTCCTTCCTGCACAAGAGGTTCCCGAGGCATGGAAACGGAACGATTACCGGATCCCCCATTCTGCAGGCTGAAACTTGGGTGAGAAGTGTGGGCGCCCCTGGCCCCAATTTCGGAAGAGAGGGGCGATGGCAAAGGAGGTTCCCTGCGCGGGAAGACCGCGCTGTGGATTCTTGGTTTCGGTGCCACATTTTCGCCCAGTCCGCCGGTGTTGACTTCAGTGTCGGGGGTGGCCAATCCAGCGGCGAGATGAGTTGACGATACGCCACTTTGACGAGTGCGGCGTGTGATGGGCTCAGAGGGAACCCGGTTCGAGCGAGTTCGAGGTAGAATAAAGGGCCGTGAATCTGGGATGGAAACGGGTGAAACTGCACGTCGCCGAGCGTCGGAGTGGCTAGATGGTTGACTCGTATTGGAGCGGGCGAGTCGCTGGGTAGGGTTATCACCCTCGGAGATGAATGAATTCACCGAGCGAATCTGGCCATTTGAGGTTCGTAGCGCCTCATTTTTCTCCTTTTGCTATACTGCTGTGAGCCCAAGACGATCAAATTCCCAGGGTGGCGAATATCTTACCTCAGTCGTAGCAGCGAGGGTATCCTCGGGCTCGTTGAAGACGATAGACTTGTCACCAATTTTGAACTTTAGATTCCTGAGTGCGGCGGGAGTAGGTGATGAGGCGAGGGGGTATTGTCGAGTATCCAGATCCTTCACGGCACGCGGGGGTTTGATGGTCAGGGGCGGGAATGAGGTGGTTGTGGTTGTAGTTGTTGTGACGACAGTGGTCCGAGTAGTGGGAGCAAACGAGAACTGTCCGAGGGCAGTGTCCGAAGGCCCTTGGCCTAGATCTTCCACCTCTCGCTCAGTCATTTCGTGGGGGCGGGTGTGTTTGTGGGATCCCGGGCTATGGGTCATATAAGACGAGCGTGATGGTGGCACAGGTGCGTTTGAATCCGTTGCCGAGTCAATGGAAATTTGTAATGAGCTAGCATTTGAAGTCATGATAGAGCGTTCTCATGTGTATTGCAGAGGAACTGAGTCCCAGGTTGTTTGCACAAGCGTCCCCTCATATGAAACCATCCGCGGAGTGATCAAAGCATGGTAAAATAAAGAAAGAGTATCAGGGGAAAGAAAACAGGTCGAAGCAAGGAAGTCAAAGGAAGGGGAGAAAGGAACAGTGGCGGCTGACAAGGAGTTGGGGCGGAGAACAACAATTCTTCCGGGTAGATGTCATGACCCAACGTGCACTTTTTCCTTCGTTTCCCTTTCTGCAGGGGTTGTTATTGTTTTTTTTTTTTTTTTTTTTCTTACCCCCTGAAGTCTGAAATGATCTGACCAAACACAGTGCAGTCCTTGGTTTCGAGTGGTCTGATATTGTGTTTGTTACTCTATACTATCTTGTTATGAACTGGGACATTCAAACTGCTATGAGTATATGAAACCAGACCCCCCCTGGGGGTTCTGGACCCGCAAAAATCTTGTATTGTGAAGTGGAAATCCAGAATCGATATGTAGCCGGGAACAGTAAATATGACCATTTGATGATCCCGCAGAAAACCTGCAGAGACAGGTCCAAGCAACTTCCAAGGTTGTCTCCAGGATCACATACGGGCAAAACCAGTTCCCTTCCAACTTTGTCCATCGCCACCACGTCACGTGAAGTGGGGGCGCGCGATCAAGTTTGCACCGTTTGTATTCATTACGTGAGATTACCTCGGCTTAGGTTGACGCCTCCAATCAAATCCCTTTCAACTGTCACTTCATTTACTCCATACTGGGATGTCAAATTCAAAGGGTTCTGTCTCGACCACATTGGGATGGGGGCAGGAATCTCTCCCTGAGGTCTGAAGTCCTCAGTGTAGTCGCAAACGGTTCCATATGGAGTCATAGTCAACTATACGTCACGATCCCCACTCAACCATCGTTGAAGGGACCCGTTTCTACCCAACACACCTCGCAGTCTGTGAACCGTCTCATCGGCTCTGAATACGAAATGAAGTCTCAAGTGACCGTTTGAGACTAGGTGAAATCAGCCTCAGAAACTGCGTTTCGATTGGCTCTAGCTTCACGTGAACCCTTTGGTGGATTGACACCCTGTTGTAGTATCTTGACTACGGAGCTTGTTGATAATGCAGAGAACCAAAGTTCAAGCTCCATGCTTTCTTCTTCACTTCTACCAACAGAGAAATCCCTAGAAACTGCCGATGGCTACCACGCTAAAGTAATATCTCTGGGATGGCGGAAAGTTAAGCTGTGAGATGCACGGCGTGAAAATACCATAGAACCCCGGACTACCACAACTCCAAAGGCGATATTCCCACCGACGAACTTTGACCTTTCCTCGCATAGAAGGCATGGTATGCATCAAGCAAAATACAGCCTTGTTTTCGAACTTCCCAGAACGTCGCTGCATGAGGATACAATCCACAATTTGTCGACGAGCCCGTTTCAAACCCGGGGTTTAGCTTGATAGCTAGACAAAAGGCTTACCTCCATTGACATAAATCAGTATCGGACATTTCTGCACGCAGTTGTCGAGGCTAGTGGCGATGTAGTCGAGGAACAGATCCGGAAATATATTGTCATCCTACCAGTACCTAATCTATGCAGACCTCGGCACTGGTTGAATCTTTTCAAGTTCAATTCGATGGTTAAAACTAGAGTGAAGTGCATCGGTGTTCACCTAGACTGTTTGGGATTGCGCCTTGCCACTGTCGTGCCTTGCATTCCAAGGTTTCGGGCTCCCTGCATATTCATGCTTTATACTAGCTGATTCCCAAGGCACGGAAGCAGGCAAACAGATGAATTATAATACATACTCCATGCTCCTGTACGGAGTAATTGATATAAGATTCCCGATAATTGAAAATCCCTGCCTAGTCCATGGATTTTGTAGTAGACTGAGAGTGCAGTTCCCCTAGTACCCATCCGTGAACAGTATCTACATAGACCAAATTCCCTTGAAATATTACCAAGGGACCCCAATCCAAGCGGCTTGTCGGTCAATCTGTAGATGAAACAATAGTTGGATCACTTCTAAGGTTCCAGGTAGAGTCCACAGGTTCATGTAGTCCGTCAAACCTGTTCAAGCCAACCCAAGTGCTACTAGGTACCACAGTAATATCATTTTCTCGTTGCAAGCCCGTCATTACACGGTTCCATGGTAAAAGCATGCTCCAGCGTTCTGTACTCCGTATGCTAATGTTTGATATATTCCAAGGTCGCTAACCCAAAGCAGGACGAGGACGGCAGGCGGATTCTCCCCGAGGTCCTCAACGGGCGAAGACAACCAAAAGGCAGCGACAGAGACTGCACCATGCACAAAAGCGAAGACGGCGAAAACTCTTCATCAGAGCTCTTCAAAGTTAGTAAAACGTAGATTCTTTCCCTTTTAAGTGATACTCAAGCGCATAGGGCACGGCAAGAAACAACAGGAGAGTTGCCCCTGGCACCCGTAAGCAATGGTGAAGATCCTCACGCAGACACTGGCATCGCGCAAAAACTCGTAATGGCACCCGCGCGGGAAATTGCCGGGATCGATGATCCAACGTCTCAACGGCGTGGAGGGTCTTGGAAAATGTCTCAAAGGTGCCCGGAGGATGGAGAAACGCTTGTCGCGTTAGACAATAGCTCCATGTGGAAGGTCCAGCTAAACATAGGGAAAAAGCAAATCCAGGAGTGTAGCCCTGGAGACAATGTCCGAAAAATTCGGAAATCCACTTCTTCTAGAACAAAATTCGATGTTTCGAACGCAGCACAGTCCAGGACTGAGATTTTAGCCGCACAGCATTGCCGGAAGTAGACACACTAAACCACTGGAGGAAGTTGAGGCCTGAAGTGACGGTATATTTTTCTCTAAATATAAGCATGGCCGATCCATGCGCGAGTGTTTCAGGAACCTCCTTTCCAGGGTTTTGGGGAGTGTATAGTATGACGCACATGAGAAAATAAGGCGTCGTTCAGAATGTGCGAATGCGAAATGTGAAATGTGAAATGTGGAGGATTTTCCAATGATCTGCTGAAAAGTGGCGAAGAAAAGAGACAATAGAGCATCTTCACAACCTTGGTTCCTGATCCAGGCTATTGGAATCGACTATTGGCGACCATCAGGGTTAACCGCACCATTTCACATAGCCGCCTGCCAAACCGCTAGTTTGGGTTCAATAGCGTTCCCAGCTGAACAAGTGGGTGTGGCGCACAATGTGTATTCTCTACTCGTATTTTTTGATCCAACGGCCTGCCCGGTCGCATGTTTGCCATTGTTCTCCAGGGTAATCCGTAATCCCAAGTGCTGCGGAATTCCATTTTCACACAGATGCGCGGCATTCGGAGGTCAATCGCTTGGCAGGGACACCGCGGAGATTCCACGTAAAGGGGAAAAGCCACCAATCTTGGACTTATGCATCCCTAGGGCTGGACCAATGGTTCTCGAGGGCAAGGATCTCGATCTGAATGAAATTGCGCGCCCAGAATGGCATCACAGGTGTTCCGCCTCGTGGGTCTAGGACGCGGCACACGGGCTGGCGCACGGAGGCGTCCGATGCGATCTCCATGATCGGGTATTCTTAGCACGAGTACTGGGACATGGCTTGCATGGAGTGTCTGTGCCACGACGCTCACTGGATGTCTTCTCCCAGGGCCGTGTTAGAGACATGTGCAGTGTGCCTTGTTCTGTGTGCCTGTCAACCTGTCAACCCAAATCGATTAGATTAATGTCTCAGCCCGTTCCGAGGAACGCAGGCACGGGTTTGAGTTCATGTGCCAGCAATGGGGACGATCATTGCCAGTTCGTCAGTTTCGGGGAAGATTAGTCTTCGAGTACTGCAGACGAGTCCCCTATGCCGGAGATGCCAGAAAGCGCGTCCTGGGTCCCGGGGATGACGGAGTACACGGGCTGTATAGTATTTGTCACTGTGTACAGCGCAGTGGGGACTTTTCCTTCAGCTTCATGGGATTTGGCGCTAGAAATGATATGAGTATTCTCGGATACGATCGAAATAGCCTTCCAGGGTTTTGGGTCGATAAACGATCGATTTTTGCCGATCTACGCACTTGTCCTCATGCCCCAGCTATCCGGCTAGCATCTCGCGTCTCAGCCGTGACAGGGATTTCGTTCCCATTGTGAAATAGATTAAGCCCTTTGGGGCGTCGATAGCGTGTGGAATACAATGGACTACGGGGAATTTCCTGCACAATGGCCACGTTCCCCAGGGTTCGTTCCGGCGCAAGGGGGGATCTTCCCAAAGTACAAAATATAGAACGTACAGCTGATGTACCTATGTGATGTGTGCCAGGCAATTTGAAATGATATTCTGATCTGTATCTCCAAGCTGAAGTCTACACGAAGTACTAGTTCTGTAGCAGCCCTGAACTATGAACCCCTGAGAGGTGACTTTCACAAGGGCCAACCCTCACCGATCATTTCCCTCTTCTCAATGCCATGTCGATCATCCTTGTCACTGCCTGCTCCACTCGATTAATTGAATTAATTGAAATAAATGAAACACGGCCGTGCCAGTTCCTGACGAGCCTATGGGGACTCGGGTTCAATGGTCCAAGCCCAGGGCGACACTGGTGGAGCCACCCCTTTAAGCGTGCAAGCCTTTTCCTTACAAAAACAATCCAAACCCCAGAGTTCACCGAATTGCATTTGTTCGGACTCTGTACCTTATCATATTCCCCATTTCGAATTTTACCATAAGCCCGACCTATGCACCTCTGCCGCTTTGTGACCTAATTTGACGTGTGGAGTACATACAGTACCCGAAAGCGAGCTTTGCCCGAGACCCGCAAAGTGACCGCATAATCTGCGAGTTGTCGGACTTTTCCTCAGTCACACGGAATTCCATGGGGATCTGATCCTACTGTGCACAATGGGTCACCGCGAAATCACAGCAGTGCATGTGCCATTGCGCACATCGAGTCGCAGACCGTCACGATCCGACCCGATGGAGGCTCAAGAAAGCCCCGGAGCCGCAGACCGCCAGACCTCCAAAGCCCAACGGTTCTTCGGAACCGATATCACCCTGCCACAAGAGCATACTGGGTGGAAAGAGGCTCAGAAAACGCGTCAACCGAGCTATATCAAGCCTACCAGTGCTCCCCGCCAGAGCACCGCCTTTCACCCATTTCCGACTTCCTCAGATCACATCCCAAAACCCGATCACAACCTCCGAGTGCGGGCATCGTCACCTCTCCTCGGTCAGGACTACTGGTCACAAGATCCTGCACCGCCATTGCCCAAGCCTAAGAAGGTCCACCACTCGGGTTCCTCCAACGCCCTTTTCTCATACTTTAGCTCCAAGGAGTCCAAGGAATCTAAACTTGCCGCCAAAAACCAAGCACTGCAACCAGAGGTCCGCAATGGTCTGGGCATTGATCCCCAAGTGACATTCACACATGCGTCAGAGCCACCAAAAGAATCCAAGCGCAAGATGCGTCCTCCCAGAATCGATCTTTCTGTTTTGTTCCCAAAGCCACGCAACCCACCTCCACAAACGCTTTTGTCCCCGCAAAGAATGGTGAACTCTCCATCTTCTGTGTCTACGGCGGTGACAGACCAACCGACCGAAAAGACAGAGAGGCCTACCGCCGTGAGGAACTCAAAGCGATATGCGGACGGACCGTCGCGCCGAGAAACCCTTACCAAGGGCGACTTCCCTAAACATGTGGACAACTCAGACTTACCTTCAATTGCGGAGACTCGCAACAGCGAGTGGCTTGATCAACCGCTCGAACGGACAGTGGGAACCAGCGAGATTGATGTCGCCCTGGACAGATATGCAGGTCGCCGGTCGTTGTTCAGCCGTTCCAGCGTATACACTGCGAGCCGGGAACAGCTGCAGCCGGAACAGCCACGCCCCCAAGAGCCCCGCAAGAGCTCTAGGCGTCCCCGCACTCCTTCATCTCAACCCAAAGAGACGTACCTCAGCCCTACCTCATATCCGGACTCGGTTCGTGCTCGGGGCAACAGTACTTCCCAAGAGTCTTACAAGACTACCAAGTCCAACACAAAGAGCGAAAAGAGCTCCACGACAAAGAAGAGCAATAAAAGTACCCTGAAAAACAAGGATCTGCAAAACACCAGTATTCTCTGTCTCTCCTCTTCCGAGGACGAGGACGAGGACCGGACTCCGAGCACACAACCACCGCGCAAGGGAAGCAAACACAGAGACAGCGTGGGCACCTATGACGAATCGGAGCCCGAGATCTACACAGCTGCTACAGCCAGAGCGACCACTGCCACTGCTGCTAAAAGATTCAACCGGGCCCATTCCACCAGCAGCAATACCTCCCGCCAGACGACACAAAGTCAACCACCGCCTCTTCCAGTGGCCCGGCCACGCAAGGCCTCCCAGTCTTCGAATGGCAAGTCGTCGACCACCACCCGACGGACCACACAGACTCGTCGTTCGAGTGGAGTACCGACCATCGCCGAACCCGACATTCTCTCTCAGTTTCCCCAACAGCCTCTGCGCTCCCCGGCAGAGCTGAAGGAGATGAATCGGCGAAGTCGCTACATCGCAGTGACCCGCCAAGAGCAGGACCTTCTCGAGGCAATGCGTATCCGCAAGGGCAAGGTCACACCCAGTCTCTTCAACGCCAACGGATCTGACAGACGCTCTGTCGTCTCGGGTCCATCCCGCGATTCATTTTGCGGATCGGATACTTCCTTTCTGCGCTTGAGCAACGCCTACCCGCCCTTTGATGCCCAATCGCTCAAAAGCACAGCCGCATACAAGGATAGCATGGCCTCGTCCGGGTCCGACTCTGAGCAAAAGGCCGAAGCTGCGCTATCCTCCCCGGGTTTCAGCGCAGACTACTCTGAAAGCCTGCCTTCGCCCGCCACCAGCGCTGCCTCGCCGTTGACGCCTACCCTGCCGATCCATCGATTTTCACCCCTCCCTTCTCCCAAGCCTCCCCCAAGAGGTCCGCCTCCCGCCATCCCAGAAGATCAAAAGCAACATACCCGCCGCCGCACAGATAGCAGCGAAGCTATCATGATTGACGGCGGTGAGCCTAAGCGCAATCTTCCCCTTTGGTCATTCGATTTTGACTGGAACCAGGAACGTAGCAACGTTGCCACGGTCCACTAAACGACACTCACTCCACGTTTTCCTTGTCTGTATATCTACATCATGTCTACCGCCACCTCCAAGGCCTTTTCTTTCTTTGTCACTTGCATCTCGGGTTGTCACCCTGAGCTCTCTCCACATAGACACTGCATCTTCTCTCGCTCCACTATGACCCTCTTGTTCATGTCCATACGTCCCATATTTCTTTTCATTGTGAATTTAGCGTTTCACGGGCTTCTTTCCCCGTCTTTTGGGTGGCTTCCATTACCTTCACAATATATCTTTCGGGCTCGGGTTACTACCAAATAATACATTCAACCAATTGAAATATTAGCAGTAGCAGTCCAGCGATTTCCGTCTCCGCGTAATCCCGACGATCGAGATGCAGTGCGCCCGAATCATAAAGGGGGTTTGATACTCAACGCGTGTACGAGGTATGCAGTGAAGTCATCAATGCAAGGATTTCAAGTCACTGCGATCGGCTCCACCCCAAATGTACATTACGGCTTATCCTTGGAGGGCCGGCATATGCATAGGAGAGCTGAATGATGACCGTGTGTTGGAATTGACGTACAAAGAGGCTGTGATCAGTTCCAGGTATTGACTCCATTCCTCGTACTTCGTAGGACACTGTAGGACATTTTAGCCCAACCCGGTCCAGTGTGGCTGACGCATGCAAGCCCAAGGATCAAATCGAGGCTGGGACTGTGCCGACTGGATGGGGCGCAGTGTCATCAGTAGAGCCCGAAAGCGATCGCGACAGTAAGGAAGATCGGATATCATGTTGGGCACGTCATCGGAACCCACCGCGACCAAAGTGCCACAGGTTCTGGGCCCGTGATACACCGCCCAACCCCAGATTCACTTCTTTTGGGCATTGATTCTTCTTTGACTGGTTTCTGGTTTCTGATTCCTGGTTTCAATGATTTCAGGTTCCTTGGGTTTCCCTTCTTTTTCAAGTCTTCGACTCATAGGGTTGGTCTACCCGTGATCGTCCCGAGCTCTGGCCGAGATCTACAGCCCCCTGGTTTGCGACGACTTTCCCTTTCCCACATCTCGTCGCTCTCGTCGCTCCCTCTTATATTAAACACTCGCGACACCGGGAACCGCTGGGTCCCACTCTCGGATCTCTACACTGCACACCAGAAATGGCCGATCGTGCACGCCAGCCCTCAGGGCTCCGAGCAGCCGCCAATACCGCGCCATGGATTCTGGTACGCATACGAGCACCACGAACGCTGCATGGGTATAACTAGAGGTCTCATGAGCTGACTTGACTTCTCTGTAGCTGACGGCTGAATCAACCGCCTTCGTCCTGGTAAGGGTTCTCATGTGCACCTCCGCAGCAATTGCTAACCTCTTGCGTTTCAGCTAGCGCACTATTCTCGAGTCATGCCACCAGCTGGCGGCAAGCGATACCTGACCTCTACGGCGGTCTTCCTCGTTGAAGTGGTCAAGTTAGCCATTTCTCTCACCATGGCGCTCTATGACGTCTCCAAAGCCGCACCTCCGTCCATGCCAGCCACATCCCTCTTTTTCTCTCTTACAAGCGCCGTGTTCTCGGGCGATAGCTGGAAGCTAGCGATCCCCGCCGGCTTGGAAGTGCTCTCCAATTCACTTCTTTACATCGCGCTATCGAACCTGCGAGCCGCAACCTTCCAGGTAACCTTCCAGTTGAAGTTCCTGACTACCGCGGTATTTGGGTTGATGCTATTGAAACGGAGTATCCCCGCCCGAAAGTGGGGTCTCTTGCTACTCTTAATTGTGGGCGTGGCACTGGTGCAAATGCCCGACGCAAGCCCGGAGCAAATCCTCAAGGACGATGCGAACCACCATTTCCCCAGATCGCTGGAAGAGTGGAAGGCAGTCAAGCAAGGGTCCGGATTGCAAAAGCGTTCCGCAACTTACGAAGGCATCGAAGAAGATCTATCGACCGCGGACCCGCATTTGAACCCCACAATTGGTCTCCTTGCGACCATCGGAGCGTCAGTGGCGTCCGGCCTGGCGAGCATCTATTTCGAAAAGGTTCTCAAAGATAGCTCGAAACACATTTCACTGTGGGTGCGGAACGTGCAGTTGGCGGTCTACTCCGTCTTCCCCGCCTTTTTCATTGGAGTCGTTTTCCGGGACGGTGAGAAAATCGCCGAGGATGGGTTCTTCCGGGGTTACAACTGGGCGGTGTGGTCTACCATCGTCATTCAGGGCCTGGGCGGGATTGCGTCTGCATTCTACGCCAGCCATGCGCAGAAAGATGCAAGGAGTCTGGCGACAACCACAAACATCATTTTGACCATTGCCGCAAGTGTTTGGCTCTTCGACTTTGAATTGAATGCTAGCGTAAGTCCCTTGCATTCGCGAGCCTTGGTTTTGTTAGCCCATACTGATCAAAACTGACCAACCATATAGTTCATCTTCGGTTCGGCCGCCGTTCTGGTCGCAACACACTACTATGGAAACCCTACATACAACGACGGGACTCGTCCACCCCCAATTCGCATCGATGCCTACGAAAAAGATACCACAGGCCCTGATGGCTCACCAGTCGAACCACCAAACGACTTTTCTATCAAACTGCCCACAACACCATTCCTTTCTGACGGTGTGTCGTCATCTCGACCTGTCTCTCCGGCGCCGGGCCACACGAGAGTAAGCTCCAGCCGGAACGCCAGTTCGACTGGTTACTTTGACGAGAAATGATTGGACTATACATCGCTTTTTCTCGCGCGTTGGCGCTTGTTTATCACCACACTTGACAACTGATACCGGATACCTGACAGACGCGGGTTTCGACTCCGCAGTCGCAACCCTTTGTAACATTCCTCGCTGTTGCTCCTCATGATTTGGAGCGGGCTGCTTGCTATCTCGGGTTGTCCACCCGGATGGCTGCTCCTCGGCTCATGTATGCATATATACGAAGCAATGAAACACTTTGATATACCCTGAATACAGAATTTGCTTGATCACCTCAAATGTGAAGCCATTCCGCAACAATCTCATTAGACACAACTTCGAGGTCTTGCTTCGTAGTCCACGTGCCATCACGGGGTCCCAGTCTTGACCCGTGGATTTCAGAATCCATCGCCGCCCTCAGCTTTTCGCACCACACGTTGTTTCATCATGAGAGAAAGCAATCAAAGATCTAGTTTCAAACCCTTTAAGTTGCCTTCGAGGCGCTCTAATGTCTCACATCATTCTTCTCCATCAAGTAGCAGACCCGGTGTCATCGACCAGAGATTAGTCGATGGTTCTCAGCAGCCACGATATACTCCAACACCTGAGATGTCATCCAATGTGCTTCCATCTGCCTATCGTCGTGATAGTGGCGATGATCAATTAGATGCTTTCGGTGCGACTTCTCTTCTATTGGGCTGGCAGACACTGACGAAAGACAGACCTGGAGCTGCTCGCCTCGGAGGAGCGAGAAGACGCAACTCGAGATTCAGGGCTTGGACTTTCTGGATCGACCCAATACCGAAGCACACAGGTCTCTCGCTTCTTTGATCGTAAGTGGCCGCCGCATCTTTTTTGAGACTTTTCTTGAATTGAACATAACAAGCAATAGCCAGCTCGAGCGTTACACCCCACCGGGGCAGTGGATATAGCTCTTCGGACCCGGTGTTGGGAGTGCCATCTAGTCCTCTCGCATTCTTTCGCCCAAAGCAAAGCCAGGTCCAAGCTGAACGGCAAGGCCTTGAGCCCAATCGTGAATCATACCAAAAGGGTCAACCATCGCCTCAGAGATCAACTCAGGCAGAGTATACCGTTACAGCCCCCGTCAGAACCGATAGAATATTCAGCAACATCCCGCCATCCATACGGGGTATTGTCCTTGTATCAGTGAACAACTTACCAGAGAACTACCGCGCAATGTTCCCCTTTCCACTGTTCAACGCCGTCCAATCCAAATCCTTCCAATCAGTCTACAACACCAACGACAACATCGTAATCTCTGCACCAACTGGCAGTGGAAAGACGGTCATAATGGAGCTAGCCATTTGCAGACTCCTCAACATTCTCAAAGATGAACGATTCAAAGTCGTCTACCAAGCACCAACCAAGTCCCTTTGCAGCGAACGCTTCCGAGATTGGCACGCCAAATTCTCAAGTCTGAATCTCAAATGCGCCGAGCTTACTGGAGACACTGATCACATGCAGTTGCGAAGTGTGCAGAGTAGCCAGATCATCATCACAACGCCGGAGAAGTGGGACAGCATGACTCGCAAGTGGAAAGACCACATGAAACTGATGCAGCTGGTCAAGCTGTTTCTCATTGACGAGGTCCATATTCTGAAAGAAACGCGTGGTGCAACCCTAGAGGCTGTCGTATCGAGAATGAAAAACATTGGGTCGAACGTTCGATTCGTGGCACTGAGCGCTACCGTTCCCAACTCTGAAGACATCGCGACTTGGCTCGGCAAAGATGCGACTAATCAGCATGTTCCTGCACACCGGGAACATTTTGGCGAAGAGTTTCGCCCTGTTACTTTGAAAAAGGTGGTGTATGGGTATCCATCTAGCTTGAATGACTTTGCGTTTGATAAAGTCTGTGGGTCAAAGTATGTAATGCCATGGCTATTTGAGATCCACACAGCTGATTAGGGTCCTAGGTTGCCTGAGATTATTGGACAGCATTCAGCACAGAAACCCATCATGATCTTCTGCTGCACCCGAAACTCGTCGCTTTCGACGGCGAAGGAGTTGGCTCGTCTGTGGACATTGACCAATCCTCCGGCCAGACTTTGGAAGGGACCTCAGAAGCATCTCAACGCGAGTAACGAAGAGCTCAAGTGTGAGTGACTTACTGTGCTTGAAGCTTCTGGAAAAATGCTAATGTCTCAAAGCGTCACTGGCTGCCGGAGTGGCCTTTCACCATGCAGGTCTAGGACCCGAAGATCGCCATACCGTTGAGACAGGTTTCAAAGAAGGACATATCAGCGTGATTTGTTGCACTTCAACGCTTGCTGTTGGAGTTAACCTGCCATGTCACCTGGTAATCATCAAAAACACCGTCGGTTGGCAAGATGGCAGATGCACAGAGTACTCTGACCTGGAGATGATGCAAATGCTTGGGCGCGCCGGTCGTCCCCAGTTTGACGATAGTGCGACAGCAGTGATCCTAACGAAGAAGAACCGTGTCCCACATTACGAGAGATTGGTCCAAGGATCCGAGAGCCTAGAGAGTTGTCTTCATTTGAACCTTATTGATCACCTGAACGCAGAAATTGGGCTTGGTAATATCTCCGATGTTCAGTCAGCTGTCAAATGGCTGGCTGGAACATTCCTGTTCGTGAGACTTCGTCGGAACCCGACACACTATAATCTCAAGGAGGGCGCGAAGCAAGAAGACGAAGACGAAATGCTACGCCAGATTTGTGAAAAGGACATCAGCATGCTTCGGGAATGTGGGTTGATCGAGACAGAGTCTCTCTGCTCGACTCCAGCTGGCGAGGCCATGGCTCGTTATTACATCCGTTTCGAGACTATGAAAGTCTTTCTATCGCTAAAACCAAAGGCAACACTCCATGAAACTGTGAGTACTTCCATACACCCGAGCAGAGCGCAGCTGATCTGTGTCATCTAGCTTAATGCAATCTCACTTGCGTCTGAGTTCCACGAAGTCCGGCTCAAGGCCAATGAAAAGACCCTTTACAAAGAATTCAACCGTGACGCTGGCATTCGCTTCCCAGTCAATGTTGACCTAGCCCTGCCCACCCATAAAGTCTCCCTTCTGATTCAATCAGAATTGGGAGCTATCGACTTCCCCGATGCCGAGGGATTACAAAAGCACAAGTTCACGTTCAATCAGGACAAAGGAATCGTGTTCGCACACGTCAACCGACTCATCAGATGTCTAATTGACTGCCAAATTGCCCGCAGTGATTCAATCAGCATCCGAAGCGCGCTCGAACTAGCTCGAAGTCTTGGTGCTCGAGTCTGGGATCATTCGCCTCTGCAAATGAAGCAGCTCGAGCAGATTGGAGTTGTTTCAGTACGAAAGCTCGCTGCTGCAGGTATCACAAGCATGGAGGATCTTGAAAGCACAGAGGCGCATCAGATCCAAGTGCTTCTTAGCAAGAATCCCCCCTTCGGATCAAAGTTGCTGGCGCGACTGAGAGAGTTTCCCAAGCTCTGGGTTGCCGTGAAGATGAGTCGAATGGTATGTATTTGATACTGAGGCAGGAATTGATAGCTGATGAAAATACAGAAGGTGAAAATGGATTGTGTTGATATCCATTTCGAGGTCGAGCTTGCGTTCATGAATGACAAGATTCCGACGATGTTTCAACGCAAGCCGGTTCATGTTTGTTGCATGACAGAAAGATCAGATGGTCATATGATTGATTTCAGACGTATGAGGTAAGTTTGTGAGGATCGTTCATACCTAGACATTCCCCGATCTGATGACTTTGAAAGCGCAAATAAGATGCAGGATCGCCAAAAGATTGAGCTCAGTGCCCAACTCACTGATGCGGGCCAGTCAATCTTGTGCCATGTCATGTGCGATGAGATCGGTAACGCTATTATCTCGATCTGATTGTGATGAGTCTACTAACCTGTAATTGCTCAGCTGGGACATCACGACAAGCCGAGCTTAAGCCAGAGTTATCAGCACACACATTTGCTAAAATACGAGCAAAGGATGCTGGTGCTTGCGGTGCAATGAATCGAATCAACTCTGAACAAAGCAATGCTGCTACCACTCCGAGCACCCCAAAAAGAAAAAGCCTGGTCTCTTCGACCCAAGATTCTACTGCGATCAACAAACCCCAGGTTCCGGAAGCCACCCATTTCCGCCTTCACGAAGACGAAATATGTGATACAGGGGATCTGCAAGATTTGGATGGCTTCGATGGGGATGACTTAGAGCTCGATGATTTTCTTAAATCCGAGGATCACCGCAAGGAAGAGAAAAACTCCACTCACCAGGCAAAGCTGCAACTTAACGACGAAGATTGGTTTTCAGTCATTTCAAGCACACCAAGTCCGCCAAAGAAGAGTACCAAAGCTGCAAAAGCCTGTGTCTCCAATGGAGAGGATTGGGCCACAGAACTGGACGAACAGGAAGAGGAGGTATACGAACCGATTAGACTTGCAAATGGGAAATGGGCTTGCAATCATAAATGCAAGGACAAGACCAGGTTTGTTTCCTTTCTCGTCCATTCTTTTTTGTGGCCGAGACTAAGTCGAAAGTTACAGCTGCAAACATTTCTGTTGCAGGGAAGGTTTGGATAAGCCTCCCCCAAGGCCGAAAAAACGGATTGCTCCTACAATGCAAAAAGAAGATTCTCTCAGTCAACTGACTATTTCCACAAGTCTGACCAAAGCAACAGCCAACGCAGCAAAGAGTGGAGCGCAGACCACTAAGCAGCCTGGCCTCGAGTCCAAGAGTGCTGCCAATAGCTTGAAACCGAAAACCCCCACAGCACAAATCGCGAAAAAGCCATCAATCCAAGGAAGACTGGCTCTTGCGGAGAAAGATAGGAACGTCATCCTGGCAAAGAAGAAAAATATTCCCCCAAAGCCCCCCTCTAGTGACTATGGCGATGACAGCTTCGATGATTTGCCAACCCCTTCCCAGCTTTTGATGCACGTCAGGAAGAGTGCCCCGAAGACACCACTGCCAGCAAGCGAGACACAGCAGAAGAGAGCAAGCCTCACTGCTTCTGATCTGGGGGAAGATTCAATCAAGGACACCGATCTTCAGAACGAAAAGTCTAAGTCTCGTCAACCTGACAAGATCAGTCCATCAACCCCCCAGGAGCACGAAATAATTGAAATATCAGATGATACACCCCCAAACGCTACGAGAAGCTCAATCGCAGAGCTCGGATCAACTGCCATCGAACCCAACAGTTCCCAAGTCTCAGCAGAGATAGTCCCCAATGATAAGAAACGCAAAGGAGGCCAGGATGATAACGAAAATACCAAACGGTTCAAACGCAATCCATTTGTTCAGCCTTTCCAACTGCCATCTTCACAGGCTGCAAGGTCCAACGAGGGGTCACCTGAGCCCAATAACACCGATCTCCCAGTGCCTCGCACCTGGCTTGACTTGAATGCTGAATGGCTCCATGACGATATTGATATGCTCGAGGAGTTCAAGAATATTGTTGATTTTATTTAGACAGTTACCAGGATGACCGGAGATTTGAGGTGACATTATGGCTTAGGTCGTCATTCTTAACTTGATGGGTTGCAGAATGGTCGGTGCATCTTGTGGGCAATACTTTATCCTGTATACTATATTCCGTACTAGAGGCCAATAGGTGTCGGTTTCAATATGATAACATTTGAACGCTGCTGAAAGAAATAAGTATATTACAAAACGTCTCCTAGCGGGTCCCGCTTGGTCACACCCATTAGATCAACCTTGGAAGGAACTTTACTCAATTGATACAAGATTTTTTCCTTTTTCACGGCGTCTAGGTATTGGAATGTAGATTCACCGATCTCCAGTACGATGACGATAGATAAGAGTGCCCAAATGGCCGCAATGTGTCTTGGCGCCATCGCCACCCCTGTTTGCCCCAAGGCCTCAGGCCGACAAGCAACATTGGGGGCGCAAGGCTAAAATTAGGCCACACTTTAGCAACACCTCAAAATACTCTTCACTCGTGTGTTACATATCTGGCTGTTCTACAGAGTAATCTCTCGAGAAACCAGTTTCGCGATAGTATTATTTTGCAGGGGCAACAAAAAATGTCCCTGCTAAGGCCGAGGGGTGTATAGATGATCGTCACGCCGCCAGCAGCCTGAGATCATGTATCACGCCAAGTACCACGGAACGACTGATTTCTAGTTTGCAATGACTCACTGAGCAGTTTCGAACTCGCGACTTGTGCCGCGGCCCTTCTGGGTCGCGAAGACCACTCAGCTACTCAAGGAACCATATGGCAGGTAGAATGCTAATGTTCTACATGACCCCATTTTTTCCACAACCTTAGGTTTCAGGCCCCACACCAATCTGGCTGATGTCATTTACAACCGGAGACCCTGGTTCATCCTCTTCTTTTCTTCTTCGCTTCTTCGATTTTCCTTCCATCGGTTCTAGAAGATCTATCATGCGAGCAAAGCGCCAAAACACTCAGCCCCTCGAGGATGCCTCCGTGGCCCCAGACACCTTCACAGATGGCCTCCCACTCCCAAAGTTGATTGCTTTTGATCTGGACTACACTCTGTGGCCATTCTGGGTCGACACACATGTCAGTGCCCCTGTAAAATCACGCGATAACAACTCTCGAGTCGTGGACCGGTAAGACCTCCAACCTCCGACCCAGAACGCAAGCTAACTCTCCCAGATGGAACGAGTCGTTCGCCTTCTACCCCGCAGTCTCGTCGATTGTGCACGCTTGCAAGCACCGATCGATTCCTCTTGCGCTTGCTTCGCGAACATCTGCCCCTGATCTTGCGCGCGACATGCTCAAATCCCTCCATATCATCCCTACCTTCTCTGATAACCCTGCCGCCAACGCGAAGACCATACGCGCCTTGGACTACTTCGATCATATCCAGATCTACCCCGGCAACAAGACTTCACACTTTGCCAAGATTCATCAGACGAGTGAGATTGCCTATGAAGATATGCTGTTCTTCGATGACGAGGCGCGCAACCGGAATGTGGAAACTGAGTTGGGGGTCACCTTCTGCTTGGTGCGGGACGGTATGACCCGGGAAGAGGTTGATCGAGGCGTCAAGGCTTGGAGGAAGAGAAATGGTATCAAGCGGGAGACCGAGGAATGATGATGGATGTATTGCATTGAATGACCTGAGATACCCTTATGAAATATGTATATAGCCGAGCCGCGAGATTGGCGAACTATACCCTCGACAATGGATAGAAATGATAGACAAATATACAGAATTGATGGCATCAAACCCCTGTGTCCCATCTCTCCAGGGCTTTTGTAGGCCATTGTACTCGGTATTGTTCACCCGTGGACTTTTTCGCGTCAAAATAGATCAGTTGGCTCGCAGGTGACCCCGACAGTTAGCCGGCCGAGCCAATATTGCGATGAAGAATAAGGGGACTTCACGTACAAAATGTGACTCCAGTCTCGACGACAATTAAAAGTGCCTATTCTAGCATTTCCATATCTGGCTAGACTTCATGGCTGTTCTAACCCGCTGACAAATTGCATAAAGCGGCAAGCAGTAGCTCCAGAACAGGAGCTCCCCATACTCACGATCTCCCAAACACAACCAACAATGGCAACTCTCAAGCCACCTACAAACACACACCGCTCCTCCAGCTCCGGCCCGCCCAAAGCGCCCGTGAAAGCCGACTCAACAGCAACAATCGCAGACAATGTCGTCTTCCAAGGTCCATACCCCGTGACCATCGGCGCAGGAACGGTCATACACCCGCGCGCGAAATTCTACACCTACGAAGGTCCGATCATAGTCGGAGATGGATGCATAATATCCGAGAAAGCCGTGATCGGCTCACAACCACCACCATCCAGCCGATCATCCTCACCACTGCCGGCCCGAGACGGGGAACCAACACCCAAAGAATCCACAACCCGTATTTCATACTTCGTCACCATTGGTCCCTCAAGTACCATTGAGCCAGGCGTGCATATTCACTCCTCTGCAACGATCGAGGCACTGGCGACCATCAGGCGCGGGGTGGACATCGGGTCTCATGCGAAAGTGTGCTCGTCCTGTGAGATTACGGGGAGAGTGCAGGAATGGTTTGTTGTTTGGGGGAGTGGACCTGGCATGCGGAGGAAGAGGACACGCGGTGCAAAGCCATTGAGCCCGGCTGTTCTTGATGCGGCGAGGATCGCACAGACGCCTCTCCCGGCGCCGGCGCCGGCGGGCAAGGTGATTGAAGATGCTAGGTTGATGGTTTTGCAGAAGGAGAGGGAAATACTTGGGAGGATGCTTGTTTCTGTCAAGAAGAAGTGATTTTGTGGCTTTTGTTTCGAGTTGATACCCCCTGTTTGTTACGAATGCCATCTATTCCATTGAGATCTTGGGAATACCCAGGTGATATGCCAGCTATCGAATTCGCCCGCACAGCGTGACAGTGCAAGGGCAAACCTCCTGGGCACTACAGACTAGAAGGCACGTCGATGGATCAATGGCAATTACCTAGTCAATCGCAGTGAAATGCGTGCACTAAGTCAAGACCCGTGGACTTCCAGGGTTCTAGGTTCCATTCTAGCCCCTGCTACTCCGGGCCGAGCGGATATCTTACTGTGCAATAATATGCAGTAAAAATACGCAAGCACTGACTCGCTATCTATTACTTGCATATAAAGGAACTCATTTGATTCAAATGTCGATTTGCACCCTCGACTTAGGGCAAAGCGGAGCCGTGTGACATATCCCGGGGCCTGCCTCAGGGTGGCCGGAATAGGAAATTTCAAGGTTCTGCTCAGATCGTTATCTGCCAGGTGGGCATATACTAGCCTGACACTCAACTTGGCTGTTTCGACATGCCGTGGCACTGTTTCGCGATCGACACAGAATGAATCAAATCCAAGCTGGTTTCTTTGGAAGTGAGTGAAACCAGCATGTTGGCCCATCTCACAGTCTTCCAAGACCATGCGGACCTGACGGCAGTGGAGAAAAAGAATTAAGAGTCCCTTGATTCTCCACACTCCGGACTCCAGAAAGTGAATGTTCTCCAAGCCCTAACCGGACTAGCCCCGCCAGCTCGCCGAATTAGTGGGCCTTCGACATCCACTTCGATCTCGGCTGTACTCAAGCCCAAGCAGATCTCAACCCGGTCGCCGGTTATAGGTACAGGTCCCAGGGGGAGAATGGCCGACTTATCCGTAGATTCCGACTATATAGTAGAGATGCCAGCCAAAGAGTATGGCAGGAATACGCGGAAATGTCCGAGCCAACAGAGGCCAAAGAATTGGACTGGGCTAATGACCCTGACAATGCGAAGAACTGGTCGACATCGAAAAAGATCTATAATACCGCTGTGCCGGCTCTTCTTTGCATGCTGATGTACGCGAATCCCATCGGTTTCAGGGTCGTTTGCTAAGATCAGATATCATCTCACAGATCATTCGGCCTCGCAATTTATTCCCCTTCTCATACCAGCGTCCAACATGATTTCCGAATTAGCTCCACCCTGGCTCTTCTCCCTTTCACACTATATGTATACGGTCTCGCCTTCGGCCCAGCAGTCTCGGCACCACTCAGCGAAACATTCGGACGACGATTCATTTACGTCTTCGTGACGCCGATCGCATTACTATTCATCCTAGGAGCCAGCTTCGCGAAAAACATCGCAGCACTCGCAATATGTCGACTCTTGGCCGGGATCACCATCTCTGCACCCTTGGCCGTTGGCGCCGGAACCATCATGGACATGTGGACAGGTCCACAGACAAACCGCGGCGTGGTCTTGATCATGACCATCGCCTTTCTGGGACCGGCACTGGGTGAGCTCGTTGGAGGATGGATCGCTCAGTACAAGAACTGGCAATGGTCACTCTGGACTACCTTGTTTCTTGGTGCGGGAGTTTGGATCTTCGCTCTCGGCGCCCAGGAGACTTATGCTACTCCCGTGAAGCGCCGCAAGGCCCAGAAACTTGGACTCCCGGTACCCCCTGCCCCGATTCCAGCTGGTCTACCTGGAATCCGTTTCTTGTTCACGGTAACGTTGGTGAGGCCGCTGTACATGCTGGTCCGCGAACCCATCGTGCTACTCTGCTCGCTCTACTCTTCTCTGAACTTCTCCATTCTGTTCTGTTTCTTGGCGTGTATTCCGCTAATCTTCGAGACTACATATAAATTTACGCCGGGACAAAGCGGGCTGGTACTGATTGGCATTGCGGTGGGGTGTGTTCTTGGAGGCACTGTTCTGGTTCTCTTGGACGCCTATACCATGAAGTTGCATGTTCGGAAACTCAACACTGCAGCACCGCCGCCCGAGAGAATGCTATGGGGTGCAATGATAGGAGGCCCTTTCATGGCAGCCTCGTTGTTCTGGTTTGCTTGGACCGCCCGGCCGGGGATTCATTGGATCAGCAGCATTATAGCGACAGGTTTATTTGGATTTTCAAATATCCTCGTATTCGTGAGTAGACCGCGCACAGTCGAAATGATTGTATGACTGATGGTATCACATCGATAGGTCTCGACAATGCTTTACCTGACCAACGTCTACGGTGCCAAGTCTGGAGCATCGGCGCTGGCAGCTAATGGACTCCTGCGATATCTTGTTGGTGGCTCATTCCCCTTGTTCACGATACCAAGTATGTCTTCCTGTGTTGTATCCCCTGCGTACGTTTCTGACTTCTCAGTGTACAACAACCTTGGCTATGAGTGGGCATCAAGTTTGCTTGGATTTCTGGCGGTAGCATTTGCCTTCCTGCCATGGATCTTCTATGTTTTCGGCAGCAGGGTTCGACAGTCTAGTGCCTATGCTCCGGATTTGAAGTAATGAATGTCAATTGGACGCGGGCCTGGGCCGTGTTTTGGGCCTACTGACTTGGAAATGGCCAGAGTTGATTGTGGCCAGTATGTATTTATGCTGGAATGTTCCTTGACTCTAAGCGCAATCTAAAGAAGATCTATTGACAAAATTCCGAGATGAGACGAACAAAGATTTGCTCGGTTTCCCGAATGCTTTCAACATCAACCCATTCTTCCTTTGCATGTAGCCCTTCACCTGCTGGGCCAATGACAATAGTTGGGATTCCGACAGCACCCAAAAGAGCAGCATCACACCAAATGGCCATACTGTCAATATGGGTGGGATGATCGTAAACATCAGTAGCAATTGCAGCAGCTTGTTGAACCAGTGGATGCTCGAAGGGCAATTTTTGGGAAGGGCGCGAAAGAGTAACGCGAGGCTCGGCATACTTAAACGTGGGCTTGGATTCGGCAATTTTGGATAGAAGTTCCTTCATATCTTGAATGATAGTTTCCTCATTCTGGGCTGGCACGGTGCGGAATTCAACAGTTACGGTACATTTTGCAGGGTATGAAGATGGTTCTTCGCCACCCTTGATCAGTCCGCAATGCAACGATGCGGACCCGATAATCTCGTCGACGGGGAGGCGGCTCTGGTAATCCTCCAACGCATTGATGAACCAAGCAGCTTGAAGAATCGAATCCACTCCTGAAGCCGGGTCTGAGCCATGGGCAGCAGTTCCTAGAATGTCGACTTCGACCCAGACAAAGCCCTTATGGGCACATATGAGAACCCGGTTGGTTGGTTCGGGAATCACAGCGCCGTCTGCGCGCCATCCGGCTGCAATGAGGTCCTGGGTTCCCTGTGATGCATCTTCTTCGTCTGAAACAGCCGCAAAGATAACATCACCACGCAAGGGAACGTCGCGGGCTTTGATCGAAGCTAAGGCAGCCATCTCCGCGGCAAGGCCGGATTTCATGTCCAAAGCACCTCTGCCATAAATGACCTGGCGACCATCTCTTTCACCAAAGTGGCCGGAGAGAGGTTCCTTCTCGTAACTGTTCAAGCTCACAGTGTCGATGTGGCCATTCAGCATCAAGGATTTTCCTCCGCCCGAACCACGAATCACGCCCACGACCGAGGGTCGGCCAGCAACCGTCTCAATCCGATGGTTTTCGATCCCGCGGTGGTTGAGCCATGCGGTCAAGTAATCTGCAATCTGCGCTTCTCCGGCACCAGGTGTGGCTGACAGTGTGACATTTGAGGAATCAATGTTTGTCAGGATTCGAGTCAGCGCCACACAATCGTTGGCTGTCACGTCGAAGGGGGTGGAAATTTGTGCGGATGACATTCTGAAGTTATTTATTTTGGCTGTTCTATAAAAGAAAGGGAGAATTGGGCGAGCGGAGTTTCAAATCGCGGCCTTCATGACGCCTTCTGTGAACAAGCCCCGGTTTTTGTCGATCTATCACTCATTTTGAAGAATTCTATATTAGATCTTTATGTTTCTGTTTAACTCTCTTCGTTTCCATCTTGAGAGCAGAGTAATGTTTTCGAAAATGTAATGGACGTCATTTGGTTTACACCATACTACCTAGGTAGGTATTAGAGAGACAAAGTGAACTAAATTTCCAAACCCTCACTAACTGCCTAATTCCTAGAGGGGAATGGCTAGACCATCACCGCGAGGATCGCTACCTGCACTAAAGATAATTCTCCCCTCCTCGCGTCGACAGCGAATTAATTGCCCACGCCCAAACATAGATCGATCATGGCCCTTCAATACAATCACATTATGACCGAGGCTACGTAGGCCATCAACTGTCACTTCCCGAATCCCTTCCTCCACAAAAATGGTCTTGTCAGCCTCCGGGTCGTCTTTTGAGACAGCGCCGATGCATATGCGAGGCGCATCAAGGGCCTCCTGGGGGCTAAGATCAAACACCAGCATGTTCAGTAGGACTTGAACATGCCCTTGAGGCTGCATGAATCCCCCCATCACCCCAAAAACAGAATGCAAGGACCCATCAACATTTGTGACCATTGCCGGGATGATGGTGTGATACGGTCGTTTTCCAGGAGCCAGGACGTTTGGGTGACCGTCGTCGAGTCGGAAATTCGATCCACGATTTTGCAGGGTGAAACCACATCCTTTGGGAATAATGCATGATCCAAAGCCTTCGTAGTTGCTAATAATGAAAGATGCTCCATTGCCATCGGAATCAGTGACAGCAAAGTAGACAGTGTCACAATGATTGTAAGCCGGGCTTCCATGAGTCACCAAAGAAGATGCCTTCTTCAGGTCAAAGATGTTGGCTCGCTCAGCTAAATAGCGACGGGAGAGTAGCTGTTCCACTGGAATATTGGCCAAGTCTGGGTCACTTACCCACCACCTTGCATCGGCGAAGGCAATCCGCAGGCTCTCGATGATAGCATGCAGATATTCTGTAGAATTGTGATGCTTTAGTTTGAGCTTGTCAAGTCTTCCGCTATCCTGGAGCTCCTCTAGAATCCCCAAAGCCATGAGAGCGACAATTCCTTGGCCATTAGGAGGGTGCTCCCAGACTTTGACACTCTCGGTATTCGACGAGCCTGGATGTTTGAAACTCTCTGGGTTGAAATCGAGGGAAATCGGATCAACCATTTGGCTTCCAACTTTTGCGTGCTGTTTCAAATCTTCAAGGGAAAGATATCCTCCCAGATCCTGCACAATCTTGACCACCTCCTCGGCGACGCTTCCCTCGTAGAATCCACTCTTGCCTTCCGAAGCCAACTTGCGAAACGTTTGGGCGAGAGATGGATTGTGCATGATCTCACCCGGCTGAGGGGATCGAACACCGTCTTTGGCAGTCGGGTCCTTTTTCAGCATCTCCCGAAAATTGGGAGAGGCGTTGCGAATCATCTCCTCACTTGATCTCCACTATGGTAGCCGTCAGCTCCATCTCAGGGAGGTCAAAGTTGTACCCACATTATAGGACGCTATCTCAGACACTGGGAATCCTTCTTCCGCCAATTGAATTGCGGGAGTCAATACCTGTTCTAGAGAGAGCTTGCCACTCCCAAAGCTGCTAACGGTGTCAACCCAGCCGGCGGCAGCACCGGGTGTTGTGATCGAAAGTGCACTGTTAAGTGGAATAGAGCCTTTGTCGGTAGCCAGCACGTTCAAATCATGACGGACCTGCTCCACAGTCGCAGCCATTGGATACCTACCAGATCCATTGATCGCATGGATTCTCTTGGTCTTGGCCTCGAAGAATAAACAAAACATATCTCCTCCAATTCCAGTTGAGCAAGGCTCGGTGACGTTCAAAGCAGCCGCTAACAGATGTCAGTATCTAAGTAACACTTGACGTGTAGATTCAGACTGACCAACCGCGACTGCGGCGTCCTGTTCGAACAGTTTAGCCCAGCGAAAGGGAGTGACTGGCATCGTAAACTCACAGCAGCATTACCACCATCCATCAATATTTTCTGTCCAGCGGTTGCAGCCAGAGGCTGACTGCAAGCAATCATTCCATTCGTACTGTGGACAGTACTCCTTCTGCTGTGAAATCGCGCGAAGTCCGCGTAGGAATCAGAGTTCAACATGGTATCAAAAGGGTTCTCCTGCTTTTTTTGGCGGTTTGATCTGCTGTCTTGACTGTGGCATACTCCAGTATACCATGAGGGTCCACATGTTTATACAAGACATTCAAAGAGTTGTGCCAGTTGGAGGGGTTCAATGTTCTCAGAAGGCGTGTGTTCTCGGAAGGCGTCGTTTCCATTGAAGCACATCCAACTGTTCCCCTCATTCACCATCTTTCAACACAAATTATCTATCAGCGGGCCTTCGGCAAAAATGGAATCAAATCAAGTAATAGGAAACGACTTGAGCAACTATTGGGTCTATGATGCCGAAACACATATCATGGATCTATCTCGGGGTAGCGCAACCCCGAGTGGACCCCTAACGCTTCAAACAACTACCCAGCGTATTCGAGTCAATCCAGACAGAACTGCCTTGGTCATAATCGACATGCAAAACTTTTTCCTGTCTCCTGCTCTTCGTCCACGAGTTGGCAATAAGACCTCACCAGGGGCAGCTGCAGCCCGAGCACTCCAAAGCTTAGCAATACCAGCTGCCCGAGCACAAGGTATACAGATCATATGGCTATCTTGGGGCCTTACCGAGTATGATTTGAGTACTATGCCACCTGGGGTCATGTGCACATTCGGCAACTACGATGCCAAAGTGAGAGATGTTTATCATAAAGGAGCAAACGATACTGCCCTAGCCTCTGTACCGAACATGATTCGAATCAAGGACCCCGCCCTTTACAAGAGCCTGGGCACCGATCTTGGGCCTGTTGAACTAGAGGACAAAACAATCATACAAGCCGGCCGACAATTGATGCGTGGCACTTGGAATGCTGCTCTTTATGGGCCCTTAGACAAAGAATACAGGGCGAACACGTCTGACTCGGTTATTGACAAGGCCAAAAAACCGGATGTTTTGATTTACAAGAATCGTACGTCCGGACTTTGCCTGCCAGAGTCGGAACTGGAAGACTTTCTGAAACAAAGAGGGATAACGACCCTTCTCTTTGCGGGAGTAAATACTGATCAGTGTGTTGGTGGGACATTGATGGACGCTTTCAGCAAGGGATATGATTGCATCTTGTTGCGTGATGGTACAGCGACCACCACAGGCTTTGGCGCAAGTGATGTTTGGGAGTGGAATATATGCAATTGCTGGGGTTTTGTCACAACTTGCGAGGCTCTAAAGAGTGCGTCAAAATCTGATCGCATATAGCTCCCACATGTGAATACGGGCGGACATGAAATTTATTTATCAGTCTTTTAGTTCTCAAGTGTAGCTTTGGAGATTCAATGTGCGCAAATATCATGTGGTGGTTAGAGTAAGACTCGGGAGTGGTGTGGAGGAAGAAGACAGAAGATACGCGGTATGGAGTACGCGGAGAAGATCATGGATGTATAGAATGGGCTTGTATTATTTGCACCGGATTTGTACTATTTCCTTCCGCCCCGGTAGTGGTATCTCTGGTAGTAATATTTTCTGCCTGACCACTACATACTGGGCTCTAGGGCTCCAGGGCTGGCCCCGGGGTCCCAATTGGGGCAGTATAAATACCCCAAAGCTCAAAGGTCTGGGCCATGACCACCCTGCCCCTGCGTAGTTGTGTCACTTTAGGGCCTAGGGGCGTATGTATGTCTCGATTTTCATATGCCTACCATATGACATCCTTACATACTCCAATTCGTACAGAGCTGTAACGAGTGATAGTGAATATACGGAGTGCTTTATATTCGATGGTCTTTAATTACTTCATGCCTACGTACTCCGTACATCCTCGAGTGTATAGTATAGCACTGGTATGTGATAGCTCTTTTAATGTGATTTGAATTCGTCGCTGAGCTGCCTATGCCGGTCCCTGTCGATCTCAATTAAACTCGCAGGTTTAGGTTGAAGTAAGGCCCAGGCCACACGATCTGCCCAACACGCATCTTGATTTTCATTTTAAGGGTCTCTGATTAGTGCTAGGGGCCAGCTAATGAAGCATATCGACTATTGATCGTGGCTTCATCCAATCAGAGTCCCTTCCTGGAGTGTGCAGGTGGGTACGAAGTGGATCGATCAACTGGCCAATTTCCGTATGCACCAGCACAGACAGTAGTTCGAACGAGTCCACAATAACAAGTTCGAAGGGTTAAAGGCACTTGTGTACCCAGCTTGATCGCATTATCTCTCACATCTCACGCTCATTTCACACTCGTTAGCTCCATCCCACTCTTTACACTCATTTCAATATTACGATAATCCACTATCATCATGTACGCCAGCAACGTCGTCCTCTTCGCCCTTAGCGCCCTGACTGCTTCCGCCAGTCCTCTGCTCCAGCAGCGCTCCTCGTACACTGCCTGTGCTACTGGCATGTACAACAACATGCAATGTTGCAAGGAGAGCGTCGTCGGAGTCGCCGCCTTTGAATGCAAGGCTCCCTCCAAGGAGCCCGCCAGCCTTGACGAGTTCAAGAGCCTCTGCGGTGCCCCCGCTGTTCACCCTCTGTGCTGCACAATCCCTATTGTATGTGGAACCCGTCATCAACTAGCGCTGTGCCATGAGATTCGAGAGCTAACATGATCTTCAGGCTGGCCAGGACCTTGTCTGCATGGACCCCCTCCCCGACATGTCCGCCATGTCCTCCATGGAAAGCTCTGTGGGTGGCTCCAAGGGAGACTCCGGCTCTTCTGGTATGCCCTCCATGGGCGGCTCCATGGGCGGCTCTAAGGGAGCTTCTGGCGCCACCGGTCTGCCCTCCACCCGCTAGGGCCCTCGCCAAAAATTTTCAACCTTCAACTACATTATTTAAAACTGGATGATTCCCATTGGATTTGGCGGTGATCCACAATGACGGTCTCGGACACTCGTACAGACATGGTATTCCGGAGGCGAGACCCGTGTTCAAGAATGGCTCAGCCGGATAGTTGTAATTAATTCCACTTATGTATACCCAAATTGTCAGCTTTCTCTGAACCATGATGCACCGGGAGGGTTGGCCCTCGAGTAATATGTACATAGTACTAGGATAACGTAGGAACTGTTCCAAAAACCGAATTTACTACAAGCTGCGTGGGCCATGAACAGGGGATCGCCTGAGCGAACGCCGAGTGGGTCGCAATACTGATCACAAAGCAAGGGGAAAGCCCTAGCCTTGAAGGGTCTGGGGTCCACCTGAGCAGTTTCTATCCACCAGGCACGGACTCGGAAGGACTCCGAATAGACACGAACTATCGAGTATGGGGTACGGAGTACTAGGTATGTTTGACACAAAACGGTGCAGGTGCAACCTGGGAAGGTCCCATTATCAAACCTTGAAAATACCAGTAGACCATCTTATTTGAATCAAACTCAAGAATTTAATTAGTTTGTTTTTATTCTATTTTTCAATTGCACTGAAACATTTGAACAATCATGACATGGTAAGAAGGGGAGAGATAGTAGAATCAACTATTTGTCCGCCTGCTTCGGTGGAAGCTGCTCGAACCTCGCGAACGATGGCACGCAGTTTTGCAAAAGAAATAGACGCAATGTTCCAGACCTGACTCATCGATTTAAGAACGCCCAGATTCAACGCCACAAATGACCGTTGCTTGGCAATTGGTTGCCCTGTTGGCACAGCCAAGGCAGCCACCTGCACTATTGAGCTGAGAACGAGAGAACAGGCAAAAAAAGGGGTATGTCCCCTCACGGAGGTAGAAAGGGAGGCCAGCTTGGACAGCTCAGAAGCTGCATTGACAATCTTAGCGGTGTGGGTTTGTGTATTGGACGAGGGAGATGAGATGGGCGGAGGTCTGGAACAGAAAATCTCGCCGGTGGTTGGAAGCAAGAGGACGAGGAGAGACCTCGGGAAATGAAGGTGGATAGAAGCACATTGCATGATCATTGCAGATTGGAAATCGATCTGGTCGACCTTTCCATTCATTTGTAGAATGCTGCCGTTCACGTTGGGCCATCGGTGAAACCAAGCTGAGATTCGTGTATCTAACCTCTCCATATCATCTTCACCAGCGTGATTCTCACATGCGAAGAGACATTGCCGGAGAAGAAGTGTAGCTTCAACACGGTAGGCCAGTGGTGACATGCAACCATCGTCAAAGAGTTCGCTGAAGTCTAGATCTTTTGCTGATATCTGCGAGAGCCCGGAATGACCGTCCGTGAAGCTCTCATCCCTAGATGGCAAAGGCACATCAGGCGTCTCCATGTTGAATTGCAAGGTGCCGCCGACCTGCATGGTCGCAAGCAGGGTGTCAACGACAAAGACCTCCCACAGTGTCCGCCGCATGCTTTCAGCGCGAGCCGGGTTTTGTATTTCCACGGCATCGGAAACTTCTTTGAAATGAAGCCCGAGCCCGAAACTACATTCGATGGCGAGACCGATGCACTTCTTCGCTAGATCGGGGACATTTCGACCATGAAAGAGGATGCACAGGAAGAGATAGGACTGTACTTTCTCTAGGGCTAATTCGGCTTGCCCAGTGGCGATCCAAATATCGTTCGGGAATTCTGTGACCTGACCCGGCGAGGCATGATGTAATCCAATGAGCTCAACGATGTCCACGAGATACTGCGGCGGAGAAGATGAAATCCAGAGGTCATAGGGTGGAAAAATCGGGTGTGCAGAGTGAAAGTATTCATAGAATGCCTTGATCAGATGAATGCGTAGGCGGAAGGGCCTCTGTGGAGGCCCTGGGATGTACTCAGGAGAGAGGACGCCCGAGATCTCAAGCGGCAACGAGGAACTGTCAAAGAATGGAGATTCATCGACCACTGGAATTGGACAGCTATCGAGACCAGCAAGTTGACTTGGTTGTCCTCGGCGCCCACGACGTGATGGCACAAAGTGGCAAAAGAGAGATAGAACACGGCATCGATCACAGCCTTCCGGGTTGCCGTCACATTTGAGATGTTTGTCCCGGCAATTGAGACATGCGACTGTTGAACTTGCAGTTGTTTTTGGAGAGTCCATCGTTGGAGAGGAAAATAACCGTCTCCCCGCGAATCTCTTCGCCGAACCGCGGGGATGCCGAGTTCGCCGAATTAGTGGAGCCCTAACGTCTCGGCTCGGGGTCTTGACCAGCGACTCGGAATGCTGCAATGACATTGCTATTTTGACACCTGGCAGGGCTGTGAGGAATATAACTGTTAAAAGGCACGGAAGATAACCATGTTGATCAACGCCAACCTAAATATCTACGGAAAGAGGATGAGATATCTCGAAATGAGAACATGTAGATTGAAGCAAGATGATAATACCCAAGATAACAAAACGCCATTGACTAGATACATGACAAAGGAGATGACCATGCTTCTGCACACGCAAAAAAAAAAAAAAAAAGGAAAACAATGGGACTAGATCCAGGCAACCCGGGTCTACACAGCATTGTAAAGTTGAAAATACATCATTGAATAAAAATGGATGAACATAAGAAGCGCTCATGCAGAGCCTCCACCACGAGATTGCTGGGCACCTCCACCACGCTGCCTCTTTCCGCCGCTAGCATCGGCCGTACCATCTGAGCCGTCTTCACGGGAGCGCTTGTTGCCCTGAGGGATGAACTGACGTGCGGAAGCATTGAGATTCTGCTGGTTTCCTCCACGGGCTTGGCCTCCACGGCCACGACCACGCTGAGCTCCGCCGCGTTGAGCCGCGTGCTGACCTTGTTGGTTTTGGTCAACTTGCTGTCCCTGTGCATGGCCATGGCCAAATTGCTGGCCGCCACCACGACCGCCACGACCGCCTCTTGCGATAGGTAGGCCGGATTGAAGGGCTCGCATGAGACCCGGGTTTCCACCGTGGTTTCCACCAGGCTGCTGGCTGGGCGGCGCAGAGGGCTGCTGGCCTTCAGCCCGTTGGGACTGACCGAATGGATTGGCAGGTGCAGTGGTCTGTGACTCTCCTGTTACAGCGGGGGTTTCGGCAGGGGTTGCCTGGGCGGCAGGGGTAGGGGCAGTTCCAGCCGAGGGTGTTGGCACAGGGGCCGGGGTAGGGGGAGCAGCCACGGGAGGTTGCGAAACAGGCGCCGCTTGGGGCGCGGGCGCGGGCGCGCTTGCAGCTGGTGCTGGCGTGGGTGCAACTGGCTTAGCAGCAGCAACCGGGGGAGGGACAGGCCGGGCAGTCTTGGCGACTTCCCACACCTCAACGACAGGCTTTTGAGGTGTTTCAGTGGCGGCCTTTTGTACGACGTCGATCTTGGCACTGGCAGTTCGGAATCGAGTATCCAGCATGCTGATGCGGGCAGCTGTCTTCTTTTCGGCCAGTCCGAGAGCAGAGGCAATCTTCTCTTTGAGGTCGTTCTCGTGGGCAAGCTGCAAGGCTTGTTTCTCTTCAGACGACTTTTGTTCAAGCCCAGCTAACGCTTCTTGATTAGCGCCGCTGGTAGCTTGCGCCTCTTGCTGTGCCTTCTCACGCTCACGCTTGATACCACCAAGAATGTTGTTTCTGACGATGGTACGGATTGTCTCATGCTTTGCGACAAGTTCTCTCGCTTGAGCATCAGTGAGGTTGGGGATGGTGAAGCCCGCAAGCTCAACTGTTTTAGATGGAGTTGCTGGAGCTCCATCGGCAGACACGGGCACAGCGGCACCAGGAGTTGCAGGGGCAACAGGGGTTGCAGGAGTTGGCTGTTCGCCAGCGGACAACTTCTCGATTTCTGCGCGGTGGGCAGCCTTGACCTCAGCTAGCTTGTTGTTGAGCACCGCCTTGAGGTGATCGGATCGTTCCTTGACCTTCGCTTCTAGCTCACCAGCCTGAGTGGCCAGCAGACCCTCCTTCTCGGCAAGGGCAGCCTCAAGACGTTGGATCTTCTGCTCAAGGGCTTGGACAACTTGGGCGTCACCAGGAGCGGCGGTCGTAACAGTTGCTGTTGGGAACTGAGATGCGGGAGTAGGGTTTACAGGGGCAGCTTCAGTTTCGGCAGGGGCTGGGGCTGAGTTCTCGGCTGGCACCGCGGGAGTCACAGCTGCGGCAGGCGCCTCGGCCATCTTGGACTTCAACTCCTCCAACTCCGTCTTGGTGGCCTGAAGTTCGGCTTGAATGACTTCCTTCTCTTGTAATGCGACATTCAACTCATCTTGCTTGGCCTTGTTGCGTGCGCTCAGGTCCTTGGAGCGAGCCTTAAATTGCTCGGTGAGTCTGGACCGCAGTTCTCCCAAACGCTCATCAGCATGTTGCTGGAGCTGTTCTGGGAAGCCTGCTATCTGGGTTTGAAGCGACTCCATTTGAGCTTGCAGGTTATCGCGTTCAGCGACGACCTCATCACGCTCAGTCTCAAGGCTAGTGAGTTTATCCTTGAGCTCTTGCATCTCGGTGGGATCGACGCGGTCGTACTTTTGGAGAATGTTTTGGATGCGTTGCTGGTAGCGGTCACGATCGGCCTGCAGAAGCTTCATTTCTCCATCCTTGGCCTCAAGTTGGCCCTCCAGCTCAAGAATCTTGGTTTTATAGGGCTCGATTTCTTGGACGAGCTGGTTCTCGCGAGCAATTTTCTCGTCACGAGCGGCTTCGGTTTGCTTCAGTTGGCTGCGAAGAGTAGCGTTGCTTTCACGGAAAACGTTAAGCTCGTTGATGGTTTCCAACAGCTTATTATGACTCAGGGCGTTGTGATCACTGTCTGCAGCCGCGCGACGTTGTTGCTCGAGCTTGAGACGACTCTCATCAAGCTGAGACTGGGTGTAGTCGAGCTGTTGGTTGAGTCGCTTGCTTTCTTGTGTAGAAAGATGGTATTGAACCTCAACAATTTCCTTCTCGCGGCGCAAGAATTTGATGACCTCCTGGAGTCCCTCAAGATTGGGAGCAACTTGTTCTCCCTCTTGCTCGTCATCTGGGACGTTCATTCGGTCACGTTGCAAAGCTGAGATTTGGCCGGTGATATTTTCGAGTTGAGTATGCAAGACGGCGTTCTGTCGAATGACTTCTTCCCGACGCTTCTGCAGCTCAGACAGCTCACCCTCGTAGGTAGCTCGCTGCTCTGCCCAGCTTGTCTCTTTCTGAGACAGGTCATTCTTGTATGTTTCCGATTGAGACTTCAGTTCAGCAACCTCGATCTTGAGTTGATTGCACTCAGCGCGGACATTTTGAACATTCTTGGCGGCCTCGGCATGCTTTACAAGCTCAGTTTCGTAGTTTTGTTGAGCATGTTGGGCAATCTCAGCTTGTGCCTTGAGATCTTCCTGGTGATATTGGGTGGCGGCAACATGTCGCTCGTTGTCGTCTTTAAGGCGGCTGATCTCAGACTCAAAGTTGGCTTTTTGTTCATCGAGACGATGCTGGGCCTCAGCTTGCTCCTCGCGGATCCTGGTCATTTCGGTGTTGGAGGCGGCAAGTTCAGCCGAGATTTCCTCAACACGAGCTTCGAGATCTTGGATCTTGGTGTTCTTTTCCTCAACAAGACGGTCTGTCTCCTCGCGGTATTGGTCCTGTGTCTCGGTGGCAGACTCCAAACGTTCTTCACTGGCTTGGCTGATAGCCTGGTAGTCCTCGGCTAGTTGCTTAGCATGTTCGAGCTCGCCCTTGGCCAACTCCAAATCACGCTTGAGCTCAGAAACCTCGATGCCGAGTTCCTGCTCTCGTGTGAGCCCAGATCCTTCACCGGCATCTTGACCCTCGGCGGTGGCTTCGGCAGAGGCACCAGAGACGCTGGGTCGAGATTGGAACACCTGCAATCGTTCCTCTGCGCTCTTCAACTCGACGGTGAGTTCATCCACGCGGGACTGGAGGTGATCACGGGTGGTCTTGGCGGCCACCAGCTCCTCGCGAACAGAACTCAAGCTTGTCACCAGATCATCGATACGCTTCTGGCTTTGTTCATGGTCAAACTCGCGACGCATGTTTGCTTTCTTGGATTCTTCAACTTCGTCATTGAGCTTGCGCTTTGTAGATTGAAGCTCGGTCTCAAGGGACTCCACGCTAGCCTGAAGGCGACGTCGGCTTTCAGAGTCGGTGTGTTCACGTTCGTTGAGGATGGTTTGAAGGTTACCATTAAGGGAATCAAGGCGAGCGCGCTCGTTGCGCAAGTTCTCGGTATCGTCGATGAGTCTCTTCTCGATGTTTTTCCAAAGATCCTTCTCCGCCTTGAGGTTGGCGTTTTCTCTTTGAAGGCTTTCAGCAAGACCCTTGGCCTCAACGAGGTCTTCGGCGGCTTGCTGTGTGCGAAGGTCTTGTCGGTTCGCATTCTCAAAGAGTGCAGAGTAACGCTTTTGAAGCTCGGCATTTTCGCTCTTCAGCATATTGAAGTTGCTCTGCAAAAGCTCGGCTCGCTGAGATGCAGCAGCATGCTGGCTGCTGGACCGGCTGACATCAGAAAGCAGCTCGCTGTTCTTGCGAGACAGCTCATTGACTTGTTGACGTAGGGCCTTGTGGTCGGTTGTAGTCTCTTCGCGGAAGGTGTCGAAGTGGGCTTGAACCTTGCGAAGCAGATCGGCGTAATCAGGCCCGGACTCAATGCTACCAGGGGCAGCACCAAGAGGCATGGAATGAGAGAAGACCGAAGGGTCTTCATCGGTTCGCTTGCGGTGCATGAGCATGCTACGGAATGTATCGCGCTCCTTGACGTAACTCTGCATTTGCGCGGTGAGGTTGGCGATCTCATCACGGTTGGTCTGAGACCGTGTCCGAAGCTCCTTCAGCTCGTCCATTTCGGCCTGTCGGGCAGCTTCCTTGGCTTGAGCTTCCTCGCCCTCCTGCTTGTCTCCAAGCTCCCGCAACATCCGTCGAAGAGTGTTGTTTTGGTCCTGCAATTCATGGAGGTCTTTGAATGTAGTGAGATTCTGGCTGATGAAGCGACCAGTCTCATTCAGTTCCTTCGCGGACTCTTCCACCTCACCACGAGCAATCTTTTCAAGTTCCTCGCGGTCGTAGTCTCCGCCATGCTTGGCGACTGCAACCTCAAGGACGAGAACCTTGACTTCGGCACTAAGGTCACGGAGCTGCTGGCGGAGAATGTCTCCTTCACGGGACAACCCCTCAACCTGGCCTTGCCACTTCCGAGCTTCCTTCTGTGCAACATCGCGCTCCTTTCCAGCGGCCTCAAGAAGGCTAGACATCTCCACAACTGCATGCTCAAGCCGTGTACATTCGACACGTCCCTCCTCAATCTCCGGCTTGGTAGCGTCAAGCTCCATGCAGATTTCGTCGAGAGCATGTTTAAGCTCCTGCTTTTCTTTTGTCTCCTGAGCAAGGCTGGTACGCATGCGGTCATACTCAGAGTACATCTGGGTGACATTGAGACTTCTTCCATTGATAGAAGCGCGGGGAGAGAATGAACCGCTGGGTGTGCCACTAGTCCGTAGTAGAGCCGATCGTTTGGGGGTGCTGGGGGGTGCACCATTCAGAGAAAGCGCAGGGCTTGCAGATCTGCCTCTGTCTGGCTCAGATTCGAGTTGCGAAACGAGTCCCTCAAGCTCGGCGATGCGGCGCTCCGCCGTGCTCTTATCGTTAGTTTCGGTTTCGAGTTCCACGCGAATGCGGGAAATTTCTTGGGCAGCTTCATCCTTGGTCTTCTCCAAGGCAAGCTGGCACTCCTGCACACGTTGCTTAGCAGTTTGTGCAGCGGACCCTTGTAGTTCGGCGAGGCGATTGGAGCTATCAAGTTCGATGCGGAAAGCCTCGGTCGCTTGAATGGCCTCCTCCTTCAGTTGGTGAATGCTGGCCAGAGCACCTTCGTACCGTTGCTCTGTCTCGTCGAGGCGACTCTTCAAAGAAATTTCGCTGCGTCGAAGGGAATCGACTGTAGAGTTCGCTTCCTCGTTCTCACGCTGCAGCTCCGAGATACGAGCGCCCTTCTCTTTCCGGAACTTGATGTATTCAGCAGACTTTGTCTTCAGCTCTGTCTCGAACCACTCGTTGTTCTTCTTGGTGAGATCCAGTTCTTGCTGTAGACTTTGTTCGCGGAAGCGAGCACTGGCAGATGCCGCGTTGGCACTCTGGAGGTTTTGCTCCGCGGTAGAGAGTTCACGCCGCAGTTCAATGGTCTTTTTGTGCTGAGCCGATAGCTCTTCGGCCAATTTGTCGTGAGCCGCAGATTTGGATTCCAGCAATGCAAGGGTATCGCGGTTAGAGGCCTCGAGGGATGCGATTCGTGATTTGAGGGAGGTCGTTTCGGATTCAGTGGAAGTAGAGGATGACTTGAGAGTCGCGATCTCACTTTCCAGTGTGGCGCGAGTTGTTTCTGGAAGTCGTCAGCATTTCGCTCATCGTACGTCAGTAATTTGTATGTACCGGCATCGTGGAGTTTCTTCCTCAGATCTGCGACCTCCGCGTGTCCCTTCTCCACGGTGGTTTTCAGAACCTTCACCTTCGACTCATTACTGCGCACAGCATTTTCAAGCTCAACCTCCAGGCGGAGCTTGTCAGACTTGAGCTCGTCAGATTCCTGTGCCTTTTTGTTGATGGATTCTAATAGCTGATTGACAAGCTCCACGGTTGGAGCCTGTGTGAGAGTCGTGAGCGTGGTTTCGGGAATTGCATAGTGAGATGACAAATAGGGTAGTTGTAAGGCGGTTTCAGCCATGTTGTTGAGTAACCAACAGCCAGAAGCTGTGGTTGCGTGAGTTCAAAAGGTGGATGGTTGAACGGCGCAAGCTGGAGCTGGGCTCTCGAGTATCAGCGCGCTGCGTACTGCTCGGAGAGTACACACGGCGCTCGGTCAAGATCTCAGATCATGACGATGCAAAAACAATAAGGAAGAGAAAGTATCCCACGGCCAGAGAGGAATTGAATGAACGGGTTTGTAAAAGAAAGAGACTGGGGTGACTTCAAGGGCGAGTTCCAGTTCCGCGCTTTGGGGCGTTCCTATTTCGGTTAGCGCTTAGTCATGTGATATTCTTTGTCGCAATCCATTGACGTCCATAGCAAACGTCAAACATTGATGACAAGGTGATGGTACTTCGGGGCTAGATCGACGGTATCGAGGAAGATTGTGAAGACACCTTTCACATTGACTGCACCTGCGCATCAGTTCAAGGATGCGCGACTTCACGCCTACGCCATCTTTCTACCGTCCCCACCTACAACTATCAGTGATCTTGGAAATGAGTCGGTCCTTATATTGATTTGTCTTCATGCTATACGGAGTGAGAGACACTAATATCAACTGGTTAGAGGAGTGTGCAAAAGCCTACCATCTCCCTTCTCAAGAAAACTTGATGCGGTCAGTATAGGGCACTATGAGAAATCTTGGGTCGCCGTTCTTGTAAAGTGGGATGGTTGTTTCAAGTGTACAAAAGGGCATGGGCCCACCTCGTCAATTGAGCAACGGGAGTCTTATTATTGTTCTGGAAATAGAACATCTGCCTCTTCAATGTTGTTCTTTGTTGTACACTTACTCCGATGTGGGTCTGTCACGTGAGTCCGGGTTTAGCCTGAATAACATACCTCCGGTCTCTGGTCTCAACTACGATCCAGCGCAACGCTCTCCCAGTCCACTTCCAACGGTTCACCCTCTCCGTCGCCGCGATGTCGTACCTCCAGAATCAGCTCAACAGCTTCAACGCCAGCGTGAAGGAGTCGGCGAACCGGATGCCCACTCAGCGCCGTGTAGCCAACAACCAGCCTACACCTGCCTCCGGCACCAGCTCCCAAGTTCCTTCAGCTGCACCCACGCCATCATCCTCCGCCGAGGTGAAAAAGAAGCGCCATGATCCTGATATTGTGTACTCGCAGCCTGCCAACACGGGCACGGGCAAGGACATCATGACCCAGGTGCTCTTTGCGATCGAGCACATGAAGAGCAAAAATGTGGCACTCAAGTTCTCCGACATCATCTCCTACCTATCTCTGCAAAGTCGCGCCCATGATCAAGGCTATGTCCAAGCTCTTCGGAGCATCTTGCAGATGCACGAGAAGGTGGAGTTTGACCCGAGCGGCGCGAATGGCGAGGGAAGCTTCCGATTCCGTCCCACGCACAATATCCGCAACCCCGAGCAGCTTCTGAAGCATCTCCAGAACCAAAAAACTGCATCTGGGATGAGTGTTCGGGATCTCAAGGAGGGTTGGCCGAACGCCGAGGAAGGGATCAACCAGATGGAGAAGGAAGGGAAGCTACTTGTGACTCGGAACAAAAAGGACGATCATCCCAAGATGGTCTGGGCCAATGATCCATCTCTGATTGAGCACTTTGATGATGAGTTCAAGCACATCTGGGAGAAGATCAAGATTCCCGACCCGAACATTGTGAAGGAGGAGCTGGAGAAGTTCGGCATCACACCCACCAACAAGAATAAGGTTGTCGGGCCTCGGGTTGTTGCGCCATCTCGTAAGGCAAAGAAGCCACGCCGCAGTGGCAAGACCACCAACACACACATGACTGGCATCCTGAGAGACTACTCGCATCTCAAGCGGTAGATAAAAGAGCTCAATGGCCACGCTTCCCTCCGGGGAAACCAGCCCATGCCGTCCCCTTGACTTGACAATACTTGCATTGCTCTGGCGTTTTTACTTGGGACAAACCGCGTACGCCCCGACTGCCGGCGCGAGGAACATTACTCACGATTCACATTCCGTTGGCCGAAATTGCCGAACTGCTGCGTTTGTACATTACACAATCAAAATAATAGATACCCAAATAACCAAATATGCGATTTTGCACCGGACAGAAGTCCCAACTTGCCTCTGTCACACGGTAGCTAAAATAACTTTAAATGCGTCGAAATCATCTAGCAGGAAGGTAACCCAGAGAACTCATGATATACAAGGTACCCAACACGCACAGCTGCGAACCAAGCTAGTGCTTGCCATTCGCAGAGCCCTCAGTCCTGTGCACATACTCCACCAAATCCTCAATTGTACAGACCTTAAGTCCCCACTTCTTTCCAAACGCCAGACATCCATCCCGGCGCATCATGCCATTAATACCTCCCACCTCCGCCACACCAGGAACGACAGTTCCCTCCTCCACCAACTCGGCAATCACACCCGCAGGCGCCTTACCAGCCAGACGACAGAACTCCACCGCAGCCTCGGTGTGACCAGTGCGCTCGCGCACGCCGCCCGGCCGAGCCTGCAGCGGGATGATATGGCCCGGTCTGCGGAAGGAGTCTATTTGCGCATCCGGGGACGCCAGAGTGCGACAGGTGAGTGCGCGGTCTTCGGCAGAGATACCGGTTGTGATGGAGTCGTCGGCGGAGTCGATTGTGATTGTGTATGCGGTGCATTTGGGGTCGGTATTCTCGAGGACCATCTGTGGGAGTGCCAGGCGAGTTGCCAGGGTGGGAGTGATCGGGGCGCAAATCAGGCCGCTGTGAGGGGTTGGTTAGACTGGGGGGGTTTGGCGGCGCGGGGTTGAGGGTGGGCTTACCTGGTGTAGCGGACTAGGAAGGCCATTTGGGCGGCTGTGATGGATTCCGCGGCGATGATGAGGTCGCCTTCATTCTCGCGGTCTTGCGAATCGAGGACAATGATGAATTCGCCGTTCTCTGCGCTTGGTTAGTTGGGTTCGTCGTGACTCGTGGATGCTTGCTCGGCTGGGTAGCCGGGATGCGCGTGGGGTGTCGGCTCTGGGTTGACTCACTGAAAGCGGCGATTGTGTCTTCAATTGAGTCGAATTGGTGTGCAACGTCTGTGGGTGAAGGCATTTCGGCTTCTTTTTTGCCCCTCACTGCGGGACAGGGAATCTGGTGCTTGGTGCGGGTGGGCAAGAGGGTCGGTGGCTATACAAGAGTAATAAAGCAGAAGTCTCCTTTTCCAATATTCCAAAAAGAAGAAGAAACCTTGGAAGACAATGTTGAGTCAGTGGCTGACACGAATATTAGCAATGCTCGTGATAGAAGCGGAGCAACCGAGACGGGCAATTGATAAGCCTCGGAACTGAAAGTGGAAAGTGGAAACGGTTTGTCTCCGAGGTCTGTTCTATTTACTTCTCTCCATTATTCAGTAATGTGCGTGTCTAGCCCAGTCCACGACTACTCATCCATCGCACCTCGTCGGCCTGTCTTTCCAAAGCGCGACGCATAGACTCGCCATACTGCTCCCTCTCCCAATCTTCACGCCGCCGATGGCGCATGTCTTCCCGAGTCGCCTCATCCACCTCGGCATGCATAAAGACATCATCATCACCCTCTTCTGTTTTAAACTCCGCCGGAATTGAAAACTTGAGACGCCCAATGCGCTCTCCAGTCCAAACGAGCAGCTCATCTCCAGTCAGATTCCCACCCGTAGGCAAAATCTTCCTTGCAACCTCATGGCTCCCGGGAGACTGGGAAGGCCAGAGCCCTCGCGGTTCTTCGCTTGGCTGCTCTTGGCGACCACCGAATTGAATTTGAGGTTGAGAGGTATTGATATTCCAGCGCCGAACTTCCGAGCGCCCATCCCGCTCTGTCCATTTTATATTTCCTTCCGCGTCCGAGAAGACAATTCGGGTCCCGTGGGAACCTACAGAGAGCAGTTTTGAGCTGGCTGCGCTTTGGCGATTTTTGTATTCTGAATGCAGATTCGAGGCAATATCAGGTGGGTTGTTTTGTTCTGCTGATTTCAGGTTGTACAGCTCTAGGGAGCCTCGCCCGTTGTAGTCACCGCATGCTACGACGCAATGTGATTCTGGATATGTAGAGTCCGAGAAGACGGGGAATCGAGGACCTGGCACGGACGCAAGACCGCAGAGGCGACCGCCAGAGTGAACGGTTGTTTGCAGACGAGGGAAGAATCGGCGATCATAGCATAGAATGCTGGGGAAACGACCCGCAAGAAGTATACTGTTCACGTGGGGGGCTGGGGGATGTAGGATAGAAAGAGGACCAGGTTGGAAGAGCGGAGCGTAGTTGGCGCCTTTCTCTGAAGGCTCTGGACTGCGGATGCGAGTAGGTGGTTGTCCATTGGGTTGGAGTTGGAAAAGAGGCGAGTCGGGGTGGGCGAAGATGCCCAATTCTGGTACAGACACGCTGACCTGCTCGCACCGCGAGCTGATGGCCTCTTCTTCTTCGTGGGCAGATAGTCTGGAGTCGTAGATTTGAAGACTAAGGGTAGTGGCTAGTGTCAGAGGCACGGAATAGTCCGTCTCCTGGGACAGAGCGAAGATTGACCACGGATATCGCTGTTGAGAAATCACCCGCAGTGTATTCAAGTCCACTTCGTTGAGGACATTTCCAATTGCCAGATACGCCCTTTGGCGTAACGAATCCACGCTGACTCCTTCGCCAAGGTTGATGAACTCCAATGAAGTCTTCGATACAGCAGACTCCCGGCGGCCGGACAAATTGGTCGTGAGAATCCCTGGTTCACTCCTTCCCAGGATGCTGCCTTTGTTCGCCTGTGAGGAGGCGCAGTGTGCATGGTTCAAATCCCAAATGCAAACGCTGCCGTCTTCCAGAGGCGCCACAATCTTATTTTGTCTTGCTGAACTCCAATCCTTCAGCAAACCCATGCCTTTGACCTCGTAGGCACGGTCTTGCTTGCCCCCGCCCTCCCGGGCCGCAGGTTGTTCAATCCATGACAGGGATATAGGCCCTTGGCGAGCTATGTATTCCGAGTACCAATCGACATGCTCTCCCGCAGTAGATGAGTCCCATTCTGTCGCTGCCCTCGCCCTTTCCGTCCACGAAACTCTGGTGTGCTCGCAATCATCTTCCGGGATCGAAGGCTCAATGAGATCCCGCAGCGAGTCTTCTCCCAATGTCGCCAAAGAAGCCGTCTCCGCGACCAGCGTTTCGGCACGGGCAGCGCGACGGGAAACCTGCCTCGCCGCCCAAGACTGCTCATAACAATGTAGTCTCCATTGGTTATTATCACGGGCGATGTCGAAGAATTTCTTGGAGACAGACTGCAACTGGACCTTCTCTCGAGGGGCGAGGACTGACGATACTATCAGTTCTCGCTAACGGTGCGGGGAAGGTCCGGGCGCTTACGATCGATGATGCTGGTTAGGATCTCTACCGGTAACTTGTCCATGGTGGGGAGGACAGCATCGGGGATGTCAAGGTTTGGCGGGGCTCACTGATCCTCGTTTTTATTCCCCTGCTCTTGTTCCCCGCGATCTGCGCCCGAGTCCGAGTCCAGACCGTCACGTGGATCGCAAAGGCTGTGAGGTCGAGATGCCAATTGCTTACTCCGTACGGAGTACGGGAAAGTGAAAAAGGTGATAGGTCGCTGTTATGCTCTGACCCGTTCGGGAAACATTTCCGGCAATCCACCCTTGATGTCGAGTTGAATACGAGTACTCCGTACAGAGTAGACTTCGCAGCAAGGATTTTGTAGCAAACTGTGAACACAAAGTAACATGCTATGTTTTCGTGCTATATGCATTTGATTTGACTGCTTTTTCCAACTCCCCTATCCAATTTTAGACCAATCATGAATCGTACATTAAACAAAAAAGCAAATATCAAAGTCAAATCCAACATAAAAGAGCAGGCTCTACTCATCGGGTCTGAACACAGCGTCTTTACAAAGGATCGCCACTTTCTTAAAGAATCGACGCCATTCCAAGGGATCGCCTTTCACCTTGACGAATTCAACCTCGAAGACACCCTCTGAAACGCACTCAATAAGCACCTTGCCTTGGAGTATACACATCCGACCGTCCTTGGCGGACACTCGGATGTGCGCAGAGGTATCACCGGCAGATACGGCAGGTACACTAGGGACCGGAACCCCCAGCCGATGTAGCGCCTCACAGATGAGCGGCACGAGGAGTTTGAGCTCCCACAAAGAATAAAAGCGTGTCATAGCGCGCGAGGGAATGATATCCTGGAATTTCTGCGCGTTCTGGGTTCGACTCAATGGGACAGCAGGTTGCTGGGAGAACTGAGACATCGAGGGCTCGTCTTCAAGATGGCCTGCTATGACTGCATCTTGGGAAGCGAATTGTTTGCCCAGTGGTTGCGTGGAGGAGAACACATCTGATTCTTGGGGATTGTCCCAATCCACCATCACGCCCCCGCCGAGCATCTCGGGTTGTGTGGACGAAAAGCCCGACGTGTTATCTTCCATATCCATGTCCATGGGGTCGAAGCTGCGGCCTGTGTCCTTGCGAGTCCGAGATAGTGGATCTTGGGTGAAGTCGATATGTAGCGATTCAAACATCGACGTGGCAAGATTGATTGGATCTCTTAGCTTGCCATCGATCGATAGGAATCTGTTTGAACGAGTATACCAGGGATGCCTGCGGACATCTTCGAGGGAGAACCGACTTCGAGGGTCCACGGTCAGCATCCCGCGCAACAACGATAATGTCGCAGAAGGCAACTTTTGCCACAGCTCATCCGTTGTGCGAGAATTTGTCGCTACATATTCATGATATTCGTAACTGTCGTCTGTCGGGCTATCCCACGGCGTATTGCCTGCCAGAAGGACGAACAACACAATACCACAGGACCAGATATCAACTAGATCAGCATGATACCCAGCTCCCTTGGTGGTTCCCTTGGTGGCTCCCCTGTTGCTTGTGATGACCTCCGGCGCAATATAGGGCGGACTGCCACAGAATGTCGTAGACAGCTTGCGCGCTCCCTTATACTCGAACAGCACGGCCAGACCAAAATCTGCGATTTTCAGATTCCCATCGCCGGTCAACAGCATGTTCTCGGGCTTGATGTCTCGGTGCCCTACACCCTTCGAATGCATGAAACCGACGGCGCTGACAAGTTGCGAAAAGTAGACGTGCGCAATGTCTTCACCGACGCCCTCGTCGGCCTCGATCTTATCGAAAAGATCCCCGCCCTCGGCGAGCTCCATTGCGATCCAACGCCAAACTTCATCTTCCCCTGTTGTGAAGAACTCAATTATATTCCCATGCCCAGAGACATGCTTGTGTACCGTCACTTCCATTGCTAGCTGTCTCGCGCTGATCTTTCCGTGGCGCGCCGCATAATCTTTGTGAATGTACTTGACAGCGAAGACTGGGTTATCATCGTCGAGGGGACAGGCTTTTTTGATACTGGATGCAAAGACAGGTTAGATCAGCCGTTCTCTGCGATAGCGTCGTCACTTACCAGGCATAGGCACCTTGGCCAATGGTTCTGGACACAATGCGAAAAGGCACATCGTTCGGGAGCGGGGCCAGTTGCGAGTGATGCATGATGGGATGAAGCTCGGATTGAGCTTGTGATGAAAGAGCGAAAGATTAGGATTAAGATAGCATAGTTATTAAGACGGATGTTGGAGGCTGAGAAGCTCTGGTGCGCGTTGAAGCAAGGGTAGCGAGACGCGGGATGTGACGCGGGCCACTATATCCTGATCGGGTAATCTGTTGATAGGCAGACACGAGCATTGCTGGGAAAGGGGCGACATCGAGCACATCGCAGAACTCGAGGGCAATGAGTGTTGATCGATATCTCCAGTGCTGAATCCGCCTAGATGTTTATGCAAGAGTTCTCGAAGGACAGGCCAAATTAACATCCAAGCGCCAAACACCTAGACCCGCAGTCGGTAATATGCGAGATCGACTTGTGAGATCTAGATTGGGAACCCTCTTTCGTTAATGTGATAGATTCTAGTATTTTTTATTCTAATTCATGCAGACTATCTCACACGTAGACTCAGGTACTATTCAGTCCCCATGCACAAGGCGGGGTCTCTCGTTGCCCGGGGCGGCTGTAAACAAATCCAAACTTCCAAACCTCCCCAATTTCTCTTTGTTCCATTTTCTTCTCCCACATCCCCTACTCTCAATTGGACATTCCACTCCCTAGCGTTCCAAATTACTCTGTTTATCTCTTCCCTCTCGAATACCCATAATGGACTACAACATGGAAGACACACAGAACCCGGTCGAGGCACAGAAGGTCGCCCAAAGAAATGACACCCAGAGCGTGACCAAACGGTTCGTCCCATCATCACCCCAACACCTCGACCAGAGACTCACCCTCTCGCTCTAGCCTCCAAGCAGAGCTCATGCAGCTCATGCTCTCACCCTCCCCCGGCATTTCCGCCTTCCCAGACGCCGACGGCGACCTCCTCGCCTGGACAGCCACCATCACCGGCCCAACCGAGACACCTTACGAGGGTCTGACATTGAAGCTCTCCTTCAAGTTCCCCAACGACTACCCCTACTCTCCTCCAACCGTCCTCTTCAAGACCCCCATCTACCACCCGAACGTCGACTTCTCCGGCCGCATTTGTCTCGACATCCTGAAAGACAAGTGGAGCGCCGTATACAACGTCTCAAGCGTGCTTCTCAGCCTGCAAAGTCTACTGGGCGAACCGAACAAGTAAGCAGACCTGCCATTACCCTCAATACATTCCCTAACACACCTAGCGCGAGCCCTCTGAACGCCCAAGCCGCGGAGCTGTGGGATTCAAACCAGGAGGAATTCAAGCGTCACGTTCTCGCCCGCCACCAGGATTTGGACGACGAATAAGTTTTGGGCTTTGCATCATTGGCGTCGGTTGGCCTTCTGGCATTGGGATCGTGCTATGCGTGCATCACGGCTTTTGGGCCTCGGAGTTTTGTGTTGTTTGATTCATCTTTATTCACCTGATTCCCCCGCAGATGGGACTATAAACGAACAGTATTCTGGACATCTTGCCTCGCACACCTCTCACTTCGGTCTTCTACATTCGGTCTGGTCGAGTTTCTCTGCTCTTTGAACCGTTCTTGATGTCTGTTGGCCTTGTACACTTCTTGTTCTTTTGCATCGAGGTCATGCGTCTAGATTGCCCTGTATAGTCGGTATCGGAGAATAGTTTTATACTGGCGTTTGCGAAATGAGGATTAAAGTGACTCGCGCAAGAGACTCGTACATTAAATCGATTTTATGACATCAAGCCATAGGTAGCCTTATGATTAAATAATACTAGGTACCGAAGTATTGCTTCTCGTTGGTGATCAGCAATCCGGCAACGGAAGCACTGGTGAAAGTACTAATAGCACCAGTGATCATGGCACTGAATGCCACACGCGAAACATCACCACCACGACCGGGTGAGATCTGCGAAAGCACACCGATCTGGTTACCCAGGGATCCAATGTTGGCGAAACCACAAAGGGCATAGGTGACGATGAGGCGAGAGCGATCCGAAAGATCGGCGTACTCTGCATTATCTTGCAGGGCCTTGTAAGCGACGAACTCGTTCTGCGAAGTGTTAGATTAGATGCAAGACAGATTCGGATGGGAAGACATACAGTAACGAGCTTGAGACCAATCAGTTGGGAGACCTTGAGCAGATCTCCATCACGGGAAACACCGAGCAAGAATGCAATCGGATAACAGATGTATCCGACAATAAGCTCGAGGGTGAGAGGGGGATCGTTGATGTTCAGGTAACGACCCCACCAAGTCAGGAGACCGTTAATAAGTCCCACGAATGAAATGATACACAGCAAGGTGGCAGCAATCATAGAAGCAATCTTCAGACCGAGCCAAGCACCGCCGGAGAAAGCATGCAAGGCATTCGAGGACTTGTGGTCTTCGCTTTCGGGAACGACCACACGGCCAGCTGTGAGACATTCTTCTTCTTCCGGCCAGCGAAGCTTGGAAACCGCCAGTGAAGCCGGGATACTCATGACACATGCGCTGACCATGGCTTGCGGGTTCACACCGATACTGATGTAGGCAATCAGGACACTTCCTGCGATGGTGGCAAAACCAGAGCACATGACTTGGTGCAATTCGGCCATGGTGAGGTGCTCGATGAAGGGACGGATCAGCATGGCAGATTCACCTTGACCGATGAAAGGCGAGGCAGCGGCGACGACAGCCTCGGCACCGGAAACGCGCATGCTCCAGAAGAAGAAGACGGCGAACTTGCCGACAAACCATTGCAGGATGTTGTAGTGGTAAAGAAGCTGGACCAGGGAGACGAAGAAGATGATGGCGGGGATAACGCTGACCAGGAAGAAGTTGGCAGGCGCAAAGGGTGTTGTCGTGTTGTAGAAATCATCACTCGTCAAGAAGGTGACACCGTCGACGGCGAACCCGAGCAAGTCGCTGGCTAGACCGGAGATAAAGTTGAAAATATCGTAGCCAGCACCTGAGCGGAGCACGAAGAGGGCAATGATGAACTGTGACAACATGCCGACGATAACCGTGTGCCAAACAATCTTCTTGCGGTTTCGCGAAGTGGCCCACAATCCGAAGATGAAGACCACCATACCGAATAGACTGACCGCTCTGTTCGCACGGGTGTTATCCTCCGACTCGGGAGAAGCGAACGAGCCGATCAGAATCACTGCCACGCAGAGGAAGGCTGCACTGGGGGTTCTGAGCTTTGGGGGGATGAAGTTCACGAATGGACGGGCGGTATTCGTCCAGACCCAATTCATGGGCTTTGTAATGATAGTGATGGGGACATAGAAGAAGATGATCCGCAAGGTGATGGCCAAATAGAGCAGGAAGGGAATCAACCATCCCCGGTCATATCGATGCAGAATCAGGCCAGCAATCCACCAGCTAGAAAACGCATGAGTCTCCGGATATCCTGATCTCAACCGGCCATAAACTCACCCGGTAAACAACAGCCAAATGACGGCATGGACGATGTGTCGCCATTGTTTCCCCACGCGACGGAGCCAGGTACGGTGTGCCGGCGAGCTCTGCCCAGCCTCCTCGTCGGTACTCTTGGTGGTATGTGTGACGGGTGTTGGTTCGACACTCTTGTCGAATGTATCCTGCGCGTAGACTACCTCTTCTTCGCGCCCTTGTTCGGCGAAGGTGGTGTGGTGGTGATGAGCATGCTCATGCTGGTTTGCTGGATCCAGCATGGAATCTGCAGGGATTTCCGATTTCTGATCCATGATGGATGTAAAGAGAAACAGGCAAGGTCAACCTCCCGCGGATTGTTGAAAATCTACGAGAGAGGAAGAGGGAAGGAATCAAAGACTTCGCATTGGTATTTGACACTCTGGGGGGCGAAAAATCGGTTTATCAAAAATGTTCTGTGCGGGGAATTCTGGAAGGCTGCGATAAAGAAACTGCAGGCTAAGCAGCGCTAATGCTCGGAGGAGTCCCCTTCTTCGTGCTCTTGGTCCTGCGTGGTGTCCTGGCACAGCCAATCACGGACCAGCCGACGGAGAACAGCGGAGCTCCCGTCTCACTTTAAGCCACGCTAAACACTAACTGCCCCATGTAACCGTGGAATCTAGGACAAATGAGAACGTGGACTTTATCTGTGCCTAGGATCTACTCTCGCCACAGCTCTTGCAGCTTGCATTACTATTGGCTCGGCTCTCTGCCCTAACGTCCTGGCTTTTCGTCCTCTCCGCACCGGTATGCGGTGGAGTGGTCGTGTGAGGTCTAAATTTTGCCAGGTTCGCGACTCGGGACGCTAATAGTACCATACCTTCCGCGGCTCTACTAGTACTAGGTAGTATTGGGTTGTTTCCAGAGGCTATAAATACCTCTCGTTCTCCCCGATCCCTTGAGCTGTCTAGAGTATGTTACCAGTACATATTTAGGTCAATTTAGCATTTTTAACACTGGAGCCGAAGACTGGAGCAAAAGACTGGGTCTAATGGATCGGTGGAAGATAAGCGGCAAAGGTCCGAGATACACAATCTTGATCATCCAAGCTGTCCGAGAGTACTATACTACTGGTATCAGTACAGGGTATCACTCATGGACATGCCTTGGCATTCGGGTAAGCCTGCTAAATCCTGCCTTGATATCTCGCAGACGCTCAGGGCGCGGAAACCCCTGCAGTGCCACCCCATTACCACCCCATTACATTACGTAATTTGGAATGTGGGTGCAATCACGTGCCGTTTGCGGTATCTTCCGAGATTCTCCCGGAACTGCTCGCTTTTCTTGGCCTTCACCTGTTCACCACTCGTACGCACTTCCAGGTTGCTATAAGCACATGAGCTACCCTGGAACTGGCTGGAGAGATATACTCGACATAACATGGAGCCTCATTCTCCATCAAGAAACCTCGGTTGCTCAAATACATAGACAGATCACATACCAGCAATTTTCGGTTTTGGGCTCCTAGAAGAAAATACTATATGTCCAGCAATGGGTCCTACTCGTGACAATTTTGTTCAATAGGAAGACATCGAACTATGTACGCGACAAATTGTTCAATTTAGAAACCTTGAAGGTCCGCTTTGTATATTTTCGTGCAAGCGGAGCCTGTCGAGGTTGAAACCTTTGAAGCCACTTCTTGGCGATTCAAGTCACCCCTGACCACCTGGGCAATAGATTGCTGTATCGACATTGGAATTTAAGCCTTCATGAGTCTGCCTCATTTCTGAGCGAAAGTTTTTGGCAATTCGCGTCATCGTGCGTTCTCCCGATTTATTGCACCGAAACAATGAGCGATTAGCGAAGTACGCCCATCGAAGAACCTCTTGGACTGCACTTCAAAAAATCTTGTGGACAGGGCCTGCCTCAATATACCGAATTCCCAACCAGCATACGCGCAATCCTGCTTATAGAGAATCCTAATGTGACTTATAGGCGTACAGACTTGATTTGGCACACAGTGAGATCCAGGTGTGGACAACTAAATAGCTTCAACCTACTGCAGCCTCAAGCTTAAGCTCCAAACTCTACCGGAGCAAGAGACTAAGTGATCCAAATCATGCCACATTACTCACACATCACAATGGCCGGAAGCAATTCTTTACATTAAGGCATTGAAGAACAGTAAAAGGCCGTAGATGGGAACTTGGAAGGACATAGTAATCGATGAAATGGAATTGTTAGAGTTCCAAACAAACTATGAGGAATACTATCAGAAGCTACCGTTAGCGAAATTCCTGAACATCAATTAGCAGATACGAACATACCATTTTATGAACGTGAAAGAATCAGCTGCAGTGCTTCTGAAGCTTCTGGACAGTAGTTCCGGCGACACATCCTCCGTTGCAGCAATCGGAGGGAAGGGAGCAAAGACTTCCTCCTAAAAACACACATGATTAGAACATCACCCACAATCGAGCTCCAAATGAACGACAGCAAATGAACTCACTCGCTCTGCAGCGCTTCTCCAGAGGAGCGCTGTCAACAGCAGCCTCAGGGCCCGCAATAGCAGCAGCATTGGCAAAAGCCGCAAGGGCAGCAACAAGAACAATGTTCAGAACCTTCATTGTGAATAGGAATACAAGGATCTGACTGTGAATAGGATTGATAGATGAGAATGCAAACAGAACACCAGAGCAACGGGGCTATTTATACCTTTTCCGAGTCGCTTTCTCGCCCCCAAGATGAAGTCTCCGAGCGATGCCGGACTGGCTAGTTTGATCACTATGCAGCATATAGTACTCCGGATCAATCTATCCACTTGAGTTATCTGATCTTACGTCCGAACTCCGGCCCCCAACTTCTTTGCCAATAGAAACAAGCAATGCGGATCCACTCTGTGGCACCCCCGAGTCTATTGGCCCCGAAGCTAAGACTGCTTGGTCAAAGGACGAATGGTGCATGTGGTACGATGGTGGATGGGGCATCTTCTCGTATAGCTTGGTGGATTCCGCCCCCGGGTCATATTGGCCCTTTATTGGGTATGTGCCAGGATTGTATTCGATCAATTGTTACGATGGATGCAAGTGGACCGGGATTTTATCGGTCTAGACGGGGCTAATGCTCGCGTGGGTTGGAAAGTCTGACAACGTACCTAGCTAAGAGTCTTGGCGACATGACCGTGGACCTTGTCTTACAGTTATATGGAGGCTAGGTATGAATGTTCTGTATCCGCGAGCGTAGAAGACAATGTATTTTATGGCGTCAATTATAAACATATGCATGAGCTTGGGATAAAATCAAAAAGTGCAGTAAAACGATGACAAGGCACGAACTACCCGGAACGTGGAATATATTGAGGCGGGCAAGGAATAATTTTCCAGGTCATCTCGACCTCGGAGTCGCTCAATATAATGGAACCCTCTTAGAACACCACACCCTTGACCTGGGCCACCTTCTTAACGTTGATGTCCTTGATCATGATGGTCCATGCGAAGGCAAGAACCATGATACCCAAGCCAGTAGCGAGCAATCTGATCTGGGTGTAGCTGTATGCATCTTGAATAGCAATTCTGGTAGGAGTACCAACAGCGTAGCTCAGCTGAGTATTGACATCTTCGTAAATGGCGTCCAGGTTCGAAAGATCCGGCAGCCTAGCGATGAGGGCTTTCCTGAAAGTGTTGCTCCAAATTGCTGTGCAGATGGTAAGACCTGCAGAGTCACCGATGGTTCCAACAACGTTGAGCAAAGCCAGTGCCGTGGCGACATGCTGGTGGTCGACAGCAGCCAGAATAGCGAGCTGCTCGACAATGATGAAGATCGATCCACCGACGGATAGGAAGATTTGACACATGACCTGATAGCCGACCTTTTGATCGGGGCGACGGAAATGGATCATGAGACCCTGTCCGAGAATGTACAATGGGACAGAGATGTATAGGAGCCACTTGAAGCGACCGGTCTTGCGAATGGCTGCTCCCACGAAGAAAAGAAGCACGCCAGAGACGACGTCGAAGGTATTCACAATGTATCCGGAGTCTGCGATGCTCAGGTCGTTAACAACCTGGAGGAAGTTTTGGAAGTAGTTGTTCCAGCAGTAGTTGGAAAGTTGGTAGGTTGCATCCAAAAGGCAAGCACCGACAACTGTGCGGTTTGTGAGGAATTGATAGGGCAGCAGAGGGGTCGGGGCAATGAATCGTTCGTAGAGGATGAAGAAGAAGAGCATTGAAAATCCGACGACAATCATGGCAATGATATAGTCGGTGCCCCAGCCTTCTGGTGCCTCGCTAGCGATATCGAAGGGGATCTCGAAGAGCAAGAGACCAGCAGTGAAGATAAAAACTCCGATCACTATAGCTATTATCAGAATGACTTGATCAACCGGGGAGATGTCAGAGGCCCTTACCGTCGAATTCAAGAATCCAGAACCAGACACTCTGGAAGAAGTTGCGTCCACTGTTCTCTTTGACAACCACGGCATTGCCCTTCTTAGCCTTCGCCAGGTTGAACTTCAAGACGAAGAACAAAGGGGCAGCAACGACCGGGAAGATAATGGCAAAGGTTCCGTAGGCCCATCGCCAACCGGTGTGAGCGTAGAACTGATCCGCCACCTTTGGTCCAGCAAAGGCAGTGATGATATACGGAGACGAGGTGAAGGCGTACGCAAGGGCTCGGTTCTTCAATTGGGAGATATCAGCGGTGATGACGTCCACACAGAACTCCATACCACTGAAACCAAAGTAGTAGAACACCTATTGGGATTAGTTGTTGATTCGGCGGGTCGACTTTCGATGTCTTACATTAGCGGCACAGTAGATTGCGAAACTGTCGCAACTGGCCATAAGGACGAGACCGATGGTCGCGCAGAGGGACATGAGGAAGAAACCTTCCGCACGGCCCCAGGTGTCCATCATCTTGGCCACGGGCAGGAAGACTGCAGCAGAGAAGGCATCGGCAACAGCCGTTGGAAGACCGGAAAGAGAGTGCTGCTGGAAAGAACTGGCGACATAAGAGCTCAAACTGGTGTTTACCGATGACACCCAAGCGTAGACGAAATAGAGGAACCAGATGCTAAGCAGGTATCGCGTCAGTAAGTGTAGATGAAAAGGAAAAGTATATAACCTACTTGATGAAGACGAAGACAAGTGTCGGTTTAGACCAGGTTGCAGCGACGGCCTCAGCCTGCTGAACACCCGACTGGAGTTCATCATAGGGAACGCCAGGCAACTCGGCACCGTTGTTCGGGAGTGCCTCTTCAGGATGGGGAGTCCGCTCCCCGTCTGTCTTGCTGTTCTGCACATGGCTCCGGTCGACGTCGACCCCGGTGTCCACCGAAGAAGTCGCAGCCTCCTCCCTGTCGGCCGAGGAGCGACGGAAGACCGCCACGGCCCGTCGGATCAAGGGACGGAATGACATATCCAAGTGACCAAGTCCGAAACAGATCCAAATGGAAAAATTGTAAAGAGTTGGCCCCAGGGGTGGAACACGGCGGAAATATATGCGCGAAAATCAGATAAAACAGGCGCCCGAAGTCGGCAGATTGGTGAAAACTTAACAGGAGCGCTGTTTGGAGTGATTTGTGGGTCAATGACAATCCCTTCCCAGTGTATTCTGCGGCATCGTCAACGGGTTGGGACATATGATGTCGGCCAAACATAATGGCGTCGTGGACCCTCACTCCACCGGAGAGGGGGCCAACAGACACCCGTCGGCCGAAGAAAGATCTAATCAGATCGCCGTGTGGCTTCGAAGTAACCGCATGGAGAGTCCCGTGGGGACCTGGCATTCGCCTAAGCTTCGGAACAAGCTTCGCTTGGCCACTTGGAAATTATTTATGGACCCTTGGCATTCATCTTTTTCTGGAGGGAACCGCGCGAGAGAAAAAGCAAGTTATCAGATTTGCCAAGCTTTCTCGGAACTACTGCGGTGTACATAGAATAGTAATACAGTAGTAAAAAAAATGTGAAATTCGCTGGATTTCCATCGGATGTCTCAAATCGCTTTTTCTGATTACTCTATAGTACTAGTAGTACCGTGCATCATGTACTAAAAAGATCCCAACCGCCGAACGCGATGTTCGACCTGAGTTCGGACCAAGTCTGTGTCCAATAGAATGTTTCCAGTCGAAAGATTCCAGAGCTGGCCCCCACGAACTAAGGTGGTCTAATAAACTTTCTACTGGCACTGAAATACATACATTAATTAGTATCCGCCTCGAAACTACCCCTTATATATACGCGCATTTGGCGAAAATCAGAACTTGAGACTATCCTGTTCTATACATAACCTGCTCGACCGGGTCCACGGGGACTTTTCTCGATTTTCTCCCATTCGGAGGTCTTCGGGCACCAGGTCCGATCGAGTGATCGGGACCTCTGCGTGTGACGAATGGCCGCGTGGTTGCATATGCCTCACAGAAACCTTGGAATCTATGACTCTTCGTTTGAGGTGGAGAACATCGGAGATACCGAGAACAGAACACATAGGGTCATTCAATATCCGTGCTGTCGAGACAGCTGCGCGTTTCAACTTGGAACAGACATGCTTAATCTAAATGATGGCAAGGTACTGTATACCGTCGAAGTCCAAATAGTCGCTACACAGCATAGCAAGATTTTGAGCCTAGAAAATAAGAATGACTCGAGATATACACACGCCCCTGGACAACTGCAATATGCCCGGTCGCGAGCCATCATCTCTGGGAAGTCGGGTTATTTGGTCTCGGCTTTGGCGGCTCAATAGTACTACAGGATTCGGGTTTACCACCTGGGCAGGATTCGGAGGTCGCTTGGCATGGATCTGGTGTTCTACTCTGCTAAGTTTGTACTATTTCAGTGATTCCAGAAAATAAATTGCAAGGACGATGTACTGCAGTCCACAGGTGTGTGCGAAACTCGATTCCCTGTCCGATGTGCAAGGGGCAGCACAAAGTACTAGTACACACGCAGTCGACTGGCTTCCCAGATGCTAGCACTGCTCATCCACCTCCGATTTGGCCAGGTAAATGACATGATTCAGTCATGCCCAGATGGAACCTGGAAGTCTCTTTTCCTACTTGCTCACTTGAGATCTAGCAACCTATTTTGTTGCATCAGCTACACATGTGACTCTGAGTTGAGCTGCCTCTCTGTCTTGAAACCCCTAGTTGTGAGATCAGCATCAGCCTGGTTTCATGAGGCAGACGGACTTTTCACCAATTGCGTTAGCCGAACTGCGTGTCATACGCTTCTGGAAAGACTCGGCACAGGTGGGTTCCGATCAGCCCTAGAATCACACCTTTCCTGTTCTTGTTCCGGAATGGGTCAAACTCGGAGTCTAACATTTGAACGTTATACCCAATAGTCATATACTCGTACTTCGTAGGTCCGAACTGGTGCGGAGCCTGCGTTGAACTGCAGTAAAACGCGGCACGGAAGAACAGTTACCCCCATGGGACCCCGTGGTGCCCGGCGCTATATGAGTGGATATCCAACCTCTAATGCAATGTCAGTTCAGAGTCACAAGCCCCTTCAATATTATCATTGTGTCAGGTTCGAGCGCGACATTCCTATAGAATCCAACCTCGGATACAGGGACTTTGCCGCTAGGTGGGTTTATGGGGGAAAACCTTGGAATAAGCCATGTGCTCTGAATGAACGCGTGAGACATGCAACCCTTGGAAGCCGTTCTAATGAAAAATACAGATTGACATGTCGAGCGGAAATGGATACAGCTCTGGAGCCTTGAAATATATCTATTGCCCAGTGACAGGCCGCTGCCACACTATAAATGATAACGACATTTTATCTTAAAAGCCACCTGGCATTCAAGCTTAACAGAATTTCTATTTATCAGATTCGTCCAGACTGACCGTTTGAGACTGTAGCCATGCACTCCAGCCAATCGCGACCATAAAGCGAGATGGCGACGAAAACGGCTAAAAGGCGGGGAGGATGCTGCCTATCTGCCCCGCGACGATCTCGACTCTACAACCATTTGAGCAAACATGGGAGACGATCACGAGGACCTAGAATGGGAATTAGAGGAAGGTATTCCTCAATTCGAGGACCCTTTCATCCAGCAGTACCTCAAAGGACGCGATGCGTTGATCCAGGAAGAGCAAAAGCGACGTCACGGTATGGTGGGACCGCTGCAGGATTGAGCTTCACAACTAATCGGACTTTAGATGCAAATCTGCGCAAATCGCTTTCGCCAATCGCCGCCCGGGCGGCAAAGATTGTTTCACAGATCCGTACCCAGGAGCAACACGCGGTATGGACTGCTGGGCTAGATGAAGCGACTGCCCACCAGTCAGATGAGATTCTCTACCCGGGGGTCATGTTCAACTTAGCGAAAGACCGCATGGAGAAGACCAAGCTGTGGAAAATCGTTGAAAGGATGCCCAAGGGATCACTTCTCCACGCCCACATGGACGCCATGTTCGACATCGACTTCTTAGTCGACTTGGCATTCTCCACGCCGGGTATACACATCTCGGCACCGAAGCCCTTGATCACTGAGAATGACTATGAATGGGGATCGGTTTCATTCCAATATTCTTCACAGCCTCTGGAGGCTTCAGAGAACAAGCCCAGTATCTGGTCAGAGACATACGAGGCATCGTCGTTAATTTCGATCCAGAAGGCGGCTTCTGCTTTCCCCAACGGGGGCGAGAAGGGATTCCGAGAATGGCTGAGCAGTCGATGTGTGCTTTTGCCAGAACATTCATATCACCATTATCACGGTGTTGATGCAATTTGGTCTCACTTTGCCAAGACCTTCCCTGTCATTGACTCGATATTGATGTACGAGCCCATTTTCAGAGCTGGTCTACTTCGCATGCTGGGACAACTTGCCGCGGATGGCATCCGATACGTGGAATTCCGCTATGGCTTCAGTAATAACTACAGAAGGGAGGGAGTCGATGAGCCCGACGAGGACTTACTCGGGTGGTTCAGTATGGTAGAAGAGGTGGTGGAGGAGTTCAAGAAGACAGAGGAAGGAAAGAACTTCTACGGCGTTCGCATCATCTGGGTTACACTACGCCGCTTTTCCAACAAGGCCATTGTTGAGACCATGAAGCAATGTATTGCGACAAAGCAGGAATTCCCCGACATGATCTGTGGTTTCGATCTAGTCGGGCAAGAAGATCTGGGGAGACCTCTCGCCGACCTTGTTCCCGTGCTATTCTGGTTCCGAAAGCAATGTGCCGAGGAAGAAGTAGACATTCCCTTCTTTTTCCACGCAGGAGAATGTCTAGGCGATGGCGATGAGACAGATCAGAATCTCTTCGATGCTATCCTCCTTGGCACGCGACGAATTGGTCATGGGTTCTCTCTCTTCAAGCATCCCTTGCTGATTGATTTGGTCAAAGAAAAGAAGATTCTCATTGAATGCTGTCCCATCTCTAATGAAGTTCTTCGACTTACCAGCTCCATCAAAGCCCACCCTCTGCCTGCGCTGCTCGCCAGAGGTGTCCCGGTCTCATTGTGCAATGATGACCCTGCTATCCTCGGACATGGGAAACATGGATTGACACACGATTTCTGGCAGGTCTTGCAAGGATTGGAGAACGTGGATTTGGTCGGTCTCTCGATGATGGCGCAGAACTCCATTAGGTGGAGCTGCTATGAAGATCAATCGCCCGCCGAGTGGAAAGCTGGCATTCAGAATGGAGTTATGGGGAAAGGGCTTAAATCTGAGCGCTTGCGTGAATTTGGTTCAGAATTCGAGAAATTCTGTGAATGGATTGTGCTGGAATTTGCGGAGTTTGATGTTGATGAGGATTGAGGCTCTTTAGGCACCTGTCAGCGGGTGAGGCATAACACGGAATAATCCTAGGTAGTCATCTAGAGCAATTTATAGAAAAAACATTCAACGTCCCAGAAACAAGAAACATATAGAGTTGCAAGGCCATGAGAGAATAAATGGTGAATCTGGTGTGATTGGAATAGACGGTGAGTTGTCCACGGGTCGGCGGCTGACTCGGGTCACTTATCGCCTTTATCAGGTGCCCGGAACGTCATCGTCAAACCCCCCTTCACGACTCATCCACTCCGCTTTGCCGGGGCTGGCTGCTTTCTCTTATATCAAACGCATTTCGATGATTCAGACATAGGGGCTTTTGAGCTCCCACTCACGGAAATGGCGTCGTATTTCATGCCGTCGTTCTTTCAGAAGCGGCTTCTCAAATACGTTTTGTCTCGCGTGGGCCTCGTCGAGACGGATGCCTTGGACTTGGACAACCTAGGAATCAGCTGGGGCCAGCGGTCTGTGGTGGAACTGAAAGATATTGGCTTGAAGTTAGATGTGAGTTGTGATCGTCCACCGGCGGGGTGTTTCGAGACCATAAACAATGAAAGGGACCGGAGCAGGCTGACTGATTCACATCGTGAAATAGAAACTATCAACCCTTTTGAGCCTACCGGCTTCATGCGAACTGCTTAGCGCCCGCGTACGCCTCCTTCGAATCACCCTCCCGGCCGATTTCCATAGCAGCGGGATCGTTTGCGAAGCAGACGGTATCGACGTCCACACTCGATTATTGCCAGACGAGCCCAAAACGTCGAAGCATGGGAAACGAAATGATAGGAATTTTGAATCCTCGACAGTTCCCACACCGTCGGGTCTAGCGGAGTCGTTCCTTGAATCAGAGCCGAAAGAAGAAAGGGAAGAGCTGCAGGCCGCGATATCCTCACAATCCGGGGTTCTGCCGGCCGATCCGTTAGCCTGGAATGAAGATGACAACGAGCTTGGCCTTGGGAGCGAGTCTCTATCTCTCCCTAGCTTTGTGGCTGGATTCCTGAAGGGCGTTATCGATCGGTTGCAACTCCAGATCAAGAATGTGGCCGTGCGCGTGGATATGGAATTAAAGCAAGATGGTCCATCAAAACGACAACCAGAGAATAAACCTGACTTGGTCGCCGGCTTGTTGAGTATTGGGGGAGTCGAAGTACACGGGGTAGCTGGAGCCACCGCGGAACCTGGGGAGGGACCGCCCCTCCGAGAAGGAAAACGACTCATCGCGATTACCGATGTAAATATCGGCTTGGTCTCAGATCACACGGTTTTCTCGAACTACTCTCGATTTGCCGCCCCTGCGTCGCCTACAACGACGATGCGATCAAGAGGAAGCCAACCCTCGAGCAGGGCAGCTTCACCTTCTCCATTACATCGCTCTGTCCTCTCTGGCCCTTATAATCGTTCTGATCGGTCAGATTATTCTGACCAGTATGAACAAGATCCGCTTGCCATGACCCAATCCACAATATTAGAGCCACCCCGAGGATCTATCCACTCAAGCCCAACCGCTGGTGGCTTGGAGAAATCTGCCTTTTCCCATGATGGCCGATTCTCAGATGCGGACTCCGAGGCTGATACCCATCGTGAATACATGGAAGACTCTCAGATCTTTGGCGACGATCCATTCCAAGACAACCCAGGGTACTTGGATTCTGTCATTGACGCTCAGTTCGATGATTTCGATGAGCATTCGCCGGTTATACAGCCACGGCACCCTGATTTAATAGAAAGTGGATGGAGAAGTCCTCACCAGTCAGGTCAGGAGAGCTTGACCCAAAGTCAAGTTGACCACGTCAAGGAACCCTCACTCCCCACAAGCCTCCATGGCTCCTACAACCCCGAAACACATCAATCTCACATTGGCACAGAAGTCGGCCAGACCACACAACATGCTAAATACCCTGACAGCCATGATGAAAATGAAGATAGCAGAAAGCTTCAAACCAGTGTCTCATCACATTCCTCCTCGCCGCTAGCGCCTGATAGCCCGGATTCAAAAGAAATCGCGCACTCTGGTCTAATAGAGTCAAAGTACTTCTCCCATGATGAGGCACAAAGTCTGTATATGAGTGCTATCAGTCAAGAACCGACTGCCAGCTTCATGCCAAACATGCCAGGAGCATGGGACACATTTGACGGCGGTTCCCATTCCAAAAGCTCCCTCGATGACCGCCCCACAAGCGCAGTATCTGATGGCGAGGAACATCTCCCTCAATCCCAAGGTAACGCTCCGTATGAACAGGAGACTATTCCAAAGGCCACAGAACCACCGGGTGAACCCTTTGTCGAGAAGCAGGGCTTGGCCGACCAGGCCCACTCTCACTCTTCGCTCAAAGACCGACCATCAACTCCGTCTAATTCTGACCTTCTTGGAAACGATGAAATCAGAAAGCCTGTGTTGGCAGTTGCAAAGGTATTGCTCTGGGTCTCACCACCAGCTTTGGGGAATGAAGCCACCACAGAGCACTCATCAGCTGAGCAAGAAAAGCACGACGTTGACCTCAAAGAATCAACGGCCGACCTTGGGGATTCTGTCTACGACGAGAGTTTGATGGCCTCCAAGGCATATGCATCAACTAAGTTCGGAAGAGCGATCGCTGAACCACAAAATAGGGCGAGTAGTGGCCCACAACCACCCGAGATTGCCGTAGAAGTCTTCGGAGCTTCAGTCCACTTCGATATCGCCACTGGCTGGCTTTTGACCAAGGTTGGACAGAGGGCTTTGCATGCGTTTGGCGCGGCTGAAAAAGACCCGTCAGAACAGAAACCACAAAATGATGAACCTAGTTCCCAACCGCCCGTTCATCTTCTTGTTCATGAACTTTCAGTCAAGTTCGTCGAGCATGTCCCAGGACATGCCCATTCCTCCAAGCACACGGATCCCCCGATGTCGCCTCCATACAGCATGGAAGACGTAGTTCTCCGCCTCACAGTCTCTGGATTGAATGCTCGCCTTTCGACGCAAAGCTCAACCACCAAGCTGAACCTAGATATCTCCAAGTTCACCTTCGGGTTCGCATCAGAAGATCTCATATCATTCAATGAGACATTCAAAATGCGCGAATCCACCCGCGATGTAGGAAATCCTTCCAAGGGCGACATATCTGTTGCCATGGTCAAATCGGCAGAACTGGCAAAGGTTGATATTTCTACACTGCCTCTGCATGTTAACCTCAATATCCAACGCCTGGAAGAGGTCCTAGGTTGGATGGGTGGCCTGAGCACCATTCTCGAGCTTGGGAGCTCAATGTCCTCCGTGTCCACTGTCAGAGGCGCCATGCCTCCCCAAAAGCGTCCCCGAGGTGTGCATTTCGAAACGCCTAGCCCAGCTCCTCAGTCCAATACCAAGTCAACGATGTGGAAAGTGAATGCTCGAATTGGCACTATTCTTTTGGACGTCATAGGAGAAACACATTGTCTCCAGCTCACCACAACTGCGGTCAAAGTCGTGAGTAGATTTGAAGGCATTGGCGTTCAAGTGGACAAGGCGAAATTGATTGGGCCGTTCTTACTGGATGACGACTCAGCTGATGCTCCTGCGAAGATCACGTTGGACAACATTCGTCTTGAGTTCCTATTTGCTCCCAAAGAGGTCGATCTTGACCGTCTCTTGACGCTGATCACTCCCTCTCAAGATAAGTATGAAGAGGAAGATGAGATCATGCTGGACACATTGCTTCGACAGCGAAGACAAGGGTCTGTTCTTCGCGTCACTGTATCGGGGGTGAAGACATTGGTTTCGAACATCGAAGGATTGGAGCCACTTTCGTCTCTTGGAGTCGAGCTAAGTCGCCTGTCCAACGTCACCAAATATCTACCGGAAGACGACCGCCCTGGTATCCTCACGCTGTTTCTTGTCCACAGCCTCGAAGGACACATTCACATTGGAGGAACAATTGGGGACATTGGGACCAATATCACCGATTTCGAAATCGCACATATCACCATGCCCTCGCTCACGGCGGCTCAAATCAGAGACATATCTGTCCATCGGAATAGCGATGAAAAATTGGTGGGACAGGCCTTATGGCCATCGGACACATACCAAGATTCAGACGAGTCAAGTCCACCTGTGTTGATGGCTAGGTTCATACCCGATGAAATGGACCCAACCTACAGGATCAAGTTGCACAATCTTCTTTTCGAATACAAGGTTCCGGCAATTGCAGCTTTCCTCGGAATAGGTGCTAACACGACAAGCGCGGACGTCGCCTCTAACATGGCTAGCTCCATTGCGAATCTTGCAGAACATTCCCTGCCATCGGAGTTGTCGACAAGTTCACCAAGGAAGTCTGATTCACCCAACCCGAAGCCAACCAACCTGGCTGTTGTATTCAAAGACTGTGTCGTTGGCCTCAACCCTCGCAATTCTCCCGCAAAGGGGCTCGCGGTTCTTACAAATGCCAAATTTGCGGGTAGTCTTCATGACGATGAGTCTGCCGAAGCATCGCTTGATATCAAGAAAGCGTCGTTGATGGTAATTGACGATGTGTGTCACGAGGGCTCCGACAATCTTCACCAGCGAGCCTCGACAGTCGATCAAAGTAGCCAGGTCCAGGTCTACATTGACCAGGGTTATGTTCCCGTGTCTTCTGTATCATCAGCAACTGCCGGGGTTAAGTTGACCAATGTTGCTGAGGATGGGACAAAATCACTCGATGTCGAACTCAGAGACGACTTATTGATTCTTGAGACTTGTGCCGACTCAACACAAACACTGATCAGCATCATGAACGGCCTTCAGCCTCCGACTCCTCCCAGCGTCAATATCAAGTACCGAACAGAAGTCATGCCTCTCCAGGATATGTTTGCCTCGTTTACTGGCGATGCCTTTGCAGCTAATCCCGCTCTTTCCGCCGATGACTTGTCGACTATTGCCGAGGAGCCGTCTTTGGAAGATCAATTGACAGAGGAGCTGGAGTATGTCAGCGACTTCTCCCCAAGGCAGGATGGCCCTGGTCTTGGTGCTGGAGGACCTAGTAATCTTCTGGATAGCTTCCATTCAGAATACCAGGTCTCCTCCAGTCTTACAGAGCTAGACTTCCAAGAAGACCATTTTGCGAAGAAATCCGCGGTGGGTGGCACTGCTCACCGGTGGGATTCTACGCAGAATACCTACGGTCTCACCAACGACACGAAGCTCCAGCGAAGTCCTCTACGAGTGCGAGTGCGAGATGTTCATTTCATTTGGAATCTCTTTGACGGATACGACTGGCAGCGGACACGGGACACGATTTCCAAGGCTGTCAAAGAAGTGGAAACTAAGGCCACCGAGCGACGCGCCAGGGGCTCTAGGTTATCGTCATCGGCCGATGATGAGGAGTCTGTAATTGGGGATTTCCTCTTCAACTCCATCTACATCGGCATCCCAGCTAACAAGGATCCACGGGAACTTCACCGTGAGATCAATAATGACATTGACGATCTAACCAGTGAGACTGGAAGCTATGCGACGTCTACGACGGTGACAGGAGCCGGAAGTCGCCAGGGACGACCTTCTTCTAAGAGAGAGAAGAAGCTGCGTCTGCACCGCAGCAAACAGCACAAGATGACATTTGAATTGAAGGGCGTCTGCGCTGATCTGGTTCTTTTCCCGCCTGGCTCAGAAGAGACGCAGAGCTCGTTGGACGTTCGTGTCAGGGATTTGGAGATCTACGACCACGTGCCGACGTCGACATGGAAGAAATTTGCCACGTACATGCACGAGGCGGGAGAGAAGGAAAGTGGCACGAGCATGATCCACCTCGAGATTCTGACCGTAAAGCCCGTGCCTGAGCTAGCTGCGTCCGAAATTGTCCTGAAGGTTTGTGTCGTCAAGCATTGAAACATCACATATCTAACTCGAATACAGGCCACCGTGCTCCCCATCCGGTTGCATGTCGACCAAGATGCGCTAGACTTCATGAGCCGTTTCTTCGAATTCCGAGACGAGTCCGCCGAACCATCTACTACCCCCGGCGACATCCCATTCTTACAGCGGGTGGAGGTCAACGCCGTCCAGGTCAAGCTAGACTTCAAACCCAAACGAGTAGACTACGCGGGCCTCCGCTCTGGCCGGACCACCGAGTTCATGAACTTCTTCGTTCTCGACGGTGCAGACATGGTGCTCCGCCATGTGATCATCTACGGCGTGTCTGGCTTCGATCGATTGGGCCAAACACTCAACGATATTTGGATGCCAGATGTCAAGAAGAACCAACTCCCCGGCGTGCTGGCCGGCCTGGCGCCAATCCGGTCACTCGTGAATGTGGGCGGAGGCGTCCGCGATCTTGTGGTCGTGCCGATGCGCGAATACCAAAAGGACGGACGGATCGTGCGCAGCATCCAGAAAGGCGCTGTCGCATTTGCCAAAACCACCTCCAACGAGCTTGTCAAGCTTGGGGCGAAACTCGCGATTGGGACACAGACCGTCCTTCAGGGCGCAGAGGACCTGCTGACGACGCCGGCTCAGGAGGAGGACGAAGAAGAAGCCAAGAAGATCTCACTCTACGCCGATCAGCCGGTTGGTGTGGTGCAGGGTCTCCGGGGCGCGTATAGTGGCCTCGAGCGCGATCTGTTGTTGGCGCGTGATGCCATTGTCGCGGTGCCGGGCGAGGTGGTTGAGAGTGGAAGTGCCAAGGCTGCTGCGAAGGCTGTCTGGAAGAGGGCGCCGACCGTTATCCTCCGGCCGGCTATCGGTGTTTCCAAGGCCGTGGGACAGACTCTGCTAGGGGCGGGGAATACCCTGGACCCGAGCAATCGCCGCAAGATGGAAGATGTAAGTGGTTGATATCTCTCCCCTCCCTGCAGGACATAGCTGACTCCTCGTGCAGAAGTATAAGCGATATTAGCAGGCGTGGGGTGCCCTTGGTCACCCTTGCGCACATCGTACATAGAGGGCTTTGTTTTTGTGTTTGCATTCCGTTCTGTTTTGTCTCTTCCGTTCGATACCACATGATGCATGCTTGCATATTCTTAAATTGCCTTGTTTCGCTTTGATACTCCAGCTATCTTGCCCAGTCTGCATGGAGTTCTCGGGTTGTTCATAAAAAATGCTACAATTATTCCTACTGTGCAGATGGCCCGAGTCTAGAATAAGCTCGGATGTATACGTGTAGATCAGGAGGTGACCGGGAACCCGGATGACCCAATGCAGTAATCCATACTTCCCGGGGCTGGTACGGAGAATCTCATACCCAGAGCCATGTCCGAGATCAGCATCAGGCCTCAAGCCGTTGAATTGGGCCAACATGCATGTGAATTGCGCAGATGACACCAATGACTACGCAGCCAGGGTGCGTTGGCACGCCGATCCACGCAAGATGTGCAGTACATTGCACGAGGCGATCATGCTCGGTATCTTGCCCGTGTGAACTGTGAATAAGGTGAAGTCCGAACAGGCCCGTAACCCAAAATCGTAACCCTCACCCAACTCATGAATCATGGAGGTTCAGGGACCACGGAAACCTTGAAATCCAGGCGATCGGAACTCATGATAGACACGAATCTGGCCCCATGGAGTAAGAGTGCAGGACCAGCCCGACGGTGCCTTGCATTTGGGAATGATCCAGTCATTCGCCTTTGGACCCTGGAATTGTCTGGCTCTGGCACACACGCGTACGAGAAAAACTCTTCTCTTGCCACATTGTCGGGCCAATGAGGGTGGGGAGTGGGCTACCCATCGGATGAAGTGGCCAGCTCAGTGACCTCAGGCCAGACTTCTGGACGCCGACTGGTCTGGCCGGGGTCAGAGGCGTTCGTGCCAAAATGGCTGTTGTGGGGGGTGATTGGTGGAAGGGATCGACGGAGTCTTGACGGGGCGACTTAGTGTGTTTATTGTGCGACTCTACAACTAGCGCACAGTTAGAGCAGACTAAGATCGAGTGATCTGTACAATAGTACGGAGTACATGAGTACAATAAGATTGTGAATATAAGTGAATCTATGAATATAAGTGCATCTCACCGACTTTTCGACTTTCGACTTTCGAGATTTTTCTGCCATGACGTCGACGAGTGCCTCACGAACCATGGATTAGATCTTCTGTTCGCTTCTCTTTGCTCTCTCTGCTCTCTGCCCTCTCTTGTTCTCTTGTTCTGTCTGCTTGTCTGCTTTTCTAGACCCCGGGCTCTCCGTCTGGTTCGGCTCTAGACTCTGCCCAGCTGGGTGGATTAAGTGGGTATCGCCAGGCACTCCCGTTCCTGTTTTCAATCGCTTCTTAAAATGAAAGGGAATCCCCCTCTGTACCTTGCATTCTGGTGTGATCTGTGTTATCATTGACGGTTTACACCTTTCTCTCCCTTGCATCGGCTTGCCAAGTCGGACAAATCAGATTCAGTGTGGAGAAGTGGATTCGATCTACGCCTGCATCGGATATGTCGACAATCTAAAAAGTGGGCACTCTCTCATCAAAAAGAACATCTGAAGCAGGACTTCCACCGTGTTCGAGTCCGCAAAAGCGATATCTGCGATATTCGCAAGGGTGCTGGCAGCCCCAATCCCAATGAACCACCTCACCTATTCGGCCACCGAGGGGGTGTGGCAGACCGAACTGCTGGACAGCCCGCTCTGCCACAAGTGTTTGGAGCTCCATGATCATGCATGTTCTCCTCTCTCTAAACCCCTTCCGGCCGACGCTATGTCCCTCCCCCCTCGATCCATCAAATCTGGTATCACGGGGGCCCTCTCCCTCCATGATTACCGCAAATTCCTCTCCAAGTCCGCAGACCGCATAGATGATCCCGTCGATCATGCAGACAGGAAATTGAAGCGAAAGACGGCGGCGTTACATTTGAACTGCCCACCCGCCCTCGAGCGCTCTTATCCTGCGTCTCTCACTTCGGTCTCGACTCCCCCTCTGTCTCCCTCGTATTCCCACAGTATCATCTCCCAGCGGAGCGAAGAGCCTGAGATCGGAGAAGCTCGACCTGGTGAGTTTCGAGATCTAATTTGACTTCGGATCGAGCACCTGGATTAACCTTTCAATAGTTCGTTATCAGTCTCCCAGCCCACGAGTAACGCTTGTCTCGGACAGCGGTATTCGAGCCAGGCCGAACAGGAAGCGATTGGTGAGTCTCCCGAGACAATCAACACCCATCCCTCTAACCATGTCTAGAACACCTTCCGGGAGAAATTTCAACAGAACAAGGCTCGAGCCGAAGCCGACGCTCGCAAGGCCGAGTCGGACTCCATGCTGGCCAGCACACAGGCCGTGGCCACCGTCTCACACGGTGGCGCTTGCTTTGAAATTTTGAATCCGCGCAAGTCGCTGGATCTCGCACGCATCGTCTCATACATTGAAGACGTGGACAGTTGCTCCATACTCTCCGATCAAGACTCGGCGTTCCCCCTCGACCAAGGACTGGACCGGGTGTCCATATCCCAATACACCGATGCCTCATTGACATCATTCTATTCCAACCATTCTCTTTACAACTCGCTAGACTCAACCCCCAAGGACCAGGATCCCCCCTTGTCGTCTGCCGGGGCTCATGGTCGCATCCGCTCTTTATCCGACTACTCTCTCACCGAAGGTTACAATTACTGGAGCCGCCCTGTACAAAATAACAGTGAACACGACCGCTATGACGACCTACCAACCCCCATGACCTCCATCAGAGAGGAATCCAACCCACCTACCCTATCACACTCGAACACACACTCCCGTCGCCCCTCGACACCCTCCACGCAGGATTTCTACTCAGAGAGTGAAATCGGCGAACCCGGCTCCCCAGTATACGCCAATGGCGAATGGGCGCAAGTCGACGAGCGCGATCGAGGCATCTTTTACGAACTTGAAGAGTTCGACCAACCCCCCTACCAAGATCATGATCGAGAGTCCGAGCCTTCACCGCACGAAACTCTCGACACACCTCTTCACTCTCCCAGCTCACCGGCCTTGCCATTTGACTTGAAATACGACCCCTATGACCCCATCTACTTCGACCCGCACGTGCAATCTGTCTTGGCAGCTGCCAATGCAGAGAACATGGGTCTCCGTGGACATCGACAGTTTGATGGGTCTAGAGAGATTCACAGACGGAAGAGCGATGAACGCAAGGCCGGGGGAAGGAAAGGGCTGAAGAAGTTCTTCAGTTGGAGGTCTGGGACGAACTGAGTCTTTTTTTTTTTTCTTCTTATGCCTTTTTGGCTTATGGATTCTGTGAATCTTTTTTTGATTCTGGGAATCAGATTATATCATGGCTGTTTTTGAGCATGGCGAACATGGCGAATATAGCGACTGGGCTTCTATGAACAAGCTCGCTGGATTGGATTGGACTGGACTCTTCTTCTCTTTCTTCTTCTCTTTCTTCTTCTCTTTCTTCTCTTTTTTCTTCTCCTTCTCTTTCTCTTCTTCTTGCTCTTCTTTCCCTACCTTTTCTTCTCCTTTTTCTCCCTTTTCTTCTTTTTACTTTCTTCCTTGTTGTTTCTACCTATTACTACATTTTCGGGTCTGTGACCCTACACTTATTTTAACAATTTGAATGTGAGGACATGTCGAACAGACACCAAACAATTGCCTGATTTGAAGGCTGCAACGGTTGCACTCGAACTCGTAAAAGTGGATGCTCAATCCCTTGCATATCTGTGTCGTGTAAATCACTTTCTTTCTCGGTGGAGTACGTGTGACCCTGCACATGTCGCCGGCATTGAGGATACATACAGACCAGCCACATTGTTGCTACGTGCGCACACATTCACATGGGCAATGCACATACATGTATGCCACCTGGGCAGATCATGGATGTACTCGTGGGCCCGTGGACCCGTGGACGGTGTACACAGGTAGTCAGAATTGAATCTCCCATACCCCAGTCAAGTATTCAGGAAACGACAAACTGATCACCTTGGCCAGTTCCATTATACGGCTATGTCAAGTCCCCCAATGGCTGTCAGTACATAGGAAACATTGCCGACATGTCAATGTTATTCAATATACCAGGGTATCCCGATTGGCTGGAGACCACCCTTGGAATACTCATGAATCATCAACCTGCACGACGGTACACTCCAACCAGAAACATTGAGAGATATTCTGTCCTATTTTCAAGACACTCGCACAATCCATAGCACAATGCCGTATCCAACTTCATCCAAAGCGGCCGTGGTTCACGAGCCCTTCGCTCAGAACAAAACATCCCACCGGGACTTGGCTCCGTTACAACCCGGTGAGATTGGCATCAAGATTACCGCCACGGCCATCAATCCCGTCGACTGGAAGATGCGCGATCACAACGCCTTCATCGCCGAATACCCCGCCATCCTCGGCTCCGACGCCGCAGGCACCGTCGTCGCAACAGGACCCAACGTATCCTCATTCCAAGAAGGCGATCGAGTATTCTTCCAAGGCATCATTGGAAAGTACGACTCCTCCACATTCCAGCAGTACTGCAAGATGCCAGCGGAACTGGTTTCACGCACGCCCGACAATATCAGCGATACAGAAGCAGCGGGCATCAGTCTAGCCACCATGGCTGTCGTCACTGCTTTCTACCATTCAGAAGGCCACGGACTAACACCTCCATGGGAAAGCGGGGGCAATCAAGCCGGTCAGGGGAAAGCCATAGTCATTCTCGGTGGTGCCTCGTCAGTCGGTCAGTATGCTATACAACTTGCCAGACTCTCTGGGTTCCAGCGGATAATCACAAATGCAAGTCCCGGGAACCACGAGTATCTTCACACACTCGGTGCGCATGTCGTGCTTGATCGAAACAAGTCTGATGCGAAATCCTTTGTCTCGGCGATTGGGGAGATACCTTTGATGTTTGTGTTTGATTCGATTTCAGCCAAGTCAACGCAGCTTCTGGGTGTGCAGATTATTCAAGAGTCCGGAAGTGAAGGTTCGGAACTGGTTATTGTGCATGTTGTCCGTCCGGAACCTATTGATCCTGATGCAATGGCTCTTAGTCAGGGTAAAGAGCCGAAAGTGGCAGTTAAGCAGATATTGGGCTTGGGCAGTGCGCCTGATTTGCGTTATCTGAGTGAGCCCATGGTCGTGGCTTTGGGTAAATGGATCGCTGGTGGTCTTTTTATCCCGAATAGGCCTCTTGTGGTCCCGGGTGGATTGGATGCGGTGGAGGAAGCCCTTGCGATGAACAAGAAAGGTGTGTCGGGCCGGAAGGTTGTGTTCTGTCCTTCAGAATGATAGGCCTGCAAGGCTTCTAATAGGCAGGGTTATGTGCTTTCCAAGGTTGACATTCAAGGTTGTACTTCCACTGCAGCTTCCGTTGCCCACTATACTACTAGGTACTAGGTAGTGATTTGGAATCCGTAGAAACAAAATTTGTTCTTAGGTACTAGGTATTCATCACCCGGGCATAGACAGTTTTTAGTGTCTTGAATCCTCGTGTCACATAAAAGCACGATAGAAGTAGTTTATCTTCATTGGGTATCAGTAGAATATATACAAAGAACTTGGCAACGCTCTCATCCCCCTCACCACATTTTCGAGGTTACTCCTTCTCGACCATTGAAGCCAAAGCCGCACTCACCAGGCTCTTCCGCCTCAACCCATCCATCCTCTTTCCAGGCCCATGGCCATGACCATGACCATGACCATAACCATGCCTATCCTTCTCCACCCGACTCGCCAAAACCCCAGCCGAACTCTTCCTCCTCCTCTCCTCAGGCCCGAACCGACTCCTCGAAAGCGTCATGGCCCGCCGACGTGGCGAATGCCGAGGCGGCAAAGAACTCGGGTGGCAATCCTCTTCCTCCTCCGGTTCCTCGATCAGACTCCGCATGGCCTCGATTTCAGACTCGTTACACTGCATCCGTGAGATGTGCTGTCTGCGCGAGCGGATGTCGTCAGCGTCCGACATTGGGAATGTCGGGCTGGATGGAGAGAGGGATTCGTCGTCGTGGTCTGTGTCCGGTGGTGTGAGGACATAGCCTGTGTAGTTGGTTGGGAGGCCCGGGGAGATGCGATCGCGATCGCGATCGCCAGGGGCGAGTGTATGTTCGTGGAGTTTCTGAGTCAGGGTTGAGATGGAGAGGCGCTTGTGGTCTTTGTGGTCTTCGTAAGGGAATGGGACGGAAGTTGGAGGTTGGGAGCGGAAGTTGCGGCGGTTCCGGAGTCGGGATTGAGGGGATGGACAGCGGGAGGACAGTGGTGAGATTAGACTGTCTGTGTCGACCATCAGACGGTCATCTTCTAGGGCTAGATGGGCTGGGCGCGACGAAGGCGAAGTGAAGGAGAAGTCTTCGAACATGTTGGGTGGGAGGATTGCGATTGAGATCGAAAGAGCGGAGGCCGTGTCAGCGACACCGACTTGACGTTTGACAGGAGAGAGAGAGTTCGTGAAAGGATCGTTATATATGCAAGTTGATTATTTGCCCCTCGGAGAAAAAAACTGGACGTTGGACCAGTGGTTGAGGTTGAGGCAAATGCACGTGATCGGGACCCAGACAGGACGCTTTCAGGGGTCTTTTGAGTCGGGTTGGTCTTGCAATATGCAAATACCAATCAGTGAAACAGTAATTGAATGAAGTGCTCCGTACTAACCTGGTCTATATACTCCAAAGACCCTGGCTGGATCTTGGTTCTCGAGTGCATGTCGATCTTGTGGATACCCGTGCCCTAAATGACCCATGTACGGAGTAGAGTAGAGTAGAGTTGTATGTAGACCTACACCCGTACAGGGGAACCATGCTCTAAATTACCCAGAATAGAAATTTGATACGTATGGCATTTAATATAAATTCAGAAATTTCAACCTGCCACAGGTAAAAATTGGCCAGAGCGCCTCCAGGGCTGGGCAGGAGACGCCGTTTGAGGAGCGAGACATCTATACAGGGAACATAAAACTTCGACAATTTCGACAACATAATGCCCAGTTGCCAAGTAGCTCGATGCGAAAATATGCAGTTTGATCTAGTGCAAGCTTCAGACTAATTCAATGCAAGAACCCTGCGTGTTTCTGCATCCAAACTTCAAGGATCGGATCTCTAGCAACGAGTATCTGCCAAGACCTTTTGATTACGACCAAAAGCAATTACAGGTCTTACTCGCTGATCATATCGAATTCTTTGGGCTTTCCTCTTCGGACCACTCACTGAATTCACCGTCGATGTGGCCTAACCCAGCTAACGTGATTTGTTTCACTTTGATCCAGGTTGGGCCTCTACTTGCTGACTTGGGCTTTGTGGCCACAATAAGCTCCACGATCTCACATTTCGCCACTAAAAATTGACGGGGAATATCCTTGTACGTTTACTCACGTTAGATCTGCACGCGTGTTGCATAAAATTGCCACGCATTGAGATTCTGGGTAGCAAGTCACTTCTCATCCACTATAAGTGAATTGGAAATTCATATAGTTCAATCATCGGCGGGCTGGGTAGGGAAAATATGGGCACTTCCAGGAACTTACAAGCCTTGAAAAAACAGATCATGATCGATCGCACATAAAAGCAAAACAGTATTGGAACAAATAAAATACTATGTCAACTCCCGGGCCCAATGCTAGCAGCCCAGAGGCACATCCATGCCCAGATGGATTTGTACACATTGCCAATGCGAAACTTATACCCGGTGCATCCATTTCAAGACCTTGGTGGGTGTAATGACCTTGGGCTTCATGGCTCCATGAATGCAATTGTGCTCATCATGCCGACTTATCCCCGTGCACTTTGCAAAAACGAGCGAATGGTCTGGTCTAGATCTCATGGAGAATACCTAGGGTAACAATGATTCAGCATCCCGCTTATAGTAACCCTTAGCCAGCGGACTACCCACGCTTCCGAGTGGTTGGTGCCCGTCTGCACGGATATCTCAATCCCCGTCAAGGACATGAAGTCGGGTGTACGCCATAGAACTAAGGGCAAGCAAGAAAGGAATTGGCACAAAAACCAAGGTTTAGATTGCACGAAGAGGAAAGAGAAGAGGAAAGCAAAAACCAAGATCTATGTACACAGGAAAGGATCACATCACATGATGTTCCAAACGCTGTTTTCCAAATGGAAGCCGTTTTCCTTTACCCATGTGTCATGCTGCATCTGGGCAAAGATTTCCCGTGTCGCTGTATCGAAAGAATCCACGTCCGGGTCACGCTCCCACAGTCTCTCGTTCACAAATTCCTCGATATCTTCCACATAGTCACGAGGATCCTCTCTCCCATCCTGGCGACCATGGAATGTCCGAATTCTCATCGGGTTGGGCATTTTTGATGACACCGAGGTTTTCGACGTGTCTGAGATGGGTGAAACCTCAGCCTTTTCGCGTCTCAATTTGTCGTGACGGGTTCCAATCGTGAGATTGGCGATGAGCCACTCGATTTCCGTGATGACTCTATCCTCGTCCATTCACCCTTTTCCTCGTGCTGCGTTGCACCCGCCTCTGGAACCACCAAAAGATCTGAGTGACCGAATGGGTGCTCTGACAAATGGCGAAGTCGTACGAGTGTGGATACACCGAAGGGGAGACTGACTCGACTGCAGCCAATGGTCGGGCCCCAGCACTACAATATCTATAGGATACAGAGTGATAACTGAAGTGAGAGTGAGAGAGGCCAGAAGGGATATAAGTCACTTATGATATACCTGTAGGATATAGAGTAATCACTGAAGTGAAATTGAGAGAGACTGGAAGGGGGATAATATACGAAGAGGGAAGCATAGAGAGAGAAGAAAAGAAAAGAGAAAGGTAGAAAGAGAAGATAGAGGAGAGGAGCATTAAAGCATCATATGATTACTTCCTTCTATAGTTCCTAGATTTTGCTTTCTTGTTCCTTTCTCCTTCTCACCATTCTCAATATCATTGCATTCTTGCATGATCTCTTCCGTTCTGAGTAGTCCCTCAGTCTATGAGTTCCTCCTCAGCACGATGTTCGTTGAAACCTTATGATAGCTCCTGATAGCTCTGGAAATTCTCGAGCGGTAACCAGCTATGTATATATGGATCGTCTATGGGTCCCCTTCCTCGCTATCAAACGAGATATTGGACTGTTTCCGCACTAGAACCGTCTGTTCTGGGGCGACCGGGTGGTCGTGTTATACGTTCAGCGAGAATTCGTTCTACCTCAAAGCTCTCTTCGCCCGCAAATCTTCATCTAGTGTTGGGATGTGCGGGCCGATCTGCTCACGTCGCCACGGGTTCGACGCCCCTGGCGTTGTTGTACGAATTCGAGCCGCGTCAACCTTGGCATGTCGCACCGGGTGATCCAGTGCCTCTGGACTTGACGATACGAAGTGACGCCCGCCAGGCACTAGCGTACGCAGCGGTAGAGTCGAAAGTCTATTACGACAAAGCACATCTTCCGCAGTTTCTCCAACTGGTCGTAAGTATTGAACATCTGGAACCATCACCTCCCGGGGACGACCCCTAGCAAAGTGAGTCCACGGGTAGATCAGCCCGCACATCCTAACACCAGATGAAAGATTTCCGGACTATGTGGGAGGAATCGGCATTTGAAAATCCCAGTACGGGAATGCGAACAGAAGATCTGCACTTGTGGTGGAGCCGGTCCACCAGCCAGTATATAAACTAAAATATCCCCCGGCTTGTTCTGGGAAGACAAAAAATGTTTTCTTTCTTGTCCGGCAATTCTGCGCGGCATCTAGGAAACCATGTGCCTTGCAAGCAGTCAGGGAAAATGACGTTCAGTCAGGAGAAAAAGGCATATAAAAGCATTCGCGGCGACCGTCAGAAGTCGTAATTCATCGTCCCAAAGAAATATTAAACAATCATGTCTTCCAACGTTTCCGTTGAAGATCCCGCAAGCGAGGGCATCCTCATTGTATGCATTCAAGCCACCAAATGGTCAAATAGGATCGCGTGCTAACAGATTGTATATCGGAGCAGGAATTGCCGGACTGACGCTGGCTCAAGCTCTTCGTCGCCACGGAGTACCTTGCACAGTCTTTGAGCGCGATGAATCCCCGGAAGTTCGCAATCAAGGATGGGGTGTTTCCATTCACTCCACTTTGACTACGTGGGAAGCGCATATCTTGCCAGAGATCTATGACCGCGTTTGCGAAGTCCAGGTGAATCCTGCCATCGGTCGTGATGAAGTCCGCGGAGTCCCATGGATCAACGGCGCGACTGGGAAAGTTGAGCAGTCTGTTCCAGAAAGCAAGAGGCTCAGGCTGAGACGGGATGGAATCCGGAAGGCTCTCATGGAGGGTTTGGATATCAAGGTTAGTCAACAAGATCGCTGCCGTTCTGTGACATTGTATAACTGGGGCTAATTTGCATGTAAGTGGGGAAGACGAATGGTCAATATGGAGAAATGCGAGGGTGGCATTCGAGCCGTGTTCACGGATGGCTCCACGGTTCGAGGAAGTGTGCTGGTAGGAGCAGATGGTCCGACATCGATTGTTCGCAAGTTCCTGGCTCCCACAACATATGAATTGCATCGACTGCCTATCAATGCGGTGGGTTGCGCCCTGGAGATGAGTGAAGAGCAAGTCAACTACTTCAAAGAGCACGTCGACCCACTCTACTTCATGGGTACGCACCCAGAAACAGATACATTTGTCTTTTGGTCTCTGTTAGACACTCCCACATCCCCCGGGAAGCCCTACCGTGCACAAGTGTACTTTTCATGGATCGCTTGCGATGCGGATGAAGAACTGTTCAAGCAGCCCTTGCTTGACGTGTTCAGAGAGAAGGGCCGGCCATTCTTCCCTCGCTTGCGCGAGATTGTGGACTCGTTGCCCGATGACACTGTCGTCACGAAGGTCAACCTGGTTGACTGGCCGTCTGTTGAGTGGGACAATTGGAATGGCGCTTCCACTTTGATCGGTGATGCAGCGCATTGCATGGTGATCTGTGAGTTTATCTCGTGAGAAAATGAAGGTGAACTAACATCAGTAGATCGCGGTGAGGGAGTCAACCATGCCATTGTGGATGCCTGCCAGCTCGCGGATACTATCAAGTCAGCTTTTGATGGTCGCATATCAATCAAGGACGCCGTCAATGAGTATGAGCAGAAGATGCGCCCGCGAGCGAAGGAGGCGGTGGAGACTAGCAGACAAGCTGGACACGATGGCCATTGCTATGAGAAGGTTGACAAGGAAGGAAGCTTTGCTCTCCTGGGTGAAAAGCCGGTCTAGCGGACATTCGCGTTTCTTGTGCCATCCCCAGGGCTGTGCAATGGTATATTGGTCCAGCGCGGAGTACACTGGCAGCACGAGATGCTCTGTGAAGGATGTTGGGGATTGTGTCAGGCTTAGGTGTAACCTTCTAAAGTCAAGATATACAAGGTATTCTTGAATTATCTCGAATATATGAGGTTTTCTGTTTGATGGAATCAACATACCTACATAGTAAGACAACCTTGGAACCCTCATCTGTACCCAGGCAAAGGCTTATATTCGCCCAGGTGGGCCGGGGGCCGGGGGCCAGGGATTATGACACACACGCTCATATAGTGGGCCAAAACCGCCATGCCACAGGGGCTCTAGGCTACTATGTCGGGCTAAGTGAGCGCAGATCAATGACGCTGGAGAATGACTCCACCGGGGGCTGCACTTCGCACAAGGTCATGTCATACCTGATCCTCAAACTTGACGCTATACAACCTTGGAGCCTTGGAACATCAAATCCGAAACAGTATGTTCACCACACATTTACAATCCAGGAGAACCGATCCGCCCCCATTACCTCGGCCTCGAAAAGCTCTCAGGTCCCCACATCGCGAGATTGCCTTCCGCAAGGAATACATAGCAGCCTCACAAACACGCCTGATCCTTAAACCGCAAGGTGATGCCAAATCGGCCGTGTCACTCAAGATCCTCGATGACGAGGACGATTCTGTGAAATTCACCGTGACGGGCAGAAAGCACACCGATCGCTCTTGTCGTGAATTTCGCGATGCTTCGGGTCTGCCGTTATTCGAAATTCACCAAAAGGCACTGTTTACGCATAGCTGGTTTGTCACACTCCCCGGAAGTGATGAGGCAAGTATAGCCAAAGCTGCTCCACGATTTTCTTTTAAGCATGGAATCGACGATTTCAGCTTGTCGTTCAAGAATCAAGCCGCCATGGATGTGAAGGAATGTGCAGAAGAACGAGTGGAGTTGAACATGGAGAGATGTGGTACTGTCCTAGCACTCTACGATGTTGTTGACGGTGACAGGAAGGTGGCGGTAGTACGCGAAAGCATAGAGCACAACGAGATCTTGCCTTTCATGAACTCACGGTGGCGCAAGCGTCAATCTGTGCTTGATATTACCGTAACTCCCGGAACAGATATTTCACTGGTAAGGCATCCATGCATGCAGGTACTCTCTATTTTGATGGGCTAAAGCTGGACACAGGCGGCTGCGATTGGGGTGATTCTTTCGGATTGGGTGTATAAGTGAATTCGCACTTTTAAACATAGGATCAGGCTTCATGGTTGGAACTTAACAAATCTCAAATGCTCGAGTGTACATAATGTCTATGGTGCGATGTGAACCCATGAATGCTAGCACGTTAATGACCTCAGAGTGGGTAGCAACCCGTACAAATGACAGCTAGATGCAGATAGGCATAGGCAATAGTTGGAAATAACCTTGAATCTTCTGTGCGCTGCAGTGGCATATGAGTAAGGGACAAGGCTTGGGGGTCTATAGTTAGGGCAAGCTCAGGAATACTTAGGTTCTCAATGTTACCATTCAATCTACCATGAAAATACCAGGATAGAAGAAGAACCAAAGTCCATGATTGCCATGGGTAGAATTCGTATCTTAGCGTTGGTAAATGGCTAGTGCCACAAGTGCCTCTCACGAAGTACACGGGTAGTGCGGAGTATAGTGCGGAGTATTGTCCGATCCCTCTTATCAGTGCTCCAACTCTCTCCAACAGTGTCCCTATAAAGCCTTCGCATGATGCTGCGTTCTCTTTCAGTCTTCCCAAGGTTACATCCACCTTTCAACCCCACGCGAACATTCTCCACATTCAGAATACAAAGCATGTTGACATCGGAGCTTTCCGACGTTGAGGTCTCGTCCCTTAGGGCAAACAAAGAGCGTTTGGCCAAAGATCTTCATCACTCATGCCAATGGGGCTATGGTATCAGATGGGGAGAGTAAGTGAGCCTGGTATTGCCTGTACAATCTAGCGGACTATCGGGCTGATGCTGAACAGTAACCCAACGGATACGGGAATGCAGCGTTTGGCACTTTCAGAAGAAGACAAGAGCGTTCGGGACTGGTTTATCCAAACCACCAAAGAACTGAAATGCAATGTGACTGTAGATCAAATGGGAAACATCTTTGCTGTCCGTCCTGGTCGCCGGGCAGATGTGCCTGCCACCTTTATTGGTAGTCACCTCGACACTCAACCGACTGGCGGGCGATACGATGGGATATTAGGCGTTCTCGCAGGCATTGAGGTGTTGAAGACGATGAATGACATGGGTCTAGAGACGGAAGGAGGAGTCGGAGTTGTCAATTGGACAAAGTGAGTCCAATCCTTTTGGCCTGTATGGCGTTGATGCTGACGATTTCCAGTGAGGAAGGTGCCAGATTCCCGGTCAGCATGATATCAAGTGGCGTATGGGCCGAATGCATATCCTTAGAGCATGCACATGGTCTCAAAGAGGTGCCTACCGTAGCCTCGTTGCCAACAGCAGCATCAGCCCCCGAGACCATGAAGAGTGCCTTGCAGAAGATCAACTATCTAGGAGAAACCCCCTGTTCATACAAATCTTCCCCGATGGCAGCTCATTTCGAGCTCCATATCGAGCAGGGCCCACACTTGGTATCGGCAGGCCAGCGCATTGGAGTGGTGACAGCTGTGCAGGCCTACAGATGGTTCAGACTGAACATCATCGGACGAGATACACACACAGGGACCACCGCCTTCGAGCACCGAGCAGATGCCCTATACGCATTTGCCCGTATGATGGTGCGAGCGCGCGAAGTTGCCGCTTCGAAAGGATGTCTAGCGAGTGTAGGCATTGTCGAGGCCAAGCCAGGCAGTGTCAACACTATCCCGGGCCTGGTCAGCTTTAGCTTGGATATTCGCGGTCCAGAGACAGAGTTGGTTGCCAAGGTTGAGGAAGAGTTGCGCGCCGACTTTGATGCCATCGCTGCCGCCGAGGGTGCTGGTATAGGGAAGCCATGCCGAGTAGAGTGGACTCTGGACTTCGACTCCCCTGCCGTCAAATTCCACCAAGATTGTATTGATTGCGTTCAGGAGTCGGCATATGCAGTGGTCTCGGATGCGCCTGTTGCAGATACGAAATCACTTGTCAGGCCGATCATGAGTGGTGCTGGGCATGACAGTGTCTTCACCTCGAAGCGCGTCCCGACCAGCATGATCTTCATTCCCTGCAAGGACGGTCTCAGTCATCACCCCGAGGAGTTCTCGACAGCGGATGACTGTGCCACTGGAGCATCAGTTATTTTGCAGGCTGTGGTTCGCTATGACCGCAAGAGATTCGCGTGATGCATAGCTGCAGAGATAGAATAGCATAGCAACAGTGAAAGATCTAAGCTTACGACACTACGAAGACAATGTGCACTATGATGAGATCATCAAGTACGAAGAATTGGAAACAGATATTTCTTTATTTTTTTGTTTCCTGAATCCCCAAATCCCAGTAAACTGGGCGGGATCTAGACACCCTGAAGAACAGCCCGTTTCGAAACCTAATCCAGACCGAAAGTCAAAGCATCAAGAGCCTAGGATGACCGAGAAGAGGTTGACAGGACACCAATGCCTCTCAGCATTTACTGCTGGGGAGCGGCACCGCGGCCACGGCCGAAGCCACCACGGAAAGAGGGAGCGAACTCGCCGGGGGCACCGCCCTCCTTGCCCTCCTCGCGACGGCGGTAACCGCCCTCACGGGGAGCGCGGGGACCGCGACGCTCACCGCGCTGCTCCTCACCGCCCATCATGCCGCGGGGGGGAGCGTGGGAACGCTGCTGCTTGATGTGGGTGGCGGGGACAACCTCAGCGGGGAGGTGGAGCCACTCACGGAGGTAGTCAAGACCCTGATGGGGAGTTAGCAATCGTGATCAAAGCGACGCGTGTGGAGTGAATCGTACCTCGGGGGTGAGGGTGTAGTAGTAGTACTGCCACGAGAACTGGGTCTTGACGAAGCCGCGGGAGTCCAGGGACTGGAGGGCCTTGATGACATAGAGGTTCTTGGTGTCAATCTCAGCGTGCTTGGGAAGGTTGAAGTCCTTCTTGGCCACGAGCACACCCTCTGGATGGTCATTAGTTATCTGTATAACATGGAGCGAGCGCGACGGTTCATGACTGCGCAGCGCCGACAAGGGTTCTCAGTACATACCACGGAAGAGGTACTCGTGGATCTTCTTGCGGTCGTCCTTGGGGATAAGCCTGCATCATGGTTAGTCAATCAATCGATTTGGATAACAAATGTAGGGGGTCAACATACATTGTCGCGAGTTCCTGTTGCAATTCGGGGAATCGCTTTGACAACGCCCGAAATTTTGGTAGATTTAAATGATGGATTCAAAGTGGAGCCGACGCTGCGAGGAAAGTGCGCACCTTGTGGTAGGGTTGTGGCCCTAAGCCAAACTGTGGTACAGATCACATGGTCTGAGTCACATGATGTGCTGTATCGGGTGTCACGTGGCTCGATTCTAGCACGTGACTAGTCCTTATCAGTTCGCGCACGTGATTCCAAGGTTAGCATCCGAGACCTTCAGCCGCCGTCTTGAAGTCTTTATTACAGCATTTTCCTCAACCAGGATCTCACATCGCGGCTGTCATTGCCAACTTCATCCCGCAAACCTCATAATCATGGCTGCCCAAAATGTCAACATCCTTCTGGCGACCTTCCCGGGACTGGCGCTCCCCCCGACACTTTCATTCGCCTTGCCTTCGACAGCGAGCATCTCGGATCTCACAGAGAAAGTCGCTTCCTACCTACCTCCAGCGCTCTCTCTTGACTCACTCGTCTTAACCACCACAAATAACAAGCAACTCAGCCCATCTGCGCAATGTATTGGGTCAATCCTTTCTTCCTCCGGTGGCAACTCCATCTCTACCCTCCTCCCGCTCCGCCTGACTGCGCCTATGTGCGGTGGTAAAGGTGGTTTCGGATCTCAACTACGTGCCGCGGGTGGTCGCATGTCCAGCAAACGCAAGCGCAACCAAGGCGACAACAACAGTTCCAGTCGCAACCTCGATGGGCGCCGTTTACGTACCGTGAATGAAGCTAAAGCGCTCGCCGAGTACCTTTCTGTCAAGCCTGAAATGGACAAGAAGGAGAAGGAAGAGCGTCAGCGCCGGTGGCAAGCTGTTGTTGAGGTCGCAGAGAAGCGCCAAGATGAAATCAAGAACGGCAATGGGAAGGGAAAGGTGGACGGTCAGTGGATGGAAGACAAGGAAGAAATGAATGAGAAGGCTCGCGAAGCGGTCTTGCAGGCCATGAAGGACGGTGCTTGGACGGACAATCTGCGGGATGCGATATTGGGCGGCTCTAGCACCAGCGCCAGTGATGAAGGCAGTGACGACGATATGGCGTCCAGTGAAGATGAGAGCGAAGAAAATGGGGAATCAAGCGCTGCTGGGTCCTCCAAGCCTCAAAAGGCCGCCCCTCGAAAGTTCATTGGGTTTGATGATGACGATGAGTTCATGAGTGACTCCGAGGAGGAAATCGATGAAACCACCAAGGGCAAGGGAAAGGCTCGTGCTTGAGCATTCTGAAAAGTCTCAATTTATCAGTCACGGATTACGACGGCGTCCTTACTAAGGTGTTTTGGGGGTTTTTCATGGTTTGGGATTCCAGTATATTCTCTGTCAATAGCAATAATTCAACCCACTCCCAAGGGGGGTCTCATGGCATTCATCATCAATCCGAAGCTCCAGTTGCCGAGCGTAAATGTACTTTGCAGTAACCTTCCCAAGATATAACTATAAGATGTACGGTAACCCGATCCTGCCATAGGCGCTATCGATAAGCATATCTCCAGCAAAAAAGCTCCGAAACTCCGCAAACCTGTTCTACTGTATCTCCATCATGTCGCTTTGTTCTAGAGGCGCACTATTGCGAAATGCAAGGCCCAATTTGATCCGTTTGACCTCCAGAAATGTGACTCGAATTTCACCACAACCATTCCTCTCTCGCTCGCGCTTCACGCTGCAAAGCAATGTTGTCTCAGGTCGCCATAGCCCATGTCATAGCCAATGCCGCAAGTTCTCGACAACACCTTTGCGGCGCGAAGAAGTCTCGGTCGACCCCTTAGCCAGTGTCTTGCCGGTCTGCTGTCCAGGATGTGGCGCATTCTCCCAAGTAGTCGAAGAAAACGAACCAGGATATTATAGCCCATCGCGAAAGCAAACCCGAAAGCTGTTCGCCGCGAGCAAAGAAAAAGCGCAGCACGAAAAAGCACCGCGCGACGAAAATCCGATCAACAAGGAGGAGAGAGAAGATCCATTGGACCTGGCCCAGAACCAACCCTCTGAGGATGTCAGCCCGCCGAAGCCTACCATGGAAGGAGCTTTCCCGGACAAAGCTGTCGAGCCCGAGGACAACTTCCGAGAGCCACCAGATCGAATGAGCCATGTCTGTGACCGTTGTCATGATTTGATACACCACAACAAAGCCATTGCCTCCCCTAAGCCAACAATCATGTCGATCAGGAATTACCTTGAAGAGTCACCATTCACAGAGAACCGTGTCTATCATATTATCGATGCGGCCGACTTCCCAATGTCTCTGGTCCCCAAAATTCATTGGGCTTTAAAGCTCCAGGAACAACGTTCAAGGAACCGCCGGGCCCCAAATGAGAAGTATTCGCGAGGAAGAAAACTTCCGACGATATCATTCATCATCACACGGTCTGATCTTCTGGCGGCAACAAAGGATCAGGTAGACTCGAAGATGGAGTACATCCGCACAGAGCTCCGAGCAGCCCTTGGACGGTCAGGGAGAGAGGCCCGCTTGGGTAACGTGCACATGATCAGTGCCCACCGCGGCTGGTGGACGAAAGAGGTCAAAGAGGAGATTCGTGAGCATGGTGGCGGTATCTGGGTCGTTGGCAAAGCCAACGTTGGAAAGAGCAGTTTCATCGAGGCCTGCTTCCCGAAGGATTCCAAGAACCTGGCCAAGATCGAGGAGTGGATGGAGCGCCGCGAAAAGAACGAACGCCCCCGGCAGCCACCTACGCCTGAATCTGATGGCTTGCTACCCCCTGCCCCTCCCGAAGAACTCTATCCTGTGCTCCCAGTTGTGTCTTCCCTGCCCGGGACCACAGTCTCGCCTATCCGAATTCCCTTTGGTCGCGGCAGAGGTGAGGTCATCGATCTGCCAGGACTGGAGCGCGGTCTGCTCGAGGACTTCGTTAAGGACGAACACAAGCGAGACTTGATCATGACCAAACGAGTCAAGCCTGAGCGCACTACCGTTAAACCGGGACAGTCCCTCTTGCTCGGTGGTGGGCTCATTCGGATCACCCCCGTGAATCCAGAGGATACGCTCATGTCAGCTAGTTTCTTGCCTCTCGAGGGTCACATCACCAACACGCAAAAGGCTATAGAGATACAGGCCGAGGAGCAGCCTTATCGGGGAACTGTGATCATGAAAGAGGGCGTTGGGAAGGAGATTGCCTCGGCGGGCAAATTTGATCTGAGGTGGGATACCACCACCTCGAACCTGCCCACATCGCTTGCCAAGGCAATCAGAGACAAGGGCATTCCCGTGCCTCAAATGCCATACAAAGTCATGTCGGCCGACATTCTCGTCGAAGGCTGTGGATGGATCGAGCTCAGCATCCAAGTCCGCAACAGACGGGGCGAGGAGGAGCTTTCGTATCCGCAGGTGGAGGTCTTCAGTCCCCAGGGCCAACACGTTGGCTCCCGACCTCCGATCGAATGTTGGACTTTTATTGCACACAAAGAGAAGCTCGACAAGCGCAAGCGTGTGCGGATGCGTCCGAGATACTCCAAGTAATTTAGACTACTTTTAACCATGTACATTAGGCTCAGCATAGCTTGGCGTTTGCTCTTATACAATTCATCGCCACGGGAAAGAACTCCTAAATTTAATCACCTCTCTGTCAATCTTACTCGGCTCTTGGGGGCTAGCTTCATACTGGTCCGGGTGAGTTGACCTTCTCAGTTTAGTTAGTCCTCTCTGGTCCATCTGGGCACCTGGGCAGAGTCGTACATTTCCTAATCGGGAGGTAAGCCCTACCACGTGATTCTCGTTGGTGCCTGTAGATCATGGCATCAACCGTTAACCGTGGAATCTCCAGGGCTTCGACGATCTCTCTAGTCATGACTAGCACTTATGTATCTCACTACTTCTGGGGCGAACAGCTCTATATGACAGGCGTATAGAATGCAATTTCATCCTGAACACGTCAACACAGTATTCTGCTCATTCCCCCTCACCCTGGGGGTCCCCACAAGTGGGGCATGGACTTAGTCTATTTCGCTTTGCTTCTTATTTCCGATGTTCTTTTGTAGCTTAATTGCATGTTGCTTCGAATCTGACTCAACTCCGGCAATTGACGCAAATCATACAACTCGCTACCATGCTCTCTGCGCGAGGACTTAAAAACGTCAATGAGCTAGATAAGCCATGGCGGTTTGCTCTCACTCAGACATATGACCCAGAAACAAACCCAACGGGGCTGATATCTTTTGGATTGGCTGAGAATGTGAGTGTCTCCCTCATCTATTCCAATTGACTTGCTGACTTTGGCGAGAAACCTATGAAATCGGAAATGGCCAGATATATAAATGAGCAGGTACATGTCTATTCCTCCCGAGGTCAATTGCATCCCCTTGTCCCAAGTCCTTCGGTGGATGAACTTCCACCGGTGACGGGCTCTAATAATCGCCTTTACACAGGTTATTTTCACACAAGACTCCATCAGCTACCGCTCAAGCGCACCAACAGCAGCAAGGCTACCGGTAGCTGCAGCAGTTCATTTGAACGACATTCTTGCGCCGCATATCCCCATAAACTCGGACCAAATAGTCGTCGCAGACTCTCCAACCTCCCTAGGAAACATGCTCGGATACAGCCTGGCAGAGCAGGGCGACGGAATACTCGTCAATCGACCCGTGTACGGCCGCTTTGAACTCGACTATGGAGTCGAAGCGGGCGTCGAGATGGTGTATGCTGACACTGACATAGAGGAAGCGTTCCTCCCCGCATCAGTGGAGAAGTATGAACTTGCTTTAGCTGGTGCAAAGGAAAAAGGCATGAATATTCGTGCGGTATTGCTTGTCAATCCGCACAATCCTGTTGGTGAGTGAACCTTGGTACTTAAAACATATGGTGAGTTGGATGATACTAAGCGAGCAGGTCGTTGTTATCCAATTGAGACACTCGAGGCGATCGCCAAATTCTGCGGCAAGCATTCCCTTCACTTGATCAGCGATGAGGTATATGCCTCCTGTGTCTTTGGCACAGGTGATTCCGAAGCTGTCCCATTTACCTCAATCCTCTCGCTGGATCTGTCAAAATTGATAAATCCTGAATTGGTCCATGTATTGTATGGATTCAGCAAGGTATGTGGGCCCAAAAGAGCCACCGGAATCTGAATTGACATGTTCCTTGCAGGACTTTGCTTCGGGGGGTCTTCATCTTGGTTTTCTAGTGACGGAGAACCAACCACTTCGGCGTGCTTGTAAAGCAGTCTTGTAAGACCCTTGGAGTTACCCTCAAGCAAACTATGGCACAGACTAACATCGATCAGGAGACTCCATGGTGCATCCCAAGCAGCTGTGACGATCGGTACCACTGTCTTGGAAGATCGAATCTTCGTCTCGAACTTTGTAGCCAAAGCGCGACAGAGTCTTGCATCAGGATACCGGCTCACAACATCTATTTTGGAAAAAGAAGGGATCAGGTTCATCAAAGGGTGAGTACCAAAACCCGGGAAGCACTCGATACATGTTCGATTTAACTAATCCCATAAGAAATGCCGGGTTCTTCGTGTACGTTGATTTATCGCCGTATCTTCCTTCCGGGGATCTTTCGCCCAAAGAGCGAGAGTTCAGTCTTGCGCAGAGGATTCTCGATGCTGGTGTATTTTTGCACCCTGGCGAGGAGCACTCGAAGGATGTCGGGTGGTTTCGGCTGGTCTTTTCGCAGGAGGAAGTGATTCTGAAGGAAGGGCTGAGGAGGTGAGTTTCAGTATGGTGATTTGAAGTGCTTAGCTGATTCTGTCTCCTTTTATTAGATTGATCGGTGCTCTGAAGACAGCATGAATCAACAATTGGGGCAAATGCTAGGTTTAGACTATAGCTCATGTCCGGCTGGTTTTATATTATAAGGTTAAGAGACGCGATGACAAAAAGTTGCTGTGACCGGCGGACCGGTAAATCGCCTCAGGTTACTGTTTACGTAGATGCATCGACTCATTACCTAGGTAGCATTACCAGGTAAACCTTGGAATGATGAGCGATTTAGATGAAGTTAGACAAGCAGTCTAAAGATTTCAGTGCCAATTCTACAGGCCTTGCTCATTCTTTATGTAATAACATCTTGTATTTTCGCATCAATTCATAAAGCATGAATCTTAAACCTCAAGGGCTAAACCTGTATTTTTCAAAGTGATATCAAAAGCCATGGCTATCTACTCGACGTTGGTGAACTGGAATGAGGGCTGACCGGGAACTGCGTTCTCAGCGGACAGACCCTCACGCTTCTCGCCAGTACCAAGGACATCACCAGTCTTGCCACCCTCATCGACAGCAATGACATCAATTTCCTTGAAACCAGCAGTGCGCTTGAGGCCAGTGACCATCTCGGCGACAACGGAGAACTCGTCGAAGGGAAGCTTGCGCTCGAAGACGTTCTCGGGGGTCTCGCCACCATTGACCAGACGACGCTTAAGGGTCTGGACGAAGGGCATCGCCTTCTTCATCTCGCCGAGCTTGCCGACCTTGGAGTTGAGCTCCTTGTCATTGAAGGAGACGCTCAGCGAGTCGAAAGCCTCACGAACCAGGTCGATGTACTTCTCCTGCCAAGCGGGGAACTTCTTGGCAACGAAGATAGTGAGCTTCTTGGGCTTGCGGGGGTCAAAGCCGGAAGACTTGCCCTTGGAGAGCTTCTTGGCGAAGTTGGCCTCTGAGCTCATGATGTTGCTGGCGGTGCCGCGGACGTAGTTTTGAGCAGCGGTCAGCTCGGCAGAAGGCTCGGGCACGACAGGGAACTGAGCGTGGTGAATAGACTCGGTCTTCTTGAGGACCTCGAGCCAGATGTACTCAGCCCAGTGAGGGATGATGGGAGACAGAACGAGGGCTTGGAGCTCGATGTAGCGCAAGACGACGTCACGGTGCATGCCAACACCGGCAGAGGTGGCGGCTTCACGGTAGCTGTCACGAGCACTGGTGAAGTCGTACAGACCAGACTTAAGGGCAAGCTTGAAGTCGGTGTCTTGGTAGTGCTTCTGGGTCTCACGAACCAGGCTGCTAAGCTCGTTGTTGAAGAGCTTGTCAGCGAAGGCATCGGCAGGGCCGGTACGAAGAGTCTCATCCTTGGCGACCTCCTCGATCCACTCCTTAAGAGTGAAGAGACGCAGAATGTTGCTGTTGGCAACACTCTCCTCGAAGTTGGCATCTTCAATGCTGTCACCAGCATCGGCAAATGCAATTCGGGTAGCGTCGGCACCGAACTTCTCAATAGAGTCCTTCAGGGTCAAGAAGTTACCGGTACTCTTACTCATCTTCTCGCCGTTGAGGAGCAAGTGACCGTTGGCACGGACACCACGGGGCCAGTACTCCTTGGGGAACAGAGCAACGTGGATGTAGAGGAAGAAGGTCAAGTGGTTTTGAATAAGATCCTTGCCGGAAACACGGACATCCAGGGGGTACCAGTATTCGAACTCACGGCGCATCTTCTGCAGAGCGTCCTTGCTGATACCGGTCTTGGAGATGAGATCATCACTGATCTCCCGACGGGTGAAGATGTAGTCCCAGACTTCATCGGTCATTTGCTCCGCAGTCACGTTAAGAGGACCGGTGGTCTTGCCGTAGCGGTCGCCGTGCAAGAGATGGGCAATTGTGTAGTAGGCCATGTAGACGGTACTGTCGGAAAGACTCTCGACAAGGAATTGCTTATCCCAGGGAAGTTGCGATCCCAGACCGTATGTTCGGGCACAAGCCCAACGGTTCAGCCACGACAGGTTCTTCTCGAATCCGTTCTTGCACTCAGCAGAGTAGGTGTTGAGGTTGTTGACAACGTGGTTGAGGGTCTCAGATTGCCACTCGGCATCGTTTTCACCGTAGTTCAGGAACCACTGGCCCAAGTAGGCAACGACACAGTCGTCACCGCTACGGCTGACAACCTTGCCCATAGGGTCTGCGAAGGGGAAAGCATCGCCGCTAGCGTAGAGTGCCTGGCGAACCTTGTCCTTGGCTTCGCTGACAGCCTCGCCCTTGAAGTCGCCAACGAGCATAGTGCCCTTGTAGAAGCCCTCGGAGTAGGCAAGCTCCTTAGCCTTGGCCAGGGGAACAGCGTCCTTGGGGGAGTTGATCTTCAGCTCCTTGACCAAAGCAGGGGCAGTGAGATTTCCATAATTGGGGGTATCAATGAGGGGGAAGATTTCCAGCTCGGCCCATTCCTTCTTGATACCGTAGTAATCGGCCTTCTTGGCCAAATCCATCAGAGTGGCGTAGTCGTCAGGGCTGTCGGAGGGAACCGAAGTGACAACACCGGTACCCTTAGAAGCCGAGACGGTCTCCATGGGCAGGATACGAATACCCTCAGTGTGGAAAGACAGGGGAGCGTTGACCAGGGTTCCTACAAAGGCAGAACCTGGGGCCTCGAGAACCTGGGGAAGTTCGTCCTGGTTCTTGGCGAACTTGTCACCGAAGAAGTGGCCCTGGAAAGCCATGTTCCAGGCAGCACGCTTGGTAACAACGATGTACTCCTTGTCACTGAGTTTGAACAGACCGTAGTTGATCTTAGGACCAACGAAACAGCTGGTCTGGCCGTACATGGTCTCAGGACGGAGAGTAGCAGGAACGAAGTAGACCTTGGCATCGTCCTCAATCTTACCCTTCACAAGCTCGGTCAACTGAGGAGACCATTCCTTAACCTGGAGCTTGATGGCAGAGTATTCCTGGGGACCAATGCCTTCACCTTCAGTGCGGTCGTGGTCCATACAGGGCTGACCATCCTTGGGAGAATAGATGGTGTAACGGCTGCCGTATTGAATCTTACCGAGCTCGTAGAGGCGGTTCATCTGCCAGCGCACGAAAGCATCGTAGTATGGGTTAGCGTCAGTGGTGACGAATTGACGGCGCCAATCGACGCGGGCACCCATGCTGTCGAGATCACGGATGGCAAGAGGGGGGAAGTGATCCAGCCAGTGGGCGGCATCGGCGAACTTGTGAATGTTCTCAAGAGGAACACCAATTGCCAGCATGATCTGGAACTGGTACTTCATCTTGACGGTCTTGGCAGCGGCCTTGCTCTTCTTGCCCGAGAACTTCTCGGCTTGGGCGTTCACCTGCTGAGTAGGGGCAGGGACGGGCTCCTGGACAGCCTCTTCCTCCTCCTTATATCCCTCGAAGTTTTGACCGAACATCTTGACTTCGTTGGCGAGCTTATCGGCGCAGGCCTTGATAGGCATACCGGTGCAGTGGAAGCCCAGAGGGAACAGGGCGCGTTTGCCTTCCATGCAGGCGAAACCAGCCATGAACTCAACCTTACTAGCAGTGAAACTGTGTCCGGCATGCAGGGTACCGTTCATGTAAGGGTAGGCCATGGTACCGAAGAACTTGGGGTACTTCTCGCGGAGCTCGGCGGGGGTCATGGAGCCCTGGGGGGCTTCCTCGAAAGAGGGCGCATCGACTTCGAAGACCTTGTCGGCCTTCCATTGTGCCTGATACTTCTTCTCGATCGAAATCAGGGTGTCTCGCTTCTCGGTCTGTCGGACAAAATGTCAGTCAACAAGAGAAAATGATGGCGGGGGAGGGGCAGATTCACGTTTTCGAGCTTGAGGGTGTTCTTCGAGCCATTGCTCGGGTCAAGTTCTGCGGATGCAGCGGCAGCGGCCATGTTGTCTGATTGTCAGAACTGGCCTGTAATTCCCTTGAAGAGAGGGGAGCAAAAGAATCGCGGGGCGAGATATAAAATGAGTTTGTTCAGTTTGTGAGTCAAGTAATACCGCTGTATTGTATTTTACTACGCTCCACAGGTGCCCATGTTGTTGACAGATCCTGGTATTTGATGTATTCAAAAGGTTAGGAGAGGTTTCGCTAGACTAGTTTCATTTAAGAAGAAGCCAATTGAAATTCTGAAATTATTTTATGCCAATTATCACGCTGAATATCGGCGATGAATGATCAGAAGTGCCAGGACATCCGCTATCATTCTATAGATATGCACGTGACCCCTATCACGGAGCAACTTCTTCGCGGACAAGCGCATCTGCGACAAATTTCCCCGATCAACAAAGTTGCAGTCCAAAGCTCATCCAACAAGCCAACGAGCAATTGACGTCTTGGGTCGATTCTGATTGCCCGTCACAGCCCGATACTCAATCTTCTGTCGCCGAAGGGCCAAGTCCTAGGCGGAACAGCCCTTCACCATGGTCAACTTGTTCAAGCGGCTTCGCAAGCTGCAAACTGTAAGTCCAGGTTCCCCGGACATGCCATTGGGCGTTTTCCTCATGCAATTTGGTCTTGATTAACTAATTGGATCTTGTCTATCAATAGAGAGTAAGCCGAAAATCCATTCCCTTATATCTCCGGCCTCGAACCTCCGCAGTCAACTTCAATCTGTCTTCCGGAACTACGGCGCCGCTCTCAAGCACTTCAACTAACTGCCCCCTCTAGATTCTTCAGACAAAGGTCGGCACCGGTGCCGCCATCTTCCCCAGCGTCGCGTCCGCAACAAAAGAATTCCCGGCCGTTACCCGACTCCACCTCACATATGCTCGCAAGATCGACAATGGTCACATGGGCGCACGGCATTTCTGGCGTAATTGCCTTCCACGACTGAAGTACCACAACCCCGGTGTGGGAATGACAGTAAAACAGACCGATGACCAGGCCGGTCCCGCAGCATTGACAATCTACTTTGCCGCTGAACAGGCCGGTAAAGCCGCCATTGCTCTGGCCAACGAACGCAAGGTCACCGACTCTCTAGCACCTGCCCCCGAGGCCAGTGAGCAGTCGGTAGTTCTTGATCTGAGGAACTACACACACAAGCAGATCTGGGATCGTGTGCAGCTCATGACGGACGCGAAGGCGGTCAACCCCACTGGTGAGGATGTGGCGATGCAGCAGAAGTTGGACGCCATTACCAAGAGGTCCGGTCCGGATCGCGAGCGTGTGAAGTCTATCCGCCAGGCCAAGGCAGACCAGGAGCGTATGCTTGCTATGGCTCGGGGTGAGGTGGAGAAGGTTTAAGCACCTTTCACCTGATAGTGTGTTGTCTGGTTCTGGTGTTGTCTGGGAGTCGATTGATCGATCCATCTGGTCCCTTTAACCGAGGGACCGGCTGTCTGTAGCATAGCATCTTCCTTTGTCTTATGACTATGTATTTTTGGAAAATAAATTTAATGCGCGCATCCCATTCTGGACTTATCTACCTATGTGCCCAGGTGGACAATAAGTGCCGGAGAAAAGTAGGACGCACCTGCGCAGCCACGTAGAGATCGGATGGTATTAAAGATGCAAGCCGCTAGTTTATAGCGACCTTGAAACTCCGAGATATGCCCATAAAAACATGAACGCTGTCAGGCGGATGGTCGGAGATAGAAATCACCTCAGGTACATACATATGTTGCAAGTCAGAACGTCGAAAAAGGGCAAACCGATTTTAGAACACGATTTACATGACCTGTGAATTGTTAGCAACTTGGAAGGAATTCAACGGCCCTAGAAAGTGGAAACATACCTCAGCAATAGATTGCCGCTCAATGATCGACTTCTGTCTCTCATTGCGCGAAACGCGGTAATAATAATCACTGAAGTCACCACACTGCATGTGCCGCAGGAACTCTTCGTCGTGGGTAATGACAATCAGCTGGAAATTGGACTGTTGCTGGCGAGAACGAATAATATCATGCAGCGATACAGCCAAGGAGCGAATGTTGTCTCGGTCCAAATTCGTAGTGGGTTCATCGAGGGCAATCAGACCGCAGTTCACGCCGAAACACTCCGCAAGGGCAAGTCGAATGATGATACTGGCCAGTACCTTCTGACCAGCACTGCAACGCCCACGCATATCCATCTCCGCGCCAGACTTGACCATGCAAACGCGATAGTTGTAAGACCGGTTACCCTTGGCATTCTCATTATCAGACCGAATGAGGATAGTGTCGACGTCTGTTCCACGATAGGTCTTTTGCCAGAGTTCGCCGACAATGGCATTGATCTCTTCCATTTTAAGACCGTGATATTGCATGATGGCTTTGTCAAGTGCACCACCGTACCGGGCGAGATCATCAACAGCTGCCTTGGTGGTCTCGACTTTGATGTGACACTCCTTGTATTTCGAGGCAGCATCTTTGTAGTCTGTGTTCCAGTCCGCCAGTAACTGCATCAGCTGGTCATCCTTGGACTTCATTTCACCCATTTTGCTAGCTTGTTTGGCAGCTAGGGCATTGTGTTCGCGGGTCCAGCGTTCTGACTCTTGCTTGAATCGGCCACGGTCAACTTCGGCGTTTTGTGCTTCGAGTTGCTCAACTTCTTCCTCAACTGTGTGGAGGGATCGAGTAGCTTGACGATACGTCAGATTGTCGGAGTACTGCCTCTTCGTGTTCTCGCTGTCCTTCAGCTGGGCCGAGATTTTGTTGATATCTCTTGTGATCTCGCCTTGTTCGGACTCGAGTGTCTCGATTTCTTCTTCAATATGTTGCAGCTCAGACTTGCTTCGTTCAAGCTGATCCGGGCCGCCTCGCTCGTTGTACGAGTTGATATCCTCGTTGGCAAGGTCGAGTTGGTGAATGCTCTCAGAGAGGCGGGTAATCTCATGCTGCAGATCTCGTTCACGCTCATCGGTTCGCTGGCTGATCTCATCGTAGCGGGCTTGGGCTTGGAGTAAGCCTGGGGTAAGAGCCTCAATATCGTGATCGGCCTTTTCAATTGCCTCTCGCTGCTGTGCATTCAGGGTTTTGAATTCTTCCATTCGAACAATCAAATCGGCCTTCTTTTCTAGTTGGAATTTGGCATTATCCAAGTTGCTCTTCGCATCCCTGAACTTCAGCTCAAGATCGTTGATTTCGGCGCGGGTCTTGTCTTTCTCATTCGTCACCTTGGTGACAGCCTTCTTCAAAGCCCGGGACTTTTCGTTGATGGCAGCAATTTCCTCTTGGATATCCTCCAGGGTGCGAGTGGCATTCACATCTTGTTGATTTGCAGAAAGCTCTTCGATTTGAGATTTGATTGTCTTGATCTCGGTATCATACCGCACGATGGTGCTGACCGTCTTCGACAGTGCTTCGACCTCGCGCTTGCTCTCAATCTTCTCGGTAACTTTTCCATCGCGGATCTCTAGCTTTTCCAAAAGCTGATCACGCTGTGATTCACACTCTTGCTCCTCTTGCTCCAGTTCTGGGATATCGGTCTTTGACAACCGAACCCAAGAATCATAAGAGGTGCCGGCTTCACGGGCAGCTTGGAACTCTTCTTCGAATCTCTTCAAGTCAGCCTCAGCCTCGGAATCAAGACTGGCTTTCTTGATGAGGGCGTTCAGCTTTTTCGTGAAGGTTTGAACCTCTGCCTCGTTCTTGAAAGCTCGTGCACATGTTCGGCACTTCTTGGTTTGTTCGGCAGCGTTCACACACATGGTGAAGTACTCTCCCATTCCGGCATACTGATCAGCATCCTTGCGAGCAGCCTCGTAATTTTCCTGACGTTCCTTGAGCTTTTCTGGATAGTTTGCGGGCTCTGATTCCACTGCATCGTGGATTTCCTTGGCGCATTCGTCGAGTTCCTTTTGGCGTTGTTTGAGATTCTTCGCGGCAGTCTTGAGCTTGAACTCAACTTGCTCTAACTCTCGACTCACGCTATCGCGTTCTCGTTCCGCATCAGTGACATTCCTCGTTTCACCATCAAGCGCCTGCTGGAAACCTCGCTCCAATGTTTCGGGCTGCCAACCCGAACCAACAACCTTCTCGAGACGATCCCCATGGGCTCCTTGCATCGTTTGTAGGCTGCGCTCGCGGTCTTTGAATTCTTTTTTGAGGTGATCAAGACGAGCCAGCTCACCGGCCTTCTTGGTCGAGTCAATCAACTCGGAATTTAGCCGTGAGCTCTCATCCTCAAGGCGGCGGATTTCCACATTAGTGTCCTGGATTTCTTTATCCCACGAAGCGTTCTTGGCTCGCTCTTTCGCGTGGTCTAGACCAGACATGATATCTTCAACCTTTGACTCAAGCGCTGCCTGCACACCTTCATCGACATCGATGCCATTGAGTTTGCCCTGGTAGCCCGATGCCTCCTTGTCATTTGCAGCGATCTGTCGCTTTGCCGCGTTCTTGCTTTCTTGGAGTGCAGACTTTGTTTGGCCAATCTCATTTAATGTCTGCTGGACTTCGCGGAGTTCCTTCTGAGCTTCACGCTTCACACGATCGAGGGACTGATTTTGTTCTTTCAGGAGGCGTCTAATCTTTTGCATGAACGTGTCTACAGCATTCTGGTCCATACTGTCGTCAAGCCCGCGAATGCTGTTTGCATGTCCAATTTCATTGATCATCTTCTGGCGTCTTTCAGACTGGCGCTCGAAGTTGGCTTTGTCGTTCTCGAATTTTCCATTCTCTGCCTGCTTCAGACCGAGACGGTGGCGGGCCTGTTCGATCTTTTCTTTCAACTCCATATAGTTTTCTTTTTGGGATTCTTCTTGCTGTTGATATTGGATTTGTTTTGTTTCGAACTGTTCCAAGGTAGATTCGAGCCACTCATCAGAGTCTTCAAGCTCAACCAAGTGTCTCTTAAGGTTGTCAATAGTAGTCTGGATACTTTTGGCTTCAATCCGCTTGCCTTCTAGGGCACCGAGGACCTGGGCATAGCTTTCTGATTGCGTCCAGGCTTTATCAGCAAGGTCTGCGACTCGCCGCATCTCTTTCGACATTTGCTGTGTCTCCTCGCGTAGCGCCTCGATCTCATCTTGAAGCTTGATGGAACGCTTCTCGGCACGATCCGCCTTGTCTTTGTCCTCCTTTGCATGCTGCTCCATGATCTTGAATTTTCCAAGGTCCTCGTTTTGCTTCTTTCGAAGAGCCTTGATATTGTCAATGGCCTTGGTGTACTTCATGGCCTCGAATATCTCGTCGAATCTCTTCTTCAACACAGATGGCTCACTCATTGGCCACAGACTTTCGTCCTGGTGACAGAAGATAACTGAGTCTAGGACAGCCTTGGAGACACCCAGGTACTGCGGCATGATCTGATCCAGCTCCGCTACCCTCGAAGAAATCGCTGTGCGTTCACCATTCTTTACCATGAGTAGCTGTCCTTCCAGGGTCTTTTGCTGCCTCGTAGTCTTTTTGACCGTGAGTTGCAAGCTGCGGGTTGCGACCATTTTCGCACCGGAGGTAGCTTTGAATGATAGCTTCACCTGGGCCAGTACCTCCTTCTCGCCACATAGTTTGGGGTCGTGAATGAACGCTCCGCCTTTACTATTTGGAGGCAGGTCACCGGTCGTGGCATATTTGAGACATTCGATGATCGTCTAGGCCCGCGTCAGTCTCCCACAAGCTATTCGTGCTGCCCTGTCGGCCAATTCATCGTTGCCTACCGTCTTCCCCGAGCCATTGTATCCGACAATCAGTGTGAGCGGTGTGTGAAACTGGATCGTTTCGCTGCGTGTGTTATCGAAGGAGCGAACTCTAGAGGTTGGCGTAATTAGCAGGTGGATACACCCCGCGGTGGTTGCACCGGGTTAATGGTGTGTCTGCACATACCCCAGGATGGAGAGCTTGTCGATCTTCGCTGCGATGTATCAGAGGACCGGATCTCTTCATTTTCCTGCCGAGAAGTCTATAGAACTTACACCTTATCAATTAATACCGTGACGCGAGCTTCGGGGAATGAACGCTTACATTGTGAACAAAAGTTCGTGTGCGGTCGAACCCCTTCAGCTCAGGGAAGAATCAATAGCATCTAGTCAAGTGATTGCAGGAGAAGGCGAAAACGGACTTATTATAGAGAGGTGAGCCATCACATTTATTACCCGCGTCGAAGGCAACACGAAATCACGTGTCGGAGGCCAAGACCCACATAGATCGGCGTCGCTGTCAATCAGCGATGGCCGGGTCTTATTTCCATCATTTCTCTCTCTCCAAGGAGATCGGGTAATGTGTGCCTCTTAAGTGGCACACCGTACATATACCGCTCAAATCCACCTGATTCCCCGTTAACCGCGTTGCAACACTCGCGAACATCCGTGTCGCAACCCTCATACATATACACCCTACTCCATATCTGATGCGGGCATCTTAGGGGCTGCTCTTTAATACCCTACGAACCCCCAATTCGAAAGCGCACAAGGCTCGCCAAACGAAATTGTAATTGCCTTGATCACGACCCCAAACACCGCTCTCCATATGGCTCTGAGCCGTCCGCAGGCCTACGAGGGCATGTCCCTTCCCGTGTCGCAGATGCGATCGAGCGCCAACGACGGACATCCAATATACGCAATGGACCAGCAGCAACTGCCTGGATCCTACGGTGGGCACTATGGTATGCAGGTCGCCCAGCACAATGAATACCAGGGCATGCCCGCTGAGTCTGGCTGGACGGAGCGAGTCCTCGATGAAATGAAGGACATGCTAGTCCTGCTCACACCCCAGGGTCGGATTACCTATGCCACCCCGTCGTGTAAGAACCTCACCGGTCGTGGCGCGAAGCAATTAGAGGGAAGCCTCTTGGCACAATACGTCCACGAGGACGACCAGGCAATTTTCCGGAAAGACTTGGACGAGTCGGTCGCTGCGAACCAATCTTTCCGGACTCACCTTCGATTCCAAAAGACCAACGGCACGTACTGCCTCATGGAGGCCTACGGACATCCCCACCTCGCAAGCCAGAACGGATCCCCGCCCGGACAAAGCACAGTCAGGGGGCGCTGCACCGGGTTTTTCCTGATATGCCGACCGTACCCTAACAAGATCTCACAGCTTCTCGACTCTTTTCTAGAACACAAGATCGAGAACGCACGTTTGATCCAACAGATCGCTAAACTAAAGCAAGAGGAAGACGAAGAGGCCAGCGCAGCTCGGGCGCCCTACTCTCGAGTCGACGAAACCTCCGGGCTTCATGGCGGATCTGGATCTTCACAGTCTGCGCCTTCGGGGGCCGGATCTAGCGATCAAGAATCCCATTCACCGGACACGATAGGTGCGAACTCTGACGAGTCAGACACGAATCAATCGGGCCCCGGGGAGTCCTATCCAGAGCCACCTGGCGAGACCTACACACACATCGACGGGATCGAAGTTATGACCGGACTCTACTATGGCGATGGTGAAAGATCGCAAGGACTTAGTACGGGCGGCAACCGCGGACGACTGGTGCATTGTGATATCGATATCACGACGGCGGCGGACCAAGAGCGCAATGCACAGGAAGGCGACCGACGCAAGCGCCTCAAGGGCCAGCATGTCTGTGGCGACTGTGGAACGGCAGACTCGCCTGAATGGCGGAAGGGCCCGAATGGGCCTAAGACTCTGTGTAACGCATGTGGCTGTAAGTGTCCCGTTATCCCCGCTCCAATCCTGCGGATTTTCGTACAGGTCGAGTCTTGGCACTGACTATTTCTTTTCTAGTGCGTTGGTCCAAGAAGGAAAAGAAGCGTCAGGAGTCGGCTTGAACAGGCCCTTTTTGGAAGATTCCCTAACGAGTTTCTTTTGCTTGTTCTCATTTTTCTTTTGGTGCTTTTGTGATTTCCCGCCCAAGATACCCCTTCAATGTTGGGTCTTTAATGCGCTGGCATTGCTCCCCGTCGGTTGGGGAGCGTCTCTCCATTTCCTGGTGTTTGGCTTTCGAGCGATTCTGCCCCATGTGATCTTGAGCATGGGTGATGATATCACGCCCTGCGACTTCTCTTTCTTCCATCCAGTGTAAATAGTTGGGCTATTCCCGAATCGCCCTGGCCTATGCAACCATCGTGTAATTATGCTCGGGATCTATTCTTCCTTTGATATATCATAACTTTCATTTGGGAATTGATACGGAACACATTCTCCAAAAAAAAAGCAAAGACACATATGTCGGCACAAAACAAAAGTCCAACGCCGGAGATGCTGGTATGTACCCAGGACAATGGGTATTGGGGTGACCGTGGTATTCGACATGGAAGCCCTGCAACAAGGGAACCTTCGAGCTCAAACTCCATTTTTGCCCTATTAAATAATGAACGTGTAATATATGGGTAGGGATATATGGTATCACAGAAAACAACAAAAAAAACATGAACGAAAAAAGCAATACATCCCCGGGGCCGAATCAGGTCCTCGCAGCCTTCTTAGGAGGTGGTGGGAAATACATGGGTGATGTCGCGCTCTCTGGGCTCACCTCTTGGGACTGCGGTGACGGATATTGGGTCTGGGGAGAGCGGTTGTCTCGCAGTGGTAAGTCAGAGGCGGTGCTACCATTTCCAAGTCGGTTGAAGGCCAGGGTGCGCGGAGCGAAAGGTGAAATGCCTCCTCCGACGGCCATCGGTGGGATTCCGGGCGTACGAGGTACCATTCCTGGGCCCGGTGGCATTGAACCGGGAGTCATGGGAATCATGCCGGGGGACTTGATGATCTCCTCCTCGAATTCCTTCTCAATCCGGCGTTCTTCCCTCTGCTCGAGGATTTCGTCGCGCTCTTCGGGTGTGATGAAGCAGGAGTGGATGGTGAAGCCGAGGATCACTGCGTAATGGATACTTTGATCTGTTAGTTGTTGATTCCCGTAGAGTATACCAAGATGAGGACCATCAATTGGAGGGCAACGAACATGAGGATTATTGTCACGGCAAACAAGGCTTTAGCTTGCATGCAGTATGGGATGTTTGATTTACGATAGGCAACACTGCAGCTTTTGGTGATGTACCATGGTGCGCCAGGTTGTGAGTGCCGGGGATCTGATGTGTCGGAGCCACCTTGGTAAATGGCCGACACAAGATATAGGATGAATAGGGAGGCGTGAACACCGACAGCGACAGGAGGGTAGAACAGGTGCATCCAATGGACAGGTAGCTTGGTGATCAAGAAGAAGGTGCTCAGAACGCCAAGCACGAGGTTGTAGCTGGTGATACTGTCTGGGTCAGCATTACGCTCACGGCATGGACAAGAAAGATATCATACAATGAAGACCAGACCATGGGCGCGGTGAACGGTCTGTAGTTTGCTGCCGCATATAAAGCCTCATTGGGGGCACTATTAAACCCGTTGTCTGCGCCATCCTGCCATAATAATGTCCGGTACAGATTGTGTGAGGCGATACCCGTGAGCGTCAGCATCACGATGGTGATCGGAAATTCACCAGCCATCAACCACAGGACGATCCTGTGGTTTCTGTGCTTCTTGGGGAAGAAGAAATGCATGGTCAGAAGGCAGTGAGATGCTCGCAGCGAGGCCCACGGTGTTTTCAAGGCCGGGCGGCTAATCAGTTAAAGGGCTCGGAGAGAGACGGCCGGGTACAATGCGACTAAGCCAGACCGGCTGGCTTGGACATGCAGTCACTCAGAGAGCAAGGAACTCAACGTGGAAAAAGAGGGAGAGAAAACTCAGAACGCAAGTCTGGGCGATCTGGAGGACGAGCGTTAGATATGAGCTCGAGGCCAACCAAGCGGTCGCAGGCACGATCCATGGCATGCAGAGGAGCACGAATCAGCATGTGGTGACTGTGCAGAGGACCTCGAAGTGTGTCCCGGAGGTGCATCTGGCCAATGCTTGACGGCGGCAAGCGCCAGTGCAAGTAACAACCCGGGGCCATCACACCAATGATATCGCGGGGATCCAGGGTTGGCTGTTGGCCGTCACACGCTAAGCTGTGATGGGGTGGTCGATCTGCACCAGCAGTCCTCATCACAGAGTTCCCCTCTTGGATCCCTTGGCGCTCACCACTAGGAGCTCGCAGTTCTGAGCGCCTAGCGAAACGCTCACCATTAGTGATGGGAGTTACTGTGACTTTGGATACAGGAATCACCCATGTACACCCTTGTCCAGAGCCAAAGCACTGTTGCTTCAAGGTGGAGTCTTGAGTCAAATTTCTTTGAGCACACCTGGAATGCAGTGGATGGAGTATGGAGTACTCCGTAGAATGAGAAGAGACCTCGGGAAGTTTTGAGGCATTGCCTCACCGACTTCCAAGGCTCGCCAAGTTTCGATGTTAATTAACACTATTCCTTGTGTGTGGTGCGATTCTTTCCAGCAAGTGTACTTTGTGTACGGAGCACGGAGTGCGAAATAGCCAGGGGATATGACCGAACTATACTGGGCCGTTCGCTTCTTAGACACATCCAAGGCGGCCTAGTATGCTGCAACATTTTAGCTGCTGATTCAAACATGATATGCATTTTGGACCTGGTGATATACGCTGCGCAGTCTTCCAACCTTGGAAGTTGCCTACTGTCATGTTGCTCGGGTCGGTGGAAAGGGTCTCTACGATCAGAAATGATGCTATTCCCACTCGACATAGTACTAGCCCCTTGCTCCATACAACCAATTATCGAGCCCATCGGGTGATGCCAGCCAACATATGAGTACCAGAGATCGGGGCCAGAAGTATTAGAGCTTCTGATCATTTAATTTCCTTCGGGCTGAAGTGATGAACACAGTTGGGGGAAGTTATGTCTGCCCAGGTGGCATGTCTTATGACGTGAGCTTCGGGTAACGCTGTCATTAACTCCTGGACTGCCACACCGAATGAAGTTGCAAATAAATTTCACTTAGATCAAATATCGAATATCACACACTCTTGACATGAACATTGGTATCAAGAGGCTGTCAAGTATTGGAGGGCGATGGCAGTCTCGATTGCATGGTCAACGACAATTCCCCGCATCCACCTCGCTATACCCAAATCTCCATCCAACGGCATCTCGAGCTTCGCAAATAGCCCAAATGAGCTCCAAAAGAGAGGATTCAATTTCACACGAGCTCCGCACAGCTGCAGAGCCCCGCCAGAACAGGCGCCATCCAGTGCAGCTATCGCATGTTGAGCAGATCAACCCCTCGGTTCGGCTCTTGCACTTCACTCTGTCACAAGAGAACGTATGTTGTTATATCTTAACTAAACCCTATTCTACATGATATCCATTGCCTATTGGTCTATTCTGAGCAAGTTCTACCAAATCCTTCTTGCGTACCTTTTAACAACAGCCCTTGAGCCGATCTACACTCAACTAGACCCTCACTGACTTATTTAACAGAACAATGGACAACCATTCAGCTTTCTTCCAGGCCAGTGGCTTGATGTTCATATCCCATCCATCGCCCAAGCAGGAGGATTCACCATCACATCCACTCCAGCCGATGCAAAACCCCTACCGATCCGCACCAGCTCAACACCCGAAGATCCTGTCCCATCAGACTCTCAGGGAAGAGCACCGTACGTGGAACTAGCCGTGCAAAACTCGCCGAAGAACCCCTCCGCCGCATGGCTCTGGAAACCCGAAGAAGAAATCATAGGCAAAGAGCTTAGCATCCGCGTAGGAGGAAGCTTCGTATGGTCCGGAGCCAGTAACGCGCGAAACGCAATCTTCATCGCCGGCGGCGTTGGTATCAAGTAAGTGGCACTCGTCATTTTCGAAAAAAAAAAAAAAAAAAAAAAAAAATACTCTAAGCTAACGACCGAAGCCCATTGATATCAATGCTCTCACACATTAATAACAATGAGCCTGGGACCAAGGCCCCGGATACTATTCGGATCTTGTATACTAGCCGTCTGCCGCGAAATGGGACGATGGAACAGGGACTGGAACAGATATTGTTTCTGCCGCGTCTGCGTCGGATGATCCGGGCGCAAGAGACTTCGCATCGGCTTCGAATGTCGCTGGATCTTTTCCTCACCAATGTGGAGTCGCCTCTTGAGTTGGGAGCTGAGCATTCTGATATTGCGATCCATACATCTCGAATTCAGGATTCGGATCTACGCAAGGCTGTTTGTAATGAGGAAGCCGGTATTAGCGCCTGGGATACAGTTTGCTATGTCTGTGGACCGCCGCAGATGACTGATTCGATGGTTGAGAGGTTGGAAGGGATGCTGGGAGAGGGCGGGGATGAGCGAATCTTCTACGAAAAATGGTGGTAGATACGGAAGATAATTTAGAGTAGGAGAAATGCTTCAATATTTCGGGAAAAGATAGGTAGACTCCCGCACACACCAACCTATTGGCAAGAGGTAGAAGAATATATGTACAATAAAAGGAGCCGCTAATCATAGAAACGACAAGATGTGAATGTTGGGCCAGTACAAAGTTGGTAGCTTGATACCAAAACACGTCAGAAGGCTGAGGAATGTGAATTCGTCATGACGCCCGAGCTTCTTCAGGACCGTTGACTGTGCCACCGTCCACAATCATCATTTCATCGATCTTCGCTTCTGTTTGACCCCATTCAATACGCTTGTAGGTCGAGACACGCCCTGGACCCATGTCAAAGTCGTAGAAACGCACTCGTCGGACGTAGTTGTCGTAGCCGCCATAGCCACCGAGACCAACGCCGCCGCCATAGCACATCCAAAGTGAAGGCTTGTTGGTGGCGTCTTGCTCAAGCATGCAGTAGTCGTTGACGTGGTCGCTAGGTTTAGATTAGCCTGGAACGTGCGGAGGTAACAATATCAAGGTGAACTTACTGTCCACAGCTGACAAACAAAACACCCTCTTCCTCGAGGGCGTCCTTGAAACCAGAGTTGAACCCTGGAGCGGTGGGTGCTTCCATCCACTGGCCTTTGAAGTACTTTCCTTGAGTACGGTACTCAGGGAGTGGAATGTGGATGAACGCTACGTTCATATGGATATGTGAGTATTCTTTATGTTTTCTTCGCAAACTTTGGGCGGTATTCTTGAACCACCGAGTTTGGCTGGGCTTGATCCAGTCATAGCCGCGGAATTGACGCTCATCGGGAGAATAGGCATGGGTGTCAAGGAGGTAGAAAGTGAGGGCAGAGTGTGTACTCTTACCCCGGTCAAGGACTTCGACAATGTAATTTCCGACGCCATCGATATCTTCAGGTCCTGCAGCGGATAGGGAGTATGGAAGCTCTTCGTATATGGCCATGAGTTGTTCGCGATTGAGGTCACCTTCATCGTCGTGGTTACCGAAGATAGCGGCGTACGGAATCTTGCGGTCGACCAAAAGCTTCACAGATTTGAAGAGCGCACTCTGTGCATCGGGGGCGGTCTCTCCGTTAATCTGGTCTCCAGAAAACACGACCATGTCCGGTTTCTCTTCATCGAGAAGTCTTTCGACAAATTCCAAGGTTCGAGGATCGGCCTCGCATTTTTGCCCTGCCACGGCTTCCGCAGGGACTGGGTCACGGCACGCACCAAGACCAGTGCTCATGTGAAGATCTGCGAGTTGCATCACTTTGAATTTGCCGTTTTCGTTGATTCTGGGAGTAGGCTTCTTTGGTTTGGCCTGAGGATGTCCTCTCCGAAAACTCAAGCGAGTCTCTAGTTGCTCTGTGGAACTGTCCAAAAGAATCGGTGTATCTTTGACCTCCCAGTTGGGGCGAGGGTCGACGGCATCTGCTCCGTAAAGAACATCGACATACGTCACAGCATTGTTGGAGTCACTGGCATGGCGGGAAGACGAGCGCTTGAGCCAAATCCCCCCTGGCCGGGGCTCCCACGCCTCGATCTCGGCTTGACCAGCAACGTATTCGGATGGCGGCGTGAGGCGGCTGATCTTCAAGTCGATGACCACTTTATCGTCGGCACCGAGTTCTTCCTCCTTTTTACGCTTGAACTGAACGTAGGCACTCGAGGTCCAGCCCGAGCGGAGGTACAGGTCCTTGTCGACACGGTACCAGTGTTCAGGGTCGAGCTTGCAGCTTGAAAATGGATTGATGGAGGAGCATTTGGTGACGGTTACGTCTGTGATCACGAAGCCGGAGTAATGCGACGGAAGATGACCATGGATGGAGGAGGGAAGGACGCTGAATCGGCTATCGAGGACGACAATGACTAGTAAAATGAATGTTGCGACTAGACCGAGCTGTACGCTGGCTCGAACCTGTGAGTGAAGTCAGTTAGATTATAGTCACCGCAGGGGGAATATGAAGGTCGTACTAGTCGGCGGGCCATGATGAGATAGATTTCACCCTGGCAAGGACTTGGAGAAGGTCGTGGCGCACAGTCGCATGGTGCCCACGAATGGCAGGATATATAAAGGGAGAAGACCAGATCCGGTCAACTCATGGATTTAAGGACAAGTTTAATTTGTTTTGGCTGAAGTTGCGACGCTTGGACTCTGAAGGCGGTGTCGACTCCTGACCTTAGCCTCGCCTCCAGGGCTCTAGACCCTGATTTCTCTGGTCAATGATGTGCTCTGCTTTGTCTCTCGGACTTCTCTTACACGGATTTCCCAGTTAATAAAATAAGTGTCATCATTTTCGTCTAATTCAACATGTCCATCATACTCATATCTAATCGCACGAAGTGCACGCTCTATTACACGGTCATTCTACTGGCTGGCAGCGGCCTTGGCGGCCACCTCACTGGCTGTCACCGTACCGCCCAAGATATCTTTCGTGGTTTCAAGGATGGTGGACCAGTTTTCAAAAGTGGTGTAGGGCATACCTCTGCGCTGGCAATAGGTCACCAGATCTGGCACAACGTCAGCGGAGTCTTCGAGCCGGATTAATTCTACGGTGGAATAGATACCTTTGCCCTTCTTCGCAAAGAGGAGGTCTGTCTCGGCAGCAGCAGACAGGTCGGAGACACCGTCTCCTGCATAAAGAAGGACTGGGCGCTCTTCTTTGGGCAACGCAGCGTAGGGCTTGATTTCCAAGGACTTGTCGTGGCCGAAGTGGCTGGCAAAAGACGGTCAGCAATGTAAAACAAGCACTCCCAAAATTGGAGTCGCCTAACCTATCATCGTGGTATTTGATCTCCCAGCCACCCTCGCTGTTGATATCCTTGCCATCCCGGCTCACGACCTCATTAGCAATGATAGTGAGATGGCTGGCCGGCTTGCGACCAAGGAACTTCTCTAGCAGAGCGCTGATAATAGGGTACATTCCCGATGACAGAATGACAATGGGAACATTGTTCTTCTCGGCCCAGTTGTAGAATTCCAGGAAGTAGGGGTCCAACTTCATGTTCTTCAGCAGTATTTGAATGCACTCGTCGTATGGGGTCTTGATGCTGCCGAGCATCTGGCGGAAGGCATCGCTATAGGCAAGAAAAGACTATTTAGCATATGATCTGAGTATGATATTGATTGCGGGGCCTACCGGAAGCTCAAGGTCTCATCGAGGACCTGGTCGTTCAATACCAAGCGCTCTTGCTTGCCGAAGCCGAGGTTGTCAATCTGCGAAGTTTCAGCAAGGATCATGGTGGAAGCACTGCATCCAACATACCATGTGGTCATTGCCTGCAAGTCCGGTCAGCATTGGGGTAACATTGTGTGGGGAAGCAACCTACTGTCATCAACGGTGATAGTCCCATCAAAGTCAGTGAAGAAGATGAGCTTGGGCTTGGTCTCCATGTAGGGGAGGGTGGTAGATCCCATGTTTGCTATTGACGAGAGAAAACGACAGAGAGAAAGTGATAACGGGCAGAGTTGAATGTTCAAGGAATCATAAATTGAATTGCCCCTCGATCGGTGAACTGGGGGTGGGTCGAGCGGTACCGCAGCGGGTTAGTCTCGATCCAGAAAGATTTTCCCCTGGTCATTTTTAGCTCCGAGCTGTACGGAGCGTCAACAATGTCTCGTCTGAATTTCCTGCAACGAGTCTTGGGATCGACCCCAGTCCCGACTCCGTCCGTGGCCCCGGCTCTGTCGACTGCGTCGAGCACTTTGCGCTTTCGGACTATCGATACCAACTTCTCCACAGTGAAGGGTAATTGGCACTGTTGTTGAACCGAAACCCAAGCTGACAACTTGCAGAGGGAGACCGCGTCATTTTACACGGCAAGAACCCCTTGTTGACCAAGGTTCTGAAGAGTGGTGAAAAGCACCAGGTTTCCACAGGCACCGTGGAACATGACAGCATCATTGGAAAACGACCTCGGGACAAGGTGCAAATGCGCAAAGGTCAGCAACACTCCCATGCCCTCTGCGCATACCACTGACAGTCAATTGACCACAGGCCCGCCGGTTCGGTTCAGTTTCCCCACGCTAGAAGAATATGTCTCTCTGGTGCCTCGATTGGTCACTCCAGTTCGTGCGACCCCATGACGAAACGGAACGAAACATTGATCTGAACTCTTTAGATTTACCCACAAGATGCGAATCTGATTACATCCCTCCTCGACCTCCACGTCAACACACCCGCAGAGGGCGAGACACAACCGCCTCTGGAGATTCTTGAGTCTGGAACAGGCCATGGCTCTCTCACTCTGCACCTGGCGCGTGCCATTCACGCCGCCAACACTACTCCACCTCCTTTGCCGAAGCGATCACAAATCAAATTCATTGAAGGCCGGATCAAGGGACCGGATGAAAAAGATGGACCGAAAGAGACTACCGAGCCGGTCTCGGACCCAGTACAGGAAGAGTGGGATGCATGGCGAGCACAGCGCAATGCCATCATCCACACAGTGGACACTGGAGCGAAGTTCTCTGCCCTAGCTGAGAAGAACGTCAAGGGATTCCGTCGCGGAATGTATGCCGGCAACGTTGATTTCTATGTGGGTCCCGTTGAAAGTTGGGCTGCGCAGCAGAAGGAGCTGCGCAAGACGGAACAAGGCTCTGAGGGAAGTACTGTCGAGCCATTTGTGTCGCATGTTATTCTTGACATGCCTTCTTCCAACCTGAGAATCCCACACGTCACCCCGATCATGAAGCGGGACGGCCTCCTGGTGGTGTTCATGCCCAGCATCACGCAGATTGGAGAGTGTCTAAAACTCATCAAGGACCAGAATTTGCCTCTTGTGCAGGAGAAGGTCATCGAGCTTGGCAATGGAATTAGCGGCGGACGCCAGTGGGATGTGCGTTATGCTACTAAGAAGTCCAGCTCCGATCCGGCATCCTGGGCTACTTCTTCGGAAACCGAGGGTTCGGCTTCGGAGGCCGAGGAAACTAGCGATACAGACTCGTCTGAGGTGGTGGTCCCAGAACAACCTCCAAAGGAAGAGTCTGTGTTAGTTTGTCGACCCAAGGTTGGAGTGCGCATTCAGGGCGGTGGCTTTGTTGGAGTTTGGCGCCGCATCGAAGACCACTGAGCTGCTACCAGTGGTCACCATATACCCCATATGCATCGTGTACTATATCTGTAATTTATCGGCTGGACAACACTAGACTCATGTACCATATAGAATATTCAAACAATTATGCTAAGATGTCTGGTAGGGAGCTAGAACGGCAAAAGAAGAGAACGGGGGAGAGAAAGTAGGAACCTTCAAAGCTTTGTCGCTTTGGCCTCCGGCACAAAGCCATCTTGAGGGATGTTCGAGCTCGCTGCAGTCTCCTGACTGCCCAAAGCCTCGGCCTGGGGCACCTTACCAAGCACCCAATTCTTCACATCTTCCAAAAACTTCGCGCTCGTTTCAGGAAGATCAGCACTCAACTTATGATAGGCACCCTCATAAGTCTCGAAAGCCACGTTTCCCCCATTCTTCTCAAACCCTTTGACGAAGTCCCTCGTCGCATCATAGCTAGTAATACGATCCCCGTTTCCATGCCCAAACCAAAACGGCAAGTCAGACTTGACCCAATTGCCCGAAAACATACCCTCTAGCCAGATCCCACGATCCAACATGCCAGCCAAGCCCTCGAAAGTGCCTGTGTCATGACACAAAGCATCATTGGTGAACCACTCCACAATAGCTGGGTCACGAGAGATTAATTTCTGATCCAGGGCGGAGTACCGCTGCTTGTGCGGGATCAGTCTTGCGACTACTCTGCCAGCCGCAACCGTTATCTTTGACGGGCGGGAAGAAGGATGAATGGCAATAAGCGGAGAGAATAGAAGCACGCCTGCAAACTTGGGGGGACTGGATTGGTAGGGCGAGTCCGGATGGAAGATGTAGTTGAGGACTTGTCCACCGCCCATGCTATGTCCCATCAAGAAGACCGGGACATTGGACGGGGGCAGACTCTGCAGGAAGGTGTGAATATCTGCGAGCACCTGGGAGGTTGGTCCCGTGTTGCCGCGATCGCGAGGATGTTTAACACTTCGCCCCCAGCCTCTGTTTGTTGTCAATAGGAGCTCTTATTCAAGGGTTGTTTGCATCGCCATCCCTAGTGGAGTGCAAAAAGTCGGTGGACATACCGTTGGTCGAAAGACTTGACTTCGATTCCTGCCGATGCCAGGTTTGGGAAGAAATCGTGGTAGGCATTGCCTTGGTTTGTTTAGATCCAGCTCGGGTGCGTACTTGGAAATAAACTCACAGTGGTCACTGAAACCGTGGATGAAAGCTATGGTAGCTCGTGGGGCTCCATCGGGCTGGTACCTGGTTAACCATGGAAACTGACAGGACAGGGTTACTTACCTTCCATGTTTTGGTGTACAGCTCAACGCCGTCTGAGAGAGTGAGTGAGCCTTCTGTCATCTTGTGGGTGTTGAAAGGGTTCAGCTGCGGAGGAGCTGCGGAGGAGCTGCGGTCAAGTACCTTAACGGTTTTGACATGTGATATCAGCACAACACATCTATATGCACTTGGTCATCACGCAGCTCTTGGACATCGTATACATTCTCCAATATATTTGCTTAGATAAATGAATGTAAAATCCGGTCAATCCACAATAACTCAAGAATCCGATGGCCAGGTCCCAAAAATATCGGATTCCGCGGGGTCCGGGTCGTTTTATATATCCAGAAAACTGAGTAGCCTCGTCCAACCCTCAAAATCGATGATTACCCCAAGCCCCGAGGTCTTACGTGCGCCAGAATGTCCATGTGCAGCACAGACGTCACCCTAGTAAGCCACCCACTCATCTGCATTCAGCCCCATTCCAAGATCTGACCCACAGGCTGCGATAATGGCCGCTCTAGCCAGCGAAGTCATCATCCACCCGATGGACACGATTGTGACTCGTATGCAATCCGCCAACTACACTCAAATATACAAACACACCAACGGAAGCATAAGCCAGTCACTCTACAAGGGACTCTACCAAGGCTTCGGCCCAACCCTGATAGCAGGAACCATCGGCTCAGCAGCTTTCTTCACAACCTATGAAACAACAAAATCGGCATTCGAGGATGCACGATCTGCAGGCTATCTGACTAGTGTACCACGGCCGGTTGGTCATGCAGTCAGTAGTGCAGTAGCCGAGCTACTCACTTGTGCTATTGTGAATCCGGCCGAGGTGCTGAAGCAGAATGCTCAGGTGTTCCAACACGCAGGCGGAAAGTCTCCGACGATAGAGATGTTGCGAATGCTAAGGAAGCGACCTTCGTCATTATGGGCTGGGTATACCACTCTGGTGGTGAGCCAATTGCCTGGGATGTGCCTGGCCTTCACCTTGTATGAGATGTTCAAGGAGGCTTTGCTGGAAAGACGACCGGCTAGTGGTACTGGTTCACAGCTTCAGGCGATCGTGCTGAGTGCCTGTGCTGCTGGAGCATGTACATCTTTGCCTTTTGTCCCCATTGATGTAGTGAAGACGCGGATGAGACTTGCGGTTGGTGAGCAGGCAACGGGAAGTCATCAAGTCCGCAAGGCGGGAACGGGGCTGTCTCGTGTGGGTGCATTTGCCGTTGCTGGCGATATATTGCGCAAGGAGGGGATGTCTGGTTTATTCCGAGGGTCTGTTATGACATGCGTTGCTGGGGTGGTGGGGAGCGGGCTTTACATTGGCTGCTATGAGGGGAGTAAGCTTTACTTCCTCGGTGTGAACCAAAAGGTTTCTGCGGATGATGCCCTCTTTAGTGTATGATAGAACTGAATATACCCAACTCCGCTCTTAAAGTGCCCAGGTGCTCACCAGTAGATACCAAACATTCCAAGGTTCTTTATCTAGGTACTACCTAGTACATGAGTCTGGGATGTATTCACTCCAACCTTGGAAGTGTTTGGTGCATGTATTTCCATTTTTATAGCCTGTGATAATAAGCATGAGCCTTGGAGGAATGGCTCCCTCTTCTAGCACATCATGGATATTTCATGGTTATAGAAAGAAGAAGGAAAGGACCATCGAAAGCTTCACTACTTAGGTACTCAGGTCTAAATCTCTGTTCTATTCCAAGGTTTTCTAACCCTGGAACTAGAAAGATAACCTTGGAAATCGAAGGAAATATCCAGTGGCATGATTTAGCCGGGTCTCTTCCAACCCTGCAAGGCTCGAAGGCTGCTTGTAGCGATAGAAAGAGGGTAGGTTGAAGCTATACCTACATAGGTACCTAGGTAGGTATACATCCGAGGTCCAAGGTTGCAGCTGAGGTACCAATCAAGGCATCAGCAAAACAGCTACCTCCAAACCTTGGAAGTTCGTGTAACATCAACATCCCCAGAAGGCTGCAGGATTCCTCTTGTGTCAGTCCACCATGCAAGATGGCGACGGAAGCACAGATACCTCCCGAGGTCGGTGTTACGATGGTCTCGGAAGACAACATAGAGCTCTGGAGGAAATTCCCCAGTATATCCATCTCAGATCCCAGGACTACGAGATGGTAGAGGAAGCCACCTACATGCCCGGGTGCCCATCTACAAAACTATAGTATACAGAGACCAAAAGTCTTGAAATGTAGCAAAGCCACACTCTATTCTCGGGACTTTGCATAGGACGATGACAGAATAAACAAGTACACGGAACAGACAAAACTCCCGTCGCCGGAAAACAAGAAAGTAACCTCATCACGGGAAAACAGATACCCTCTTCACCTGTTCCAGAACACCAATCCCCGCCTAAGCGTCGTGAAGCGTCTCAAATGACGTTAGAGATGAGGTGAGATGAAAGCCAGATATATGGGAAACCCAAGGGACACGGAGAGAAAGAGAGATGTGGGGGAGGGGTGGAGAACCGCGAGAACAGACCACGCTGATAGACTACATCCAAGAAGCGTGGACCTTGTCCCGGGAGGAACGAATACTCCACTTAACACGGGTAGGAGGAGAGTAGCATGGAAAGAGACATTCATAAGCAGGAGAAAGAAAAAACAACAAGAAAAGAAATACGTAAGAAATAAAAAAATCAAGAGAAAACACCAGTCGGCAGGCTAGGCCACCCAAATATTCCGAAATAAGCAGAAGGAAGTTGCACAAACACCCCATAGGATTTCAAATGCTCCAATTCGTTAGTGCCGTTGCGGCCCGAAGTCTGCCTCCACAACCTTGCCCTTCTTGCCCTTGACCGTGAACTCCGCCAGCAATGCGACGTGATCACTGGGGAAGTGGAAGTTAGGGAATCCAGGCACCCGGCGGAGATACTCCTTGTCCACCTCGCCAAGCAAAGCCGACACGTGGAGCGTATTTGAGGAGTACCACACGTAGTCAAGGATAGCTGTGAAGTCGGAAGTGTAGTTGGTGAAGCTGAGCTCACCCATGGACGAGTATGCAGACTTCAGTTTGAAGGGGTGCTTCATGCCGACCTTGCTGAGGTTTCCGTAGAGACGCTTCTCGAGATCAGGATGAGCTTCAGGTAGGGTTCCGGTGGAGATGAGGTTGTAGGCGGCAGATCCTGGGGAAGAGTTGAAGTCACCGCACATGAGAACAGGGATTTGATCGCCGGAGGAGTACTCCATTGATGGCGCTGGCTCTACGACAGGTGCATCCTCGGCGCCGCTTTCGGCTTCTGAGAAACGGAATGCTGTCTTGTCTGTGCAAGCAGGCCATTTGGCATAGTTGTCTGAGAGCTTGGTGATCTCCTCCATCAGAATAGCCGTCTGAATAAGCTTGACATCCTTGAAGGCAGGGTCCCAGTACAGGTGAGCGTTGACACTGATGAAGCGGGCACCTGTTTGTCGGTTTTCCAAGAAGATGACGACGGCAATGTGATCTTTCTGCCAAAGTCGGTTGTAGATATCATCCTGGCCCTTGGCGTCGGGTCGACGAACAGCTGTTTGACCGAAGTTGATCAATTGCTTGTCCAAGAGGATGTACTTGCTACCCTTGAAGAAAGTAGCGCAGCCATCCACGCTCCGAGCGTCTTCCTCCTGCATACCCATTGCACGTCCGCGGGGCCAATAGACACCTTTGTAGTCATTGTAGGCAAGCTGCTCCCGGAAGAAGTTGTTGTAGCTTCCCTGATCGACTTCCTGGAGACAGACGATATCCGAGTTGTGGGATCGTAATTCATTCAAGATAAGCTCGCGTCGGAATTCCCAGGACAAGACACGTGATGGTACGTATCCATAGTGGGATTGAGTGGCAGAGGAGTCGCACAAAGTGTTGTATGACAGAACGGTTATCTTTTCCGCGGTGCTGTTGGAGGTGGTGGAAGTATCGTCAAGGATGACCCAGTCACGATCGGGAGGAGGGAGGTGGACTAGGAAAATAAAGTTAGCAAGACTGCCACCCTATGAACTCAAGGAGTAAAAGTAATTGACACGCACCTGGCATCTCTTCCTTGAGATACTTGATCAGAGCTTTGGTACCATCCTTCATGATTTGAGACTTGAGAACATCGTTGAGCGGGTTGCCCTCAATGCCCAGGGTTTCCAACCGATAGAGGTATCCCATCTCATATGGAAGAGTGCGAATGTTGTTGTCGAAAAGGAGAAGCTTCTTCAGGTTTGAAAGCATACCAAGCTCTTCTGGCAGCTCGGTCAATTCGTTACCCGAAAGGTCCAGATGAGTCAACTTGCGCAGCTTGCCAATGGCCGGAGGAAGCACCTTGAGCTTGTTGGAATTGAGATAAAGCTTCTCAACAAAGTCGTAGTTAAAGAGAGACGTTGTCAAGGCGCGTAATCCCTGGCCGCCGAAATCCAGCGCATTCCAGCCTTGCGGTTTCCCCCCATCTGTTCCATTTTCCGAGTCCTGGTTGGAGATGAGTTGGATACCCTTTGTTTGTTGCGCGATAACGCGAGCATAGTAGTGGGGAGATGTGGCTTGTCGGGACTCGGCCGCGAGCTGGAGCTGCTGCTGCCAATGCTCGTTCATTGAATCGTCCAAATCATCATCGACCGCGGTCGGCACTCCGTTTTGGAGGTGGGCAGATGTGAAATGCGAGGCTGAGGAAGTTGCGAGTCCGCCGGCAGCGAAGTTGTGTTGATGAGTGAGAGTGTGCGTCGCTTGTGTATGGTGATTGTGATGGTGTGGCTGCTGGGTGTGGTGAGAGTGGTGGGTTTGCGATTGGAATTTCGGGATCTGCATGCCAAAGCGCTGGTGGGCTTGACCGCCATTCATCATGACATGCTGACCTTGGTGTGTTTGTCCGTACATATTGTTGAACGGTGTGATAGCAGCAGCCTGGTTGAGGGCAGGGGACCGAGAGGGGGACGGGGTGTCAGGGTTGAATTTCAGTCGACCAGTCGGGGAATTGGTCCCGTTTCGAACGATGTGTCGCTGATGAGGGTTCTGTTGTGCTTGAGTTTGGAAGTAAAATTGCCCGGCCCCAGGCTGCTGGAACCTGTAGGTACCATCTGCCATTTAACGTGGCAGACGAGACCGTGTGTTGTTTCCCTGATGGAAAACCTGTTGGTGGGTAGGCGCTAGGTTGAGTTGGGTTGAGGGGCTGAGAGGAGTCGAGGATCGGAGACGGTCTCTTCTCTTCTTCCACATAGAGACCTAACGCGACACCACGGTGATCAAACCACGAATGCAGGCCGGCAGTGACCAGACGGAATCGATTGATGCGGTACCTAAGAGCGGAGCGTTGGGCGGAAGTGTCGAAAGGAGGACGGAGTGGCTGAAGGAAATAACGATCGAGTGTTGAGGAAATCGAGGTGAGGCCGCGGGGTAAGATAGTGATAGCAACGATGGACTAATCACACGATTGTCTCTGGGTCGATGTGGACGGCGCTGAAGTGACCACCAGTGGTTTGCATCAAGGCGGGAGTCACGGGGTCACGTGAGTCACCGCAGGGGCCAAGTCTTCCCAGCTTTGAGAGCTTGACTTTGCCAAGCCTGTCCTTTTCTTTCGTCCTTTTCCGTGGCTGATATGACTGCGCTGGACGGCACTGAATGCGCTGGATAATCTCACACTTCTTTATCACTTCCATCGCATTTGACCTTCACTTCAGCTTATATGAATATCAGCCACGTGGCCAAAAGACATTCCAAACCCCGATCTCTGCAAGCGTCTTTGGTATACCAAACCGGCAAAGGGGTCTGGTTTGTTTACAATCAGGTTTAGGATAGCTGGTGGCACAATGACCTGATATACATTTCTGCTACGGAGTAGAGAGGGCTTAGCATGATCTTTCGAAAATAGTAGAATAGCATGAACCATTAAACAAAACACCCTTTGATATGGTCTTGTACGGGGCAGATTCAGCCAGCCCTTGAGCTTCATAGGGATTAGGGAGTACAGTACGGAGTACGGAGTAAACATCCATGGATCTAGGAATTGATTAAGGTACGGAGTATAATATACGAAGTACCCCTATAGGGCTACTACGTAGGCGCAGAATGCAATTTAAGGGGCCACCATGCGCATCCCTCCCACTGAACACTGCATGATGGACATGGCTAGTTTTTTCTTTTTTCTTTCAAGGAGAAATGAGTTCCTCATGACTTATTGAAGGAGTGCTCCATACTGGGATGGAACACGCAATTTCTAGTCGTGTTTCCACTTAGACTTACGAAGGGAGTGAACTGTTTCATCCTAGGTGATCCGGAGTATGGTGCTCTGGTCTTTGTTCTATAGTACTAGTATACCGCACAAACCTCCAGAAGGAATCAGACCTACTGCGTACCCCATGAAAGTGATGTGTGTATCTACACGGTAGCACAGACCTATTCTCATGCCGTACGTACCTACGGAGTACAAGCATAAAGTAAGGCAACTTGACACACCTCAATGCAGCAATTGCCTGAACATAGCCGAGCATGCATATGATTCAACAGTCCCACCTATGAGCTCAACTCATAGTCCGTGTCCTTCCGTGGAAATAGACATGTTCCACCCAAAAGTACGTGGCAAGGACGCTTCGGTCTGCAGGTACGGGGTAGCAATATACGAGGCTACGGATTACTACCGAGTGCATGGGAAAGGGGGCACGGATCACAGTCTGTGCAGAGGATCGCTAATAGCCGATACCGTGGACAGGGTGTCTGGGAATCTACGGGGCAATCCGGTATCAGATAGAGAGACAACGGAGGGGAGGCTTACCTAGTCTCAGGTTTGGTTTAAGGGGCTAGGCCCGGTTGCACTATGGATATCGCGGGAAGGGATCTCCGTACGTGTGTATTCAGCTTTACAGCCGTTAGAGGAACGAGACACCATTGACTACGGAGTACTCCAGGGTCCATGCTAGATACAATATGATGCATAAGATGCTACGTAGATCCTTTAACTAGTGACAGATCACTCATATACTCCCACGTGTACACGCACTGGCCAAACTCTGCACTATTCCGTGCGGCAGTTCATCAGAACAGAAAAAGCAATAGCCCCCAATAGCAGAGGCGTTTGAGTTTGATGTTCCGGACTCCCATATTTTGAGTCACCAGAGTTTCCTCATCCGGTCATTGTACTTCGTACTCGATGTGGCGTCTGAGGTCGTGATGTCAACGGTTATACTCCGTAGAATGGATGACATCTACTAGTAGGAGTAGAGACTAAACCTCAGTGCACTTCGTACCGAGGCCCAGAGATGATAGATAGACTCTGCAGTGAGAACATGCCATTGGTCATGTACAAGGCCAATACTAAGTCCAATTCAATAAACTGTACTCCGTACTCCGTACTGTTACGTGAAGAGACTAAACTAGACTCGAGTGGATATTGAATGCCACTTCCAGGGGCTTGCCATTTTCTCCCTCTTCCCTTACCCCCCCAAATCCTTCGCCACTACCTCTCTCCCTTATACCTCACCTCACGAAGTATCGCTTATTGTTCAACGTGGAACAAAGCGAGAAAAACGAGCCACATTTTTTCAAGTTTGCGCCCGACAGTAGGGATATTTTCCGAACCCGCTTTGATCCCGTCCTGGCCTTATTTGAATTTCTTTTTTATTTTCTCGGAATTATCTTCCTCGGCTGAAAAAAAAAATAATCAAGACATTGAAAGACATGCCTCGCTCATGAAGCTCCAGCCCGCGCCGAGAATGCGACCGACCTCCGAATCATCTTCAGAGGGGATAATCGAGACTTGAGATGGACACAATGGCAGGATTCATGGCACCGACAGCCTCTGGGTCCGATCTACACTCCAACCTAAGTTCGACCATGGCAGAAACTTCCTCCTCGTCCCTTTCTCTCACGGAATATTCGACACACCCACTGGTACGACATGGCAATCGCACCTACTTTCGCGACCCGGAGAACGTCTACCCTTTGCCCTGTGACCTGCCCGAAATCCACCGCCAAAGCCTGCGCACGTTGATGCTGCTGCGCGTTCTCGGCGGCCCATTCTGCAACCCCCACCTCGCCAACAGCCCACCGAAGCGCATCCTGGAGATCGCGTGCGGGTCCGGTCTGTGGTCCGGCCTGTGCCACGAATACTTTGCCCGCAGGGGCCAGCCAAACGTGGCCTTTGCGGGAATCGACGTAATTTCCATTGCGCCGGATCTGCGGAAGCAGGGCATGAACTGGCAGTTCAAACGACATGACCTGCGGCGCCCTCGCTTGCCTTTCCCCGACGACTATTTCGATTTCGTTTTTATCAAAGATGCCGGCATGTGTCCGTCCAGTCCGGCGCAGTCGGCATCCGGCTTGGCAGAGCCCTTACGCGTGTTGAAATCCGGAGGCATTTTGGAGGTGTGGGATTCAGATTGGAGCTTCCGCTCTCTGTTGCCTAACCCAGCCCCGGCGCGCAAAACCACATCCAAAGAACAGGAAAACGCCGATGCGACGGCGACCTATACATTCTCGCCCGCCACGCCGTTCACACGAGCCCAGAATAAATTCATCGTTGATTATAACTCCTGGGTGGAGAAATCGTTCGACCGGCGCAAGTTGACGGCGCTTCCGTGCGCCACTATTGGGCTGTCATTCAATTCCGAGGTTGATCTGCTGGAAAATGTGGACAGTCGCCGCGTCGCGATCCCGCTTGGGGAGTTGCGATGGGAGCGAGACGGCCAGGGCAAAGATTCCAAAGGCCGTCCACGCAAGGCTCTCACGCCAGAACAGATCTCAATTCGTCGAACGGCCCTCCTGACAACCATTCAAATGATTGAAGGGCTGGAACCATTGCTGATGGAGTCCAGTGGGAAGGGCCGCGACGAATGGGATCGGTGGTGGGCAGCGATGACAGCCGACCTCCTGCAGAAAGGCGGACTTGCCAGCGGCGAGTGCCTGGAAGTGAGTGCCTGGTGGGGTCGAAAAAGGTGAAAGCTTCTCAATTTGGAGTTCCGGGCGAAAGTCAAGTACCATTCTGCTTGTATTGGTGATACCCCCAATTTTAATTCTGTCTTTTTGGGTTTCTAACATGCACATCCAACCATCTCAAAAAGAGATTTCGAGAGCCATGACGGCCTCAGATTGCTTCATAACGCTTTTTCAGCGTTCGGTACCGCTTCAAATAGTACCTAACCTTGTTAGCGCCTGTGTTCCATGGGCCAAATTTTGTGTTTGCATGATGCTATGCCATGATGTATAATGAGAAGAAGTATGCAATATGTACTCAACCAAACACTGTCCAGTGGGCACAATGTATAGAAAAATGACATATACGAACAAGTTTCCTCCGAAGGTAGATGTAGGGACAGAAGGGGTTGAACTCACAGTGCTTCAACCTCTAAAAGGGAGTTAATATTCATCAGTAACGGCGTCAAAGCCAATAGACGGATTGATCGGACTCACCTTTCTTCACAAATTCAGCCCTTGCTATGCCCTTTCGGATCTGATCTTCATCGGTGATCTGAGTCTGGCTTGAAAAAGCGCGATGTAGCCGATCTCGGAAGTATTGGTATCCCAAGGGGTATTCTCGGCCTAGAAACAAGAGCTCTTTGCAGCAGATCGTCAGCAGAGAGCTCGTTGAGAGGTTTCGTGAAGCAAGCATTAGACCCAACTGGGAGTTGCGGAATTGTACCTTTGTAAACATTGATGACCTGTCGGCGTAGCTCGAGATTCACCATGATTGCTCCATGCACGATGAGTCCAGATAGAGTGAAGAATGAAGCGGGGGAAGAAGCAAGAAGGTTGAGAAGCGTCGGGTGTTATCGGTGACGTCGCTAGCGGATGTACCTAGGGATCTCAGTCAATCCCACCACTGTGCTCTAAACTTCAGGTCGGGATTAACTTCTGACTTGGGTCTAAAGATCTGTAAGATTGCCCAGTATCAATTTAATTCCCAGGACTGACGTGATCGGGGTTTTAGCCGGACCTCGGGGATGGCCCAAGCGTTTGGGGGTTATCGGTTATCAGCGCAGCTCCGTCCATTTCTCCGCAACTACGCGCAATGTTTCGACTCACGCTTCGAGCGCAGACAGCTCCCTATGCCTTCAATGGCTTTCGTTCATTTTCCACGACAGTTCCTTTGCTGTCCGATGTGAAGCCTCGCGCGCTCGATCCCAGGTGGCTCACGTTGATCAAGCGGAGGATTGGGAAGTGTATGATGTTTGGACTCCCGCCAGCCCATATCGATGAGGGTGGCAAGATTCTGAATCAATTGGCGAGAGAATGGCGCGAGCTGGTTGCTGGAAGTGAGGGGTTTCTCACTGAGGCAAAGCGACGTAGTCTGTTCCGTCATGGTGTGGTGTGGGGAGAACAGGTATGACCCGGTGTCTGGAAGAGACTCTCAGACTATGATTCCCGGGGTTACATACTAACTTTTTGTCTGTGCTTGTTTCTAGGATGTTATGGTGAGCACGCCCCTCATATCCCGAACATGCAAATAAACTATCTGAAAGTCAAAGGATGAAGCTAATAGTCAATGAAGGGTATATTTCTCTATGCTTTGTTTAACACCCTAGTCACTAACTGAGATGTCTGTCAGGCCATGTCAACAATGTTACTTATGTTCGGTATGCCGAAACTGCTCGAGTGAATTGGACACGCAACATTGGCACCCACATCGACCCTGCAAACAAGAAAGAATGGCACAGTATGGTTGGCTCCACTGGAATTGGGCTCATCCTGAAAAGCATCAAAGTTGACTACAAATTTGTACTGTATTTCCGAAGCAACAGATGGACATATCTCTAACTGCCATTCAGCCCATGACATCCCCAGACAAGATCACCGTCTACCAGAAATTGATCCCAGATCCATCGGGGCATCTCTCATCCCAATCTGCATTCCGTCTTGAGGTGATGATTCTATCTGAAGCGCGTCAACGCCCTTCTGCTCGCTGCTTCGAGGATATCGTGCTTTATGATTACAAGAAAAATCGCAAGACTGTCGATGTGCCGCCATTTGTCATGAATCAGTTCAAGGTAATGTGGGAGCAGCAGGAAAAGGAGGCGGAACGGTGGCAGCAAACGATCACCGATATCGAGAACAGAGTTCGGACTCTCGAGCTCGAAAGCTGGGATCGGACTGATGCCGTGGAAGATAATGGTTCTGCATAGCAACTATAAAAGCTGACGGTAAGAGAATCTTTGGTGCGTCTACGGAGTATGATGTCTCCAGTGGACTTCCAAGGATTTTTCGATCACTTAAATGAGACTGTTGATCATGGATGCAGTTTGTACATATTTTTTCAGTGCGTCCGACTGAGAGCTATTGACTGGGCACGCAGGCAGGTCGTCAAATTCAACCGGTCTTTTGTCTGCTTTGGGGCGTTGACTCATCATATTTCTCGCCGAATTGATATTTTATTCATAATTATCTCAGTCGGAGAGCCAGCCGTGGAGCTGTTGGGATCATTGCGGTCTTCGAACCAATTCTGGAAGCTCAAATCCTCAATTTCTTAGCAATCTCAATCCCGGCGGCAATTGACCCAAGTCTCGCATCAATCGCATATCCTTCCTTCTCGAATTTTTGCAACTCGGTCTGAAGTTGTGCCACTGGGACTGTGAAGCATTCAATAAATTCATTGTCTTCCAGGTCGGGCTTCGGGTCCTGGTTACCAGGCAGAGACATATCAACTTGGAGATAGACCATTTTGAAATTGGCGTTGCAAAAACCAGGATCTAGAAAGAACATCAGCCGAGGACTCATTTGGAATGAAATGAACATGTCCCGAGTCACAGACCGTTAAACATGATGCCACTGGTTTGATCAACGGTGCCAATATAACCCGTTTCTTCCTTTAGCTCTCGGATCGCAGTTTGCTCTGCTGTTTCCCCGGGGTCGATCAAGCCTGCCGGAAGCTCGATCACGACCTGGTCAATTGGAGGTCGATACTGCTTTTCGAGGAGAAGTTCAGAACCATCTGGTCCGTTCAATAGAGCAAATATACCGACTCCATCTACTGGAGAATCAGATGGTCGAGTCTAAGTTCTATGAGCCTAGTTTCCAATAACATGTGCAGCAAAGTCCTTACCAGGCGCTCAGCAGATTCCCAATCTCTCTTGACCCCATTGGGATCGGTGTAGTATGTTTTGACCAACCGTTTCCATTTGGCGCCTTGGGGATCCTGGTATGATTAGAGAGGCTCAATGGTCATTCCGACTGGTACATACCAGAGGCTCCCGCGAAAGGAATTTGGATTTAACTTGTGTCATCGTATGGGAAAACGTAGTTGTGTGAGGAAGGAATCTTGAAATGGAGACACAAGCTCCAGGGCCCCCAGTGGGCGGGCCCGCCGACAATACGCTTATGTCATACTGGGCATCAGGCCTAGAGTCCTGCACCTGGGCAGGGCTGCCCAACTCAAGGGTCTTCAGCGGTGTGAAGATGGATTCTACGTGTACAAAACTTCTTTGGGTGGGGTTATCGGCAGTGTCACATATCCAGTAACATGTCAATGAGTTCAAAGTCAAAAAGATATTCCATCCACGAGTCCACAGGTGTATAATTCCAAGGTTTGTTATCAGAACCACGACCGGTCAAGTCATTGAGAATACTCTAAAGTTTTGCCAAGGTTCGTATTTCTTACAGCCCTTATCGTCCTATACAGCTGCGTGTACGGAGTAAAGACTTGCCATGTCGATCCTAGCGCATGGACCGTGAAAGCCATCGATTCAACCTATCGGCATAATCTATCCATGGATACATGCATAGATGTGGCGCCTCGGGAGTGTCCGTGAACACCGACTGGATGAGTTGTTCCAAGGCAAGAATTGAAACAGTCTTGCTATACTCTCTGATGGTTCTCGGTTTGGCTAAAATGTTTGATCCTCAGGCTGAACGGACACATCTGCCTCTTTGTGATAGGGGTTGTCTTAATAAAATCCCATAAGATGTTAAATTTGGCATCGCGTATCACTTCATGACTGCTCTTCTGGTCTCTCGCTCGGCCCTCTTTGATTCTGACATCATGGCAGGGTTGTTCTCATCAAATCGATTATCTCGGACAATGACAGATTACCAGTAGGTAGCGAAACATTGACGAGCTCGCATTGATCAGTCAACGTAATAAATGTAGTGCAAACGTGCATATCGTGGGTTGGCAAGCCGATAAAGAGCAACTGACCAATTCTCTTTCCAGGTTCAGCTTCCAAGGTTTGGGGTCTCCCAGGCTGCCCCATTTACAAAGATAGAAAGGCGTTTGGACTACCTAAAAGCCACGATCAAAACCTTGGGTACATTATCAGAGGTCCACGGGTCTGGCTGAGGCTCTGTGATAAAGTTTCCAAGGTTGCCGTATATTCAAACCTAGAAGGTTCCACTTGGGCAAACGTTCAATTTTACTTCATATTCAAATTCTCCTATTAAACTCTGTATATACCTAGGCAGTCTCAGGAAGAACCACTCTCTCTCTCTTGTACTACTCTTATGCGGTAGTCTCCCTGTTAAGAGCCAGATGACCTCCTTCCTATGCTGTACATAGCTCTTAGACCTAGCTTATCTCTCTCTCTCTCCCCCCTATCACTCCCGGATCAATATCCCACACGTCAATACCTCACATGTCAGTCACCTATATCAGTCTTTGACGAAACACTCTTACAAATAATAGCACACCAGTGAAAGGCATCACAGTCAACAGCCTATCACTCAACAATGGGCATACATCATGAGTGAGATTCATCTACGAGATTGACTAGAGGACTTGAAGTACCTTCGGTCCCTCTGTCAACACACGAGGAAGACGAAAAAAACAATAGCCGTGCCGTCATCAACCTGCGCGACGGCGGACAGGAGATGGAGAGGGGCCTAGGGCTAATAGGCAGGACACGGGAACACTACTCGGATCAATGCCCAGTGAACACCCGGAGGATCTTTGATGCACTGACAGATCCTTACACGACTCAAACGGGAATAGTGGTCATCTTATGATGGCATCCATGGGTATCCATGCCTTCCAACCAATTTAGCCTTCCAGGGAAACTACAGTCGACTGAATAGAGACAGGCCCGACAAATAGCCAACTGGGGCCTACCCACCGTCATCATATCCAACCGAGACGACAGGTTCACCGGAAGATTTTGGAAAAGCATTTTCAATGCCCTACAAGTCACCCTACTCTATTCAACGGCTTATCACGCACAAACGGACGGTCAGTCCGAACGGACCAACCAAACCGTCGAGTTCATGATCAATCATCAGAATCTGGCGTGCAACCAACCCAGCCAGGAACTGGGGAGCACAGCTGCCCGGATTCCAAGCAATCCTCAATGCGTCCGTCAACCACTTTACCATGGTAGAGCCCACCGGGTGCGTTTCTTCCAACCAGGTGACTACGTCTACCTACGACTCGGACGAGGATACACTGCACAAGAATCCCGTCAGATGCCCCAAAGCATGCCGCCCGTTACGCTGGCCTGTTCAAGATCCTACAAGTCGGACGACTAACGTACAAACTCGATTTCCCAGCTTCTTGGAGAATCCATCCGGTGGTAAGCGTCGAGCGCCTCGTTCACAAGGCAGTGTTTCTCTCCCAACTCTCGGCCTTCGGGATGCTGTGGAGCTACTCGAGGAGCTCGAGGGCCAACCATGAAGCTCATCACAAACCAGTACTCCCGCTCGACAATTACTATAGTGCTAATTTGCCCGATCGGTGACGAATCGGCCTCCACGGCCTATCTTTTCCGAAATAGCTACCCAAGCGATTAGTACTTCCTCTACACAACCCACAGCAGACTCCATTCAACTCTTGACATCCTCTGTGATAGTGGTTGTCTACAGTCGAAGACCCACTCCGACAGAACGGTTCTCGCTCCCAAATCATACGAGGAGCACGAGAGAGGCAGCATCTATGTGGACCCTGTTGGCAATGAAATCTAGCCATGCGGCAGATGCGCATTCTATCGAAAGATCAAGCCCAGGTAGGGGATCATACAAAGTTCAACTGATGCGGGGACGGAAGGTGAACACCCTATTCTGTTTTTTTTTTGAAGAATCTCATGGCTAATTTCGAGGTCCCAGAGTATTTCTTTTCAAGGTTTGCAGCGTCCCCTGATTATTTTGAAGTTTTACAAAGAAATATCCAATTGCTCTACGTTTACAGTCCGTCCACGGTGCATAGTCATACGAATGCAATGAATCCCCTGGAGGGCGCTAGATTGACAGGAGCTGACCTAGGCAATATATATGGACTTACTAGTGCCCAGGTGGGGCCAGGAAGTAAACCACTGCAGAAAATCTTGCGGGGTCAATTTCCGAGGTTATGATCTGTTTATTGATTTAGCCGTTGGGGATAGAAAGAACGACGAAAAGCGAATTGGAAAGCGATTCAATCTTTGTAGAGGTCGCCAGACCCTGGGATGACTTCAAGGCTATTTGTAGTACGACAAATAGCATTGATGACTTGGTCGCCGGTAATGCGTTGCTGCCAGGTGGTAGGTTGTACCTACTGTACTAGTAGTGGAAAACAGACTCGGGAGTAGGTGAAGGGTGTAATTATCATATCCATGGACGTACTCCGTACAGTAGTACTAGTACCTAGGTAGTTATTGAGCTGTGGTAATACCTAGTACCAGATCTAAAAATCTGTTTTTAGGAACAGACCCATCCTTCATTTAGGTGGGGCAATGTGGCAAGACAGCTCTGCGTTTTAGTGTATTACCACGCTGTACTGAGTATACGAGTACGAGTATACCTATCCCCTTGCGGAAATTGCTCAAATAATCGATGCTGTCGCTCGGTAAGCATTGTCAATATATTGTCTGCACTATATAGGGATGCAGATTGAGATCCTTCCAAGCTATCTAGGAGCACTGAACTCTAAATACTACCCCTGGGAAGGTATTTTGTTCTAGGTACGGAGTACAAAGAGAGCTAATTTACGATAAAGAACGAAGTGGGGTACGGAGTATAAAGCTCATGAAAAATCTACAATCTACCTAGTACGCTACAATACAACGAAACAACCAAATGAGTGTTGCACTCGGAGACCTTACCGAGGCAGGACGTGGGCGCCGAAAGCAGGAGGAAAACCGGAATGATCGACCGCAAGTTTAAAAAGCCCCGAAGTTTATCGGTCCCAAGCAAATTCCGAGAGCCCTAAACGTGGAGCTCGATCAGTAGATTGAAATATTCAAGTCAGTACGACATTAAAAGCATGGCATACAGCATACAGCGCGCAGAAGCACACAGCATGTCAGGACTCGTCTAGTACGAACTGGTAGGCCCGCATAGAGAAAGATCACGGGCCGATCATTACTGAATTTGTGGCTGATCTACGAAACCCTGCCAAGACCGGATATCGTTCAAGAGGGGTGAATCTTGTCGGATCTCTGTCTTCATGGTTCTGAATTTGAGTATATTTCGCGCATGGCAATATCATACACTGAGTAAACCTTCAGTTTCTATCGGTTAGAATTGAGCCCTTGAAGACTTGGATGGTTCAATTCAGATTTGACGCTGTGCAAACCCTTCACGCTAACCGAGCATGTGATAGAGCGTTTCGATACAAGCTTCAATACCCCATATTTCTATGTGCGAGTGGTCCCATATCCTGGGATGCAACGCCCAGGGTGATCATAACATCACCCGGTTTGTCCAAGGCCGCGCAGGTCTGCTGCAAGGATAACCCCGCATCACACAGGCCAAGAAACGGTTGATCGTCAACCAGTCGGTCTGATAGCCAACACACTGGAAAAGCTCGTGACCAAACTAGGCGTCCGAGTAAATACGTAGCCTAGCTGCTTAACCTGGTTAGTGATCTTGGCATATGAGTATACAGTATGTACACTCATAAGATCTTGAGGGTTGTATTCAGAGACTCCAAGTCTCAGCGATCTGCACAATGGCAGCTAGAAAGAGCTACTCCGTACAGACCAAGGAAGCGAATTTGGTTAAATTGGACTTGCAGGTATCCGCGTTGCATGACTTGGCAACTGCAGCTGAAGGTACGAAGTATAGACCTGTCAATTGCAGCATCTGGTGAATGTGTCTATGCCTACCTACTTGTAGACGCGCAAGAGGTTCGAACAAAAGCTTGGCGACTGACGGGATTGCCCATGCAGAAACCGCATTTGAATTTGCAAATCCCCAAATCGGTGTTATCCAAGTATACAGTACCGAAAGAGCTTATGGGGGATTGGTATCACGGCCAGGTACCGCCTACCCGAATTTCACCCATGATCGACAGCGGTGACAATACCAATACCAGCGGTTTCTTTCCTACAATTCTTCCACCTGGGCAATCCATTTCCCCTTCACGCTTCCCCGTAGAGCCTGGTCTCTTTCCTCTCTCTCTTTCTTTTTCTTCTTTTTCTCCGAATCCTTCCTTTCTCATTCCCTTCCTATCTCACTTTATACATCATACACCTTTCACCCTCTCATCCACCCCCCAGTCCGTTTTCGCCTTTTTCCTGGTCCCAGTCCTTGGCTTTATCCCGCCAAGCTGACTCGGACCTGGGTTTCGGGCTCCTTCGTCCATGCCACGCTCATCAGCTGCGGCTAGGAAGAACCAGAGCAATCGACAGGAAAATGGCGTCGTCGGTCCCGGCAAGAAAGTGACCAAGCAGAAATCCAACGGCCATCTGAACGGCAACTCGGGCAACGGCTCAGCTACCGCTCCGGGCGCGTCCGTTCCCTGCGATCTATCCTCCGTCCGTTCTACAAGCGATACGGCCCTGATCTCGCCGCCGGTCGCCGCCAAGGGAGATAGTGCGAAGGATGGCAATGTGCGTGGGGTGTTGAACGGCCACAGCAAAGGTGGAGACATGGCATCGGCGCAGGACAGTGATGGACCCCAGAGTGGTGGTATCGCAGGTCATGGCGCTCGCAATGGAGCCTCGAAACGATCCGGTTCCAATGCCTCCATCAATCCGCTACAGCTCGCTTCCACCATTCTCAAGTCGTGCCCCATGTACGACACCATCGCCATTTTGATTTTTCTGCTCCAACTTCCACCAATGGTTCTGACTCTGGTTCAATTTCTTTTCGCCTCTCTCACTTTCATGCCCCCCAGTGGTGCCGCGGCCGGTTCTTTGTCGTCGAATTTCGACATCTTTCAGGGTCCGGCGGGGACGCCCTCATTGGGAACTATGATTGCGATGGACGGGTTCTGCATACTGCTCTGGGGCCTTTTCATGTGGACCTGGGCGCAAAATTTCGCCATCGACCTTGCCCACGTTCAAGTTGCTATCACTTTGGGCGGCGGGGGTTCCGGGAAAAACGGCGGGGTCAACGCTCTTTGTGTCGGAATTGTTCTGCTGCTTCACCTCGTTCGCAGCAAAGGCATACAAGATTTTGTTCTGGGCCATCTCGTCTCCGCTAAATTGCTCAGTCCCGACATTCTTTCCCAATTTTCGCACCTGCTACCCGCCGAGTTCCGACGCTCCGAAGCTCAATCGTCCCCAAGTTGGCTTCGTAGTCTTCTTGCAGTTCACATCCTGGCACAAGCGGGAACCGCGATGGCACGACGCTCAATGGCAAAAAATCGGTCCCCGACACCGTCAAGGACCGGCAAGAGGGGAGACACGGAGGCTTCTGCAGGCTCGCAGGGACAACCCGATTCCGCCCTGGAATCTGCTGCCAGTGTGTCATCCTCTTTGGTCGGCCCTGATGGTCAATTGAAAGACGGAAAGGATCGATTTACATCCGCCAAAAAACGGAGACGACAAGCAAATCAAGTTCGAAGCCGGCAGCCGTTCTGGGCTGCACTCGCCAGTACAAAGGTCACAGTTATGCGAGAATACGAACATTCGCGAGCTGTTTCCAAGACAGCACGCAATCTTACGATGACGGAGGAGGATCTTCAAGGTGTTTCTCTCGACGACGGACTAGTATGGATAACGGACGTGGACAGCTCTTCGATCAAATTCGCCGCGGGCGAATTCACGGATGATCCAGCGGTCTCAGGCTCCTATGAATCCGGACGCGTGGAAGGGGATGCGGAGCCGTTCTATGTTTGCGTCAATGGTGCGCTCTGGGCCACCGCCACGATATGCAGGGTCTCAGACGCCAAGGGACCGAGTGTAGTGCAATGGCGTGGTGAAATCGCGGGACTTGCTCCCAATTGTGCCTATACCTGTGCGTTTGTGCGTCTTGATAACGACGAGGAAATCTGTGTCATGAGTGTCAAGACGCCTGCGACGGCCGACACAGAGCAAGGTAAGTCGATGCCCCCGCGTCGTCTAATGTTTCCCCATCATTTTCGTTGATGGCTGATATTCAAAATAGTTATTTCCGCGATATCGACACCCCCGCAGCCGCCATACCGTCCATCATCCCCCACTACGACGCTCAAAAACTCCATAGTGAACGCAGAATCCAAACTCAATGAAAAACGCAACCGCCTGAAGAAGACAAAGAACGACCACAAAACGGCAATCTCGAAAATTCGCAAGGAACTTGACAACTTTAACACTCGACTTCACAGTGGAACTGACGAGAATCGACAAAAGCAGCGTTCGCTGCAATTGGAACGAAACATCAAGCAGACCGAGGAAGCCACGGCAGCACTTGAAGCTCAACTCGATACTATGGAGACAGTGCCGGAGGAAGAAATGGAGGAATGGCGATCGCACAAAGAAGACTTCGAACGGGAGGTAGAACGCTTCAATGCTATCAAGGAAGAGGTTACCGCCGCTCGCACGGCTGCGGCACAAGAAGTTGCGGCATTGGAGGCGGATTTAACCCAAGTGGTTCAGAAGCGAGAGCGTCTCCAAGGTCGCCGTACTCGGGTGAACGAGCAGTATGAGCGCATCATTTCAGCCAATGCCCAGGGATTGAATGAAAGAGAGCGTCGAGCTGCCGAACAATTCGCCAGAGAGCAAGACCAATCCAAAATGGAGAGCAACTTCCACGAGCAGTTCGCAAGCATCAGCCAATCTGTCCAGGATTTCCAACTTCGCACGAGTCAATTGTGGCAGCAGGCATCCTCGATTGAGCAGGCCATCCAGGTACAACAACAACAGATGCTCCTTGATTCAGGTCCCCTCACCCCCGAGGGCAACCTGCCAGGAACCAATCCAACACCTGAAACCAGTGTGCCTCATTTGAACACTACGACCACTGCGCCTAACGTTCGGTCTCTCTTGGGTCTCAGCTTCCCCCCAGCCAGATCTAGCCCACTGCAGATCTCATCGTCGCCAATCCGCGAGGATTCATCGAACCCCGCCAGTCCGTCCCAAGACCTTCCTTTCCTTCCACAATTCCCGGCCTCTCCCGCCGGAAACGTGGGGTCGTACTTTGCGCCAGACATCAATCACCGGGATCGTTCGTTCTCCAATCGTTCCACTCACAGTAGTCAGTTTGGCTCCGACTTTTTGGATGCGAATCGCATACCACCTCTACAGATCGATTTGTCGGAGCTTCTTGGTGAAACGAAATCGCGGCCCAGCCCTGATTCATTTCTTCATGGAACTGGCCGTCCTGTTCTGAGTCCCTTCCAGCGAGCAGCAAGTCGAGGTAGCGGAACTGGCAGTGGCAGTGGTGGCAGCGGCAGTGGGAGTGGCAGCCCACACTCGTCTCGAGACTAGTCCCCTGCTAGTCGTGCGGTGTAGTGCGTTGTGTTGTTCTCTCGGATGTTGATATCAGTCACTCTTGTGGGGCTACGTCAAGGCTGTGTGCTTCTGTAGCCGGTTTCTCCATTGACCAACCTCTCGTCAGCCTCTACGTTACCTGGTGACTTGAAGAGTCACCGCATTCGTGGTGTGCGTTCGATGAGTGCCCAGGTGGTTGGATAGGAATACTGTGGAGCTCGATACATGTCATTGGCAGTTCTGTCTCTGACACGGAAACCCAAAAAAGTTCTATGTTCGGTTACTGCACACTACTGGAACTCGTAGATGAAACAATGCATCTCTCGTCTCTGTCTATAACCTTGGAACTCACGTCACATTTGGCTGTAGCCCAGTATATTGTAGTATGTCTTATGTTAACTGACCAGTTTATGTACCACCAACGCCAAATCCAAAGTATATGTACAATGCTTACCCGCTTCTATACGGCAATGCAGCCTATTCGATGGCCCTATGGACCCAAGCTGGACACCCATGATCAGATCAGATCTGGTCACCCATTTTCCAGAACTTTGTGTTGGCATATGTCAAACAAAGCCGATCCGGAGAATGCTCGTCCACCCGATTGTCCTGGTTTGGAGACCCAGGTCCCTCAATCGTCTTAACCACGCTCCCAAGTATAATAGAATGATCGTGAACATCGATCTTTTCGGGGTGCAGCGTACATTCAAACACAAAAGAAAAGTCCCCACTTGGGATGCCATCGGACCCCTTCCGCCTCAGAATAGGAAGAGGTCTGGTTTCGTTGCCAGCATCCAAAGCTGCGAACTCAAACTCCCCATGTCCCTTCAACATGGCAGACAAAGTGGCATTCCCCTTTGAGAAGTCCCGTGCCAAAGTCGCAGTCGCCGGACTAGGAGCTAGCAGGTGGACGAGGAAGCGGCGAGATGCAAGGAGTGCGGTCAATGTTTCCGATGGACGGCGCACATTAAATGATATCACCGGGTGCGGTGTTAGTGTCACGGTGCTGAAGGACGACACTGTCATGCCGCGGAAGGACGTCTCTTGGGGTCCCGAGGGGTCGGTTGCTGTGATGATTGCGACAGGATATGGGACTCGGCGCATGAGGAGGCGGACCTGATCTGAGAGAGATATGGATGCTTCATTTGTAGCGGTTGAAGCTTTGGCATTGAGCTCACTGCCTTTTCCGCATGTCGTGCTGCTCTTATGCCTTTGGGCGCGTTGTGATGGGTGTGGATGGAAGGAAGTATGCGAAGAGGCTTGGGGAGACAACGCCAATGGCCGGAGAGGATGGATCGCGCTGCCTGATGCTTACAAAAGCCCTGGTCAGTGGGATTGAGGCCAAAGGATTGTATAGAACCTACCTCCGAACCCTCTCCGAACCCCATGCGCGATTGGAGTGGCGGGATTCATCCCGCGTATAACTGAGATCTTGAGATAAACTCAAGCAATGAAACAGGACAGACAATCACAGCGATTCAAGTCCCCCCAATTCATGTCTAGCCGAAACAAACACACACGTGAGTTAAGTAAATGAAGTCATCCTACTGCGCCGACAAAATTCACGGTGCTTACATAATCTGGGATAATTTCTCTGCTTGTATAGCATCAACTTCACGCCTCCTCTTCCTCCAGCGGCTCCATCCACCACCGCCCCGCTCGACCTCTTCTCTCTGTCAATTGACAGCCCACGCCAACATGTCGATGCACACCTCCCTCCGCCGCACCGCGGCCACAATAACCACCTCAACAACCACCATTCTCCCTTCACGACTGCCGCAATCGAGCACAACCTTCATCTGCTCGCAATGCCGCCACGCAACCCTGCTCCGCCGCCCCAAGCGTCCCTACACCTTCACACAACTCATCACCCTCTCCGACGGTAGCACTTTCACCCACCGCACGACCTCCCCAGCGCCCATCTACCGCTCCACGCGCGACACGCGCAACTCCGTCCTCTGGAACCCCTCCAGCAGCAAGCTGATGAACGTCGAGGACGACGAGGCCGGTCGTCTCGCTGCTTTCCGTGCCAAATTCGGTCGCAGCTATGATTCTGCCGCGCCCCCTGCGGATGAGAACTCCGCTGATGCTAAGAAGGAGGCCGCGGAGGCCAAGGCTGCCCAAGCTGAGGAGGACAACATGCTTGATCTGATTAGCTCGTTCGGAAAGAGAGCGCCGCCTCCCCCGCCTGAGAAGAAGAACCCCTACAAGAAATAGAGTGTCTTCTGTTGCTGGGAGTTCGGTCCTGTATTTCTGTTTGATCTTGTACAATATACATATATCTGGTATGAGCCTGTTGTATTATACCAAGAATGCTTTTTTTGTTCCACCGCTTGATCTCAATAAGCTTATGTTTTCTGCAAATATCGTCGAATTGATTCTAAGGTTGCCCTTCACATGGAATCTATCCACCTGCAGTATGGCCGAGTTGATTTGACTGGCGTCAACTTGAGAACTTATACCTTCAGTCATCCCCACACATCCAGGCATATAAAAAACAACCAGCTGACAGTTTCTGATTATCTGCTTGTCCAGAGCAAGTCCGGCTCGAAATCTATTGATGGTCACCATGTCTAGCACCAGACTGGGTCGTTCGCACCTCCCAAGGTCTGATTGGATCCTAGACGGGAGACTGCAGGTGAGTACGAACGTCGAAGCAACCACTGAGCACAGGCATAAAGAGGGGCAGTCCTTCTCATTTCACTCTGTCCCTCTTACTCCATACATCTCACACATTAGCCATTTCAAGATTCACCCAATACCGATCAACCAGCCCCAATGGCAGAAACTCCTTGCTCGGCGTGTACCTGGACACCAGAGCGACAGTCCCACTGCTCTTACAAAAGTAATGTCAGCCTTTTCTACAGCGCCGGCCCAAGAGGAGCGTGGTCTCTAGGCTCCAAATTCATTCTCAAAGAGCGATCGATCTCGCCCCCAAATTTCGAAACTGTCAATCTACAATTCGTTTCCTCAAAGACCACAATTCCAGTTCCAAAACTCGTCAAAGAATGGACAGAGGATGATGGGACGTATTTCCAGATCACGGAACGCCTGAGAGGCAAACCACTGAGCGAGGCCTGGCCCACAATGTCCCAGACAGACAAAGACCGAGTCGCGAGTCAGACTGCCGACTATCTCAAGCAACTTCGAGAGCTCCGTTCTGATCGAATGGAGTCTCTTGGAGGCCAGCCCCTCTATCATGCTTTTCTATTCATGTCTGGATCTGGTAAAAGGCATGGGCCTCTATCGTCAGACGATGAACTTTGGACTGAGATGTCGAAGAGTCTTGACCACGTCCCTGAGAACGTGCTAATGAAACTTCGAGCGCGCCTACCAACTGCAGCACCCTATACATTCACCCATGGTGATCTAACGGATGTCAACATCATGGTTGAAGATGGTCATCTAGTGGGCATCATCGATTGGGAGGGGGCGGGATACTTCCCGGTCTGGTGGGAGTTTGCTGCCCTGTCCATCGGGTTGGGAGAAGTGGACGTTGAATGGAAACAGACGCTACGTCGGTATATGCCTGCCGAAGATCGAGAGTTTTGGCGTATCTTCTACTCGCTAAAATGGAACTACCCTAGGTTGGATGAGGTAGGGCATGAGTTCTTCCAGAAAAGTGGACTTGAACTGCCGGTAGTTGAAGCGTCTGATAGCTAGGAAGGCGTTAGTTGAGCACCGTCACAAAGAAATTTCTACAGTACGCGAACAGTGGTATTGGAAGTGAAATAAAGATAAGATAGAGTATGTTGCATATCAGCTTGCTTGGGTCGTGGGTTTCAGCACGTAAACAACGGGGAAATAGAGGGCCATGTCGCAAAAGGACACAAGATGTGGAATGGTGCAGGCACTTGTTTCGGGTTTTATACACAAGTCATCGATATCCGAACGCAGAAAGATTAAGCCTCTTCAGCAGTCAATGGTGTCGATTCTGTGGCTGTTTCGGTGGACTCCGTAGGGGCATCAGTCACCTCAGACGGAGGCACATAGTATGGAAGCCCTTCCTCGCCGGCGTCTAGGCGCAAGAGGAATGTCTCCCAGAGTTCGATCAACTGTAGTTGACTGGTTAGCGAAATAGAACTTTAGAATGCCCAAGATGTACGTCAAATCTAACCTCCTTCTGAGCCTCCACGGCACTTTCAAGGAAGGTTTCTACACCAGACTTGAAATCCTCGACCTTCTCCTTCTCGAACCTCTGCAGCTCATTTCTCATGAGTCGACCCATATCCTCAAACAGCAGTCGAGTCTGGTGCACCTTGCGCTCGGCATCTGCGACATCGGCATTGACCTGGTTCAGTCGGTCTTGCTGGGTCTTGCCCTGGCGAAGTAGCTTATCTTGCGTATTCTTGCGTTTCTGTAAATCAGACTCTGCCGCATGCCAGGTATGGAAGGCCTTTTGTCGTTGGGTGAAGGCCATCTTCACACTCCCAATTAAGCGAATATATTCATCAATCGTGATTCCCAGGGTCAGGACATCTTGCTGTGCCTGTCGGTCGTAGAGCTCTCGAATGCGAATTTGAAGCTCGGACAGCCCTTCCAGTGGGGATGAAAGGGCAGGGGAAAGCTCGACAGCAGACAAGGCGTGTAGTGAGCTTGAAAAGTCGCCTGCTGCGTCAGCCAGTCCCTTCCGTTGTAGCACCACAGTATCCATCGATTTCATCAATGCCTTCAACTGGTTCTCGAGGGCATCCAGGTAGACCTTGCGGTCGTGGAACCACTGTTCTCTCGTCAACAGGCTTGTTCATAACAGCAGAGAACCATCACTTACATCGTCATGTTCCACAAACTTATTACCTCCGCCAACAGATATGCCAAAGGAACTGAGCATCCCCTTGTTTTGGCCGATGTCTGGCTCACGGTTTTCCTTATTCTTAACATCCACGTTGAAGGCCTCACTTTCAAGGAAGATTTTCAAATCTCCATCATGCTGGAGGATAGGATGGCTGGCAATCTTGTTAAGCATCCGCTCCAAGGCAGCTCTCCTTGATTCGACGAAGTTGGTATCGAATCGGCCCATTGCCTGCTTTTCTGGTGGAGGCGCAACAACCACACCAGGATTGCTGGCATGTAGGGAGTTGTAAAGCCAAAGGAAGTCACGATATCTACGGGTAACCGTAAACTCTGGGTTGCGGTAGGCTTTCGATGAGGTCTAAGCAGAAGCAGTCAGCCGGTTTCTTTTCAATGTGCGCGCTGCGTCCCAGTGTTGATTACCTTTGTCGAAACTTGATAGACAATGTGACTACTCGTCAAATCCCCAACTTTGTGCGGGTCACCAACATAGATTTGGAAGGTGGGCTTCGCAGCTTGCTCAACACTCATGCTGGGCTGCGTCTGGCGCTTCGGTCCATCTGTCTCCGTTGGCGGTTGAACAGGCGGAGGTCCGCGGAAGCCAGCACTTTCTTCGTCCACATTGGCCGATTCCAGTGTGTCACCGATAGCCTGAGGAGACGAAAGCGATTGCGCACGACCAGAGAAAGCTTCCTTCTGGGGTGGCGCTGGTGCCTCGTCTGTCGATGCCGGGGCAGCCTCGGCCGGGACTTCGCCCAATGGGCCGAGTGGGTCGACGGAATCATCGACAGATTCGAGCTTGGTTGCTTGTGCGCTAATCTTGCGGGTGCCTCGAGGGCCTCGTCTTCCGGGTGTGCGGACAGTGGGCGCGCTGTCTGACGCGGGGGGTGCGGCTTCTGTGCGGGAGTGCATTTAGTGGGCTGTGATGCACACAGATCGGAGGGAACATACCACCCTCTGTGCCACTGGGCTTTGGAGCGTCCTGGCTGGGTTTGAATTGGGAGGGCTCATCTGGATCCTAATATCAGAATGCGATTCGAAGAGCTGTGGTTTCATGACTGCCTACCGCCCCATGGGGAGTCCCCAGAGTCGAGATCCATTGTACACTGTTTTGTGAGTTGGAAAATAAGTGAAGAAGTGAATATTAAAGAGAGCGATCAAGTGCTGGACATGAATGGTTCAATCGGAGCTTAGACGGGGCAAGAGTTGGAGAGGGAGCTGGTAGAGCGGAGGCCGATCCGCAATGGGTCACGGGATCCCTAACTAGTCCACAAGGTGTCGTCTTGACTTGCGCCTTTCACCTTGTTCACATCGCTCATTCAAAGTGCCGAGTATGAAAAAATGCTGACTTGTGCAGCGTCTTTACTTCTGCACATACTTCCTACGGTGCCCCATGGATCAACTCATTGATGCTCTCAATGCTCATCCCGCAATACGTCACATCATATTTATCGAATTCCTAACTGGCATGGCATTACTTCGTATAAGTTCCCAGCTTTCGTCGGTCAATTGGAATCCCGTGGACAGCTACACATGATCTATTTGATCCACGGAAGTCCCAGCTTGTGCATTTCAACAGCCAGCTGGAACAAGTAATCCAGACTCTCGCACTGGGTCTTGGCCTTGGCGGTGGTGTCGCCCCAGACATAGCTGCAGGATCCAGCGTGTTAGCATATTGTCAAATCCCATGTGCAGCGGGTTGATATGACTCACATTCCATGTCGGCGAACAAGCACGGCATATGTGTCAGGGTATTTGTTCATGGCAGCCTCCAGGCCACTGGTCAGATCCTCTTCAAAGGCAGTGTTCTCAATGATTGGGATCTTCAGAGTATCGAAGAATCCAAGCATGCCCTTGCCCTTGCCACGAGGAATACCCTTGATCTGCTCGATGTTGTTGATCTCGAAACAAGCATCGGGGCCCTTCTCCCGCTCCACCAGCAAAGTAACGAGCACAGCCCATTGCGAGTGCGTGTGGATGCAGCATCCAGCGCCCTGCTCAAAAGCAGTCAGGAACAGTGGAGTGCAGGCGGAAGGGTTGAGCTTGAGGGGTTTGCGGATATAGTTGCGCGCCTCGGCGGGGTACTTGGGGGTGGGCCACTGGACGACGAAGATGTTCTGTGGCTGGATCAGTTCCTTTTGGACTCCCGAGGGAGCAATGTAGATGTGGTCGCCCTGGCGGATGGAAGTCTACATTCTCTATCAGCGGGGTACCGTTCAATTTTTTTTCTTCCGTTAGCTTACACCACCGCCAGTGCCGGTCACCCATCCCCAGTTGTAGAATTTCTTGCAGAGCTCGGGGATCAGGTTGGCCGGGTGCTCCGGGTCGTCAGACTGAACCAAATGGTCATTGTTGTCGGTCGTTGCGACAGCTTTGTCGGTGGGGCACATGGCTGCAAGAGGTTGTACGCGTCAGTATGGGCCATTGAAGGAAGACACAGAAGCAAGGGGGTTTCCAGGATGGTAGCATATTCGACTCACTTCCAATCGCGACCAAGTTGGCTTATATTGGAGGACGTTATATGCCAGAACCGAATGTCGGATAAGATGGGTTAGGCGGGGAAGAAGTCAATCGGGGATCTGCGGCCTGGTGCAGCACGCCATTAAATTGTTTGTTATGTATTAAGAGTATTTTCATGATCACCATGGGAGTAAAAGAACCATCACAAAGTAAAGCTAGACATCCCATTTATATTCCATCCGAATGAATTCTACTCGTTCAAAAGCATCGCATTGAAGAGATCGCGCAAAGAGCAAAGGGAGTATAGAACAACATCGAAGCCCGTGTGTAGCCTAGTCCCGATTGGGTAGCTGTGTTGAAGAGGCCACCTGGACCTTCCCTCCACTTTAAAACCTCCCTTCTCCTCACTTTGGCGCTCCACTTTCATTCTTGGGTTTTTCTTGTTTTCCTATAGTGTTTGACCATGCGTTTTGACACTGCGCTTACTTCGGCTCTGGTCTCCTCCGCCAGTCTCATGGGCTATGCCCATGCGGAGGAGGAGGTTGCCGATGCCACTGTCATTGAGAAGCCTGCCTTCACTGTATGTTCCAATTGATCCTACGAGTTTTGCTCCAGACTGACCATTCTCTAGCCCTCCACCCTCAAGGCTCCCTTCCTGGAGCAATTCACCGACGACTGGCAGGCGCGTTGGAAGCCTTCGACCGCGAAGAAGGACGACACCAAGTCCGACGATGAATGGGCTTACGTTGGCGAATGGGCCGTTGAGGAGCCTACCGTCCTGAAGGGTATCGATGGCGACAAGGGTCTGGTCGTGAAGAACGCGGCCGCTCACCACGCCATCTCCGCCAAGTTCCCCAAGAAGATTGACAACAAGGGCAAGACCTTGGTGGTTCAATACGAAGTGAAGCCACAAAGTAAGTGATGATCGCCTACGTTGCCTCTGATTGCCATGCGCTGACCGCGCCTCTTTTGTTAGACTCCCTGGTTTGCGGTGGTGCCTACCTGAAGCTCCTCCAGGAGAACAAGAAGCTCCACCAGGAGGAGTTCTCTAACGGCACTCCCTATGTCATCATGTTCGGCCCCGACAAGTGTGGAGCCACCAACAAGGTTCACTTCATCTTCCGCCACAAGAACCCCAAGACCGGCGAGTACGAGGAGAAGCACCTCAAGACTCCCCCCGTGGCCCGTACCAACAAGGTCACCTCTCTCTACACTCTGATCGTTAAGCCCGACCAGACCTTCGAGATCCTCATCAACGGCGAGTCTGCCAAGGCCGGTAGCCTCCTCGAGGATTTCAACCCTCCCGTCAACCCCGAGAAGGAGATTGACGACCCCAAGGACTCCAAGCCCGCCGACTGGGTTGATGAGGTCCAGATCGCCGACCCCGAGGCTACCAAGCCCGCCGACTGGGACGAGGAAGCTCCCTTCGAGATTGTGGACGAGACCGCCACTCAGCCCGCCGATTGGTTGGAGGATGAGGCCACCAGCATTCCTGACCCCGAGGCTGAGAAGCCCGAGGACTGGGATGATGAGGAGGATGGAGACTGGCTCGCTCCCACCGTTCCTAACCCCAAGTGCGCTGATGTCTCTGGATGTGGCCCCTGGACCCGCCCCATGACCAAGAACCCCGAGTACAAGGGCAAGTGGGAGGCCCCTCTCATCGACAACCCTGCCTACAAGGGTATCTGGGCCCCCCGCAAGATCAAGAACCCCGCCTACTTCGAGGACAAGACCCCCTCCAACCTGGAGCCTATGGGCGCCATTGGATTTGAGATCTGGACCATGCAGAGCGACATTCTGTTCGACAACGTCTACATTGGTCACTCCGTTGAGGATGCTGAGAAGCTCCGCCAGGAAACTTTCGATGTCAAGTTCCCCATCGAGGAGGCCGAGGAGGAGGCCAGCAAGCCCAAGCCCAAGGTCCAGCAGGATGGCACCACCACTACCTTCCAGGAGGACCCCGTTACCTTTGTCCGCCAGAAGGTCAACCACTTCGTTCAGCTGGCCCAGGAGGACCCTGTTCACGCCGTCAAGACTCTCCCTGAGGTTGCCGGTGGTCTGGGTGCCCTTCTCCTGACCATGATCCTCGTGATCTTTGGCGCCATCGGTGCCAGCAGCCCTGCCCCCGCCGACAAGAAGGGCAAGGCCCCCGCCACTGCTCCCAAGGAGAAGAAGGGTGAGGCTGTCAGCTCCTCCGCTGAGACCAGCAAGGGCGGCGCCACTAAGCGCAACACCCGCTCCTCCGCGGAGTAAACGCAATGGGTAACCAATGACGTTGGAAAACAGCAACCTTGTAAACCCAATCAACGAAGAGCTTTGCATTCAGTTACCGCAGTGATCCCCCTCTTGTTTTATCTTGGCCCATGTAGTTTGAATGGAGGCCCGATTTGTATACTTTCCGCTTTTGCCAATTTCTCAATTATTTCTAGCCAGTGTTTCGGAGACAAATGCTATTCCAAAAGAAATTATTCTGTTAAGCTATTCCTACACGGAAGGGTAACAATTTCCGTCCATTTCCCATTGTTCACTCTCATGCTCACGTAGAGAGGGGAAACGCCTACCTTATCGGAACGGCCTTCCCATCAGGTCTGAGCGTCGGAACCATTGCCGTCCCCGGGTACCTGTACGCGAGGGACCTCCTTCGTCTCGGCGATTCACGTCGATTAGGTCGCAGTACTTGATTGGTTCTCATCGCCGAACAACAGCCCCAGGGTTATCTGGGGGGCTTCCCGAGCTCAGCCCGAGGGAATCATTCAACTGACTAAGGCGGTTGACCTCGGACCTGGGGTAACCCAATTTATCAACTTCCAATTCCTTACTTTCTACTTTCTACTCTGCTACTTAATCCGTGACTCGTCCGTCGAGTTTCTTCTCACATATATCTTTCTTCTCTTTCCCCCGTCGCCATCGCCATGGCTGCTTGTCGCTCAATTGCCCGCTCTATCCCCGCTCTCCGCGCGCTTCCCCGCACGCCGACGGTGACCGCTAGAGCTGCATCTTCAGCCCGATCTATTTCTACTGCTTCTCCCCTTTCAATCGCCTCACGTAGAGTAACCATGGCTCCCTCATCACTTTCCGCAACCCGCCGTTTGCAGACCACTGCTCACAAGTTCGCCCCTTCAACGACTTCGGCTATGTCCACCCCTACCGAATACCCAACTAGCCACCAAAAGATCACCAACCCAATCGACACCGCTAATTTCATTGACAACCAATTTGTGACCTCCAAGGCCTCCACTTGGATTGACCTCCATGACCCCGCTACCAACAACCTGGTCACTCGTGTGCCCCAGAGCACAGATGAGGAGCTGAAGGCTGCCGTGGAGTCGGCCGAGAAGGCCTTCCCCGCCTGGCGCTCAACCAGCATCATGGCCCGTCAGCAGATCCTCTTCAAGTTCACAAGTCTGATCCGTGAGCACTGGGACCGCCTGGCTGCCTCGATCACCCTCGAGCAGGGCAAGACCTTTGCTGATGCCAAGGGTGATGTTCTCCGTGGTCTGCAGGTTGCCGAGACTGCCTGTGGCATCACCACCCAGATGACCGGTGAGGTCTTGGAGGTGGCCAAGGACATGGAGACCAGAAGCTACCGCGAGCCCCTCGGTGTCGTGGCTGCTATCTGCCCCTTCAGTGAGTTCACACCGCTGAAATCAACGCTGGTATACATGCTAACCCCAACCAGACTTCCCCGCTATGATCCCACTTTGGTGTATCCCCGTTGCAGTGGCAACTGGTAACTGCTTGGTCATGAAGCCTTCCGAGCGTGACCCCGGTGCTGCGATGATTCTCGCAGAACTCGCCGCCGAGGCTGGTTTCCCCCCTGGTGTTCTGAACATCATCCACGGCTCTGCTCGTACCGTGGACTTCATCCTTGATGAGCCCGCCATCAAGGCCATCAGCTTTGTTGGTAGCAACCGTGCCGGCGAGTACATCTACTCTCGGGGCTCTGCCAACGGCAAGCGTGTGCAGGCCAACTTGGGTGCCAAGAACCACGCCGCTGTGTTGCCCGACGCCAACAAGAACCAGGCTCTCAACGCCATTGTTGGTGCTGCTTTCGGTGCTGCCGGTCAGCGCTGCATGGCATTGAGCACCTGTGTCATGGTTGCCGAGACAAAGGAGTGGCTGCCCGAGATTGCTGAGCGTGCTAAGGCTCTAAACGTCAACGGTGGCTTCGAGGAGGGTGCTGACCTTGGTCCTGTCATCAGCCCCGAGAGCAAGAAGCGCATTGAGGACCTCATTGCCAGTGCTGAAGAGGAGGGTGCTACCATCCTTTTGGACGGCCGTGGTTACAAGCCCGATGGATACCCCGATGGCAACTTTGTCGGCCCTACCATCATCACCAATGTCACTACTGACATGAAGTGCTACAAGGAGGAGATTTTCGGACCAGTCCTTGTCTGCCTGAACGCTGAGACCCTTGACGACGCTATCAGCACAATTAATGCCAACGAATACGGCAACGGCGCTGCCATCTTCACTCGCTCTGGCTCCACCGCCTCCAAGTTCCAAAAGGAGATCGAGGCCGGCCAGCTCGGTATCAATGTTCCCATCCCTGTCCCTCTTCCCATGTTCTCCTTCACTGGTAACAAGAAGAGTATTGCCGGTGGTGGTGCCAACACCTTCTACGGCAAGCCCGGCTTGCAATTCTACACTCAACAAAAGACCGTCACCAGCTTGTGGAAGAGTGAAGATGCCGTGAGCACCAAGGCCAGCGTCGTGATGCCCACTCACTCTTGAGCAATCAGCGCCTGGTTTTCGGATTTAGCTCAAAGTTTTTCCTTCTTTTTTCTTTTTTTCAAAATTTGCGCTTTATGGATATCACGAACTCCGGTTCATATTTAACAATTTATGAATACACATCGGCTTTACAAATTGGTCCCTATTTCTACGGGTGCGGAGTAAATATATGTCCAGGACTACCGGTGAACTTAGCCAGGTCTCTGTGGGACCTCGGGATCTGACTAGCGACAGCACTCTCCATGCCTCCAGGGCTGGTGTAACTCTTCAAGGTTCGAAAATATCTTGGTATTCCGAAGTTCCAAAGTTGTCTCACGCCGTATGTATTGTAGCTACACATCATGGCCGATAGATCCACACACGCCAAGGTAGAGCCACGAGATACCCTGCTCGCCACACATTTATATTCGTACAATTGCATGAAGCAAACACCACCCCGTAACCCTTCCTTAACCACGACTAGGTCGAAATTGCATCCAGGGCCCCTCTACCGCAGCGGTAACAAAGCCCCTAAATGGATACTGACAATCACTCCGTGTACCACCACAACACGGTGATTCCGGCGCTAGCCGCATATCATACTTGAATAATGCCCTCGCAAGAGTCACATTCAGCTCTGCCCACGCGAGTTTCCACGCAACGCATGACCGCGGCCCATATCCGAATGGACAGAAACCTTCCCTAGCACCACTGATACTCTCAGTCATACTCCTGGAATCAGTGAGCCATCTCTCCGGGTGGAACTCATCGGGAGCAGTGAAGTATCTTGAGTTTCGCTGAAGTGTGTATATTGATGTGCCGACGGTGGTTCCGGCGGGGATGAACTCATTGTCGATCTGGGCTCCGCCATCTTCGACGACGCGCGGGGGAGAATTGGGGATGGGTGGTACAAGGCGCAGTGATTCGTTGATGCATGCTTGGAGGAATCTGCATGAGTTGAGCTGTTGGCCCATGTGGATTTCGTCTTCGTTTGAGAATGTCAGGCGAAGCTCTTCTCTTAACCGTGAGAGTGCTGATGGGTTGTGACCTAGGAGAAATAGTGTGCTGCTCATTGCGGCGGAGGTGGTGTCGGAGCCTAAGAGTAAGGAGATTTAGAATATGTTGGTAGTTATCATGGACGGATGCTTACCAGCAGTGAGCAATAGGAAAGACTCAAGCCAAAGATCCTTTGGGGTAAAGTTCTGTCCTGTCTTGGGGTCTGTGGCATTCATCATATTGTAGATCAAGTCCTTCTGTTTGATGTCATTGCCCAAAAAAGCCCGCGATTCTGAGCGTTTCCGAATCCATTCACTGGCATTCAGAATGTCTTTTAGTTGTGGTGCCATGAACAGTCGGTCTATCTTAAGATTGAAGAACTTGGGTTGAATCATGCCCTGGATAGGGAGTCAGTGAAGCTTCCATTAGACAGACCATATCACATACAATCACCATTCGATGAGAAGCCTTCGTTATCACCGACGGAAACCAGCGTAGCTCAGGTGACTTCAACATATCGAAGTGCTCACCAAAGCTAAGATCACTGATGATATCGAATGCCAGCCAATTGCACATCAAAGCCATGTTCCTTGAACTCCCCCAAGTATTCTTCGTGCCAGAGGGATCGGCTTGAGAGCCATCAGCAAGTGGCGCGATGAAATCGTCAATCCGAGCCATCAAGCGCTCTTCGATGTTCCGTAGCCCATGGTCAGAAAATGTCTGAGACATGATGCGACGCTTGAATCCGTGAACGCCCTTATCGGTAGCGGAGATGGTATTGGGGGTTCGTCTGCTGGCACTCATGACAGCATAAGCGTCTGCTTTGCGAACATTGGCGCGAGTGCCGTATATGTCGTGCATTCCCGAGTGGGTGTTGAAGTCAAGACTATTAGGTCCATAGCGTACGATGTCTCCTGCGCAGAAGTCAATATTTGAAGTAGAGAATGAGAGATGAAACAAACCATATTTCTCATGCAATTTCCGATTTTGAAGATGAAGATCTCCCCTCCAAGCATGAAAGGCAGTATACCAATTAGTTATAGCTGCTAAGCGAGGGCCTGGGTACTTCGCCAGCGGATGGAAGAACAGTCGGTAGATGATGAGTCCAATCGTCTATGATGGTTCCAACGTTTTGATTAGCACCGGTTCTGAATTCTCTATTTTTTTGTCTTCTCTGAGAAATATATGTAGGAGAGCTTACCCATAATACATAGGCGACAGCCGCTGCTGGAATCAATTTTGACATCGTGGGTTGATTTACTAAAAACTATGATTACAATACAGCCAGAAGGGTAGTTTAAATAATTTCTATTTAGGACAGACACCGGAGATATTGCAGAGGCCTGTCTACCTTCACATGGCGGCCCCAGCACTGGGCGCCAACGGCGTGCCATCACGCTTGATTCTAAGATTGGGAGCACAACTATGTGTGTCATATGAGTCCAATCCCACCGCCAGTTGATTCGCACGGATATGTGGGATGTCATCAGGGCGTCTGGGACATTCGAACATCTCCATATCGAGCAACTTTATCTCATACCGACGGGTTACGCCAATCACAAATGATATTGGAATTCGTGGTTGGGCTCATTTTTCGGGCTGTGCCCAGATGGATGATCTCGCTGACGCCAGATGTCCCAGGCATGCTGAGTGAGTATGGATTACCATTTCAGGAAGGTAATTCATGATGGGATAATTATAGACAAGATAGTTGCTGTCGAATTTCTCCTTAGGGCGAACAGGGATGTCAGTGGCTTAGCTCTAATTGATTCTAGACGACATCAGGCATAAGGCGGGATGAATGATGTAAATATAAGATTTTGCAATGCAGCGTCTGTACACGTACCGAGTCAGGTCCTGGATTAACAGACAACTGCTGATATGGACGGGAACCTCATCCAATCATCAATACTCATAAGTGAGTGAGAGATCTACGATCGTAAGCCGCAGCCGAAATGGACACTGAAACGTGGCCATGCCAGACTTCGCTTGGACGCCTGATTCAGCCCCAATCTCTTTATGGGGTATTTTGCGAGCCGAATCTCTTTATGGGGCATTTTGCGAGCCGATTCGCCAGCACATCGCTACTTTCTAGAGATCAAAGTACTTCGGCTATATCCATAACACTTGAATCAACGATAGACATATGCATCAATCTTCTGCAATCTGACCCTAGGCAAAAATTTGGTCACTTGCAGCACGTTAAATTGCGACTAAGCAAACACATGTGTTTCGAAAAGCGAGAAAATGTACTAGGATCACCATCAGTAAATTGGGTGGAATTGAAAGTATAGAGTGTGTGGTTAAATGCAACGCAAACTTTTGAATAGAATATCCCATAGTCCAATTAGCAGGAATGTCGATTAGTCGGATCTTTTTATCCGTCAACAACTGGATTTCCCACTACATAGTGGGGCTTACAGTGGACCCTGATCGGGCCCTATGTATAGCACTGTGGCCCACGTAGCTCGGCCCCGAGGTCTGAACTTTAGCGGCGGGTTTGACTCGATTCATGAAGACGGTCTGTGAGCGTACGTAGGCGATCTACACTGCGAGATTTGCAATGGTTCATATGCACTAGTTCAGCGCGTATCCGTCCGTATCGTAACAGTGCGGTCAGGTCTGTTTGCGGCACGCATCTACCGTTTCATGGCCCCCTGGGGCCACACAGCCCACTTCCAAATACTCACGTATGAAGTGACGAGAGACTCGATTTCCAGAAGGGCAAGGCTCATCAGCCTCGACCATCCTGCAGCTTGAGTTGTCATTCCGCGTCGACGGACCCGGAACAAGCGTGCGAGGAGAGATGTCTATGACTGAGAGTACCAAAGATCTAAAAGAACAGCATTGTATAAATTACTAGAGCGTAAAAAGTAGGAGCTGGTGCCGCTAATGCAGTTTGCCAATCTCATGCCCAAGCAGCGAGGTTATAGTTGTTCTTGGCCCCTCTCTTGGGATTTTGTTCTACCAGTATAACGACTTTCCACATCCATCCCATAGAGCTTGCTTCTACTTGTGGCTCAGGATCTGTTTCATCCATATAATTCTGCACCCGGGCATCCTTCGATACCAAGAGAAAATTTCCGTGTTGGCTGGTGATCCCTCGCCGACCATGACAGGCCTAGGCCAAGGAAATCAAGATACTGGTGTCACCAAGTCCACTTCGAGAAGCATCATGCCTGGAGTCGAACATGACGCTGCGTACTCTTCCTCGGATACCACGTATGGCACAGAAAGCGAAACCCGGAAGGAAGTTCCCAGCGGCAATGATACTGGTCACGACAGCCCGGAGCTGCAAGTTCCCGATGCTCGCCAATGGAGTCTCAAGTACAAGCTTTTTGTCTCTTTTAGTGCCATCATCTCTTATTTCTTCATGTGAGTGATATAACCCGGGCCTGCCGTTCAAGCTTGAGCAGAACTGACCCAAGCCAATGTGATGATCTAGTACATTCGCAACCTCAGTATATGTCGCGAGTATACCAGGAATCATGCGGGAGTTCCATGTCGGACAGACATTGGCAATCTCTCCGATCACGTTCTATGCAATCGGATTTGTGATCGGACCGATGTGCACATCTGCCCTATCCGAAGAATTCGGCAGACAATACATCTACAAGATTTCTCTGTTCCTTCATATGGTATTCACCATCGTCGGTGGAGCAGCCCAGAATTTCAGAACAATAGCCGTTGCCCGTGGGGTCTGTGGAATCGTCGGATCTCCATGCGTGACTGTCTTCTCGGGTCTGTTGAATGATCTATGGAGAATGCCAGAGGACAAGCTGGGCGGGACCCTGTTTGCAATGTATGGCATAATGGGCGCGATTGCAACTGAGATCGGCCCTATAGCTGGCGAGGCGATAGTCAGTGACCGCGACTGGCGCTGGACTTTTTGGCTCACAGCCATGTTGGTTGGGGCGTGTTTCCTGGCAATGGTGACAGTACCCGAGACATATCGCCCCGAGATCCGAAGGAAGATGCTCAAACTGCCACGAAGTAGTATCTGGCACTGTCTGGGGCCTGCATTTGCACGTCCGTTTCACATGCTGATGGTTGAGCCGATCATCCTCCCCACGGCTGCTATTGTTACCATGGGCCAGGTTGTTGTTTTTGTGTTCTATGCAAGCTACCCGTTGATACTTTCACGGGAGTACCAATTCACAGCATATGAGATCGGGCTGGCTTTCATCCCACTACTCATTGGCAGTTTGCTGGCACTGCCTATCATATCAGTGGTGATGAAAAGGCGAGAAAAGGCATCGACCTCACAGCCTGAAGACTCTATGCCCGCGGCTAGTATAGCAGGCATCTTGTTACCGATCAGCTTGTTTTGGTATGTGACAATTCCGACTGTTCACGTTGGTGGGAAATGCTAACTCGGATGAAAAGGCTTGCATGGACAGCTCGATCGAGCATTCACTGGATATGTCCACTCATTGCCGGAGGGCTTTACGGATTAGCCTTTGCGCTATCGCAGGTACGTACTCGATCAGAAAGCCAATTGTGCAACACTAGGTACTAAAGCATCAAACTTTAGCTGGTCTACCCGCTATACAAGAATGAGGTCTATGGTGCCGAGTTCGGAGCTTCTTCTTTTGCCGTCGATGTTGCTATGCGCTACACCTTCTCGTCTGTCTTCCCGCTTTTTACCACTCAGATGGTAGATAGTATTGGATTCGACTGGACCATCAGCCTTTGGGCATTTGTGTTGTTGGCTCTGGCCCCCGTCCCCTTTGTACTTCAACGATATGGACCGAGGCTACGAGCACGCAGCCAATATGTCCAAAGGAGGGAGGAAGACCCCCCTTCGGTTGGGGCAGCTTGAGGGACTAAGCATGTCTAAGAAAATGGGAGATATGGGATATGGGATGTGAGAGATGGAGGAATACAGGTGTAATTGAGCACCAGTAATACCTAGTAATGATGAAAGAAATGACTGAGGAGCTTGCCAGTTTACCTTGCTTAGATCTCGGCGGGAGAGCCAGAGTCTCATATGGTCATCTCCGTGTACTCTGTACTGTACTTTGACTTCACATCGACGCCCAGGGAGGGCTCCAGCCTCGTCATAGATTGCATTCTGTTTCAGCTATCACATTGTGCAATGTGGGGAATGCGCTTTACTATGCGTGATGAATGAGCGGTGCACGAACGATCTACCCTGGGGCAGCGTTTGTGATCTATACACTTGGATGGCTGCCCCGCATGGAGGGGACTCTCACACTTCTATGTACCTAGGTAGTTTTCCTCCCCCTCCATTGGATGGCACCGCGATGATACTCATGTACCTAGTAGAGCTTTTCGATGAAGAGAGGCACAGACTGAGGAATACAGTGCTACGAATAAGTACTCGCAAAGAATCAAGGCTGAACGCTAGATTGATTTCAAACATAACTAGCTCGTCAATCTGATAGGTGCATGCCAGCATCACCTACAGAAGAATCTCACGCTTCAGTCTTGCGAGACTTGAAAGAGTAAACTAGTCTAGCCATCTCGACCTTGCCGCCCTTGGTAACCGCAACACGGCGCGTGTGAAGTCGCTTGCCATCGATAATCTCAAAGCCCCAGATCTGCTCTGCAGTCCAGCCACTCTCAGAGTTCTGCACAAAGCTCTGCATGAACGCATCCTCTTCGAGGAAACCCTCACTCTTCGATCCGTCGACCAAGGTCTCGCCTTTCAGGAACTTAGCGACTCGCGCATCGTCCTCGGCATTTCCAACAGAGGTTTGAATGTCGATGTTCTGAATGCCTTCAAAATGGCGCGATTGACCAACCAGCTTGCCGAAGATGTTGTCGGTGTGCTCCCGCTGTTGCCAGTCCAGGGTGCGACATTCCTTGTTGCCTTGAATACCACCGGAAAGCACAGATTGGCCGTCAACGTGGTAGATCTCGGGCTTCTCGCTGTCCGGGTACTCATGAATATAGATGGTTACTGTAGCGAGAGAGAGAGCCTTGCGTGTGACCCATCCCATGCCTTGCTAGTGGATGTTAGTGCGAGTTTGTGATAAATCGTGTGGAACTTTTCATGATAAGGGGCAGCTCTGGAAATTGGGTGTTTCAGGGTTGTGACACTGGCATGGATTCCGTTTGGAGTATGGAGTACGGAGTACTCATTTTTGGGTTAGGGCTAGGATGTTCATACCAGAGAAAGGACGGCATCAGTGGGAGTGCCCAGGGATGACTCCTGTAATGAGTGAGCATTTCTTCCTGTGGAATTGATCCGTTCATTATCATACCATGAGCCATTCACCGCTGAGGTTCTTAATAGTGATGTCTGCTGGAGCGGCCATCTTGGAGTAGCTATAGCTCGGAATGCGGGGTAGGGTTGAGAGGTGGTTGGACCGGGGTGTCTCGCGGGAATGTCAACTCAATTGAAGGGATGAAAGGTAAAGAAAGTCAGAAAGGAAACTGAATTGTTATATACTCCCGAAGTGTCTTGAAAATGAGCTTGACTCGTTGCGTCAATTGCATGTGGCGGTCCGAGGCTTGACACGTGCTTTTGCTGACTCACCAGCTCGCCGGCCTCCTGATGTTTACTCTGTTCGATGCGGAGCTACAGCCCCAAATGGCCTTCAACAAGAAATATGCCGGTCTGCCGGACTTGGTGAGCTAGCTGCACCATACTAATGGGTATTCTCGCTGACCGCTTAGGACCCCTCCCCGGATATCTATGAAACCCCAGACCTGACCGATGAGGCATCGACCCTCCCCGTGAGTCCAATTGAGGCAGACGTCATTGGCGATAACTGATCTTGGCTAGGCGGGCACTATCCGCACCGAATCCGACCATGATGACTCCAGCTCAGACATTGACCGCGAGGGTGTCAACGCCGACCAGGCGCGTATGCATTTCATGGGCGCTGCCGTGGATGCTCGCGACGTCAATTTCTCTGATAGCATCTCCATGAAACGTCAAGCATATCGGAGCAAGGATATCAATCGCCGTCGGAGACGCGCAGATGGCACAGAGGAGGTCGGTGACCTGAGCGACAGTGAAGACGAGTCTGTGGAGCGAAGACTGGCCCGCTTGCGGAGGGAAGTCGAAGATCTCAAAGTGGAGATGGCCGCCCAAAAAGCCAAAGGCGATGATTCACAGAACGCCACAGAAAAGCCCGAGGACCTGGGCGATGGTGTTGCAGAGTTGAGTCGCGCCTTGGACAACTTGCACACCTCGCGAGGTGCCACACCATCACACTCGGCTGCTGCATTGCTATCTCAGAGACTTGGGTCTGGGGCGACCCCGGCAGAATCGACACCAGTCGCCAACACACAAAATGCTCCTCCAGTGGTACCAACTCAGCCTGTCCCCGCCGGTATCCTCTCCCATGCAGCAGCTTTCGACAGCAGACTAGCTCTCCTCGAGAGCTCCATAGGAATATCCAACTCCTCAAACCCGTTCGTCGCCGACGGCATCAGCGAGACATCACCACACCCCGTCATCCCAGCCCTCGACCAACTCACCTCCCGGCTCTCGGCCTTGAGCGGCCTTCTAGTGGGCACGAACCCATCCTCAGGCGCACCAAGCGGACCGGGAATGACAACCCCACACCTCGAAGCTCTTTCCACTCGTGTGCGGAAGCTGACAGCAGACGCCGAAGCTCTGACCGCAGCACGCAGAAAGGCATTCGATGCCGCTAAAGCTGCGCACAATGCTCGTCTGGCAAGTCCCGACGCAGACACGTCTGCACTGGAAGCTTCTGCGGACGATGAACACACGGCCAAGATTCAAGCCCTTTACGCTACACTTCCGACTATTCAATCTTTACACCCATTGCTTCCCAGCGTGCTTGAGCGTCTGCGCTCTCTGCGCGCATGCCATGCTGGTGCAGCTCACGCTGCTGAATCCCTTGATGAGCTGGAAAAGCGCCAGGCTGAGATGGCGTCGGAGATTAGTCAATGGCGTGAAGGACTCACCAACGTGGAAGAGAAAATGCGACAGGGCGAAGCTGCTCTGCGCTCCAATGTCGAGACTGTAGAGCCATGGGTGAGGGATCTGGAATCTCGCCTGGGACGTCTTGAAGCGCCTGGACTGTGATCCGTTTGTATCTCCTTTTTGAATAATACCCAGTTTGCATGTTCCTTGAAGTACATGGCTTGTGTGGTTACGTTTGTGAATATGATTCCCATCCATAGCAATGAACAAAAAAACATTTTAATCAAATATAAAAATACATCTGAAAATCTATCCTAAACCAAATCAACCTCTTGCACGTTTCAAAACCTGGACTCTAGGCTCCATCCTCGGCTCAACCCACCACCCGCGCAACAATACCCTTGCATACTCACGTATGCGTTCGAAGAGCTCGACTGCACGCGCACCACCAACGGACTCAAGGATGCGTCTTTCGGCAATCCCCTTGGCCGGAACACCGGGTCTCAACACTGTAATGCCAGTAAAACCGTTAACAACATACACGCTCTCCCAAGCAGAACCTGGCAGTGCACGACGGAGTCTAGTCTCATCTGTATCCACGATGTTCGCGTCCGACGAAGTCTCCAACACGAGGTAGTCGAAGCGATCCCAGAACTCACTCGTTGACTTAATGCCCTCGTCCTCGGTCTTATCATAAACCCACCCCGACGAAGGATCTTGCTGTAGGAATCGTGTCACGCCAGTTTGGCAAGCCAAATTACCCAAGTAGACGTTTATGCCTGACTGGGCAGATTGGTCCTTGCGCAAAGCGTGTTGGCGATGCATAGCATCGATCGCCTGTCCACCAGGATAATTAGCCGCAGACGCAGGTAGAAGAACCAGGTTAGACAGCAAGAACACTGCGAGAGACGAAACTACCAGAGCGCGGGTCGCCCAGCGCGCAAAGCAGGAGCGCGAGCGATGCGTCCAGAGATACCCGGCACCCAAAGCTGCTGCAGACGTAAGAGAGGGGATGATGTAGATGATGAATCGCCATTCCTTGTGCGGCTGGAAGCTATACAGCGCCACGAATGCCATCGTAGGAATGAGCAGCGACAGTGCGCTTTTCCGCGTTGCTGGCTGTCGTAGGGCAACGGGGATGGCGAGAAGATAGCAAAGTGGATTGAAGAGGAGGCGGGGAAGAGAATTGGAGAAATAGAACGACCAGGGCTCTGTTCCCCATTCTGAAGATTGGCCTGCTAGCACGTTGAAGCGGAACGCTTCAAATTCAGGCCATAGCGGGAAGCTCTGCCAAAAGGCTCCGTCTATGCAGACGGTCAAGGTGAGGCCAGCTGCCAAACCAGACAGGCCCGCGAAGATGGTCCTGTAGATACTGATGCGCCGCGAAAATAGGAGAAACAGAGTCTGAGTTCCAACCAAGAGGGCCAGCTCGGAGCGGAAGACTACGCCTGCGAATGTGAGCAGAGACAAGGCGAGGCTTTGCTGGAATTGGGATGGGTTTGGTCCTGGCAGAAGTAGCCAGAATGCAAGAGTTGTGATCCCAAAGGCAAACATGTTGGATAGTGGCCGAGATGCATAGTACATGAGGTGGAACTGGCTTGCTTGGAAGACGATGTACCAAATAGCTACTGCACGTCCGAAGCTGCGACGCAGCCCGGTTGCGTAGATTGCTAGAGATGAGGCATTGAAAAGACCCAGGATGGCTCGAGCTGGAGTACCGTCAGTCAGGATGTACTATTGAATTGGGATCTACGAGGATCGTGTACCTAGTAGTTGCTGGTTGATCCCAGCGCGGAACAAGATCACGGGCTTGGACAGCAGAGCGAGAGCTGTAGCCCCAACAGCGCTGCGGGGAACAGCCCCGGGAAAGGCGAAATGGTCATAATTCGTTCTGTTGAGAGTCGTATCATTCCAACCGTTGGGCAGCCCGTTAGCTAGCAGGTCATGCACAGCCTGGACATGGAAGGACTCCTCGACTTTCGTATAAGGAGCAACGAATAGGTGCAAAAGGATCAAGACAGGGAAAACAAGAGCAAGGCCCGCAGCTGCATTGAATTAGTACAGTCGTGTTTGCTTCGTGAGTTAACGAACCATATCCCATGGTGGCTTCCGAGGAGAGAGTTGCGGAGATCTGGCGGCTTCCCGCACCTCACCTTAACATCATCTTCAGCTCGACGCAATGTTTTTCTTCGGCTTGGGGAAGCTGTTCTACGGTATGTCCTGTCTCAGTTCTGAAACTAGAGCTCTACTAATCCTGATCTAGTCATCATCCTCATCATCAATGCCATCGCTATCCTCTCCGAAGACCGATTCCTAGCTCGCGGTATGTCCCAACCTCCGCCTCGCAAACTACCCTAACACATATACAGTCGGATGGGGTCGCACGCAGGCAGAGCCAGGCTTCGGCGCGTCATATGATAGCACAAGCGTCAAGGCCAAGACAATCAACCTCATCGCAAGTGTGCGCACCGTGATGCGAAGTACGTTTCCAACCCCGAGCCCCTCGTTCCGTCTCGCAACATGGAGACCTCGAGACTAGCTGGGCTGAAGGACTAACTCACTCCATCCAGTACCGCTTATAATCATCAACACCGTCATCATCGTGTACGAGCTGGTCCTGGGTTAAATCCCCTCACTACATTTCTACTGCGGGCCCAATGCTATCGAAAAAACGATCACTCACGACTGAACTCCAACACCCTCTCTCGTATTCCTGCGACTCGCGCAAGTTTCCCACCGCCCCTTTCGAAGCGAATGGAAATTGAAACATCAAGGCGACATCCGTGGACGACTCGCGACACGATCCACGTGATCGGACTCATTGGATAGAATGGCGATCTCGGGAGAATGCGTGAGGATATTACGATGGGCTGCCTAAACTTGCACACGCAAAAGCATCGTGATATCCACCCATGTATCTGCCCTGAGACCAGTTCTGTATATAGATGCTAGAACCGATGCAATGAACGAGATATGGCAATGTGAAGAATACGCTTCTAGTTGGATATGTTCGATAATTGTTCCGCACACGGATTCGATATTCTTTCTTTGAGATAGCAAGACGTAAAGCATCTATACGTGTTGTGGAAGAAGTGCAGGTAAGAAAAAAGATCAAAGATTCGCTTTGCAATGGGATAAAAGATAAAGTTAAAAACACCCAAAACCGACCGACGCTAGGGGAAATAATAAGCCAAACGCCTCTTTTCGAAATGCTGGTATCATGCGATGATGATACAACGGCGAAAAGTAAAAAAGTGAATAGAAAGGGAGAAAAATGGTAAACAAAGAAGCATAATCAGACCAGATCAATGGAGTCTAGAAAGACATCGTGGGAAAACCACGAGAGAATGGCAAGATCGTAAGTGATAATACATCCGTTGGAAGTTGGAAGCTATGTGCAAAGCAAGAGCGCTCATATGTGCATGGGTATCTCCGATGTCGAAAATGGGACGGAACGGGGACTGTGGTTGTTCAAGAGACTTTCTTGAAGCTGAAGGATCGCCACCGATGGGTAGGCTTGTCGTGGTTGTGCTGGTCTTTGGCAAGGGGATCGGCGCCCCGGACTGGCTGTTTGGGATTGGATAATGGGGAGAATTCTCTCGGAGAGAGGGGGGATTGAACAGGCGAAGACATTGGGACTGATTTGATAGGCTTGGGTAGGGCTGCTTCGGCCTCTGCGGGCGCTTCTTTGGACGCTTCCGGGACGGACGCGGGCAGAAGTGGTGAGGTAGAGAGATCGGATGTTGAGACCCGAGGCTCTCTGTCTTTGCTCAGTCGATGGCTGAGACTGCGACTACCTCGCTTCAGGAAACCGAAGCTTGTGGATTTCCTGGGAGATCCATTCTCGCCGCCGACATCATTTGCATCGGCTCTGCTAGCCTCAATAGCCTTTCTCAAGTCCTCGGCTTCGCGTCGCTGTCTTTCTCTATTCTGCTGTTCTTGCTCTTTCTGGCGAGTCTTCTCGTTCTTCTCCTTTTCTTTCTCTTGTGCGCGCTTTTCCTTGCGCAACTGGTGGTCACTCTTCTTTGGAGTCAGTGGAGGGGTCGGTTCATCAGGAATCGGCGGGAGAGGTGGTTGGACGGGTTGAACAGGCTGCGGGGAGATTGGCAAGGGTGACATCGGCTCCGAGGCTTCTTCGGGGTATGTTGAGAGTGGAGGTGCCGTGGGAATGCGGCTGAGGGGTGTATGGCGAGGGGTGTCTTCGGAAGAAAGCTGAGTCGCACTTTGTGCATGGGCCAGCGGGGTTGAGTGTGGGAAGCCATTTTGCTTTGTGGCATCGCCTGCTTCAGAAGCTGCACTCATGGAGGCCTGATCTTCTTGAGCTTGCTCCCGCATCACAGCATCGAGGGTGGTCTCTTGATAGAACAGAACATAGGCGCAGGCCAAGCCAGGACGATCTCCGAAGAAGTTGCGGACATAGTTTTTGTCGACCGGCTCAACAAGCTCGTCGTCGAACAGCAGCCAGCCGCGGTCTTCGGTCTTGATAATAGCAACATAATGTCCGTGGTAGGGACCTCCGCCAATGTGAACCACCACCGCATACAGTTCATAAAGTCGATCTGGGTCTTCGGCATCATCCGTTGTGTTGAATAGGCGAAGGTGGTAGGGGTAAACGACACGGTGGAAGAGTTTCTGCAAACGCTGCAAGTCTTCGGTGTACTTAAACCGCTTTAGGTGCAGCGCTAGCACTCGGGGCAATCTTTTGATCTTCATACGCTTCTCTGCTTCTTGAAGGCCGCCGCAATTGTCACAGTGAAATTTGTTTCGCTCGCAAAGCATCTCTTCTGCTGAGAACTTTCTGAGACATGATGTCACAGATGAGTGTTGTTCGAGATCTACCGACAGATCCAAGAACACCTCATCTCTTTGTGAAACCTTCTCGCAAGTGAGACACTTTGTCTCGGAGGTTAAAGTTCCCTCGAACAATTCGTGGACCCACCTGGTGGTGTTCGGTGACTTTGAGCCTGTGGATGCCAGCATCCCCAGGGAGTCCTCACTCTCCGTTGGTGGCAAAGCCTTCTCCGCGAACGCTTGCTTTGTAGCTTCTGTCTCCACGTTGGCGACCACCTCGTTCAGCAGTAGGTTCAGGAACTCGTGCGCATCCTGATGCATGGCAGATCGGAACATCTCGTTTTCTCGCCGAAGGACATCTAGGAACTGTTGTGGACGGACCACGCCGATGCGCTCGTGGCTGGCTACCACCGACTCGAAGATATCCTTGAGCGAGGTGAAGAGCGACTCCGACATTCCGTAACTGGCCGCATTGTTTTTCGTTTCCAGAATTGGAAGCGTCTGTAGCGCAACCTTCTTCTTGTATTCGGCGGAGTCCTTATCTTCGGGCTTTTGTGGTTGATTCGGGGGTGCGCCGGCCTGGCGCGCCGAGGGTGGCGACGAGGCTTTCTGCTTGGCGGCTAAGGCCTCGGCTTCGAGATATGCCGTGGGGTTCTGGTATTTCAGGTTGGTTGCGAGAGCAGCCTCCAAACTGTCGAGTGGCGTTCGTTGCGGGTAGTTGATGACGGCTTCGCGGAAGGGGACCGAGTAGTAGAGACATTGGAGGATGGAATTGCAGTAACAAGTGTTCCCGTACTACCCACGAGCGCAACGAGTCAGCATGTCAGTCCCAGCAGGCCCAGGCAAGGGCACACTCACGTTCTCCATGCCAAAAAACTTGTCACTGCCATCGCCACGGATCGCCCCTAGGTCTTGGAGCCTCTTTTCTAGCGGGGAGATCTGCGGGGCGAGATCCTTCTTCACGGGCGGCGCTGCGGCCGGGGGGTTAGAGGCCTGCGCAAAGTCGCGGTTAGCCTCGATTCCAATGGTGCCTGGGTCTCACGGTGCGAGGCACCTGCTGTGCTACACGCGCGCTGGTAAGGAACATGTGCTTACCCCATTCTTCGAGCCTTTGGAGAAAAACCCCTTCATAATGGCTTAATGAGAACTCGCAGTCTGCATTGGTCCGGGGGAAACGGTAGGAAACGAAAGAGGACGTGTGATGTGAAGTCGGAGAAGGAACCGGGGAAATGAACTAGTTCGGATACGTCGAACGTTGTCGCATAAGGTTTAGGCTCCGGTGGAAGAGGGGAATGGTAACGGGAGAATAAGAAGCGAATTCCGCTCTGGAGCGAGAAAGGAGTTGGAGAATTGAAGTGACCAGCCGAGAGGGGAAGCCTTACAGATACTCCGTACCATTCGAATACTGATACTCTCCGTAAAGGTAAGATTACCAGGAACTGCGGAAACATCCAGAAGGCCACTCCGCATCGCTTTCTTGACCTACCCTTTTCATCCTAGTCTGCTGAGCCACGTGGGGACAGGTACTGTACACCAGTGAACTTTGCTTTTTTTCTCTGGTTTATTTTGATCTTACAGTGTTTAATGGGCTGCATTGTTTGCATATATTGAAATGCCCATTTTCTGTGCCCATCGAAGACACTTCCGGCGGTACCGGAGCCCCAATCTAAAGGATCCGGTCATTGGCCCACGCTCTTCCCCAGCGGAGCGGCCTCTTCCCCCACGCCCATGGGACAGCATCCCCTCTCCGGCGACTGGGCCACACAGAACTGCCGCCATTCCGGCCCGCTGATTGGTTCCTGGCCTCCCTCGCTCACGGGCCATGTGTCCGCCCCTCGCATGGCGTGCCGCACCCACCAATGACCGCGCACACCGTGGAGGAAACAAGAAAGTGGCGGTGGCCCCGGCCTTCGAATTGTTCCTTGCTGAGTGTGATCCTTATCTTATGGGCAGCCCCCGGGAGGTAACTGCCCTGGGCACTGCCCAGGCTGCTTGGTATCCGCAAGGGGGACCATCTGGATTCCATGTTGCTCGGGCGCTGTCCGCGCGATCGAAATTCGCGCGTCGTGCATATAGATGAAGTTCGGATCCAATAGGCCCGGAGCCCAACCACTCCTTTCACGTCCTGTGCGGTGCACGTTCCCGTGTAATAATGGGCTCTGGCTTCGACGTTGGATTATGAATGTAGGAGATCCTCCTACGGGGGCATCTGACCATCCTATGAGAGTTGGTTAATTTAAACGAGGTATCTAGGCGGCAATGCAGGAGACCATTCAAGGCGTTCCGTCCGTTACCGAATCTGTCTAAAGTGGGGGTGGCGAGGCATAAGCTTGACTCCTCAAGGGGCTCGTCCCAGGGGGAAAAAGGCGCATGTTGGACACCGGCGTCCTACGATCAAAAGAAACCTAACATGTCAGTAAAGTACAGGACTTAAATGCCCGTTCGACACTAGTTCCGATCAATGACGTTGCTCCGGACTGTGGAGTAGATCGGATTGTCCCGAATGGTGAGTGATTTACGTCGTGTACTAGTAGTGCTGCATGCTCTGTATCGTACTAGGAGAGTTGTATACGGACTCCGATTTTGAAAGGCATCGCACGTTTGACTCTGCTGTATGACATCGGAATGCAGCATCATGAAACACCAAGGCAAAGGCGCTTTTTCCGCATTCGCGCATAAGCCGCATGAGCCATTTTCTTTGTGGTTTGGTGGCCCATCAGGTTGCAATGGCACAGTGTAGATCCGGGGAACTTTAGTCATTCCAGTGTATGTGCCGTCACTGCCCCATATCTGCCGGATCCATAATCCTCGAACCTGACTGTGACCTCGAAACAAAATGGACTGAATGTGATACAGATTCGAATGGATCATTCTTGGGTCAACGAATAGGCATACCTGCCGACCAAGTAAGGTAGCATCGGTCTGCAAGCCACCAGCTAGGAATAACGTGAGATCGAAAGGCGCTTGGCTTACGTGCAGCTGGTCATTTTACCAAGAACGCTCCCGGGGTCTTCCTGGTGAGCAGGGAGAGACCTGCGAGCAATCGAAACCTTCCAGATGTCCAATGTTGGAAAGCCTGGACGAATGGAGCAAACACAGCAAACACGACAAACAAAGCATGTGAAGCAAACACCCTGTTTGCACTCGGATAATTTGTCGGAGAAACTGGCCTGAAGCGGACAGAACCACCCAATCAACAGCAGCCTCAGGAGACCAGGAGATCCGTGGATGAACCCTGATATTTCCATTTGCGCCGTGTGTTTGATTCTTTTATGACGTTCTGTCGTGTACCTCTACGCTCTGCTCGAGCAATTGCCAGTCCACTTGGCGCGTCCCCCCTTTGCCGGAGTCAGTCTTCGCTGCACCGTCGAGTCACCGTGAATAAAAATAATATCCGAGCCCCCACCATCCCCCACCAAACTTCTCCCCGCCGCACTCGTCAGTTTTCCTCCTCACATCACACGTTATCCGAAATGGGGAAAGACAAGGCTCCTTCATTCAACCTTAAGACCCCCAAGGGCACCAAGGATTGGTCCGGATCCGACGCCCTCCTCCGAGACCGCATCTTCACCACCATCTCGAACGTCTTCAAGCGCCACGGCGGAACTGCCCTCGACACCCCGGTCTTCGAGCGCCGTGAAATCCTGGCTGGAAAATATGGCGAGGACTCCAAGCTCATCTACGATCTGCAGGATCAAGGTGGCGAGATCTGCTCTCTGCGTTACGATCTCACTGTGCCCTTTGCGCGCTGGTTGGCCATGAACACCGACGTCCGCAGCATCAAGCGCTACCACATCGCCAAGGTGTACCGTCGTGACCAGCCTGCCGTCAACAAGGGTCGTATGCGTGAATTCTACCAGTGCGACTTCGATATCGCTGGTCCCTTCGACCCTATGGTGCCCGATGCCGAGATCCTGCGCATCATCTGCGAAGTCTTCGAGGAACTTGGATGGACTGGCCGATACACAATCAAGCTCAACCACCGCAAGATCCTGGACGGTGTCTTCGCCGTCTGCGGTGTGCCAGAGGACAAGATCCGTCCGATCTCCAGTGCCGTTGACAAGTTGGATAAGATGCCTTGGGCAGATGTGCGCAAGGAAATGGTTGACGATAAGGGCCTTGATGGCGAGGTTGCGGATCGCATTGAGAAGTACGTCATGAACAAGGGCTCCCGTGAGCTGCTTGACACTCTCCTGAAAGACGAGGCACTCAACGCCAATGCCTCCGCCAAGGCCGGTCTGGAGGACATGGCTTTGATGATGGATTACTTGGAGGCCTTCGGTGTGCTGGACAAGATCTCCTTTGACATGTCCCTCGCCCGTGGACTGGACTACTACACCGGTGTCATCTACGAGGTTGTCACCGAGGGTTCTGCCGGTGTGCAGGTTGCCGTTGCTGAGGGCCAGAAGCCCGCTGCTAAGAAGGACAAGGGCAAGCCTTCCGAGGATGACGACCGCTCCAACGACCCCACTCTCGGTGTTGGTAGTGTCGCCGCTGGTGGCCGCTATGACAACCTGGTCAGCATGTTCCTCCCCAAGGCGCAGATCCCCTGTGTTGGAATCTCCTTCGGTGTCGACCGTATCTTCTCCATCACCAAGGCCCGTCTCGAGCGCGAGCAGAAGAGCACTGCTCTTCGCAGCAGCGAGGTTGATGCCTACGTCATGGCCTTTGGTGGTAAGGGCTTCACTGGCATGTTGAAGGAGCGCATGGAAGTTTGCCAGAAGCTGTGGAACGCCGGCATTAAGGTCAGTATCAATATTCCACGCCTAAACAATGTCTACTAACACTCGCCCAGGCTGAGTTCTCTTACAAGTTGAAGCCCAAGCTTCCCCAGCAATTCAAGGCTGCCGAGCAGGGTGCCATTCCTTTTGGTATCATTCTCGGTGAGGAGGAGCTTGCTGCTGGCAAGTGCCGTATCAAGGAGATGGGTCTTCCCGACGGACACCCCGAGAAGGAGGGTGTTGAAGTTACCCTTGACACCCTGGTTACAGAACTGCAGGCCCGTCTCGCTAGGAAGCAGGACGGAGTTGTTACATCTCTGGCACAGCAGCTGCAGGGTACGGCTGTCTAAAATATATGACTGGACTATGGACATTTCCTTGGTTTTTTATTTCGTTTTGCTTTTCCCTTCCCATGAGCGTGTTTGTTAAAAGGATTTTCCTCCCAAAATCATATAGATATCTTGCATTGTCGAACCCGGAGCTTGATGGCCTACAAAAGGATATGGATGTTTTTTTCTTCCAAAAGATACATTTTACAGATCTGGGCACAGACATGCCAATACCCAATTCATTGCATTTCCACTCTTCGTCCAGTACTTGTCACGAAACAGGCGATCCCTTGGCAGCTGTCAAGAGTAGCAGAAGGTCCATGCCCATGGATGGTAATCGAAATGCTTGCATTTAACAATAGAAGTACAGAAAGTTACATATACATCGACACCAGATCTAATAACCCTCAGCATTCTTCATCAAGAACGACTTAACGAAAGGCAATCGATCAACAACACCCAACCCAAGGCTCCGAGTCCAGGCAACAGGCCCCTCTCCAGGGACCGTATACATCTTATGAAGCAAATCACAAGCACCGCCAATCTTGGCATTCGGCAAGTACCGCTCAGACGAATAACGTTCCAACGTAAGCAGATCGCCAACATCCATACCGTGAGAAACAGCATACTGGATCGTCTTGGACAGAGAAGCCACATCCGCCAAGCCGAGGTTCAGACCCTGACCGGCGAGCGGGTGGATGACATGCGCGGCATCTCCGACAAGCGCCACGCGCGGGGAGACGTACTGCGCCGCATGTCTAAAGCGCAGGGGGAAAGATGCGACAGTTCCTTCCTGCACGGCAGTTGCAGGTGGAGGGATCTGGGATGGGAGGACAGTGTGCTTAGTGCGCCAGGTGAGTTCGTCTTGGTGGGAGATGTCGGAGGAGGAAGACATGCCCATCATGTAACTGAGGTCAGTCATGTCGAGACGGAAGGCGGCGTTGACCATTGCGAGGAAAGAGGGGGTGGAGAGGGACTTGAGATACGCGGCATTCTCGGGTGTTGTGGACCAGACGAGGGTTGCGTTGTTGTTTGGGAGGGGGAGGAGGGCGATTGGGCCGCCCAGGGCTGGGAGGAAGCGCTGGTAAGCTGTTCGCTTTGAGGCGGGGAAAGGTGGGATGTCGAGGTCGCCTAGGGCGAGTGTTGCGACGATTCCATGGCGGCCGTAGTCCCAGCCGTGGGTTGAGATGTCGGCGAAGGAGCGGACGGGGCTGTTGATGCCATCTGCGCCGACCAGGAGACGGGCAGCTATGCGCTTGGGGGTGGACTCGCCTGGGCCGGTGGGTTTGATGGAAAGGATGGGCCAGGCGGAGAGGTCAGGGCCTTCTGGCTTGAGGTCGGAGCCGGTTTCAATGGAGGCGACGGTGGAGTTTGAGAAGAGGGAGAGGTTTTCGTCACCGGACTGTGCGATGCGACGGAGAAGTGCGCGGACCAGGTTTGCGTTCTCGGTCATTGTTGCGACGGCGCGGGGGTCTTCGAATGGTGAGGTCTCCATGGACCAGTCAAACGATATTCGGGATCCGGTCTGTCCATCCCAGACCTGCATGTCCTGGTAGTCCTGCACGCGGTCGACATCGAGATGGTCGTATGCGCCGATTTGGCGCAGGAATGCCACAGATGAGGGGGTCAAGCTGCTAACTCTGTTGGAGTATTGGGTTGGTTCGAGATTCCAAGCTTGGGCTTTGGTGAGGTCCTGGGTCTCGATGAGAGCCACTCGGAGCTTGGAGGTGATAGGCGATGCACCTGTAGCATTGTTGTCAATCGTTGCCCATCCTGTCTGCGGAAGGTGAACCTACGAAGTGCAGCCATTAACCCTAGGCCGGCGGGTCCGCCTCCAACGCAGACAACGTCGTAGAGGTCAGGAGAATCGGCTTGAGATGCAAATCGCCGCCGGCCAGCGCCAATGCCATGGCGGCAGGTTTGGCAGACATATGGCCGGAGGACAGCTCTGGAAATTGGACGCATTTTGTCTTGATCTCGGAGGTTGGATCGGACGATTGAAGATGGACAAATGATGTGCAAACATTGCAAACAGGCCCAGTTGCCCGATTGGGAAGCAAACCCTCAGGCGATTCAACTATGCTCGGTGGTATATATTCCATTTTATTGAGACGACGATTAGAAGCAGGAACATCCTGAGTTCTGACCCAAATAGGCATGCGATGAGAGATGGCTATCCATTTCAGGGCGGTGGTAGCAGTCACTGAATATTGGAACACTCCCTCCAAGGTTTCTCTTCCTCTTAACATCTCCCAACGTCTTCGTCTTCGGAGTGCTATATAAACAGCCCCGGACTTAACAAGTATAATAGGAAGCTTGCTGCTTGCACGACGCTGGTCAAACGAGAATGAATATAATCTCTCATAGGTAAACCGTAAGAAGTGATAATTCATGATGGTATTGCGGGTATGAAAATGGGACAGAGCGAAAGAGACCAACATGAACTGCTATACCGAATAAACTCTGTCCAGGCAAGACACGTAGCCAACATCGACATCCTAAACAGCACCAAAAGCAGCTGCATCCGATTCACGACTTTCTCCCTCTCCCTCTCCCTCCATCTCAGCCACAAATCTTTCCCACGTCGAAAGTACGCCTTGGTAGAACTCGATGTGCGAATCGGCAAAAGACCCAAGACCATCACGGAACTCAACCGCCTTGATGCGTTCGAAGTCTGCCACTTCACGGACGACTTCCTCGTCGAACATCTCAGAGGTAGTCTTTGCAGATTCGACTTCGCGAGTTAGCTCGTCAATGCGGAGTTCAAGTTTGCGGACTCGCTCCCGACGAGACTGTTCGTGATCGACGCCCCGCATATCTTCCATCTTTGAGCGAATGAAGGAAGCAGGTGAGGAGGTGAGCGGGTTTGAAGCGTAGTAGGCAGCTGGATTAGCAGCGAGGGAGTCACGCTCGGTCACAGCCTTGTTGCGGTAGTCCACCAAAGCCTCAAAATCGAGCTGTTTCTGCTCGCGGGTCTTCAGAAGCGTCTTCAAAGACATGATGTAGGACTCTGTATCGCGCAGCGAGCCAAGGTAATTTTGATCAGTGTGCTCTTTCAAGCCGCGCATTCCGCGCGCTGTCTCCTCTACGGAAGCCGCGAAGACCTGTAGTGGCACCTCAACGGCAGGTTCCAATTGAACAAGCTTTCGGAACTGCGTCGCCAGCTCGGCATAGTCTGTCTCCAGGTCTGATTCGCGGCGCGCAACGCGGGCGACGGTCTTCTCCACATGCGACAGGTCCTCGTCTAGCTTATCGGCCTTCTCGCGGACTTCGATAAAGCGCCGGTCTGGCTTGTGGACTTTAGAAAAGGCGTTCACGAATGTGTCAGTGAAGTTATCAAAGATCCCAGTCGCAGCACCGTCTGAATTGGTATTAGTGGATGTTCGGGTTGAGTGCAGGCGCATGTGAGCGTTCCAGTCCGGCGACTCCAAGAAGATAGTGAGCAAGGGAGCTCGTCGGAGCACGGGATGAAGAGTCAAGCGTTTGAGGAAACGATGCAGCGACCATGCTCGTCGCGTTGTGAACTCCGGCCCGAAACGGTCTCCTCGCACGTACTCCATCTTGTGCTTGTCCGGGAGCGGCGGCACCGCGCATGCTGGGTATTCCCGATAGAGTGTCTTGTATAGGAAGTAGAAGTCGGTGAATCGTCGTCGAACATTGAACTCTGGTTTCTGGAATGCCTTAAAATCGGTCTGCTTGTGTCAGTCATGGCTCATTGGAGTCTATGTAACCCCGGGTACCTAGGCAGCAGCTGTGGAGGGACGGAAAGCACATACATGTGTGGTGACTAGGTATGAGATATATGCGTCTTTTGTGCCGTCGTTCTCTTTGAGCGGGGAGTCAACCTGACATTCAAGGACTCCGTCGCCGATGCCCGCCAGGTCAACGGCATCGGCTAGCGGGCCGGCCTGGGGCTCTTCATGGGCGGAGCTCATTCTGCGCTTGCCATTGGTATCATGACCGATTTCACTCGATTCCGCGGCATCAGTGCCGGCAGTTGTTGGCCGCGAGGCATCGCTATCCGGGTCATGCTTCCAGGAAACGCTGTCGAAGTCGTCGTGTTGATCCATCGTGGGGGTGCGGCGGTCGGCCGTTGTCACCCGACTGTTTTGGGAACTTTCGTTGTGCCAGTAACAAGTCTTTGCGGACAGATTATATGCAGAGACAGCAATTAATAAGGACTGGCAGAAAGGGCGAGAGTGGTGAAACGAGGGGCGGAGTTTTGGAGGTAGCTGAGTTCGATGATCGTCGTTCCCCAAGGCGGAGTTCCCGAAACAGCGTCATCGCTTTGACATCGCATTATTTACCCCGGCCTCTCTAGTTGCTTAGATCTCGATGTTTCGGTATTGATCGGGACTTTGTATGTTTTATTCTGGCACTATGCGCAGATTGGTCTCTATCGAATAATAAATATACAAATAGGCCTTGCTCATATCCCGTCTATTCTTAATCCAACCCTCGAATCAATGTAGCATATCGACAACACCAAGCAAATGCAAATGAAGAGCTATTATGCCCAACTAAGGCTTTTCCTGACGCCTGTGAGGCGAGTCATCGTCGCTTGCCCTTTCTCCTTGATTGGCCAGCCCGTCTCGGTAAGGCTCTTCGTCATCACTGAACATCTCCTCGTCACTTTCACCGGCAAACGCATTATAAAGCTCACCACCCCGACGCTGCGTACGACCAGAGGCTCCTGCCATTGGTTGCGTCTCATCCTCATCCTCGATCATTTCAAACTCATAGTCATCGTGAGCGGTGGTGCGACGACGCTTGACTCGTTGCAGCTGGAAGTAGACACCCAGTCCAATGAAGAAAACGACAATCATTGCAAAGGAGGCATATATCCAGATCTGAGTGCGTTTAGATGTGCCAAATGTGGGAAGGTAGGACGATATATAGTCTGAAGAGGAGGGCGAAGGTGAAGCGGTCTCACCGCCAGAGTTGGTAGGTTCCTTCTCATCCTCAACCGGTGTTGAGTCTGGCTTGGTCTCAGGCTCAGGCTTGGGTTCAGGCACTGGCGTGGGGGTCTCTTGTGGCTTGGCATTCACAGGACGGTCGTGATGATCGTCTGGGTTTTCGGGGGCCCCGGTCTTCACCGGAGCCGAAGCGACGCTGGTTGTAGCCACGTGAGCATCCTCGTAGGGGTGGTCATCATCATTCTCTTCGGGGAGAGGATGGAGTGGCTGCTTAGACCCGTCGATCGCTTCGCCCCAGAGGTTCAGACGCCAATCGACGAAACTGCCAGTGTTCTCGTTCTTGTCGGTATCTCGCACAATGATCGACCATTCGCCCAAGGCAGATTCACCCCTAGATTAGTAGAGTTAGGAAGGTACAGGACATGATGAAGGGGAAAGTCGCTTACCAGTGGGCAACAGACATGAAAGTCCAATCATTATAGCCAGTCGCCACGTTGTCATTTCTGCGAGCAACGCTCAGATAGCTCACGATGCCACCCGGGCTGCGTAGCTCAACACTGATGTCACCTCGGCGGGTGTGGTTGACATTCATAGTCACGGTGACATGTTCCAATTTGGCAAAGTTGGCCTTCTTCATGTGATCCTCAGTCACCGTGTAACGGCTGAGTAGTCCCTGATCGCCCTCGGGAATCGCCTTGTGCACTCTCAACCAAGGAGAGTTGTACCAAGACTGCGGCTTCACAAGTTCCCATGTTTTAGCGCGCTGGACCATGGTATAGGTATCGACCTTGCCGAAACCCCAGTCATGGCTGAACTTGCGACCAGAAGGCAGCATCTGCCAGCTGCCATCGTCTTCACTCACGGGAATGGCGGTCTCCACCATGATGTGCTGCAGATCACGCCAGGTCAATTCTGGTCGTGCGCTGAGCGCAAGCGCCACGCTTCCTGCGGCCAATGGGCCAGCTGCGGAAGTACCACCATGTCCGGAGAAGCACTTGTCGGCACCCACATCGGTGGTGTGAATTGCATCCCCCGACCCACTGCTGTATGCCACGACAAGCTGGGCCGAGCATGACTCCGAGTAAGTGGGGTGGTTGCCTTGCCTATCAATGGCACCGACAGTGATGCTGTAGATGCTGTTGGTATAACCGTCAAAGTTGCAGTTGTCGCCGTAGAGTGCACCATTTCCGGCAGCAAAAACAAAGACGGAGCCCTTACCGCCTCGGCCCTTCTGGATACCGTTGGCCATGGCTCGTTTGATCAAAATTCCGGGCGCATCCATCGTAGCGCCATCATCAATGGGGCCCCAGGAGCAAGAGTAAATGTCATTCTTCTGATATCCGTAGTTTATCGCAGCCGCCTCGTCGACATCGTCGATTGGCTTGGAGAGAATTCGGATACCGGCAATTTTGCTATCGTAGGCGACACCGACACCGCATACATCGTTCTTGGATGCCGAGATCTCGCCACAGCAACGGGTGCCGTGCTTGTCGTCCAGTAGGAGAGGGCGGGGGTCGGGGCCTCCCTCGTTGAAATCCCATGAGCCCTCAGCGAAGTAGTTCGGCTTGAGGTCGTTGCTGTCCATATCTAATCCATCGTCCACCACTGCTGTAGCGACTCCTTCGCCTGTGATACCCTCCAACCAAAGACCAGTCACATTGAGGTCATGACCAGGCTGCAGGGTGTTCAGAAGATGCCATTGCTCTTTAAAGATGGGGTCGCTGATTCCTAAGGTGGACATGACATTTTTCTGAGCTGCAGCGGCCTGCGCGTCGACCTTTCGTTTGTCCAGGGTTTCGTATGGTACCGACACTGGTGGAAGCCTCTTGTGAAGCTTTTGTCTTGCTGGGGCAAGCTTATGCGACCATAACACACCATCCAGCGGATCGTCATTCTGCGCATCGATTGCGCCGGACCGTCGTCGGAGCTTCCTCCTCGCCCGTAAGTCATCTAACAGGGTATCCGTCTGAATCGATTCCCCCCGAGGGATAGAAAAAGTGTGATGGCCATCGAGTTCACCGATCTGGCCCTCGTGGCGAGCGCCTAGGGCCTGTGCGATGTGGGAAGGAGAGGTGGTGTCATCGAGGTGGAGAGCGAAGAAGTCGCGGGACTCCTGAGAGCGAGGGTGTATGTTTCCAGCGACCGCACCGGCCAGCCCGAGGGTGGCGGCAATAGCGAGACGCATGGTGTATCAATCGGAAGAAAGGAGGACAGGCTAGGTTCGCGAGGGTGACGTTGTATAGGTAGCTAACGATCGGTTGCCATCGGTTCCGGACCCTTGAATGGCACCTCTATAAAGGCTTGAGAGTCGAGGGACGCAAATAGAGTCAATGATTAGTTGCCGAGTCAATGTGGTGTTGAGAAGTTGAGCCAAGAGGCAAAATAGGAGGATCGTCGAGAGGCCACGCACGGGATCCTATTCGGGAGTCTCATTGACGCTCAAAGGCCACGGTATCTTCTGTTTCTGCCCCCAAGGATTTAGGAATTATTGTACTTGAGAATGGAGCAGGGCTCTAGATGCACGAAATATAATTGTCTATTTTCAGAAACACAATTTCTGTACACTGGTAGTGCTCTGTATGGACCAGGTATCCTAATGCGTATGATCAGCCTCAATTATGGAGTCCAAATGCTCCGTGATAATCCGTATTGCATCACTGAAGAGCACAGCCCTTGCAGTCGCATTCAGGCCTCCAATAAATAGAAAAAACAGGATCTTGATGTTTGGCGGACTGGATTGTATGTACAATATGTAATATGTAGTAATTCTACAGTACCGAAGCAGGGGATTCCTCAAGGATCAGTAGCGAGAGACCACGCTTGAAAGCTATTGTGCTCTCAACAAATACTGTACAGTATACTCCGAGAAATAGTCGAAGTATAGGCATCGAATTCCTCCGATAGGGTCTATTATTGGCTCTCCTTGCCCCGCGCGAAGGCTGGGATACCAGCCACCAGGATATTGTATACTTGACAGAATTCTCTTCCTCTTCCTCATCTATCCTTAAATCCCATATACTCTATGCCCGGTCGCACAAACAACTTGGTCTGACCTCAGTGCGAATCAGATTGGGCCATGGTGTGGTGACCTGCGTTACCTGCATTACCTGCGTTAGGCATCAGATTAAGCCTAGATTCGAATCCCCTCTGGATCTACCCAACCCGTGTTGATTTTCATTCTGGTCGCATTGTCAACTTCTCTCGCTTGGCACCAACGCATTTCTTCGATTCTGTGGAGTTTGGGCGCAAATCTACAGCATGGCCGCCGTCATGCGCGAATCACCCGACATCGCAAATGGCATCGCAGAGCACGCCAATGGGACGAGGCCAAGCAGACGCAGTCGCAGAGCTCCCCCTGGAATTGACGGCTACGACCACTCAAAAACACCCCACAGCCCAAATGGAGCCCATTCTCCAGCGGGAGATCAGAGTTTCGCAGCCCGAGCTCGCAATCAGCCCGAGGGCAATTTGAACTACACTACGCGCAAACCGGTTCCTGAATTTGCGTCAGAACTGTCAGAGGAGTCGACCACACCGCGAGGTCTTCCCCCGGGTGCTCGTGCTTCCAACTCCAATGCCCCAGAAATCCAAGTCTCTTCTCCACCACCGGGATCTACTTCATCTGCTGGCCCAGCTCGGTCAAACACCATGCGCTCCGATGCGGGCGAGGACTCTCGGCGAGACTGGGCATCGGACCGATCACCTCTCCAAAAATTGGAGGTGACTTTGACAGGCATCAGCAAAGAAGAAAAGCGCTTACGCGTGCGAGAGGCGGAGGCTAAAGCCCGGGAGCGAATGGCCCGCAAAAAGGCTAAGGAGGAAAAGGCCGCATTGGCGGCCGCAGCACGACAAGCATCGGAACAGCCTGTGGAAGGCAGTCAAAAGCCACGCAGTGCAGGGAATAAGAACGAGCGAAACGATATCGCGGTCCATCGTGACAGGCGGAATGGACATGAGAATGCCACACAGCAACAACAGCCTGAGAAAACCACTGCGCGTCACACCAGAAATGGCTCGGTAAACCCTCAATATCCAGCCGTTCGGCGTCCTGAAAACCCCCAGTTTGCCCAAGCACAAGTCGCTATACCAGCATCGGCCAAGATGGGCAACGTGCCTAAAAGATCAGTCACAGTCAGCGGACCTGCAAAGCCAGGCCTTTCTCCTAGTATCGGCCATAGCAGGTCCATGTCTCACGCGGCCCCTCGTCCTGGGCAGGTTCCTTCGGCCCTCAGGGCAGAGAGATCACCGAACTTATCTCCCGCACCACTTGCCCCTCAAGATAGTGCCGAGTCACAGAGCAAGCCCAAGAACGTTTCGTTCAATGTACCGCCTCCTACGCCACCTCCGGTCTTTGAATGGAGAGGCGCACTGCCGGCTCAGCTTCGAGCCTCCGATTTCGATTTCCAGAATCTGGACATAAATCGAAGCAAAGCGTGGTGGGAAGGTGGCGACAACAAGGATCGCCGAAAGAGCAGAGCTCTCCCCAAAAATTACAAGACTCCTGCCCAAAAATTGACAGGTAAGAGCCGTCTCATATCTTTGCTTTCAAACTTGTCAATCATTTTTGTGGCTTTTTCTAACATAAACCAGGAGTGACTGAACACAAAAACTTCCAGCCTCCTCTTTTCCTACGATGTGGTCCATTGCTACGATACACAGGAATCAAGCGAGTCAACGCCGGCACCCCCGCCGAGCCTGTAGAGAAAGGCATCTGGCGAGGCTCTATATTGATTGCCACAGGAGATGCTCGTTCTTTCTACGATACCCCGCCCACATTGAGACTATTTTCACAGCCTATGGACCTTCTCCCACCTCCACCTGTTGAGGTTAGCCGCGAGGATGGAATGCAGTTGGCTCCTGAATATGTCGACCCAACAGCAGGTCTAATGAAAGTCGGTCGAGATGGTCGACCACTCTATGTCAAACCGGTTGAACACATCGAGGAGCAGATCGATCTGTCATTCGAACAATCCGAGGATGGAATTTACGAGCTCTCACCCAGTATTGTTGACTATACAAGTGAGGGTCTGAAACAACCAATCCCCTCGAACAGAATGCATTCTGTCGATGGCGAGACAGCCGGCCTCCACTGTGACATTCCGGGAGTCAGGCTGTACGCCGACGCTGCAAGAGATATCACATTCTGGAGATTCAACCTTGAAGTCGAGCTTCGCTCAACAGAGCAGCGAATTGCATACCGAATCAACCAAGGACCTGCGCTCGGATTCTGGATTCCCGCCGCCGGGGAGTCCATGAACATCATGTTCCAAACTGGTAATGGATTCAGCCCCTCCGCTGACTCGGATCGTGTTTGCGGACCCGACCCGCTATGGCGCGATATCCTCAACGAGCACCAGACTCGTCCTTTCCATGTTATGGTAGGAGGTGGTGACCAGATCTTTAACGACTCCGTTATCACCGAGTCCAAGCACTTCCAGGAATGGATCAAGATCAAGAACGCCGCCGAAAGATATGGTGCGCCGTTCACACCTGCCTTCCGTGCCGAAATTGAGCAGTTCTATCTTGATAATTATGCCGCATGGTTCTCACAGGGTCTCTTTTCTTTGGCCAATTCGCAAATCCCTATGGTCAATGTTTGGAATGATCATGAGATTTTTGAAGGCTTCGGATCCTATCATGAGGACTTTATGCACACTTCAGTCATCTCTGGGATTGGTAAAATTGCTTTCAAGTATTATTTGCTTTTCCAGCATCACAGTGTGCCCGACGAAACGGAAATTGAAGAGCCCAGTTGGCTTCTTGGGGCTCACCCAGGTCCATACATTGGCCAGAGAAGTCGGAATCTGTTCATGTCCTTTGGAAAGGGTGTCTCTTTCCTTGGGCTGGATTGCCGTACTGAAAGACGGGTAAGGAATGCCTTTTTGTTTGATTCCAGGGACCACGCTGACATGCCTTTCAGAGTACTGAGGTCCTTAGCGAGGAGACTTGCGATATGCTTTGGGACCGCTGTCATAAAGAAATTATGAAAGGAGAGACAAAGCACTTGATTGTTCTCTCGAGTGTACCTGTGGCTTACCCCAGAGTGGTATGTGACTTCATTTTGATATACTGGAGATTCTGTGCTAACTCAACGATAGGCAATGCTCAGGAACTTCATGAACAGCCGCAAGTCTCTTGGTAAGGCCGGCGTCCTTGGTGGTCTTGTCAACAAGTCGGGTGGAAATGTTGAGGTGTTCGATGATCACTGGGCCGGCAAACACCTCAAGTCTGAGCGGACATGGCTGGTTGAGGATCTTCAGGACTTGGCTGCAGAGAAATCAGTCCGAGTGACAATCCTCAGGTAACTGTGCTATTTCCTGAGCCCGGGCGCTTGACTAACCTTTTTTAAGCGGTGACGTGCACCTTGCTGCAATCGGACAGTTCTACTCAAACCCCAAGATGGGCGTCGCTAAAGATCACGATTATCGATACATGCCAAACGTCATCTCTTCTGCCATTGCAGACATCCCCGAGGCGGATTTGGTTTCAGACATGCTGAACAAGCGCAACACCGTCCACCACATGGATTCAAACACCGACGAAGATGTCATTCCCATCTTCACCCAGGATGTGAATGGCAAACCCCGAAACAACAAGCGACTCCTGCCCCGTCGAAATTGGTGTTCTATTCGCGAGTATAAGCCTGGCTCTACCCCACCCGGTACCCCCGAGTCCGAGGGGCCACCGACTCCGGAGCCCCGACCAGGCAAGCTGCAGCGTACTTTGTCCCTGGGTCGAGGAGACAAGGGACCCCCAGGTACAGGCAAGCCTGGAATACTCCGACGCCTCTCAACCCGCGGTGCCCCTCCCACAAGAACCATGAGCTTCAGCCGAGGCGACGAGACCGGCTTCAACCGACGTGCCAGCGTCGATGTCCCATCCCAACCCCACGAAGGTGGAGATGGGTATTTCGCAGGAACCGCAGCTCCCACACGACCAGGCACCTTCCACCGCCGGCCAACGAACCTGAGCCTGAAGGCCAGAAAGGCTGCCAAGGGCGATGACGGTGCAGGCACCTACATCAACCTCGAAGGTGGACTCGCTATCACTCTAAACCTTGAAATTAGCTCCTCCGACCCAGCGGGCATCACGGCCCCGTACAAAATGCTCGTTCCCGCACTATACTACGATGGGACCGAATACGATCCACCCCCAACGCAGATAGTTAAAGGCTGGAGAAAGTTCATACCGCGTCGAAAGAAGCACGAATTGAGCTCCGGCGCTGATAAAGATGCGGAAGACGATCTCAGCGATGATGACCTAGACGATTCCGAGGACCCTGACCTGATCAATAATACCCGCGCCAACGCTGCTATGGCTCAACACCCACACTATGAAGGTTATAACGGGAGCGAAGAAGATGATTATTCGGAAAGCGAAGTTCCCCAACGCCTACCTCAACATATGACGACCGAGCCTTACCCTCAGCCCGAAGAGGATACTCGTCCTCGGAAGAAGTGGTTTGGTGTGATCTAATGTACTATATCCTCTGCGGATGGACTCGGGACTTGGACATTGTGTTTAGCTTTTTGCTTTCGTTATTTTGCGTTACGAATAATGAACCCTCATGAATTGATGCTCAACTATTTCCAACATTACCTTGACGCAGGTGGATACTCTTGGTAAGAGCCAGACCTGTAGCTGATATCTAGTAATCTGCAAAGCCTTTTATTTCTAGCGGCTATATTCACTGGTGGATATCAGTCTCTATTGCCTATTTGGGTCGTCATTGCCGACCTTGGAAACTTGGACCGATTCGATCAGGTCAAGCCTCCACATCCCGCGAACCTTAACCCTAACTTCCAAGGTTCAACACCATGATTAAACGGCATCTATATGTACCAGTCCAGATGGCAAGGCGAATGAAATTGTTCCAAGGGTGGATAATGATATTTTTTGGTGTCCATGCAGTCAATGAGCTTCTTTAATTCCCAACTCAATTTGTAAGACAAGGCAAATGTCCAGGTGTTGGCAAATGGACCTGCGGCATAAAAGATCTTCGGCACCTCAGTTAATCTCGTACTCCCTCAATCAAGTTTTTGATGCCCTCGCCTCTTTTTGTCCGCTCCCAAGCTACTGCCGCATCCGTGAACGGCACTATGCTGCTGATCAATGACTTGACATTTATTTTGCCCGATGCCAATAGGTCCAGAGCGATGTCATAGTCCCCTGGAGAGTATCTCCAAGCTGTCTTGAGGACTGTTTCTTTCTCACACATAGCCAGTATAGGCAGGTTCAGATCTGGCTTCCCAAGTCCAATCTGAACAAAGGTAGATCCTGCTGCTGATGCAAAAATCCCAGTTCGAGCAGATGACTCGACTCCAGTGCATTCCAGGACAACATCGACACCATTGCTGAGGTTCATCTCTCTTTTGAATCTGATTGCTTCCTCTTCGGGCGTAGATTTCGTATCGGGGATGAAGGTGAGACACTCCTCGACGAACTGTTTTGCAAAGTCCAGCTTGGCTTTGTTGATATCAGCTCCAAAGATGGCTTTGGCACCAAAGGCTTTGGAAACAGCAGCAGCCAGGAGCCCGATGGTTCCAGATCCCTGAACAAGCACATTGTCGCCAGGCGCTATTTGAGCGATGCGGGCACCATGAACAGCAACGGCCAAGGGCTCTACAAGAACAGCTTCTTGCAAACTGACCGATTCCGGAACCTTATACACAAAGTCTTCGGGGGCTCTGAAGAAACGCGCTAAGGTTCCATGAGCTCGAGGTGGGTCCGCGGCGAATTGTATCTCAGGACAGAGGTTGTATTTTCCTGCCTTGCATTGCGTGCAACGTCGACAAGGGAATCCAGGCTCAATAGCAACACGGTCTCCGGGGACGACTTTTGTGACGGCCGGTCCTACGGAGAATACGACCCCCGAGGCCTCATGGCCCATGACGAGTGGTTCTTCTTCTGAGACCATTCGGATAACACCACCATGCGTCCAAAAGTGGGCCTAATCAGATATGAGTGAGTGGCTAGAAGGTCATAGAGATGATGGGAAAGCTCACATCACTGCCGCAAACACCCACGTATGAGATTCGGACCAGGATGTCATGGGGATCTTCGACTACCGGTACCTCCCTCTCCTCAAACCGAACTTTGCCAGGCCCGCACAGCAAACATGATAGATTTGTCTGGGTCTAATAAAGTTGGTTAGTATTGACAGTGCTGAATAGCTAAATAAGGACTCACATTTTCAGTCATCTTGGCTGAAGGAAAGATCCTCGGATTCCTAAAGGTCTCGACAACGTCAACGATGGGATTCTGTTCCGGTGAAAGATCTTATTCACTGCTCATTAAAACTATCTTCACGTTTCGGTGTGTCGGGGGTGTCTCAGCCGAAGAGTATGTGACTCGAAGGTGAATATGGCCATCTATCTCATTGGACCTGGGGACTACCCCACAGTCGGGCGACTACCCGCCGATGATGCCCCGGGCGGGATGACGTCATAGGCTATATCGCCCCGGAGTCTCGGACTGTGCCCTAACTTGTCAGGTCAACAGTTTGGAGATCAATGAAACTATGTGGATTTTTTATTTGATCAAAGCTAATTAGACCAGATAGTCATATTCATCCAATATCTCTTTCAGAATGCGTCATTCTACAATCGAAATGAACCCATGGATGTGTCCCGGTAAAATGGCAGAAGGAGTATGATACTGTAGTGCCTGGTTACAAGAGACGGGGAGGAGTGCTCGGGAAGTTTTGGAGTGGGTAAAGCAGAGAGCGAAAGTTCTTTGAATCGCTTCAAAGAAGGTTGTTGAAACGCGGTCTTAATATGCTCAATAGATTGCCCGCACCTGGGCAAGTTGTCAGAATATGTCAGCTGTCACTTGTCCTCTTTGCGTCGGTTGCAACTCATAGGAACCAGCTCTGGAGCTCAGGGATTTTCAAAACTCAATCTAAAAAAGCAGATTTCCATTGCTAACCTTGAAAGTCTGAGGTCACCACTCGGCTGCTCTAAGTATGCTTTGAACACATGAACAGCACCGGAGTCTCTTCGGGTCAGTGTCAGCCGGCATCTCGCTCATAGCATTAGCATTTTACCACTGCTGTGATGTTGAAGAATCAGACCATCAGACAACTTCGTCTAAGAAGATCGTGTTCACCGGCTTGCTATTTACAGACCACCTCAGCGAGCCGAATGTGCTGAAAGCACTTGATCTGGTTAGAGGTATCGCTGTTTCGTTCGGTTAGCAATAGTCGGCCAATTTTTTGCAGCTACGGGGTATTCCATATCTTCATCTATCCTCGAGACGGAGCCCTGATCGCCGCCGCGTTATCCAAGGAGTGTTTCGAGGTCGTCTCACTGTGACAGGCTGGTTCGAACCGCGGCTTTCACTTTATTGTTGGGGGTTTTCCCATGCCAACGGAGCCTCACTGGGCATTGGCAAAGTGTCTGGAGAAGACTGTACTCTCGAAAACTGTTAGGACCTCGGGACGGAGTAGCCTCTACATTCTAGCGCATTCTCAAATGCATTTTGGGCTTTGGAATACGCCGGGGGTAAGAACTCAAGAAATAATTCTAAGCTTCGGCAATGCGAGTGTCCAAGAGGATAGAAAGACGGGGGTTGCTGGAGAAAATCACGCAGGCTGTAGTGGTTCTTCTAAATTCTCCTCAGATCCCGCTGGTGTGGCCCTAGCTCGCTCTTGACATATAATACATTGTTTCTCCACAATCAAAATTGATTTCAATCTGCAGTCTACTCTTGTTACGATTAGACTTTAGAGGTCTCAACGCTTTAGTCAACACCTGGGCACACCTTAACTTTCTACCAACTTCTCTTGTGACATCAATTGATACGGCAAATCTCTGCAGTCACCAACGACATGGATGATGTGATAGGAGCCATAGAGCGAAATTCAACATCTACGCACAAGATGCAACAGACCGACGAGCAATTTAGAAACCACTAATGAACATGGGAAATCATGTGATTCGCATTTCGAACACGCATCCTCTCCATACCTAATTGAACTCAACGAGGTCGTATGCTACAATCAACTACCTAGTAGGATACGGCTTCAGCGAGAAGAAAAAGTGGAAGATGATCGCCAATATGTTTCGATTTGACTGACCTCGATCACAGTCTGCATCTCGGTGCCACTGGTGGTTGCAGTATATTAGGTTTACTAGAGAGGCCCAGTGTTACGAAAGAGGTCGCCATTTGCACAACAGCTTGAAGACGCTCGCCATGCGATTCAATTACAAGAGCGATCTCTTTCCAAAATACCCGATGGATCGCGTGCGAGCTCATACGCACGATCCCAGCAAGATCTCGAGATTCGGCAACTGTTTTCCAGTCAACCCAATTCATGGTCCAACTCACGGCGTATTAGCTTGTCGAACTAAAAGGGTATAACATATTGGGCAACACATTGAGATCACACGGTGCTGGGCAACATGAGTGTTAAACCTGTGTAGATTAAGTCGCTCTGCATCCACCTGAGCACTTCCATATTCATGTATGCTATCAGTCAATGCTTATGGTATACCCATGGACCTCGGGATGTGTTCAAGCTGTTGTCTACTGCCTTCTACCAAGTTCTGTCCCCGCTATATGGACTATGACAATTGTAATCTGTATGGTGATTTAGAATGAAATATGCAAGATGTAGTGTACGTCACTAGTACTTCCCGAGGTCGTCGATCGGCTTCGCCGCCGACAACCTTGAAGACGAAACGGGCCGAGATGGACTGATGATATTACATCAGCCCGCGGTCTCGACCTCGCACGTGACCCGTGCTTAGAAAGAAGACGCAGGAAAGATTGCATAATGTAGAGAAGAATTTCGCCGGGTCCAGGACACTGGTTATCAATCACTTCCGAATCCCCACTGCCCCTCCGAAAAAAGAATATAACCCCCCTCCTCCCCTCTCCTCGAAACACCTTCAAGCTGTTTTCCTCAACTTTCCGTCGCTTTCCCTCCCTCCGATCCATTGGATTAACTGCCGCCGCGGCAACCACCGTTCACCAACAGTCCCCGCCCTCGACCTCGGTCTTCTCGAAATTCTCGACGCCCCTGCGCGTCAATCACACATCCAGAATGGTGCACTCTAAAGTAGTTAGTAAGTGAATGACATCTTCAATCCCCCTCCGGCCCCATTCCTAACAATATCTAGTCATCGGCTCCGGCCCTGGTGCGCACACCGCCGCCATCTACCTTTCCCGCGCCGAGCTCCAGCCCGTCCTCTATGAGGGTATGCTCGCCAACGGCACCGCTGCCGGCGGCCAATTGACCACAACCACCGATGTCGAGAACTTCCCCGGATTCCCCAACGGCATTGGCGGTTCCGAGCTCATGGACAACATGCGCGCTCAATCTGAGCGTTTCGGCACCGAGATCATCTCCGAGACCATCTCCAAGCTGGACCTCTCATCCCGCCCCTTCAAGATGTGGACCGAATGGAACGATGCCGAAGGCAGCGAGCCCGTCCGCACCGCCGACGCCGTCATCATCGCCACAGGCGCCAATGCCCGCCGTCTCAACCTGCCCGGTGAGGAGACCTACTGGCAGAACGGTATCAGTGCCTGCGCTGTCTGCGACGGTGCTGTTCCCATCTTCCGTAACAAGCCCCTCTACGTCATTGGTGGTGGTGACTCTGCCGCCGAGGAGGCCATGTTCCTCGCCAAGTACGGTAGCAACGTGACTGTTCTGGTGCGCAAGGACAAGCTGCGTGCCTCCAAGGTTATGGCTGAGCGTCTCTTGGCTCACCCCAAGTGCACTGTTCGCTTCAACACCGTTGCTACCGAGGTTATTGGTGAGAACAAGCCCAACGGCCTGATGACCCACCTCCGTGTCAAGGATGTGGTCTCTGAGAAGGAGGAGATCGTCGATGCCAACGGTCTCTTCTACGCCGTTGGTCACGACCCCGCCAACGCTCTGGTCAAGGGCCAGGTTAACCTCGACGACGAGGGTTACATCGTCACCCAGCCCGGTACCAGCTTCACCAACGTCGAGGGTGTCTTCGCCTGTGGTGATGTTCAGGACAAGCGTTACCGCCAGGCTATCACCAGTGCCGGTATGTACCGATAATCCTCCATTGATATTTCTTTACTAATTGTTCCTAGGATCTGGCTGTGTCGCTGCCCTCGAGGCCGAGAAGTTCCTTGCCGAGTCTGAGACCCACGAACCCGCCGTCGAGAAGGATGCTCCTGCCGATGCCCCGGCTGAGTACAAGTCCAACCCCCTGCTTTAAATACATTTTCCTTTTTCTGTTTGCATTATCACGATACCTGAAACATAATATCTGGCCTGTGTTTGGTTGGTTCCCGGTTAGACTTTTGTTAGACGATATTCCAAATACAAATTCCCCATGTACAGTGGATATAACATTCTTTCTTCCCGACGATAACTTTTTTTCTGTAGTGTCTACGAATCTTTACATCGCGTCGGATACCACGTAGAATTTGTTTTTCTTTTCCATTGACTGGGCATAAGGCTAATGAATAGATGTAAAGATAAGGTATGAGCAAACGAACAACCTCGAACCATTCGCAACTTAATGCGATCAAACCGATACACATGTTCCGACATCACTTCTCTGGCTTCACATCGAAAGCCGTACCAAGCACAGGAACAAGCTCAGCAGTTCCTTCGGCAAGATAATCAGGCATAACCCAACTCTCGAACGGATTCTCAGCACACCATCGATCCTTGACTACGAACGTGGCACGCTCCCACTCCGCAACATCGACTTTCCACTTATCCCAAGCCTCGGCATTGGCGCGACGATTAGCTTCCGTCTGGTCAAGATAGGGCTTTTTCTCGTCGGGAGTCGCAGAGCGCCACATCTGGCCGAGGGCAGCGCGGATTTCGTCACGGGGAGCCTTTGCGTTGGGATTACTGGATGCTGTGCGACGTAGCTGGTCGCACTTGTCACGGCATTGGGCCCAGAAGTCCTTTTGGTAGAAGAGGAAGGGGTTTAGACCTGACTTTGTAGGTCGAACGGGAGCTGGGCCTAATTCTGCATAGATTGTTGTCCATAGGGCTTGGTCGTAGGCGTCGCGGCGGGTTTGGTCGGATGTTGTAGGCTTGCGGGAAGTGGAGGTTGAGATTTGGGATTTGGATTGGGATGGTGTTTCGGGGGAGCTGGATGTGTATCCTCGCTTTTTCTTCGTTGAGTCGGTAGGTGTGGTTGATTTGCTCCGGACTTTGGACTTGTCTGGAACTAAGGGGTGAGGCATTTCGATTGGACCGGCGACTGGTAGGATGATCTCAGATGCGGCTCGTAGACCAGACAGATATGCCCCGTGAACGGTTGCTGGGTGTGTGCCACAGGTGGCTTCGCCAGCGAAGTGCAGATTGCCGATTGGTCGGGCCATCAGGTCGTAGTCCTCCGGGAAGGCAGATGCGGCGACATATGAGTAACTGCCGTATGTGAAAGGGTCTTGGCCCCATCGAGTGATTATAGTTTCGAGGGGGTCAGGAATCGTTGTTTGTTTGAACACATTGCGAAGCTGGCCGGTGACTTCCTTGATGATTATTTCGTCTGGTGTCGCTTCAGCCTGATGAGCCGCATCGCCGGGCATGAGAGCGATCAGGCATGGAAGTCCAGTTGTTTTCATAACGTTCCAGAAGAGATAGAAGCGGCCGCGGCTTGCTGCGTATTCTTCTTGCACCATGGTAGCAACGTTGGCTGGTTCGCGGAGAAGGCCGAACATATCGCGCTTTGTGTCCCAGAAGGGCTGTTCAAAGACCAGGATCACCTTGTTCATGACACCAAACCCTAGTCTTTCAATCGCGCCACATTTCCAATCAGGAAGAGGGGGGTCGAACTTGATCGTCTGCTTTTTCAAGACGCCAAGTGAGCCGGTGAAGACAACATGATCTGCTGTGAATGTGTCTCCATCCTCGCACTTGACTACCGCTTTTGTAGGTTTGTTCCCTTCACCGGTATTGTAGGAGATATCAGTGACAGTCTTGCGAGCACGGACATCAAGCTTCTCCGGTAAATTGTAAAGCCCATAGGGAAGTTGCTGGTAGCCCCCAATCACTTGGGAGTGCTCGCCTTCGAATTCATTCCCAATGTCTTGATCCCACCCAGAGAGGCTCAACCGGTTCACATTTGTCGCATTTGCGTACTCAAGGTTAGCGAAATGCCAATTCATCAAACGCATGTCTTTGGGTGTTAACGGGAGCATCCGTTGGTATTGCTTGACGCCCTCGTCCATGACTGCCCCGAGAGTCTGCGCCTGAGAAACCTCGGCAATCTGATCTAACTCGATGGTGTCGCTCACGGTGTATCCGGGGTTAAGTTTCCATCCAGTAGCCTGACAGGTCAAAGCTGCCGGGTCATCCTCTGAGTTGCCTACCAGGTCACTGGCGACATCCACAGATAACTGATTGTCTGTAGTCTTGTGTTTGATGCCTCGCCGGACTCGCTTGGTGGGTACCAATTTATCAATCGTTCCGGCCGCTCTGGCTTCCTCATATTGTCGCACAGTGAGTCCATCGTCCACCACAGATTCTCGGCCAGCATCAATCATTTCTCGGTTCCCCTCGGCAGTTGGTAGAATTTTGGCCTTTTGGCGATAGAACCCAGTCCGGTCGAGGATGTCGTTGTAAAGCTTTTCAGCCATTGCGTCTTGGTTTTCACTCACTGGGGACCCATCGATGTCGTAGATTGTTGATACATCTCGGATTTTGTGATACTTGAGCGCAAGCTGACCACGAACGATCTGATCTAGGGGGTTACCATGATCGAAGCCAACAATGATCTGAGCGCCCATCTCTGCCTTTGGGACGAGCCCTTGGGGGAGAGTCTTCGATTTCAGGCTAGTCAGTGGGTGGGAATAGATGCGTCCACCAACCCTTCGGCGTCCTTCGAGGACAATCACCCGAGGCAGCATATTAGAATCACGGTATTGACGGAAAAGACTCTCTAGTTGGCGCGCACATCCCAGACCAGCCATTCCGGCACCGACGACGACAATGGTAGGACCTTCCTTTCGTCTGCCGCGCTTAGGTTTGACTGGGGCTAGTGGGGCCTCCACACAGCCATGATTGATATAGCCATTGCGAATCAGCCAGTCGTAAGCAAACGAAGCCAGGTTCATCCAGCGGTAATCCTTTGCACATCCAAGTGCTTCTTCCCTGGTCACAGCAACCATCGGATTTCTGCCCCAGAGCAGGAGAATTCCATTGCGAATGTTAAGATAGATTGTGACATGGACATGGCACAGATGGTCTTGCAAGAAGTCTTGTTCTTGACGGTGCAGCGCATAGGGATTTAACCGAGACGCGTACGCCGCTTTAACACACTGTGTGCCGTAGACAGAGGGTTGGATTTTGGATGGGATGGATGCTCGAGGTCGACACTTGGACAAATCGACCTTACCGCTTTCAAGTACATTTGGCCCAAATACAATGTCTTGTGTCGGGATTGACTGCAAGGGGGCCGGTGGGGGAGAGGCGGAGGTTTTCGGCTCAAACGAAGATGTCAAGTCGGTTGAGGTGGTGGATTCATTCGGGGTACTGCTACTACCACCGGTGTAAAGCCTCTCACTGTGATAAGCGAGATGTGATCCTTCAGATGCCACTGGATGAGCGTGGGGAGCAGCTTGGCTTACACCATCCAGGCCGATAGGTGTTGGGATTTTATCAAAGGTATTATGGGTGATCCGCAACCGCTTTGCGGGCGGTTCAGAGAGTCCCCCAGATTCAGACAGAAGATTTTCCGGGCTCTGCAACTTGGTCTCCGAGTTGTTGACATATTGATTCATGTATGGACCTTGAACCGAGGGTACCCTGGCACCCGCCTGGAATGTCATGGAGGCGCCCTGCATGTCCATGGACGGGTTTTTGCAGTCGGAAGGACTTGAAAAGAGCGATTCGAGGGGTCTCCAAATCGAATGTTGTTCAATTCGATGAACTGGATAGGATGTAGTCGGCGACTTCAAGGCTGATGTCACTGACTGCCCTTCCTAGCTGGAGAATGTGTGGATATCAGATGCTGGAGCCTTCAACCATTATATGAGCCCGCATGGAAACCCGGTCTGCAGAAGCCGAAGGTGTGCAGGATTGAACAAATGGATCAACTATATTCATGTTAGAGACCACAGTGATCAATGTAGTAGGTGGAGGGTCAGGAGAGTATGGAAGAATAGACGGAAGACCAAAGAAGCACGGATCAGGACATACATCATTCACCCCTTCCCACAAATCCTACGCGGAGAATTGGCGGAAAGGCAACCCATCAATAGATTGGGATCACTTGGTATTGAAATCAGATCGGTATCGATATGCTGACCTTGATGAAGGGGACGATGGGAGAGTAGAAAACCCTGGCTTTGGTTCGGAAGCGGGGCGTATTTCTCAGTCCGGCGGTTGCGGCACACGTTCAACGTAGCTATTCACAATCTTTTACATTCTTACTATTTCTCGATAACTACTTTATTTGGAGACATGGTTGTGCAACCCATACGCCCCTTCCTCTACGAACTCATCCGAATCATTATCGGTGAACTCGTCGTGATATGATCTGCGGGCCGAGTTCTTCCAGGGCCCCGGTTGATCACTATCGCTATCCCCCAACGCGAGATCCACGTTGTCATCGTCCAAATCGGTAAATCCAACGCGTTCTTCTTCGTCCCTTGCGAGCGAAGCGGCCGCTTTGTTGACGGTAGGATCTTCGGAGAACCCATAAGGACGGCGCGATGCATGATCAGCGTCGAAGGACCCTCGAAGATCCGCACGCTCCTGGGCTTCGAGTTCTGCTGCACGAGCCAAGGTTCTAGCAAAGGAAAGAGATGGGTCAGCATGAATTCAGAGGATGTTGAACACCGGTAAATCCCGGAGAGGGCGCAAACCTTTGATAAATATACCACCCGGTAAATATTCCAATACTGACGGTAATGATGATACTGCAAACATTGACAGCCTTGGATCCCGCACTCATTTCCTCACCCTTCTCCGAGAGAAGGCGAATTCGACTTCCAACAAAGGCAGGGACCACTAATTTGGGGGAGATGATAGCCGTGGCAAGTCCGTACATCAACGGTTGTACTGTGGGGAATGTAGACACAGCTCCGTTACAGATGGAGTAGGGCAAAGGACACAGGCGGATCATACAAAGCAGCTTGAGTCCGTCATATTTCAGAGTCAATGCCAGCGCCGCGAATCTCTTATCCCGCTCCATCAAACGATGCACAAACCCAGATAGAATCGTTCGAGAAACATAGAACGAGGCAGTTGATCCCAGAATTGTCGCGGAGGCGTAAATGAGCCATCTGGTAGATATCACCCGTTAGCTTTCAATCCCAGGTGTTCCGATTTAGGCAGCCTTACCCTTTCCACACGCCGAAGATGAAGCCTGCGACGGTTCCAAACGTGGACCATCCCAATAAAGGTGGAAATGAGACGAAGAAGACGCATAGCCACAGAACAAAAGCAACCAGCCACGAGCTTTCCCATTTCTCGGCGACCGGTCCAAGCCAAATGAACACTTTTCCAGTGAGGATGAGGAACGCGATTCCAGACGCGCCCATAAATAGAGAACCCGCCACATAGGCTGTTTTTTGCCAAAAGGTCATGTCCTGCCACATCTTATCAGCGCGCTGGTACAGCTCGGTGCCGCGCTGGATGATCTGATCTCGATAGCTCTGTCCGCCAGACCAGCGGGCGGAGTTCCGCCTTGTGCGACCCCACGGTTCAGCATCGTCTGGCGAAGAAGGGATCGGATCGGGCGATGAGGGAGAAAGAGCCAATGCCCTCGCGGTGGACTGGTAGTCCGCGGGCATGGTGGGCGTCAGAGTAGGAATTTAGATGGGGAGGGATGATCAGGGTCTCAGGGTCTCAGGTATGACGAATCGAGCAATGATCAAGAATTTCCACAGGGGCGTATCTTAGCCCAACGTGGTGGAAGCATGAGAAATGGAGTAAGTAAGCCAAGCGCTTTAGGCTGAAAGTTCAGTTCAAGACACCTTGCGGATCCGCCGGACTCGGGGTGTTTACCGATCTACGATGGCTGTTCTCGGAGATCTGTCTTGGATGGGATGGCTACGGAGTCGATTCCCTCTATTTCTCTATTTCTAGGTCATCTACGGAGGACGGAGTTTTATTTGTTATATATGATGTTTCTTTGTCTTTTCTTTCTTACCTCTCCCTATCACCATTGCTTACCAGTATTAGTACTGTGCATTGAGGCTGCACTAGGCGCAGCAAATGGAATCCCAATTCTGCAGAATTCTGAGAGAGCGAAAATACCAAAAAGAAAACAGGAAAAAGAAGCAAAGACGGAAAAAAAACCGGGAAACACAACATGTACTAAACCTGCAGGTCTCCCCAGGATGTAGGAAGCACAGAGAGCTTCGGAGGAGATAAGCGTGATCCCCAGTGTTGATCTCCTTCTCCGCCTCCCCCTCCTTTGTTTGGATCTCACCTCACCTCCTGATCAATTCGATCGCGGCCAGGCGCTGCGATGTAAATCTCGCTTTTCGATCATATCCCTTCCTCGATTTCGTGCCTTGCGCCATCACGGGAAAAAAAACCTCCCCAACCCCTCCCCCCTACTCAACTTTCCCACCGTTTCGCCCAGACCATGGGTCGTTAGCTAGGAAGTCTTACCATTCAGCATCTCAAGCATATACTCCCAGCGCCCATCTTTTGGCACCCCAGCAGTCGCCAGGCCTAGGTGATTAACGTCAACCCCGCCTGAATACCGGTTCGCTCTCCGATCCGCTCGCCGACGCGCGGCAAGAACATCATGGTCTCCGACGACCTCTTGGAGAAATGTCTCCAGATCCTGCAGGATCAGGCCCTGGATGAGGAAGAGCAGGTAGAGAAAGTGGAGGATTTTTTGAGCACGAACTCGACCCTGTCAGGTTCGTCCTTAGAGAACGCCGTTTTGGACATCCTCTGGCGCCATCGCAATCGCAACCTGCCAGATGCATCACCACCAGCCAGACATACAGTGATTCGGCGATCGTCGCCGGCTCCGTGGCAGATGGCTCGATCTGTCACACCGCTATCTCCCCACCCGACATTGGGAACAAGCCCCGGAAGTACCTCGTGGATGCCAAGCCCACGCGGAGCATTTGCCAGGCCTCCGCTTTCATCGACTGTCTCGCCATTCACATCGCCCCGGCCATCGCCTCGGCTTGCTCTTGCACAGCCGATTCCCCATTCCCCAAATCTGAACGCATACGAATTTTCAGATCAAAGCCAGATCTCTGATTATTATGGAGATCTCGGGGGTGACAATAATATTGACTGGTTGGTCGCAGATGACGCCAACAGTACAACCTCGTCCGCAGGCGGGGTCAGCACACCCGGGGCCCTCAGCGCCACTGCGGTTGAGTTTGTTCCAGACATGAGCCCCCATGACATCCTGCGCACGGTGTTGGGCGACAAGCGAACCAACGATGAAATAGAAGCAGCACTTGAGGCTAACAGCTACGATCTTGGAGCTACGATTGCCTCTCTCTCGCAGGACATCGAGGCCGAGGCAATCTCAAAGCAACAAGAGGACGGCCGTGTTCTGGTGGGTAAGTCCATGGCGATGGAGCAAGTTCGCCCGGTCACACCACTGGGCAGTAGTCGCAGCCCGGTGGTCTGCAAATACTGGCTGTCTACTGGACAGTGTCTTCGGGCAGACTGCCGATTTAGCCATGACCTCACCACCCATGTGTGCAAGTAAGTATCCTTGAAACAAGTGCCAACCTAGATCATCGACTAATGATTCTCAATAGATACTGGGTCATGGGTAATTGCTTAGCTGGCGATGGCTGCCCCTTTTCGCACGACCCTTCCGCGCTTCTCGGCAACCTTAGTGTCACAGGCGGCAGTCGGCCAGCTTCGCCGGCGAGCGCGCTTTCATTCCAGGTAGACAGCGGCTCTGATGCCTTCCCGCCTCTACAAGCCACAGAGAGTGGCGATCAATGGGGCAACCAATATGGTGGACGATATCCTTCCCACCTTTCTGTTTATCAAACCTCCAAATACGCTCCTCCGGGCTTACTTCCTGGAATGGGCAAAAGGAATGGAAGTGCCACCCATCTTGGGCGCCCCAACTCGCGACCAACAAGTCGTCACCAGAACCGGGAGATGAATCCGACGGCGCCATCTGTGGATGATCAAGATGCATTCCCGACCCTGGCCGCAGTACAGGCAAAGAACGCTGGAAAGAAACATCATGGGAAGCGAGGTGGTCATAACAACCGTGATGCAGGTCTGACCAAAGAGAATATACCTTCATCTCTTGCCGATGTGGTTCGAATGACCCCATCTCCTGTTCCAGGAAAATCCAAGTCCGGTCTCAAGAATAAAGACACAAAGAGTCGCGAGAATACTGCGGCGGCTCAGTCCATACAAGCCCCGCAAAACATCCCTTGGCTTGAGACAGGAACGCGTGCCAATCAACAATACATCAAATATCGAACGGAGGCTATTCGCCATGGAACCGTGAGAAACAAGTTCCTCCAAAGGTAAGGTTACACTCGCCGCTCTCTTCTGCCCTGTTTCTAACGCATAATCACCAGCGCCGCCCAAGCATGGAACCGGAACGATGCCCGAGCCGCCAAGGCCCTGTCGTTGCGTGGACAGGCGGAGAACGACGCGATGCGTAGGTGCCATCGCGAAGCTGCACGTCAACTCTACGAAGAACGAAACCAGCATCTTTCGCACAAAGGTCTGGATGAGTCTTCCGAGGAACTCTATATCGATCTGCATGGGCTTCACCCCGAAGAAGCCATCGAATATCTCGAGAAAATTCTTCTCAAACACGCCAGAGAAGGACTGCGGGTCGTCTATGCGATCACGGGCACTGGCCACCACTCGAAGAATGGCAAGGATAAAATCGGTAAGGCCGTCAAAGCATGGCTCAACGAATGGCGCTATCTCTTCCGTGAATTCAGCGTCCCTGGTGAGCGAGGCGGTTACGTGGGAGGCATCCTCGGCATCGATCCCACCAGTTATGACAAGTCAATAGCCAAAGAAATGGCTAGTGATTCGGGGGAGGCTAACGCTGGCGAACCTCCAACCCTGACAATGGGCAAAGTTCAATTACTCAAGCGTGAGGACATAGAGACTTAACCCCGATGGCCTGGCATGCCATTCGACTCGATCTTTGCGTCAAAGCGGCATGATACCCATCATTACTTTTAGCTTTTGAGCTTTTTTTTGGACTTTTATATCCTTTTGACTGATTTGTGCGACCCAACATCATAGGCTCAGAGGTTTCATCCTGGATTTTACATAGAGTCTGCCCTAGGCAATCTGATTCTGCGGCTTCGATACCGCAGGAATGGGCTGGGCTCGGCTTTTAGAAGTAGCAAAGCGAGGCAATTCAATATACATCAGAATTACATCTCCTCTCTATTTCAAGGCTCGTGCCCTCTTTTGCAGAGTATCATGGTATTCCTTTGGCGGATTTAGGTGGAATGTTCTCCGGCAGGACGTTGATGTACGATGGCCATCGGCATACAGTTATCAAGTCGGGACCTCGGGCCACTGAGCCCCTACAAACTACAAGAAGCCCTAGTGGCGAACCATGAAGCAAAACTGATATATGCTTGCGATCCCTGCAATGGCCGACAACATGAAAACAGTACCGGGTAGCAAAGACAACTTCTAAGGTGTGGAACCCTCGTTCACTAAGTACTAGGTAGACGACAGGAAAAATGCTATATGCAACCATTACTCTGGCTCCTGATGCTCCCACTTCCCCCTCAGGGCATCAATATCAACTCCACAAGTATGCGCCTTCTTCACAATAGCCTTTGCCTTTTGCGCAACAGGGACATCAATCATCTTCCCGTCAAGAGTCCAAGCACCCCTTCCGGCCCGAGCAGCCTTCTCATCTGCTACCACAACCCGCATAGCCCACTCCGTCTCCGCAGCATCCGGCCCAAAGATCTCATCTGCAACCTTCGCCTGGGTAGGATGAATACATTGTTTACCATTAAAGCCGAGCCGTCTACCATCCCGACATTCCTCCTGCAGCACAGCCGGGGGTCCATCCCCCTTCTCGGACTTATAAGCCGTGCAAACGAGGTCAATAGTTGAAGGCAGATTCGCAGCCCGCGCCGCAGTGGCGATAGCAGAGCGCGCAAACAGGAACTCCGTCAAAGAGGGGGTTCGCGTAATACTCAAATCCAAAGCGAAGTCCTCGGCCGCGAAAATCAGTCCCTGCAGCAGCGGCGAGGCAGCGCATATCTGTGATAGGTTCGTGAGAGACTTGGCTGATTCGACTAGAGCCAGGAGTGAGATGGGCGTTCTCTCTCCTTGCTCTCGCTGCGCGAGTGTGTGGTTCACGACATCTGTCACAAATGTCAAATCAGAAGCTGAGTTGACTTTGGGAATGACGATGGTAGTCAAGTTTGGCGATTTGAGCTGCTGAGGTTAGTGGGTGGTGTTGGGATGTTGGCTCAGGATGATCTCACCACTTCGGTCAAATCGCCGAGCGCGAGTCCGCTGTCTACGGAGTTGATCCGTACGGCTCGTTCACGGATCCCGGTTGGTGAAGGTTGGTCGATTGCTTTCCGTACGAGGTTGCGAGCTTCTGCTTTCATGTGTGGTGTTACACTGTCCTCTAGATCGTATGTAAGACAGTCGGCTGTCAATGAGCGGGACTTGTCTAGGAAGCGCTGGGACGAGCCCGGGACTAGTGGTTGGTCAATTTGGGTTCTGGGAGCTTGAAGCTTCCTGTTGGAGCTCTGGAAGGCGGCGAGATTGCAGATTGGAGCTTACCGTAGAGCAGAGAACGGCGGAGTGTGTTTCGGGCTGCCATGGTATTGTATGAATATCTAGGTCTGTCGTGGTGCCTGATGGGGGGATATCGGACGTTTTAAGTGACTTCCAAGGTTCATTCCGGGGAAGAAGCCGACTCGGCTATCCGTAGAGCCGCCTTATGCTCCACCCTGGGGTAATGGCCTTGACGTGCGACTCTGTCAACCCTGGAGTACACCTGGGCAAGTCGAAATTTATAATCTACTGTGTTTTCTATACAGATGACTTTAGTCTTTTTTAATGTGATATTCGATTTTACTTAATTGCCAAAGTGGTGCTTTTTTTCTCAAGTATTTGATGCTGATAAGATATCTAAAAGACAATGGGTAGTCAGGAAGCTGCAATGGCACACTGCTTGCCTAGATAACTTCCTGTGAGCTCTCAGTGGACTCTGGGCTGTCAACATCACATCTGCGAGCAAAACATCTCAAACTTGCACGTGGCGCGTCATCACTGATTCTGCCACAAAAGACCGCCCTCAGCCCGTGTTGCGACCAGGGTATCATCAACACCAGTCCTCTCTCTATACCACAGGTTGCTCAACTCCGCTGATCTAGAGAGGCTCTTCCCTCGATCATAACCGCCTGATCATCTTCACCATGGACCAGAACTCAGGCCAAGGCGACCTCAACTGGCGCCTCAGTGCGCATCCAATCACGCTACTTGTCTTCTTGGGCATTCGCATTGGTTGGTACCCCTTGTCGACATCTAAATCACCATTGACTGATTGTTTTCTAGGCGCACTTATGATGTACCTCTTTGGTCTCCTCTTCATTGATGACTTGTATGAGCACTAGCCCGCCGAGCATCCTAGCACAACTAACAATTCAATCTAGCGTCCTCGTGTTTATCTTCACACTGCTCCTCCTCTCCGCGGATTTCTACTACCTCAAGAACATTGCCGGTCGCCGCTTAGTAGGACTACGCTGGTGGAATGAGGTTGACACTGCCACCGGTGATTCAAAATGGGTGTTTGAATCATCCGATCCAAATGTCCGCACTGTGACAGCCACAGACAAGCGATTCTTCTGGCTGAGCTTGTATGTGACCCCAGCTCTCTGGGTGGGCCTGGCTATCCTCGCTATCGTGAGACTGGTCAGTGTGATTTGGCTCAGTCTGATTCGTAAGTACCCGTTTTGATCGAGATCGAGTTGCCATTGGGAGCTGGAATACTGACCTTTCATAGTCATCGCTCTCATTTTGACCGTCACAAACACCATGGCTTTCTCCCGCTGTGACAAATTTGGACAGGCATCCACATTTGCCAACTCTGCATTGGGCGGTGGTATCGTCAACAACCTTGCTGGGGGTCTGCTGGGCAGAGTCTTCCGCTAATTGTATGATTGCCCAGCGATATGGGCTTTCCATAGGCATTGCACTGTGTGTACCCTGAATTGTAACTCTAGCGGAGTATTTGACTACTTTTCATGAATGCAATTTCCACTTTAGCTATCCAGTTGGCGCAGACCAGTCTGAAAATAAGATGAGCATGGCTGAGCACTCAGCACTTTTGCAACACTTGAATTGAAAGGGTCGGGATTCAGTCCTGTGCGCGCACCTTCCATATAAAGAAGAAACCCTCTCACTCAGTTCCCGCGCGCCCACAGGTCAATCCTCCTTCTCTTCTTCTCTTCTCTTTCTTTCCTTTCTCTCTCTCTCCTCTTTATCTTCGTTCTTTGCTGAGATTTTATCTTCAGCTGCAACACTTCATCAAAACTTTGATAAGTAAGTTATGATACCATCTACCTTTGTGCCTATCTCCATTTTAGGAATGCCTCTGGAGCTGGGGGCATGTTGTGTGAACATGATACCGCGCCCTTCCAAGGTTGCCCTGTTGTGTGGGCACACTCTCCTCCAAGTTCCTGATTCCCTGCACTTTCCTTGCCTGTCTTGCGTGAACTCCCGAGGTCGATGGTCCATGCCCTGTCCTCGGCTGTTGTGCTTGATGCTCAACCACAACATCATATTTCCATATATGGCCTTTCTGTTTGGAATCTCACTGACTGAAATGGAGATCAAGCTCGCTTTCCACCACTCATCATGGCTGGTTGGGAAGAAAACAGTAAGTCTCTCTGCCCATCTGATGCCCAAGGACACACATTTGTCCCCCGGCCAGTTCTTCTGTTCACAATCCTAACACTTAATAGAGCGCGGTCGTAGCGAAGGCCCACGTGCCTACGATACTGCTGATGACGGATTTGCTTGTGGAAAGTAAGTCATCTCTGGTTGATATGCTACCTCAACCCTGGAAGAAGCAAGCCCTGGATATCATGTTACTAACCGTCCCAGCTGTGGTGAGTCCGGCCACATGACTCGTCAGTGCCCCAACATGGCCATGCCTCTGCGCACCAAGGCTGTCAAGTAAGTCTCACTCGGAATTCCTATGCGGCTCTGAACAATCTGACATGTTCCCTTTTCTCGACACAGTGTCTCCCACGGTGCCTCTTATGGCGATGGCGGTGATAACGGCGGTGGTGGCTATGGTGATAACTATGGTGACAACGGCGGTGACCGTGCTTGTTTCAACTGCGGCCAGACTGGGTATGGTATCCTGGCCAATTTCATCATACAATATACTGATTGTGCTCTCCACACGCAGTCACAACAAGGCGGATTGTCCTGAGCCCCGCAAGATGGGCGCCTGTTACAACTGTGGCGCGGAAGGGTGAGCTTTGGCTTGATTGTTGAGTTGTTTGGTTTTGATATAGCTAACTATGACTCAGTCACTCCAAGGCCGACTGCCCCGAGCCTCGCAAGGGAGGTGGTTGTTTCAACTGTGGCGAGGAAGGGTGAGTCTGACTACGCTTTTTGTGCCACATTACACTGACACTAATTTCCAAAATAGCCATTCCAAGGCTGATTGCCTCCACCCTCGTGTTTTCAAGGGTGCTTGTCGTATCTGTGAGAAGGAGGGACACCCTGCTGCTGAATGCCCCGAGCGACCTCCCGACGTGTGTAAGAACTGCCTTGCCGAAGGCCACAAGACGATTGAATGCACTGAGAAGCGCAAGTTCGATCTCAACCATGTTGCTGACATGCTTCCTGTGGAGGCATGGGCTGCAATGAAGAAGGCTAGCGATGAGAGGGACCTTGATGATTTCCGCGAGGTAACTGCACTTGATGAGTCGGTACATCGGCCTTTGCTAATCCGGTTACAGGCGCTCAAGATCTATTCGAAGTCATCTCCCGATCAAACCTTCGCCGATATCGAAAAGAAGATGCGTGAGGAGGATTACAAGATTTTCATCATCGCTCTGGTAAGCACTTTGCTCGTTTGGTGAATGCAAGGACCAATTACTCATGAAATGTTCTCTCAAATAGGAGAAGGAAGTTGACGATGTTATGAGCCTGATTGATCTTCAGGGCACCCTGGACCGCGAGTATGTCGTTGGGTTCTACTTCCAAGCACATGCGACGCGCGGCAACCTTCGTGAGCGCTGGCCTGCCGACCCCGAGGAGAACCTGGAGCGACTGGCCAATGCCGGTCTTCCCTTTGACCGCAAGATCCCCAAGTGTCTCAACTGTGGAGGTAAGATACCAGATTTCGCACGGTGCTAAAACTCTTCCTTGCTAACGTGCAAATCCAGAGCTGGGTCATATCAGAAAGAGCTGCAAGGAGGAGCGTGTTGAAAATGATGATCGTGTCGAGATCAAATGCTCCAACTGTGGTGAGGTTGGCCACCGGGTGCGTGACTGCATGGTCAAGCGCAAGTACAAGCATGGGTGCCGAAACTGCGGGTAAGTGTTTCTCTAGAGCCCCAAGTGAATATGATGGGCTAACTCCTCGAAGCGGCGGGGATCATATTGCCGCCGAATGTCCTGAGCCTCGCTCTGCCGATAGTGTTGAGTGCCGCAAGTGCAGCCAGAGTATGTGGACACACGGGTCAACTCCTTCAAACTATATGACTATACTAACATGTTTAAGCTGGCCATTTCGCTAAGGACTGCCCTACTGGTGGTGATCGTGGCCCTCGTCAGTGCCGCAACTGCGGGTAAGTCCACTTATGCTTAAATCTTGGAAAGTGAACGGTCTGACATTGATTTCATAAAGATCCGAGGATCACATTGCGCGTGAATGTGATCAGCCCCGCGACCCCTCTACTATGACCTGCCGCAACTGCGATGAAGGTAAGTTCTACCCCTGTCTTGGAGGCAATCGTACTTCAGGCTCCCCTTTGTCCAAGCACGTTCATCTGACACGTTTAATTTCCAGTTGGTCATCTCTCCAAGGAATGCCCTAAGCCACGAGACTATTCCCGGGTTCAGTGCAACAACTGTGGTGAATGTGAGTGGATCCAGCCATGATAAGTCAACAATTTATCTAACTACCTACAGTTGGTCACACCGTTCGCCGCTGCAAGCAGGCACCCAAGGAAGAGACCGAGAACGTGCCTTCTTTCTCCCCTCCTGGAAGCCCTCCTCGCGGAGGCTGGTCTAGCCGCGGAGCAGATGCTGCTGGTGGTGACGACGAAGGTTTCCGCCGTCGTGACCAAGATGATCGCTGGTAAATATGCCGGCGACGACGGGTGACGTGGAGAGTAAAAACGCACTTGTGGTTTTTTTATTTCTTCACTATCCCGCCCTCAATGGTACAATGCCTAATTGGAGACTTGTCTTCTCTGTGACTCCTCGCGGATATACCGAAGAGCAATCTCTGACGATGTGCATGGATGCCACCGGCTACTGGCTTCTTTTCTTATCTCAAATATCAAACGGAAAAAATATCTAATGTATGTCAATGTCGGTTGGGGTTTCGCTGGGGAGCACCGTGCTTGGGCAATGGTTGGTCTGGGTAGGGAGCTTTTCCGAGTGATCTTCTGACGCTCATTGTGATTTCGCTACGAAGTTAGTCCAATGAAACATCATTTAGGTACAATTGCTTCCAAGTTCTGTAGTCTCAGCAGATGGAGTGATCCACTGTACAAAGTGGCATAATTTATGAAGTCTCCACCCGCCCAATCGGGTATGCACTCGCGCGGCACTGCAGTCTCGACAATCGCAGAACTCGTCACAGGGGCCCTCGAGAAATCATTGGGTTACATAGACCAAAGTACCCCGTACTCCAGGGCATAGCCGCGATTACGAATCGGGCATCCCGGACGAGAAATCCCATAGTTCTTCGGCCTGTCCCGAACCGGGGGCTTCAAAGTTTCATACAAGGCCTTCCAAGTTCCTGGCTTGTGACTTCCAAGTTGTTGAATTTGGAACAACTCATGTTCTGGAGTTCAACTATTCAATTTCACCTACATACATACATACTGTAGGTAGGTAGTATTACTCCGTACTATGGAAGTAGACCGATGATGTCATCGATTCGGCCTTGGCTTCAACCTCCCGTAGCAGGTTTCTCCCGAGCCCGAAAGCTTGACGCCCTCGAAACCGGGACTGTATTCGACGCTGATCGTCAATGCGATATTAATTGCCTGGCATTACGTATCTCGAAGGCGTTCAGCTCCACTCCGCATGCCCACTCCACACCCCTAACGCAGACCGGGGGAAAATTGGGGAGTCCGGGGGTGATGGAGTATCTCCAGGTCCGGCCCGGGGGGAAGATGAAAATCCCCCCAAAAATACAACCAAAGTCAAGCTCACATGGCACCACGCGAGACCCGCAAGTCGAGTCCTCGCCGGAAATGGCTCACGTCGTGCAATGGGCACTGGGCGATGGACGATGGACCATTGGGACGATCCATGATACTATCTGGACGTGAGACCACCGGAGAGAGACCGACCCCGGACGCCGATTTGTTCGACTGTCGGGTGGAACCCGAGGCGGCTTGATACTCGGCCTGGCCTTGGTGGCTCGTTCCCCCCGATCCGGCGATTGTATAGGCATCACCAATGCGACCCTACCGTTACTCCTCATTGGTCGTTGGGGTCTTTTTCGCTCTGGATTCTGATTTGCGTCCTGAAACCTGTATTTCGAGGTGGGGTTGGGTTGGTTCATAAGGGCCCTGGATGCGCGGATGTCGGGAATTTGTCTTCCAAGGTTCGCGGGCTGTTTGAATTTACTCTCTTCTTCCAAGGTTGGGATATAGCCGGACTATATCGGATATATAAGACTTTTGGACAACCTTTGTACCCTTTTACAATCAGTGGTTTCAGGGCTCGCTCTTTATCATCATGAAGCCGTACTTCGGGCTTCGAGGCTCGCGCCTCAATATCATGATCAGCATCATTGCTGGTCTTGATTTCTTGTTCGTGATTTCTCTTGGATCTGGGGATGCTCGAGGCTAACTATATGTGATACAGGCTGTTTGGATATGACCAGTGTGTTACCATTGATCATATAGTCTTGATGTTGGGTTTCAACTAACACTGTACAGAGGCGTGATGGGAGGTCTGCTAACCTTGAATTCATTCGTCACGGTCTTCCCCGAGATTGATACGACTCATTCGAGCTCTTCTACAAGTACCAATTCCACCACCCAGGGTATGTACTATAGTTCCCCTTTCATCCTCAAGAGGATTCTTTCTGACTGATCAGGAATTACCACTGCTTCCTACAATCTCGGGTGTTTCTTCGGTGCAATCTTCTGTATCTGGATTGGAAACTACCTTGGTCGCCGCAAGACCATTTTTGCTGGCTCAATCATCATGATCATTGGTGCAACATTGCAAGCGTGCGCATATTCGCTACCACATCTCATCGTCGGTCGCATTGTGACCGGTATCGGGAACGGCATGAACACTTCAACCGTTCCCACATGGCAGTCAGGTAAGCTCCGAATCTTCTTCGACCATGCATAACGCTAACTCTACACAGAGTGCTCCAAATCCCACCACCGTGGTAAACTAGTCATGTTGGAAGGTTCCTTGATCGCTGCCGGTATCACAATCAGTTACTGGATAGATCTTGGCTTTTCGTTCCTAGACCCCAGCTCCGTTGCATGGCGATTCCCAATCGCTTTCCAGAATGCGTTCGCCCTGATAATCCTGATCTTCGTCTTGCCACTACCGGAATCACCTCGTTGGTTGATTCTCAAAGGCCGTGAGGAGGAAGCCATGGAAGTTCTCGCTGCGATTCTTGATCTAGATGAAGGCGACCCTTACGTCCACTCGGAATTCTCCGCTATCAAGGATGCTGTTCTTGAAGCTTCGACTGTTAGCTTCCGCGACCTTTTCACCATGGATGAAGATCGTCATTTCCACCGTGTCGTTCTCGCCTACGTCAATCAGATGTTCCAACAGATCTCCGGTATTAACCTAATCACATACTATGCCGCTACTATCTACGAAAGTATCGGCATGGATGGGTTGACTTCGCGCATTCTAGCTGCCTGCAACGGTACCGAGTATTTCCTAGCCTCTTTGATTCCGATCTTCATCATTGAGAAGGTAGGCCGTCGGCAGCTGATGCTAATCGGTGCTGCTGGAATGTCTCTCTCAATGGCTGTTCTGGCAATCACCACCAGTTTCAAGGGCAATAGCCAAGCTGGTATCGCTGCTGCCGTGTTTCTATTTGTTTTCAACACCTTCTTTGCGCTTGGTTGGTTGGGCATGACCTGGTTGTATCCAGCCGAGATTGTAGGTTCTCCATTCTTCACACACCAGACAATTCTAACCTTGTAATAGGTTCCTTTGCGCATCCGTGCACCTGCCAACGCTCTCGCAACCTCAGGCAACTGGATTTTCAACTTCATGGTGGTCATGATTACACCTGTGGCATTTGACTCCATCAAATACAAGACCTACATCATCTTCGCGGTCATGTGAGTCTCTCCATGTTTGACTTGCTTCAGGAACTAACATACTCAAAGCAACGCCTTCATCTTCCCCGTTATCTACTTCTTCTACCCTGAAACGGCCTACCGATCTCTGGAAGAAATGGACACTATCTTCCATAAAACCAGCAGCGTATTCAACGTGGTCTCAGTTGCCCGCAACGAGCCTCATCGCTATGGCAAGAATGGCGAACTGCTTATCAATTATGAAGATACAGAGGAGCATCTTCGTCGCGCTAGCTTCGTATCCGAAAAGCCCAAAGACAAGATGATGTCTGGGACTGGCGATTTGGAGACTGGGAAGGGGAGTCATGTTGAGCACCGCAAGAACAGCGGCAGTGCATCTGACAGCAGCTAGAGTTTCCGCTCTAAAGAGGGTCATCGTCATTTACCTTGCTTAGCTCGCAAATTACTTTTGCGAGTAACTAATGAAGTTTGAAGAGTCTCATACTACTATCCGTAAGATTCATGAATTTCGAAATTAAGCAGAAATAAACAATTATGGTTCCATGGAATCATTCAAGAATCATCAAAATAAGGTTCTCGTGGCTCACAGTCCGAAGGCTAGACCGCCAATAGCAGCAGCGAGTGCGCCAGCGATCATTCCAGTGGAACTCACGCTGAAGCCCAAGCCAGCTGCACCAACTGAATCCTCAGGGAACAAGCCCGGATCTCCTGAGCCAGAGACCTCGCCACCATCATTGGATGAAGTCGAAGTCGCGGTCGGAGCGGCCGAGCTGGTCGACAGCGTAACGGGCTCCGACGAGGCTTTCAAAGAGGTAGCCGAGTATGGTGCTGAGAAAGTATAGTCTCGCGACGAAGAGATAAGCTCCACATCAGCCTCGAGACTGTTGGTTGCAAGCACAGACCAGACAGTCGTTGTGGTGGTGCGGGTGGAGGTGACTGTCTGAACAGTGTATGGAGCAAACGATGTCCAGAAGTAGTAGTAGTAAGTCCTAACAAAGTCAGCTCAGGTCCAAAAATTCCCGCTGCTAGCATCCATACCAATAGATAGTGGTGTAATAGTACTTGAAAGAAGTACTGGTAGCAGTCTCCGTCTCCGTTTCTGTTGCAGTAGCCGTCCGCGTCAAGGTAGGAGCGGTGACACCAAGATCGTCACCGACAGAATCATGCTCTCCAACACATCCGGACAGAAGACAGCACTTCTTCTGTCCAAGGTAAGTCCGACACTCTCTGCCAGCACGGCAATAGGTACCGTCAGAGCAGCACTCGCCGCCGATGGGTGCACATCCGTCCGTCCCAGTGCAGCACTTGAAGCCACTGCGACAAGTACCACCGGTCGAGCAGCATGTCTCGCCAGGGTCGGCACAGGAGCCGTTCCCGCAGCAGGTGCTGCCGATGGGACAACATTTCATGGAGTTATAAGCGCATTCACTGTATCCGGCTGAGCAGACATATTCGCGAGCCGCGAGGCTGAAGTCCGGGTTCGGGTTATCGCTGAAGGAAAAGCCCTGGGTATCTGTGTTGAGAGAAACATTGGAGTACAGCCGGGGCTCATCTCTGGGGATTTCGGGCGATTCACAGGATGCTAAGCTGGCGAAAAGGAGAAAAGAGGCGAAAATGCCTGCAAAACGAGGTGTCGAGGCTCTCATTTTCAACTTTTTCACTTAGGGTTATGTTGCTGCCACTGCACGGGGGACGTCGGGCAGAAGCGACATTTAAGGTGCAGAGCCTTGGACCCTGCGCACTCCATGCGGCTGATTTCGAGGGGTATATGCCCCAAGCGAGAAGTTACAGGGCCCTTTTCGTTCGTATTCACGGTCTCTTTGGGGATAGCTCTGTTTTGGGGTTCCGTAAATACGAGATGGTGCCTCTTGGCGCATACTCAAGCCGCTTTTTGGGTGTTGCTTTACGGGGTGCATCTTGAGATGCCAAGAAGTGTCGAGAGGGCATTGGTCGATGTTGGCCATGGCCCTGATGGTTCGGAACAGATCCTGTGCCCATTTAGATTGGGACTTGGGGGCGGTGATTGCTAAAAGTATGTATCCGTCACCTCGCGGAGAAGCTTGGCAAGCCAATTGCAGTAGAAGGGGTCTGACTCCGAGGTCTGCCCTTCGTGGGATATACCCTTGCATTTCTGATGGTCTGAGGACTCACTACTCATGCGAGCCCTGGTGGAAATGCGATAAAGTGGCTGGTCTGGAAATTTCTCTGGATTGGGCTGACACGAGACTTCAGGCGATCTTCAAAGCCATGACTCTTCCAAGGTTGTGTCTTATTTTCCTCTTATTTTTCTCTTTTGATTGGACTGTACGGAGTACTATAGGACCTCTGATATAAGGTCTACTTCTTGGTCACAAGCATACAGAGACTCACACAACATGAAGAATAACCAAACTTACTTAAAATGAGTATAGAAACGAGTGTATTTGGCTTCAACCTTACAAGAGGTTAAAAGCCCTATATAGTACCTAGACCAACAGTATCTCACATCCTTCTCAACCTATTCAGAAAAGCTCATTCTCAAGGGACCCCCAAAAATCAGCCAATATTTAAGCCTGGGTGGGCTTAGGGGGAGGAGGGACATCGGTAGTCTGAGGAGGTGGAGGAGGGGCGTCTCCGCGCTTCTCGTTGTCATTCTCCGACTTGGGAGGGGGAGGGATGTCGGTTCCAGTAGGCTTGGGGGGGGCATCAGTGCCGGAAGGAGGAGGGGGAGGAGCGTCTCCTCGCTTCTCGTTGTCGTTCTCCGACTTGGGAGGGGGTGGGATATCGGTGCCAGTGGGCTTAGGAGGCACATCAGTGCCAGAAGGAGGAGGGGGAGCATCTCCGCGCTTCTCATTGTCGTTCTCGGACTTGGGAGGGGGTGGAATGTCGGTTCCAGTGGGCTTGGGTGGAGGAACATCGGTCCCAGAAGGAGGAGGAGCGTCTCCTCGCTTCTCGTTGTCTCCCACGGACTTGGGGGGAGGGGGCACGTCTGTGCCAGTAGGCTTTGGTGGAGGAGCATCAGTCCCGCTGGGCACTGGAGGAGGGTTCTCCTCGCGCTTCTCATTGTCGTTGCCCTCGCCCGACTTGGGAGGAGGGGGCACATCAGTGCCTGTTGGGAGAGGGGGAGGTGCAGAAATGTCGGATGGAGCTGGATGATCGGTTAGTTGATTGTGCTTCGGATAGGACATTGGTTTTGCAAGATGACTTACGAGGGCCAGGAGGAGCAGCGGCGACCAGGCCAGCGGCCATGAAGCTGCACATAATAGCTGAAACCTTCATGTTGGTGGTTGTGGAGTGTTGATTGTTTGTGAAGTGGTTTGTTTGCTTGGTTGATTGTTGTGAATAGACATGAAGACGACACCGAGTCCTCCTTTATACTTCGATAACCTTCCGCCGTCATTTTCCTCGGAACGATTGAAGTCCATCATCACATCATTCAACCCGGCAGTGAGGAATGGACTCGTCTCAAAGCAGTCGATCTCGTCGTCAGCCTGTTGACTTATCAGGAAAGCAGAACGAACATCTGCAGACGCACGAACGTGAGGTCATAGGAGGCAGTCGCGCCAGATCAATGCTCTCAAGGCGCACCTTGAAGACGAGTCAAGCTGAATGAATGACTTACGAGTCGAGTGGATCCATCTGCAACTCTTCTCCGCAAATGACTTAGCCGTTGCTACTCATATACTCCGGAGCCCTAAGTGGAGCCTCCCTGCCACATAAGCTTGCCTTGTGCCTGGAACGCTCATGCAACGCAGTCAAGCCCCAGCAATCAGCTCCAGATGATCGGCAACTCAGTTGTTTCTTAAAAATAGATTATCGAGGTTGATTGTAGTTGCACGCGCGGCCATGCGGATCGTCCAGACTTCGGGACCCACTAAGAGCAATGAGTAATCGGAGTTCTATAATTCCAGGCTCTAAGAGGATTGCGTTGCAGTCTGGTTCGTGCCTAATTTTGATCTAGGCTACAATGATCGGTCTAGGGCTGAGATATCCCGTTCGTGGTGGCACATACTAGTAGTTAAAGTTATCGTGATGTACACAATGTACAGCCACAGCTAGCCTGCCTATGTTAGTAGCATTATTCTTCCTATTCTCTTTTGTATAATTCATTCAATGTTTCATCTATGTAATTCTGGTCGACAGGTCACTGCAAATTTAATTGGCTGATGATGGGCCTCGTAAACCTGTGACTTGACGCGCTGCAATGTCGATCCGTATCAGGATTCAGAAGGCGGTTGGAAGACGAGATACTTCTTTTCGATTATGCAATGAGCCTAAATTCACTCATTGCCCTAGACATAGCATCAAGCTGAGAGCATGGTCACCAACCATGCTTCAAGTTTCCACTTCTCACGGACGGCAAGATATATGGACTCGCGTCGCGGCTCGGCATTTAACGTGCTTCTGCCCACATCCATGGATGGTTCAGCGGCGATCATGCTAGCATCCTATGACCTTTTAGGCATGCTGGATGATACAATTCACGGAGGGTGGTTCGAATTCCCCACCTCCTAGTGATCCGCGCTTGATCTAGCTTCCGACTAGCCAACTATACTCCGTACCATCTGGAGACCTTGATTGGATTGCGCAATATCTCTGCTGCTGGTCTTGCTGTCTCCTATGGGGCTAAGTGAAGCTCGTTGCAGAAAAAGGGGGAATGCGTAATGGGGTGCAGTTGGGGAACAACAAATTAGGGGACATACCCCGGGGTACCCTTGGGAGACAGAATCAATTGATCTTATGGGAAGCATTGAGTAAGTACCACCATATGCTAAGCTGTTTCCGTGATCACCCTGGCTTGGATACTGGTGGCTCTGCTTTGGTTCCGTATTCTGACAGCAGTGACTGAGAGCCTCTCCTTTTCTCTCTACTTGACCCTCATTTTCTCCTTTTTCTCCCCTTATTTCCTGTCTCGATTGGCAGGAATGCAATTCTCTACTTGCTCTCTCCTTGCAAGTCTCCTGAAATCCATGGTCTTCATGAGCTTCAAAAGGTACCAGTCTTAGGTAACAGGCGCTCATTCTTGAAGATTGTTTCGTCCGTGTCGTCACTCTACATCTGCAACGCCCTGCACCTATCACCGATGAAAGATCAGCTTCATCCGAGCCATGTCCCTTGCAATGTCTCTTGGCAGCTTCTAGCCGTTGTTAGGGCCCAGATATCGAGAGATGTTGTTGGATCCTCCGGGCAAGCCCAAAACGATACCCAGACAACACTACAAGAGCTGCACTCCGAAGACTAGGGGGGAAATTATTCGAGTAAGTACTGAGTCCTTTCTGGATTCGATACTGAATTGGACAAATTTCGCAAGTGATTATAAGAAGTACCGCGAATAACCTTTTATTTAGGCATATCCCGCCCGAGGGCCGCTTCCGGAACGACAATCATAACTTCATCGGAATGATAAGTCAGTGGCTATTCTATGGGAACCAAACTGTACTATCACAGTACAATAACTTGGAAGACACCCGTGGACAAGTTAGTATCCCGCAACTATAGGACGGCCGAAATAAGGTTATCCTCGGTGAACTGTTGAGAAGACACCGATGCTCGGAATGGGGTTTTTTTCCCGATGCCAATCCCAACCTGATCGGAGCTTTTTTTTCACGGATGTTGACACTTGTGAGTCACGCGTTCCCTGCATAAGCACTAGAACTAGGGGGAATATATAAAATAAAATACCAGTCCCCGCGTGAACAGCGAAGAGCAGTGCATTGTCCGCCAAGACTGATTTTATCAGATCCGAAAGCGGTCGACTTTCCCCGCGACACTTTTTTTTTCTTCCGCGAGTTGTTTTGGCCTTTGACGGGACGCTTGACCTCGGTAAACTCGTTAGCGCTTCTAGCGTATCCGAGGAAAAGATATAGGATTTTACTTGGTGTCCGGGTTTGTGTTCCGGTGTTCACTCAATACGTGCGCAATCGTCAACGGGAAGGGCTGGCATTGCTCTGATAGAGCTATAAAACAGAATGTCCGGCGAACACTCTGTGGCCGTTGATGGCGATAAGCAGCCTGTCGCGGAAAATGTCGCGGAGCAGTCAGATGTCGGAGCTCACACTGTGGAGAGTCAGACATCTCTCGACGAGGTTGAGTCGGACGAGCATAGTGTCGCCAACATCGAGCGAATCTACAGGTGAGTCACTCTCATCTGATCTAGGATCAGCCCTGACATATCAACAGAAAACTGGATCGCCGCATTATCTCCGCGTTCTGGATCCTCTACTTCCTTTGCTCGGCCATTCGGTCCAATGTAGGTCTGGCTCAGACCATGAATGCGGACTCGGGCCACGATCTCGCCGATGTCCTTCACCTCACTCCGCATCAGATCTCAACAGGTCTGGCCCTATTTTACGTCTGCTATGTAGTCTTCGACTTGCCGTCGAATCTCATCATGACCCGCCTCAGTCCCCACATCTGGATGAGCCGCATCGTCATCAGCGTCGGTTTGATCGGAAGCTGTCTCGCCGCCATGAAAGCCGCCTGGAGCTTCTAGTATGTCTTTTCTCTGTCAGCACACCAAACCACCACTAACCCCATCCAAGTCTCCTCCGCCTGCTCCTGGGTATCGTCACAGCAGGAATGTGGCCCGGCATGACCTACTACCTAACACTCTTCTACCCGCCATCCCGAATCGGCAAACGAATCGGCCAGTACTTCACCGCATCCCAAGTCTCCGCCGCAGTCGTGGGTCTGGTCTCTGCCGGCTTCCAAAAGATGGATGGCGCAAAGGGCCTCGTAGGCTTCCAGTGGATGTTCCTCGTCTACGGTGTCATCACCGTTGCCCTGGGCTTTGTGCTCCTCTGGTGGCTTCCTGATCGCCCGACCCCGCCTGGCGATGAGCCTCCCAAGCGCAGCAAGCTGATGCGCTGGGTGCCTGATAGTGCGCCTGCGCTGCAAGGCCAAGACGCCATCGTCCACTACCATGATATGAAACGGGTGTATCATGCGCGGCCGTGGACGCTGCGTGATCTACTAGCTGTGTTCTTGGACTGGAGACTCTGGCCCTTGCTCGTGATGTACTTTGGTGTTGTGGGTGTTGGAATCGGAGTACAGTTGTATGCCAACCTGATCATCCAGGCCATCAACCCCAATCTCAGTGGTGTGGATTTGAGTCTGTTGACAGCTCCAATTTGGATCGTAAGTTCTGACACGCCCATGAAGATGAGAACGAAGCTAATGTCTCCAGATGGATCTTATTGCCATCCTCCTCGTCACACCAATGTCTGATCGCTTCCACCGCCACCGCGCCCTCTTCTTCTCTATCCCCGTCCTTCTCCAGATCCTGGGCCTCTTGCTAACCAGCTACGCGGGCTCAGACGCAAACCCCTGGCCCCGATACGGCGGGTTACTGATCGTCGGGTTCGGACTCGGTCCCACGGTCCCAATCACCATGACCTGGACAGCGGAGGTTTTCCAGCCTCGCCACGGCGAGGTCGGAGTAGCCGCTGCTTCGGCCGTTGTTTCCGGCTGGGGTAATCTGGGTAGTATCCTGACTACGTATGCGTTGTATTCAGGATGGAAGAGCGACTACGAGGCCCCTGGTCGTGAGAAATACCGCAAGAGTAACCTGGTTATGATTGGGATTTTGATCGCGAGTATTCTCGCTGCGGCTATTATGGAGATTGCTCTGCGGTTTGTTGATGGGCGTCGTGAGGAGAGTGCGGTGGATGGTGCTGGTAGACGTGAAGTTCGTCAGCGTGGGTTGAATGGACTTGGAGCTGGTGTTATGCGGTGGGCTAGACGGGGGAAGAAGATTGTGAAGTAAAAGTTTATAATTGTTTAATGTTTAGTCGGAGTCTATAGACTTCATAGACTGATAGAAGGAATGTTTGAATGTCGATCCATTACGCCTCTACTATCCATCCATGCACATCGAAGTCCTCTTTCACCTGTCAGTGTCGTTTGCTGCGACGGTGCCTTCATGATAACTCATATCTAGGCAGTATTGCCATTTACATCCTGGCATGGTTGAAAGGCAATGGCAATTCCCTCTCGCATAGGGGTGGATGTGGTTGTGCGAGCGGCAGAAGACTTTGCCGTCCAGGGTAGTTTACCGGGCACATGGATTGTAGAACCTCAAACCCAGACATTGCAATTGATTGGATGTCGATGGATCGGAGCATACTAGGTTTAGGATCCAGATCCAGTGTCACCGATCCAAAGTTCAATACATTTGATTGGAGAGTTTACAGTCAAAGGTCAAAGGTCAGAGGTCAGCAGTCAGTAAAAGTTGAACTTGGAATTAATTGTCGATTCTCCAGAGGAACGATATCAATATGATATCTCTCGATAAACGAATGGAGTGATTCACCCATCCATGGAATTCTATGCTATTGTACGTGTCACATTACCCAGTGGGTAGTCAAGAGAAACAAAAAAAAAGAGAGCGGCTACAACAATGGGGCAGAAGGAACGCAGAGGCGGACACGGGTGCCAGGAGCAAAGAAGGATGGAACGATAAGCGAGAGCATGAAGAAAGGAAGATCTATGAGAACTTCCTCATGCAGTCAGGCCGCTCTGGTCCGACTCCCAGGTTGATGCCGGAGGGTATCGGAGCGCTAAGACCAAATGATTCCTTTTATCCATTTAAAGGCCACCACACATGGTCTCGACGATGATACCGGTGATTTGGTAAGGATCGGCGTTAGACGCGGGGCGGCGGTCCTCGAAGTAACCCTTGCCATCCTTGGCGACCTGGCGGGGGATACGGATGGAGCCACCACGGTCGGCGACACCGTAAGAGAACTTGTCGATGTTACCGGTCTCGTGGCGACCGGTGAGACGCTCCTCGTTGCCCTCACCGTAGACGGCGATGTGCTCAACGTGGCGGGCCTCGAGCTTCTTCATGGCGGCCTCGATGACCTTCATACCACCCTCGGCACGGGTGCCGTTGGTGGAGACGTTGGAGTGCAGACCGGCACCGTTCCACTCACCCTTGATGGGCTTGGGCTCGAAAGAGATGCGGACACCGAACTCCTCGGCGACACGGTGAAGGAGGAAACGGGACATCCAGAGGTGGTCACCCACTGCAACATGGTTAGTCTGTGGGTTCAAGTATTGAAGTTTTTGTGGCAACACTTACTGTCGATTCCGGGGCAGGGGCCGACCTGGTACTCCCACTGGGAGGGCATGACCTCGGCGTTGATACCGGAGATGTTGATACCGGCGTACAAGCAAGCACGGTAGTGAGCCTCGACGATGTCACGGCAGTAGACCTTGCCGGTACCGACACCGCAGTAGTAGGGACCCTGGGCACCGGGGAAACCGCCACGGGGCCAGCCGTAGGGCCATCCATCGGTACCGAGAAGAGTGTACTCCTGCTCCAGACCGAACCAGAAGCCCTCGTGGGCGTTGGTCTCCATCAGACGGTTGGCGTCATGACGGTAGTTGAACTTGTTGGGGCTTCCATCGGCATCCCAGGTCTCGCAGAGAACCAGGATGTTGTCACCCTGACGGAAAGGATCGGGGTAGTATGCGACGGGACGGAGGTAGACATCGGAGTTGTCACCGGGAGCCTGGGAAGTGGAGGAGCCATCGAAGTTCCATTCGGGCAGCTCGTCGACACTTGTGACGGGCTTGGACAGGGTCTGCCGATCGCCGTTAGCGTCGTTTCCTCACGTGATGAGCGGGTGGCTGCGTCAAGTTTCACACCAGGATCCCCACGGCTCTCGATAAGCCGGGGGCATCTCCAGATAAGACTATGCCGCACCCCACCCGGGGGACGATTCGACACATACCTTGGTCTTGGAGCGAGTGCCACCGTTGGAGTCAATCCAGACGTATTCAGCTTGAACGCGGCCACGCTGGTCCAGGTTCATGTACTTGAGGAGCTGTTCAAGTCAGTATGGGTCTTTCCTCGCTGGCTCAAGGGCCATTGCGGAAATCCAAAGCATCGAGAATCAAACGCACATTCCCCGTGTTGGAGACGACAGTTGAAGATTCAGCAGCCTAAGATCGTTAGTATGGTTTCCTCTGGAGAGTATGAGTCAGAACGTACCATAGTGAATATGTGTGTGAAAGATGATTTTCTTGATTTTCTGGAGACTTGAAGGAAGTCAAGGAAAGTCCCAAAAGAAGAAACAACCACGAATGGTACAAAGCAAAGATGGAATGAATTCCAAGAAGGAGAGCGAGATGGGAGATTTAAAGATGGGGAGGGGCAAAGAGGGATGATAAAGATTTAAATTTAGTCACGGCTGAGTTCTTTTTGGGAAAAAAATGAGAAAAATGAGAAAAAGGGAAATTTTGAATGTCTGGTGGACCCCCCTGTTTGGGGCTAGCCCCGTATTGCCCCCGTACGCGTATGGGTACTTGCTGGGTACTTCCCCCATGGCGGCACACTCGCTCGGCAACAGGTACTACGACGGTTCATTCTTTCCCGAAACCGGTGTCGTTGGGGAAACAAAAGAGTCATTTTATGAAAAAAGGAGATAAAACCCTCACTTGAGCAATTTAATGGATTCTACTTTGATATGTACGTTTAATGCCGCAATATTGAATATCTGCAAATGCTAGCAGTTCTCACGAACTAAGAACAGCCGAGGGCGTTTCAACTTTTCACGCCACTCGCTGGTCATAATCGCATCATCCTTTCACATAACCGGTCCTCGCCGAGAGATCTGCCGTCTAACTTTTCATACTCGACTGGACCATACAGTGACTGTATGTACCTCGTCTTCTCCGGATTTTCATCTCCAAGCTTTCCCCTGGATAGCCCTGGAGGTATTGGATAATCAGCGGTCAGGCGACACGCAACTCAATATGATCAATCCCTTTTCTCCCGTTGGCCCGATAAGATGTAGATATACGAATAGTGCGATCACGCGTGGATGGACAGGTACTATCAAGCCGAGTATAGCGCTGAGGCGTCGACCCCACGCCCTGTTAGATCCTGCAAGTCGCAGCACGGAGTATACACAAGAAGCCTGGACCTCCCATCAGGCTCACATCGAAATACCCAAGTGATACGTGGACCCTGGGACAGACCGCATATCAGCTGCGATGTCCTGTATGTCTTCCAGGCATATACCCTACACGCAAGCACTTGCACTGAGGTTCTAGAAACCCCTATTTTTTCGCTCCTTCCTCTTGAGTCTTTCTACAATAGACAAATGTACGTGTTTTACAAAGTCTAGAACTAATAATCACGCGCGTATCGCGAAAGTTCGGTGTGTACTCCGTACAACGCGAGCGGTTAAGTACTCCGTTCCTGAGATCGCGTCGGAGCTCCCACCAAATGATAATGGCGCCCCTTATCATGTCAGATCAAGTCCGAACGCCATTGCACGTCTTCCATACATACATTCTACTATCCAAATGTACTATAGGTACATGGAATCTACAAGCTGTTCCTGCAGCAAGATAGACAGGTACCCACTGACCGGACCGGCGACCGGACTGATACGAATACCATTGTAATACGGGGAAGCCCAGCCACCCAGGATCGATCAAGTCATTGTGGAGTTCGTGGCAAAACGTTCTCGAAACTCCCGCGGATACACCAATCAGACTGGTCCGCCCCGCCGAGCTGGAACCACCCCGACGTCGGCCCTGGATAAGAGAATCAGGTATTACAGGACGAGGGTTTCGGGTTATTCATCGCCGTGGTTTCGATTATGTACTGCCAAAATCACGACTGGTGGTGGGTTTCAGGGGGGGAGGGAACTACGCTTCATGTTCTGACATCCTGATCACTTGGGGAGTACAAAGATGCATCTCGGGAGCTTGGAGTCAGGGATTCTCCAGAGAAAAAGTGGCGACTTGATCTTCTTCCCCCGTATTTTCTCCGTGGGCAAATGGAAGACAGGCAAAGATCGGGAGTTTCAGGAATCGACTCCGTAGAGTGGCTGGTGTTCCGATCCTCAGCCCTGTCAAGCTCCCTTCTCCAGGTTTTCGGACACACTAGCATGCCGAACACCTAACATCTAGCTTCGAGTCATATTTAGATCGAGACATCTATTTTCAAAGGCTGAGCTGGGGATAATAATAGCATGAGACAACATTTGAATCCGAATCCGGGCTTAGTCACCGGTCATGTCCGGGGGCTGTGTCAATCCCCGTGTGCCCGAGTTTCCGCAGATATACGGAGTACAACTGAATCCGATTCATTGCAATTCTGCTATTTAGTCGAGTGTAGTGTACTCGATGTACTCTGCTAGTATACTGCTTAAACACAACTAAAAAGAATCCAATAAAATAGTCATAAAAGAAATATAAAAGAATTATAAGTAGATCGACATTCTTATCGGGGCCTTCCCATTGGCTCCGCCCGTCAGTGACAAACCGCGCTGACTGGCAACGCGCACTGCGTCTTGATACTCACGTAATTGCTTGCTTCTTATTTGCCGCGTGTAAATGAGTCAGGGCAGGTGTTTCCATTTCTTACCTGAAATAGCCGAAAAGGTGATCTACGCATTTTTGGTGTTTTATAGAACTATGCTGCTAAATCCCGCACCGGAATGTGTGCAAACGGAACCGTGACACATGGTTTCGCAGGACTACAGAGTACAGCACTCCGTACTAGTACGGAATGGTCGTTCCGTTCAGTCGTTTCGGATGCTCCATACTTGGATGTGGTCCATGCGCCAAGACTTTATACTGACATCTACCCTGAATACACTCACTATTTCCACAAGTGATGATCACTTGCAGGTTGGTCCAATCTAGTAACACAGTAAGCAAGTTTCTGCCTTGTTCTCACTAGTCACCGATGATGACATAGATCCATCAAAACTGAGGGGGATAACCTTGCAGTGTAGTATTTCG